TAGCTTTACTATATAACTAGTTATTAAATAAAAAAAAATCAGATTTTTAGCTTTTTTACTAGTAAAAAGTGGTTTATCGGCTGAAACGGTTCATCGGCTGATCAGCCTCGGTATCATCATCGTGTGCAAAATGAATTCGAGGACGGGAGACTTTCGACCAGTATATCCCTACATATGTCATATAAAGAACTTGAGATGCGCTGTAACCGGCTTAGGGATCGCTCAATGTTCCCCAACCTTGGAAACTTCAGAACGGTATACACCACGATCTGCTCTATCCTGCCCCATTAAGCTCATGACGTTTCTGCATCATGAGCAGTGCAAGCCCATCCTATTCAGAGTTCCGCTGCTGCCTGCTGCCCAAACATTGCTTTTGTGCAATAGTGAAACTTTGCGCTGCAGATCTATGCCTGTAACAGTAAGGCGCATGCAAACTGAAGAGGGGACGGGAGTACACGAGCCCTCGTTCACCTCAGCTCTTCCCTGATAAGTCTGATAAGAAACCAGCCCCTCGCATTCTGTGTCATTTAAACCTTGATACACCCTTAGAGTCTAACAGCTGCGTCCACTATGCCTCCTACTGCTGGGCCATCGAAGACGGGGCGAGACGGAACGAAGAAGGGAAAGGCAAAGCAACAGCAAATGCGCGACGACTCCGAGTCCGAGTCCGAGGCAGATATTCCTGACAATGCCATTTACGGACCACGAGGGGAAACAAAAAGGCAATTCGATGCCCGCGTCGGCGCTCAGCCGGTCCACGATGCTTCTTGGGAGGCCTTCCAACGCCGCGCGAAGGCGAGGAAAGGAAAGCCAATCGAATACGAGCAGATGGCCTATTCAGACGAGAATGTGTTACGTATTGATCCATACTTGATGCCGGACAGCAATGTCAGGATACTGCGACAGATAACTTTCGCTCCCAGTGAGGACGTAGACGAGTAAGAAGACACGTTGATGTTGCGACACGGCTGACATTACGAAGCTCCACCATTGTTGACCTGGTCAAAGACTCGGATGCCTTATTTAAAGCCGGCCTTCGAGTTTTCATGGCAGGCGATGTGTCCCGTACCAAAACCATCGATATCACTGATGCCGGTGTCGCGAAGGTCGTGAAGGCCTGTCCAAATCTGATCGCCGTCGCTCTGCATGGTACCCGCAACCTCGGAAGTAACGCTCTCCCAGCGATTTTGAAAGGCTGTCAAAACATCGAGTCCGTGACCATCTCGGTCGCAAAAGACCATGTCTCCAAGAAAACGAGGCTAAACGGCTTCCTCAACTGGCTGTGCGACAAGGACTTTGTTCCCAAGCTGCGCTTTCTCGAGTTTCGCGGCGTTTATCTGAGGCCGGACCATCGGAATTTCCTCGACTTTTTGACAAAACGCAGACCTGCACTTGAGATTATTTACGAGTATACTGGAGAAGCTGAACTCATCCGGGATATGGCGAGCGTTCCACTTTCCCGTGTACCGCAGCGTCCTGCTACAAGTGGAACCAAGGAGGCTGAACCAGCGATGACTCAACTAGGGCGTAGGTGCTTTGGAAATCCTCTCAAGGAGGCTGGTAATAGTAGCGCTAGCAGCGGGGTTCGCCTTGCTGGAGCTGCAGCTGCAAATGATAAAGATGACGATGACGATGATGAAGACGCATGGGAAGACGAAGACGAATCCGACGAAGACGAATCCGACGAAGGCGAATACGACGACATCGATGAACACCTCATTTCTAACGACCCAAGAGCGAACGCGCGAATGCTGCAGCGGCTAGGGCAACAGTCTGCACTACGCGAGGCACTTGGACGGGACCTCGAAGATTTCGAGATGGACAGCGATTACGACGATGATGGCATCGATAGTGACCAAGAGATGAGTCCGCAAGACACGCGGGAGATGTTGAAGATCATGCAGATGATGGATCGAGAAATGCGACGGGGGAGATAACTCGAGTGACGGAAGACGAAGGAACTGGGCATCATAAAAGCACTGTGACGCGATTATTTGAATCAGTTACCTTATGATTAGATACGAAGCGATGTACTGTCTGTAACTCCGAATACCTGCACATTCTCTTTTCCATATGTTTAAGGTCCTTGGAGGTCTATATTTATTATGTTTCATCATCTCGTTCGCCATCCAACTACAGCCCTAGGCCTCAAGTGCGAATCGGCTAGGAAGAAGACAATTGATATCGTGATGACCGGCACCTTTTCCCCACGCCGCTCATTAGGTTGAGCGGAGTGGTGGAGTACTGTGAGGGTGAAATGATTTGGTTTAAGGCCTGTATCGATTCTTCGTAGGCCCTGGGATGTAAATGGATGGGCTTAGAAAATTGGGCGAAAGAACTACGCCGAGATAGATCATGAAGGTCATTACGATTCAGGAATGAATATTGAAAGTAGTCACGCATTGATTGTTTGAGTTACCAAGAGAGCATATGTGATGAATGTGGATTTGTTGGAATCCAAGTACCATCTACATACAGCGACGTACCTAACGCTCCTTAAACGCGAACTGTTCTGCTGTGAAAGGTGACACTGGGACACGAGACTAGACCTTCAATGGGCACACAACAGTTGATTGAGACGATGAGCCAACTGTTCGAAGCGAGAGTCAATCTGTTTAAAGCTGAGCTAGGCCGTTGCGAAGATCGAAATTTCAGGGGTCTCAAGAAGTCTAAACGGGCTTTGGCTATGCTGTCTCAAGTGCGAGTCAACAGTCAGGTCGAGGCAAGTTTCAGTTGTACAAGGTACTAGCCGGTGGTATGCACCCAAACTTTCAACGTTCAAGTGTTCCGGATAGTTCGTCATCGGTGTGCACCACAATCGAGAGATAGATAAGCCACCGCTTGGAGACAAAGTTCAACAAGGTGAAAGGTAAAAAAGACGCTATATGAAACCCGTATGTAGGACGAAGAGAAAGGTACACCGCACCATTGAAACCATACGGTTAGCAAACTACACATTAATTAGAACTACAAAAGTACAGCAGGTCCGATGAAAGTGTTTGAGTAATACCGCACAGCCAAAGACGAAGCCACCTCCGCTGTGAAAATATGCAGGTAGAGAGAGAGCAACGGCTGTCCAGTTGGTAGCATAGAAGGCTTGAACCCGGGGCACTTAATTGAAATCATCCCATGACCAAGCACGATCGCCACGCATTGAGTCAAGGGCTTGTGCATTGGGTCCAATGTCCAGACCAATGCGGACGGCCATCATCCGGTCGCGATCTATATCTGACATCTCAAGAGGCTCAGGCGTCTGCCAATTTGCCATCAAAACCTGAGCGTGGTGAACGGACAACCGGCCGCTTACTATAAGAAAGCGTAATACCCCCCAGGTGATGCGATGTTTCCAACGACACTTTCGACCGAGAGGGCACCGATTCAAGGTGCCGAAAGTAGCGAAGCACAAGCCACAGTCGCTGTCGTTGTTGCAAAGATAAAGCCTAGGCCAAAGCTTACCATTGTTTGGCGATCCGTGAGGGTGAGATCCGTAGATGTGAAAAGGCCGCCGGCGAGGACAGAACCGTCCCCAAGGAACAGCAGCGAAGAAATCACTGGATGGTCGGGGAGGCTCTTCTTGGTTCAACTCCAGCAATTGAAGCCTGTTTGTTGGCAAATTCTTGAGCGCGTGATTTGGCTTCGGACCAGGCTCGTCGATGAAGATCAACTAGGTCTTCTATCTCATGCAAACTGCCGTCTGTAACTGTCTCAAGGGTCGGAACGATGATTTTCAACGCTGAAATTGACTGTTTGAAGTCGACGCTACCTCTGGGACTAGAGTCTGGTGTGTTGAACGTTTCGTCTTCGGTACCAGATTCTAGATTAGCGGGAATACTGATCTCGACTTCTGGTTCTGGGTCTGGCTTGACTTGTGACGCTAATTGCATCATACGTTGCAGTCTCGACCGAGGTCTGCTAGTGCGAGATTTTGCAAGCGCCGGCAAATCCCAAGGTACAGATAGATCCCTAAGTGCGGTCGCATAGCGCAGGTCTTGTGGTACATACGTGGGCTGTCTGTTACGTGAGCTGTCTGTGGGATGGGGCTGGGTGAGGTAGCTGGACTGGTAGATATGGTGTAGGAGGATAAGAAGGTGCCTGTAGATGTGTGGTTTGAGGTGGAGCTTGATAATCTGCGCCTCCTCTTAGTATGATTTCATAATAGAATACACAACAGAAGCTCACATCCGTTTTCAAAGCTAGGTGGAGGGTGCAGCGGCTGCAATAACGGCGTCCATTGAGCGTTCGGATACAGCGTCGCGAACCCGGATTGAGGTAGCTGAGTTGGGCAAGGAGGAGCTAAATATGGCTGCGCCGAATGAGGCTGATGCTGGTAGTGGGGTCTTGGTGGTGGGGGTCGATATGGCGGCTGCGGCGTGTAGTTTGACGACAGTGGTTGGGGAGGGTTCCCAGGATTAAACTCTTGATATGAAGCAGTGTACGGATACATCTGCGGCACTTTTAGCTATGAGATGATAATGGCGTCCTGCTCGTCACGCACCTTGCTTTGCATGTACTGAAGTGAGAGAAGAGGTACGCGGGGCAAAGTGTAGAGTGTACGGCCAGTGCGCTTAGCGTGGCGCACAGTCACGTGATGTTCCAATTCACCCTACATCTCCATCTTACTACCGCGTGCTACATCATATTGCATGCTTTACGCTATGAAATGTTGCCCCAATGAGTGGGTACGACAGTATAACGCCAGTTTCCATGATACTAATCACACCTGCGCTCCTTTTCGACATTTTACGATATGCAAGCTTATTTCGAAAAGAGCACATCATAACTACAACATATATCATCCATGGCGGTTCCCTACATGACCATGGACAGAAACCCGTTGATAATGGACTCTTAAAACTCTCTGCGCACTGGAAATAATACTATCTACAGGCACATATACTCTTCTAGGCTGTAGTGCAGCCATATTACGCAACACTTGCATCAGACATCGTATAGTATAACATACTGAATTGTGAATTCTACTCAGTAACCGTTTCGTACGCCGCGAGGGTGGCTGCTAGAATGACAAGATATTCACCCCACGCGCAGTTTCCATCCCAACTCGTTTGAGATGACCACAAATAGAGAAATATTCAGCGCAAAAAAAGATTTAATCGAGGAGCTTACGGGTTAGCCTAGCAAGGCTGCCGTGATTAATTGAAGTGTAGGAGGGCGATACATCCATTATGGTTATTGTAATGAGGGCTGCATTTGGTACCTATTCTAGTGCGAGGTAATATCAGTTGTACTGTTTGAGAATACAGCGCCTTAACGTCGAAATACCCGAACCCAGAAACCAACATTGTCGTAATTCACGCCTTTCCTCCACTTCTCTGGCAACGGAAAGAACCCCAACTTATAAGTTTTATCATCATCATCCTTGTACATCCTCACGCACAGCCGCCGTGTCCTCACGCAATAGTCGCAAGCGCGCTTATCGTCACCCGATTCGAAGCACATCTCCTGTAACGTAGTACTCCCCTCATATAGCCTCAAATTCAAACATCGTCCTAGCGCTTCATATAAAGGTCGATTCTCTACTTTGACCATACGTTCGTAGGACTTCTTTCGGTCCTCCTTCCCATTTGTTCGATACGAGTCGATGAAGCGAAACATGATTTCACTCCGAACTTGAGACGACAGGGGACATGGTGTCACGAAGTGACCACCACTTTTGTCTTTGGTAGGAATAAAAAATGCCCATTCAATCGGGTTTGAATTATCGGCTGATTCTCGTTCCAAGGAAGGCAGCAGGCGGGGTGTACTGTGTTTTGGATGTTGGGTAATTGTACTGTTCATTGTTGCAACACCGCTTTCACAATTTTTAGAGGGCTCCGAATGAGATAGAAGGCTTTTCTTCTCTCGTTGAGTGACCGTAGCAGCTATATCGTGGATTTTGTCAATGGACGTTGCATCCGAATCTGTATCTGGTTCGAAGATACTCGGCGACTTTGCCCCTATCTCGGAATCACTTTCCGAAGATATAGCGTCACGATCGATCAAGTCGAGACTCGCGTTATCTAGCTCATCATGAAGCTCGGGTGAACTTCCAGCGCGCTGCTCATGTTCCGGTTCGCGGGCTGTTCCTTCACTCGGGACGTTGAACGGCGCCTCCTTCTCTCTCATACATCGTTTTAATGGCCGATCTAAATCTTGAGGCGCAACCTCGGCCATGACACGCTTTAAAGTGGTCGAAGAAGTGCTTGTTTGTGGCGCCACAACTCTTATAATAGAACCTGTTGATGCACGAGTAGTCGTTTCCGGAGTAGTTGTACTGACCGCAGCAGTTGATAATGTTTCTGGTTTGGAAGAAGCAGTATTTCTGCAATCGTCGTTCGATGCTAGATGAGCTGCAGTTGGAAGAACGATTTTTGGCACTGCACGGTTGGATATTGCCGCGTGTATGCCTACTGGCGATGCATCATCTCGGAGATTGCCGATGACTCTTAGTAGAGGCGCCGGTCGAGGTCTTGCCGCTAGTCTCGTACGCTCGAGGCTTGATGGCTGATGATTAGGTTGGTCCTGAAATGATCTGGCTTTTGGTGGTGAAAGTACACGCGCAGGACGTACCTGAGGGATCTGTTCGCTTGTGTTGCTTTGAATGTGTGGAGGATTCGGGACTTGAGTGAGAGAGGGCTTAATGACCTGGCCGGGTTCGGTGCGCTGTACTGGGCTCTGTTCATTTGTGTTTGTGCGAACGTTCCTTGCTTGAGGTAATAACAAGATGCGTAGAAGAAGTTCTTGTATAGTACGCCTAGGTAGAGTGTTCAAGGCGTCGACAAGAAGGCAGTAAAGTTCCTGGTCGCTGCAATTATCTAGTACCTGGGTACGATGCTCAGGGTGCATAAACTTGAGACTTGTGAGGATGACAGGGAAAGAGGGTAGCATTGTGCGTTGGATTTAAAAGATTCTGTAGAAAGAGAGGCGGTCGCTTTACTTTATACCGTATTCTTGGGCTAGCGTGTTTTAATCGCACTAAAATGGCCAAGGTTCCGACGGATAAGAGAAAGGCGCGAGAGAGGCAGAAAACAAGGTATAGAAAATGACCCTAGCGAATATTGTAATGGTTTGCGCCCTTTTCTCAGTCGAGTGGTTCACCATTTCCGGTCCCAAAGTTTGAATCGTAGGCAACCCCGACACGTGATCCATGACAGGACAGGATCCCTTGGAAAATCGGTTTCCTATAAACTGATGAGTCACGTAGCATGTGTCATACTACAAGCCTACTTAAAGTTTCGTTTAGGTGCGAATAACTTTTCCGAATGGCTGTAACAGAGAATAGCATGCACAGCTTGTAAGCACTCAAGGCACTTGGTCAGTACTGATGTAGATGTCAAACTTAGGACATCCCACATTTTCAAGTGTCAGAGCTCCCCTTTATTGTATGTGTAGTTGTAATGGGAGCGCATTGGTCTATCTTTCGACACCTAGCTACCTAGCTACCATCATGTATCATATACTGACTAAGATCAACGATAGCTCAAACCTTGCTCGCCTCACACTCTTGTTACCTAGATTGGCCATATCATCCTTTACCTTGAACCACAATCTATCATTACGCGCCACCACTCACGGATCATCATAGTCCATGACTTTGAGCTGCGCCCATAGCTAGTCAAGAAGCAGTCTGCGTTTGAGGACTGACTGCGGCGCACAACATTGCGCCAGCTTTTCCGTTGGTGCTGGACCAAACTCACTGAACTGGCTATGGGATATCTTGGTCTCTGTGGCTGAGTCAAGATGAATACATCGATCGTTTGGCCTTGAAGTGAATCACGAGAGGATAGCAGGGATTAAGTACGATATTTTCACGCTACTTGCCAATTTCCAGAAACACGTATATTCGTGTGCATTGCTTGTTGTATGGCTGTGTGAGTTAACTCTCGTGTCTCGTCGGATGACGGTCCATGTTGAGGGGCCGAACCAAATTCTCTCAATATCCATTACACCAGTCACGAAACCGAAAACCCTCTCTTTCAGAATTTAGCATCAGGCCGCCACACCTCGGTCGCAATACCTCGCCAGTCATTGGATCTTCCTTACTGAGCTAATATAAACATCTCGCTTGTCCATCCATAACGCATTTCGAGCCTCCTCCCATATCGCCTTGCACACTCCAGCGAAAGCCTCTTCCCGGGATGCGGTTCGTGGAACTGAATCGACCCGCCTACTCCAAAATCTCCTGGCGTCAACTTCCATGCGGATCCACGTAGTTTCTTGACTGAAAAGCCCAATTTAGTCATTGCGTGCAGAAAATCGGTCCATTGCAACTCGCCTGGAATGTCGCTGGATAATGGTGTATAGAAGAGTGCTTTGAAGACTTTAAGAGAGCGCTTGTCAACTTTCTTTGTTGCATGTAGAGCCAGTGATGGGGCAATATCAGGTGATTTCGGAGGAGAAGTATTGGCTTCTTGAGCTAGATCAGCACCTCTAGCCTTCGGCTTGACTTCAGTGGATAACGACAGTTTTTCAAACTTTCCAATCTCTTCGCTAGCTTCTTCGTGGTTGGTGAGCGAGCATGGTTGACAGTCGTACTTCGGTGTGTTTAAGAAGGTCTTCTCAGTAGCTTTCTGAGCTGGGGCTGGATCTTCCCAGGCTGGAGTGCGGCGCAGCGTACGCCCATGAGTGATGTCACGGTCGAGTAGATCCGGAAATCTCGCACCAACCATCTTCTTGCAGTAGGCATCGACGCTTTGCCAGAAGACATCGAGGTGATTCTCTGCCTTGCATAGTAGCTCGGTATTTGTGCGATTTCGCTCCCCAATGATGGGGTAGGTGAACCTGCCATCCCCTGGGTCACCTACTGAGGCCAAGTCTGCGCCCTCAAACCTTTTCTGTCTAACAATTGTGGACCACTTGTCGGTGAAAGCCATATAATCCTCTATGATATTTTCATACTTAAGCTCCACCTTTGACGTGCCTTCCAATGTTGGTAGTTGCATATCACGTTCCATCCGCGTCGCCCATGGCTGATACGAACGGATCTGGTGAATGCATTCGGATGACGTTGAAAGTTGCGAGAAGTCGGCCCAGACAAGCGGCGTTATTAGTGCCCGGGCCGAAGGCTCACTGGTGACAAGCCTGTCTAGCTCATCCAATTCTGTATCGAAGCCTTGCACAGGGGGTTCGGTCTTATTCCATATCATAGAAAGCGCAGTGATGAAGCGCCGCGTGACACCATCCGTACCTGCCCTATTTTTATTGATAACGAAGCGACAGAGGTGGCTATTTGGATCTGCAACCGTTTTTATAAAGAAGGGGCGAAGAGGAGGTGAAGCGGGTACCCGCTGGCGGAAGCATTCGTGCGTGTCGGTATGAATAGCATACAGTATCTGCCACAATTTGATAAAGGTATCGTAATACTCTGTCGGAAGCGACTCAGTCGGTGGAAAGTAAAAGTTGTTCCTCCTAGCTGTATCCTCAAGTGCATCTACCAGGCGTAGGCATTCATGCCAATGATACAGCATGAAGTACGGGTCGACTACCATGTTACGGAGAATGAGGTTTGTAATTGTCTTTGGTGATCGCTTCAAAACATTATGGGTCTGCCCACTAGTCGCCGCTAGAAACTCCGCGCGATGGCTTTTGTGATCTTGGAAGACTTCGGCAAAATATCCCGGATCCTCGCGCAAAGCCCAAATATGATCCTCAAGATCGTTGACCTTCGCAAAGATAAGACCACGTAGGCGATTGAAGTCGAGCTGCGACGGAATACCATATGGAGCAAGTTGAGCGGCTTCGGCAAGTGTGTTATAGTCGGCGCTATCTAGTGATAAACTAGAGGGCTCTGGCTTGATAGCATGCATGTAGATATCATTCTCTCCCCCCACTAGGTCGTGCAGAATCTTGATGCAGCATGTGGTAAGGAATGAGTATGTGAGCAATTGGATATTGATCACCTGAATCCCATTTCCTGGATGAAAGCCCTGACCAGCATACACGAAGCGTTTGGCCTTGCCGGTATACTTCCATTTTTTCATTCGTCCGTAGAAAGTCTCATCTGTGTTGCAGCTGAACTCCATCGTCCATTTGGCGAGCCTTTTCCAAAGCGGTTCGTCCTCCCATGCATGCAGAGGGCATTTTACGAGCTCAGTGCCAGCGAAAGTTGCGGGGTGGTTCCGGCCGCGAGCATTAAGGAAGGCCAATAGAGTCTTTTGTCGGAGAAGATCTTCCAAATTGATGTCGGGAAGCATGCAAGTAGTACTTTTGAAAAATCTGGATACAGCATGGCCAGGGCCTTGGGAAGAGTAATTGCTGAGTTCCTGGTACTGCTCTTGCTCGGGACGATGCATCTCGGGTATGCTGGGTAGAACAGCGAGAAGAAGCTCTCTTCGCTGCTCAACACTCTTCTCCGTCCACTTCTTACGAATCGTCCCCTCATGTCGTTCAAGGATTTGATTTAGAAAACGCCAGCGCTCAAAGATCAGGTGAACGCGGTGGCGTGAGAGCTTGCGTAGTTCTTGTGCGGACGGAAAGTAATGTGTACTAGGATAGCAAGCAAGCCAGTTCAGAAGGTTTGTACTGCCTTGAGGCGCGTCCGCGAATTGGTCGAGCTCGATTGCTTCTACCGATCGGTTGGGGTCGTGAGTAGAATCTGGCATGTCTTTTTGACGTTGTGAAGGCATTCTGAGAGACTCTTATGTGCTGAGTGGTGTAGTGGCCGAATTGGGTCACGGAAAGAGGTGTGGGGTGAGAGAGGAGCTGCTGTTTGCTATTTCCGAAAGAGGAAGGCAATCTGACGCTAGTCGGGGGCCTAACCGTATTAGTTCACATGTTCACCGTAATCGTGATTACAATCTGGAATCTAAAATAGAGAGCATATCTGCACCTGGGCCTGCCTTATCCAGCTTGAGAAGTACTAGATAGGCCTCTTACGTTACAAGCGCGAGGCGAAGTCTTTACATTAGTCTGATCTCAATTCTCCAATGACCTAATCCTTGAATTTTCAAGTTATCGGGAAGCTATGGAAGCTTACTTCGTTGAATCGAGGTTTCCGGTGATATTTCCATAGAACGCTGTGCTGATTACAGCGCTAATGCAGCGTTTTGGGTAGTAAGGGCTTACAGATTGCTTCTCCTCTAACTGAATCGATGGTACATCTTAGGTTGACAAGGAGCTGGAGTAGCACGATGGAGAATGAGGTCAAAACCTGCGCGCGATTCTCGATCCCCTGTTATTCGGCGTGTTTTGACTTCCCAACGTTTAAGGCGACAGCTCTGCGGCAAGACGAATGCTCACCTCATCGAAGCGATGTTCCCTCCCCGTCCGCAGCGCACAGGGCCTCAGAAACAACGCGACCCTTCGACTACATCAAGCTCAAGCAACAGCTTGCCGTGTACGTATCCTATTGATTTTGCAACAATCTATGTCTTGGGTACTCCTGGTGTACTTAAATTAGCTTTAAGCTCGCTCGTTTATAGAGGAACATCTTCGAGTTACTCCAAGAGTACCTAAGAAGAGTGCCTTTGTTAGCTTGCTTTTTTGTATAAGGACTTCTAATGATTGTAGACCTACGGTTCAGACGATGCATGTAGGATACTAACTCTTAAGTCTTGACGGGTCGCTAGAGTAGCATGAAAACGAGATATCGCAGACATCCCCAATACGTAGTAAGAGCGCCCGAAGTTCCTACCGTATATCTACTTATGTGGCGTTCATAACAATCAGACATCTGAGGTCTGGCTAGCTAATAAACCACTAGATTCACTGCTGCGGGCCGTTTGACGGGCGACTGCAGACTGGTCTTCAGTGTCTATTTTGTATGATGGAAGCTAGCTTAAAGTTTAACTATATATACACCTAACAGTTGTGCTCACCTAAGAAATACCGTATCTGAATCCACCCGGCGACTAGCATAAAGCTTGTCGCACTTGTCCGAATGCTTCTTTCGGGAGAGTTCTCGTAGGTGACGAGAAGCATAACTAGACAAAGGTTGTAAACCAAGCGACGCGACACACTTAGTCCCCTCGCTTGCCTATTTTCTAGCTCTTTACGGCCACTAAAATTACTTGGGACGAGCATCTACCACCCTTTTCACCTTCTACAAAGAGCGCAGTGAGCCTAGATAATGAAAGGAAATACAGATGTGTGCGACCGCTATCATGTCCACATCGCTACATGGAATAACCAAGCTTAGGGCAACTTGAGTTTTCAAGCACGATCAGATGAAGGCACGAAGAAGACATGGAAGAGAAGCTGACGGAATATGTAAAAGACGTGACGTCGGGGTGTCGGAGGTTGATGTTTCATGGCAGATTAGTCATTTTGCATTTAGCCTTGCACGACCTATGTATGGACCCAGTACTTTTGTCTTCGCCGCTTTCTGCATCGCGTTTCCACATCAACAATCATCGAAACTGGCATCCTTTGGTGCTGCCCTGTTATTCCACCCTCTTCTACATTTTTATATCATCATACACATTTCGTACGCGTAGCAATGCAACCCACTCCGCCCTACATACGTGGCCGCTTGTTGCCCGTCTCATAGCCGTTGCCGCGCAGCTGCTCATTATCAGCCCGCAACCTCCTTATTTCCCGATCTTTCAAGATGTTATCCATTTTTAGCTTCATAATCTCATCTTCCAATTGTTGGAGCGTGTTCTCTCCCTTGTCTCCCAAAGTATAACCGCTGACACAGACGTTTGCTTGAGCGTTGGACAACACCGTGGTATCCAACAGAGTGGACGTAGTCGGACCTAGAGTAGAGGTCGCGGAACTGTCTTCGACGCGGGCCTGTAGGCGAGGATCGAGGCTACTGTTGACCACGTTACGGAACACGGATGTCTGAGCTGGCCAGGACGGTTGTGGCTCGACGAACTTTGTTGCTAAACCGCGGCCTCTGTTACGCTTCAGCTTCGTCTTAGTCGGTGTTGTCTCAAGAACGAGTATCTGAGGGGAAGGTTTGTCGCGATAAAACTGCTGAACACGTGGATGAAGCATGTTTGGAAAGATAGGACCATCTCCTCCAGACGAGTTCGTAATGAATCCCATGTCCAAAAGGGTTGCAATCTCGGTATCTATAGGGCGGAACTGACGGTAACGGACAGAGTCGGGGCGGCTTGGTATACCGCGCTCGCAGTACCAGCTCAATGCGCAGTAGAGACGAGAGCAGCTCTATGGTAACAGTCAGTGTCCATATTCTTATCAATGGCTAAGAGGATGGCCCAGGCCTCTTTCGCCACCATGGCATGTGCTAGGCTAGCGGGTATTTAGCTGAAGACTTACCTCCTCTCGATGATCTTTCGTGCCGCATATGCTGCAGGTTCGATGGCACGTTACGCCTTTCGTGAAGATGTGTCGCTTGCCCCAACAGGTAAAGCATTTTTCGTGGAGGAATCCGACGCCGAAGATGGTGGGAAGATTCAACTGATCGTAATACGGCCCGGCGGGCGGTAGGTAGCGCTCAGGTGGGTACTTCAGTGCACCCGGTACTTTGACAGGCTTTACCGTCGAGGATGTCGAGCCGACAATCGACCGAGTAGTTGTACCAGATGGAAGAGTCGCAGCCATCACAACAACACCGTGTTTCTCAACCAGTGGCAACACATTTGAACCAGTTGTTACCCACGGCACGGAATCGTTCTCTTCGTCCTTCATCGGTTCTTCATCGGGTTAGCGAAAGGCTAGAGGATCTACCATACTAAGCTCGACTCACCATCCAAATCCATTGACTGCTGTCGTGCCGGATGTTTTGGCTGTGCAGTTGGGGGACTCGCCGTATGGCTTCTGCCATACAGTGTCTCGATCAGTAATTCCGTGCGCGTTGGCGTTGATGCTGCTACTACCAACTCAGTGGCATCGCTCGTATCATCCGTTGCATTATTGACAGCGGGGGCCGTTGGCTTCGGGCCGTAAAGAGCCTGAATCAGATACGGGTTCGCCATGTTATGTTCCTGCAGTGGTGCGAAAGCGCGGGGTGTTGTTGTTTGGCGGGTGGCCGCGTTAGCCTTGGCGCCCACTGGAGGAAGGAGCGAGCGGGAGCATCTGCGCCCAGTAAAGTTATTACGTATACACCAAGCACACTTCATTGTATATTACACATCACCGCAATAGGCGGTGAGGCAAGAGTTACCTTGTTTTGGGGTGTGGATCCCGATTGTGTCAACTAGTCGATATTTCGGACAGTGCGCGAATACGGAGCATAGTACTGAGGGTAATAGAAGGTGTTTAGAGATCTCATAAATACGTGGCAATTTAGTGTCACACAGAATCACCAAAGCAGCACATTGTGAAAGAAGCTAGAGTAAATCTTTCTTGACGAAACGCCGTATCAAAGAATCACCAACTGCTAAACGAGCAGTGACTACTTCATACGAGATATCGACCACCATTAACTATTGCGATAGGCCTTGTTGACCAATAGTCAGATAAAAAGGCAAGCTAATCTCTAACAGCAAGTCGCATCACTCTTTGCACCCCTTGCAAGTTCGCGATCTAGCCTCCTTAGAAGTCCTGCGCAGTGTCATAGGTAGTTATCGCCTATTCCCAGAGAGTAGTGAGAGGCGAGCTGTATCGGCCAGCAGCATGTTTCGCAGCTCCTTTTGGTTTTGTGCAGCTCAGATTTCTGACCATCATACGGAGTTGTTGAAGTTGAAACAGCGTTGCTACGCACCGGCGTCTGAAGTTTGAATCAGCGCAGGTCGTGCAATATCTTGAGAAGGCCACTTGTGCTACGATATTTGAAAACGATCTATAGCATCTCAGTGGTATGGGTTACTAAGCGATCGCCAAAACACGTGGGTGAAGGATCACCGCCGATACCCCACTTATACACTCAGAGTCTGCTCCTTCCTCTTTCACTGATATCTTGCACCATCATATAGAGCATTATGCGAAGGTAGCACTCAAAGATGCGACCAAGCGAGGTTGAAGGCACCCCAATGGATGTAGCACCAGGCTTCTCTTTCGAAGATGTAAGTGACTACACTCTTTTGTTTATAGAGAAAATAAATGCTCTTAGCTAATTCAGCTTCGAACGAGCAGGTACCACTTTGGACTCTGAACAGACCACCTATCCATGGCGCAATGAATCACTCAGTCTATCCTCAACCTCGATACTACCCCGCCATCACCACTCATTATGGAGAATGCGCTTACATGATTGACGAATGCTCATCATCTTCAGAAAGGTACCTCTTTCACAATCTATCCTCTGCTGTTGGCTCGCATTCCATGAAGCTAGACAGCTCATCGCACGCCACCGAAACGGACACAACGTCGGCTAAGGTCTTGTCTGGTTACAACACGGCAGAGGACGAGTACGTCTCAAAACAAAACTTGAAGCTTTCAAAAGAGCTGCACAAAGCGAGAGGCGATTTGGACTACGCGAACAAAACATTGCGCGATCTTGCAGCTTGGGCGTATCATGAGAGAGGCAGGTTGCTGCAAGAGCTGGTAGACGCACAGGTTGCCCATGAACACCAAGTTAAAGAAGGTGTGGTAGAGGAAGAGGCTATCTTGACACAACCGGTAAATTGGTTTCTCGCACAGGAAGTAAACAAAATTAGAGTAGAGGTCGGACTTCGTCACTAAGTCACGAAGAGATTGGAAACAAGCTTGGGTTGAAGAAGTACACATATATGGATTTAACTCAGAGTGGTCAGACAGAGTGGATCGGTAAGAGAACGGTTGCAGCTGTCGAGCAAGATATGAACCATGGAGAATATGGGTCCATCACTGACCAAGTGGATGCATTGATCGCTGAGGAGAAGGGCAACCTGCCGGCTTTGGAGTAGGAAGTTCAACATAAAGTGATGTACATAAAGCACATCCGGACACTTTCTTTACTAGTTACTTCGCGTAAAAGTGGTCCTTCTACCTCTGAAACGTTGAAGTGTATCTCATGTCAGAACAGGCTCATAAGCAATCGAAGCTTCCACTCATATACTGACATGTGTTTGTTTACGAGCTCCTCCTTCAATAAATTGACGTGATATCGAAGCTAGCAGTTCTTTGATGAGGCCTGGGGAAACTTCTTATATGAAAACTATGACTGTAAGCTAGAGGTTAGTTTGTATATTCTTTAAAATAATAGTAGAGAAGCTGCAGTGCGATATTTGATTTTGAGAAAGAACTTTCTTTCAAGCAGCGCCTACGCCCCAGGACTACCTGTTGAGTGACTGGTTGTGTACTTTGATACAATGAGTCCAGTGAATGATTCACTGTGAACAAGACTCGGCGCGCTATTTTTGATAGTGAGATCGACTTATGAGGTAGGTGTTAGCGTTGTTCATGGTGAATTCTGTGCTTTCACCAGGACCTGGGCACGGGTGTCGCACGTTGACGTCGCTCTCTTCTAACCCGCATCACACCAACACCAGCAACCAAACACGATGGATAACTTTTTCTCAAAAGAGGTGCCACTGACCTCACAATCCATCGAGGCGATGTACACAGCTCGAGCTGTTGCTGCAAATCGAGCAGCCACTCAACAGCCAACGGGGAGAATGCGCACGAATAAATCCCCGGTCCAAAGCGACGACAATGCGGACACCGCCGTACCAAGTCGTGGTTCCTCATCAAGCAACCCTATCGATCAAGCCAGTTCAACCGCTGCTAGTGTACGCACGGCCATAGTCTCCTCCATCTCATCGAACAAGATCACGGCCGTCACTTTGAGCTTTAAGAGAGCGATCAGGGTGTTCAAAGTGAATGCTATAGACGCGGTCAATTCCGCTCTTGAAGCGCTGAGGAAGCTTGGGATCATTGATTGGGCGAAATTGGCTGGGCGCTGGATGAAAGAGCACCCGTGGCAGACTGTTGCCATGATCGTTCCTCTCATCCTTCTCGCCTGCACCCCCGCTATTCTCGGCGCTATGGGCTTCACCCCGGTTGGCGTCGCTGCCGGTACGTATTTAGGGTGATTTAGATTCGGGAGAAAGATTGAGCTGATATTCCTACAGGGAGCATTGCAGCTGGCATCCAAGCGGGTATTGGAAACATTGTAGTTGGCTCTACTTTCGCCATCTTCACGAGCGCTGCGATGGGCGGATACGGTGTGCCGATCGTGTTCGGGGGCATCTGGGTGCTGAGTAGTACGATCCTGGGGGGCATTGCAGCCTGGAAGCCGTCCAAAAGAAAAGACACTGGCGGTGAAAGTGTTCATCAGGTGGTAGGATATATCAATGGAGGCGACGGACAACGAGGAGCTGGTGACAGCCAAGAGTGAGTTACTATCGAAAAGTAATGAAGCTCACAAGCGCGCGGCTTGGAGCTAAGACGACGGGCTTAGCAAAATAATACGATACGAGCTTGCTTGGGGGAATCTAGCTTTGGCGGCTATAATTCCGGGCTACGGGTCTATACTTCCAACTACTTGGCATTGAGCTGCTTATGAGATGAAACTTGAGAAGCGGAAGGTTTAGGAAATCATAATACGTGAGATCTGAGAATGCTTCCACTAGAAATGCTGTACACATCTCTGCTGCAATACGTTCTATTCTTTGCCCGTCGCCACAATGTCGGTCAAATGTTTAAAAGGTCCGTCAATCGGATTCACATTACTCGACCTAATGTCACTTTAAGTTACGAGTAGTCTTATTTGCGAGGCTTAAGACTTACATTGCAAACTCATCCTTGTGCTTCTCCAAGAACTGAGCAAAGGTTGTCAACGGCACACCCCAGCTTTTAACCCCCTCCAAATCCACCCACTTGGCCAGACCAATGCTCGTAATTTGACCTGCAACAAAGGGGCTGCTTCTGGCCTTCTCAGTTTCCTCTGGAGTCCGATATACGGCTTTGATTGTTTGACCAGACACTCTCTCAAGCTCCACGAGTATTTTGTCAACTCGCACATTTTCGCCGACAACGGAGATAGTCTGGCCGCCGAACTTCTTGGGGTCTTCGAATGCTGCCACAACGAAAGCGCCAATGTCGTCAGGGTCGACTAAGGTGAGTACGCAGTCCGGCCCGTAGCTGTTGACGAACTTGCGATCTTTGAATTCTGGATACATCCAGTATACCACCGGGGGAAGCAAGTTTGTGAGGAAGTAGCCAGGGCGAAGTAGCGTCCATGTCAGTCCACTAGCTCTAACAATTTTCTCTACATCACCCTTGTTGAGGACCGCCGGGGCAACTGGTGAGTCCTTTTCTTGTTCCCAAATATTGGGGTTGTTAAGGGGCAATGTTGTAGGGAAAACAACGTGTTGAACGCCCGCGGCTTTAGCGATATTCAGAACAACGCGCGCTTCCTGTACCTCAGAGTCGTCAGAGAATGATGGTAGTTGAACTAGCAGAAGCGCTTGACACCCTTTTACAGCGGCCTCGATGGATGCTGCATCTTTCCAAGTTCCTTGGAAGAGAGTGACGTTGTGTCCAAGGGATTCGAGGCCGACTGCACGGTCGGACGAGGCATTTGTAACCAGGGCGTGGACGCGCCATCCTTTCCTAATGAGGTGTTTGGCCGCACCCCTGCCCTGGACGCCCGTGGGTCGCATTACTAGGGCTGTCTTAGCTGCCATGTTGAGTTTACGGGTCGGTGGTTGGGACTGGAAGAAAGAAGACAGCTGAAAGTGGAAGTACGTTGGGTTTTTGATATTTGATACTGTAGACGGGCTCTAGTCGATGAGAGATGTTTATATACCATACTTGCGACTACCCGCTACGTTACACAGTATTGCTGCATTCGCAATTCCGCATACCCGTCTGTTGGGTATGGGGGGGGTGATTGATCAACGGTAAGCAAGTAAACTCATCAAGTTAGCGATCGTTGTGCTCACACAGCAACCCTAGAGTGTGCCTATTTCGCAACGCTACTAACATCGTGTGGGGTCGCGATCACGCATGAAGCAGAGAAGATCCGTATGGAGGTCCGCAGAGCGCAATTCCGCAGCGGATGTCCGCATGCAGACTTTCACGTGCGGGTTGTGCGGAGTGGAGAAGCTTAAGCGCGTCGACTGATCGTACAAGAAACCGTAGGAATACCAAAATCCACAGGCTATTTAGCAGTAGGCCATAGATAGAAAAACTCTGGGGGCTGGACGGAATTCCGCGCCCGGATGAAGCATACCTCCTCCACCCGTTCACTTGGGAAAGGAATTACTGTATAATTTACCGCCTTTGGGAGATTTAAAAGACACCACGGTCCCGAAGATACAAGGGCTTAGAGTACAACACGAATTACTTGGTCGAAATCCTCTTGGAGCCTACCCAGTGTAGAAACAGATATCAGGCTAGTGCGCTGATTAATGATGGCACGGGCCACACCTGGTCCCGGCCACTCCTCGCGTCATGCTTCACCTTCCTCCTCGCCTCTCCTACGTAGGTCGTCAGATATGCCACCAGATCGCTCACGCCCCCTCAATTCCCAGGGCAGACAGAAGTCGTGCTCAGAATGCGCCAAATCAAAGCGAAGATGTGGACTCGAACAACCGAACTGCGCACGTTGCAGGAAGCAGCACTTCGACTGTGTCTATCCGCAGGCCTCCTTACAGGCCACACCGCTCCAGGACGGGACACCGGACGCGCATAACGACTTCGAAGTCTCTCATTCTACAACGATGGACTTCCAGGATGTTGAGGCCGCGGCTCTTCCTCTTGACTTCGACGTTTCCTTCATACCATCCGGATCGAGCGCGAACATTCTTGATTTTGACTTTTCTAGTGGCATCAGCTCGTTAGGATCTCTAGCCACCATGCTCGACACCTCGCAGAGTGAGGAAGATCAAATGGCCCTTGAGAGGGCGTTGTACCGTGTCGCCAAGCCCTTCTCGCCAGCTCATATCGCTCCATTCGCGAGGTCAAGAATCGAATATTCGATTGAACAGCTCAAAGCCGTACCCAAGATGATGATTGAGCATAATGGCACACCTTGGGCCCACTCAAGGCTATATGAGGAAGATATGCCTAGATCACTTCAGGATGCACATGCTGCGTGTGCCCTCTACATCGCCAAGAACGAGGCGAATGCTGAGCATGTGACCCGGTTCATCACAAACCGAGTGGAAGAATTGATCACCACCGCTCTACCAGATGCTCCAGTCGAACTACTAGCCCGTGCTCAAGCACTCATGTTGTATCAGATCATGCTCGTGTTCGGCGGCGACGTACGATGCTATGCACACGCTGAAGCGCTCATACCACATCTGGGGGAGGCTGGAAACGCCCTCCTTGTCACTGCTGCACAACAGACTGATATTACAGGCTCGCTCCCCCTGTATCCCAGCACTGCAGCGCGCGCGGCATGGAGATCCTATGTTTTTCGTGAATCATTACGTCGGACACTATTGTCACTTTTCCAAATGACCGCTATGTGTGATCTCTTACGCGGTCAACTCAAATCGTGTGTACACAGTCTCCTATACGGAAATAGAGTTACGTTATCTGCGCATCTTTGGCACGCGAAGAACTCTTTCGACTTTGCTGTTGCGTGGAACGACAAAAAACACTTCTTGGTCAAAGAATTGGACTTTACAGAGGTTCTGAGAGACGCACAGCCTGATGATGTGGATATCTTTGCTCGGATGATGATGGTTGGCCTACAAGGTATCGATGATATACGCGGTTGGTTTTACACCAGAGGAGGGACTCTATAAGCACCACCCGACCCCACGTAAAACCCGCCCCAGCCAAGATCCAAATCAGCTTCCATAGATTATTATCACGCCACATTTTCCAAGTGTATCTGCCCGAGAAACTGGCAACCGCTTTGATGTCAAATCACTCGCCCCTCCCCACCATTGAAGCGCCCGGAACCGGCACGTCAGGAGATCGCCACCACTTCTCAAACCCCACTAGGAACTGCTTCCCGCGATCTCTACCTACTGCCAGGATCCACTCTACCTCAGCCTTAGTCAGAGGATGATGGCGCCATGGACACTTCAATCCCATCTCACAGCGGAATCGCGTGCAGAAAGTTGCGAAACACAATCCGAGATCATGGCACTGAGTCGATCCATATAAGGACGGCCCAACTTTTCCATTCGTACCGTTAATGAACCTTTCCTGCTGTGGTAGTTTCCCGTACGTTGTGGTGATGAGATGATCGTAGGGGCGGAGGTCGTATGCTGTCGGTGGAGGCAGTATCTCTTGTTGTGGCTGTACCTTAGACTGATTCCGAGTTGGAGAGTATTGTTCATACCCGCGGTCTGGTGGGAGATGATGCCCATCGTCACGACCTCGCTCAAATTTTCCGGTGGGCCTAGTTTGCTTGACCAAGTCGGGCTTGCGTGATAGCGCACTAGGTGGATGAACGCTCCAGTGTCTGACCCGCCGGTTCGCCGGCCGATTCAGTCGGGGATAATGCCGGGCTGCCTCCTCAGCCGTCTCTGAGATGGCTGTTGATGGAATAGTGTCCGCAGCTTCCATTGATTCTTCATCCCAATCCACTTCGTCTTCTATTTCAAAGCCTCGATCCGTGTGTGCTGTGTATGGAACAGTATCATCGTTACGTGCGTGATCGTGTGCAACAGAGCGTTGAGCATCCACGACAGGAGTTTGTCTAGGAGCATCATATTCGTAACGACCGGGCTCTTGTTCTGAGAGATGCCTCCTCTGGCTTGAAACGTAAAGACGAGTGTATCCAGCCCGCACCGGTATCGAAGTTCCATCATGAGCCTGGTCCGTCGGCCAGTCTATTCTATGCGCTGGAGACGAGCCGCGCCGGTATCGCGCACGCTCAGCTTGATTGCTTCTATTTGCCCAACTATTCCATCGAACGTAGTTCGGTGTTTGTCGACTGTCGTATGGCGGGGGCTTAGCGAACACTACCTGCTGTCCTCCAGTTTTACGTCCTGCGGACCGCTCGCGATATCTCACATCTCCACGGCGGTCTTCATTCCGCGCTGGTGAACGGCTGCGACCACGCCATGGATACTGGTGCTCATCTGTGGAATGCTGAACAGTAGCTAGTACTTGCTCTCGTCGCTGTCTTTGGCGCGCTCGCTTATCTGGCTTATGGCGACGTTCCCCCCCGTTCTTGGTTTCACTGCCTGCCGAGATGGCGCAGGCTTCAATTGATCATAACGAGCTTCGCTAGGAGTATCATGTGGTGGTGGAGCGGGTGGGGGCGGTGGAGGGTTGTTTGGCCCATATGGACCTTTGGCTGCGCCTCTGGTGTGGAGCCCTTGGAGATGCGACATGTCTGTTTGATCAAAAGATGATGGCGGTTGTTGAAGGTCGAGGTTGAGGGTCGTAGTCCGGCGTTGAGCGAACAAATCAGTAGCGACCTCGATCTACGATCGAGAAAATTGGCGCCGCTGCGCTTGAGCTACGCGAGGCATTCACCAAGACTTAACTCTTTCGATTATGACGTCACATCGTTGCCGAAGACACTACCTGCTGTTTCGAAAGTGGTCGTGCGAAGCTGGAGTCGATCCTGAGTGAATTACCGATGCGAAGTAAACATCGCAGACGTCGGATTGAGAACTACCCCAACGAACTTCTTGCAGCATAAGACCATGAGGAGCGAAGACCCGATTTTACGAGAAAATTTCACCCACTCTTTTGCATAGTTGTTATTATTGTAACGGCAACGCCTTTCAAAAGCGCATCTCATATCTACCAACATTCGGAATCTTATATCCACCCCGGGGGAGGACATCTTTTCTCAGGTACGACAACACCAAGCTCTCCGCAGTTCCTCTCGTTATCGCCCATCTCATATAACTGAAACATTGAACTTACATCCGCTGTCGTAATTCTCACATTGAGTTCCCCCATTTCTGGTGGTGGACAGTGTAGCTCGGGGAAGACATGACCTTCCATTTCAGCGAATGGCCGACCGTCCTTCTCGAAGAATATCACTCCATCTGCCTCCAATCTGGGCTGGTCTGCGCATTCAACCCACGTATTCTCCGTCTTAGGCTCGCTACGTTCCTTCGCCATCTTGCGACGGCGGAACAGCCAAACTATCGAGAGCATTAACAACAGGAAAGCTACGCTGCCAATAGAAGCACCTGCTACTGCGCCTTTACTTGTGTTTATCAATTTAGCTCTAGCTCCTGTAGCAGCGTTTTCTAACCCTGGACTCCAAATTGGCACAATCTGCTGTCTTTCGTTCGTTGCTGGGAATAAGGCTTGGTGCACCGAAAAGTTGTTCCGTTCATAGTCGACTCGTATGTACGCTTCTTGGAAAAATGTACGACCGAGCGTATACTGCGTCTCATTCTGTGCTCGCCTGATCGGGAAGTAATTCGTCGTGTTCTGATAGATTGGATACGACGCCTGTTGGTCAAATGCGCTATATGGTAATACGATGTTGATTCTCTCACCCGGATTCGCCGTTTGGCCGAGACCGAACGTTATTGAAGGGTTTCGCTCAATGAGTAGAGCGTGCGTATGTGAATCAACCACGTAGAGATCGGTACTGTTGTCGTACGTAAGGTTAAAGGCTCTAGCGAAGGCATCGCAAGCAGACACGGGCAACCAGATTTGCGATTCCGCAAAGTCGATCAATGAATATGCTGGGCCATCTGGAAATACGCTAACGGTTTGGTTTTGCATGTCTCGAGTCACTATCGCCTGGATGTTGAGACTAGGCTTCCGACTGTCATTTGCGTCGAAAGGGAAGCTGATGGTATTTGGAATGAAACGAGTTTGGTCGTAACCCCCGAAAGTCAAGCCCCCAAAAGCGTTCGGTTTCTCTGCGATGTGTTAGGCTTTTGTCTTGGCCAGTTCCCACTACCCTACTCCTGACTCGACTTACTGTAGTATGCCCCGGCGGTGTAGCCGTAACTTAAACTTGGTATGTACTGCTCCTCCTTTAAAGTCGATATCATGCTTCGCTGTGGATTCTCGAATTCGGAAAAGTTACTTGGTTTGACGTCCATACCTAATCGACCAACCCACAACCGTGGGTTTACGACCCCTCCGATTACTTGGCTCTCCAGCGTGGGCCCGCCAGAATTCACGATCATGAGACCCAACGTGTCGAGACCGTAAAGACCGCTGGCATTATACCCGAGCTCTTCCCGCGCTGTGGTCCCGTATATGCCGATCTCATGCCAGGTACTAGAGTTCCGTACTTGGAAGCCGTTGTTCGCCTTCCCTTTATACATCTCAGCGCCACGAAGGAACGTACAATTATCCTAGAGGTTGAAAGCACGAATCAGCATCAACCGTTAGTCGAACTATAGGACAATTGTTGCTTACAGGAGCGTCCTCCTTGCATGCGCCTGCTAAAGGTAAGAAGGTTTCGCTGGTAACTGTTGACGGCAAGACGCGAAATGACTGCCCAGGCGTGCCCGCACGCACAACAAAGCTGGACCACTTTCCATCATTCCCATCGAAATACTGAGATGCAGCAAATGAAATTGGGGCCGGCTTTCTCGAAGAGTTTGAGGCAGACATGATGGGCCTTAGTTTGGTCGATGGGTGCTGGACCCTTTGACTGCAAGTGTACTGCGGACTATGTGACAGAAAGAGGAGATATCGGTGCCTCTCAACATATAGATGTACATTGAAGCATTTGATGCCCGGGGATCGAAAATTGACCTCAATGTCGATCTATCCCCGCGAACACATTACCCTATGTGCTCGTCACAATCACATAGGACTATATCATCGACGAAACTCCTGAGAGCAATATCTGAGACAAGCCGAAACATAAGCGACGTCTAGATTACACGGTAGCACCGCTTTACGCTTGCATGCATCCTCCACGGCTGCTCGTTTGCGTCATGACAGATGCAGGAACAATCCAATCACAAGAGTTCAACAGGGTCGGTCAGAACTTGGTTTGACTGTTGTTCTCGAATTTGGCTTTTTCAATGGGCAGCCTCCTTGTTCCAGCGGGGTTTGTCATCACTTGTGGGAGCTTACCAGCGAAGCTGTACAAGTCCGACAGGGGCCAAAATACCATCAACCAACCATATCACACAACTAAATATATTACCGACCAGAAAAGCACCGCCCGTACACTATTTAATTTACCAAACCAGCAATTAACGGACATGGCTTTCCGTGGCTACATCCCTTTTTGTCAAGCAACGCCGGACTCTCCACGCCAAGCACCAGAGTCAAACACTAAGACCCCAGTACACATGTTCCTAGGTAAAATTCCTTGATGAGTATGCTGATAGATGCTTCATCATCGCAGAGCGCAGTGATATCACCTAGTCTACGGATTCTGGTAATCGGACTTTACAATATTTACAGCTTGGCATTAACGTGCGTCAAGGGTCGCGATTAGGGTGAGATAATATAAGAGGCTGTTTTCTTCTCATACTTTACTAAACTATGCAACACTTTCACTCGTCTCTTAGCTTTTTCGGTTCCAACTTCCCTTTCTTACTCCCAATTGGTTCCATTCGATACTACCTTTCTCCAACGACACTGCAAGATTCGTCACGATGGTATCTTCAGTACTCATTTACCTTGGGCTTTTGGCCCTCACTGCGACGCCCAGCCTTACAGCTCCTACTGGTCCTCCGTCTGTAGTTCTACGGGCTGCTAAATTGTGCGATGATGCTAGTCTTTCATGGTTAGTGCTTCTCGCCAGGTGCTTTGACATTGATTACTCATATTGCAAAGGGACGAGAAGGGGGACGCAGGATGTCCCATTTGCCGTCACCCCGAGGAAATGCCATTGTAAGCACCTAGGAAGTCGCTATTAGAGTATTTTTAATAGCAAAAAGGGATGTGTTCAGACAGCGCTGCGTTCTCCAGAATCCCGCAATTACACATCCAAAATTCGACCATGTCTGGCGACGCGATGCAGGAAAAGTGGCCCCAGAAACATACCTTGCTGGCGAATACATACTTTCCGAGGACTTCAAGGACCCAGGCGTTCTGAATAGTGCGCACGCAAGGGCTGGTCTGATGTGGCGCCGAGACGCCGAGAAGACTGCTGATGAGCTTCCACCGAAGGCCGCTCATTCTTTACCAGACGACCCATTCCCCCTACCAATTGAGCCATATCGTCTTCCCCGGCCAAAAAAACCTCTACCGCGACCAGTCTTGACAGGGCCTGTGTTACCAAGCTATCCGATCGAAGATCCCCCGTCCGATCAGATTGCAAGGATACCAAAAGATGACAGAACATTTAACTACAAGGAGCGTCGAGGCGTCGAGGAAGATGTTTATCTAGGCGTTCCTTTGGACGGCGAAACCCTTGCATCCCCCTTCAAAAGGCGACCAAGATCGTATACGCTTGAGGCAGATCAGCTTCTTGCACAGACCAGTTCAGCTCCAAAAGACATGGTAGTGAACGATGTTATGATACACCACCCAGTGAGCAGTATCTTCCGTCGTCGTGGGCGGTTGGCCAACCCAGCAGGGTACGACAACGATGACAACGCCGACGATAACACTCATACTACGGTACCAGTCGAGAGTATTCATGATTCTGGCCCAACTACTGGTTTACAGTATTCCCAAAATCATTTTGTTGTCGTCCATCACCCTGTGGGTGGTATATACCGTCGCAGCCAGTCTAAGTGGACTCAAAACAAGCACGATATTGATTCCATACAAGGGCGGCCCGCTGGTCCTTTAAACAAGGACATGAGGGATACTGACAATACAGTCCGTAAACTAGCTCTTGATATCTACCGACGACACCACCTCACCAGTCCGACAACAGGTTCTGACAAATACGTGCTGGAGTCTGACAGGATGTTTCACCACGACCATGAAGCTGTTATCTCTCCCAACATTATCGAGTCGAAACCAACTCCAAAGCATAGCAAGCACCTACAGGGTGATGTGACAATAACCAGGCTTAACCGAACACGCTCCAACGATGCAGCTACGGTGCTTAAGCCTCAAGACTTGAGAAATGGAATCGAGAAGCGGGGAGCTAATTCTGTGCCTCCTCCGGAGTTCTTTGAGAATCATTCGTGGCCGTTTGGTTCAGTGGGACCGGAAATTCCAGATGAACCTTTTGATCCAATTCTTGAAGATCGCAGCCCTAAGCACAACAAAGACGGGGAACAGCAGAAGAAGCAGGAAGAAAAGGAAGAAACGGAGAAGAGCGGGGATACAGAACATGAGCCACAGATAGTGAACACTCGTCCAAATGGCTTGAATCTTCAGTTCATCCCAGCGATTGTTCATAAGCCCGCGAATGAAGTCTCTCGTCGCGATTCAAGTGCCCTCAATTGGGACGACTACAGGAAGGAAAACTCGGTAGTCGCTGGTACACAACCGTCTAGCGGTATTCAATTAGGAGTTGCACGGTTCGATCCTCACGATTCCAGTGTGTTTGGAGGGAATACGCGCCGCTGGGACTTGCCTACAACCAAAGAGAATCCAAACAAGAGTGCTGAGGTTGAGGCAACAGTTGCCGCCCCAGATGTGGGAATCCCCAACACTAACCTCAACGCACCACTCCCTACTCAGCAAGCCGGCCAACCCACCGACAAGCAGACAATTCATGTCAAATGGCCGCAGGGAGCTAATTCCCATCCTATCGCGAGCGGCGTCTTCCACGATGATCCAGTGATTGGACGCCGAGCTGCGAAGAAAGACAAGGAGTCTCATCGTCATAAGGATCCAGACCTCCTGGATGTGACCGACCGCTACACGGCCCGGATGTTTGCCCTAGCGAACAACGTCTACCGCCGTGATGAGAAAGACGTTGTTGAAGACCTAGTTGCGTACACGCACGAAACCAACAATCACCCCGATGGTCCGAGGGACATATGGAAAGATGCAAATAACTCTGAGCGTCGAGACACGGATGGCCCAGTGGAAAAACTTTTGGATTCCAGTGCAACGGAAGCAAAGCCCCTTCTCGCCATGTTGCCCAACAAGCCTAATTCGCATGACGCCGCTGTCCCAAATCACAGCAGCGAACAATATAGCGGTGTGCTTCCTCGAGAGCCACGCAAACATAAGGACAACGATGAGAGTAAGGATTCGCAGGAGCCGGAGAAAGCCAGGCCGAAAGCCGTAATGTTGAAACCAGCCGACGCCGTGCACAAGGTTCAGGGTGAAGAGAGCAAGATGTGAAAGGAAGGGATGGGGAACTATGTAGCGTGACGGTGGACGGCACGATACGCTTTTCTTTTGTAACAGAATCGACTTCAAACCAGGATAGAATGTGCGACTTTCGAATCTCTCTTTTTCTCTCTCGCAGTTATTTGGCTTAGTTATTAGTACTTTTTCAATGCGAATCTCATCTCTGAGATACCTGTGATTGTGAAGAATAGCACAACACTGCAGCGTGAGTTTGCAACCACATAGAAGGATGGTAGACGTTATGCAATGAAATTAAAGTCCCTCTTGCCGTTCAAAAAGTATGGGTACTCATGAAACCAACACCAGGCGCCATCTCGCCACGTCAGGACGTCTACACTATGAACATACAAACTCGCTTCGCAACCTTGCACGCGCCTCGCCTGCCATTCATCTTATGTCCTCTCTGAAGGCACTCCTCCGGCTCTCGTTCAATGGGCTATCCAAGCTGTTGATACTGCCTGCCTTCTTATGCGCAGGTGCACTCGGCATCACCGCCGTGCCTCCACCTTGATAGCTCGTATCCTCGCCATGGTTGAGCGGTCTTGGGCTGACACCCCTCAGACTCTCCGCATTCTCATCGCCAAAAGGGTTGTTCCGCGCACTTCGGCCGTCGAGATGCTCATCATAGCTATCGCGGTTGCGACTCCTTCCGCGAGCGGGCTCGACAGAGAGGCCAGCTTTCGGAGCACCATAGGGCGTGGTTGCGTAGGGATTGGAGCTAGCAGCGTGGGCGGGTTCCTGCAGGCCGAGTTCCTGCTCCTCGTAGTATGCCTCGTCGCCTACGCGCGAGCTCCACGCTTCATCTGGGTCCAGTCTGCTTCCCGCGCCTCTTCCTCTCGGTTGTCCGGCTGCGTAGCCCGGCTCTTCGTAGGCGCCTGCCGCGTACCTGTTGTTGCGATTCTTGAACTTGCGCATCTGCGTGTCGATCCAGCCCTTGATGCCTGTGGGCGCGGGACCGGGGTAGTTGGATGCGCCGCCTGCAGAGGTGTTGCGAAAGGCAGCAATGGGGTTCATAGACGGCGCAGGGAGTCCATTGCGCGAGGCGTTCCATCGTGCGTAAAAGTACCAGCCGAAGTAGGAGATGGCGAGGAGGAGGAGCAGGACTATGATGAAGACGAGCCAGCCGTTCATTTTGGCGGTGTTCGTGCTCTATGGATTTCAAGCTTATTGGGGTCGCATGTGCGGTAGTTGGCTGAGTTGGTCGCGAGCAGGCGGGTGTGGTGGGTTTGGTGTCGCGGATAGCGGCTGACGATTCTGTCGCTGCAAGAGATGGGAGACAATGAACAGTCTATGTTGCTCGGGGGATTTCAAGATTGCAACGTCTGACTGGGCGCACTGTAGCTTGTTGGTGAATGCTGAGCGCGGCTGGGCTAACGCTCAACTGTTGCCAAGAGCGAGAGGATGACGTAACACTTGCTGTCAAATGCTGACGCCTGCCCTCCAGACAAATGGGGCAGCCCTCTAGAACTCGGATTTGCACGTGTCTCGTAGGGCTGCAATCGCCAGGTATATAATTTGGTGTCTTGAATGGCGGTTATCAAAGCCGGCGTGGTTTGTCTCAGGAGCAGATGGTCTTGGGGATGACGTACTAGGCTTAGCGCGCCTGTACTGTGAGACGACAACGGGAAGGTGGGACCAGACGCTGATGATGCCTGTCACGACATTGGACGTTATCGTGCTCACCATGGCGACCGCGTTAACAATACCACAGCTTTCCGAAGAGCTCCACTCTCATTGCCAATCAGCTGTAATTAAATCCCGCGTTCGTTGAGACGTCCAAGAGCATGGCCAAGTCGGAGCAACCCGTCGATGGAGCGAAGATGACGGAAGAACCGCAGAAGGCCAAAGAATTCACTATAACATTACCAGGTCCAGATGGTACATTTGAAGTCATCGCGCTACTGGAACACAATGAAGATGCCGCTCAACACCCGCGCCTTATCAAGGTCTCAAAACGCCCTCTCCCCTCTCCAAGGCCAGCATCAACAACAGAGCGAGAAACGCGAGTTGTTCTTTCCCTGGGATCTGGCCACCAACAAGCAGCTCACTTCTTCGAAGATGTCGTATCTCCCATCCTCACAACCCTATACGGAGAAGAGGGGATGCTGACCTTGAAGATTCACACAACACAGTCAGCAACGACAATCCTGGAGCTTACTAACGAAGTCTTGTTCCCAGCGGCGAATGGGACCACTGTAACGGATCCTACAAGTGGTGCGTCTTCAGAGCAACACAAGGGTAAACCGCTGAGAATTCTATTGCTTTCTGGCGATGGTGGCGTGGTTGACTTGGTGAACGGCCTGTCGTCGAAGGCCATGTCGTCTCAGTACGTGGCACCACAAGTCGCCCTCCTCCCGTTGGGCACGGCAAACGCTCTCTACCACTCCATCAATGCCAACGCCGGGGCAAACAACAAGTGGGGCTTACACGCCCTCGCTTCATCCACGTCCAAACCACTACCAATCTTCACAGCATCCTTCTCCCCGGGCGCACGTTTACTCGTAGACGAAGCACGTGTTGAAGAAGCCCTACCAACGGATGAAAAAGGAAACGGCAAACTGCACGGCGCGGTAGTATGCAGCTGGGGCATGCACGCCTCCCTCGTGGCCGACTCTGACACAACCGAGTACCGCAAGTTTGGCATCGATCGCTTCAAGATGGCTGCCAAGGAAGCCTTGTATCCCTCCGACGGCTCCCCGCCCCATCCTTACAAGGGCCGCGTCTCGGTTTTGAAAGGCAGCGACGACTGGACGGCATTGCCGGAGGAAGAGCACATGTACGTTCTCGCTACGCTTGTTTCCAACCTGGAGCAACCGTTCTGCATCTCGCCTGCTTCGAAGCCGCTTGATGGTTCCTTGCATCTCGTGCATTTTGGGCCCACGAGTGGGGACGAGGCGATGCGCATCATGGGTCTAGCCTACCAAGGTGGGAAGCACGTAGAGGATCCGGCTGTACGGTACGAAGCGATCAATGGCTTGCGCATCGACTTCAAGGGTATGGAGGACGATGGGCGGTGGCGACGCATATGCGTTGACGGGAAGATTGTGCGCGTGGACAAGGATGGCTGGGTGGAGATTAGGAAGGAGGAGAGACGAGTGCTCGATGTTGTTGTCGCGTGAGATAGGGTCACTCTCCAAGCATGATCTCCATAAACGCATCGAGAACGAAGCAGTAGAAAGACCAGAATAATCATATTGTAGCAACTATGAGGATATCAAGAGCGCGGTGCAGTTTCATAATTCATAAACCATCTTACAACCAACATTGAGCCAACATTGAACCACCCATTGCGAACGCCAAATCGCCTGCTCAAGAACTCGGATACAACATGGCGTTTTGCGGCACATATAGCATTTTAGGAGCGCTATTCCCACCAAATTAATAGTAATGTGGTTGATCAATTACCGGCCCTGTGGAGTCGGACTATACGGCGCATAAGGCGGCGCCGGGGTATACTGCGCCTGCGTCCGGACATAATCCTGTGGATTATAGGCATACTTCTGGGCCTCAGCAGGGAGTCGGCTCTCGTGCTTCCTTCGATCATCGTGCTCTTCCCTCGTTTCTTCCATAGTGGGCAGTTCAGCGGCAAAACTCTTTTGCTCCAGGCCTGGCGATCGCATGCTTTCTGATGGCGCATACGAACTCGGGCGTGAACTTGCTGAACTGTGGGATACGGTTGACCAGCGCGCGTCGGGTTGCTGCGGAGAGTGCTGGGCGGTGGAGTCGGATGCTGTGGAGAGACGACTGCCGTTAGGGTGCAGGAGGCCCGGTGAGGTTTGAGGGTGGTAGTAGTCGCCTGGAAGCTCCATGACGACGTTGTTCTGTCCTAGCAGCTCATGTGGTGGGACATGTTGACTGTTGTGTGGAAAGGTAGGCGAGCGGGTTGGCGACATGGGCATATTGTACGGCTGCGAGGGCGATGATTGCGGGCTCCGCACAGAGGACCGATCTGCAGGATTTATCGTCTTCAGTTTGCCATTCTCCATCATGCCCTGCAGCGCGCCCGAGTCCATCAACTCGGCTTTCTTGATCAGTCGCTCCAGCATGATCTTGGCAGCGGCCTTCATCTCCTTCTTCACAAAGCTGACCATGGTGACATTGCACTTGATCTCGACGTCTTCGCGAATATACAGTCCCTCCGCTGGTGCTCCAGAACCCAGCTCTTTCGGCTCGGGAGGTTCGCCGGGCTGGTTGCCGCAGACCTGCCACTTGATGCGGAGGTCGACGTTGGCAGGCGCGTAGGTATGTGTTTGCAGGCCAAAGGGCAGGTCATGGAAGACGCCGCGATGCTTGATGGCGCCGCTTCCCATCTTGCCAATGCCCGGAATGTACTGGATACGCTGCGCAATCTCGTACCATGTTGAATAAAACTCGTCTGCTGGGGCCGAGCGCGGGGCTTTGATGGCTTCGTATCCTGTGACGAGAGGGTTCAGCTCGATGATCTCGCCGTGGCTGTGGAGGAAGTCGATTGCGAGTTGGCGCGGGATGAATTGCGGTATGGGCGTGATGTTTGTGTACTGGGCTTTCTTGCGCATCATCTTGGCGGTCGCGATCCTTTTCCAATTGTTTTAGTCTTCGAGGGAGAGGGTAGTTGTATGGGAGGCGAGCTGTCAGAAGAGAAGCAGTAAGCAGCTTTCTACATGGATTAGTTAGCCAGGGAACCCGCAACCCAGATCGGCACAGCTGAGAGACGTCATGCACGTCGCGGCGCATGATATCAGAAAACAATACAAGAGACATTACTCACATGTAGAAGATGTTGTTCGTCGCGAACTTTGCTGGAGCAGCAGTCTACCATGGCGACCATGTATACTTTGCGCGCTCTACCCGGGATGTACACCTTCCGGAATCGTCGTCATGAGGAAACGCGGTGGCTTGTGGGCCGCTAGTTTTGGGCCGCCCTTCAGTCAGCGACTAGGCTGTGGGGTTGTGGATCGCCACGAAGGCCCTCTATCAAGTCTTACCACTTGCTTTTAGCTTCTCAAGTGCTGGAGGCGCCACTGTGAAGACGTACGCGCTGACTTTTTGGGCTCCTCAGCCCTCTTGTCCGTCTCGTGGCAGCTGAGTCCACAGTCTCCCCAGCCCGCATACAGTTGTGCATTTCTGCCAAGCGACACTACTAGACAGCGACAAGAAACTGAGTCCCCTCCCGGTTGCGATCTACCCATCTGCGACTGAAGCTGTGCACTGATCTACACCACAAATCATCATTCCGCTACAAGATGCGACATCCAGGGGGAAGCACCAGCGTCGGGCACGAGTTTTTTTTGTACAACGGCGACAGGCGACGAGAGCTGCGATTATACTTTTTCAATTACTAACGCAAACTAAGCTATGTAGACGCCATCCTTCCATTTCATAAGCCAGAAAGGAAAAGCACAGAAACCATCGGACAGCCTGCCACTAGGCCACCGAGGGGATATCATCGTCGTGATCCTAATATTACAAGGTCCCAATACTCGCTCTTTTCATTTTTCACCAATCCATACGCATGTCGTAAGGTCGTGTCGTAATGTGATGTGATACGTCAGGCAATAATCATATGCGTGAGACAATATGACTAGACGATCCTTGTCTAATGTTGAAGAGTCGCTTACAACTCCTGCTTGGCCTTAGCAGACGCGGAGCTGGCGCTCGAGGCGGCAGAGGCGGAAGCGCTGGCAATAGACTTGGAGGCAGCGACGGAAGCGCTCGAGGCCGACTTGGAGGCGGCAGCGGAAGCACTGGCAGCAGACTTGGAGATGGAAGACGACGACGAAGAGGCAGCCTTGGCGGCAGAGCCAGTGAGCGAGGTGGCGCTGGAAGAAGCACGAGCGGAAGCAGAGTACGCGCTGGCGGCAGCGGCATCCGTAGCAATACCGAACTGGTTCTTGATCAAGTTGGTGTAGTAGGCAAGGCCACCAGTAGCGGCAGCGTACTGGTTACCGGCCTGGGAGGTAGCGGCGCCATAGGCAGAGGCAGCAGTGGCGGAAGCGCTGTCACCATAGATGCGGGCACGGTGCTTGCGGGCAAGAGCGATAAGCTCGTTGCGCTTGGAGCCCTGGGGAACCTTGATGCCGTTCTTGTCGGCCCACTCCTTGATCTGGCTATCAGACCATGAGTCAAGGAGCGCGTCACTGAGGCTCGATTGAGCAGAAGCAGCAGCAGAAGAGACCGAAGCGTAGGCACCCTGAGCGTTCAAGCTGGCAAGACGGGACTGGCGGCGGAGATTGGCAATGAGCGAGTCGCGGGTGGAGGGCTGGGGAACGTTGTAGCCACGCTCGTCGAACCAAGCCTTGAGGTCAGACTCGGACCAGGAGGCGTAGAGCCAGTCGCCTGGGTAGTTTGCGGTCTCCTTGGCCTTCTCGGCGGCAGACTGGTAGTTTTCGCGGACAGCCTTAAGAAGGGAGTCACGCTGGCGGGGCTGGGGAACTGGGATGCCGTGCTTATCGGCGAATGCCTTGAGTTGCGAGTCCGACCATCTATGAGGTGTTAGTATGCATCATTGAAGGCGAAGTAGTGATACGTACGAGTCGAAGATCCACTCCTTGACGTTGCTGTAAGCCTGGTTCGTTGAATCCTCAGTCTCAGTCCAGTAGACCTTGACCTGCTCGGCTAGGCTCTTGGTGTCCTTCTCGGTGCCCTTCTTCGCCTGCTGGCCCTTGAGGGCAAGGTAGTTGGTTAGGGTCTGGGCGTCCCAGCTGGTGTAGGGAGTGACGACCTTGTCGTTCCAGTGGGCCTTGACAGTGTTCTGGAGACTCTTGCGGTCAGAAGGCCCTGGGTGGGGGATGTTGTTGTCCGAGAGCCAGCGCTCGAGCTCCGTCTCGTGCCACTTGTCGTAGACTGCATTCTGATGTCAGCTGGAGGTCTTTGAATCGGGGTGTGTCTGCAGCCGCCCTTGGCCTGAAAACAATACACGTAGAGGGACCGTGCTTAAGAGCAGCATGCATAAGAGAAGAGGGGGCTCCCACTATACGCACCAGCGTTTCCAAACCAGCTGTTAGCCGTTGCCTGAGCGGCGAGCGTCACCACCAGGGTGGATGCAAGGGAGAACCTCATATTGTGCGGATGCCGAATGTGTGTTTGTTCGTAATATCGATAGATGAATCACGAAGACGAGGGTATAAAGTGGGGTGTGTATCGGCAATGGAGGGAGAGGTGTTTAGGTGTGAGAGGCGAGGATGAGCTTTATGGGGGGGTGGGAAAGACAATGGCGGGCGGGTAAGATATTGTGTGCGAGTGACGTAGTTTGGACGTTGGGTGGAGTTGGGACAAACAAGGTCAAGGGGCGCGCCTGCCTGCCCCACAGCCAATCGGAAGCTATGACCCATTGACATGATCGCGTTTTTGAGGTGCGCAATTGTGAGATGGCTGTCACAAGCAAGGCCCAGGCCCTGGGGGCGGTTGGCCATTACAGCACGCTGAGACCTGTCAAGCCCTTATTTTATTAGACATCTCTTGGGTAAACAGAACATCAACAGGGTGTGTGTATTGGCATGGCATGCAGTTTGTTGCTGTGTGAGGCCCTGGAGCTGTAAGCGTGTTGCCATGCCATTTTGCAAATCCCATCACCATATTTTGCGGGGATCGCCGCCCCTTACGTCATGCACAACAGTCCCGTCCATGCACAACACAAGAGTCGTGATGTGTCCTGAAGCAACTGCAGGCAAAACTCCAATTGAAGTCTAGCTCTTCTGGAGACGAGACCTTTGAGCTCTCATCGCTGTGGCGAATTTCGTGAATTTATACGCTCTAGATGGTCCTCCGCGGCCCCACAAATGCACAAGGCGGCGGTACGGTGTCGTCTTCCCAAGCACAATTGTCTTGCAGCAAACGCATATTAAATGTGGAAATTGGGTAGACTGGGATGAACTGTCGTGATATTTGATCCCACCCAAAACGCCTCCCACAACTATCGTACATTCATTGCCATCATTTTGTCCTACTTCCCAACCATGGCCTACTGGACACCCCCAGCACTCCATTGTCCCTCTTTGCCTATCATACCCTGAGAGCCCACTCCCAGAGCGTCTACTCACCTTTCCAGAACTTGTCAGACACTTTGTCCTTGGCCGCATCCTCATTGCTGACCTTCTCATGCGCCTGCTCAGCCCTGCTGTCCATCTCCTCGTTGTGCTTCTTTACATCCTCGCTCTCGTCCTCGCTTGCCGGAGGATTCTCGTTCAGAATCTTGGGTTGCGCACCTTTGACCTCATTCGGACTGGGCTTGTTCTGCTGTCCCTGTTTCACAGCGGGTTCTTTCGAATCAGCCCATCGACGTGTTGAGGTGGAAAACTCGCGTTTGCCAGACGACGAGCCCTTGCTAGAGGATGTTGAGGATGACGAGGATGTCTGGGGAGCCTTGTTCGTGGATGTCTTGTCGTCGTTGGGAGATGACGACGATTTGCCCTCTGCGACCTTGGGCGGTGGAGGACCTGGGTGCTCGAGATTCTCGCTGAGATTCTTGCCCTGCTCTTTTGGTTTCTCGCCTGCTGGATTGCCATCGCCCGAGCCGTAATCACCTGTCGCGAAGCGGAGTTGCAGACGAGCTCGAGGAGCTGCGGAGAGAGCTGCTGGGCGGAGAGCTGCTGAGCGCAGCATTGACATGGGGCGCAGGAAACTCATATTGGTCAATTCTTTGGTGGAATGGCAATTAGACAAAAGTTGATTGGTAAGTCTTTGTGTGGTTCAAGAGGTAGTCTTCGTGCTGTGCGTAGTCGTGGTATGAAGCTATGACCGGTGACATCATTATTGCTTGGATGGACGGGGATCTTCACTGTGCATTCGCCGCATAAGCACGTCACCGGGGTAAGACAGGTGTAGAATAATGCAGCGTCCGCTAGACATGAAAAATAAACTAAATGTCGAATCTATTAAAGTGGAGTAATTGGGTATATCGCCAGATCTTTCCGTGTCCAATGCCTTTGTATGCATCCAATCGCGTCATCCTATCCCGCAGTATATGCGATTTAATGCGAAGTCATCCATATCCCGCGGTATATGCGAAAGCTCAGTCAATTCCAATCATCGTCCCGTCACACCTCCAGTCATCGACTTCAACACCCCTTGGTGCAGTATGGATGGCTTCATTATCGACTTGAATGTGACTAAGCCACGTTCCTACTCGGTTCGCACCGACCTTCTTCCCGTCTCTGGACAAGCCAGCCATGGTTGATGCGGTTGCAGGAGGAGGGCGTGCAGAAGGTACGGCTTCCCGAACCACACGCCGGCTGCTGAAGAACGGAGCGCGAGGGGCGGAGGTGCGAGCTGCCGAGCGAGCTGCCGACGTCGGCAGAGAACGAATAGCATATGAATCGTTCATATGATGACCGCCCGAGTTGCCTAAGCCGTAGACTTGAACAACCGGATCTTCGCGGTGATGGCTTGTTTCTATCGGAGTTGGGTTGAGATGAAGATGGGTTTGTACGTGTGCCGCGAGCGCTTCGTCTGCGCGATCGAGGTCGCGCTCTCGCTCGCTACGGTGTCGAGTACGTGTGCTCGAGCGGCGTGCTAGAGGTGGTGAGGGCTCTTCTGTAATCTCAATAACCTCAACCCCATCATGTTGCCGGGGGGTGTATGGAACTCGCATGTCATTTAGCCGGTCTTCATCTTCACTGAGCTGGTAGTTGAACCAGGGACAGTTGCAAGTCTTCCAAGGCGCTGCGCAGACCATGCAGAATTGAGCCGTGCAGCGGCTACGGGATTGTCAGATCAAGCGTCGCAGAGTGGATATGGAGAACTTACCAAGTCATGTGGTTGCAACCCTCCTTGAGCTCAACCACAGCCTTGCAGCTGTAGCACCTCTGCCAGCCCTTCTCCTTCGCCATCTGTACCAAGCGATTGGTTTCCTCGTCCTGCGGGCATTCTCGTCTCGTGTGGAACCTGCTATTGCACAAGACGCACACTTTTGTGTGGCAAGCGCCACATCGTGCGTACTTTCTTCCGTAAGTCAAATCCATACGTATCCGCGATGGTTTGATCCACTGGCCGCATCCTTTGGCGGGGCAGTATAGTCGATTTGCCGTCGTGTACTCTTGGTACTTCTTATTCCAGAGTATTTTGAATTTGTCATCGAACAATCGTTCGGCATACTTGAGTGGGATGTGCTCTGAGGTGCAGCATCTCGGGGGCATATGCTGTGGATCCTGGACCGAAAGCGTGAACTGACGTTTCAAGCAAGGGTGGCACATCCTGTGACCGCAGGCAAGCTTGGCCGTTTTGTTGATCGGGAGATCATCGTTCATACAGACAAGACAGTCGACTCTGATCATGGGTCAGCGGCATTCCCTCGTTGACTTTGAAGTGACTGACCGTGCAATCACCGCGGACGGTGTACGCTGCGTGGGAGCCCTGAAGATGCTCGAAAGAAGACCTCCAGTACTCCTCCGTGCAGTCTCTCTGACAGACTGCGTTCTAGAAATCGGAACTGGAGAGGTCGGCAATTTTACAGGACTTGTGCGTCTTACCGACGGTCTTGTCGCCATGTGCGCTCTGGTCGGCTCCCGTGCAGACATGCTCCTAGTCATCGTCAGCGTCTACCTTATCACTACACAGGCTGCCGTCATACCTGCTCAAACTTGGAATCTCGACGCGGCGGACAGGCGTAGATCCAGAGCCTGAAAGCGGAGTGTATGCTGTCCGATTCGAAGAGCCGCCCTCGTCGCTCCTCCTGCGCGTAGACGATCGCCTGACAGTAACCTCTTCCACAACACCTCTTGACTTTGGCCTATCGTAGACATAGTCATCGCCTCGATCATCTGCAACGACCTCCCTCCTTTTCACTCTGCGCGTGCCATCCCGTCTGACCTCTCGGTGCCTACTCCGGGGCTTGTCCTTGACTCGCTCATGTCGTATCTCCTGGGCCATGCGCTCCTGGTCACGATGTCTCTCGGCCTCGGGCCTGGTGTAGTAGGATTCTCGCCGCCCTCTCAAGTCATCTAGGTCCAGTTCTGCGTCTCGTCTCGCGTCGTCTGTGCGTCGGCGCTCTCTTCGCTCTCGCTTGGCAAGGGAATGCTCGTCGGTGGATTCGCGGGTTCTATGGCGGCGTCGATGTCGGTGTTCTCGCTCGTCGTCTGGCTGTTCGTCGGCGTAGCGGTATCGTGTGCCTCGCTCATCACGGTCTCTCGCCATGCCCGGGGAGCTGCAGGGTATATATGACTTGCCCAGCTGCCAGCCTCTCAAGTCACAGGCTCCGGCACACTCAGGCAGCGGTGCAGGCGGACGCACAGGAGGGGAGCGTTGTATGGAGAGTTGCGTGTGGGCGTGACAGACGGACAGCGAGCACCTGCAGGCAGGCCAACCCTGATCAGACAAAGGGCTGACCACTTGCACGGGGCAAGCCGTCGGCGGTGAAGGGCACAGTCGTGGACGGAGGCCCTGTTGATCAAAGTGCGGCCCTCCCGCCCCCTCAGGGTTTCTCGCTAGGCGTCTAGCGGTACAGGGGGAGGCAGCCAGGCAGGTAGTAGGCAGTCAGGCGTGCATGGGACTGGCTGCCAGCTGTCTCGGGGCAGAAAGCAGATGATAAGGAAGCAGATGATATGAATCTTGTAGACCAACAAGTCCTCGAGCAAACGCGACAGTCTTGGGCATAGACACAGCATGTATGTGCTCAGCTGCGTTCGCGGCCCCTTACCATGATTCGTACCATGGCACGCTCGGGGCAACGTTCGGGCTGCGAAGGCTGATGTGCGATGCGACGGGCTGAGATGTGACTCGCCACAAGGCGCGAATGGTTTATTGCAAAAAAAACCCTATTTGCAAAGTGCGACAGCGCCCAATGCGAGCGAGACGCTCAGTCCTTCTCAAGCGTGATTTGCGTAGAAACCTCCCACTTCTGTCCTCCACTGCCGTATCCCCCGCCCAAGCGATTCCGCACCATGCTGCCAATGCGATCGCGAAGGCGTCCTATGTCCTCCAAATTGCGCACCCGCAGCTTCAGGTTGGCCTGGCACAGTCCATAGTGAACTTGCCAGAACTTGGCTTCCTCCACTACACTAATCGACGGGTCCGTCTCGATGTCGTACATGACATCCGACACCCCGGGACCAGAGTAGGACATTAGCAGCATCTTTCCCAATGTCCATCCTTGGATCCAGCCTAGCGCCACCATAGCAAACGCAACCGAAAAGGACAGAGTGCGATCCAGCCAGACATACATCTGAATACTGAGAAGTGGCAGAAGTAAAAGCAGCGTCGAGCAAGACAGGGTAAGGAAATGAGAAGGATTGCTCAACACCGAAGGCAGATTGGCAATTGCCCCCAGTCTCATCACCTTGCCAATGCGAGCGTGATTCTTGAGCAAGATCGCTGAGACAAGGGTTGAAACAATCCCACTCAGGGCAGCAAGATCAATGCTGCCTGGCGATACTCGCTCGTGAGCGTCCGCGTGATGCGCTTGGTGTCCACCTGTGTTCTCCAGCGCATGTGTTAAACCGTGAGATATAAGATCCAACCCCATGAACAAAAGTCCAACGGACATTCCTAGTCCCGCGATGACTTCCAAGCGCTCGAACCCGAAGGGATGGCGTATACTCGATCGCTTCCAAAGTTCAAAGTTAGAACCAATGTCCACTGCTATGCACAGGAATGCTCCAAGCGCATCGTAGAATATCAGGCGAGAAAGCACAGTAAGCGCCAAAGATTCGTGTGCGCCCCATTGTACAAGACCTGCCACTACCAGATGGCAGAAGCACCATGCTAGTCGTAGCTTTTGATCCTTGGACATGGACGATCGATACTCCTTGAAGGTGGGAACAGGAAGCGAAGCAGGGAGCTGGAGCGGAGCGCGCGGCGCAGGTTCGAGAAAGATCTGGTGGGAAACGCTACTGTGTTTGTACTTGTGTCCTCGTCTACGGCCAATGTCCTGCAAATGTCAGTTTACCTTCATGTCACACGGATACGGACATACATTTTGTTTAGCTTGCGTCCGCTCAGGCTGGTAGGGGACAGGCTGGAAGTTGAACGGGTTGCGACCGTTCTCTGACCCGTTCAATGAAAGCGCATCTGTATCATTTGTCCCGCTGGCAGCACTTGCTGGGGTATACGGAAAGGTTGCGCTTGCAGGCGTGTAGATGGTGCTAGGCGATGGCCTCTGGGATATAGAATCGTTTGGCGCGAGAGTCGCATACTGCCTGGAAGGGAATGTTGCAGACATAGGAGAGAGCGTATTCGTGCCGAATCCCAGTTTCCCAGGCGACAGCTCGCCCTCAAGTCCAAGGCCAACAGGTTGCGTAGTGTCTTCTTCAGGGGGCGGCGTAGGGGTGCGCGGCGGCAATGGCAATGGCATATTCGAAGCCATGACGGATAATTGAATGAGTGACGGTAAGGAATGACACTATGGGGAGAGCATAGCACGGTGAACAAAGATAAGAGGCCGCGAGAGACACTGGACGAGTAGTGGAGGGGGATGAAGGTTGGCCTCCACGTGCGAGGTTCGGTGGACCCTGCAGCCAATGCGCGCTCTCCAAGGCCGCATCCAAGGGACCCGCACCGCAGCATCCCACATCTGTCCGAGACATGACGCTACACCTTGGCTGTTCTCGATGAAGTGAACGCGAAACATGCCGCTTCCTAGTTGACGGCGCACTGGATGCCGTGTGCACGACGAAGATGGACGATGGGGCCAGTCCACAGCGCCAGCGCAACCATGGACTGCCACACGCGCCTGCGCAGAGGGTGAAGAGCAACGATGGGGATACGAATAGGCCAAGTCATAAGCGAAGCAAGTCTGGGGACATTCTGGGTAGTGCTCCAACCTTGAAGTCTTCAATTGACGCTACAACAAAGTCGTCAATGGCAGACGAAGCTGACAGGCAAGATGAGTATGCGGACGGCGCAACAGGGGCTGCTTCCATTACAACCGCCCTTCAACAGCGCCAGGGCAGGAAGAGAACAGGATCTCTAAGGAAAGCAGCAATGGCGAAGATGCGAGAGCGAAGCAGCTCGCTACGCAATGAGCGCACTGCCGTCAAGGCCGCAGCTATCACCACAACAATAAGCACAACCTCGTCGGACGGCGGAGCGAATTCTCACCCGTTCAACTACGACAAGGTGCCGCAAAACTCCTTCTCATTAGACAGCGGATGGCCGCAATCTAGCACAATGTCTCAGGCCTCGTTCGCCGCCGGTAATGACTCGCTCGACGAAGTGGAGCGTCCAACCCCACAACTGCACGCATCGTCTACAGGTACCCCCGTCAGGCCCTACGCATCGACCACCGATGAGGATGATATGGCGTCTTTCTCCCATCCTTCCGCCTCGAGTAGCACTTCTTCCTTCAACGCTACAGCCCAAGGGCTCCCCGCAATGTCCCTCTCACGCCGCCGCTCGAACCGCAGCGAGCGACGCACCTCCCCCGTGATAGACGAACCGCCCTCCGCCTTGGGCTTGGACGATGAGTGGGATTACAGCGAGACTGAGTGGTGGGGCTGGATTGTGCTCCTAGTTACCTGGATAGTATTTGTCGTGGGAATGGGCTCATGTCTCGGCGTGTGGAGCTGGGCATGGGATGTTGGCGAGACACCTTATGCACCGCCAGAGCTGGAAGACGATGCGACGTTACCAATCACGGGATACTATCCTGCCTTGATCGTCTGTACAGCAGTAATGAGCTGGGTCTGGGTCGTGGTTGCCTGGGTGGGCATGAAGTACTTTCGACACGCCAAAGTGGTCAGCGACGATGGCTAGCTGTCTTGGAAGCAGAAATGCCGACAAATACGACAAATATCGACATCGGGTCGCATGAAGCATTTGCGCTGACTAGTTTTTTGTATCCTGGTATGTTCGCTTTGCGATTCCGCTATATTAGCGATATGTTCCCAGACTTGAAACACTAAGGCTTATCGCCACTATTAAGTGTCCTTAGCAACTTCATTGTTACATGCTTATCACAGACGTATCCACATTCTTACTTAATCCTTCTCTTACTCCTGGCTCCGATCTCAAATTCTGCAGCACCGGACCGTTTCTCTAACCGTTTTCGCAGTGTCTAACGGTGTTTAAGATGAACTTTTCGTGTCACCAATTTCTCTCGTTCTTCATCTTAGACCTGTTTCAACGCTCGGTCTACCTACGCTTCAAAGCTTCCATCCTCCATTTCGGGCACGGCACGAATCTCTGGGCCTCATTACAGCAACCCGCGATTCTTGTGTAGGCGTTTCGCTTGCTATTGCAGTATGGTTAGTGTGAGTCGAAATGTAATTTCTCCGTCTGCAACCCCTTAAAGCCCATGTTTCCCAGAATGCGTATTGAACAGGAACAGATTTCAAGATGCGACGAGCCGACCATGGCGTTGCGCAGGAATCCGCAGAGGGAGTGCAGGACAGAGAAAACTCGACCTCCAGTAACCACAATTAAGACCGAAGCAATCACTATCATGTCCTCTAAGATCACTCAGAGCGAAAGAGGTGGAAAGGAAAGGCATGGCAGATGCAGGAAGACTAGCCTAGGTACTACCAAGATACGCCAACTCAACGCGCGCGCGCTTCAGGATCCTCGAATCCTCATCAATCCGCCATTTCCATTTTTTCAGCTACCTCGAGAGATTCGGGATCAAGTTTATTCATACCTAGTCGTTCCGCAACGGTCACATCGTGCACCTGTGATCGAGGCAGCCACGATTCTCAAGGATCGGAAGAAGCGCGTGACTACACAAACAGCTCGGGAACGGCTGAACAGACAACGAGTCTCCAGCGGAATACGCCCGGTTTGTGCTCGAACGACGATCTCTGAGCCCATTGTACACCTGAATCTTCTTCGAGTATCCCATAGGATGTACTGCGAAGTGAGCGACTATCTATACAGCAGCAACCGGTTCGCCGTATCCCTTTGCAAACTTCCCTCTACCGCCATTGAAATTCCAGATGGCTGGGACCTCTCCCGAGTCAAAAGGCTGCAGCTGGAGCTTCAACTGAAGGACTCCCCGCGAATGAACAGCTACATCGATTGGACGCCTTTCTTCTCCAAGTTCTCGGCGCTCCGCGTGCTACATATCCTGCCTACGTTCCATCCACGGTACTACGATTGGGCACATACAGAATTATGTGACTGGCGAACGACACACTATGTTCACAAGGCATTTTTTAGAGAATTGCTTGCTGCTATACCTAGTCATGTCGACCTAAGACTAGGGTCTTCGTTGGATTTGACAGATGAGATGGAGTTGCAGGGTAGAATACCTGTCAGCCGGACACTAATAGTGGACATGTACGCGGAGCTGGGTATGCGTAAAGCATAGGAAGATCCTTGTGGTCGCCAATATTAGTACACTAAAATAAGAAGGAATATTATTAATAATGTAGCAAATGGAGATATCCTATTATATACTACAGCCGTGCGTACTATTGCCAACGTATTATGCATATGTTAACAGGGGTCATAATGTATATGACTGATGTATTAGATGTTATAGTGTACAAAATATATCATGCCTTTGCATACACTGCAGCCTGCTGCCAAGAAAATATACCAAACAGCATGCTTGTAAGACGTACCATAGTAGCATAGCTATTGGCCAACTACTCCCCAGGACATACGAAGAGCAAAAATAAAGTTCGAATTGTCCTGAGCAAGCCCAGGCACGAGATTAAATGTCCCCTTCGTGGATCGAACACGATACCTCCAGATTTTGTGACCGAAGACTTCAGTCTGGCGCTCTCCCAATTGAGCTAAGGAGACTGGATTTCATTGGTCAGTTTTAAAATAGTAATGGACATATAGTTTGGTATAATGATGCCCTACTATATGTACTAATTGGAATGATCCTGGAAACCTTGAACCGCTCATAATGGTAATATTGACTAGAGATGTGCAGTGTGCGGGCATTACTGAAGATGTCTGAATCGGGTTTGGGTTCTGCCCCGACAAGGCTCTTAGCGGACTTCCGAACTTCTGACTGGAGCTCCGCAACTTCTAGCTCCACTTCAACTCCAAGCTCACCAAGTCGCAACATAGCAAAGAAGGGCAACAATTGCTTCGCGCCTTTCAAAATGCAGCCTTCACCCCTCACGAACCCATTGGCAACTGTCACTCAACTTGAGACCTCCGGTTCGCAACTCGATGGCATACCAACCGATCTCGAGGATTCAATACGCTTCGCGGGTGCCAGACTCACACAAGCTGCCGGCATGCTGCTCAGACTACCACAAGAGGTCATTGCGCAAGCTATTCTTGTGTTTATGAGATTCTGGGTCGGTCCCGACGGTGGCAGTCTGGCTGAGTTCGGCGCAGAGGTACGCGCAATTCTACCTACAACCATGACAGCTAGATAACAATAATGTAGCAAGTCTCAGCAGCCTCCCTTTACCTCACGACAAAGCTCTCAGCATATCCCAAATCCGCACGGAGTCTCATAAACGTATATGCTTACCTCTCCTCCAACCCCACTACGTTCGCGAACCTCGACCACCTTCAGCAAAAGCCTCCGGAAACCTCATATTTCGTCTCAGAAGGCACATACGAACGCCGTCGGGCAACACTCTTCTCGACCGAACAGCGCATTTTGAAGACCCTCGGCTTCCAGATACAAGTCAATCTGCCTTACACGCTCTGCATCACATACCTGCAGGCGCTGGACGTCTTTACGCATCCCCGCGCATCCGAACTCGCTAAACGCGCCATATCCCACTTGAACACAGCCTTATTGAGTCCACAAATGCTGTATCTTACACACCAGCCAACAAGCCTAGCGACGGCGGCAATTTATCTAGCGGCGAGGGAAGTGAACATCAAGATGCCGGAGGTAGAGTGGTGGGAGGTATTCGATACCGATAGAGAGGAGTTGGGATTTCTGTGTGTGGGCATGTTGAGTGTAGAGGGGTTTGCGCAGCAGGAGAGGGAGAAGTGGGAAGGGACCAGGGTGCCGTTGGATGTCAAGGATCTAGAGGCAGAGATGAAGAGGAGGAGCGAGATAACCCAGGATTAGGCTGATGAATTTGACGTCAACATATGACAATCAGGCTTCACGCAGAGGCTGATCTGTATGATTTCAACGAACCATGCAAGAGAGCAACAAGGCTCCATGAGCCGTTTGAGAACGTTGTATCTCATTGGCTCGAGCTTGACGACGATTGCCATTACATCACAAGATTACGACACATGACAGCCGGCCTGGAGTAGAGCTTGAAGAAACGAACGACCAACTGAGCAGACCGCAGGGTCCAGGACATATCTTCACGAATCGGAAGCCGCAGCTCAGGCGCAGAGTGAATCAATAGCGCACACACATTCACAATTGAACGCGTCTACAGCAACTAGGCAGCACTTTGTCTGTCTGGATATATCAAGACCTCGAGTCGCTCCATCAAGTAAAGCATCTTTTTCTAGGCTATGTTGTGGTCCAAGTGCAGGCTTGTTTTAAACTACCGGAATCCTCCTGGGTTGCACAATACTCCACGGCAGTTCGTCGAGCGCATTGAGACTACGGAGAAGGCTACAAGATACTATCAACTGGATGGATAACTTCGCCTTTCCCGCCATGAGCAACATGAGCGATACGGTCTTGAAATTTTAAAACCTACACTGACGTTGGAACTGACCTACACAACTTCATCCGCATTCGAAGTGTGGGTGAACCGCTTAGAGCTCTAGTGCTTCACTATACATCAAAGTACTACTATCATCGACTGCCAATCACTTTCGCTCACCAGATCCTATCGTCGCTTCCTCCTCTGACTAGCGAACTGAACTCATCAACGACAGTTACAGAACGGCTGAAACCGATGTCAATTCCAACTAAATCAGAACCTATCACTAAGAAGCCAACGACCGTTCACGAAACTGAGGCTGATAGCTTGTACATTGTACGGACATACCGTTCCTCCGAATCTTCTAGTTCCCAATCTACAAGAGAAGCATATTGAGTGAGACATTGTGCACGTGAGAAACAATTGTATTGTCACATCAACGTCTTACTTCACAGCGTGTCTAGCAATAGTAAGATCCGAGAGAGTTTTCTTCAATTATAGTCCCTGATTTATTTCCTTTTTCATATCATAGCTCGCTCAATACGTTCTCCCGCCTCTCCCTATAATCTAGAGAAATGCCTCGCCGCGCTGCTCCACGCGACCCTCCCACCGGCGCCGTCGACTCCTGGCTTGACTTGTACCCACCCACAGCCTCGACATCAAACTCGATTTCAACGCCTCGCAAACCTACGACCAACCCCAAGATAGTAGCTCGAATCGACGAGATCCGTAATGTCCTCGCCGACATGAAGATCACCATGGCCAACCGCAAGTATTTCCTCAAGCTAAACAAATACGACAGTTGGTACTGCACGCACTGCACCCCCGGCAACGTAATCGGCGCGTGCGGCCATACATGTCCGCTTCTCCGTCCTCGCGATAAGATGTATAATCCGCCCATTACAAATGGATGGGTGCAACGTGCCACTGCCGACTGTGCAGCCTACCAAGAGATTGTAGACGACATGGACGCGAGGGGCAACCAGGTGTACGCAGCTACAGTAAGCAGGTGGGAGCGTGCTGTTGAGAAGTTGAGGCTTAGTGGGCGTACGGAGGCGGAGCGGCATGCAGATTTGAACTGGTCGCAGGTTCCGCGCGTGAATACCCGAGCTGGTTTCAAGCCGGGCTGGGGCTTTGAGGAGCACTGGGGTAAGGGGCCAGCGGCGTGTGATGAGATTGCTCCGGATAACCCTCGTAGGAATTCGAAGCGTGGCGTGACTGTCGATGAGGAGGTCTCTCAGAAGCGAGTCAAGTGGTCTTAAGATGGTGTGTTCGGCTTATCAAGGTAGGTTCTGCTTGCAGTGTCAGTCATGGTAAGACGTCTATAGTGTGGTATTCCTCTGGTGTTAATTTTAATTCATGGTCTCTAGCTTTACGTAACTATCTCGTTTCTCATAGTGCGTCTTAAAACTTAGGTGAAGTGCTGTTCACGTCGCGCGTTCCCGTTCCTTCCATGTCAACGCAAACCGTGGCTCGTGCACCAAAAGGTTACTTTCATGAGTGAAGAACTGCCCCAAACTCTGGCTCTCGAGGTCTTTCTACAGGACGCACGGCCAGGGGAGACGAGTGCCTCCACATGTCCAAGTGCGTCCATCGCCTAAGGACTGTATTGAGCTGGTCCGCCTACGCCACAAATTCTTTGAATGCGTGCAGCCATTGGTAAATATAAAGGACCAGCCGAGGATGGATGAGGTAAGAAGGTGGTTGTGTGCCGAGGAGAGCATGCAACGGATGCAGATGGAGTTGAAGTAGACCAAGAGAGAGTTGGAGGAGGCCAAGAGGCAGCTGGCAGCTCAACAGACTCGACGCCGGTCGCCTACCTTCATCGACCCCACGGATGAGCCTCACCGGTTGATTAAGCCAGAGTCTGGTCTCGATAACGGAGAGGATGAGACTCGGGGGCGAATCAGGCGAGAGTAAGCTTGCGGTTACGACATGTCATGACATGCCTTGCCTTGCATAGGGGCGTATTGCCACGCCTCTCATGTAGCCTCCATAGCAGTAATGACAATGAGGCCTGGAGGCCTTCGCAACATCATCAGCTCTCTTCTTCTAATAATAGTTCCTTGCTGGTGATTAGGACTATAATACGTTTAGTTCACATAGACACTTCAACTCAATCTAGTTGTAGGGAGACTGACTACACAGGTAAGATATGTGATTTCTCAACCTTCAAATGCGTTCATGTCGCAGACATGGTGTTTAGAACTTCCTCCATCTCATCCCCTTTCATCGATTGAATACCCAAATCTGAGCGCCATCTAGATGCATATATCCCTCCAATGCCATGCCAGACATATGATAACAAAGTTAAGGAGATTCGTCTCAGTGTACATTTATCTTAATTACTCACATTCCTCATCGGCGGAAATAATCCTTCTGTCCATCCCTCTCTGGGCTGTACGGCGTGTACACCGTCCCTTGATTCCCCATTGGCGCCGCATCAGCCAGCAGATTCCTATCGTCGTGGATCTGATACGGAATGCTAGAACTGCTATCTACTCTCCTCAATGCAGGGTCTGGGCTCGGGCTGTACTCTCTCAAGGCACTCGGCGTTTGATGATAACCTGCCGGGTATGTGACACCAAGCTCATCATTGCCCACTGTCCTCTCCGAGTCTCGTGATGATGATCGTCCGCGTTGACTGTCGCTGAACGTGGAGCCGGGTGTATCGGGGCGGCTGATACTGGCGCCGTATACAGAACCTTCGCCGCCGTGCTCGTCGCTGAATTCGGGTCGGTCTTTGAAGTTCTCAAAGTCCATTTTATTTTCTGATACGAATTCGAAGGGCGCGGGTCCTGCTGCGGCCTTGCCAGGATGCTCCTTGCTCATTCGCTTCATGGTGTAGACGTCGCTGAAAGCTGCTGTATCGCCTAGATCTCCGTCTAGTCGTCCGCGGTAGACTTCGCCGAGGAGGTGCTTGCTCTTTTCGTGTACCATTGGCACGGTCAGCTTCTGGTAAAGTGCAGGATGGCTAGCAGCAAGTCAGTGTATGTTTCAGGTGTGACTGATAAGTGCAACTTACCCGAAGCGAACGGCAACTCGATCCCGCCTTCGCGATTCCTTATCAATCGGCGTAGGAGCCTCTCCTCCCTTAGACGTTTCGCCCTTGGTATAGTACTTCAGTGAGTTGTCGTACGTGTTCTTGCAGTAGAACTTGAACGCGAGCAACCCCAGAGGAAGGGGGGCCATGGCGCCAAGCATCATCCACTTCGCATCAAACCCGCGAGCAACCACCAACAGTGCAACGATGCAATTAGACAAGAAAGTCCCGATCAACATGCGGTTGAAGAGAACGCGCCAAAAAGCACCCCCTGACTCGTTCTTGGTGCAGAAGACGTACATTAGGAGATACTTTTTCATCCAGGAGTCCAAAGAGAAGTAGAAAGCAACAACGATCAAAGTAATCGGTTGCAATGGAGCAAAGCACAGGGCCACTGTCGAATAGAAAAGGAAATAGTTGTAGTAACTGGCATAATCAAACGGAGGCGGCGCTGTACGCATGATAAGCTCTCGCGGTGTCGGATTCAAAAACTTGCGCGAGAAGCTGCCCCAAGCAAGATTGACAGCTTGGGAAAGATCAACAGCCGCACCCAGATTACGCTGAACAAGCCAAGTTACCCAAAAGGGCGAGACTTCGCATAGTGTTCTCATAATCGTGACAAAGAAGTCAAGCTCCTTGATGATGGCTTTGTAAGGCATCTTTTGGTCTTTCGCCAATTTGACGATTAACACGACCATGCCATACACGGCACTGAAGAGCGAGAACACGAAAAGGTTGTTGAAAACAAAGAAGGCGTACAGCTGGGCGGTGACGTGTCGTTCTCGTGAAGTTTTAGTAAGGTCCCCTGCCTTCATGGACAACCGACGGAATATAATTGGTAAAAAGTAGTAGAACAACGACGTCAGCGCGGGAGCCAAAAGACCTTGCACGACTGCCCAAAATCGCGGATGCGCGTTGAACTCGGTCGAGAAATCTTTCCAGACGTAGGCGAGATTAGTAAACTTGGATAGGAACACGGCGATCAAGGCGTTGGGGATGAAATAGAGGGCCGTCAGAAGGGAGATCCAGAAGTTGTTAACGATCCGTCTCCAGCGCCTAGTTTTCGGATCCAAAGGCAGATTCTTCCAAATGATGTCTTTCGGTTTGGGGCCAAGCCGTACAGTAGTTCCCTTGGGGTGCTTGCTGCGGGCTGCAAATGCCACACTGTGTGCAGACTCAATAGACTCGTAACTTGCAAAGCCATAAGGCATTGCATCTCTCTTGTCGACGGTTTCACGGACTTCTTTGATCTGAGCTTCTAAGAGCTGGATCCGGGCTGTGAGGTAGTCGATCGCATCCACCTTCTGTTTTTTGTCCGTATGTTCGAGATCTTTCTTTGATGGTGTGCATAGTGGACGATCTGCAGGAAGACGATTTGGATTCTTCAGGTACTTCGCTAGCACCGTCTCCAATTCCATGACTGCCTCTTCATGCGCCTCAATGAGATCTGGGATATCCTTCACGTTCCGGCCAATTGAGGCTCTGGGCACCTCGGGCGTAGTCCGCAGGCTGTCCGTCACTTCAAGGATACCCTGATCACTTCGAAGGTTCCGGTCGATGTCGGTGATCATTAGGGTCCGCGAGTGGAGGCTGTTCTGGTACTCTGGACTCTCTAGATACTTGCGTCGCAATCGATGGACAGCACGGTAGGTCCACCACAGAAAGCCGCACACAACGATGTCGACAACGTAGGCTAGCACGACAAAAGCCCAGAAGATGTTGCCCATGAGGTCTCTAGGCGTCATCAGGATGATGGCCGTCTTTGCGTTTGCCTTGTTGAACTTCTTCTGGAATTCCACCGATCGTGTGACATTTACGGGCACGATGATGGCGCAACCCACGATTGCTAGGATGACGAACATGTTCCTGCACATTCGGGCGAAGCGCAGAAATATTGTTGCGTCGAGGCCAATCTTCTCCACATATTCATCTTCATTTGTTTTGAAAACCGGTTTGTACCACGCGAAGAGGCCTCTGCCTATCGGTGGCGGTCGATGCTTCTCGTCGGTGTGGCGGAGACGGGGAGCGTAAACGATGGTATTAAATGGTCGCAAGAGTAAAAACCCGACAAATATAGCGGAAGTGATAGCGAGCGATGTTCCTATAGCGATTATGACTGAGTCTTGCGAGACCTGAAGAGATTAGCAGAAGCACTTGTGAGTTAGACATGTCCACGTACCGTTGCGCCTAGTGGGTTGTCCGACAGCAACTGCTCGAACTTCTTCTTTACGCTCTCGTCCCGCGGGAGCATGGTATTCGCCGGTGTCCAAGTCATGATGAGTGTATGTACAAGAGCGAGCGGGCAAGACGTCGATAAGGGGATCGGGCGTGTGCGTGTGCGCTCGAATTAATATGTGTAACGACGGTTGAGCGAGGGATCTGGAAGATCAGCGCATGTCTTCTGTGACCTCTCTGCAGCTGCAAAGACAATCCGAAAGAGTGATCAGGTAACAAATAATGAGATAACAAGAAACAACACAGAAAATTCCCCACAAAGAGCGTGTGGTAAAAGAGAGAACCGTCCAGGTCAAAGAAGCAGTCGCGTCGAACAGCGTTGGGAACAAAAAAGGGCCGCGATGACGAACAGGCAGCCCTGGCCGACGACCCCTGTGCTTCCACCATCTGCGCCCTCTCATTCGTTCCACCTCGCGCCGGTTTAACGCCGGATCTCTAGTTCGCGGCAACGAGCATTTTATTTTTGGGTCGAGATTTAGGTCGTGGACATTCTTCCTCATCAGGTATGGTCATCCCTTAGCTTTTCACCAGTTTTGCGGAGCGCTGCCATGGACGCCGCTACTGTGCCCCGCCACTGTATTCCACGTAACCTCGTGTTGGGAGAAATACGGAGTATCCCGCAGTCCCTTATCGTTGCGTGGAGACGCGAGGGATGATGTCTCACATGTCCTGTGTCAGATGGCGTTTAATGAAAACGTTCAAGGTTAAATTTGATTTGGTAGGGTAGTGCCAAAAGTCGCCAGCATCATGTTTCAGGTCGTGGTTGGTGACGAGGCGCTTATTCCTACGCTTGCTACACATCATGAACATCGTTTCATGCGTGAGATTGTGCAAGTATCAATGAAGCAGTCAGCGTAGATCTGGCAATCATTACTTGGGCAAAACGCATAGGCGTAGAGGTTTGATGGTTTATTGGCTCTGGGTGCGACGACCTTGTACCTAACCATTTCCGAGTTCCCTCTGAGTGTCCATTGAACTCACATAGCCCCTCCGTGTATCCCGAACACTAAAGGTAGCTAAGCCATTGAACTCGCAAAATCCATCTGTGCAGAAAACAGTCGAAGCTCAAATGCAGACCATGATCACCCCGTGTGCCGATGTTGAGGGGAGAAGTGCACTTAGCAGCGCCGCTTGCACTCGTTCTTGCACCTGCCATCGAAAGCCTGTCATATTTGCTGGTTGCAAGTTCTATGGCGAGGGTCCTATTAGATCTGTCAATACAAAAGTTTCACTAGTTAGACGGCATGCAAAAGATTAACGCGGATTTGAATCGACGGACTATAACCTTACCTTGACGCACATCTTGAAGATATCCTGAGACGTTATCGCTGCCAGGTTACGCTTCTGCATGGAAAAATCCGAGTCAGTGCAGGCCCTGTATGTAATTTGTCTATGGATCCTTGCCTTCCATGCTCACGCACTTGACCTCTGGGGTCTGGACGCAATAAGTGCCCGGTGGGCAAGCACCATGGGGACGGCGGAAGACCCAGATTCCGTTTTGGCATTTCAATATGACAGGACCATAGGGGCTGGCACACTTGACCTCGCCATGGTTGCTGCACTGGTGGAGTTTGTTGTCTTTCGCGTAGACGGGTGCGGTGATCAAGAGGGTGAAGATGAAGTTGAGGAGCTTCATGTTGTTGTTGACTGAAGCTTGGTGAGGGCTTGATTGTTATAGACTGTGGTAGTTCTTGAGACTTCAACCAGCATTCGCGAGGGGATATATGAGAAGTGTGGTAGAGGGAAGACAGAAGATTTAAGTAGTAGAAGACGTTCTTTACATATTACTAGGAGGGGCTTAAATGAGGGAGGTGGCATGCAAGCAGCTCGCTCTGCCTTTACCTCTACTTGACCTTTACTACTTCTTTAAGCAAGTCTTTTCGTCCCAAAGCTAACTTTTGCCTAACCTTTGGCTGTGGTGGAAGCTCTCGTGTGAGGGGCGTTGGGTCACTGGCTCACACTTTGGTGAACAGAGAAGCAACGAACGAGATGCTGGATATGACTGAATATACACAATGATCTTTTAGCAGCCTGATGAACTCCTCATTGCGCACTTCCTTACCACCTGGGGCTGTTTGATATATACCCCGCTTAGATGTTACAATAAGTCGACGCCTTAGCTGGGTAGGATTTGTTATACCCGTCAGTAGACTACAATTTACTATTGAACCAACAGGCAGGACCCTTCAAGGAGTACTATATTGAGCAATATAATCAATAATGGAATAAAAATGGAATTGCTTGATGTACGTTTGAAAAGAAAGACTGAGAGTATGGAGCGAATAAAACCAACAATTAATCTCCCCGTATATGGGCAGCCTCGATGATACAAATGATAAAGAACACTAATCAGAAGATAGATGGACAATGCGTTCAGCTTTGGAGCGGATATATCGATAATAATTCTAGAGACGGAGAGAGAGAGTGAGTGTGTGGGGTGGTGTAGACGGTGACGACAGCATTGTACTCAAAAGATGTTAAAAATTTCTGTATTTCGTCAACTTGTGGAGATATCCGTAAAGATATCGAGATGTGAGCGTATTAAGATGCGTCGTCTCTTCGCCGTCCACTAGCGTCCTTGGCGGCAAGGGCCATCTCGAATTTCTGAGACCATTCAACATCCTCACGAAACCACACCGCAACGCCAATTGCACGCCCACAATGAACCTCTCAATCTTCCGGCCGGTCCTCCGTCCGTTCAAACCCCAAATAGTCCGCCCGTCGAGCGTCTTCCAGCGAATCGCGCAATGCCCGCAAGCAAGAATACCAGCATACACATCGCCCTTCTCATCCACATCGCGAATGCAGAAGAGGAGTAAGAAGGGCGGCGGCCAGGACCCACGAATCAGTATGTCTCTCAGCTTCCCCGTCTATATATCCCTCGCGAAAACCTTTGTGTTATCATAGCCAATTGCAATGCTAATGTTGTTCGTCAGCGTCCATCCGCTACCATCTCTCCCATCCCCTCACTCCCCGGCCCCTCCACTTCAGTCGGAACCGTCACCTGCGCCACTGGACGATTCACCGCGCGTGGATGCTCTTCCTGCGCAAACGTCGCTGGGCCGAGGAGCGCGACCTCGAGCGCCAATACATGTCCATGCGCGCCGCCTGTGAACACCTACGTCTCCTCGATCAAAACGGCAATAGAGTGAGCGAACAGGAGGCTGGTGGCCAGGGGCCAGATGCCGGACGCCTAGGCATGAGGGGAAGGGAGGTGGGGAGACTGTATAGGAGTGCCATGTTGAAGAGGGGGGTTTGGGGGAGTGTGCCGGTCGAGTATGCGAGGGTGCAGACCGATTTTCCAGGACGGGAGGGGTGGAACCACGCATGGACGAGGAACTAGGTGTGATGATTTTGTTGGGAGAAGTGCGACAGAAGGAGTGTAACATATGTGTATACTTGGGATATCGAAGGCAATTAAGAAGGCTGTTGGTTGCTCAGCAGTGGGTTGAGAGTCCAGTAAAGTCTCTTGTGTTGTAGCATATTCAAGTTCAACGATAGCAATCACCGGTTTGGTTATTACAAAGCGATATGTGATAAGAGTATCAGCACTCAGCCATTGTCTGCCATGCTGCCAAGTTCCACCCGGCAATCCTAAAAGACGATGCCTTCCCCCGAAAAATATACACAAAAAATAATGAGTGGAAGATGATAGTCATCATCGTCATTAGCCAAACTAAGCCCAAATGTTTCGACGAAACCTCCATGCTTGACATGTTCAGCAGAACGAAAGCAATCTTCCACCACTCTGGCCCGACTTTTGGACAAATGCAGTGACGCTCAGAAACGCCGTTAGCAATGGATTCCAAAACGATACTCCATAATACTCCACCCAATGCATTGTAAAGATAGGCAAGGCCTGTTATAAGACGATGCAGCAGCCGTTTTTCTCCCTTTTGTCGACTGACAAGAGCGCAGCGCGGGTTGCGGCCTCGAAAACATCGTCGACCCCGTCACCCGTCAGTGAACTACACTCCAAGTACTTCCGTGCGCCGATCATCTCCTTCATATCGCTGCCCTGCTTCGTGGTGGTGAATCGAAGGGACTTTTTGCGCATCTCTTCTTGAGCGAGAGGATCCTCGCGGAGATCTTTCTTCAACCCTACTAGAATGATTGGAATACCAGCACACCGTTCGCGAGCCTCCTCAGCCCACTTGTGCTTGACGTTTTCTAGCGAGTCGGGCGAATCGACCGAGAAGCCAATGAGGATAACATGGGCCTTGCTGTAGGCCAATGGACGTAAGCGCTCATAGTCTTCCTGGCCAGCAGTATCCCATAGCGCAAGTTGAACGGACTTGCCGTCTACTCTGCAGTCGGTGACGTAGTTTTCAAACACCGTCGGAACGTATCGCTGCATGTCACGTTAGCATGTCACGTCAAATAATACTCTTGCTGTGACCTACCGTGGGGAAATAACCCAGGGTGAATACGCTTAGTAGACTAGTCTTGCCACACGCGCCGTCGCCAATAATTACCAACTTCCTGGTGGTCTCAGATCAGCATGCTGTGCAAACACATCAGAGTACCACTATCGGCGAGCCCGTAGGAAGGTGGCGAGGAGCGGGAAGCTTTGAAGCAAAGAGGTGTTTGGGAGAAAGTAATTGACCAAACAGAGGAAGAATTCAACGCGAGTCGATGAAAAACTGACATGGGAGTCCTGTGCGGTGGCCTATATTTAGACGGGTGTCTCCGGACCGGGTACGCCAATGCAAGCTATGGCGCAAATACCGGGGTGGCACAGCTCAGACTATTGATGCATGCCGCAGCTGGGGCACCTCGACGCATTGCGTGAATTGAGGATACTGAAGAGAATCGCGGAGACGAGGACTCAAACAATGTGTGAAAACTCCAGAAGCCAAGGGATTCGCGAAAGAAAGATACGACGAGGGAGATTGAGGCTTGAACACGGGTGGGGAATCTGATAAGATTATGGAAACTGAACACGTACCTGCGCATCACAGGTTCGCCATTTTGCTGTGCCATTTTGAGACGGATAACGTGGATGTCGCAATTGAAGGGCGATTGTATCGGTGCGTTGGGTGGTGGGAAGCTCGAGATGGAGGCAGATGCAAAGTAGGCTCAACAACAGACAGATTGCTGTTCAGGCGGGTCGTAGGATACAGTTAAGTAGCCTTGAATTGGCGGGAGCAATGCGACTCGCGGGATATGTGCTTCGTGGTACGGGCCCAACGCGAAGAGTGCTAGTTGGTGATTGTCTCGAAGAGCGGCCAACGAGAGGTGGTAGGTGTGAGACAATAGCGCCTCCAGAAAAGGCTCGACGAGGGATTGAAGCGACAGACTACAGTGAGAGGGCGATGGCAGCGTGGGCGTGGTGCTGCGACGACGCAGTGCTACGAGCGACGAGAGGGAAGGGCTCGAGGGGGGGGTGGGATCGAGGTAAAGGTCGCAGAGGACGACGGGCGGGCGACGCCTTTAATAATGGGGGGCAGAGATGACACGGGTGGATGCACGCACGAGCTGGCGCGGGCGGCTGAGAGGACAGAGACGAGGACGATTCGTCTCGGAGGTGGTGCGGTGTTAGGTTGAGATACGATGGCAGGCCGCTGCACTGCCGCGTTCCTTCCAGAAGAGACATGTGCCAAGCCATTGGTTAGCGGCAGGTGCGATTCGCAGCCAGGTACGTCCGTCTGCCACCACCCGCGAACTCACGAGACTTGCGCCAGCACGCCCGAAGCCGACCAAGCACACGACCCCGAATCCACCTGTACCCGCAGTCTCTGCAGCAGGCGACCGAGGCGGAGGCTGCTCTGCAAACCCGCCCTTGGAGTGCGTGACGGCCCCTCCAATTCCTCCACCCTCTCACTTTTGCTCCCTCGAATAGGCCTAGACTGCCTTCCCGGCGTCATAGTCGGGCCTGGCTCTCCCTCGTCACTACGAGGACTTGCTCTGACCTTTCCCACAGCACTACCCACCCCACCCCGACCACCTCTGTCCGCTCTCATGGCCCAGGGCACCAAAGGACCCGCACAGGCGACTATGCCCCCCAACGGCACCGCAGCACACGACGCCACGGCCAGCGCTGTGAACCGCAAGAAGCAGAAGCGGCGGGAAAAGGAAGCCGCGAAGAAGGCCGCCCAAGACCCCCCCGCGCCCGCGACTGGGAAGAATGGGCATCTGAGCATACCGCCCGCCCTGGCTTCCGCCGCAGCCCAAACTCGCCCTTCCGCTCCGCAGTACGCAGACGCCGAGCTGGACGAGCCGCCGTACGACGACGACCCCGACTTCTACTCGGATGAGGACGTGGAGCACTACGAGCACGCATATGGCACAAATGGCCACTACCAGCAGCCCTATGGCCACACATCAATGCCAAGCGGGAGCGGCAAGAAGCCACGGAAGAAGAAGAAGGCGCCCTCTGCGCCCCCTCCGCTCGCCTACGCACAGCATGTTCCACAGCGTCATAGCCCCGACGCAGTCATGGGGTCAGGCTCGAAGAAGGACCGCATATGGAACACCTCGACCCAGGAAGAGCGGGAGCGCATTCGCGAGTTCTGGCTGTCTCTCGGCGAAGACGAGCGCAAGTCGCTGGTCAAAATCGAGAAGGAAGCGGTACTGCGCAAAATGAAGGAGCAACAGAAGCACTCGTGCAGCTGTACCGTGTGTGGCAGGAAGCGCACAGCGATAGAGGAGGAGCTGGAGGTGCTGTACGATGCCTACTATGAAGAACTCGAGCAGTACGCGCACCACCAACAAGACGTCGGTAGTTTCTTGCCTGAGGCTAATTATGGTTATGGTTCCAGTGCCCCGCATCCGCGCCCCATGCTGAATACCCACCCCCCTGGCCACTACGACGACGACGACGAAGACGAATACTCTGGCGATGAAGAGGAGGAAGACTACTCAAACAGCGAGATATCGTCAGAAGGCGACTATAGCTCCGAAGAACGTAGCTTGCCACCGCCCGAAGGCTCAGATTTTCTTCAGTTCGGCAGCAGTCTACAAGTAAAAGGTACGGATGCGCCGAAATCATTGTCCAGGAGCATGCTGATTCACTTACCCTAGGTGGTATACTCACAGTTGCTGACGATTTGCTAAAAAACGACGGAAAGAAATTCATAGAAATGATGGAGCAGCTTGCCGAGCGTAGAATGCAACGGGAAGAGGAAGCTCAGTTTCAGGCTCACCCGAGCATGTATCGATCTCACGCCACACACAGTCACGAGGCTCCACCAGAGGAAGACGACTTCGACGACGAAGGAGACGAAGAGGAGGGCTACGAGGACGATGACTATGAAGAGGATGAGGAAGACGAAGAAGTGCGTATTGCTTGCTGGGGTACGTATAATTGGCTAATTGGGCGTAGGATGCCATGACCGAGGAGCAGCGTATGGAGGAAGGCAGGCGGATGTTTCAGATATTTGCGGCACGAATGTTTGAGCAACGAGTACTCCAAGCATATCGAGAAAAGGTAGCCGCAGAACGCCAGAAGCGGCTACTTGAAGAACTAGAGGAGGAAGATGTGCGGAAAGACCAGAAAGAGGCCAAGAAAGCCAAGGAAGCCCAGAAGCGGAAGGAGAAGAAGGAAAAGCAGAAACAGCTGAAGGCGGAAGAGAAAGCACGCAAAGATGCTGAAATTGCTGCCAAGGAGGCCGAGGCAAAGGCTGCGGAAGAGCAACGGCTCGAAGAACAGCGCAGAAAGCGTGAGGAGCAGCGGAAGAAGAAAGAGGCAGAACGCAAGGCTCAAGAGGAAGAGAGACAGCGCAAGGAAGCTGAACGCCTGAAGCGACAGCAAGACGAGCGCGATCGCCAACTGGAAGCCGAGAGGAAAGCACGCGAACAGAAGGCCCAAGAGAAGAAGGCCAAGGATGAGGCTAAACGGCAAGAACGCGACGAGCGAGAAGGCAGGGAGAAGGAGGCTCGCGAGAAAAAAGCTCAGGAGGACAAGGACCGCAGGGAGCGCGATTCAAAAGCCAAAGCAGACAAGGATCGCATGCGGAAAGAGGAGCAAGCTGCTGCAGCAGCAGCTCACAATGCTGTTGCCGGCGCGAGGAAGGTATCTCACCCCCCTGGTGTAGCATTACCGCCTCAGTTGCTCAAGCAAGCGTCGTCGACGGGAATGCCCTCGCCTCACGTAACACCAGCTGTTCCCAAGGCACCGACACCGAATCGACAGCGGCAGACTTCACAGCAAGGAGGTTCCCATGGCTCTTCTCCTAAGACTCCACTGGTAGCACCTGGAACAAGCAAGTCGATATCTCCCACACCACAGCTACAAAACGCAATAGCGCCAAGGTCTATCCTAACAAAGCCATCAAGCTCGCAACTATCAATGCCCGCTCACCATGGTTTACCAAACTCACCGATGCCGCCCCTGGGAGCGCCTCCGGGCATGCCGGGGCCTCCGGGATTGGGTATGGGCCCTCCTGGACTCAACGGCTACCCTAGTCAAGGTCCGATAATGCCTAGTATGATGGGCCCTCGTCCTGGTGTTCCATTCTTCCCTCCTCAGCCGCCTGGCGCGCAAAACTTCCGAGGTTTCCCCCCGCCGGGCATGCCAACGCCACAAATGGGTCGTGGATTTCCCATGGAAGGTCCCCCAGGCTTTTCTGCTCCTCCAGGTTTCGCAGGGCCGAATCATGCCTTTGGCATGGGAGTACCAAGTCACTCACGGCAAGGATCGGGGTCATTTGAGAGTCCAATTGCCGCTCCCCAAGCGCAGCCGATCCAACGACCAGCGCCCATCCAGCGACCTTCTAGTGTGAAGCCGCATGATGAGAATACGGGATCTGATGTGGATGACCTTGCAAAACACCTTGGTAGCAAGGCTCTTTTGGACGACGAGGATGATCTCCCCGACCTTCCAGAGCGACGAACGAGCGTACAGCAGCCCGGTTCAATGAGAGGTGCACCACCACTTGGGTTCGGATTTGCAGATGCACCTGGCTCGCGTATTTCGGAGCCGTATGGCGCTTTTGGGGGACCGAATACTGGAAGCATTTGGGGAACACCACCCTTACAGTTTCCCACATCTGGCGCCCCGTGGGGCAATTCGCCCACCTCTGGTTTCTTCAGCACTCCGTTCCCTCGAACCATTGAACGTGTGCCGAATGAGCAACGCATAGTGTACCTCCGTCGTCTGGCGTGCGCTGCGTGCAAGACCATTGCGACCCGTCACACGACAGCGGATGGCTACATTGACGCAAACGAAGTGCACCACCAAGTCGAGGCGTTGCGGAACCCAATAGAGCCAGCAGTGTCATTGGAAGAGCTTAGGGACGCTTGTGGCATTATTGACGGCAACCACAGCAACGGTGGTGGTACCATGGGAATCAAAGAGGTTGGCGGGCGTCTCTCGCAGGTCAAGTTTGTTGACACAGCAGCACCTCCTCCGGCGCATGGCGAGATTGGTAGTCCCGTTCCCAACCACAGCGTGCTGGCTGGCGGATTCGGAAGGTTTCCTGGTCTTGGTCCTTCAAACTTCTGAGCATTGATTGGTATCCTTGTTTCAAATATTCCCTTGTCCATTGGCAGCAGTCCTATCAGTATTCGGTAACTGTGCACGGCTGGACTTTCTTCGACTCTTCAGATAGTCTGTAGCGATGCTTCTCCAGGCTGGAGGCAATCGAGTTCACTTCTCTCGTGTCCAAACCTGTGCTCCACATGGCAGTTGTTGCGTGAAGAAACTAATAAACTAACTTTGGAGCAAAGTTGCTCTCTCTCAGCCGCACCTAGCCGACCATATGCAGGATGAAGTCTCAGCTCCATTACGTTGCAAACCCGTGGCTACTGGGAGAGGCGGTCAGCCCCGCCAGGCACAGTCTCACAACCCCCGCAATGGCGACTTTGGCCAGTCCGAGGCAGGAGCAACAAATGGAGACGGTTTCGAAATGACTTGCCATCTCTTCGCAGCTAACGGAGACATTCGAATTGCGTGCAGTAGTAGACGGAGAAGCGCACCTGAAGGCTGAACGTCGATGAGCGGAATTAAAATAAACCAGGTACAAGTGGAACGTCATCGAAAGCGGAAGGGATACTCGCTCACTCAGCCCTGCGGCATCCCTGCTAGTGGGGTTTGCGTGGAGTAGCGTGGAGGGGTCCTCTTGCTGAGGCTCAGACGTCGGACATCTTTATGCATATCTCGCTTTGAGCTGACTTTTAGTCTCCCTCTCCTTCTCCTCTTCTTCTTCTCTCTTCTTCTTAATATCCTTTCCATTACGAGCACGCTTCCTCGTGCCCATATTGTTGCAAGCCGAGATTGACCGTACATCTTGAGAGAGCGAGCACCTTCACCATGGCTGATCCCATCGTCGAAGCGGCACAGAAGCATCCCGCGCCTGAGGGACTTGTCTATACCTACGGAACTGCTGGAGTAAGTCCAAGGCTCTCTGTTGCTATGAATACAAGCTAACCAGTGTCTAGTTCCGCACCAAAGCGTAAGGCTACCTCGCTGCCCCGCCCTTACCGTCGTTCCCAATACTCCAATGCCTCCCAACATTCGCTCTTCCGGAAAGTAGCTAACAAAAGTAGCGATGTTCTTGACTCTGTTCTGACCCGCGTTGGTCTAATCGCCGCCCTGCGGTCAAGAGCACTGAAAGGGAAATGGATTGGCGTCATGATTACAGCCTCGCACAACCCCCCTGAGGACAACGGCGTGAAGCTGGTGGAGCCAATGGTATGTTCTCATCTTGCATGATTCTGGAATTATTTATTGACTTGAGTCTAGGGCAACATGCTCCAAGTACGTAGCCGAAACCAAACTCGAGCGACAGAATAAGCCTAACGCATGCACATAGGAAGAGTGGGAGGTCCTAAGCACGGAAATCGCGAATCAGTCAACTCCAGAGGACGTCTCCAAGTACTATCACGAACTTGCGTCCAAGTACAAGATCGACCTCAAGACACCTGCCCGCGTCGTAGTCGCTCGCGATACCCGAGCTTCAGGGTCAAGACTGCTTGGATGCCTGCTTGACGGTCTGACAGCTGCAGGCGCTGAGTCAAAGGACTATGGCTTCCTGACAACTCCACAGCTGCACTACATGGTTCGATGCATGAACACAGAAGGGACCAAAGAGGCATACGGCGTGCCTACTGAGAAGGGATACTACGAGAAGTTTGGTGCAGCCTTCAAAACCGCTTTGAGGGGAAAGAAGCCTTCTGGACACCTGACGGTCGATTGCGCCAACGGTGTTGGTGGACCCAAGCTGGTAGAGCTAATCAAGTACCTTCCTTCAAAAGAGGAGGGTCTTGAAATTGTTGTGGTCAATGACAATGTTATCAAGCCGGAGAGTTTGAACGTCGATGTAAGGGGACTTGGCTTGATACTACATTCAATGGAGGCTAATGCATGGCTTAGTGTGGCGCCGACTTCGTCAAGACAAACCAGCGCGCTCCTCCATCATCGAAGACTGGGCCGGGCGACCGATGCTGTTCGCTCGACGGCGACGCAGATCGCGTCGTCTACTACTTCAAGGACTCACAAAACATCTTCCGTCTACTTGACGGCGACCGAATTGCCACCCTGGTGGCATCGTTCCTCGGTGACCTAGTACGCTCCAGTGGACTGGCCGAGGACCTCAAGATTGGAGTCGTGCAGACCGCATACGCGAACGGCGCGGCAACAAAGTATGTCGAGGACACTCTACACCTAAAGGTCGACTGCACAGCTACTGGAGTCAAGTACCTCCACCACGCTGCCGAGAAGCTCGACATCGGTGTCTACTTTGAGGCCAATGGCCACGGCACCGTCATCTTCTCCCACGATACACTTGAAACCATCGAGAAGCACGAACCCCGCAGTCCGGGGGAGAAAGAAGCTCTCGACGTGCTACGCGCGTGCATCAATCTCATCAACCAGTCGGTTGGTGACGCACTGTCTGATTTCCTCCTCGTGGAAGTTGTGCTTGCGCACAAGCGCTGGGGACCGCAGGAGTGGTTGTCAACGTACACCGACCTGCCCAATCGCCTGCTGAAGGTCATCGTCAACGACAGGAGGATCTTCAAAACCACCGATGCGGAACGCAAACTCACCAGCCCCGACGGCGTCCAAGCGCAAATCGACAGAGAAGTGCAAAAGGTCCGCCAGGGCCGCTCCTTCGCTCGTGCCTCTGGTACCGAGGACGCCGTCCGCGTATACGCCGAGGCAGCCACAAAGGCAGAGGCCGAGGACCTTGCTAGGAAGGTATCCGAGATTGTCAAAGCTGCGGGTGGTGCTTAGGAGGCCAAAGACCCGATTCCCCTGCGTGCCCCGCCGCTGCTGTACAGGGAGAAGGATTTCATACAAATCACTACTGACGAGCTGAGCTTGACTGACGATGAGGTGGAATGTGCAGCTGAGCTGGAACTGACGAGAGCGAGCTTTGACTTGTAGGACTTGCACAGCAACTAAAAGTTTGAGGGTTGGGGGTATGCGGATCCTTCTCATTTCTTGTTGCAGAGATGGGCTAGGATACGGATATGAAAAACGAGAGATGAAAGTTGCATGGTAGATAAAAGTCTGTGTTTTATCTTTGCGATGAATGCACCATCATTGAGGGCGTGAAGCCTACTGGCTACCTTGAAGCCTGAGCTCAGCCTCGGGATCGAGCACTGCCATGTCCCACTCTACTGCCAGGCCTTGACTTTATAGGGGCTCTAGGGAAGTTTATCGTCAATGTCCAGCATCAGCATCTCCCTCAAGCCCTGTGAGGTTTCGAAGAGAGTTTATTTTTACCCTAGCTTTTCTTACTGTGGTGAGATGTCTCGAAGCCGAATGCCCTAACAGTCGCACATGATACTGAATTCTGGGCTACAGCAATCCACTATTCGATGGCAAAAAAAGCCTGTCCACCTACACCTAAACATTTGACAGAATTAGCAAAAAAATGGACACTGTGGGAATTGAACCCACGACCTTTCACATGCTCACATTTAAGTTGTGCGAAGCGAACTAAAGACTGTTAGAAATTTATAATGTTGAGTGGGTAGTAGACAATGCTTACAATCATACCCCTAGACCAAGTGCCCTGAGTTGAAAGATTTGTGAATTGAAAAACTCATATACCTGATCATAATTGAGGTCTGAGGGTTGGAATAGGGGCTACAGCCGAGATGGGATGGGAAATTTTCCGAAAATCCGGTGCTAGGGGCAATTCCTCGAATGAAAACGGCATGCCGAACCACTGACTCGTGGTTGAGAGTATGTGGGGCAGTGTTGCCACTTGGGTTGAATGCTACGGAATCAATGCCCCAGGGTACCCTCGACGAACATCAAATTGTACAAAGAGTGACAATTTAATCTTTTTGTTCGATTAGAAGTAATCAACTAATACGATTATGCTCGTAGGTCATGCATCAAAGTATACAGCAAGCTTAGTTTGTTCACAATCGAAATAATTCCGTGTATGACGTCAAGTCATCGCCTTCATTTTGGCTATGTTATTGAATCTAGAGACAACTTCTTAATGTCCTGTCTGGGGACATAGGTTCGTAGCAGAAGACAATTTCAATTCTTCCGCTTGCCCTTATACAGCTGTCCTCATTCCATGAATCGCTCTTCCAGCTCTCCTAAACCTTCTTGCTAGTAGTCTCCTCTGCATGCTTCGCAAGCGGGTGCGTAGGGTTCGAGCTCAGTCCCGCCTTGTGGTCATCGCTGACTTGCTCAGCGTTTCCCTCCTTTGGTGCGCCGCCCTGCTTGTTGACGTTGTCTGAGGTCGAGCCTTGCTGCGCATCCGACTGGTGCTCGGGGTCGGGGGACTGGCGGCCACCTTGTTGAGCAGACATCTTGAGTATTGGTTTGGAGCTGGGTGAAGTTAGAGAGAAGGACGGGTGAGCGATAGGAAGGAATTGTGGTGCATGCTTGGAATGGAATGGAATGGAATGGACATGATAGTATGGTGGTATGGACTCACGTTGTGTTGGTTGGTAGGTGTAGTTTAGGTGCTTCTGTGGGATTGTTAGCGATGCTACGCTTGCTAGGTATTCTTCCGCTGTAGCAACACTAACCTTTGAGTTTTCGAGTAAGTAGAATTCAATCGTTGGTGATGGTGTCTGAAAGTCGCCCCACGTTGCTTTTCATTGAGATGATGCCCCACTACAACTGACGTCAGACTTAGGACGCGACTCGATCGGGCAGCTGCACAGCAGCGACGTCAACGTTCTTTAATTGCGCGTCAATTGAGTGCTTACGAAGCCTGAGATCTTGCTGATAGATATTGCGTTCATGCAGAGCTGCCCATTTGCATTATCAGGCATGGATATTACATGCGCTCTCCCTCTTTCCCATCATGGCACAGGGGCTAGCTGTAACAGATTCTTGGAGACGCGGAATCGATCGTGATGACATGGCGTGTATACCTTCATGCTACGTATGCATATAGTGCTAAATATAACATCGTGATATACCTCAACTCCTCTTCCCCATCTCAATATCACCATCCCCATCTTCATCGTCATCCCACTCACCTCCCTTCAGTTTCTTTCCTACCCACAGCCCCATCATCGTCGCTGCACTAGCCGTAAGAAACCAGCCCTCAAACCACCTTTCTGTGAAACCTGGTTCTAATGGAGCCCCCAGGGCATCGCCAATCTTGCTCTTCATCTCAGGCGGTAGGTTACTCCTAAGTAGCAACGCCGAACTAATCACATACGTTGCCGCGATCTGCGAGATGATCAACGCGAAATTGGTTTGGGCGTGGTATAAGACACCGGGAACGACGCGAGCGAAGAGGTAGAAGGTCTGTAGGACGCTGTTGAAGGAGAGAAGGAGCATGACGCCAGATAAAAGAAACGAGATCGTACGACTCCAGGCTACACGGTCGATTGTGGGGTCCCAGTGTTTCGCTAGGAGGGCCAGGAAGTTGTTGATCGGGTCACTACTCGAAAAGCTGGTGGTTGGCGAGGAGAAACGACGGAGCGTTGTGAACGTCGTAGCCGCGATACGGTAGGCGCAATAGAGCGCAAAGCCATACGAGACCATGTTGAACAGGCGTCCGTGTGCAGTGTGTGAGCGTTGCTGTGACTGTCGCCGGCTCTGTAAGACCGTCAGGGAGTTTTGGAGAGTATGACGCATCGTCTCGAGACCTTGGATCTCAAGCTGTAGCGTGTTTCGCTCTTGAACATCGGGGTTGCCCCGTATTGTGCCCACTACGCGGCCCATGAAACCTGGCTGCGGATGATCCAAAAGCTTACGCTCGACAGCGCGGAGGCGACTGTTTTTGGCCAAGAGCATGTCGTTGGTCGCTTGTATACCAGCTTGCTTCCGCCCAATGTCAGACTCCGTAACCTGCTATAATCAGTACTGTCCAATATGTTGAAGTGATGCAGCACCTACCAAGCGATGTTTGACACCAAACGTCTGCCACAGCGAAGAGATAGCCGCAAAGCCAGCTAACGACGCCATCAGGCTGATTCCAATTATGCCTATCCTCTCTAGGCACCCTTCGCTGAAAGTATGATCGTGCAGATACGACTCCTCATGCAGGTATGAGCCCAACATCCCTCTCCCAAGGTACCAGAAACCTGCAAGCCATACCGCCATCCCGCAAAACTCCAATGCCCAGGCTACTCTCTGCCGTCCTTTTGGCACCCCACCAACATTAAGTCCGGTTCCTGATATCACCGAATGTATCTCTAGGGCAGGCGTTGCGACGACGAGGAGGAACAGCAGCGACGGAAGGGTGACCTTGAGAGCCAATATTCGCGTCGCACGGTTCACGGTGTTCGATATCTCGCAGAGGATGAGCTCGACTAGGACGGCGGATAGGGCAAAGTTGGTAGAAAAGATGATGCTTGCGAGGGAGCGCGCCGTGGGCCGTAGTGTCTTGAAAACCGAAGGGCTCTCGCGTGTGGCATAGCCAGGTTGATTTGTGCCATCGTGATGCGCCTTGCGAACCGCATGGCCTGATAAGATGGGAAATAGTTTCTGCGACGTTGCAATGGCGACAATCAGGAAGGTGAGGAGGAATGGAAGTGCTGATATAGCGACTTCCATCGCGTTTCGATGAAGCGTATACTCCGGGACACACTCATCGCAGTCGTCCTTAAGAGGTAGAACCATCTAGCTGGTGGTGCTTCGGGAGCGTAGTCCTTGTCGTGTCTTCACTGCCACTTCGTCCTGGTTATGGATGACGTGCGTGTATCCATTGACTCAGCGACGAACTGTGGTCACGTTGGCGCATTGAAGGATCTTGTGTAAGAGGTAACGTAAGTGAGGGATGGATTCCGAGACAAGGAACGCGCATGCGTTTCGCGACCCTTCCGCCAAGCGCCACCCTCAAACGTCATCACTTTGACCAGAGACCAGGGAGAGGAAGACAAGTTTAGACGAGCATTTTGCTTCGCCTTTGATCCTAACCATTATGTTTGTCATGCTAGCTACTCTTAAGATGAAAGATCCACCAATTACCGACATATCTGTCCTGTTCAATGAGTTCCAGTTGCACGAGACACCGTAGTCCGGACGCCTTCGAGTTGTTCGCAACATGATTGGGGGTGGCCTGATGCCATGTATCGCCCATCTCCTCTACGTATATGACAGGATGCTATGGCATCACTCTCCTCGCTACTGGGCCGGAGTAATAGGAAGAAAACTAGATGACACGGCGATGAAGGAAGAAGGTACCACGCTGCGTGGGCACTAGGTACCTGCTGAATCCTTCTGCGCCGCAGGCTCATGTTGAGGCTCCTCGGATTTCACGACCTTTGTGAGATTATCGACGTACGACGTTGCGTCTACCCCTACTGATCCCGGTGATAGATCTTCCACGCCCGAGGCCGCTGTGTTCGTCGACACGCCACCGTGGTCCTCTTCATCGCTGCTACTGGCTTCGCTGCTGAGGTCGGGGCTGTCGAGGTTCTGCAAATGTGGACTCTTCATAAGAACAGCAGGGCTGCGCGGGCCCCGCATGTCGTCAATCAATGTGTCAACCAACGTGTGCGTGCCAGCATCGTCGTCATCATCACTGTCATCGGCATGAGCGACCTGTGCCAGAGGATGTGAGTCCACAGAGGGTTTGTGCACACTGCTGTTTGCCCCCACAGCCGTAGCTTCCTCGTCGTTTGCGAAGAAGCTATTGCGAGGGCTATTGACATCGAGAAGACTTTCACTCTTCGCGAGAATGTCTCTGTAGCCCTGCCGGTCTGGATCGTTTGCTCGTTTACTCCTCGCCTTGTCGCGTTTCGATGTAGGACGGACAACGATGACAGGGACAGGCGAATGCTGAAGACAATATTTCGAGACACTGCCGGGAAGCAGACCCTGAAATCCACCAAGACTCTTGCCTCTGGTTCCAACAACTAGAATTGCGGGCTCATAAAGATTGATCTGACCTACTGTTAGACGCCATTCAAAAAAAAAATTTAAGATGCGAATCTCACCATGTCATCGATGACCTTATTCACCTTACCAACGGAGAACTCTAGTATTAAATTGATGGCCTTGTTGTCGTGATTGCGGCTCTGTATGTCTCTCATAGTCGTATCAGCTTCTGTGCGATAGCGTCCTGTCTCTACACTGCGGTCTCCAGCGATGGCATCCTCTTTCTCCACTACCCTAAGGCATACGATCTCGTCTCCGTCATCAACGAGCTCGTTGATCAGCCATTGTAGAGCGTAGACAGAGTATTCGTTCTCGTCAAAGCCGCAGAGAAACGTCCGTGAGCGTTTGGTGTATTCGTAGTCCTTGTGCTTGGCGATGAGCGTAAACGAGCTCTCCTCGATGAAGTCGGCCGGCTTGTCGAAAGTGTCGAAGGAGACACGGGGTCGGAAGACGCTGTGTGTGAAAGTTAGCCTCCAGGTCTGAGCCGATTGGGTAACTGTGAGGAACATGAGAAGGCGACCAAGCCTATTGCTCGCTCTAAGAGCCACCCGCGGCCTGTAAGGCATACTCCGCCATGAATGCTCGCCATATGCTGACTTGGAAAGAAGGGAAGCGGATGATGAGCAGTAGTGAAACTACTCAAGTTCCGCGGACATCCACACAAAGAGCCAATACTTACGGAGGAGGAGGCGGTGACGAAAGACGGCGTTTTTCGCGGGACTTTGGGCTCCCTCTGGGTAGCGATCCATTTCTGTGCGGCAGAAACTGAATAGAGGATCGACGTGGTTCGTCCTGGCTGAGGTGTCCGCTGACCGGCAGCAGCAGAGGGCTCACCGTATAGGCTGCTGGAGACTTGCGAGTTGCTGGAGAGGCGTGTCGTACATCTTTCGACGTGGGGGAAGCGCTCATTCTGGTATCGAGGGAAGTTCAAGGGCACGAGGACCTCGGGTAAGCCCAATCGCAGTCGTGGAGGATGTCTGGGAGGTCCGACCGCGAAAACCTGGCTGCCAACGCGGGCTCTTGCAGGCAATAGGTGCTGCTGTGCGTCGTGGAGTAGCCTTGGCGCGGGGGACCGATTGCGGGCGGGGTACACGATTCTCGACGGGAGCGCAGGGGGAGTTTGGAAAGAAGAAATGCAGATGGCGAGCGAGAAGGATGGGAGGACTTCGGAAAGAAGCAATGGTGAATGCGCTGCCTGATCTGGGCGACGGCAGCGCTTGGCTGCTTGGTCGTGTCGCGCCTGTGGTGACAAGACGTGATGGATGTTACCGGACCCTGCGAACGCCAAACCCGGGGGACGGCGGGGCATTCCGGAAAGCATGACACGCCAAGGCAAAGCGTCAGACGATTGTGAAGAACCTTTTGAGGATTGAAAAAGTGGTGTTTTGGCGGTTCGTAGGCGGGGTCAAGTCACACATGAAGAGAAACGGCAGCTTCGCTTTGGAAGTGATCGTAGAAAGAATAGTTCATGTCATTACCACCGTCAAAGTCAAAGTCTAGTTGTCTACCGCGAAAAGTAGGCGCTACAGAACAGGCTCCTTTATGCCAAAGACTTGAGCTCTCCCTCGGTGACCTTGCCAGCACCAACAAGGCGCTTGACTTCTTCCTGGAAGATCCCCTTGATCTTAGCAGCATCCTTCTCGGTGTTGAGTTTGCTGGTCAACGCAGCCAGCTCCTCGTTGTCAATCCTGGTGATGATGAGATCAACATCGTTCAACGCACCGTCGATTTGAGTGGCGGGTGCATCTCCAGAAGCGTGGAAGTAGTTGGCGTCCTTGACGGCACCGCGGACAACGCGCTTGTTCTTCTTCGCAGCGTTCTTGGCAGCCTCCTTTGACTTCTTGTTATCGGCCTTCGCAGCCTTCTCGGCCGCCTCCTTCTCAGCTGCGGCTTTGGCATCCTCTTCCTTCTTCTTGGCCGCCTCTTCGGCAAGGCGCTTCTGTTCGGCCTCCTTTTCAAGTCGGCGCTTGTTCTTCTGCGCACTCTCCGCCTGGCGGAACTTCTTGATGCGCTCATCGAGGGCCAAGGCGTCGTCCACCAGCCTTCGCAGGCGAGTAGTGTCCTCGGTCTTCTTCTTACGACGAGCAGCCTGGTTCTTGCGCTCGACGTGACGTTTTTGGTCACGGTTCTCGTTGTCGTCAGGAACATCCTCGTCAAGATACTCGAAAGTCCTCCAGCTGTCAAAGTTGTACCAGAAGTTGTAAAAGTGCTCGACTTCCTCCTTGGTGCTCTTGTCATTGCCCAACTTGGGAACGGGTTGGTTGTTCGAGAAACGACCTTCGGCCTCAAAGACTTTGCCCCAGAGCTTGTAGAAGTTGCCCTTCTGCGTGTCCTTCTTCGACGGCGGTTCCACCTCGGCGCCCTCGTCTACGGAATCGAACTGCCTCCTCCTGACAGGATCCGACAGCACCTCGGTAGCCTTCTGAATGCACTTGAAGAACTGGTCGTCCTCGGTTCCGCCGGCAGCAGCCTTCTTATCGGGATGATGCTTGAGCACCTTCCTGCGGTGAGCACGCTTGATTTGTTCCTCGGTGGCACGGTGTCGATGGCGGGTTATGCCGAGTACGGCGTAGTGATCTTGCGACTGTGATAATGTTAGTACGTTTACTCGTCCAGCAGATTATGGTATGCTCACCTTCCAGTCCTTAGCCTCGCGCTGCAGCATAAGAGGGTCCTCGGGCTCGTCGATGTCGTCGGGGTCCTCATCTTCAACCTGTTTCACGTGGGCTTGGGCCTGGATGCGGTCATCCTCGGAAAAAGTGCGCTGATGTCGCTTCTATACAGAGAAACCCGTCAGTACTGTGTGTGAATGCATTGCCCAAAGTGACGTACTCTGCGGGCATAGGCCAGGAAGTGTGGGCCAATAGGCTCGATATTGCGATCGGTAGCCTGGCTAAGCTGGCCGATGGACTTGAAGTCCTTCTCACCAGCCCAACCCTCAGGCAGGACGGGCAGCGGCAGCGAAATCTCGACGTTCGCCATTTCGCAGTGTCTTTGTCGTAGTGAGGGGGATGGCAAGGCAGAAAAGAAAGTTGAAGAAATCAACCCAGCCTAGCTAGCGTTGCCGAGCGATGATCCTGGTAGCGCCGGACTTAGACCCCGTAATACGTCGCAGATTCGCGTTTGTCCATCCCAAGGTTGCAGATGTACATTACAAATATGAGGTTTTATTAGCTGTCCTCTTTTCTCTTCTTGTATTCTAATCGCAGCATTTCCTCTCAACATGTTTCAAGGCCTCCAGGTAGCCCATCCCTTGTCCTCTTTACGAAATAGGAAGCTAACAGGGGACTCCGCAGCGCATTCGAGGTGCTATAGACGCCAAAATCGCAGAAGAACAGGCAAGGCAGAAAGCCAGCCATCAGTCCACTCCCCCGCGATCTACTTCCTCAACTCGGCGATCAAGTTCGCGGAATCTATCACCCTCAAAGCGATCGGCGAAATCAAGAGATGCAGACAGCAGCAAGGCAGCGTCTACTGGAAAGGGACCCGATCCCTCGGAGTTTGACCCAGAATTTGTCATAGGAGAGGAAGATGAGCAACCAAGTCGGTCAGGGACCCCGCGGCCGAAGGAGAAGACACGGCCTGTGGAATATGCGACCGACAATGGCGACAATAAGAAGGAGGGAGAGCAGGCTGCGGAAGGAGACGAACCGCAAGACAAAGAGCCAGAACTTCCTCCTGAGGTGCAGGCCCGGTTGCGAAAGCTGGACAAGCTCGAGCCTAAATATTCTGGTGCGTAGGAGCCCTGCGCTGATGGGCTTGGCTAATCTTGTTAATAGAACTGCTCCGGTCTTACCGCATCGCGCACGCCCGAATCGGCGCAATCGAAGTCTTTGAGGGGTCTTTACGCGAATATACGCCATTGACATCTATTAATGACTCGGCAGCATTCGTCGAATACCTTGGGCAACTAAACGTGAAGAGCGACATGCTCATGGAGGAGCTGAAAAGAGTCTCCAAGGAGCGCGATGAACTCAACAAGAAACTGGCCGAGTCCGAGAAGCGTGCCAAGGATGCAGCCGACGAAGTCGAGACAGTCAAATCCCAAGCCGCAGCCAGCACAGAGGCTGCCCATGACGTATCCGGGACACAGACCGAGTCTATCGCACCTTCGTCTTCGTCGAAAGCATCCAAGGAGACGGAGCCAACCGATGACACGGAGGAATTCTTCTCTTACGACAGTGAGCTACCACGCTTACAGTCGCAACTAAGAGATAGCGAGCAGAAGGTCGGGGAACTCGAGGAGAAGAACACATCACTTAAAAACGAACTCTCTTCAGCACAAGAATCCGCTGAGTCTTTCATGCAGAATCTTGAGACTACTACGAACGACTTGAACACGTTCAAGGATACCCATCAAAAATTACAGAAAGAGGCTGATGAACGTGAAAAGGAGCTTAATAGTATGGTAGTGGATCTGAAGTCGAGAGTCGAAAGCGCAGAGCAGGATTTGTACAAGCACAAAGAGAATCATGATCGAGACGAGAGGACCATTGCCGAACTTAGGGAGAAGCTCGCATCTACCACTGAAGAATTGGAGGAGTTACACGCCGAGAAAGGAGAGAAGATCGTAGAGAACGATCAAGTTCAAGGGTTGCAAAGCCAAGTGAAATCGCTGGAAGCTGATCTATCGCAACTGCGTGAAAATCTTGCAAAGGGCGAGAAGCGGAATGAAACGATGAACGGGCTGCTCAGCCGTCTGCGCGAGCAACTGAAAGATACCGAATCAAAACGCGACAGCACTTTGGCAGATCTTGAACAAACGAAGAAAGACTTGGAAGCCGCGTCTCGTGAAACAGCATCGATACAGAGAGAACCTTCCCCCCAGCCCCAATTGGCGCTTCCTCAAACTGCCGATACCGCATCGTCGAAGAAGAACAAGAACAAGAGGAAAAAGAAGGGCGGGAAGGCTCCAGATGCAAGCCCAGCGGCTACTCCAGAAGCGACACCTAGCGAAGCGGGGGATGCGAACGGTCTCCTTAGCCCTCGTGATGCAGAACCCCCGTCTTCGCAGCTAGAAGACGCACAAAAGAATGTTGCTCAGTTGAAGTCTGAACTACAGGAAAAGATCGTAGTGATTGAGAGGCTAGAGGGTGAGGTCGCGGTAAAGGCAACATCGATCGACGGGCTCAAGAAGAGGATGAAAGATCAGGATGATATGCAAGAGGAGATTGACACCCTCCGACAGGATCTTCTGGACTTTGGTGTAGAGCATACAGAGGCCAAGAACAAGGTAAAGGAGCTACAAGCTGAGAAGACTGCTCTACAGGAGAACTTGGCGAAGCTCGAGAAGGAGATTGCAGAGCTCAAGACCGGCAAAGCTGCTCATGATTCATCTCAGCAGGAGAGACAATTGTTGACGGCTGAGTTTGAGGCGCTCAAGTCGAAGGCGAATTCTCTACAAACCGATCTTTCCGTTGCCGAGAAGCTTGCTGCGTCCCGCTTCAAGGATCTCACCGACATGAGAGAGGTACTACAAAAAGCACAGCCTGAGTTGGGCTCGTTGCGCAAGGAAGTCGCCGAGCTTCGAACTTCTAAGAATGAACTTGAGACGAAAACTACGGAAGTACGACGACTCGAAGGCCGTGAGAAGGATCTCAAATCGGAAGTCGCTACCTATCGTTCTCAGCTATCTGACAAGGAGAGCGACATCAAGACACTTAACGAGAAGATCAGACAGGAGACTACGCAGAGATTGGCGCTCGAAGAAACCAACCGTAAGATTCAGAGAGATCTTCAGAAGTCTGAGGTCGAGCGGAAGGACGTCATTGAGAACCGGGACCAGTTGACAAAGGATTTGACCAAAGCACAAGAGGACCTGAAAAAATCCCGGAACAAAGTGCAAGAGCTAGAGGAAGATGTTGCTAAGCTCAAGCGCGAGGCTGGAAGCTTGAGGGACGATATTCAGCTGAAGGCTGCCCAGTATGCAAGTGCACAAGACCTCATGAACAGCATGCAGGATCAGACGCAAGAAATAAGTACGCAGATGAAGGAAGTCCGCTCAAGAAGCGAAAGCTTGGAAGAAGAGCTTGCCGACGCCCATCGGCTGCTAAGCGAACGAGGTCGAGAAGCAGAGACGATGAGGAGATTGCTCAATGATGCTCAAGGAAGAGCGGATGCTCGCGTGCGTGAGATGCAGGAGCGCCTAGATCTTGCAGTGGAAGAGAGGGAGCGTGCTGAAGAGCAAGCCAGCAATTTCAGTCGGCGGCGAGCCCGAGAACTGGAGGAGCTGAAGCAGAAAGTTCGCGATGCTGAACGTGCAATGACACGTGCGGTAGAGGATAAGGATGATCTAGCCTCTACCGAGAAGGACCTACGCCATCAGAAGGAAGAGTTCGAGAAACGAGCTGCACAGGCCAATGAGGAGGCTTCCGAAGTCCGGCTCGCCATGAGCCAGCTGCGAGATGCACTGGATGAAAGTGAGAGGCAGACACGCGAGTTGGACAAGGAGAAGACGGATCTTCGACGCGCATTCGACGAGACACAGAGCCGTCTGGAGAAGCTCCAGAAGTCAAGCAAGGTACGTGCCGTGCCCCCCTCAGACGTCCCAGATGCTAACAGACTGCAGACCATGTCGGAAGAGCTTCGAAGCATCAAGACACGCGGGGCAGATTCCAACGCCCAGTCTTCACGGTCTTCTCTCGAGTCCTCGCGGTCACGACTTGCATCCCCTACGCCCAAGGGCAGTGCGTCTTCAGCACAACAAGGCGATGTGATTGACTACGTGTATCTCAAGAATGTGTTGCTGCAATTCCTCGAACAGCGAGATAGGAAGTACCAACAGCAGCTTATACCGGTCCTGGGCATGTTGCTACACTTTGACAAGAAGGACGAACAGAAGTGGATGGCGGCAGTCTCGGCCAAATAGTGCGCCTGATGCGGCTCTACGCGTCAGACGTGCAGATGAATGGTTCAGGGATTACGTGCAATGCTCGGGTGGTACTGTCTGGAGTGTCTGTTTGCTTTGCGTAGTTTTGCTTCTGCACGCTGTGGTGCAGTTTTTCTTTTTGCCTAGCGATTAGTGTGTACTACTAGGGTGAATGGGGAGTTGGGTACTTGTGTGGAGATTGCAGGTATCGATCATGTAGCATTAGGTACAGTAAGTAGCAGGCGATGAATGAAGACCCCAAGTGATGGTCGCTGCAACAAGCCTCGTTAGCATCAATCACGTCGGATGCCCAGCGGCCAAAACAAGAAGTGTTCATGCACTGAATCAGCAAGTCGAGGGTCATTCGAGCGCCCCATCGGCAACATGACCGGGTGTGGGCCAAGTGTGGCCATGCTACCATTTCTAGCCTGTGTGTGTGCTCAAAAGGCTGGTGATGTCATCCCATGTTTCGACGGTTCACAGCGTTGGCCTGCTTCTTACCGCCTTCTCTGCGAACCAAGGCTGCAAACCACCAGACACTCTCCGTCTCCACGTCTATCCTCATCCCAGCGACCAACGCAGGCCTCGAGAATTCGCGCAGTCCAGCCCGCCCGCCGTCACGCCGTCACGTCTCAGCGCATCGCATTCGTGCGAAACACGCCCACCAGCGCACCAATCAGCGCCCGTCACAGCGATAGGGCCGGCGAGGGGAGCGCTAACTAAGCCCATCTCCAAGCAATTGAAGAAATCGCCTGCAGTGCGACGACAGCCACTCTGCGCGTGGCCTTTGCCTCCGCATACCTTTGATAGAATCTCCACCTTGACGTCCATGAGCCCAGTCCGACGCGTCCAGAGCGCCTGAACGCAACCCACCACCCCAAGACCCTCCTCAGTCCGCAGCCCCAGCGCGTGGCGGGGAAGCCCAAGATGAATGGCACCGACATCAAAAAGGCCGCCATCAACAAGGCAAAGCAGGTCGCGCAGGCAGCGAACGGCAACGGCGGCAAGAAGCGGCGGAAGGGCCAGGACTTGAAGCCCATTATTACCACGGAGAAGCAGGCCAGCCAGGACGCCTCGCCTGCGTCGACCAACTCTTTTCACTACAAGTACGTCCCCTTATACTGTCCCTCCCCCCAGGCATGCGCCTGCCCCTGCTGCGCTGATCGCCTGCGCTGATCGTCTGTGCCCGCACCCTAGACGGTGCCTGAGAAGTGCTCGACCGCAGTCGCAAATTGATTGAGACTGACTTCAACCCCGCAGTGTGCAGAATACCGCCTCACCACTCGCCCAGCACAAAATGTACGCGAACCAATTGAGCCACTCTCCAGACTCGTCGTCGTCGTCGGTCGACGAAGCAGACAACACAGCCGACGAAGAGGATTCAGAGGATTACTGCAAAGGCGGCTACCATCCGGTCCAGGTGGGCGAGGAGTACAAGGACGGCAAGTACACGATAGTGCGCAAGCTGGGGTGGGGTCATTTCTCCACCGTCTGGCTGTCGAGAGACAACACCACCGCCAAGCACGTCGCACTCAAGGTCGTGCGCTCCGCTGCGCATTACACCGAGACGGCCCTCGACGAGATCAAGCTCCTCAAAAAGGTCGTCGACGCGAACAAGGACCACCCCGGCCGCAAACATGTCGTCAGTCTGCTCGATTCCTTCAACCACAAGGGTCCCAACGGTATGCACGTATGCATGGTGTTTGAAGTACTGGGAGAGAATCTACTCGGGTTAATAAAGAGGTGGAATCATCGGGGTATACCCATGCCGCTGGTGAAGCAGATTACCAAGCAAGTATTGCTAGGCCTCGACTACCTCCACCGCGAGTGCGGCATCATCCACACCGATCTAAAGCCAGAGAATGTCCTCATCGAGATCGGCGACGTCGAGCAGATCGTAAAGACGTACGTCAAGGACGAGTCGAAGCAAAAGGACAGCGACGATAGCAATAGAAATGGCAGGCGGAGGCGAAGGACGCTCATCACAGGGAGCCAGCCGCTTCCTAGTCCACTCAACGCGAGCTTCAACCATGCCGAGCTTGCCAACTTCCCCGGCAGCACACAAAGCCTTAATAGGATTGTGAATGAGAACACAGGTAAAGAGTCCCCAACGACTGTTCCGAGTCCGCTTTCACAAGATGGTGTCGTAATGAGTGGTGCTCTAGCAACTTCATCGCCGGCATCGAACCTGTCCATGGCAGAACGGCTCGGCATCAAATCAGGCGCAAGCGAAGACGACGTGCAGAGGCATCGAGAAAAGACTGCGTAAGTAATACTATCGGCTGTTGCTGCCTTTTCTGACTTTGTCTAGCGATCTCCTCACCAAAGAAGTATCGGGCATCAGCCTCGATAAGTCCAGCAGTTCCTCTGGAAAGACAGAACTGGAGCAACAAGTCGAGAATGCTTTCGAAACCATCTCAGTGAAGATTGCTGATCTTGGCAACGCTTGTTGGGTTGGACACCACTTCACCAACGATATCCAGACCAGGCAGTACAGGTCACCAGAAGTCATTTTGGGCAGCAAATGGGGCGCCAGCACCGATGTATGGAGTATGGCTGCGATGGTATGAGTTCCTCTTCACTATTTCAGGCTTGCGTTAACGCGGCGGTAGACCTTCGAACTGATAACAGGCGACTACCTCTTCGATCCTCAGTCTGGCACAAAATACGGCAAAGACGACGACCACATTGCCCAAATCATCGAACTTCTCGGCACCTTCCCGAAGGGCCTGTGCATGTCCGGCAAATGGTCACAAGAAATCTTCAACCGCAAAGGCGAGCTTCGGAACATCCACCGACTCCGCCATTGGGCGTTACCAGACGTCCTACACGAAAAATACCACTTTGCCGCGGAGGAAAGCAAGAAAATTGGCGAATTTTTGCTGCCCATGTTGGAATTGCTACCGGTGGATCGGGCCAATGCAGGAGGCATGGCAGGCCACGATTTTTTGAAGGACACCAAAGGCATGGAGAATGTAGATTTGGGTATTCCGGTTGGCAGCAAGGGCGATGGCATTGAAGGTTGGGCTACGGAAATCAAGAAGACGCGGTAGAAAGTCATAAAGCTAGGTTCCTTTTACTGAAAGCATAGGCACAAATCTGGTATGGCGGTCTGGTTAGCATTGTGCGATTGATGAATCGATGAGACTAGAGCGAGCGGATACGGAGAGATGGCTAAAGAGCAGGTAACATGCCAGTAATGACTCATGGCATGAAACTGACCTATCCTTCCCCCCCTTTCCCCCTCAGTATCTTTGTGTTTTGGTTCTTTGCCTTCCTACTGACTGGCTGTCGTTGGCATACATCTTGCTTGAAGCGTTCGTTAAATTAGATTGCGGATGAAGTTAGGCGTCTATACTTTTGTGTGTTGTGGGATGCACTCATCTTTTTGTGTAAATGGGCGGTCTTCTTTGTCCCTCTTTAAGCTTTACTCGTTACTATTTCATCGATATATTTAGGCACTATATCAGTACCAGTTATGCTGTTAGGTTAACGAAAGCAAAGAAAAGCATATACGTATACATTACTTTATCATTCGGGATGTTAGGAATTGCGAAGTCATTGTCCTGCGTTGGATTTCGCAGGAAGTTCGTGTAAATCCGTTAGACAGCATAATCTCAATCGGGAGTAGAGTAAAGTAGAGAAGGCTACCTTAGCCTTGTCGTGTTTCGTTACCAACGACGTTCAACATTAGAGGTTCCTAGCTTATGCGGCGCTTTTCTATGTATAGCTATAAATTCCGCGCCGCACGATGAAACAATGTTCAGCGCTAAACACACCACTCCGGCCAATTGATTCTTAAGAGGATTTCCAAAGCGCCTACGCCCTTTATCGCTGGTTCTGTGAAAGTACTTTGAGTATACACACCCTAGTTCTATCATTAATACGCTTCTAAGTTCTCAAAACCCGAGCTCACGATCTAAAGATGATAAGCAACGAGGTATATCTCGTCCTGTTCTTCGCCCTTCTTCCTGTGTGCAGCGGTGCCACAGCGACGATACCAATCAAGCGCACAACCATTCGCTTCAAATTCGACGACTGGCAACTGTATAACGAATATGCCGGCGCCTTCCAACAACGCGAGGTCTGTGTGTCACAATTCACAAAGGAGTCTGCGTATGGTTCACAGCTGACTTTGTAGCAGGCGGGGCATCAGCATCCGATGAGTCGCCATGATCATTCAACTTTCTACCACATCCTTTACACCACCTCGATAGCCATCGGTACCCCACCACAGCCCTTCACGGCATCCATTGATCTGAGCTGGTCAGACATGTTCGTCCCATCTGTCCAGTGTCTGCAAGACCCTGTGACGGCGCTGTACTGCCGGGGACAGAACATGTACAACTCATCGCTCTCCACCACTTATCACCAAAGCAAGACTGTCACTAAGCTCATGTATGAAGGCCTCTCGACATTAGGCTATTTGTCGCAAGATGTTTTGAGAGTTGGGGGTCTGGATATCCTTGACCAGCAATTCGAGGAGGCGACCTTCTGGCGATCGATGTACTCGAATGCAGCGCCCCTGGATAGCGCACTGGGCCTTGCACGGCTCCAAAGTCGCACCCCAGCATCGAACGCTAGTACGAAGAGCGCACTGCGGAGTATGCTCAATCAGAAAGTGCTCAGCCGCCCCGTGTTCTCGCTTAGGCTTCCCCGTCGTGATGATGAAAGCGGCGAGCTGGTGTTGGGGTACTCTCCCTCGGAAGTCCTGGCACAAAGTGCGGTCACCCTTCCTCTAATCGAGGCCACACCTCCCAAGGAACTTAGCCAACTATCGTACTACATCTCGAGCGGATACACCGTTGAGTTGGAATCAATAACCATCCAGTCTTCTCCCGGCAACAGCCCCAGTGGCAGGAAATCGTCCACACACAAAGCTGTATTCACCAACTCTTTCGACTACATCTCGCTCCCGGGCACACTGCTCACTGAGATTCAAACTAATCTACACCCAGATCTAGGAATGGACGATCAGCTTGCGGACCTGGACTGTTCGATGCGGGACGATCTACCGAATATTGTGTTCTCGTTCGGCAAGAACGCAGTGATTGTGTTGACGCCGTGGGACTACTTGACAGAGGTCCGAGATATTGAGAAGGGGACGCGCTGCGTGCTTCCTTTCGCCTACTTACAGCAAACCGATGACGAATGGGTGGTGCTAGGTTCCGCTTTTATGGAAGGGGTGTATAGTGCATTTGATTTGGAGAAGGGTGAAGTGTCGTTATCAATGTTAAAGGAATAGAGTAGTACTTCCGCTAAATATTTAATAAAGAATCTAATTTCAGTTCTTCGCTTTCTCTAATTGTTATAATTAAAAGGTTCTAAAGCCGGCGTACCCGGCCTTAAGAGGGATTCTCTTCAGTGAAATTCTGTATACTTCCAGGTTGGCGCATTCGTCTAAGAAGCGAAATGATGCTCTCTATAGAAATTAACTAGCTGAGAATAGGGCGTTGTATGATCCGCTCTAGCGTTGACTTTACTTTCAAACAAAGAAGTCACGACCGTAATCCGCCCTTCTAGTCGGTATTGCAGATCCACAGCTGTGTAAATACGTTTGAGGTGTCTCGAACAGTGCTTTCAAATAGCTTTCAAATTCTAGATAGCCGGCTAGCACAACAGATACTATGCACCTAGCGAGTATCAACATTCAAACTAAAAGGAAGCGGCGAAGCCGGACTTGAGTAAATAGGTGCCAGTACAAAAGGCTCACTCAGATCTTGATGAGCGCTAAGTGCGAGATACCCACGGGTAACTACGAGATCTTGCGCCGAGAGCCATTAGCACACGTAGTAGACCAGATATACATATTCGTACATGTTTTGATTTATTCAGGCGGCCTGTGAAACATGTCATCATCAATGGGAGTAATGAAAGTGAGGGTTCCCACTGGTGGGCCATGCGCGATGGAATATTGCACGGCAGCATTAACTAGCTTCTGAATTGGAACATCTCTCAAGGACTGTAGCAGCTCAACATCCTTCACCTGCTTGCAGCCGAAATTTATCCCAACACCTACATTACTCGACCTTCAACGAGAATCGAATAGCATACGGCAGTCCCCGTTCTCATCTTGGAAGACCATGAAGCCACACTGGCTACGCAACTTTACCGGCAAGTCGTCCTCAGGAGGGTTTTCGAAACTAGGCTCGACCTCATTCCCAGTCTCGGTGTGCTGGAGCTTCTTCTGGTGCTGCCGGGCTCTAGCTTTGGTGAGAACCGCGCTACCCTCCTCCACGATGACGTTTCGGAGCATTGTTACGGCGTGTGGAAACATAATGCCATGGAATCGTGGCCTGCCGCTCAAGTCGTGCAGAAGCTCGGCAGTCACTGTGTTCATTCCGATGCCTTTGTCGAACATTTCTTCCGGGTAATCGAGAGGTGCATGCGTGAGACAGTGGTCTTGAATCTTTCTGAGCAACTCCATGCAACGCAGATAGAATTCCATAACATCGAAGTTGAGAGCGAACTCGTCCATCTGAACAGCATCCTTGAATGTGCAAAGGGTATCGAGGGGTGAGAGCTTTGTGGAAGCACCCTCAGGCCCTAGATAGTCCTTAATGAGCGCGTCTAGCATGACTAGGATGTCCTCCTTCGCTCTGCTTGACCCGGATATCTTCTTGTAAGGATTTCCTTGTCGCTCGTAGCTAAGCTGTGAGAGCCTGGCGAGGTAATCGAGACGCCGATTCTTGCCTCGAACACAGTGAATTCCTTCACTACCCAGACCAGACTTTGGATACTTGTAGTCCTTAGCATACCTAGTGATCCCCAAGCCCCTAGCAAGGCCCAGGCGACGAGCGATCTCGATACCTTGCTGCGGCCTCGCGCCCACAAATATCCAGTCACTGCCTTGCTGCTCGATGAACCAATCCATGTCAGCCCACTGGACATCTTTGGAAAGAAACTCGGATTGATGGGCGGCATTATAAAGATGCGCAGCCACTAGGATCTGGCACTGGTCACCGGCCATGTCGAAAGAGGTTCTGTGATGCTCGTCTCGGATATCGGCGAGAATTAATCCACAGAGTGCCGGATGACACTGCAGAAGGGAGAATCCTTGAAGCTCGAGAACTTTCCAAGGGACTTTCTCTTCCCTCTGGTCCGTAACAGGCTGAAACTCGACATCTAGTGCCACGGCCACGATGTGATTCCTTCGGGCTTCCATATCGCTGCGAAACATTTTGTGTAATCCGCCAACCTTGTCAAGTCCCTCCGTATTGAGATAGACCTGGTAGCTCTCTATAAGCTCACGGGCGGTCTTTCCGAGTAACTGACTTCCAATCTGCAACATGGGACCCAATTCCCTTTGTGTGTCCCACAAAATTTGCATCGCAAAGACAGCCCAAGTTTCAAATCGACGCTGACTCATCAGCATCCAGGCGGCTTTGTGCACCATGTCATTTTTATAAGGGCGATCTGGGGTACTCATATCCATGGGCAAAGTTCCCAATTGGGAGATAGTTTTGAGGAATCGTTTTTCGTCTGTGTAAAGTCGGAGATTCTCCTCATGCTTCTGGGTTTGGAGCATAGATACCACTAAGTTCATTGTGTGAGTACACATTATAGTACTTGGTCGTAGCATCTGCCCACCTTCTCTATATGTGAAGGGGTCATTGCCCTCGTCGCTTGATTCAAGAAACACTCCGCCTTCCTCCTGCTTGCAGTAGCCCTCGTATACGAACTCGACGATTTTGGTGTGCATGAATTCCGCAGCAGTCGCTTTGAACTGCGGATGTGCCTCCTCGAACTCGTCGTTAAGCCTCTCAATCATGGCTAAAGCGGTGTTCATGGTAAGTGCGGCAGCCTGAAGTCCGATTTCACCACGCTTGAACTCGCGCCACGTGCGCCTGACGAACAATCGGATGTCAGTGGCGTCCTTGAGAAAGCAGTAGATGGCGAAGGAGATGTCTATATCCGATGTCTCTAGCTTGTATGCCACAGATCTCGTCACAGAAGCGATGGCCTCTGGCATGTCGTGCGACTCATCAGTCTCCTCGAGCTCCAAGTGCTCAAACATATTGGTGACTCGGTCCAGTCCCGAGGTCGCGGTATTCTTGACAGTATAATTCGCATGCGGCTCTTTGGGCTGAAGAGTATCCAAGACGCCTTCTAGAACATTTATAAAGTATTGATGGCCCGCATTGTTGTCCTTGGTGGCGTTGTCTGCTAGGTCCGCGTTAACGCTGTACCAGCTCGCACAGTCTTTCCGACCTCGAATGACAGCGCGTAGGGTGGTAAAGACCGATTGCGGCACTTCGACATCTTTGGCACATGCGATGGCTTTAGCAAGTGTACCGAAGGAATTGATGGAGACCTGGTATGTCGTAACAGCTGGTGTCAGCCCGGCCTTCTTTGCCTCCTTCCTCGCTTTGCCCTTGAGTCTTCCCCCAGTCGGTGGAATCCCCTGTTGCGGGCAGCTCTTGAAAATCTTGTCAACACTTCCAGTAGCCCGAGCCGTTTCCGCAAGCCATTGAACGAAGTTGTTGGTACCGGTCTTGTACTTGCGGTACGTGTCCGTAAGGAGAGGTGCTAGCCCCATCTTTGCGCAGGCGGTAGGAAACACTCGAAGAGAGGATGGGTTAGTGATTCTGTCGCTGTGTTACAGGCGCGTAAGAATCCAAGATGGGGGTGGTTGAGGTTAACAGGTCGTTCAGGTGAGAGAAAAGACGTGTAGAAATCCTCGCGCCAAGTCAAGGTGAAGGTGAGAACGGGCCATGGGCAGGTGTTTGCCGTGACGTCGCCTCGACGAGTAGCGGTATCTAGCGGCCTATTGCCTTGAGAAAGTACGGAATAACATTGCATACAGATACGTATGCGTACAAGAGAGAGAGAGAGCGAGAGGTGTGGCGCGATAAAGCATAGAAAGATGAAAGAGCTACTCTGGGAGATGGACGATAACAGGAAAAATGTATCTAGCACACATTCTCTAAGTACAATTTGAGATTCTGCCTCCAAAGGTAATCAGTGATCGTGTTACCATAAATGCTGACATGGACCGATACAATGATATGCAGGCCGCGAAGGGATCCGCAAATAGGAATAGCCCGGGAGAGGTACGAGCTATTATCTCTGTTGGATGATCCTACATATGAGATAACATGTCAAGGAAGACAGCGACAAAGCTCTCGCAGATGAGTTGGAAGTTAAAGTGCCAAGGCTCTAACCCAATACCGGACCGCTTCCACCCTCGACTTCTCGTACTATCTCAATCCATCTCATCGTCGGCTTCGTCAGCATTAATGCTTTGCGCATCGTCATCTACAACGTCGCCCAGCTATTTTGAATCTTGCACCAAATTTGGAATGTTATAGAAACGACGCTGGATGCGCCATCTGCCCCGAATGATACGCACCCCATGCCTCATTGTTCGTATAGTAGCGAGCGGCACACATATCCTCTCTCCATAGAAGGGAGGTCGCGATTTCCGATATACAATCCGGGTTGCGGGCATCGCCACCATAGGTTCTCGGTGCATGAGAGGTTGACGATGGGAATGGCAAACCGAAGAAGCAAGCTTCTAGAGCTCCATAGCCGCCATAGCTCGCAGCTACAAGTAAGAGTCACAAGGTAATCCGAAGCTAACACGTGGTGTAGATGATCTATATTCTATCTATACATGTGAGGTATTTTAGAAAGTGCCTACGCCCCAGGACTAAGTCGGGCTATCCTTAATCTGTGGAAGAGGATTTGCAAAGCGCCTACGCCCTGGTTGAGCTATCGCTGGTTCTGTGAAAGTACGTTGAGTCAATCTGTGGAAGTACTTTGAGTGCGAAGATGTTTGCGGTTACGTTGAATATGCGAGAGGATAGAGAGAGAACTCTGCTATGTATTCCTATGTACGTGTGCTCAATTGTTGAGCCGAAAGGGTGGCTGCTAAATATGTACATGCTGATTGAAGAATAACAGAAAAGCCGCCGACACCCAGAATTCCCCCGAAAATCGCTATACCGGCACCTACAAGCAGGAGTTCCATTCACCACCACCAACGAAACCTCGCTGTAGGCTAGTCTAGGCCTACATGTTTACCTCATTCCCGATACCAAGCCTGATGCAGCCATCTGCGCGACCTTCGACCTCCGCCTAGACCTGTAGTTGGTGTCATCGACAAGCCAGTCGTCGTCGTCGTCGTCGGATTCTTCCTCAGACTCTTCGTCCTCCTCAGCAACTCTGCTCCTGGGCGTCCTCTGCTTATTCGGCCTCTGAAGCGGACACGCAATGCCCTTCTGTTGGCCGGCTTCCTTGCCTCCACGCCCAGGAATTGCTGCACCTGGAGGCTGCTTGTTCTTGCTCACCTTCACCTCTGTGTGGGGCACAGGGTTACAGCGGGACCTGTGGATGACATCCTTAGAGGCCCTTACGCATCGAGGCTTGATGACACGGGGAGCCTTGTCTGCTGGCAGCCGCATCTTCTTGGAAGGCGGCGTGTCTGCGCCACAGTCCAGATTCGAGCGTGGGCGTTTCTTGCTCTTGTCCTTTACTTGGTTGCTGTCGTGAATCTCCGTGGAGTAGCCAGAGTCGGTAGAGTGGCTGGCCTCACGCGTCGGTTCCTTCTCCTTTCGTTGCGTCTTTGTCAACCTTGATTTAGGAGCGGCCGCCGCCACGAGCTGAGCTGCATTGCTTATTGCCTTCTCCGCCTCGACTTCTTGCGCCCTTCGAGCCCGCTCTTGACGTTGCTTCTTCGCCGCACGTTGGTTTGCGGCTCGCAAATCTGCGGCCTTCTTCTGTTTGAGCTGTTGGTTATACGCATCTACGGCGTCTCGACCAGATTTACCGGCAATCTCTGCCAGTAGCTCCAGAGGGTTGTAGTACCTCGCGGTATCAAGAGGTACCTGCTTCATTATAGCCTCATCGCGCAGCTGTGCGGAGTCCAGGCGTTCACGCTCGAGCGCATGATAACGTTTGGTGAAGGCTTTGTCGTCTATCATCAATACCTCGATAAGATACTGCGTGTCGTCCTGTTCTTCTGTGTCCAGATGGCGGAGCTCAGCCTCGTTTTGAAGCTCGTCAATGCTCAATGCTCTGTACGTATCAGAGTACATGAAGCGGGTGGGCATATTGGGGGGTCGAATTGGAGCGTGGTGGTTAACGTGACCCTGTCGCCCAGAGTAAGTCTTCTCCCCGTTGATCGAGCCTTGTATCGCAGCTTCCGAACGGGTTTGCAGCGCAGATGGAGGGTTTGAGCGATCTGCGGTGATCTTATCGGCGCCAATAAGATTGCTGTCGATTTTTGGTGCCGGATGTGCAACACCAGTAGCTTTCGCCTTCGAAAACCACTGGGTATAGTCGAAAGTTTCACCTCTTGAATGAGGTGATGCACCCAGCCTCCAAGGTGTACTGAATGACGCCTTTGGCCCGTTGTAAGACAAGCGGGTTTCACGGCGCGTCTTCTCTACGCGACCACAAATTATGTGATCGGATTTTGGTAGGCTAGTCAAATTAGGAGACTGGGGGCGATATTCTGTGGTAGAGGCAGCCGGGTGACTATCCCGGGTGACAGTGTAACGGGATCCAGGGCCCGAGGATCGACCAGGAGAAGGGCGAGCAGTACGAGGTGTTGAAGGGGTGTCCTGAGTCTCGTCAGCCGGGCAACAGTCACACTGGGTCCTGGACGAGGTGGTAGTTACTGGAGTGCGCTGGGTCGTGGAGGTAGAGCCCCGAGTGCTTCTTGGTGCCGCCCCTTTCACAGTAACCTCGCGCAGGTACTGATCGGCATTTGAGCAAACTTGGGTAGGCTTTACAGATGCGTTGACGGCTTCCTTTACCTCTTCCAGTAGAGGAGAGGCCATGTTGATGGTAGGGAATGTGTGTTGTGGAAGAAAGAGCTATCGAGTTGAGTGTGTGGGGTGGGTGCAGTGTTATGATGAGAAAGTCAGTTTTAGGAATTGATGGGCAAGATTCTTATAGCTTTTGAGTGAAAGTTGATGTAATCACATGCGCGCGGGTAGCAGGGTGCGTGAGCAGGCAGAACTACGGTTCAGAGTGAAACTGTTTATTGGGCGCGTACCGAGATTGGATGTGTGGCTCCCTTGTTATTGTGAATAAGTGAGGTATTTTTGTAAAAGAGCTTTTTTGAGAATCTTACATTTGGTAATGATGCGACCCATAAGCGATGGATGATTACGCCAATGCCTACCCTGATGACACTCAAATGCCCCCAACAGGAAGTAAAACATGCAAGAAAGTGAAGATATAGTCTGGATACCTGCTATATGAGTTCATTATTATTGAGACTAAGGTTAATTCTTTGAGAAAGAAAGATATCATTGAAAAAATAAAATATATCAATAATGCGACCCACAGAGTCATGAATGATTATGCTAACTCACACCCCGATGACGCCCAAATGCCCTCAAAAGGGATGAAAACATGATAGAAAGCGAAAATCAGTTTGAACACCCACAACATCCCGTCACGCCGCAACACCGGCCCTAATACACCATCGTCCGGCCGTTGCTCTTCGTGTAGATGACCTTTTGGTCCAGGTCACCATGCTTGTCGCTATCCTCCTTTAATTCGTAATACTCCTCGGCTTCGTCCTCTACTTTGGGATCCTCAACTTTGAGGACCTCCTCTAGCCTCTGCTCAATCTCCTGCCTCTCTCTAAATGCAGCACCAGCTAGTCTTAATCTGAGCTTCCAATCAGTGAGAACTTCGCCTTCCTCCAATAGTGCCCTCCAACGGAGCTCGTGCTCGAGCTGCAGGCGTGTCATGTCGTTCCATTTCTGTTGAGCCGCCATATTTTTACCAAGCTGATAGTAGATGACCTCGGCAAGGTGCGCCTTGTTGATTGTTGTCGGGGGGTGGCGGTAGGCGTTGTGAAATGTTTTGAAATCGGCCGGGTCGAGCAGTTTTAATGCTGATGTGATGAGACTACCAACTGGCAGTGCTTGTATTTGGGAGAGAAGTGGGCAGGACATCTTGTATGTGGTAGTGTCTTGGTGTCTTGGTGTTGAAGAGTGTCTGAAGAGTGTTTGCTCTTAAGGTTTGAAATGTAGCTGGTAATGTAAAGTGTGTGGACTGATGAGATGGGGAGAGACAATCTAGCAAACAAGTTATATACTACTGAAACAACCGTGTGATCCGAAAATGGAAGCGACATGATATTGGGCAATTTGTAACAGAATGTACCAAAGATGGAAGTGATTATATCATTCGATAATACACTGAGGCGATAAACAAAACCTTAACAATTCGAACCAGACTAGCATAATAAACCAATAGGAAGTATGCTGATTGTAGACTTCGAGCATTACTCATCAAACAAGTCACTAGGTTACTGGCCTGGAGACGAAAATCATAGTAAAAGATCAAACGTGCTTGCTCGGTCTTTTCGGCCCTCAGTTGTAGCATCCAGATGTTTTTCATGTACCCTAGATAACTTCGACGCTTCCCATACTTCTTATTTAGCACTTTCAATACGCATGATACGCATGAAGGGTGTCGACATTCTGTATAGCTGTCTACTGCCTAAGGAGAGTGTCGAGGCAGCTCTTGTCCGCTTATGTAATCGAGTTGGACGATGTCGATTATGTTATGGGCAAAGACTACGAACTGTGGTTCAACAGTTTCTGCCTTGCACGCTGCCACTGAAAAAGTAGGTCGTAATGTGTTCCACGATTGAGATACATCAAGTCATAACTCTTACGGCTAGATAGGCCTCAGGTGAGATACGGACCCTTGAGAAAGATAATTCGTCAAGTAGCGACGAGCCTAAAATGGAAGGATAGCATTAGTCGCATTGCCCAAACCCTCGTGGCTATTCTACACGTACAATGAAAAAAAATTGAAGTTCAGGGTCTGAGCAAGATGTCATGTATGTCTTTCTCGGCGGTTCACTGATTAGAGGGTTCGAAAGGCCACGGCTGTCTCACTTGCGGTTAGACATCGGCCGGCGCTACTTTCCTCCGTCAGCCTCGGTGTTTGACCTGTTTGCATCTGCGACAGGCTAACTTTCTGGCCAGACAGTTACATCAACGCCACACACGACACTATCAACGCACCTATTAACATCCTCTACCTCCCATTAGACGCTTTAAAACCTCCGAGGTGCCATCCCGGACCCTCAAACTCGCGCATCCAACCCAACAACGACGCACTTCCCGATCGGCGGTGAACTCCGCATACAGACTTCAATAGGGAGCGGACACAGCATACAATATGGGTGGATACTTATCAACGTTCACAAAGTTGATTTGGGCAAAGAAGGAGATTCGGATACTGATCCTGGGTCTTGTAGGAGCTGGTGCCTGAAATACTTGTAGGACAGGACGCTGATTACAAATGTAGGACAATGCCGGCAAAACCACGTTGTTGTACAGATTGAAGGTACGTCGAAGCTGTTGTATGGGCTCGAAGAAGATGGGCGCATAAAAGAAGAGGAGACATAGGCTAACATTCATGGCAGATTGGAGAAGTAGTCACAACGATACCGACGATTGGCTTCAACGTCGAATCAGTAACATACAAGAACCTTAATTTCAACGTCTGGGTATGCCTCTCCTCCATTTTCATTTCTTCACCGCCGACAACAACCCCCGCTAACTCACTATAGGATCTAGGCGGCCAAACCTCGATTCGCCCGTACTGGCGCTGCTACTATGCCAATACCGCTGCCGTAATCTTCGTCATCGACTCCACGGACATCGAGCGTCTCACCACCGCATCCGAAGAGCTACGCGCCATGCTCAACGAAGAAGAACTACGCGACGCCGCCCTACTCGTATTCGCGAACAAACAAGATCAGCCGGGTGCGAAGGGCGCGGGGGAGATCAGCGAGGCGCTAAAGTTGGGAGAGCTGAAGGATCGGAATTGGAGTATTGTGGCGTGTAGTGCAGTGGACGGCCGGGGAGTGCAGGAGGGCATGGACTGGCTAGTCTCGAACGTCGGAGAGGGACAAAACTAGGCTTGCGCGTGAAGAAGGGAGCGAATGAGTTAAAAGACTGAGCATGTGCGAGAGTTAGAAGGGGTATACCAGCATAGTGGCGTTTGGCGTACGATCTGTGAATATGGGATGGCAGCGATTCTGTCATTGGGCAGGAAGCATGGAGAGAGAGTCAAGCCTTAAACTGGGACTTGCAACATACGGACTTGGAGATGCATCACTAGTATAATTGTCTGTAGATAATGCATCTATTGGATGGGCACTATTCAATACTTTCAAGCTTAGAAACTAATGATAGGTGCCATTGCCAAGGCAACATATATATGTACTGCTCCACCCCAATAATATTACAACGAGGAGACGAATTAGTGAGACAGCCTGCCAGAACAAAAAATCAAAGGCTATAAGCTCGAAGCTTTGCCGCGAGGAAAACACAGGACACGCAATGTGCCAGACCCACACAGAAGCCATCCCTGAACGCCATCGCTAACATGAATCCAAGAGACAAAGTAAAAGCAGAAGCAAAAGGGAAACGTAGCCGCCGGTGCTTTTGTGCGAGAGAAACAAAGGGAAGAAAACGTATGATATCCACCGACATATTACTCCCCACGATATTTACCCTCACCTTCTCTGCATAACAATCTTCGCATCTTCAGTCCGTAGAAACTCAAATACTCCACTATTCAACCTGTCGAGCCCATCTTTGAACAGATACTCACTCCCCTCGGTGTTCGTCATGACCCTAAAGGCCATACACAGCAGATCCTCTGGACTCAGGCCCTCAATCGTACTCATATTTTTCCACTTGAGTCGCATGACGCGGAGATCATTCATCGCCAGTAGCCTATCGACTAGCACCGCGGCCTGCACACCCGGCTGGGCAGCTATAGAGTGGCGCAACGCGGTGATGGCCTGACGCTCGTGCAACCACGCGGTCAAGATCTTGGAGATGAGGTCGTAGTGCGGGGCGAGATCAGGGCGGAATATGGGTTCGCCGTGGTACCAGAGCGTGTGCAAGCGGGAAAGGAGGGCGGGTTCGTCGGGCGGCGAGTTGGCTTTGGGAAAGAAGAAGGTGAAGAGGCCAGCTGTTACTTCGCATTGTAGGAGGCGGAGGTCGGCCGATGCTGCTGCGGGTCTGGAAGTTACATGAGGTGGCTGGACGATTTGGACGGGGTCGTTTGTTTGGCTTTTCAGCACTGGTTGCTGGTGTACAGTATGATGAGGAATACTGGGTTGCATATGCTGCGTTGGTGGTGGCTGACTGCTTGGGGCTGCTGGGGCCGTTGGGGCCGCTGAAGCCTTATGCGTTGGAACAAGCTGCATTCCGTATGCCGGTGCGCTTTGTATCGATGATGCAGAGGCTACCTGGGTAAGGGGGGTACTAGATCGACTAGTAGGATTTGGTGCAAGAGAACGTCCGCGTTGAGGAACGGAAGGGGTATTAGAACGACTAGGGGGTTGCTGTTGAGGTTGCTGCTGCTGAGGTTGTTGTTGTTGTTGTTGTTGTTGTTGTTGTTGTTGTTGTTGTTGAGATTGTTGCTGTTGAGATTGAATGTAGGGCTGAGATGAACTATGCGTAGGCGGTTGTACGGGATGCTGTGTTTGAGTTTGGGCCTGTTGTGAGGTCTGTTGCTGAGGTTGAGGAGCAATATATGCACGATGTGCATGATGAGCGTGCTGAACGATACCATTGGCTCCGTTGACGTAAACAGGTGAGTCGGGGGTCTGGAATCCTTCGGGAGCTGCAGGTGCGGTGCCAGGAGGGGGTATAGACCGAGAATCCGGGGCATTTTGTGTCGTGGTTGAGCTGCGGGAGGCGGCGTCATAAGGGCTAGTATAATTAGTGATCTCACGACGGTTCTGGACTGGCGAGATGTGCTGCGGCTCTCGTGATGACGCCTGGGCGGTCTCTCGTACTGGCTCGCGGACAGGTGGCGTAGTATTGACAGCGGTAAAACCGCCAGAGTTCACAGCGGTGAAGCCACCCGAGGTTGGTGTCTGTGTAAGTCCAGGAGGCCTCGGGACACCATTAAGCTCATTGCTGGCCAGAGGACTAAGGTGAGCACGGCCAGGTTCGGCTCCAGAGCCGGCGCGCGGTGATAGATGATGCGCGTGACTTATTATTGGTGGGGTGTTTTCGGTACTATCCGGACCAGTAGGGTAAAAAGATTTCAGAGACCTCCTGGGGCTGCCTACCCTGTTGGTTGGCATCGTGTTGTATGGGCGCTTGGCAGGTGAGGCGGAATTGTCTTCCCCATCCGATAGAGACATGTGAGCAGAGCTTTTCCGCTTCCTTAGATTGATGGGATGCACTTCTAGATCAGGCCCAGCAGACGCGCCTCGCCCTGGCGGGGTGATGTATGACCGCGGTGTACCGTGTGGTGACTAAGACTCAATTAGCAGGATGATGATGGCGGCGGTGACGCAGTTCGATCAAAGGTAGAGGTAACGTACACCTCCCTCGCCATCAATATCAGCGAGCGTATCGTATTCGTTTGCACCAGAAGGCCTCTTCAGCTTCATGTTTCGGATATAGTAGCATGCCTTGATGATGATCCATCGATGCAAATGTATCTTGAGGCTACAAACAAGTTTAGTACAAGCGTCAGCACATGGTGATTGAATTGCTTACGTCTCTTTATGTTCAGGCTCTTCGTAGAATAAATCCCTGTTGTACGTCTTCTTAGTGGGATCAGGTGTGAGTAAGCAGGACCGATCCGCATCCCTGCTCCAAATAGCGGGTCCGTAAGAACCGAGTAGTTCATCCAATTCTTTGTCCAGCGAGAGCGGGTCCGCCGCAAAATCTAGCAACGCATCTCTTTCCTTTGGCAATTCCTTGGAGAGCTTGGTGACCTCACTTGACAGCTTGCGATAGTCCGGGTTGTCGAATTTGGGGATGCCGCGGTTGGTGGTGGAGCTGGAGGCGGACAAGCCCAAGCCCAGACATTCCGTAACCTCGCGTATTGTCGGGTTATGCGAACTGAAGACAGAAATCCAGCGGGCTCGATCCCATCGTCGAACGCCGTGCTCCAGGTCCAGAGCCAAGTTGTCCTTGGAGCTCATGGCGACGCATGTGTGAGGATGAAGAAGAGAGGCCGAGGGAGGGGGGATGAAGATGGGACGGCGCGCGCCAGAACGGTTGGAAAGGACGGAGTGAGTTGGGGTGCAGAGGCGACGACGGGCAAGGTAAAAGGAGTACGCTCCACTAGCCGCCTTGGACAAAGTTTGTTATTGCGAGAGAATTCTGTCAGTCTCGGATGCCCGATCCGCCACTACCGTACCGTACCAGCACAGCACCAATGGCCGAGGCACAGTGCAGCAGACGCTTTTCTACAAAGCGTCAGGTGAGGGCGGGCCGGCGGCGATTGGCGGCAGCAGGCTGGTTGTAACGTGTAAGAGAGGCGAACGGTAGGCTGCGTCGAAAAGATACCCAGAAAGAGCAGCAGAAGAAAGTGGCAGGGGGCGCATAATACGCGTCCAGGTCCGAGTATGACTCGCGCCAATATTTCCTATAAGTGTAATCATAGTACCGCCATGTTGCGATTGGCCGGGGCAATACCGGATCCACTGCTCCCCCCTTGCCTCGTCGTGTACGACGCTTGTGATTATCTGTTGTTATGCTAAGCATCTACCCCCATTGTACCGTGCCAATCTCGCTGCTAGAATTTATGCTAGCTTATCCTTTGTGGGTCAAAATATCCGACCGTCTTGTCGAATCCAGCATTAGCCGCCACCTGCACGCAGCCAATTACCCGAGCCTGCTACGCCTCCGTAAAAACTGCCACGGCCGACAGATACCCACTTCATCTCGTCTATGACGCGATCGTCCTGGGTGTGCCCTCCCCTACTCGCGTACCGTGCAGTTACTCATCGGTGTGTAACGGCCGACGCTCCACTCGTTTCTGCTCCACCATGGCTGCTGGCGTCGTGTAGAAGAAGACGCTTCATTTTTCATCTTCTTTTTTCCGTGCGAGCAGAAGCAGCCGCAGGGCGAGTGCCACGCTAGAGATACGGCCAGGGCGCGCCCACTTGCATTGTTGTCCTTTTTGGAGAGAGTGTAATAATAAGGCGGCCGGTGTCATTAGAGTTTTCGTGTGGCGTGGCTCGCCGTAATCACCGTCTGTGCTTTCGTTACAACTTCTTTCTATTATTGTAACGTGGCATTAGGGAGACTTGGGCTAGCAGCATGATTAGGATGACACACCCCTTCGCACACCTGCATGGCCCATTAGTCGTCGACAGCTAATAAAGCAGGGGCCTAGTGCATCTTGCATGCAGCGCTGTAAGTACGCTATCGCGCGCGTCGCACCCAGCCAGGCATTGGACCATCTCAACGGTGTGGGGATGTGGCACAGTAGTCTACTACCCTGGAATGTCTGGAACACCGGTGATATAGCTGAGACGCCTACGACCAACTACCCGAATGCGACCATGTAAACGCGGTAATAATAAGACGTTCATCCTGATCATTGGTGGGACTCCACAACGCCATTCAAAGTCAGCACACTACCCACACACAGTAAAGTCTAATCAACATCAATGCCCACACACGCCTCCATCAACCACCAACAAACCACGACACCCCTCGCCCGTCTTCCTCTTCCTCTTTTCGAAACATCTCCAGGTGCTCGCCCAGCCACCTCACTAAGCCCGTAAACTCAACCGTCTGCCACTGCATCTCGACGGCGTACTTCTCACCCGCCAACACCACAATGGCTTGTCGAAGTAGCTCGTCTCGGTCAATGACTATGTTGGGACCAAGCCCGAAGCCTTGGCCTATATCTTCGAAAGCGGCCATGAGGGTTTGTGTTGCGCCCATGAGGGTACGATGTTGCTGGATGCGGCGCTCGATTTCGGCTGTTGAGTGACCTTCTGTGCGCCAGCCTAGAGCGTGGTCAGTATGAAATAAATACAATGCGTAGAGAAATGCAGATATGGTGATGTTGGACGTACGGTTGTCTGCCCGTTCAAGCGCTGCCAGATGTCGCTTGAGTTCGATCCATGTCAGAAATGCTCGCTCTCTCGCGATGAAGACTTGTATGTTTTCGACCATTTTGTCGTAGTCTGCTCTCATGCCCTCCCTCCACGCCTTTTCAAGGCAGTTCAGCAGGGTTTCTTCGTCAAATTTCATGCCACCCTCCTCGCCGTATATGTATGAGCGCAGCGCCCGCAAGCTCTCATAGTCAAGGCCACCGTACGATACACTATTATTGGGGTGGGGTATCTGTTCGGAACTTGCGTTGTCTGAGCGAAAGTTTGCTACAAGCCTTGCGAGATCGACACTGATTTGACGGTCGACGGCTGCTTGGTTTGCGTTTACAATCTGTTGTTGTACCGCTGCTTTGCTTTCGGCGGGCTGTGGAGGGACTCTAGGTGCACTATGCTCTCTTGGCCCATTCCCCTCGCTCGCCCGTCTGTTCCAGACCCCCTCTACAGTGCCCTGAGGTTTCTGTTCATGCTGTACTTGATGTGTGCTCGGTGCTGCAGTGAAGCCAGTTGCACTGCCGTTAACAGGTATGAATCCAGCTCCGTCGCGATGACCTACGACAGGACTCTCGCCCGACTCGGGAGGTGTGAGCATGGTGGTGGAAGACCTCGGACTTCCACGTGATCCTGTATCGATTTCATATAGGACGGAATTTGGAGCAAGCGCGACAAACAACGCGGGCGGACCTCCCTCATGGCCAGGGTAGTCAACGTCAGCTCGCGCATGCAGGTGCCGAGTCTCTGCTTTCTTTCTCCTCTCACGGTCTAAACGTTCGCGCGCAAGGATGACGTTGCATGCTTTGAGGCCTATCCACCAATGTAAGAGTGTGTGAATTCTACGCGTCTTTATTAGCCGTCGTCCGATGAGTTTAATTTGGGTTATGCGCATCCTATCTTGACACACGTTGAGGACACACTTACAGTGCTCTGTCCTCCTCATTGTCAAAGTTGAGATCTCGCGGATACACGCCTTCTTCAACACCAGGCTCATTTGCCGTAATCAGGTGCTCTCGATCTCCCATTCTTCCCCAGATCTTGGCACCATGCTTCTGAATCAGTCCATCCACCTCGTGTTTCAGACTTCTTTCTTCACTCAAGAACTTCATCAGCTCCTCCGGCTCTTTCGGCAGCATTGCGACCACATCGCCCATGTCCGCCACCAGCTCGCGCACTAGCGCAGACTCAAAATTAGTCTTACCCCGTTTGTTCGATGACCATTTGGCGCGTAAGCCGAGACGCTCGATAAGCTCATGCATTCGCACTTTTGACCGGTTCTTCATAATGTCGAACCAGTCTTTCGACGTCGCATAGTCGATTGATGTGCCGTCCATGGCGGGCGTATTGCGTTCATGCACGGCGAAGAGTCGCCAGCTGGTTCCAGTTCGGGCACGCAATGACGCGCAATGTCAATTTTCTCTAGTCAGACAGGGTGGGGGTTAATGTGTAGTGCTGTGTTTCTTCGGTATGATTACGTGCAGCTGCGCTTGGATGTGAAAAATTGCCCAAAAGTGGCAAACGAGATGGCGTGAGACTGGGGAATGCGAGTATGGGGTTGTGCAAGGGTAGTGAGAGGGAACCAGGAAATGAAAATGGCTCGCAATAGATGGTTTTAGTATAGAGGAAGGAATCATGATGCTGGGCTGGGAAGGTTTCGCGTACAGGTGCAGAAACATTAGACCAGAAAAAGCAGGCGGCATAAAGGGGCAATACTTTCCGATTGGCCCCTCTCGATCACCGACTTACACAAAACCTTGTGCAGCCACGCAGACGACTATTGAACCTGCGGTAGTGCGTTCCCGCCTCTGTCTGAAACCCAATTGCAAGAGCAAGACCAGGATTCGACAACGCAGATTTCTGGTATGCACGGCTTTCGGCGGCTTCGTTCATTTTAGAGCATCCGCTCACTTTTCGCGACACTAGTGACCGGATATAGTGCATCGGGAATAAGATGCCTACATTGATTGACAGACAATCAGCAGCCGCAAAGAGAGAACAGTACAATCCATGTACGGAACTATTACTTGTGACTAAAAGTAAGATAAGAGGGCAAAGATTTATTCACAAAGCATGGGTAGTAGGGATTCCCTAGGTTCACACAGAAGCAAAACTTCGACTAGGCCAAGTATAGTATTGATCGTACCTAATGTGCTGATGATTTTCATATCCAAATAGTGTGTGTATAATAGGGAAGAATATAACCCTTTCTTGCGATAGATTCCAGTGGCGCCGTCATAACTTACGCTGTAAGGTTTTGGAAAGGAAGCGCCTGCCTTGACGCTAAACAGATCGAAAGCGAAGACATGTTACGTTGCGACCGCAGTATCAAGAGGCCGACCCAAAGCTGTGAGCTCCATGTCAATCTTTATGTGGGGATTGTCATCCCAGACCGAAGATTGGGCGAGTGCAGCCTGCACACGGTCAAAAGCGGTTTCCGTTCCCTTACGAGTAACGATGGCCCTCCTTGTTTGACTGGGAAGTTGATACGTCAGACGCCACAACCTAGCCTCTGCCAATATCATCGCGACAGAAGGAATCGCCTCGGTATCTTCTTGTAACAAGCTGAGCAAGCCACTGAACGACTTGCAGTCCTTGATCGTGTGGACAAATTCATACTCAATTCCATCGTCGTTGACTATCCATACAATGGATACCCGTCGAGCTTGCTCATCAGTGAGATCGAGGGGGATGACCCGTGTAACGTCCACGGCAGTTGGGGCCCTTAGAAGAGATTCGTGAGCGTCTAGGGAAATTGGATCATGTGTTGTCGGTAGGATGCATTCATTGTTGTGTTTGTTGTTGTTTTCGTCATCGTGGTCGTCATCGTGGTCGTCATTGTTGTTGTCACTGCTGTCGCTATTGTTGTTCTCGCTCTTGATGCTTTCATCTAGACCTTCCTGCTCGGTTGCGCTATAGACTGACCAGCTCCTAGTGCCTTGCACGCGGCCATTCTGGATGTCTTCATTGTTATTACCTGCACTCAATCGAGCTATGGTCGTGAGCGGGGTACTTCGTTTGGCCGTACTCGAAGAAGCAACAGAAGCTGGGTCGCTGGCTGAGTCCATTGTCGGACGCTTTGCTTTGCGACCTTCAACCCCTTTTAGCTCAGCTGGACCCAGTATTGCTCGCACCGTATCCAGCGTCCCAACCTCTTGGCTTGTGTTGCGAAGTGTGAGAAGCATGAATTTGTTGTCAAAAGTATCCCCTGTCCCACCGTTGCCGTACTCATAAGGCCGATAGGACTGAAGCCCACATAGTGATGTATCACTCAACTGAGGTAGCATGATACAAAACAGGCCTGTCTCATCATCACCGTCCAAGGGCATAATGACAAGTTTCTGCTAACTGTCAGCATGCATTTGAATTGGAATAGACCCTTGGTAGAATTGGACTATGCCGTGACGGGCTAGCCAACACTCAAATTCACTGTCTAGGATTTCTGGAAGGCAACTTACTGTGTTGCCAACGAACTGAATCTCACGCAAGGTGATGATGGCTGAGTCGTCTCCAATGCAACCTCGGCAGACAGCACTCAGTTCCTCTCCCGCGCCACCATGGATGGTCGGTGGGAATGGTGTACTGAATCTCTTGCAATTTGTCTTTAGGTTATCGAAAGAAGGTAGGTTCCGGAACCTTTCCGTGTGTCTGTCTGGAGAGAGATAGCCAATCCATACCCCCTGCAAGACGAGCTCGTGCGCAGAGTAGAAGTGGCCTCCTGGATGGACATGAGTATTGAAGCAGTCAAAAAGAAGAGGAGCCTCTTCAAGCTGCCCAGGCGCTGTAGTAGTATCATCTGACAGAGATATCCCAAGAGCAGATAAACTGGGAGATAGCATTGGCGAAGTCAAGGCGCTGGATGTGTTGCTGCGGCTGTTGTGTCGCTGATTGGCAGGTATGCCTACTCTCGAGATAGTGTCGTCCACTTTATCAAGGGACATGCTCTCGCGTGGTTTGCGCAAAACCCAAGCACCACTGTCGTTGAGATACATCTTGTGGGTGGGGTTAGTTAAGACCTTGAGATTATACGTTTTGACGGCTGCGCGGGCCCTCGCAGGTCGTTCGTGCGATTTCTGATGCGACATGACGGGCTGCTTGTGTGGAATCAAACGCCAGCTGGTTTTGCAGACAATGAGTTACTGTGCCACATGAGGAGCGGCAGGTCGCACTTGACTTTCTGGTGGTTGGCGTTCCTGGTTGGCCACAGCTTCAAGCGAGCCAGCCCCGATCATCGATCGCCAATCGTATCGCAATGACAGGTCGTTCTTTGGATCTTTTAACAAAATTCTCGCGCTTGAGCCTTGATTGAGGGACGTGAGTGGTATCTGACAACGATCAGTAGCTGGGCATCAACAGCGATAGGCGTAGCACGAACCTCTCCCTTTGAAAGCTTTCGCTCCTCTGTATTCCTACGTATATATCGCTGGTGGCATTTCGGAAACTCACGGCAGTGGTAGGGCATAGGCGCTTTGCAAATTCTCTTAAGACTTTGAGAATCCCTGTTCCTCTGCACCCCATCCTGAACGCGGAACGATGCCTCGAGGCGTGCGTCGGAACTGGACCATTGCAGACCGCTTGGAACTTCTTGGCCTCCAAACATGCGACAAGAAGCGACAAGACCATTCTTTGGCTACAAGACGTCCTGTCTTCAGATATGAGCCCGTCATTACACTGTACTACACTGAATTATCTTCGCTTTCTAGCTTGCTGCTCCGCGAAGAAGTTACCAACCTCGACCGATTTGACCCGCACCTCTTTGACAACGAGCTGGGAAAACTTCTGGAGACGTATGGTCCTCTGATTTGGCCCGAAACAGGTGAAGGCAACAGATTGCATCTTCTTATGCCACAAGAGGGCACGCTGTATGAATCAGACCTTGTATATCCGAGGGATACTGCTGTGTAAGTGAGCTGCATCGCGCAAATGACGCTTGTTGACACGTTGTATAGCCTAAAGAGACACATGCGGGCGATTGTTCTATGCAAAGAGGCTGGCACTGATACCAACGTCGAGGGACTCATGGCGAAGACGCAGAGGGATTCAGAGCTCAATGCACATAATGAGGCTAGCTCAGCCCAAGTTACACCACACAAGAGGCAGGCGCATGATACTTTGCCAGAACTATCCAGACATCGGCGGAAAATGCGTATCGAACAGAGGAGTGACGAGGAAAACACAGGCGAACTCAGCTCCGAAGATTCAACCCCTGGGACTAAGACACGACATCAGACTCGAATGAAGAGCAAACGCTCGCCCGAAGCACAGTTCAAGATCGAACTACGACTCTATCGCAGAACAAAACAACCTATTCCTCCTAGGCTAGGACCCGTTTGGCCTTGCGGTACTTTGTTCCTCACCACTGAATGGAACTCGTCCGATCACTGTTTCTCTCAGGTTTGCGAGCAGATTGAAACCGACTGCAGTTTCATGGTCTTCCAACTACCTGAGGATATGTCACGCGAGGGGCAGGTTCGACTGGATCGAGGGTCTAGAGACTCAGAGGCAACATTCGAGCGTATCCTTGGCATCTTTCGGAAGGCAGGGAAATTTCCTGGTAAACCCCAGCACCGTTCTGTTGAGGTTGAAGTCGGCCTTGAATTGCCCATGGAGGACTGACCACACTGCTTATCAGTTTCTCCAGTCACACACCTCTGCAGCTTTTCCATAGCTCCTCACTCTTTAGGCACGAACTTTGGTATATCAATGACCTCTTTCCTATGTAGTATTTTCTTGAATGCGCGGGTATACTCAGTCAACCCTTCGATGTAGTTAATACATTCGCCTAACTCAATCAACAGCTCGATGAACGCTTCATTGTACATACCAAAACGATGCTCTCTTGTCTGCTCTCTTTGTACTAATGTCTGCTGCGATATAGCATCTATGCCCACGAATGTTTGATCTATCTCAAACGAAGAGTACTGAGATTTAGCGAAGCATCAAGTTCCTAGCGTTCGACAAAGGGAACGACGGTTGAAATTCAGATAAAGGCGCATCATGTTGTGTCATTAGCATACAGCTAATTATAGGAGGGGAGCTGTTTTGGTAGCATCACGGCATAGGTAGCTGACGACGCAACAGTAAGGTAAACATCGCAAGGTGCAATACAAACTCAAATCTCGGAAGATATTATAGTCACATAGCAAAGTCTGTATCGGTGCCCTTTAGCCTCTAGAGAAGCGATAGTCTGGAGAGCTTGTTCCCTGTCGCGCGGAGTAGCATCCGGCGTCAGCATTCCATTCCTTGGGTTGTATCCTTGCATCGTGTGCCAATAGTGGGGGACTGAACAAAGCTTCTGCAGACCTCTATCACGTCCTCTCGTCAATCTTCTGTCTCTCCTGTCTCTCCTGTCATCACCCCGACGACATCGACGCTGCCGCACGGGATCTTGCGCGACGTACCTGACGGTTTTCAGCCTTCACTATCCATGCCGCCATCCTTAAATGGACAATGGCAGCCGATCCACGACCGAAAGCCCTGCGGCTGTGCCGTATTTTTAGCTCAGCCACCACAAGTCGCGACAAATGCGCACGAGAACTTGACCGGAAGATCATCATGAAGTCGTCGCTGGAGCCTTCCTTATTTCTTCAACACCCCTCCTGAACAGCACGACATATGGAAGCTCCTCATTACACCTCACTTCCCCGCAGTGTACCTGACACCTTTCCAGGTTCTCGGGCCGTCAGCATCCTACCCGAGTCACGCTGATCGATAAGCGCAAGGCTGAACGAGTCACTCGTCCAGTGAGGACGGAGAGAATATCGCAACACTTGTTCCACGACTTCCGTTCGCTCGGGGGTTATACTGTCCAACTGGTCGCTTCGCTTGAGCAGCAAATTCAGATTGGTGTCTGTCAGCGCGGCTTGCTGGAATGGGGCGAGGCTGAAGCGTGCGAACGGACAGGCTGCAAGGTACCTCAGCCGCGGGGGTGCAACAATATCGTGCCATTTATTGGGCTTTCTTCTTTCCAGTGTCCTGGACTGTTCTTGTTTGGACGTATCTACTTGGACTCTACCGTGCATACGATTTACGATTGTCAAGTATCTACGATTACGGCCTACAATACGAATAGCGCATACAGGGCCATTGGCGCATATCTGCGATGGAAGGAGTACCCTCTCCTCTCCAGATAGGCTCCCCTACCACCAGACGACCCTCCGAACCATCTATACCTACTGCCCTCCGCGTAGGTTCTCCGGCAATTGGTGGAACCCCGCCTTCCCATGCTCGACCACCACTTGCACGCAAGACCACCTCAGGGAGCTCAAATAGGCTTTCGCAGCTCTTTCCGTCCCGTCCTTCCTCGGTAGCGTCAAGTACACCCCCCGAGAGTATACCAGCATCAAGACGCACGTCGTATCCCTCGCCTCTTGTACCAGCCGCAGAGCCCTCCTACCGTACACCTCGCGCCCCGCCACGTCCATCATTCGCGGAGGACACTTCGTATAACCCATCTGCAAATGCATTCAGTCAGCAAGGCGCTTCGCCGTCGTTACAGAGCAACAGTGGGACAAAAAGGTTGTTGAGCCGGCTTACATCACTGCGCAACGGAGGCTCTAAAGGTGGAAACTACAATAGGCTGGACGATGTGGAGTCAGGATCCTCTAAGGCGCGGTTGCGGGGTGTCGAAGAGGCGGATGAAGCGGTAGGCTACGATCTGAGTGGGCTGGATGGCACGCCGATGAAGAAATTCGAGCCTCCAAAACAGAAAGCTAGCGCAACAGATGCGATGGAGCGGGAACGACATATGAGCGAGGCTGGCCTTGCAGCCGAGTTCGAAAGCTTCGAGGCAGGAATTGGAGCCGGCATGACCTCGATCCTTCAGAAGCCTTTTACACATACCCCGACTCAGCCATTGCAAGGAACGAACGCTGGTCACAGGCGCGGGTTGTCGGCCTCGGAGATAGTCAATGCTCAGGCCAAAGATGCGCAAAAGGAAGCCGAGAAAACAGGCGACATTGTTGCTATTGCGGATATCCCTGTCGACATTAGTGACTTTGCTGCGGGCAACGATTTTGACGCCCGAAGTATCATGACGACCGATACAGGTCTGGCCAAGGATGAAGCGCAGACCAGTTACTTCTTCCCACCTGGTGAGTGCGATCGTTGACCTTCCAATAGAATCGCGTTCTGATCATCTTGCAGACCCGGAACAGCCCGCATGGCGACCTTTTACAATGGGCTGGCCGTGGATATTCCTACTTATTGTCGTTGCGCTTAGCCTTGCTGGCCTACAGGAATTCTTGTGTCAGGTATCAATGAAGAGAGTCAGAGATGATCCAGAGGGTGGACTGGTACAGTTCAAGAAGGCTGGCGACCTGACGGTGACTGCATACTTCACATGGCAGTATGCGCCCATCATTTTCTTCGTTTTATATGGAATACTTTGGCAGATGACAGATTTCGAAGTCAAACGACTAGAACCCTTCTACCAGCTATCGAAGAAAACAGGCGCAACTGCCGGAGAATCACTCAACATGGATTACCTCACCTTCATGTCTTGGCTGGTACCGCTGAGGGCTCTTCGACACAAGCAGTTTGCCGTCATTTACAGCTCCGTGGGCACGTTGGTTGCTAGCAGCCTTGTCCCGGTGCTGCAGTCGGCCTCCATCAACATGTATCCACCGAAGAGTCAGCGCAAAACCGACGGGTGGAAATCTGTACGTATCGATCCGCCATGGTCGAGGGCTGTCTCGGCGTGCTTGGTCTTTGTTGCATTCTGCGGCGCGGCACTGATGTACGCTATGCGACGAAATAGCGGTCTGCAATCCGATCCTAAAGGCATCGCTGGTATCGCAGCCATGGCTACCAAAAGTCACATTCTTGCAGATTTTCGCGGACTGGACACGGCGCCGCTCAACAAGATCCATAAGCAACTACGGCATCGCAGGTTCATCCTACACAAGAGCTCCCTATGGCAGGGTGAATATATCCGCAACAGCAAAGACAAGATTCACGAACATGGTACGGATCCGCGACCCCTTATGATGAAGCTGAGATCTGGTGTACCCTTTATCGCGTTTATCGTCGCCTTCATGGCTTCAGTACCAGTCTTCATGTTTGTTGAATCTACAAGTATCGTTACAGAAAAGCTACCCTTTCTCATGACGGGCCTGGCCACAATTATCAAGATCCTCTGGAACACTATGAATTGCGACATCCGCATGCTGCAGCCCTTCTTCATCCTTGCAAAGCGGCATGCTCCAGCAAAGACTCTCACACTTGATTACGCCGGCACAAATCCTCTCTTCCTTCCCTTCAAAGCGATGCTCAACGGCCATTATCTCGTCATGCTCGTTGCATTTGGCTCCATCCTTGCTGAGGTTCTCACCGTTTGCGTATCTTCTATTAATGTTGACGGAACGAAATTCGTGCCAGGCCACGGCGGCGAAAACGTCAAGTCCGAAGACGACGCAGATGACCGCTACAACACCGAACAAACCTTTCGCTCCTTCTGGTCCTCTTTCGCGCTCACCATGCTCATCCTCCTCTACCTCATCATTATTGCCATCCTCGCTTATGTTAAGCGCTCTCACAAATTCATGCCTCGCCAAATTGGCACCATGGCGAGCGTCCTCGCTTTTATCCATCAAAGTAAGATGCTGGTGAGCTTCGTGGACACGGAGATGTTTGATAGCAGCAAGATGACGAAGCACCTGGAGAAGAGTGGGAAGACATACGCGCTAGGGTGGTTTAGTGGTAGAGACGGAGATGATCACTTGGGAATTGACGAGGAGGAGATTCTGAGCGAGTACAAATATGGTTTCGACTGGACGGACAGTCGGTTGCGTCCGGGGCAAGTTGGCATGTGGGAGCATTACTGACTGTTGCAATTTGACTTTGGGAGATTTGGTGCATCGGGGCTCTATGGACTGAGGGCTGCATCGCATATTAATATAGTTCATAATGCGTATACTCCGTTTTGCGCAGCGTCATCAATATTCAAGAAGCTCTCGCGATATTTATAGTAGTGTCTACATCTCAGAAACTCTCTCATTTCAGTCTGAGGAAGACAGTTTATACGAACATGTGCCGTTGGTGTGAACGAGCAATCTCACGCGTCGGCTGACCCTAGACCATACGGCACTTCGATCGCTCCATCCCAGGCCGCGCGGGCCTCACCTCTTTTCTCCCCGGCCTCCCTACCACATTTCTTCGCTCGTAAAACCGGCTCTAGTTAGAAGCATGGCACCCTCTCCCATGCCCCCTCCTCCATGTAGCGGCGTGGCTTCCAAGGTAGCGTGTGTAACATGAGAATGGGTAGGCGTCAGCCTCGTGTGCCCGGCAGCTTCGCCCACTCATGAGCAGTACCCACGCACCCTCACGTAATGAACGGCCTCGTGCGCACCTCACGCTCTCACTCTCGCTGCACACCCTCTGGTAGCTGCTATCCTTGCGACTCTATATGAGATGATGATCAGTCTCCGCCTGGTAGTGCGTATGGGGTAGTCGGTCTAAGCTATGGTTATCCGCCTTTTCGTACCGCCTGGTATGTACGCGATTCAGAATATTCACGGAGGGGTACTAACAGTGGTATTAGGAGAAGGGCAGCACAAGCTCGTTCCAAAGCGTCCAGACTCGATCGGTGCGAATGCGACGCTCCAGTACTCGGTCGTCTCCTCTACTGCCCTCGCTGCCGCATACACGTCCTTTGCTTCAACATATGGGCAACGAGTTACGCCTTCTCTGTCGATATCGAAGCCAGCGCTATTCATACGGTCATCCGCCAGACTAGGGTTGTGGGCTAGCGTGGCAGGAGCAGCGGTCAACTGGTACTATCACACGGCTTTCACGTCGGTCGTTGTATCGCAGAAGAACCCTAAAGTCAAACGGTGGAAGCTATACAAATGGACTAAGCGATACACGGTCGAGGATGGGTGTCTGGCTGGCGCAGCCCTGGGGCTCGCGGCGTCTATACCAATGCTATTCACACGGCGACCTGCGATACCACGGTGGACGCGATGCTTGGGCATGGCGAACATTGGCGCATGCGCTGGCGTACTAGGAGCTCATGGATACCTTCAGTACACTGGGGAGCGACAGAAGGCTTACAAACGCCTGGACCGACGCTTGAAGCGAAGATCACTAGAGTTCTGGACAATATACTCGGATAAGCAGTTGATGGCACAGTTTAATCCCATCATCCAGCAATATGTACGGCAAAATGGCATTTGGTACACTCAACAATTACCGGACAGTGTCTATGAGCAGGCGGACGACCATGGGAGTCGAACGAGTAAAAGCAAAAAGAACAGGTCTGGCGCTGTGGCGCCCGCGGACACCAAGGAACACCCAGAAGAACCGCCCTACTATACGCAACCATTCGACTATGCCGACCACCTCAAGAAGATCGACGCCGAAGCTGTAGTGACTAAGGTGGAGGAGCTGGAGGCAGAAGTGTCAATGTTGCTTGAAGAGGCCTGGTATCTACTCTACATCAATGCACAAAAACAGCACGAATACTGCCATTTGAATGAAATGGACGACGACGAACGCCAGAGACGTCAAGAAGAAATCCATCTCGTCGGAATAGCCTACAAACGCCTCCGCAACGCAGCCCATATCATCGATGTCGGGCTTGACAAATGGCGCATGTCTCTGCACCACAAAGCTGTTTGGGAAGCCTCTGCATCAGGCGATGATCAAGTCGCCGATTGGCTGCCCAGGTCAGAAACCATCGACTTCTACTCACATAGCCCTGTTATATCGATCCACGAGATGGAGATGGTCCAGACGCAGATTGCTGCAGATGTCAAGATGTTCGAGGAGCTGGTTGCGAACCATGGGCACCCCAAGGAGAAAAGGGACAGATGGAAGAAAGATCTAGAGGATGCGAGGGTGCTTCTGAGGGCTGGGGATCGTATTGTGTTTGAGCTAGAAAGAATACGGGAGTCGGTTGTGGGAGGTGCGACTGCAGCTCTGGGGGTCAGGAACCCAACCTTGAAGGGCAAAGCTCTGGTCGATGCAAATACAGTCGCAATAGTTGACGAGGAAAAGGCCCAGGTCTGTGTAAAGGAGCTGGACCTACAGGCGCCAGATCAGAAGAAACATGGGAAGACCAAGATGAATGAAGAGAAGGCAGTGAAGCCGTCTGATGGCAGCCTCGAACCCGATAAGCCCGACAAGCCTTGAAAGCGTTCGCGTAGGTCTTGTTCTTCGAGCTAATCTAAGCTCAGTTCGAGACAGGACAATATGGGGGGCTAAACATCGTCCTACAACATATCCTCTACGTCATTATCTTTTAACCCTTTTTTTGGCTACACACATACGTGACACGATAGCATGTGAACGAAGTGCTCCAGCACCCTCAGAAGAATAGCAACTCGGAAGCCCAGACATCAAAAAGGTGCAAAAAAAACATACAACAGCGGGGATTCGCTAGTGGTCACCCACCTAACTACTAATCCGCCGGTATCCTGCTTAAGTACCGCTGAGCGAACGGGAAGCGCTGAATTCAGAATCCTATGGTCGTATGTGAAGAATGGGTCAGTTAGGTAAATATCTATATGACGTGAGGGAGATCTTAATCCACTTGTTGGGCACATCCGTGAGACTGATACAGGCTAAAGATACACTGCACCCCCAAGAGCTATATTCGCAGCCAGTATCTAGCATAGCAGGCAAATACAATTAGTGGTCAGAGTCATCGCATGTAGGTTTACTTATGCATAAACATTTTTTTTGCTAATCAATACAGGGTAGCCTCCGATCTTCAAGTCGGCTTCGGCGCAGTTGGTGGCATTCATGCCTCCACCATCTTCATGCAGAAAAAGCTCCCTGTTATAAGACCCGGACGTGGGCTGTCATCGGTGCTCAATTCTACCTTATCATGTCCACATGCCTGATGCTATACTATTACTGGCGGCAGAACAAGAAGGCCATCGAAGAATTGGACAGCATCAGGTATACATACTAGGTCGTCGGGGTTGGCGACGTGGTACTGGAGAAATCGTAATCGGAGGATTTTGGCGTGATGGACATTGTCCTTGTCCTCTGGGATGTGAGTCAATGTTCAAATCGGGCCCCAATTGACCCCAACACAAGCATTTGAGCTCATACATACTCAACCCATCATGATCCAATTCCCGCCACCAAGCAAATCTCCCAACTCCACCAGTTTGTCATCCAGCTTTCTGAATCCTTCACGTATGGTAAGCATGACCTCCTCACCTTCCTCAGCCGTCCCCTGCAATTTCCCAAACCCCAAGCACACAACTTCTTCCGCACTCTTGCCATTGTATTTCGTTCCCACAAACTCATCCCTTGCCTTTCTCAGCTTAGTCAGAAGGCGAGAGCGCGTCATCTTCGCCTTTATTTCGTTTGGTTGCTCGATGGGAAGCGCCGCGACTTGTTTTCTCACAGCAAGTATGGTACGACGGTATGTGATCCAGCTGGCAAACAAGTTGGCGAATATCGTAGCGTAAGGCTCGTTGTTGAGGAGAACGGGAAGAGTCGACACGACCTGGGTGAGATCCTGGTCGATGCTGTTGAGGACTGATGTCGCTAGGGAGTCTGATTGCTCATAGTTCTGCAGGTAGTTCAGAAATCTAGTGGTCAATCCAGAGACATCAAATGGGCTGACCCGCGAAGCTTCTTCATCAGCCTTGTCGATGCTGGACCTGGGCATCGAATCCTTCCCCTTCTGCTTCTTTGATGGTAGCTTCTGGTTTTCCGTCATGGATAGGGAGGTCTCTCGCCTTTTCAACATCGAACCTTGTGTTTCATGGCTGGCTGGCTGCTTTGGTCCGGAGTAGTTCGCAGCCGTGAAGGCATTTCGCTTCTTGTTATGCTCTTGCGCATCTTCGATACTAGAAGGTGTTAGCATATACAATCTCTCGGGCACTCGAAAAATATTCGGCGATGAGTTGTCATGGTTCAGAGCTGCAATCATCCCCTGTTTGACTTCAACGCTGCTGCCCGACTGCCTCAGTATTTTGAATGATCGGGCAAAGATCCAGCGGTGGATATTCATCCATAGCAGTTTCCGGTCTTCATCGTCTTCATACACCAGATCTTTAACATATGTGTCATCAACACCAGGCTTGAGAAGTTCGGTTCGATCGGCGTCCATGCCCCATATCTGTGGTGCATACTCGTACAGCAACACGTCGATCTCCTCGTCGAGAAAGTCTGGATCAGCAGCATAGCTAACCAGGGTCTCAACGGAAAGCTGAATATATAGCCTAGTGGCGATATTGTTTACCTCAGCGCTCAAGTCTTTTGCGGCAAGATGGTCGAAGATGGTGCGACCATATACCAGGCGAGTTTTAAGACCGAGACACGAGATGAAAGTACTGAAGGGGAGGGGCGATGCTTTGACGAAGCGACGCCAAATTTTCTCATCCCAGTAATTTTCAAGTGAAAGAAGGTTGCTGGCTTGTACTGCGGTGACATCGATCTCACTCTCATCTCGAGCCACAGCTAGCTGTTGAGCATCTTCGGCCTTGTGTTTCTGCTTCGGGTTCAGTTGAGTCCCATTGCGCAAGGTGTTGAAAGCCTTTAGTAGAATCCACATTCGAAGATGGTGCTTCAACCTGAGACTTCTGTTAGCGATTACTCAGGCCACCAGTAACACTGCATAACTATGTGCTTACACTGACTGGTCTGTCGGATCCTCAAATATCAAGTCCTTTTTATAGCCCTCTGAACGATCATGGGCTTTAGATAGCCACGTCCTCTCGCTATTGCGGCCCCAGATTTCCACCCCAAAGCGGTCCAACAGCGCTGCAATATCGACGTCAAGCCTCTTGACATCGCTGGCGGCATCGATTAGGTCCTCGACGTTCTTTGGAAGCTCCACTGCGACATTGGAAATAGCATTGGCAAGCTGACGTATGAGGGGAGATTCGAATTTTGGGATGCCTCGCCGATTGACCGGTTTGAGCCCAAGACCTTGAATTGCGGTGGCAATTCGTGATAAGTTTGGGTTCATGGTGAGGCGAGTCCAGGAATCACGATCGTATGACGGAAGAGTGCGCGCGGCAGGCACAGCGGGCAATTCCCATCGTGGGCTGCGTCGTGGGCCGCCCATAGTCTCTGGTAATGGGAACTTGACGAGGAGGCTGCGTCGTGAAAGACGCGTGATCTGGACGCGAGGCACTGGTGATCGCTGTGGCCCAGATGAATCCTGAAGCCTAGACCTCCGGGTATGAGCTGACCGGCGCTGCTCCTGATCTGCCATATTGCGGATCTGACGAGGGAGTGGACCAGTTGCGATAGTCGATAAATTCTATAAATTGACGAGGTTGAAGTTAAAAGGCAGCGCAAGGGCTTGAGCGCGACTCCAAGTCACGTCGCGTCAATATTTTCGTACGTCATAGGTCACGGTCGGTGAAAGGCGCTCCATGCTGTAAAAGATGTGAAAAGTACTTATGCTCTAGGACTATCTGATAAGATATCGTTAAGCTATGCTCCACATCGTAGCTAGGTTTCTCATGTTATTTCAACAGGGACCCTTCTGGTGTGGTGAAAGCGAAGACTACGCATGTTTTCATGTTGATGGCTGCAGTCACTTGGTGTATTATATCAGCAGTTCTGACCAGTATTACTCAAGAAGGTTATCGATCAGACTATGCCAATATGACCATTCCTGAAATTGAGTCGGCTAGTGGGCCAAGCAGTCCCTTCAATGTATGGATCCACATAACAACATGTCTAGCTTAGCGCAGTTCAAACGCTTTCTTAGGACGACTTCAGTCCATCTGGAAGGAAATGGTGAGACATGGCATCTTCTAGAGACTCGGTAGGCAACACTGGGAAATAAAAGATGGCTAGAATAGATGGGCTTGAGACGAGAGCAGTTACACAACTCTAGGTTTCCAGTAGATGTATCTCCACACCATCGTCTTCTAAGCATCGACCCTACACAACCGTCCTTGTTGCGTCGGCAATCCCCTCGTCCCCTCGACCTTCCACTTCTCACTTCCCACCCCCATGACCGCGTAGAACGCACTCCACGGGTCCCGCTGCTGCTTGATCCTCAACAACCTATCATAATTACGACCGTACAAGCTGTCTTGGAAATTTGGTTCTTCAGTGTCGACCTCATTCATGTACGCGCCACTGCCCGGACTCACATCTCTCCACTTCTGCACATAGGAATCTAGACGAGCATGCGAAGCTTTCCACTCCTCGTCAGTGAGATCCGGTGTGTACTGTGTAGTATCATAGCCCGTCATATGCATTACAGCGTTGCGTAGGTGTGGCGAAACAGCTGAGTTTGAGCCTGGGTAGCCCGCTGTTTCGTAGCTTGGCGAATAGTCGACGGAATGATGGCTGTAGCCACCTTCTTCAACAAAGGAACGAATCGATGCTATTGTTGCGAGGAAGGTTTCAGACTTCGGATTTTCGAGGTTGGAGCGTGGAATCAAGCGGGAGCCGAAACGGCCGCTACTTGTGGCTCCACTCGGTCCGCCAGGGGGAGATCCATAGTCTGCATATGTCTTCCAGAAACGCGGCTCGGGGTTTGGTAGTGGAATCCCAACATCATTTAAGTCCTTGATGAGTGGGGCGATAAGGTCTTTCATTTCCTCCACCGTGACACCTGGCTTCGTTATCTGGTTTCGAAGGAGGAATGTGCGCTCGGGGTTGACGCGGCTTGGAGCCTGTGTATCGATGAAGTTCCACATGACGCCTTTGGCATCATTGATGCGGAGATTGTGGGAGAAGTAAACGCTCACACCTTTCCAAAAGGTCTCATTAGAAACCCTGACGGTCGTTGTAGAGTTAGTGGAGATTGGACCAGTCTGAAAGTTGAAGTCGGTTCTAGCGACTGTAGTCGTTGGGTATGCCTTCACGATTGCGGACGTCACAATTCCAAAGTTACCTAACGATGAGATTAGAACCATATGGCTAGGGACTGGAGACTTCTTACCTGGGCCGCCTCCTCGAATAGCCCAAAACAAATCTGCGTTATCTTCTGGGTCTGTGTGTACGAATCTACCGTCCGCTGTGACAACTTCAAGAGCGAGGACCTGATCAGCCATGAGGCCATATTTGGATGTGACATATGAGAAACCACCTCCTTGCATGAAGCCGCCGTATGCTCCTACTGTAGCCGATCCAGTTGCCATAAGAGTAACATTAGCTTTGCCCATATTGCTATACAGCTCATGCTGCTCCAAAGCGGCTCCGACCCTAGCCGCCTGACCTTTGTACTGCGCGATTTGGACCGAAGGGAGGTATTCAAAAGCTTTCAGGCGGTGTACCCAGACTTGAAGTGCACCGCCACCTGTGTTTCGTCCGATCCAGTCATGTCCCGTGTTCTTGATCGTGAGCCGGATACGGTTGTTCCGAGCAAAGTTCACGGCGAGCTGTATGTCCTTGACCGTTGATGCGTTGACAACATAGGCCGGGAAAGATATGAGTTTGCATTCAACTAACGGGGGCGTTACGTTGAGGCTCGGCACGGGGCATGGGTTGTCAAGCTGCCACTGCCCGAAAGGTATCAACGGGTCCTCTTTACTTGAAAATATTGTCAGTACCCAATACCAGGACTAGGCGAAATACACTTACGCAAAGAGTGCATCTCCTTGCCTGCGCCTCACAATCGCACACTTTGCTGCGTCCTTGTATTCACCTTCGTAGCAAGCTGCAGCTGGTGGAATTCCCTTGAGCAATGCACCGTTGAGGCTCACGTTGAAAACACTCCAACGATCATACGACGGCCAACCTTCATAGCCTGGATAACTCTTGCACCGAGGGGAATTGTCTACAGGCAGCTTGCCGAAGGCAATATCGGAGTTGTTACCGACATCAGAGTCTTTCAACTGATTGCTCTCGAATGGAAAGTTAAATGCAAAAGCAACAGGCGCCACAAAGAAGAGTGCGATAACAGCGGAGGAAGAAACCATCGTGTCAGATGTTGTCTTAGTGTAGATTTGTGTCCCTCCAAAGATTTTGCGCCATGGGGAGGAGAGCAGCATCTTGTACGTCCGGCTGAGCCGCCAAACGGGACCTGGAGGGCTCAAGACAACGCAAAAATAGGTGACTGCCATATTCGTAGCGACGAAGTGGCACATATCATATTATCCGGGTTGCTCTCATGAATGATTCTTGTTCTACCAACATGAGTTTCTGCATAGCTCGGGGTTCCTGGATCCGAAAATAGGATAGCGGTAGATACCCCTACCACGAGTATAGCTCGTGATAGTTCATTGGCTGGGTTTAAATCGAAAGTAATATAACTCATCTAGAAGTACGGTAAGAATATGCAAGGCCCGCCCTGTCCATGCGTAGAAAGGGCGTTACTTGGTTCTGGATCCTTAAAGCTTACTGGGCGGGCTCTGAATGGTCTGTTGCTACCGTTCGAAGCAGTCAGCTATGTAGGATAGAGAAAAATGATATTGTGCCTGTGGTGATACAAATTGGGGACATCCTACTTGATAAAATACGAGATGCGAAATTGGAGAACAATGTGGGGTAAGGATGATAGTGGGGCTGGCACGATTGCCGTAGTGGGCGCTCGGGAAGATGACAAGTAAAACTCCCAAGCGACATTGAACTCACCATGTCGAGAGAACGTGAGCCCACCAACTTCAGTTTCGCCTCGCTGCTGTATAAGTTCCAAAAAGCGCAGCCAATGGACCTCAAAACGGCTAGGCCACTTTTGAATCGCTGAACCTGCTGCCTAGTGATTACCTTACGAAATACTACACTGAATTATGGTCCTGGTCATCAATGCTTTCATCACACTGATACTATCTCAGAAGCGCCCTTCTCTGTTTCCTAGCGATGCATCTCTGAACGATGCTCAGAAGAGGCGAAACGCTAATTGGTTGCTTGGTGATTCTGCTTTCCTGCCTAAGGCTTGCATGGAAGAGCTGCGCCACTATGCACGCTAGGCACACCTCACTCCTCGCACGCATTCATCACTTACATCCACAAGCATATTGTTGAAACCAAACCTACGAAATAAAGTGAAATTTTCACCTCCTTTGCATTGCAGCCCTATATCGCTACAGAATGGAATACTCATATACGCCGTTGCAAGACGTCAACAGCATTAGGCTGCTTCAATTAGAACCAGGCTATGGCAACGCTCCTCTTAAAGCTCATCTTGCAACCTATCGACTCGAGGAGCATTACTCTTACGATGCTTTATCCTACGTCTGGGGCGAGCCAGATCTGTTCGAATCAATCGTTGTCAACGACCGAACACTACATATATCGAAGAATCTCCACACTATCCTTCTCCAGCTCAGACTTCCGGATGAAATCGGAAATCTATGGATTGATGCCGTCTGCATAAATCAGCAAGATGATATTGAGAAAGGTCAGCAAGTTGCGATAATGGGACAAATCTATCAGCAAGCAAATACTACCCTCTGCTGGATTGGGCAGCTTTCAACACACCGATTGTGGGCGTTGAAGTTCCTTCAAAAGCTTGCAGATGAAGCTCCGCAATACAGTACGCTATGCGAAGTGGGACCTTTTTGGACCGTCACCGCCTATGGCGATATTCTACAACCCGGTGTGGATGTAGACCTAGTTGTCGAGGCTGCACTACAGGCGCATGTGGAGGCTATCTACGAAAGTGACTGGTTCACTCGTCTATGGTAAGAGAGTTACGCTTAAACTGTATGTGATATGTCCACTGACCTTGTACCCCCGTCTGCTAGGATTGTACAGGAGCTTGCACTTGCAAGCAACCCGAAGATTCTCTGTGGCGCGTTCAGCCTAAGCTGGGATGAGTTCGACTCAGCGACGCGGATTATTATGAGCTGTCTTTTTGAAGTTTCGTCGCCCCCTAAAGCCATGGTGTCTATAAAACACGCATGGTATCTCAGCCATCGCCGTGCAAAACACTCCTTAAACATGCGTACAATCAATTCTCCCCAAATAGTTATTGACGTCGATCCGCAGTGGAGCACAGGTGGTGTAGCTTGGGATATGAGAAACAAGAAATGCAAAGACGACAGAGATAGAGTCTATGCGCTTCTGAGTCTTGCTGTTAGCGGAAACGGCCTGAAGTTATTTGTGCCGGACGCTTTCGTTCCCGATTACACTCGACCCGTTGAATGGGTATACCGCGAGTATTGGAGAAGATATGGAGGGCCAAAATCGCTCTTCTATGCTGGACTTTCCCGTCGTCGTGATCATAGAAAACCAGATACGAATCGAGTCATGGATGACGCCGCATCGACATGGTTCAACGACAATTATCTACCGTCTTGGGCACCGGAGCTACGTACTCGTCATACAGAAGAGTGGAAACCCATATTCGGCTCAGACTATGGCACTTCCACCACGCTTCAATACAAAGGATACCACTTTACCAATGCGCCAAGTATCATCATGATTCGTGGACACCGTTTTGATGTCGTGGCTCGTGGTTTCCACATAAGTCATCGTATCAACCCTAGCCAAAGCTGGGCAGATTTTGTCGATCTTCGCACGACTATTATATCATTACTATCGCTGGAGTCCAAGTATGAGCCTTACCCGAGTGGTCAGACGTGGACTGGAGCTTTAGGATCCACGCTCATGACTGATATGCCTTACAATCACGAGCATCCTTTCCAACGATATCTTAATGCTGCTCATCTCAACATTAGATTGTCCGATAGCGAACTCTGCAGGATCTGGAAACTTTATCTGGAACTCTTCCTTGCAGAAAATGGTGCTGGATGGAAGGAATACTGCTCAGTTGCCGGTTCCGCTATTATGTCTCGTAGAGGTCTCCAGTTCCATTCTTCTGGGAAACTTAAACATGATTGTGAGCTAGTTGGGATACTGCACTCATACATCGGCGACGTTCTCCAAGCCCATCGTCTTGTTATCACCAAACGAGGGTACATGGGCCTTGCTCCCCCAGATACTACTGTTGGTGATGTAGTTGTGGCATTCGGAGGACCAAATGTCCCTTTTGTAGTACGCGATGTCGGTGAACTTGTGGCAAATGGAGCTCGTTGGAGCGTAAGCGCAGGCGGTATTCAGAGAAATCTGTCTCAACTCCTCGGGCCATGTTACCTTCAAGGCATTATGAGGACAGAACTTATGAATGAAGAAAGATACAGGAAGGAGTTTGAGTGGGAGATAAATCAGCTAGGTATGATTCCTAAGCCGACTTTGCATTTGATATGACCAGGTTTGAGTTTCGGGGTTGTGTCAGCATTTTCGGTCCGCACCGGCTGTATCGCTCCTTTCTGTAGTGCTTCCCCAAAGCTGAGCCGAACTCGTATAACTCGGCGACAAACAAATACCGATTCGGAGATTATTTTAAAGGCGAAAGTAGGACAGATTAAACTCGACGAGGGGTATAAAAGCTGGAGCAGATATCCGATGATGGCTGCTATTCAACAGCATCGTTTCCGCAACAATCACCATACCACGTATTGGTCATTATCTCCCACTTATCTTGAGGAAAAGCAATCTCATCAAGATGGAGGCAGCAATGGATCAAATCCGCGGCTTTTACACCAAAGCTGGTGCCAACGAGCGGCATAGGATTCAGTAACAACTAAGAGACCTTCAAAGGGATCTGTTCACTGATTGGGAGATTTTGTTCAGCCTAGGAACAGGGGTGAGTTTCCCTAAGTATTACTTCTGACTTATCACCCGCTAATTTGTCTCTAGTCTCTCCAATGGTCCCTCATTCAAATCGGTCTCGACCTCTCTATTTTTACCACTCTTTCGTCATCATCAAACCTAGTGACCCATGAAGAACTCGTCGAGAAAACCGCAGCGGCACCAAATTTTCTCACTCATCTGCTCCGCGACATGGCTTCTTTTGGCTTAATTGAAGAAGTCAGCAAAGATGTGTTCAGGGCGAGTCGGACCACACGCGTTTTTGCAGACCCGAATGTCGTTGGTGCCGAGCCACATATATCAGGAATTCATCTTCCGGTTGCTCATGCCTTACCAAAATACCTACGCGAGCACAAGTACCAAGACATGACGGATCCCAAGGACCTGCCCTTCCAACAGGCACTCAAGACAGATCTCACGCCATTTGAGTGGCTGAAGCGACACCCAGAACAGATGAAATCGCTTGGCCACATCATGGTTCTGGATGCAGTAAAAAGCTGGGTAATTTCCTACCCCGTTGAACGGGAGGTCGGAAGCTTCAAAGCAGCGAATGACTCTGCGCTACTTGTTGACATCGGCGGCGGTTTTGGACAGCACTCCGTGGCATTCCAGAAGAACTTTCCCCTCATGACAGGCCGTATTGTCGTCCAAGATATACCCTCAACGCTTGCACATGCCCCAAAAATCGACGGCATCGAGTTCCACGCGTACGACTTCTTCACCCCTCAACCGATCCAGGGCGCAAAATTCTACTACCTGCGCCACATCTTGCACGATTGGACAGACGAAGACTGCATCCGCATTCTTTCGAACATAATCCCCGCTCTAGGTGCTGATTCACGTATCTTGATTGATGAAGTCGTGTTGCCTAACACGAAGGTGCCGTGGCAGGTGGCCCTCATGGATATCGCGATGATGGCGTGCTTGGGTGGGATTGAACGATGTAAAGAGGATTGGGAAAACCTCTTGGGAAGAGCAGGGCTCAAGGTGGTTGATGTGCATAGATATGATGATGAAAGATTTCATTCTATCATTGCGGCGGTGCCAAAATAGGTGTCTGCTGGATTATTTGGAAGGGTGCTCCCGATTTCATATGTAATATAATTACTATTCCACTCAGTCAGATATCGGGTGTCGAAGCAGAAACAATATATAGTTGGTATGATCAGTATATAGCCTCTGACGCTCGTCATCAAAAACTCAGAATCAACGAGTAGCTTATTGATAAGGAACTGCAACGAATATACAGAGAATGAGGCTTAGGAACACTGTCTACGAGCCCTAGAATGCGGCAGTGTGGATATACTGCTATTTTGCCATTCTTGCCCACCTACCACAGAGGAAAGAGCAAATAACCTACAAGTACCAGGCAGGGACAGAAAGAGAAAACCACATATATGGCACCTCCGCTCGACTGTAACAGCCTCTCTCCAACTACTACTTCGACACAACCCTTACCAGCAACCACAATGCTTCCCCGACTCGACGGCACTAGCGAAAGTAAAGCCATCACCCAACGTGCCCGAATTAGTAAACGCATCGCCAACCTCTGCAGCACCAAGAAATCCGATTCAAGCTCCGAAGAATTTGACGGCGATGAGGAGATAGACAACACATCACCAATGCGCCGCCTCTCACCGCGAGCCACGGGATACGATCCGTCGACTCAACAGCGCAAGGAACGCACGATTTCGTTTCGGAAGCGGCAGTCCAAGATTTCTAGACCCACACCAATCGTTGGTTCCAGTAGTGGTGCTGGCGGAGCTCAGAAAGAATCCGGTGGGGAAGGGGTTTTGGCTGGTGTTAGCGTACCTACCATTGACAGTCCGATTACGAAGAGCCCATCTCAGTCGTCGTCGCGGGCACAGATGCAGTCTATTAGGGAAACCACGACGACGAGGATTCCTATGTCGGTCATGTCTGCGAGTCCTACGAGAGAGGCTGCTTTGACGAGTCATCCAGCTGGGACGAAGGAAAGTGAAAGTTCGGAGGGTGGGTTCGAAACACCTATGGAGGAAGGGAGTCGGGAAGATGGATACTTGAATAGGAAGTGAGATTTACGGTACTTTTTCACTACAAGGCGGGTTATACTGTTACCTGTGGTGTTGGAGACTTGAGGTTCAAGAGCGTATGCCTGTACACAAGACGCAAGGAATGGCATTTATAAGGAGGCTGGTGTAGGGTTATGGGTAGGAGTTGCAGAGCAGGAGAAAGGGTTGTTGCAAATCCAGGAAGATTGGTTTCCCGTCTCCTATATGCCAGCCTCAGATATTTCAGATCAAGAAGCCTGTAGGCCTAATCATGCCATTCATCCCATCCCATCGAACGCCAACGCCATGCAAAGCTAGCCTCTCTTCTTAGACCTTCAACCACAGGTTGAGCACGCCCTTTGCATACTCCACAATCTCATCACCACCAAGCTTGCTCTCGCCGTACAGACGGTCGACGAATGAGATGGGGACCTCCGCGACCGTGCATCCCATCGCCTTCGCCCGCACCATCATCTCCATCTGGAATGTATAGCCCTTGCTCTCGGTACTCCGGATCACCTTCTGCAGCACCTCCTTCTTATACAGCCTAAAGCTGCCGGTAAGATCACTCACACCAGGCCTCAACACCGTATCCGCAAACAGATTTGCGCCCCGACTCACAAACTTCCTCTTCAGATCCCACCCAAAGACGCCTCCATCGCCCGCGTACCTGGTGCCTGTTACGATATCGTAGTTCTTCGTCTTCTGTAGGGCGATCATGGGCGCGATGAATTTTGGGTGGTGCGAGAAATCGGCGTCCATGATGATGACAAAGTTTCCGGTCGCAAATTGTAGGCCGTGTACGTAGGCGGTTCCGAGGCCGAGTTTACCAGCTCGCGCGCGAATTTGGATGCGTTGAGGGGTGTAGGCTTTTTGGAGTTGGGCGGCTACTTCTTGGGTGCCGTCGGGTGAGCCGTCGTCGATGATGATGAGCTCCCAATCGAGTTTGCTGTTCAATGGCAGTTAGAATTGCACTTGACTGCAAGGTAGTGTGCAGGGTACTACATACTTCTCGGTGAACGTCTTGTGGAGCAGCCATGTTATTATAGGCAGGTTCCGGCGCTCATTGTATGTTGGTAGGAGGACTGAGTACTTGTCCTGGCTCTGTTTGGGCGGCATTTTGACTGCTGGATGTTGCTGATAGGTGAACGAAAGACTGCAGTTCGAGGTCGTGTCGAAGTCTGGGAATCGCGGAGGTGATCGTGTCCGCACAGGAGCTTGGACCACTAACCCCTTTCGACCACCTCCCTCCAACACCCTCCGCTATGTCAGCCACGAAAGCGGTGGGAAAGAAGAATCTGCTGCTATGTTTCGATGCATTTGGTACTCTGTTCACACCCAGCGTGCCGATCCCAGTTGCGTACGCTAGAGCCGCAGCTCGCCACGGTATTGATTGCGGCGACACCACACACGCAAAGGCAGTAGCTACATCATTTAAGCAAGCATTCAAGCAGGAGTCGAAACGTAATCCAAATTATGGCAAGGCTACAGGACTTGGAGCGGAGAAGTGGTGGGGCACCGTGAGCCTCTACGCCCTGAGAGACATCACAACGCAGACTAATGAATGAAGGTAATACGCAACACCTTCAAGGAGTTTCTCAACCCTGGAAATGAAGTTCCACAGGCTCTTATTAAAGAGCTGTTGAAACGATACTCAACGAAAGAAGGCTACGATCTTTACGATGATGTCCAACCCTTCTTCGATATGCTGCGCAATGGACCATTGAGTAAAACCAGTTCTGCTTGGACATGGGACAAAACTGTTGTTGGCATCATCACAAACTCCGATGATCGCGTACCAGGAATACTGGAATCTTTAGGCCTCAAGGTTGGCCCGAGGAGGATTGGTTCAGCCGACCAGCATGAGGCGGATGCGGCGTTGGGCGACGACGTCAATTTCGTCGTGCTGAGCTACGATGTTGGCTTCGAAAAACCAGACAGTAGGATGTTTGACGCCGCAACTGAAATGCTCGAAGAAACGCTAGTGGGCAACCAGGAGGGGTTAACGGTCGAGAATTTTGAAAAGCTATATGTGGGTGACGATCTAGAGAAGGACTACGATGGGGCCGAAGCAGCAGGTTGGAATAGCGTGTTCCTGGGCCGTAATCCCTCGAGCTCGGGGGGCAAGTCTGAGGCCGAGAAGAATTGGAAGCTTGGTAACGCCGAGGTGGTCGATAGGAATGGTAACAACAGGACTGTGCTGATGACGAGGGATTTGGGATCTTTGAGCCAGTGGCACGCTGATAAGATTAAATGAGCAGAATCAAAATATAGTTGATTAATGAGGGACTAGGAACAACTTCAAAAGCTCGTATCAGAGCTAATCGATCACTATGAGGATTGTTGAAGTGTTTTGGTCTGTCAAAGAGCTAAGGTCCTGAAAGAAAAATGGCAGTTATCCAGCAGGCCGCCTCAGCTCGAGGATGTCTGACAACTTGACATTTCCCTTGCCACCCCATCCAGCTGCTCCATGTGCTACATCTGGGCGCACGCGGACATACCATCCCCAAGCGCGATTATTAAGGGTTTCGCTGCTCAGAACATCAGCCCATGATTGGTACAAGAGCTCGAGAGCACCTAGTAGGAGACTGAGATTGCGCTCCTTCTCCGCTACTATCCCAGTATTTGTTCGCTTCGCAGGTGCTGTTCCTTCTACTTTTGGAGTCTCGAATGCCTTCATAAGATAAGCTCTGGCTGACTGGGCTGTGTAGATGGGCAATTGACTTGTTGCCCCTTTATATGATCCGCCTGCTCCAGGTTGGTTGGCCTTCTTGAGTGCCTCTAGATCGACGCCCCAAAGCGCGGGATCTTTCGCCTTTGCTTCTTCCACAAGTGTCTCCTGGGAAGATTTGAGCGTTTCTTGTGTTGAAGCCGTAAGCGTCCCTTGCGTGGATTCTTCCTCCCACTCATAGCCCCACCTCTTCATGACGCGAACATCCCTAGTCATGATTCGCATGATTGGTTGGCCTTCGCCCCATCCTTCATCTTCGGCCGCTTGTCCAGTATCCAAGCCAACGTGGATGGCTTTGTTCTTACTGTTCATGGAGGTGACTGCTTGGGCGAGGCTGAGCCTACTTGAGATTGGCTGTTCGGGCATGGTGTATTTAAGCAAAGTGCATGCAAACGCCAGTACTAGCGGAGCTCTGTTTGTATAGATGACTGCAGACTTGAGCTTCTCCTCGTCACAGTCCGCCTCTGGGAGCGCAAGCGATGCTTCAAACTCGGTAGGATTGAGTGGCTGTCCGTACATGGGCATCGGCTTCGCCTTCTTTGGCGATGGTGCTGGAACTGGGGCTGAAGCATCGCTTGATGCGCGCTTTTTCGAGGCTCGCTTTGCGGCATTTAGCACCTGTCGCGCTACCTTCTCGTCTCCAAAGACGGTCTTGAGGCTCTCAAAGTCCGCCTTTGATAGGTCGGATGCTCTGCACGCGTTAGTATGCACGACTGAAGATAGGATGCGTGCTCACGTGCTTACGTGACGAGCTTGGCTGCTTGAAGGTTCTTGACTTTGCCCATTGCCTGCGCGAGCGGAAGTTTGGCATCTTGCGACAAGAATCGCAGCAATGACTGAACCTCCTGCGCCGAAGTCATGGTAACTAGATAGATTCTGACCACTGACTAGAGTCACCAGACTGAACGTGGTTCATAAGTCAACGCAGGGTGGGACAAGGTAGGTAGCGGGACGCGCTAGTCATCGGCAGCCAGGGTGTCACAGACCGCCTCCGCAAGCTTAACTCTACGATAGCTCTCGTGCCCATGCGGCCCTCACCTGTCGACCAAAGAGCCGTTACCAGCATTCGACACTCACGGCGCCATGGCGTTCAAATTCTCGCTGGGCGCGGCAAAAGCCAACAAGGCGCAATTAACACCCAAGGCCAAAGAAGAAGAGGAAGCAAAGGCACGAGAGGAGAAGAATGCGCTCGACAAGGTCATGGCCGACTTCATGGAGGAGCATGGTGAGGATAAGAGCATTCTGGGAGAGTCTGAGCGAGACCATGCGGCCGAAGAAGATGTCTTTGTGCCTACCGGGAGCAAGAGACACTTCACGGGACGACAGAGGACAATGAAGAGCGGGCCAGGCACACTCGAACCTGAACCTTTAGATGGCTACCCAAGACCCAACGCTCCTCCTGGGCGATTAGCACCACAAATGCAGTCAAGATTCGGAGGCGCAGTTCCTACGGGTCCTGCAGCACTCGAGGCCCCGAAGCAGGCAGAGAATGTATTCTCGACACTCGTCGCGAAAGCCTCTAATCTCCCGCCAGCAATTGATCCGCGCCGAGTCGAAGACCTGTTCGCAGCATTTCCATCGCTCAAGGTCACCAAGGTCGAGAAGATTCCCCCGCAAGGCCCGTCTACGAAGGGGCGACCATCTGCGACGATGAAGGTTATATTCGACAAAGACGCCAATGCGCGGGACCTTGACGAGGCCATGAACAAGCTCAATGACAAGAAATATCTGGGCAAGGGATACTATCTACACTTGGACAGATACTTGGGCGGTCGGACAGTAGAGACGGCACAACGTAGCGAGCCGTTTGGCGCTCGCTGGCAGGCACCTGAGTCGCGCAAGGGGTATGCTCCTCCGCCGGATCTAGGTGGAGGGAGCAGGGATAGACCGCGCGAGGATACTGAACACCTGGTCATAACCGCAAACCAGCCGCCAGATCTTGCTACCCTCAGACTAGTCCATCAGACCATCGAAGGAGTCATAATCGGCGGTGTGGAGTTCGAAGCCGCACTAATGAACGATCCGCAGGTTCAAGATGAAGAGCGATTTGCTTGGCTCTATGACCAGAAGCACCCAGTCAATCGATATTACCGGTGGCGGTTACATCAGTTAGTCTGTGACACGGCGAATTCCGAGATCTTTGCCGGTCAAGGTTCTTGGATCGGCCCCCAGAATCTTGTTAACGAGTTTGCCGATCAATTGGGAGCCTTTGATGAGGAGGATGCATACCCTTCAAGCGAGGATGAAGATGATCAGGAGAAACCACAGTTCAGGCCCCTTCCGGTAGGAGACAACTACCCAGGTCGTGTCGACAATGGGCTTGGTATCATGAGCCCTCGCTCGCGGACATTGTTCCTTTGGCTAATTACGTCTTTACCACCTGGGAGCATCGTTGCAGATGACATCGCTGCTATTTCAGTCTTCGCAGTTGAACATGCCGCTCAGGGTATGGATGAGGTTATTCACATACTCATATCTAATATCATAGAACCGTTCCAGTTGACAGAGGCCAACCCAAGAAACCGTGCTGGCGATCCCGAAGGCAAGGACGATCTTAGGCGCCCCGACATACGACAGGTCACCTTGAATGCCCTCCGCATCATCTCAGACGTCCTTTTAGTCACCGCAAAGGAATCCGGTGTATCGTACAAGTACCGCCTTGCTATTGGAACCCAGCTGGTGGAGCGCAAAGTGTTCGAGCATCTCGAACAGCTCCCTAGTCGGCTGGAGATGGGACGTATGACGGAAAGGAGTTACAGAGACGAAGTCAACTTGATCCTTAAAGTCTGGCAGGATGAGCATCTATTCGATGATACAACACTCACTCACCTTGAAGAGGTGTTCAACGCGCGCGAGAGGCAGAAGGAGGAGCAGGAGCAAGCACGGCGGTTAGCGGAGAAGAGAAAGCGCAAGGGCAATGTGGTTCGCAAAGCTACTGCGGGTCCAGGTCCTAGCAACGAGGAAGAGGAGGTGGAGGTGGAAATGGATGTGGATGTGGATGAAGATGATGAATCACCAGCAGATCCAGCAGGGGACGCATCGACGGAAATACCTCAAGCAACAGCTCCGGAGGTAACCGCACTGGTCGATGAGGCTATGGTGTCTATAGAGCCTAAGAACGCCTCCCCAGAGGCTCTTGCTACATCGCCTGCGAATGAGCCACATGGAGAAACGGCAGCAGCACGGGCTCGCCGTCTGCGACCAAAAGCGGAAGACATGTTTGCTTCAGACGGAGAGTAGTAGCGTGATACAGGGTAGTAACTTTTGGTAACTTTGGAGTTGCAAAAGAGCACCCAAAGTGTACCTTCAGGGTTAAGTTTGAGCGGGAGAGTGCTGTGCTGTTTGGAGGATAGGCATTGGCATATTATGATACCCCAGATAGAATAGAACTGAATACCAATTCCAAGACTTTGGAACCGAAAACATCTTGTTTCATGTAACTGGCTTGGGCGACTCGCCAAGCGACCCGAGTGTCTGATCAAGTGCCCTCCGGCGTGTCTGAGTCTTTGTTGACATATTACCAGTCATAAGCTAAGCGGGCGAGCTGGAACAGATCTGACAGATAGAAAACCTCGCGATTCCTAGACGACACGTCGAAAGGACGTCTGACAACCTCAGGTTTGGGAAGAAGATGTGAGATCAGAGAAGCAGTCGACGATTGAGGAAGCCTGGCCGCTAAAAGAGGACCCAATCACGACCCCGCGCTTGATCGACTTCAATCGAGACGCTGTGCCCGATTTCGACGACAACACACCAGCTTTCTTCTCTCGCACTACAGCCGTTGACGTTGACGCGCAAAGCTCTTTGAGCTATCGATCAGGTGCCGTCGTGGCTCCTCCGTGATTGGCCCAAGCCTCCAGCCTTCGAAGCCTCCGAAGGCCCTACGCCAACAGCACAATCACATCTTCCTATTTGACCCCCGTCACCTCCAAGACGCCGCCAAATTACTCGCACAGCTCCCTCGCCGGCAGCTGCGGCTATCCGGTAGAGACGGTCTACCCAAGTTTGCCAAGCCTGAGCAGCTGAACCCCATCAACAAGCCATATCTCGACCCAGCAGCGGCATTACTAGTTCAGCATGCCGTGCTTTTTGGGGCTCGCCGTGTCGATTCATACTCCACAAGGGCCTTTGGCCGAGTACTCGATACAGAAGCAATCCAAGTTCCACCGGATCACGTCTTATATACCTGTCCCTCCAGCAAAAGTTCCGCCTGGTGCTACCAAGCCCGAACAGTCAACATTCGCGATATCAATCACACTACTAACGCCAGGTCTTCACGTCCCATATTCTACACCCAAGTCGACGGACGATGATCCCAACCCCAAAGCCAAAATCGTCGGCGGCCTCCCTGGCTATACTGGCGAGCGGGGCAAATACGGTCCCACGATAGCTCCCTACAAGCCTCTCACCACCTCGCCAAACGAAACAATCGCTGCATACATATACTTTGATGGACGCGGAAAAGAGGAAGTAGCGACTCTATTGCGTCGCGGCGAGGAGACGTGGGTGAATTCACGGTGGGTCAGCGTGCCAGAGTCTGAAGGCGGGGGCCTCGCAGAGCGCGAGTTCCTCTTCCGCGAGGTTGGACTCGAACGATGGCTAAACGGCCTGGATCTAGAGGGCAAAGACAAGGATGTGGCCGCCAAGATTGAGCGGAGAAAGCAGCGTCTGGAGAAGAAGCGAAGGAAGCGGAGAGAGGCGCGCGGCAGCAGTGACGAAGAAGACACGAAGGATTCAGGGAACGGCGTTCTGCGCTATGGCGAGAGCAAGGACGCGCCTGTCGAGACCCTGTCGGGCAACGACGAGTTCTTCACCACCGACTCGGACTCGGACGATGAACCCCCAATGCCCGAGGCGGCAGGACAGATCAAGGTCGCCCTGTTCCGCGTACTCGCATCTGGCGAAATCAAGCGCGGCGAGTACTCCCCACAGTTCGACGCGCACGACGACGACGAGCAGAACGGCACTGGAGAAGGTGAGGACATCGACCACACTACGAGCTTCGCAAAGCCCAAGACGCTAGATCCCAAGTCCATCAGCACTCAGACGGTGACCGGGATAGACCCACCGGATAAGCCATATGCTGTCTTTACCTTCCTGTACCGCGGAGAGCGTAAGTAACTACCGAGTTTTGGAATAAGCATGAGCTAAGTGTGACTAGGTCAACTGCGCAAGATGGGCATCTTGGACACTGAAAAGGCCGCCCAAGTCACTTCACCAGCAACCCGACGAAAATCAGGAGCGCTTGACTTTGGCAGTCTCAAACCCTTGAATGCCTCTAGCGGCACCAAGAACTTTGGCGGCTACCGAGATGGTTCAAAAACATCACCCAAGTCCAAGCTGAAGAGCGAGGGGGCTATGGACAGTGATGCAGATGACGATGACGAAATCAAGGTCGAGGATGCAGACGAGGATAATTATGAGAGTGGGAAGGGCATGCTCTCGCCCGAAGACGCCCTCAAGCAGGGTGAGCTTGCTGAGGGCGTGCGGAAGATCAAGGTACGACAAAGTTTGAGGACTTGTGTTTATCCCGCTAACACTAAACCAGCTGAAACGCCAGCATTCCGCCGAACCACTGGGTCGCCCTTCAGCATCCCCTGCAGCGGACTCGTCTACCTCTCCTCTATCTGGCACACCCGCCCCGGGCGCTTCGGCAGCAAGCGAAGCGTCGTCGTCCGCCACTGCTAAGGCGTCGGCCGAACTCAGTACTGCAGGGTCTATAGCATCCCCTTTCAAGAAGCAACGAGCTTCTTTACCTGGCTTCGACGACAACGTGCGCAAGAGTTTAGGACAGGCGCTTCTCAGCGCACAGAAGGAGCGGGGTAACTCGGATGGCAACATACCGACCATCGAGACAAGCATGGAGGAAGATGATGAATTGTGATTTTGGGAACCGAGGTTCTAGAGCGCATTCGGGTGATGGAGAAGATTGAGGAAATACACTAGCACGAGTCTGCCGAAATAAGACGACAGAAATCTCATCTTTGCGATGCAGCGAACCATGACACATGACACATCACTTCAAGACTACACGACGATACCACGCGGCGCCCGTTGCGGCCCGGCATCTCCTACCAAGGCGCATCTGGGAAACATTGAAAATACGAAAGGTTGGATACGGGTTTTTTGGGGGTGGGGGGGGGGGGGGGGGGGTGGGGGGGGGGGGGGGGGGGGGGGGGGGGGGGGGCAACCTTTGATTCCTCGGCGGCAGGCCTGTACATGCTTGATGTTTCATATGTTCAATCCTCATTGGAAAGCAAGGCTGAGCGCCATGGCAGCAAGCGAATAGAGAAAGCCTGAGCGACTGTTTGCTTTGTGGAGCTAAATTTTTGTCGATGGAGCATAGTACTTTAGGGTAGCTAAGAGAATAGTGCCTTGCAACAGTTTTGTGCTTTCTTGGTGACTAGTGTCGATTGTGATAACACATGTATTCATCTACAGCTTAAACTCGGAGCTGCCGAGCTCCCAGCCCATTCCTCCACCGTCTCTTCTGCTAGCTAGCTTCTCAGCGAGATGAAGCTTCTTGTCCCGATTCCTTTCTGTACACAGCTCATACACTGTGCTCAAGTTGAATACTAGAGAGTGAAAGGGCGGGCTCTGATCCACAAGCTCACTCAAGAGATCCCGGGCGTCTGAGATTCGGCCCGTGTAGAGCAAACACACTGCCAAGTTCTGCATGACCATGGCGTCGTCCGGGAAGCTTTCATGCAGAGCACGAAACGACGAGGCTGCGGCCTCGTAGTCTGAATCTGCGAGTTGGATCAGTGCGTCCATTGTGCCGTCTACGAGCTTGTCTGCTGAGGCATGTGAGGCGCGAGAGAGACAGCGGCGGGCGGCTTGGATGTCGCCGACACGGAGCCATACGAATGTCTCCATGAGCAAGATGACTCTTGCATCAGCTGTGTCTGCAGTCTCTTCCGAGCATGACAGGGTGCCTAGATGGCGACCCGCGCCCTCAAGGTCGCCCATCTCGACCAGCACATTGGCTACGCGGATGCCGCACTCGTGGAGTCGACGGCGCCAGAGGTTCTTGTCGTCGGCAAAGGTGGACTTGATGATGCTCTCCCTGCACTCGCGCGCGAGCTCATAGTAGCCCATTATGCCCTTCCGCCACTCGCCATAGCCCAGCGCAGTGAGTCTCACAGCCAAAAGGCGCAGGTCCCAGGGCACGATGTGCACGTTGGTCAAGGGGTGGCGGTAGAAGGCGCTCTCTAGGTCACCCAATAGCTTCGACTCCTGCGCCGCAAGCGCGTGTTCCTCGATGAGACACAGACACGCGAGGCGCACATGGACGAGGTGGAACAGTGTCTCATAGTCGGTCGGCGCGGCGGCAGTGACTATGTTGCGGGCCGCGGCTATGGCTGCGAGGCGGTAGTGGCCCGACAGCAGCAGCGTGTCGAGAGGGGACGAGACGGATGGGGCGTTTGGGGCGTTTAAGAAGGGCTGCGGGACGTTGGCCGCGGGCAGGGCGTGGTATGCCGCGGGGTCTTGGAGGAAGGAGAAGTCCATAGAGGGCATGTCGATGCCGCGAGAGGGTCCATCTTGGAGTTGCGGGCTTGCCTCAGCACCGCGCACTGGAGACAGGACGCGTGAAGGGAGGCTGGGCGGCGCACTCTCTGCCAGCGGACTGTATGGTGTGGAGTGTGGTCAGGACGTGTTTTCTTGCAGTTCGTATTATGCCAGCGTGTCGGCTGAATGGAACGGGTGCATACTCGTCTACTACATGGTTGTCGTCATTGTCGTCATCGTCGTCACTGTCGAGGGGCCCACGAGTAGAGCGCCTGGGGATAGCGACTGGCTCGTGTTAACCCTTGGTGTTGTATATACGAGAGGGGGGCACAAGCAGGGAGTTTTCACCTCTGCGTCGCTCATCGCCGCTTAGGACACGGCCATGGTTGCCCGCGCGTGCTGGAGGCGGTGGGGCTTGCATAGTCCTCCTCCTCTCGTCGTTCTCTTGCCGGCACCGGTTATGAAGCACGAGTAGAGAGTGAATGGCCCGCGGTCCGATCTTCGGCGCTGGGTTGTGGGGTAAGCCAATCACGAGGGCTGCTAACTAACAGCGATGACTCCACTCTCCACTCATTTTTGGCTGCTGCCCTGGGCTCTTCTTCAGTCTCAAAGGGCCAGCCAGCAGGCGAAGCTTGACTCTTAATTCACCACAGCAGAAACACGCCCTTTGTTTTTGCTGCTCTTGCTGCTGCTGACTGCTGCTTTCTCTTCTCTCCACTCAGCGCGTTATCATATATATATTATATAGTCCTGCGAGGACCGCCCTCCCTCGCCATGCAGCAATCACGCACACGAGCCATCGCCGCTCTCAAGGGCTCACGCACCACCACCTTTTCCACCTCCGCACAAAGATGCGCCGTCTCGCCATTCCGCAGGCCTGCGCAAGCAATCACACAGAAGGTCGTCGCTGAAGATGCGAAGCGGCCTCAGAGCACCGCGGCCGCCGCCTCACAACCCCAGGCGCGCCCAAGACCTGCGCCCGCCTTCAATCGCGAGGACTATGGCGACGTCCAGCCATTGAAGCCATACCGCAGCCCCGCAATGGACCACTCCTTCGTTGGCATGACAGGCGGGGAGATCTTTCACGAAATGATGCTCCGCCAGGGTGTCAAGCACATTTGTACGCCACGTCCCCAACTGCCATGCTCGCTTCCAAAATGCTCTCACTAACAACATGACTCAGTCGGCTACCCAGGCGGTGCCATTCTCCCCGTCTTCGATGCCATCTACCAGTCAAAACACTTCGACTTCATCCTGCCACGGCATGAGCAGGGTGCCGGCCACATGGCCGAGGGTTATGCCCGCGCCAGTGGCAAGCCCGGTGTGGTGCTCGTCACCTCGGGGCCTGGTGCCACCAATGTCGTCACACCTATGCAGGATGCCCTGATGGACGGAACACCTCTAGTTGTCTTCTGCGGGCAGGTCGTCACGAGCGCAATTGGGTCCGACGCTTTCCAAGAGGCCGACATGGTGGGCATCACAAGGCCATGCACCAAGTGGAACGTTTTGGTCAAGAATATTGCAGAGCTGCCGAGGAGAATCAACGAGGCGTTTGAGATTGCGACAAGCGGACGCCCGGGACCTGTCCTGGTTGATCTGCCAAAGGATGTCACAGCCAGCATCCTCTCAAGACCCATTCCCATGAGCAGCTCTCTCCCAACCTCTGTGAGCGCAGCAACGCTCGCGGCAAGAGAACTGAGCAAGCAACAGCTTGACACCTCCATCAGGAGATCTGCCAACTTGATCAACATGGCGAAGAAGCCTGTCATCTATGCCGGACAGGGCATTCTCCAGACAGAGAATGGTCCTGAGATTCTAAAGGAGCTCTCGGAGAAGATGCAGATTCCCGTCACCACCACGCTGCAAGGCCTCGGAGGATTCGATGAACTCGACCCCAAGTCCCTGCACATGCTTGGTATGCACGGCTCGGCATACGCCAACATGGCTATGCAGGAGGCCGACCTCATCCTCGCCCTTGGTGCCCGCTTTGACGACCGCATCACAGGCGCCATCGCCAAATTTGCTCCCGCCGCGAAAGCTGCCGCAGCCGAAGGCCGAGGTGGAATCATCCACTTCGAAATCATGCCCAAGAACATCAACAAGGTCGTGCAGGCGACTGAGGCTGTCGAGGGCGACGTTGGCACCAATCTTACCCAGCTCATTCCGCTCCTAAATACCGTAAAGGAGAGGCCGGAATGGTTCGCCCAAATTGCAGACTGGAAGGAGCGCTTCCCGTGGGCATACGAGAAGGAGGGCGAGAATGGCCTCATCAAGCCGCAGACCGTCATGGAGACACTGTCCAATCTCACAGCACACAACAAGCATGAGACCATCCTTACAACCGGTGTCGGTCAGCATCAGATGTGGTGCGCCCAGCACTACCGGTGGCGATACCCACGTACCATGATCACCTCTGGTGGTCTCGGCACCATGGGCTATGGTCTTCCCGCCGCCATCGGCGCCAAGGTCGCCCGTCCCGAGTGCACAGTCATCGACATTGACGGCGATTCCTCTTTCAGCATGACGCTGACCGAGCTGTCTACTGCCGCAGAGTTCAACATTGGCGTAAAGATCATCATCCTCAACAACGAGGAGCAGGGCATGGTCACGCAATGGCAAACGCTCTTCTACACGGACCGTTTCTCGCATACGCACCAGCGGAACGCCGATTTCGTGAAGCTGGGTGACGCCATGGGCGTTCAGGCGCAGCGCTGCATCAAGCCTGACGAGTTGGAGGACAAGCTCAAGTGGCTCCTCAACACCGACGGTCCGGCGCTCCTGGAGATTGTGACGGATCAGAAGGTGCCTGTGCTGCCCATGGTGCCCGCGGGCAGTGCGCTACATGAGTTTATGGTCTATGACGAGAGTAAGTCATTATCCTACACCATCATCCTACCTGAAACTCGGCATACTAACAACGTCGCAGAAACGATAAAAGATCGCAGAGCCCAAACCAAAGATCGATCAGGCCGCTAAGCCTCTTGGCCCAGTTATATCCCCTTTCCTCCCCCGCGTGTAAATTTCTCTTCCTTGTATGTACATTGAGTCAGGTACCGGCGTTCTTTATCCCATTTTCCGGTGGAGCGCTTTTCCCCTGAAAAAAAGTTCGACAAGTTAAAAGTGAAATATTTGGATGTTTCTATATGAATCAGGCTTTCCTTTCCAAACTGGAGAGGAAATTATGGGGATTTCGAATCATGATATATTCCGTTTTTAAGCATCGAGGTTTATCCTGCATGGCGGTTGGGTTGCGCTGGTTTGACGTTCTTGAAAATGGAGACCTGAGGACTTGGTCCGTGTTTTGCAGTCTTGTGGATGGAAATATACACACCGTTTTTGTGCGCAGATGAAACTATCTTTTTTTCTGCACGCAACATGCTCACTTCCAAGTACATCACTGTCACAGCCCAAAGAATGAACCTGAGAGAGAGATAAGACTTTTTGATTCTCATCTTTCGCCGCCATCTAGGGCTGGCCACTCGATCAATGCATATGCATGTCTAAAACGCCAGGGGGACATGCCACTATCCGGGCAGCCACCCATGCACAAGGCTCTACGGCCGGGTTCTACAAACTTTTTAAAAAAAAAACCCGCACTACATGAAATCGCTAATTCCGCAATGACCCCTCAGCTCGCCAGCGGACCAAATAAGGAAAGTCATTATATCGCATCATCTCTCAGACTCTTCTTCTCACTCTTTGACACGGTTCAGCTTTGGGCGAAAAGCCTACTCCCGCTTATACTGGAATCGGTCGGCAGGTCCCGGCGCGGGCGGGCTCTGGCCCCTATACGGGTTGTTCGAATACCCCTGCTGAGCATCCCAGCGCCTCTCTCCCTCATCTTCCTCCACCTGCGGTGCTGGAGGGAGGCCTCCTGACCGTGGTGGTGGCACCATGGTCTGATACGTGTACTCCTCTACATGGCCCGTCGAGATGGACGTAGGCGAACCGGGCGCAGTACTCCGTGTGATGGTTGGCGGAGGCATAGCCGGTGGGCCAGGTGGTGCTGCGTATTGGCCACTCATAGTGTGTACTGGAAGAGGCAGAGGTGGCGGAAGATTCTGTCGAGATATATCGCCCGAGGGACGCGAGCTATATGGCGAGAGGGTGGTACCTCCCTTGCGCTTGCCGGAAGAGCTCACCTTGTGTAGCAAGCCGCGGACTTCATCCAGATCGGCTCGAGCATCCGAATTACTTCTGCCGAGTGTACTAACATCGTCGCGCGCCTCCCAGGTATCGTCGCGAATGGGATCTGCTCCGGGTCGGCGGTTGGTCAACGAATTCACGGCGTTGTCTTCTCCGACATTGACGCCGAGATAGTCGGTACTAGTAGACTTGCCCTTGTCATTGTCCTCGGGCTTGTTCAGGGGATGCAGACGAGCGGCATCAGCATCCTCTTGGTACTTCTTGTATGCTGCAATAGCCTCGGCAGGCGGAACGGCCACAGACCACGTGGGCTTGTCTTGCGATCCTAGGGCGGCATCTGAGCCCGCTGGACCATTGATAGGAACCTTGCGCAACGCAAGCACCAAAGCGCACATGAACTTGGATCGTCGAGACGCGCGGAGAGTTTCGTTGGACCAATTGCTCTTGTGTTGGATCTCGACGCGTAGCTCGAGCTTGTTCATCTCTGCGATGCTGACGACCTCGATGTTGATATCGGAGTGGAAGTCGCGGCTGTTGATAGGATCGTGAACAAAGTTGGACATCTCCAATTTCAACAGGTTGACATCCTCGAACGACGTATCGAAAGCACAAAATACGGATACCTGCTCCCTCATGGCCTTGCTGCGCGTAATGTTTTCTACCCATAGACTGTTCAAAACGATATTCGGAATCTGAACCGTCTTACCGTTAGTAACACGCTTGAACACCGTATAGAGTAGGGCAATGTGTTCAACGGTGAGCTGCTCCAGAGTGATGTCGACACGATCGCCGATATCGTAAGGATGCTTGACGAATAGAAAGATGCAGGAACCCAGAACTTCTTGGGCAGTAGTCGCGAAAACGAAGGACAGCGACAGGAGGGCAGTGGCAGACGTCGTGAGCGTGGCGCGAAAGCCTGGGGCAAGGAAGGCGACTAGGCTGTATTAGCATATCATAATCTGGTGTCAAACCATGAGTACTCACTAAAGACGAAGATGCAGACGATCAGAGCAATCGTCAGAATCAGACCGTCAAGCGCGTTGATAGCTTGGTCAACATCGTGCATGCTGGTGTTGATTGACTTGCGCTGTCTGGCATAGTCGGTCACCGTAAGGATCATCTCGTCGAGACTGATGTCGCCGTTTCCGTCGCGGTCAAGTGCAGCGAAGCACTCCTCGGCCTCCTCTTCGCGTTGGGGGCCCATGACCTCGACAAAATCCTCCAGGTACAGCTCGTTCTTGCCTTCAACGACAAAGGACATCCAGATTCGCCTTGCGAGGGCCTCGGCGCTCTTGTTCCGCTCCAGAGCGGTCAAAACGACGGAATGAGCCGAGTTCGGATCGAACACCTTCTTGCCCGTAATCTCAGAAGCAATGGTACCAAAGACTGAAGTGATCTTATCTCCAATTCGGCCAGCATCTCGCCCAACCTCCTGGATCAGGCGCATGGGTGTTTTACTGCCTGAACGGCCATGCTTGCGGGTTCCCTTTTTGCTGCCAAGGCCTAGATCAAGAATCGTGTCCTGAATAATGTAGTCCTCCTCTGCGAATTCGTTGCAGTAAGCTGGGAATAGAGACCTCGAGGTGTCATATAGAACACCGAGGAGGTAGATGTTGTGCTTGGACTCTTTAATCTTGCCATCGAATTGCTTTCGGTGGTAGCTGATGCTAATCAACTGGATCAAGACGCGTTCGGCGAGAACGATAATGGTGCACACAAGCAGAGCAAGGAGAACAGACTGCATTGTGTCGATCCATGCCGGTTTAGTCTGTCCTTCCTTGAGAGGCAAGGGTCGAACAAGTGCGGGGAACGTGGCCTGGTTGACGATCATCCACAGGACGAACGACAGGGGCTTTTCTATAGCTCGTAGAAGGAGAGCGTATTTCTTGACACCAGGGCTGACTACACCAATCAGGAACTCGAAGACGTTGGGGAGGAAGTGAGCGACGATCTTCATGACCCAGAAACTGAGCCAGACTGGTATGATATGTTAGTATGTAGGATGTTGGACTGGATAATGAGCACTCACTGATTTCGATCCATATCCAGAACTTCTTCTGCTCGGTGCCGCTGATTGAGCCTGTGATTGTGCCTGTTTGCGACAGAATGATGGGAATAGCCAGCAGAAGAGCGACAGGCGCAACATAGATCATGTAGCGCGTGATGATGCTGTAGTTGAGAATCTTGGTGTAAACCCTGCCCATATGATTCAAAGCCGTCTTCTCTCCTTGGTGAGGGCGTTCAGGCAATGGCGCTCCCGTCTGCGAGTCGACCTTTGCCAGCCTCCTGCGTCCTCTATGGAACATGCCCGTCTTTTCAGACTTGTCCTCTTTCGAGGTAGGCGATTGTGAGGGCGTGTGACTGACGACAGTCTGGAGGGGGATGTCATTGGTTCGGCCGTCCATGTCTTCGTTGGTGCCGTTGAGCGGTTGAAAGCCGTAGTGGGATTGGCGAAAGGACCTCTGGGAGGGAGATCGTTGATTGCTTGTCATAAGGAAAGAGATCTAGTAGACGGTCGTACTGGGCGATGTCGTCACCGCCAAACGCAACAGTGGGCAAATGGAATGCAGGACCCGAGACGTTCAGTAGTGGAGAGGGCAGCGGGAAAGGCCGGCAAGGAATGTGCGTCGAGCACTTTCACTATGCGGATCGCGTCGTGGGACGGTGGAGAAACGCGTACAGCCAGGGATTGGACTAAGAAACAACTGCCAGGCCAGGTCACCAAGGAAACAAGAAGAGGTAGGAAACGAGCCTGGAGCTCTCGGAGAGACACAATGGCGCAAAGCAGAGGTGAACGAGTGCGGGTGAAGAAGAAAACTTAAGGAGAAGGACATTCTTCAAAGACGACAGACACAGCGCCCCCGGACCCGCAATTGCATCGTTCCTGCAGGGAATCGATGGTGCAGAAGCCACAGACAGGCAGTGAAACCGCGCTAAGGCTCGCCACGGGCAAATCGGGGAGGAGCCCTGTCACGGCAAAGGCCCGGGAAAACCTGCAAAAATCGTCGATCTTGCCAACTTCATTTTTGCTCAGTCCAACAGGCGAGCTGGGCTGGGAGATGCCCTTCATCTGCTCCACCAGCATCTCGGGTGAGAATTCTCAATCGGGATCATACGCAACCCCTGATGAGGATCCCATCTGGCCAATTCCCCCAGTCGTACGCGTTTGGATGCGCTTCGAAAAAAACTAAATATTGGTTGAGGTCAACGTTTATGGTATAGGCATTGATGTACCTCGCGCTCCATGATCCTACAGAAGCTCTCCACAATGGTATGACGTCGGTGCGTGACGTGTCGCCATCTTTAGATCGAAAGAAACTACCCGAGATGCAGTGCTGGTGTGGTGCCTTGGTTGCGAGGCAGCGAACTGCCCACAAATGCACAATCCAAGTTTATGAGGTCCCAACACAGTGGCGCGCGTCTCTGTCATTTCCAATTCAACAAGATGGCTTGATATTGAAGCTTTGATTTGCCTTTTCCAAGAGCAGGGTATGACTTGGCGCGAGGGGACCCTGGAGGCATGCAGGGCCTCAACGGCTAATTGTAAACCCAGCAACCAGGACGCTGAGCAACAACAGCAATTCCTTGGAGTTCTCTCGCTTGCAAGATCAAGATCACGATCACGATATTGCGTGGAGTATTTGGTCCCCTGTCATAGTGGGAGATGCTTGTGGGACCGGCAACCGAACACGTGGCTCACAAGAACAAAGAACGCGCATCCTTTGATCCTTGTTGGTCAAACATACCTCCTCACTTTGTTGTATGGCATCACTTACACCACACTTAAGAGACAGACAGAGAGCAGACAAGTCTACAGCCGCCACGCGATGGCAAAAAAGCGGCTATTCTTAGCAGGTCAAACCCGCCACAGTCATCAAAACACGCACTAGCTACCCACAGCTACGGCTCACATATTGGAGATCGTCAAAACGTTCCCCACAAAACTCATACATGGAAGCGTATGCATAAGGAAAGAGTATAATGTATCAAGATTTGCGTCCCCGCTTGATTTCCAACTACCATGGCGACGATCCATCTACAAATCATAACTTCGTAAAAATGGAGCATTTCCCATTTCCTTCCCCCAAGTTGCTGTGCAATATGCTTTCACGACTCCAGAACTCCATGCTCTCATGCAATGCAAACCTTCCGTCCTCCCGAGATAATTTTACAAGAAGAGAAATGCACATTCCTCAGTCTGCACACTTAGCTGTTCCCGCAAAGTGTGAGTCCAGCAATAACACACCATCCCCAGTTCCATCTTGTCGCACTGATCAGATCATCCACATTGAGCATGCCAACACCAGCATCCATCAGCGTCCGCCACACGCTGTCCCTCAGCGAAATCGGCCAAGGCGGTGTATCCCAGTACCGACTCTTCAAGCCCTTCTCTTGCGCGGCATCCACTTGGCCTTTGATCGTGTCAAATTGCTTGCGAGATAGCCCGTTCATCGTCCAGATTCTACCGATTGCCGATTTGATATTGGTGGAAGCGTAGTAGCTATTAGTAGCGTTGTATTTGGCGTCGGAGATGGAGAGCAAAGGGGCGTCGAAGAAGACGAAGCGGTTGGTAGCGTTTTGCTGCACCAGATCGAATGGTGTGTTCCCCGTGCCCACGACAGTCAACGGTCCCTGGATCAGTTTCTCGCCGTCATAGTACGTGAGCCAGTTTCTGTCGCGGAGCGGTTGGAGTTGCGAGAGGAGGACTGGCCATATCTCACGGCCCTTGGATTTGAAGTCGATGAGTAGGATCGTGGAGATATTCGGATCGGATTCGAAAAGGCCAGTCTCCCTGTCTTCTGTTGATGCTGCAGACACGTTTCGGTTTTCGAAAATGTTGGTCAGTGGATCGAGGTATAAGCTTCTTAACGTTCGCACTCTTTTCGTGGATTTCCACGAGTGACTAACAAGCAGCTCCTTTTCTTCGGTCAACCACACATCTGCCTCGACGCTCACACAGCCCACCGCGAGAGCTGCATAGAGCGGAACGGCGCGCCAGTAATCGTTGTGCGAGTGGCAGTTTTTTGGGACAATGTCGCGGCTGAAATCATCTCTCCAATCGAATTTGAATGCGCCCTTCGAGTCCGGCTCTTTCCAGGTCTCAACAATGTGTTGCAGTCCGCTATGGCCTGGTGGAGGGGCAAGACGACGTCTTAGTGTGGTGACGAAGGATACATACACACTACTCCATGTCAGCGATGCAATGGGTCTGATGCGGTTATTAGTCCTTACACTCCGGCAATGACGCCGAATATCGCCAAAACAACGACTACGACTCCTACTCTTTGACAACAGCGCCTTCTTCTTGCTCTCCTCTCTGGTACTGACTCTTCGCGATCTCTTGATGGCAATCCACACCACCAGCTCAAGTCACTGCGCCATGAACTTGGCCCGCTGCGCCGATACCACTCTGACTTCTTTCGTCCCTCAATCTCTTCTAAACTTATGGCACTCGAATCCTGACTTCCCGTCTCATCCTCATCATCGTGGAACCTGCGCGGAGTACCGTCCCCGCTCACCATCCTAAGAAATACCGGTCGTACAGCAACAACAGGCTCGGATTTCGTTTTTTCTGGTGCCTGCTCCATGGTCCAAGATTAACGCCGAACAACGCGACAACAACAGTGCAACAAAACTTGAGAAGCCTCAAAAACAAAACTGCGGGGAACTGCCATCTCAAGAGCACATCATGTCCGGGGTGGCGGAGTTCTGGACTTCCAGATTGCGGCACTACGCTAGCCGCATCAGGCTGGAAGAGCGATATTGGGACCAGTCTTCCACAAAGTACAAGGCCGTGCCGAATCGTGAGGCTCGGGAAGATTTCGGAGCAGTGTAGAAGAATTCGGTACTCACCTTTCTCGTTGTGGCATCAATGGGTCCGTCGTACCATCGAACAAAGAAACCAGCAGACGAGTGGAGGGGATATATACCTCCGCATGCATACGGCCCCCAACTACTCGGGAAGACTTAAAAGAACTACCTGCTTATTACTCTGGGTCCCCATGCGAGTACGCCTGGCTATTGTCCTGGGAACCTGGAACATGCTGACAGCTTACGGGCTACGATCCAGTAGAGCCCGACACGGGCGATTCACAAGATCGGTTCCTGTGACACTACCAAACGGGAGGCGCCTGCACGCCAGAGGATTGATCGCGATTAGTGAGACATTAATTTTCCGACCCATTTTCAGAGGTTGATGGAAAATACCAATGCTTGAGACCCCGGGGCCATTGAACAAGCTTTGTTGTCGAACTTTGGTTGCCGCTCAGCCCCAGGGTGGAGCTGGAATCAAGCAATAGGATAAGGCGCCGCCCTAGGACCGCGCTATCGTTGAACATGTCGCCAGACTGGCAATGGTGTCGTGCTCAAGATGCGCTTGGGCGTTGTACATTCGCCGTTTAGAAATGCTTGAATAAGCGACGAGGTTATGCAAAGTTCACACCTGGGCAGCGTGTCGGTGTGAGAGCGCGTAGATCTAGGGCGGATTCAAGGCGACCACCCGCAGCACGTGGGGCTTGATTTTGCTGAGTAGCTTGGCTCTAGCCCGAACGCGGATGGGACGCCTTGCCCACCTAGGTTGGACAGAAGCAAGAGCTACTAGCGATTAGGAAGGACCCCTACAAACACCATCACACCGCAACTCCATTGTCCTATCACCAGATAAATATGTGGACTTTCCCATGCGCGTGAAGCACCTCAAGTGTTTCAATAGCAGCAATAGCAGCAATACATGAAGGGGTGAAGGCGTGCCACGAAGGCACTGTGCCCCTTGGCGCATGTCTTAATTAACGCGAAGAAGCCAACATGGCTTTTTGCTTACTTCGCCCGCCCGCGCATAACATATATATAGGCATCCAAGCCCCCCGGGGTATTCCTCCTATTCAATCTGTCACCAGGAGCTTATTTCTTCCCGACATACAAAGTACTCTGAACTCATTCCGTAACTTAAAATCCTCTTAGTTAGCAACAATGTCAAAAGGCTATTCTTCTTCATTCCGCATCTGCATCGCTATTCTGCTCGCTGTCCAGGCCGCCTGCTGGGCCTTGACCGTCCTCGACCTACTAAGCCCTGGCAAACCGAGCATGCTCTTACAGATGGCTACGAATTTGGTGTCCCAGATAGACTCGAGGCGCCTGGGTGGAAGCGCGCTGCTCTCCTACCGCGATATTCGAAGCCTGATCTGATATCTACGAGAGAGGGGTCCATAGTGGAACATTCGAGTATCGAACTACTTCATCCAATGCAGCGGGTATCAGAAATGAGTGCGCGCAGTTGAATTGGGGTAACGGGACGCCGCGGCGGAGAACGAGCATCGAGCGACACACCACACAGAGTAGTCGCGGACAAGAACGAAGATCAAATGGTGCAAGACGGCAACCGCACTACGATGAAGGAGAAGACAAGGCAAGACTCACAGTTTCAGACACCAGTTCTGACGTGAGCGAGCGTGGGCGAATCTGGAAGTCAGATAGTCGCAGGCTCGACTTTCCTAGCATCCAAATTTGCTACAAGAGCCATCAGTTGTTCGACTACTACAATATGTTGCCTTTATACAATATGTCAGCTATGCACGCAATAATCAATACATTGCACTCATTTTCCATTCTGAGCTTATGCCGTCCTTATCTGTCTATATCATCCAGCGAACATGTCCACTCCGCTAAATCGCAATCTGGGGAAAGGCAAGGTCCTCCAATTATCCACACGAAAACCCTCTGAAGAAATAAAACAGGCATCAACAGGATCATAGCGATGGTTGCTAGACTAAGGAAAAAGCCGCCGATCAAATACGTCACCGCTAGCCTACGCTGCTGTTAACGCCAGTACAGAATGCGAAATATGTAAAGTGAGAGAAGAAGAATATGGATTGTTTGCAATGTGATGGCATGTGTTTACTGCGTAGCTTGATGGTGACTTATCCTGTCTACCATGCTTACGTTCCCATACTGTTTCTGGTCGAAAGAGTGATCGTGCGGTACGACTTCGACACGCGGTGCAGCGGTAATTTCGTCTTGGTCCTCGTTTGTTACCGTTAGCGCCAGCGGGGTGGCAGTGGGTTTGAGTGTCATGACACTCTCGCCCAGTGGTTCCGAACGATCCGTGTTCGCCGTGCTAATTGATGCGGCTGTGTCGCTAGCCAGAGGTGCTGTTTTGGAGGGATGTGACTTTTTCTCCTCGACGTTTTCGATAAACTGAGCGCCACCATCCTTGCTGTCTTCAGGCGTGATTGCTTCCGCAAGGCTTTGAAAGTTGAACATAGGCTCGGTGTCAGGCGTGTCTTGTGGAGGTGTCTCGCCTTGACTAAAGCTTACACCTGAAGCATTCGGACTTGGCCCATAAGCTGAGCCGGGTGCTAGGTTGTTTTGACTGTCCTGGCGGAGGGAGTTCTGGTATGACTCGGCGAACGAGGAGGCCGATGATGAAGCGTTAGAGAGGTTGTTCATCGCAGAACGATGGCATGGCTGGTCGCTGAAGGGATCGAACGGTGCCAGATTGCCAGAGTCGGGGGTCTTGCCTCGTTGAATTTGTGCGCGGCTGTCTTCGAGGTGCTTCTGTGGATCATCTTTCAAAGTCGAGGCGTTGATGACGGAAGGAGGCTCAGTCATGGAATTGGACCCGGTGGGGCCACCAGATCGGTCCACTGCCTTGCCTTTGCCCGCTGCAGCTGAAGTGCCTACATCTGTGTCCTCAAGGTCATCAATTTCAACGGGATGGAAGCCGCTCCCAATACTGCGCTGCGCTTTCGCTACCTTCTTGTTCTCCTTTGCTTTCTTCTTGCCCTCTTTCTTAGCTTCTTTGGCCGCTTCCTTGTCTTCTTTTCTTTTTCGGTCTTCTTCAGCTGCGAGACTGAGGCGAATGGCTTCCATCATCATGAGTTCTTCTAGATCATCCATTCTGTTGCCTCGCCGCGAGCTGATTCGACCCGGAAATAAGTCGTTTGATCCATCAGTGGCGCGGCCAGATGAGCCTTCGCCTTCCCGTCGCGGCGTCCCAATACCACTGCTGCCGGCGCTGTCACTATTGAATATCGTCCGCCTTCGTCTACCGAGGCCAAAGCGGCTCTCCTGTTGTTGGATATTTCCCATCATGTAGGCAGCATTATGCAGAGCTGTCGCAGCAGCAGCCCTTCGCAAGGCATGTGCTTTTGCATCAGCCAGCTTCTTGGCCCAGTCAGGCCGAACCATATCCGTCGTAATGACCGTCTTGTCGTTTACAGCGAGTGATGTGGCTCTCCTACGCCCTGGTGAGGTCACAGTTGGTGAATTCAAGGAAGTTGTGGATGACATTGCAGAGGCTGCGTTGCTCAATGGGTTCTGGCCAGGTCCGTTATAAACCAGCCCACGCCTAAAAGGTGGAGGTTCAAAAGTGACGCCAAATTCCGGTTGCACGCAGAATGGACAAGCTGCGGGCTCAGAGACTAGCTGGATCTCTTCCTGAGGCTCAGCAGATGGACTTTCGGCCTCTCCATGGTGCTCAGGTGGATGCGGGTCGGGTCGCTTGATTTGTACAAAACACTCGGAGCATATCGGTTGGTCGCAACATCGTGTCTTATTGAGGTGCGGCGGGTAATACATGAAGCAGATGGGGCATTCTGCGGCGTTCTTGTACAGAAAGGCCTCTAGCCGTTGACCATTCACGTATGGATCCTTGGGGAGATTGAGTTCCTGCGGAGCGATGTCCGTTTGCGATGCATTGCGAGAGCCCGAGGCGAGGGAAGCAAGCGTCTTTGCGCGGCCACGGAAGAAGGGTGACGCGGACGAGATGGGCGAGACTGGTGAGGGGAGGGAGAAGGCGGGATGGGACGGCGATAAATTTCCTGAGCGATCCGAGTTCGCAGACATGGACCGCGAAGTGATAGGGACTGACAGATTGCTCAAGTTAGGTTCCGAGCTACGAGGGTTCCATGCGGGGCTGAGACGATTACTCGCTCGAGACGGCTCTTCTGGTGGGATCTCATCGGGGGCGGGAAGTGGCAGGCCATTGACAACGGCTACGAGCTGATTCTCGGTCCAGGTATCCTCGTGATCATTGAGACCTTTCCAGAAGGGAGCGAGTCGTCTCTCAATCTAGCATGTGTGAACGCGGGCGAGCATGTCAGCAGTGGGTGGGTGGCGCATACCTGCAATTGTCGCACAATCGGCTTGCTAAAGTCCTCTGGGCCCGTGTAGACACCAAGAGTGACCAGATAGCCTCCGTCTACGCCCTCGTCCCGAATACTCCGTTCCCGCTCTTGTGCTCTGAGTGCTCGATCTTTTTCTAGCTTACGAGCCTCACGCTCGGCTTTGGTCTCTCGCCGCGGCTCGAGCGCAGGATCACGCTCAGTGGGTTCAGCTCTAATGCCTAAGAAGGATAAGTCATGCCTGCTTCCTCTACCGTTCCTCGAGCTATACACACCGCCTCCTGTTCTCTCTTGTGGCGCTGCGACGGGTGCCGATGTGGTGGGCGAAGTGGGTACATGGGAACTTGAGCGGCGAGCGTGGCCCCGCGAGCTGGGCTGAGATTCCTTGCCCTGGGTATTACCCATTGTGAGGAAGAGGTTTCGATTCGAGGGATGGGTACAAGTCGGGCAGCGGAACGCGCCGGGGAAGGAGGTTATGAGGTGCGTGGTTGATGCCCGAGCAGATGACGGCAGTGTCTCGGGGTCGATGTGAGGTGGGATATGGGGGTTATCGCGGAGATTTAGCGAGTGGAGGGTGGTGTGGTGGTTATGGCGGGAGATAGCGGGTGTCACAAGGACATTGATGCCATACGGCGGTGCGAAACCTGAGCGATGGTCCTCGGGTCGCCCTGTCCTCGTTCGCGTCGTCCGGGTACGCGACTGGCTGGTACTGGCAGTCGCAGTGGGCAGAAAGGGCGCATGAGCAGGTGCAGGAAAGGAGCAATGGCAGAGGCAGCTCTGGCCGACTATGGGCTACTGAGGTGGTGTTGAGCAGCGAAACCTGAATGATGTCGTTGGGCTTGGCGGGCAAGCTGTCGATCGCAAACGACCGAGTTGCGTACCGTTAGGGCCGAATGAGGCGGGGGGTGGGGAACGTAAGATTGGGCGCGGCCTCTCCTCACATGTCAGCTCGACCTTTACAGGATGGTTGAAGTTTACAGCTGGGGCAAGTCGAGACATGTGAGAAATATACAAGACAAACAGGCGTCGACAGCTCTCTGACGCAGCCACGCTTAGGCACTGGGGGGCTTGCTGCTGCTTGGCCCCTCAGCCGCCCGCCGCGACATCAGGAACCGGCCTTGCAACCTGCATTCGTGCAGTAGTAGTGCCAAATCGGACAACACAACAAACACCAACATCATCGTCATCATCATCATTCTCGTTCTCATCCCTGTACCTTTGAGATGAATATGGTGCGAGAGCGCTCCCACAACACAGTGCCTAGGTACAGTAAGACTCCCCCCACCTGAACGCGGGGTTCCCCCATGCAGCATCGCGAACAACGCCCACTGTACTGTACAACAACCTGCTTTTTGCAACTAGCCTACTGCTACCTACCTAATGACCCTGCGACCAAGTAGCCTCCTCTTTGCCTCTTTGCCTCTCAACCACTTGGATTATACTGTGCCGAACGACCATGCAGCCTCCCAGTGATACTTGTCTCCTGGGCCGACAATCTGCTTACCTAGGCGACCCCACTCAGGGCTGTCCCACACTGTTAGCTGACATGCTGGCCAACGCCCAATACCACACAACAACTTACTGGTTGATGCCATCGACGTAATCCTGGGCCTCAATAGCGATGCAGCCATCTCGTGGAATCAACTTGTTCTGGCCTGCGACGCCCTGCGTGCTCTTAAACTCCGTCTTTCCATCGTTCCAATTGCACGTGTACAGAACAACCGCATCCTGATTCGTCGTCAGATCGGCCTTGATGCCGCTCCACTCGCTGCTCAGACTGAGTACCGTCGCCTTCTTGTCCCTGTTAGTGTTGAATGCCCAATTGCCGTTGTACCCGTGGCATCCGTTGCCGCAATGGTTCTCAAATCCAGCGTTGCCTGAAGCAAAGCCCAGTTGATGTGGTGCGGACCAGAAGTCGTCAATGGCCCCTGCTGTGACATTGGCAATCACGCCTGTGGGCAACGCGTTCGCGTCGGCTTCCATGACGCGCTTGGCCTCAGGCATATACAAGGTGTGGTTCCAGATGCTTCGGTTGCCGGGGCGCGCAAAGGCATCGAGCTGGAAGTAGGTATGCTGGGTGAGCATGAGGGGCGTCTTCGCCTCGGGAGAGATGGCATCCATGACAATCTTCCATTTGTTCTTCTTTACCGAGTATGTCACGCTTGCCTCGACCCGGCCGGGCATGCCAGTCGAGTTGGCAGGGTCGTAGATGGAGAACGTAATCGACGTATTCGACACTTTGCTGACGTTCCATGTCCTAAACGACCAATTCTTGGTGCCGCTGTGTAGCGTGTTCGGCCCATCATTCTTCTCGGTGTGATACGTGACGTTGTCGATTGAGAATTGGCCCTTGCCGATGCGGTTGACATATCGTCCAGGAATGGCATTGTATACAGGATGACCAGGATCCACAGCTGCGTATTGTCAGATGAGCTTGGTTGGCCATGTGGTTGGAGGCCTACGGTAGTAAGAAGCATTGTCATATCCCAGAACGATGTCTCGCTCTATGCCATTCTTGTCTGCAACACTCTCTCAGCAAATGCATTTGCGCATATCAATTGACTCCCACCTTTGACGAAGAGGTTAGTGAGCGTTGCGGCATAAGGGATGAATTGCGCCTTGATGCCTTCAGCCTCGAGCGTGTATCGTCCTTGCGCATCTGGAGACGGAACACCTGGTTTCGCAAGTGAATTTCGCACCATCGAAGTCGCGAAAAGAGCAGAGAGATACCTCATCATGAATGCTTGTATGAGAAACTTGAGCGAAAAGCGATAGTGGAACAACCCCGAGCTGGCAGCTCCATGGTTCACGGCCCTAACCTACTTATACAACGTAGGACCGGGAACCACGCGCCGCCCAACAGGATTCATTTCAATATCTGGAAGTGCATTCAAATTCAATCTCACTCTGTCCGGGTTGTTTCCGGGGTTCAAGCGCGTCTTGGCCATCTAATGTAATCTGTCTGAAATTTACCCCGGACCGCCCAAGGTGCCGCTAGGGCAGCGCCGGGAACTGAGCTAGAAAACGAGCCATTTAGTATTTATTTGCTAAATATGGTTCCCTTGTAGTTGATGTTGGTGGAACATGGCAAAGACACCCCGAGGCCGTCGATGGAGATGCAGTTCAGTGTAGCCCATGTGGGGCTAAAAGCAGGGTCGGTCTTTGGGCCACTACTCATAGCGCTATGAATGCTGGAGTACTTTGATTATACCTACGTTGCATCATCCAAGGCAACCTCGTATCATCATCCTTTACTGAAGGCGTCTTTTAGTCCGCGCATGTTACTAGCCACACTTTTCCAGCTCGCCAGAGTTATACGTAATTCATACAACCCTGGAAGCCTAGTAGGATACAAAATGGTCCAGCCCGAGTGTCACCTTGCCTGCGGCCGGCAAACAGGTAGTCCTAGAGCGTTAGCGCTTTGAGATTCTTATCTGCGGCTACTCGGCTTCGTGCTGGGGGCCTCACTCAGCCCCAGTCACTCCTGCTCTTGAGAAAGCTTCGCACCACCCAGAACCTAGCATCACCTCACCACGTGGGCCTACATCTATTCTTTCTCCTCACGCACTCTCTCCAGTTATCCCGCGCCGCTGTATTCTTACCCAACCCAGCCACCTCCAATCCTCTTCAATACACTACCAGCAAAGCTATGGGCGCGCTCGAATTCTTATGCGACATACGATTTCATAAGAAATTCGTCCTTCCCCCAAACCCCGAGACTGGAAGAAATAAACCCTATCGTGTTTCCTATTCCGACTATGGGGATTCAACCAGTAACGCAGTCGTCCTCTTCTGTGGAGCGCTGATGGGTACCCGCCTCAGCTATGCTACTCTCGATCAGCTAGCCAGAGCCTATAATGTCAGGATCATTCATCCAGACAGGCCCGGGATAGGTGGCAGTGATGCAGTTGATCTTGAAAAGCGGATACAGACCTGGCTTGGTCAGTCGTCGCTTTGCCTGCCAAATTGAAATCAACCCGGCTTACATTTGTAGAAATGGTCCCTCCACTCCTGGCTCATCTCAGAATCCCCTATGTTTCGCTCGCAAGTCACAGTGGAGGCGACATCTACCTCCTCAACACCATGTTAACCCACCCGCACATCCTACATCCTACAAATCCTTATGTCTGTTTCTTTGCGCCATGGGTTCATCCTTCCCACACTAAAGTCATGCACATGTGGGCGACTGAGCTCCTGCCAGCACCAATAATTGGCAAATATGCATTGGCAGCGAAATTCGTTACCGAAAATGTGATACCTTTGGCAGGAATGAGTGGCAGCCTTGTCCAAGGTATCAAGGGTTCGTTGCTGCGCTCCAACCCTCCACCCGGCCCCGTTCCACTTGCGCAGGCCACTACCCGGTCGCGACCGCCTTCGATATGTTCTCATGAAAGGACCAATACTCTTGCATTGGAGGAACCGAAGGTGGTAGAAGAGCTGCGGAACCATATCACGACATTCTTGTTCGCTGAAACCATGGATGGTATATCTGCAGATGCTCAGCTGTTCATGAAGAAGCCACGTTCCCTCCCGTGGTCCTCACCGAGTACCCTCTGGCCCGACATCGACTGCGCGGTGCCCCTACTGTCCAAGATGATCAACGAAGATGGTAGGGTGGGTAGCAACAGTAGGAAATGGATCATCGATACTTTCCATGCTTCCGAGGACGAAATGGTTGGCGATAAAGGGAGGCAGTGGTTCGACGATTGTTGGAAATCGGATCAGACGTCTACGACCAGCGTCCACAGTGTTTCATCGCAAGCAGCACAACCGCCGTCGCAGAAGAACTACGTGTACAGAAGCCAGGTTGTCAAAAGGACGGATCACAACTTCTTGCTGGACCCAGTCTTTGGTGCAAGCGAATCATGGCTTCAGCGAGTAGCGGAAGCTTTCCAGATACCTACGGGTGTTGATAACATGATTCAGGCATCTCCATAACCTAGTCTAATCATGGAGCGGGCTACATTGATCAATAGTCCTAAAGATGAAGTCTCGTCGAATTCTGCGGGTCGACGAAAGATCAGGATTTTTTTTGGGTGGTTTAACAACTCAGACTATACCATCTTCATCATTATTGTTATTACCCATAGTAGTTCGAATAGACTTAGGTGAGGAGTTTGGGGTTCTCACCTAAATGTATGCCAAGCGGCGATCGACATGTAGGGCTGACGGAGTTTAAGCCAGTGCCGAACTGACGTCTTCCATTCATGTAAGCTCACAACAATTTCACAACCAATGCGATAATAATGGCCGAAGACATGCAGATCAATCCCCAGCGCGCAAAACAATTAGCAGAAAACGTTGCGAGCATCTCGTCACGCATCAGTGCAGCAAGTAAAGGCGGCCAACAGGTAGGTACCACAGCCCCGCGCCGCCCACTTCGCATCAACAGCTACTAATGAGAAACAGGTCCGCCTCATAGCAGTATCGAAGCTGAAGCCCGCAAATGACATCCTCTCTCTTCATCAATCTCCCAACCCTCTACATACCCACTTCGGCGAGAATTATGTCCAAGAGCTCCTCGAGAAATCCAAGCTCCTCCCACGCTCGATACGATGGCACATGATCGGAGGTCTGCAGTCGAATAAATGCAAGCAGCTAGCCGAGCAAATACCAAATCTGTGGTGTGTAAGCAGCGTAGATAGCGAGAAGAAGGCGAACGAGCTAGAGAAAGGCCGCAAGGCGCTGCTGGAAAAACAAGAAGATGCTGCAAAGCTGCGAATCATGGTCCAAGTCAACACGTCCGGGGAAGAGGCAAAATCTGGCGTCGAGCCCTCAGACGCACTCTCGTTGTGCCAGCACGTCGTCGACAAATGTCCGCATCTGCAGCTCACGGGCCTTATGACCATTGGTGCAATTGCGAGGAGTAAAGAGACGACGCCAGAGAATGAGAACGAGGATTTTGTGTGCTTGAGGGAGACGAGGGATAAAGTGGCCAAGGAGTTGGGTTGGGAAGAGGGTAGGCTAGAGCTAAGTATGGGGATGAGTTCGGATTTTGAGGGAGCTATTGGCCAGGGGAGTAGTGAGGTTAGAGTGGGGAGTGATATCTTCGGGGAGAGGCCGCTGAAGAAGGATGCTGTTGTCAAGGACGCGGCGGCGGAAGAGAAGAGCTAAAGTCCCGGCAAGATCAAAGTTAATGCAGTGTTCTATGCATTGTGTTGTGCTTGATTGTGTGCGTATGAATATCTCCGCTGTTTGCTAATCATCCTGTTTCACCTCATCACCAAATCTCGTACACGCGCCTTACTTACGCTTCTGCCAAGGTGGGCGATCGCTCTTACCAGTTTTGCAAGACCACCTGGCTCTCACGTTACCTGGCTCTTACCTTGCTCTCACCTTACGACACGCAGGTCCACCATGAGGTATGCGCTCAATTCGAAGCATTGATTCTTGTTACTAAATAGTTACCGCAGTTCCCCAAACAACCCCGGTAGCATCGGAAGATTCTTCAACAGAGGCAACGGAACAGCTCGCGCAAGAGGCGGTAGAGGAGACTCGGGAAGAGGCAGCGAAAGATTCTGGGGAACAAGACGCAGCTTCGCCAACGATGCCTTCCAGCCCGCGAACTCAACTCAGCAGGCGAGCGCGTCCTTTACCAGTGGAATCTCTGGCGGTGCGATATCTACTCTTTCTACGACCACTGGTCAGCCTGGCAATACGGGTCTTCCGCTCCCGAACAGACCTCCGTCCTTTGCCGTTGACTCGACGACAAATAGTGGCGTCCAAGCCCCAAGCAATGCACCTCAGCCTCCTGGCGATGCGGGTGCACTGTCCGGACCCGTTCCTCAGGCTGCCTCCATACCACCCAACCCGACTGCCACAGATCATGGCAGTCGCCAACCCGTAGCTGCGGATATCGTTAATAGGACTGTCGCTACACTGCAGGTCGATACAATAGGTATTCCAAGGTCACCATACACGGCAAGGATTAGTTTCGGCACACGGTCAGTTCACGTACATAAAGTCTTCACTCTCAGAGTCTGACATTTGGTAACAGTAGATCCGGACGACTACAGCTTCAATTGTATGTTCCAGCCATCTAAACTTAGACATTTCTGACATGTGCAGGCTCAAAGGCCCCGGCATCGACGTGGTCATTGGCCCTAGAGATGCACTGTCTTTGCCCAAAGAAGGGACAGAGGCATGGTCGCTTCCCAGGGCTCTAATATGTCATTACTCCCCTTACCTCGAAGCGGCATGCACTCGCGACTTTCGCGAGTGCCAAGAAAACTATATCAAGCTTCCTGAAGATGACCCCAAAATATTCGATCTATTCGTTGAGTGGATGTACTATAACGAGTACACTCTAACCACGCGCCATGACGAAGAACTGGGGCGTATCGCAAACTCAAATTCGGAAGCTTGGGTGCTTGGAGATAAGCTCCTTTCAACGGACTTCAAGAATTACGCAATGAGCCGCCTCTACGCACAGTATGCTACAGATACAAGTCCCAAGCCTATCAGGACCATCGATGTCAAGTATGCATACCTACACAGTGCAGCCAACTCTCCGCTGCGTCGATTTTTCTTCGATCTTGTTGTAGCACACTTCAATGATCGTGCACGTGTCGTGGATACAACGGAGGAATGGTGGCAAGTCATGAAAGAATATGTAGACTTTGGGGAATTGCTTCTAGGTGTGCTAAGAACGGGCACCGATCGGCGCCACTTGATCAAGGACAAGGACATATATATGGAGAAGGTTCACGAGACCAGCGAGAATATGATCACCCCTGCGAAGAGGGATGCGGACGGACGACGCGTGAAAAGGGAACCCACGAGTGCTTGAAAGCAAGTGCTAACTCACGTGCTCCGAGCCTTTATGGTATATGCACCACATGAGAGTATGTTTATGCAGTGGGTATGTGGAGTTTTTCGATTGCCGAACGGAAAGGATTTCAAGAGTCGTGGAGGAACACACGCGATGTGCATTATGACATACACGTCGGCTCATTTTATTTACTAAAAATAGTGACGACCAAGGCGAATGCCATATGCACTTAGTTCAACTAAAACTGCCGATCAGCGCATTAGTACTTCTACCAAAATTTCATGCTCGAGTATTTGCCCTCTTGTACGTTGTTTTCGACTAACAAACGTAATCTACATAATCTTCAAAATCCTTCTGTAGACACTGCTTGCGCAAAAAGGCCCGCTTGCTCATCAGAAGGCCCTACAATATTCTTGAAAAGAGTTCAAGGAGCCAAGTTTGGAGGCGCAGTAAGTATGCGTCCGATACATGGGTGTAAGCGAATTGTTATTTACTTCTCCTCGCTTACTTGCACTCCCCTTGACGCCTCTGTTTCACCCCGTCCGCCGATCAACTGACAATACGGACCCCCTTTTTTTCGCGCGCGCTTCCTCCGGACGATAATAGGACTACGACGTCGTTCATAACAGCTCAAACATCATAAGTATCCCGACGTAAAGAAAAATCCATATCATGAAGAAGTTTGTATAATGTCTATGAAGCCATCTTTGTTTGAGCGCTCACATCGCATAGCCCCGCCTAGCCCCGCATACCTACGCGAGTGGGCAACCAAATACTAGGTCACCCAGTCACTACAACTAACAATAGTGTTATCGGTCGCAATGTCAAGTCCATCTAGCTCTAGTTCTGCTCCGAGTATGTTACTTCGCGTTGTTGCCTCTACTCATTCCAAGACTCAGTCTAACTCAACATAAGATGAACCTAGTCAACCGACATCTCTGTTCGGCCAGAGCTTGAGCAACGTCTTTCAATTTTCTGGTGACGCCTCCCAAAACTCTACCACTTCCTTGCCGTCTGATGGGCATAGTCCATCGCCTTCTACACCTAGCATATCAGAAACAGCGCTGGCCAGGATATCATTGGGATCGAGTCCTTCACCTACTGCTGTATCTGTATCAGACAACATCACACCTGTACCAGGCACAGGCGCAGTAACGATTGTTCCATACGAGGAGCCGTGCGAGTACGAGAGGCGTCCATTCCAAACCATCAGTGCCCAACCAGAATGTTCAAATTATAGCCTTGAGGAACTCAGGTTGGCAGACTACAATCAGGGTATAGGCTGTCAGCGTGCAGAGTGGGTTTCTCAAAACCTCGCGTCAGGATTTTCCGCAGCACTAAACGGTAAAGCTCTGATACCAATGAGCAGAAGAGATCCAAAGCATCTCAAGATGTGCGTTGTCTATACTAGCATTCTGAACTTTGCTTACCCTGGTAGACTCCGCGGTGCTAGTATTGAAATATCTGTTGGCTTATCTTCCTGCCTGTGCTCGCGGCCAGAATCGTGCGACTGCAACGAGTCCTGGTTCCTGCCGAAGGCGTTGATATCGCAATACTCCCCTTTCCTCAGAGCTGCCTGTACGCGCGACTTCAAGGAGCGTGATCAAAATCTAATCGAACTCCCCGAGGATGATCCCGCAGCTTTCGCCCTATTCGTCGAATGGATGTATTACGGTGAATACACCGTTCTAGCCTCCTCATCTACGCTTTCAGAAAGCCTGCATAACGATACGAACATGAATGCGAAATGCTGGGTTCTCGGCGATAAGCTTCTATGCACTGAGTTCAAGAACTATGCCATGGGTCGTCTCTACATGCAGCATACAGCAAGATCCACAGGCAGAGTCGTCGCGACGTATAATGTGCAGTACGTTTGCGAGCACAGCGCCACTACTTCGAAGTTGCGACAATTCTACCTTGATTATGTTGTTGAGCATTTTGCCGATCCGACGCGGTTGAAGGGAACAACAGAAGAGTGGGATGAGCTATTGATACACCACAAGGATTTGAGAATGCTTGTGTTTCAGAGCTTCAAAACTGCCCCTGACCAAAGGCGTTTTGTCCAGAGTGAGATGAACTATATGGACCAGGATGAGCTCTTGTCCAATACGCTCGACAGACTGAGAATCGAGGGCAATGACTCGTAATGTTGGCGCTAGAAAGAGGTCAATTGGCTTTAGCAGTGGGGCTGCAAGAAGATAAGATCTTGTATAGTAGAAGTTTTTGATTTGGTGACGCCCCGGTGTATCTACGCATTAATGATCAATTACCACTGTTCTTGGACTTTGTCGCTGTAAGCAGTTCCATAACATACCATACACATCTGATCTAAGGTGTGAGAGGTGGAGCAGGGTCGACATGCAGATCAAGAATGTATTATCAGCCGACTCTAACATACTCAGCCTGAAGCGGGTAGCAAAACTTTGTGAATCTCGGTCTAGCATAACGCACCTTGAATCTCCTCGATCGCGCATACTCGTAAAATAGAATTGGTATCTCGAAAACACGCTATACAAAAGCAATATACACCTCCAGCCATCTACTGCGCATACAGTAGGGCTATCATGATTCTCGTGGCCTCATACGCCCCTTTGCCCTTCAAAAGCAACGCGAAGGTCTCCGGGATTTTCTTAAAGCTGGCTGCCGTATCTGCTTCCTGCCACACTTGAGGGACTGCCGGCTCTACGCTGATTTCTGACCCAGCTTCGCCAGTCCAGTCGAAGCTGATCCGCCAATTGATTTTTAGCAAAACGTGTTTATCTTGCAGGACCAAGGTATCACGGCCCAGATGTCGGCCGAGATCCTTCCGTGAGATTTTTGAAGCAGCTGGTTTGGCTTGGCGGCGCACGTTCTCGGTGTCCTCACTTGCACGCCCGACGATCAAGCCCGCAAATGCCGATTCGCATTTATGCCAGTACTGCGCGCGCTTCTTTGCAATGTCCCAATACGAATTGATGGCCCAGCATGCGTTTCCAAGGTCCTTAGCCCTCGCTTTCTCACGCACGAAGGTGCCTAGTTCGCGTTCGGCCCAGGGTGAAAGATGAGGAACTCGCATGTCGACGACCTCATTCGCTAATGTGTCAATAACGACCGAAACATGTGTCGTGAGCAGTTTCTGTGGACCGACGATGCCGATTGTGTGCTTCTGTTGTACCCTCTTAGAGGATGGGGCCACCTTGCTGCGAGCTAGGCTAAGCTGTGTGGAGAATTTAAAGGATGTAAACATCTCCAGATAGGGTAAGGGATTTGCTAGCTCCACGGGTCGATGTGATGGGATAGATTTCTCTTGTTGTTTCGGCCGGAGAGGAGGTAAAGACAGGGCAGAGAAAGGCAAAAACGAGCATAGCAAGCTCGATACGGGTACTGGTTGTTCTCCTTTGGAATCTACGCCGTTGATCTTGGACACGAGTTCGCTGAAGTAGAGTTAGTCACCGTTAAGCGGAAGGGAATTTGCTTGAACCTACATCAGATCAGTTCGCTCTGTAGGCCGAAGAGCCTTATCAGGAGCCCGCTGTTGCTCTTTGGCAATCTCTTCTGTGCATTTTAACACCTGAGCTTCTAGATCTTCTAGCTCGCGCTGAAGCCGTCCCTTCTCCCGTTTCCTCATCTCGACTTCTGGATCCGGAGAAGGCCTCTTTTGCGGTTCAACATCATTCTCGTCTAGACCATGCTCCACAATTTGAACAGGTAGCGTTTTTGGTCTCAAAGGTGATTGCTTTGCAGGATCGTTGACGCGAGGCGGTTGTTTACTTGGAGACGAAAACAGAACACCTCGACGAGGGCCATCTTGCTCTTCCAACCCCCTTTGTGAGGGTGTTGTTGGTAGGTCCGCCGCCTCCTCATCCGATGCGCCTGCCAAAACTGGAGCACTCTTGTATCCTACAACCTTACGCGGGCGCGGGGTAACATTGTGGGTAATGGGGGGTCGTAGTGATGCACCGGCAGTCGTGTCGTCATCCGGATCTTCAGAAGGTTCTTGGCTCAAGTCTTGCTGTATATTTGTCTCGTCGAGTACAAAAGCACGCGCCTGCTTCCCTCGAGGCAGTATGTTACTACGACTGGTTGGCCGTGAGGCGGCTCCTCCAGCAGAATCGGGGCGCAGTAGATTGGGATAGTTGCGTGCAAGACTAGCTTTAGTCGGCGATGCAAATGATGGTCGTCGTGGAACTTTTCTCGGCGGACTTGACTGCCTTTCGCGCTCCTCTGACAAATTGGTTTTCCTGCGCTTGCGTGCGTGCTCGTCCATTGTCTGAGCCGGAGTGTCACATCCACCAGGCTGGAGGGTTGAGGGAGTCGGCGTGTCGCGTAGTCGTAATGTGGGCTATAAATATATAGATTGGGAAACGCACGCTGTTTGTAGATGTTGGTGGAATAGTGAATGTCGTCGCGTCGGCGCGTGTTGTTGCTGTGTCGGCCATCCGTAGCAACTCTTGCCGAGCCTCGGAAATGCGGCGCAAAATGACGTCTCTCTCGAGCTCCATTCACTTCTGTCACTAAGCTTGCTACCACATTTCCCGGTGCGACTGCGTACAGCACTTGCGACATAGTTACCAGGCTTAACTATGTCATGATCAAGCGTATTCATCCCTCAATCGTTTTCAACTGGTCTCCGCTCCGCAATTAGCCTCCAGTAGCAATGGAGCATATAGTAAAGACCGCTCGACCGCCAGTATTGCACCGAAGCCTTTGCGTTTCGTGCTCCAGGTGGTTAACCAATACGCATACACTAGTCACATCACACACAATGGGACTACAGAATAGCAATCGGATACAACGCCGCCACAAGAGCTATATTGCGCCAGCGGGCGAGCAAGCCAGACCAATAACGGGCTTCTACGCAGGTTCGTTGTCTTCAATACGTACGAATCATGATCCAATGTTGATCACATACAGAAATCCTCAAGAAGGCACGATCCCAAGTTACACCCTTAACACGCACCGACCCGAATCCCCCACCACCTGAGTCCCTCCCCAAAACTCAAAAGGAGCAAACTCTTGAGAAAGCACGTATAGTCTTCGGCTCCAAACTTGCTGGTCCAGCAGAGCGCCGAAAGGAAATCACAGAGGCATCACAAATAATTGCAGGCGTCACCGTACCACCGAAACCTAGCGAACCGGACAATTGCTGCATGTCTGGGTGCGTGAACTGTGTGTGGGATTTTTATAGAGACGATATGGAGGAGTGGGCGGAGAAGAGTGCGCAAGCCAGAGCGGCGATGCAGGCACAGAGACAGAAAGGAGAAGGTACGGGGAGTATGGTGGCGGGGTCTGGGCAACCGAGCCATGTTGCTGTTAGTATGGATGATGATGGAGGTGGGAGTGAGACGAATTGGATCGCAGGTGCAGAGCAGGCCCATCTTTTCGATGATATACCGGTGGGTATAAGGGAATTCATGAGGACGGAGAAGAAGTTAAAGCAGATGCATAAGAAAGAAGAAGCTGCTACTGCTTAACGGGGGCATGCCGTATCAACATGAGCTGGAGGTCTTCGCCTAGTAGCTCTTTGTATTCGAGAGAACTACAACGCTCTGCGAAGTCATCCAGGCTCCTCCCCAGGACCGTCTTTGTAGAGCAAGCGAATACCCATTGAATACACCGAGTATGCATATGCCACGTATCTGCCCTAAACCAACGCCATCATTCAGCCTTGTGCTCCAGCAATGCTATATCCCGAGAGCCCCTAATTGCCCTAGTCTTCACCGACATCCACCCCCTGCGCCTTGAGATCGACCCTCGCTTCTGCTATTTGCTGCATGAGCTCCTTATGCGCATCTGGCACATCATTGAATGTGAAGACCCCCCAGCCGAGTTTGAAGAGCAGGTATGCGCCGAAGGAGACGAGGGCCCAGAAGGGGAGCTACCAGATGTCAGTTTTCATGATGATTGTACAGGGTCCAGGAGCGAAGATAGACATACGACAGGAACAACCTCATTCTGAAGCTTTTCAGGGAACGGAATGACTTCCATAAAGACTGCGAGGTAGATCTACACCACCATTAACCTTGAACCCCTCGAAGTGTGGCCAGGGGGTTCCATACGGATGTCAGGAGCATCGCAATGCTGATTGTTTGTTGTGCGCGCGTCATTTTGACGGTATTTTATGCTGACAATCTGGAAACGAGGGTATGCGGTCGGATGAGCTGGGAATGCGTGATGCTGGCGACGTTGTAGTGTCGAATGCTCAATGCCAGATGGCTCAATTTCCGCCAAGGGATCGCTTTCCAGGGGTCAGGTGTAGCCGATTTGGGGCAAGTCTAGCCGGTGGTGGGTCGAAGCATCCATTTGCAACTTCAACACTTCAAACAGCAGGTCACAAACGGAAACACCGTGTCAAGTCTATACCAAACACAGCACGAAAGATTGAGGTTTCATCAAACTGGTCGGTATACGTTTCCGATACAGTGGGGGCTGGTACAACGACCCGCGATTACTTCAGCTTTTCGCTTGTTAAAGAGCATCGCCAGCACAATGGAGCCCTGAGCTAGACACAACCCTTCAAACATATATTTTCAAGAAATTCCAAATCTGCAAAAATGCATCCGCCCAATAAAGAGGTTGAAGAGTTCTTAGAGTCGATAGAGCTCTTACTCGAGGGAAGCCCCGAAGGCCAAGATGCAGCTCTCAGAACACTACTCCACAAGCTTGAACGTTTCGTGGATATAGGAGACGCCGAGCCTGCCGAGGTTGCTACAAAGCTTCTTGGGACAGCTGTGGGAGGGCAGAGTAGGTGGTGCAAATATCTGGTTAGAAATGGAGCAGGCTGACAGTGCGTAGAGGAATGGCAGACTCCGTTTCGAGAAAGCGGCATATTGTCCTTCGCCCTATCTAGGCTCTCTGTTAGCGACCATACAGATCCTCTGGCCAAGCAGTGCCTAAGAGTCATCGGTAATTCGGTTGCAGATAACGGTACTCCTTTCTACAACAACATCCACATGACGATGTTAAATGTCTGACCAACGCTCAAGATTCGAATAGAGAGCTTGCGATTAAGGACTTGCAACACATTATTGCCTGCCTCACATCGGAGGAGTTGCGTACTACTGCTTTAGCAGTGCTATTCAATCTAGGCAATGACTTTGGTACGCTCATCCATCTCCGATGACAAACAATGCTCACACAGACAGATCCTGCCAAAGCCGCTGCAGCTGGGCTGAGACTGGATAACACAATATCTTCATATCTTGCCCTTGACAAAATACCCGAAGCAGCACTCGATTACGCTATGGAGCTACTGACCTGGACCACGGGGAGCCTCACTTCTGTTCAGCTCAAAGACGCGCTCTCGCTGGAAACATTCACGAACCTGCTAGAAATGGCCCTGAGATACGATCCAGATCACTACGATGAATACGTGGCCATACTAGTGCATTACTTACAAGACCCAGAATTTCAGCCAAAGGTGGCAACGCCGAAGTTGTTAGATGACTTGGTTAGTCTGATGTTGGACTTCGAGGCTCGCCTCACACCCACCGAAAATGAAGCAGTTTTGGAAGGGCTGTCGATTTCTAAGACCGATGAAACCGCTACGTCTGATGAAACTAGTGTGCTTCTACTAACTCAACTGATCAGCTCGATTTCAGCGATTTCAGCCACTGATACCTTCGCACAGGTTTTCACTGTCACAAGTCAGGTAGTAGAAAAGGTCAGGGCGAAACTACGTGCTCCAGCCGACTCACCATCGACGGTATGTGCATGTGTCATGCTCGGCAATTTGGCCATGTCGGACGAAGTCTGCATGGATATGGTCAACATCATGGAGTTTCACATCACTCTCATCAGTATTCTTGCATCGAGCACCAAACCAGCGCTTCTATACGCTGCAGCGGGATTCATGCGCCATCTCACATTTCCAGAGGCGAACAGAACAGTATTGGTTAATACCGGACTCTTGCGGACGTGCTGTCACCTTCTAAACCTCAGCGACCCATCTGTTCGTGGCGAAGCAGCGGCCATGCTATGCAAGCTCGTGACGAACAATTTCCACAATATCGAGAAGGTTGTTTTCGAAAAGGATGAAGACGCCACGATCCTTACACGCATCGTCGAACAAGCCATTGCTCCGTCCGCAGCATTACCAAGTACGGCTATGAAGAACCCCATGATCGAGCTTGGCCGCACCCTCGTTGCTATGCTTCGCTATCTCGGTCGACCCAATGCAGAGAAGGATGTCGATGCAGTAAGACAGGAACTGCTCAAAGTACCAAGTGTTGCTCGTCCGGTGGCCAGGCTCCTACGTCAGCGATTCTACGCGGACGCAAGGTCGGAAGGGCTGCTAGGCTTAGGCCTGATGGCACAATCACCCGAGGGCGCTGCGCATGTCATCGAAGAGATCAAGGACGATGGCGGGCTGCTCGACGCTATCAAAGAATTTGCAGAAGGGAAGGACGGAGGGGTTGAGCAGCAAGGCTCGGCTGCAGGCAGAGATTATCAAAACGCGATCGTGCTGTTGCAAGCGCTTCAGAACAATGCGGTAAGTAGCGTCAGACCGCTCCTTCGAGATAGGCATTAATGAAAGACAGGGCGGTGAGATGGATATGACGCTAAAGAATCAGGTTGTCGGCCTTCAAGCGGAGCTGGGGAAACTTCTGGTATAAACACATTATTTTGCGTGGTAAGATATAAACTTGGAGGGAACAGTTCATAAGGTCACAAATAGAGTAATCCAACGTCTTGTGCACCAAGATCATGCTGTTTTCTGACTTTGAAGGTTTAGTGGTGTGGTCGCATCTCCGGCCTAATTTGTTCCCACATGAGCCAGATAGTCTACTTACTGCCAAGAATCCCGGCACCACCAATTCATAATGTCCTCGAACAAATATAAAACATGGCTATCATATCCCAGCGAATAACAATCATTTCAATGATAGTGAATCATCAAGTGGCAATTTCAGCCTCACCGTCGCCGCAAACTGGTGACACGGCGTAATCAGCCTTGCTCTGATTGGTCAGTTTCGCCACTCGTACGTTTGTACCGCCTTTGCCCAGGGTCCATTTGAGCAACCAGCTGCGAGTGGAAGACAGGTGACATATGTATAAAGCCAGCCTGGGGCGCTCATAATTGCTTTTTCATTCACAGTCAATATCAAACCTCATCTACGACATCTTCCATCTCAGACGTAAACTCAACCAATTTCGAACCCTCAACCAAACCTTCAACACTCTACATCACCAATATCAAAATGGCCTGCTGCGGACGCAACAACGGCGAGTGCGTGTGCGCCAAGGAGGCAACCTGCTCGTGCGGCAAGCAGCCTGCTCTCCAGTGCAGTATGTCTTCTCTCTTCCCAAAGCCTCCCACAGGTTTTGTTATGAGTTGCGTGTGTATACTAACATGAGATGCAGCCTGCGCGAAGTCTACTACCGAAAACAAGCTCTCCACCAGCACTTGTGCGTGCGGAAAGCGGGCTGAGGGTAAGCACACATTCTTGTTGACCTTCGCTGTAACTTGTCTGACAACATCTCATAGGTTCGTGCACCTGCAGCCGCAACGAGAACAGCGGTTCCTCCTCTCTCGAGACCGACTTCACGACCAAGAAGTAAGCGCGTGGACAGACTGTACATACAGAATGAGCATTGGGGGTGTTTGGCGTTCATATAGGGCTTCGACCCTTGAGTTCAGACTGCAGAAAGGGAGAGCAACTGAATAGGCAATAGCCGCATGATACCAGGATCAAAATATATTATATCACTTTTCCACTACACGTTTTCTATCCAATTGTGTGTCTCCAGCATCGGTGTATCTTGAAGATAGGTATATGCGAACAGGCCTGAGCGCTTGTTCGACTAACGTATAGCCCTGCAGACTCGTTGAATGCGACAACCATATACGATCGCTTTGTTCGCCCTTCTTAGGCTCGCTGTCATGCTCAGGTATGCCATGTCCGTGTCATTGGGGGTGAGGATGCGGAAAGGCGAGGTCGCATCACTGAGCGGCGTCCACTCGTTGCCTTGTGATAGTAGAGGCGTGCGCATCTGTAGAGGTAAGCATGCTAGGTTTCGCTCTCTCCATACCCGCGCAACTGCGGAAGAGACAGCCGTACTAGTACACCACGCCGTCGTGTCAAGCACGTTCTATAGTGATGTCTCAGTGCGGAAGCAGCTCCCAGACGGAGTTTAGGCGCGCCCACACTAAAGTGGTCCAAGCACCCGTGGACGATCCCGCCGCATCTCGCGCGTGGAGCATACAGCTGCACAGAGACCGCCTAGCACCATGCTGACTTCTCTTTGCTTCATGTCGTTTCCCCCACGGTCCTTCTGTCTCGCCATTGCTTCATGATTGACCTCCAGACTTCCGCTGTTGTCGTCCCTTTTCACGAGTACCCACCTCCCGCAGCTCGCTCGCCGGCATAACCCCTGCCCCGAGGCTTTCCTACTCGACCTCACATATACCCACCACCGTCGCATTGTCTGGATATCTTCCAAGTGGGAGTCGCCTACCCACTAAGCCTGCCAGTATGGCTACGTCGGCCGCTGCGAAGATGGCATCGAGCGCCGGAGGGGTGTTCAGCCGGAACCAGTCGGGCAATGTGCCAACTATGAGAGGTACATTGGCCTGCAGGAAAATATCTTGGTCGGAGACTTACACGATTGCGCAGGACTGGTGTCGTTTATTGCAGATTTAAGAAATGCTCGAGCTCGCGAGCTGGAAGAGAAGCGGATCAACAAGGAATTGGCCAACATCCGGTAGGTCTGCCATGCCAAGTTTTAGAGGTAGACTAAAAGGCTAACGGAATATCGTAGGCAAAAGTTTAGAGGTACCTTGATATACGCATCCTAGATGACTTCCTCTAACATGTCACTCTCCAGATGGCAGCCTCAACGGCTACCAGAAAAAGAAATACGTCTGCAAGGTACTTAATTTACCGGCGAAGTTAAGCGCAAGCGCGAATGCTGACCTACATAGCTCCTGTACATATACATACTCGGCTGGAACGTCGATTTCGGACATCTTGAAGCTGTGAATCTCATCTCGGCCACCAAGTACTCGGAGAAACAAATCGGATACCTCGCAGTTACGCTATTCTTACACGAGGAGCACGAACTGCTACATCTGGTTGTTAACAGTATCCGAAAAGACTTGTTGGATCATAATGAGCTCAATAACTGCCTGGCACTGCACGCGATTGCGAATGTTGGTGGTAAAGAGCTGGGAGAGGCATTGAGCGCAGAAGTTCACCGACTACTCATATCTCCGGCATCGAAAGCATTTGTGAAGAAGAAGGCAGCTCTGACACTACTTCGCCTATACCGAAAGTACCCCAGCATTGTACAGAATGAATGGGCGGAACGGATAATATCGCTCATGGACGATCCTGACATGGGCGTTGCGCTCTCCGTTACCTCACTGGTTACCGCACTAGTCCAAGACAACACCGAACAGTACAGGGGGAGCTACGTGAAAGCTGCGAACAGATTGAAGCGGATCGTTGTTGACAATGAGTGTGCGGAAGGCTACTTCTACTACAAGGTCCCATGTCCATGGATTTTGGTCAAGCTTCTCAAGCTTCTCCAGTACTATCCACCTCCCGGTAGGTATCCCCTCGGAATCTAGGAGATGTTTTCAACTAACAAGAGCAGAGGATTCGCATATACGGAAGCTTATTCGCCAAGCACTGCAGAAAATCATGGACTCCGCTCTGGACATGCCAAAGAATGTGCAACAGAACAATGCGCAAAACGCCGTTCTCTTCGAAGCGATCAACCTTGTGATCCATCTTGACACGGAACAAGATCTAATGGTCCAGATCTCACAACGGTTGGGGAAATTTATCGCATCCCGAGAAACCAACGTAAGGTACCTAGGTCTGGAAGCGATGACCCATCTAGCTGCTCAATCAGAAACACTCGACCCGATAAAGAAGCATCAGGCCATCATCATCGGCTCTTTAAGAGACCGGGATATCAGCGTGCGAAGGCAGGGCCTCGACCTTCTCTACAGCATGTGTGATCCGTCGAACGCTCAAGCGATTGTGGGCGAGCTCTTACGATACCTCCAGTCCGCGGACTACGCGATACGAGAAGAGATGGTCCTTAAGATTGCAATCTTGACTGAGAAATACGCCACAGACGTCCAATGGTATGTGGACATATCGTTGCGTTTGATCTCCATGGCAGGCGATCATGTCAGCGATGAAGTGTGGCAACGAGTGATCCAAATCGTGACGAACAACGAGGAACTCCAAGTTTATGCCGCGCAGACAATCCTACAGTACATCAAGGCCGATTGTCATGAGACCCTAGTGAAAATCGGCGGGTACCTTCTTGGAGAGTTCGGCCACTTGATCGCTGAAACCAAGGGCTGCAGTCCAATTGAACAGTTTATGGCTCTAAGCGCGAAGATGCGGGGCTGCTCATCAAGTACAAGAGCGATCTTGCTCTCTTCCTATGTCAAGTTCGTCAACTTGTTCCCCGAAATCAAACCGCAGCTCCTCCAAGCGTTCCGCGCCTACAGCCATTCGCTCGACTCTGAGCTTCAGCAAAGAGCGTGCGAATACCTGACCCTCGCGACAATGCCAACGGACGACCTACTACGGACCGTATGCGATGAGATGCCACCGTATCCTGAACGAACATCAGCACTACTCTCTCGATTACACCAGAAGCATGCCACGACTAGTGATAAGCGAACATGGGTAGTTGGCGGGAAAGACGCGAATGCGGACCTGAAGGAGTTTGGCCTGGCACGGCAGAACACCTCTGCCGGTGTCAAGCGAAGCTTTACGGAACCGGTAACGAAAGACAACAAAGCTACTACCGCGAACGGCACAAATGGCGTCAATGCCATTTCCAGCGACCTTGCAGGATTAGACCTGGACATCGACACGAATAAGGTATTAAAAGCTCCGAACCTTGCCAGCGCCGCCCACTTGAGCCCGGACTGGGAACCTGGATACATTCGCCTTCTACTTCGCGGCGAGGGCATACTGTATGAGGACCAGCAAATACAAGTAGGTCTACGGACAGAATACCGGGGCCAGCTGGGGGCGCTCATCTTCTACTTCACAAACAAGTCTTCGTTTCCGATCGGATCATTTACCACCACGGTCGATAATAGGTCTTCGGAGACGCTGAAATCGGACATCAAGGGATTGCCTGATACCTCGATTGCACCAGAGGGCCAGACTCAACAAACGATCATGTTCGAATGCAAAAATGTCTTTATAGATCCACCAACCATCCGGATATCGTACCTCGCAGGCGCGCTACAAGGCCTCACGCTTCAACTCCCAGTACTACTTCACAAGTATATGGAAGGTGCCGAACTGAGCGCAGAGGACTTCTTCAAGCGATGGAAACAAATTGGCGGTGCTCCACGTGAAGCACAGAGCATTTTCGGCCTTGTTAGCAAGAACCGGACAATGAATTCGGAGTTTGTGCAAAAGGTAGTCAGGGGCTTCAAGTGGGGTATCGTTACTGGTGTCGATCCAAACGCAAAGAATATCGTTGGCGCGACAGTGCTCCACTCAAGTGAGGGCAAGTTCGGGTGTTTGCTAAGACTAGAGCCGAACTTCGATACTCAGGTACGTTTCCAGAGCTCATAACTAGGAACCAAAATGCTAACAGCCCGCAGATGTACCGCATCACCATCCGCGCAACCGACGAATCCGTCCCACCAGTACTGATCAAAGCTATGGAGGACCGACTTTCGCAAGGCATCGAGGGCATCCCCTAGGCCACCAATATTTTCACTGCCCCCTTTGAGTTGTGTCGAGGACTTGGAAGCGTTGACTGTTCATAAAGTAATGTATTTTGCGAGAGAGTTAGCAACATCCTTTTAGGAGAATTTGAGGGCTGTCTGTGTAGCATTTCTTGAGTGGAAAAGTATTCAGACGGCATACCATTTCTATCTTGTTTAGCATGAGCAAACATATTGAAGCGTTTCGAAGCGGATCCGTCGCGTCTTGTTCCACTACCACACTACTTCTATTCTTTTAGCACCAGATCAATTTTCTGCAGTTGGTAATACATTACGATTATGAGGCCAGCAATTAATGATAGCTATCTAGTCGCAAAAGGAAAAGAGCTGTCCCATCATATGGCCGCGCCAAGTTTTTCAACTACGCTTTTCCACCACAATAGAGCCAAAGAAAGATCACCACACCATCACGTAGGGTGCGCAAAAAATAGCAAAAACATACAACAGCGGGGATTCGCTAGTGGTCACCCACCTAACTACTAATCCGCCGGTATCCTGCTTAAGTACCGCTGAGCGAACGGGAAGCGCTGAATTCAAGATCCTATGGTCATATGTATTTATTATGCTTAACCTTGAACAATATAACCGCATCGCGTACGGGTCTCTTACAGCTACAAAAACGGGTCTACCCTGAACAGAATGACAGGCGCTGGACTTGGACGGTTGGCCACAGCCTACAAAGCGAAATGTCGGGCAAAATTGCTCCACCCATTTCACGACGAATGACGTAATCAGCATCTTTTTTCACGCCCAATATCGTTTCTCACCATGCTTGCAAGCTTAGTCACCTAATTCAAGCAACACCTCTCACTTTTCAATAGAGCAAGTTCTAATCTCAGCGATGTTCATAGACCCCTCCTCTCTGTCACTATCAAATAAACGGTTGTGCTCGCCTCGTCTTGTTGCGTGTATTCGATTCGCTACTCTACACACAAGCTGGCGCGGACCGACGAGGAGGTGGGTGTCAACTTACAGTCCTCCACGAACAGTATCTGACCAAGCGCCTGCTTCGGAAATTCCCTGTGTGATATATGAGCCGACTGAAGATATTGAGCCATTCGAGCGGTACGCTGCTGGAGGCTACTACCCGGTTCGCATCGGCGACCAATTCTGTTCGTCTCGTTATCACATTGTACACAAACTGGGTTTTGGCGCTTCCTCTACCATATGGTTAGCCCGTGACAAGCTTCTAGATAAGTACGTCGCAATCAAATTCGCCGTGTCGGAACTTCACCGTCCACATGAGAGCGCCATGCTGAGAATTTTGCGGGATGGGAAAGCATGCAATGAGAAAGCGCATGCCAGCATTGCAATGATACCAGAGATTTTGGATGAATTCGAAATAGAAGGCCCGGAAATCGAGGGTGAAAGGAGAAGACATCTCTGCCTTGTCACCACACCAGCAAGAATGAGCATCTCAGAGGCGCGAGAGGCATCCCATAACCGGTTGTTTTCGCCCTCGGTAGCTCGGGCCATTGCTGCTCAGCTTATCCAAGCCGTTGCCTTCATGCACTCTCGTGGTGTCGTTCATGCAGGTAGGTAATCAGGCTGATCGCGTTGAAATATCACCGCTGACTGCTAACTACATCTTCAGATCTTCATGAGGCCAATATCCTTCTTCGGCTGCCCAGTTCTATCGACAACCTTACTCCGGACCAACTCTATAAGAGGTATGGGCAGCCTGAGCTCGAGCAAATAACACGGCTGGACGGAAAACCTCTGGATCCGTGGGTGCCTACCTTTGGTGTCGTACCAATCTGGTTTGGAGACGCCAGTGACACTATGTCGCTCGCCGACTCACGCATCTTCTTAATCGACTTCAGCGAATCATTCCAGCCAGCAGTTGACATACGACAATCTTCTCACACACCCTTCGTATTAAGATCCCCAGAGATACTATTAGAGCCCACGGCACAGGTTTCCTTCCCTGCTGAGATCTGGAGTCTTGCATGCGCAGTCTTCGCTATTATAGGTCAGAGGCCCTTGTTCGAAACTTGGTTCCCAAGTGGAGACCGAATTCTTGAAGAACATGTCGACACATTGGGTTATTTGCCTAAAGATTGGTGAGCGAGTTGGGCCAATCGCAAACAATGTTTCGATGATCAACTTCGAAGACTTGATGGATCGCCGCGTCGGTTGCTGGAAGACCGGTTGGAGGATTCAATCCAAGAGCCACGAAGACAAGCTGAAATATCAGAGATGGACGAGGAAGAGAAGCAAGCGTTTCTTGTACTCTTGAAGTCGATGTTATCATTCAGGCCGGACGATCGACCTTCAGCGCAACAGGTACTTGAGTCTAGTTGGATGCAGAAATGGGCTCAACCGGCGTTTGAGTCGATGAAGGACAATCTCAAAACATAACGATCTCCCCTCTAGCTATACGTATAACAAGCCGTGTTTTGGCAAAGTATTCATCTCGGTCCACAGGTAAATTTCACTACTTGTCACAGTCGCCGTATAGTACGCATGTTGACTATCGTGTAGTGGTGATAGTATTACATTACCGTAGCTTACAAACATTCAATCCACCTATTCGTCATTGACAAATGGCAATGCTTTCAGCCATGCATCCCGCTCCTCCGCACTTCTGGCCTCGCGATCCAGAAATTGCTGGATGCCACTAGCCAGTTGGTCTCTTATAGTCTCGTAATCCTCGTTACTGACCCTGCCATCCCAATGTTTGAAGCCTCCTACGTCAGTAATGAAGTTATTCATCAGCTCGACGCCCTGAGCCCACAGCTCCTCATCCTTTTCCTGTTGCTCAACCTCGGCGGCCGAAAAGTGGAGTGGGCACGGCCTCAAGGGATGCCCATCAGATCCTTGACCCACAATCTTTAGCCATTCTTTCTCGACATCCCTCAAAAGGTTGTTGAGGTACGTTTCGTAGTCCATCAGAACTGTGCCTGGAACCACGGTAACCTGGTGGCGTAGACTGTCTTTCTGTTGCATGGCCAGGAACACTTGAGGGTTTTGTCGATAACATCGGACCATGTAGATATTGTGAAGCGTCTGAGATTGTTGCAATGCCTTTGCCTCACGTTGTTCATCTGGAGACAATCTATCGAAGTTTTCGGGGAGGCTGACTTTACCCAGATCCTTAGGGATTGGGCCATTGAAATCCAGAAAGCCAGGGCGGGTAACTTGCGAGAAAAGTGGGCATGCGCTGATGGTTTGCCAGTCAATGATGCCAATGATTCGAGCTGGGTTTTCTGGGTCAACGAAGATATTTTGCGTATGCAAATCGCCATGCCAAAGAACAGCGGCATGCGTTACTTCTTCCTCGGGTAAGACATATGGGGCTACCTTCAAATAGTTGTTTAAAGCCGACATCTTGGTCGATGTACTAGGTTGGTATTGTCTTGGTCCGTAAAAGAGTCCTTCGGGCATTCTAGGGTATTTGAGCCCTTTCTCAACACAGGCGATCTCTCTATAGGCGACTGCGGCGACGTACTTCTCAATTGTAGACCCTAAACCAATAGATTAGTATCGCATATATTTGAAAAGTTAAAATGGGAGCATACATGGTCCACGATCGATATCTAATGCGCCTCTCCCAAAATCGAAGAAGGACCGATGGTTAGTCGGTCCAATCTCGAACTCGGCGCTATGTACTGCGTTACCGTTTCCATCGATATACAACGGGGTGGTGCTGTCAGATTGAGGTAGGTCTTGCTTATAATATAAACCCCCAAACTTGGTGAATTTGATCGAAGCAAGTTTTTTCTCGATCTCAATGACCTGCTTCAAAATTTCAGCCTTTTGCGGACCCTCCATATTGTCCCACAAATCGTTCAAAACGATACCAGGTTGCTTTTCCATGATGATATATTCGGCTCCAACAGGATTGTCTACTAGTCCAGAGTTCCACGCATAGATTTGAGGAATCGGAAGATGGGCACTTCTCAGCTACCAAAGTTAATAGAGTTCAAGTCCGATATGAATAGTGGTTGCGTACGAAGTTCATGGTAGCAACCTCACTGGACGTGGTGAAGTGAGGTCGTCCAGCGTTAGGGTTGGGCAATTTCGCGATAGCCTCTTTCCCGTCATTCATGGTCAACAATAAAACTTTGTTGTATTGGCCCTCAGCGATCTTCACAGCTTTCGCACAAGAATCTGAGCCAATCGAACTAGCGGCAAGTCGACAGAGCTTCTGCAAGTCGAATTTGACGTAACGCGCTGCAAGCTGTTCTCGTTCCCCCCAAAGCCATCGCCCTGAGGTGAATCGATAGAGCGCACCTAGATCATGTATTGAACCTAAGGAAGATAGGTTAGATTATTGGTTTCAGCATCAACACTTTGATTTGCTTACCTCTCATTATTGTATCGGTTTGTGCCATTTTATAAGGATTTGAACTCCAGTGTCGTTTACTATATTCAGGATGAACAGTAGATACGTTTAGGACGCCCGTTGTTGCCGACAGACAAGAACGACCAAATAAAGGTGCCAATAAGTGGCCGCTCAAGAAAAATCTGTGATTATATTTCATCGTAATCGACTCACGAGGAGAACGGTGAGTGATTCGCCTTACCTTTGCAGTAGTTGGGGCACGGAGGTTGACGTCCGATCGAGACAAGTGGGGCTGTTTCGGCAAGCGAATGCTTACCTACCTCTGCGACTCAGCTATCCCAATCTCCACTCTACGTGCCACCGTCCTTGCTCACCACCGATTCGAAACTAGTCTGTCACGTCCAGTATCGAGAATCTCTGCAACTGCGAGACATGAGTGTGCTCATTGCTAGTTATTTCCTTTGTATCAAAGGCCAATTCCAAATCATCTCGAATCTTTCTACGACTTCGTGAACAGGTAAGCTGCAGGCGTTGAAGCACCCGCCATTTGGTGTCACAGCAACACATCCGTGGAAGCGAGATCGCCCTTTGAGGTTTAGTGCGGCGGAAGTTAATGCAAAAAACAGATAACCGTTTTGAGAACGCACGCTCAAAGTGCCTCCACAGAACCAGCGATAGCTCTCCTGAGGCCGCAAGAGCTTTTGAAATCTTCTTCTATGTACCCGCATTGAAGGGCTTTTGGATCCAACCTCCTCTCGGATCATGATCTCTCGAACAACGCGATTTCGACGAGAGTTACAGTCATTGCTCACACAAAACAAATCAATCTTGAGATCTTCTCGCGGCTTTGGTAGTATATTAACCCCATCTCGAGTCGGCGCACGAGACACCATGGATCACAATCATGAACTGTTCGAATATACTTCCGGACAATGGATGTAAGACTGAACTAAGTAATGTATTCGGGACCCATGACAAATTCTAACTTCTTCTCCTAGATACAACGAGAATATGCGTTTAGCCGAAAGGCGTCTATCCTTTAATATTTATGAGCTCAAGAAAGCTGCCGCTAGCTCTATCAATAGGCCTGAGTCTTATGTTACGAGCCTTCAAAAGCTGGCGGAAGGTGGCTTCAACCGAATCTTCGAAGTAGGTATGAGAGATGGAACATCTGTTCTCGCTCGACTGCCCTATCCGTCCACATTGCCCCGACGCTTGGCTGTGGCTAGTGAAGTCGCAACAATGGACTTTGTCCGTGCACATGGCATACCGACTCCACGAATACTTGGATACGCCATCGATGAGAATCCCGTCGGCTCGGAATACATTTTGATGGAAAAACTACCCGGACGACCAATTGGGGATGCTTGGTTCGATCTATCTGAACAACAAAGGCTCCAAGTTTTGCATGACATTGTCGAGCTTGAATCAAAGCTGTTCAGCATCCAACTACCTGCTAGTGGAAGCATATACTACGCTCACGACCTGAAATCATGCACTCCCAAGGTTAGCATACCTGGAGCAGACGGCCAATTCTGTGTGGGCCCCTACACTGGGCTTCGTTGGTGGTTCGGCAAGCGTGGGGATCTCGAGCTTGATCGGGGGCCACGTAAGTATCAATAGCAATTGCGATATTCATGAAACTCACCTTGCTTAGATGTTGAAACTCTTCGCGCCCTTCAAGCTCCTGCTGAGAAGGAGCTAACCTGGATACGTGAGTATGGACAACCCCGATATCCATTTCACCGACAACACAGAGAAGCCTTCCAATACGAGAAACAAGACCCAATGGTCCACGCAAAATCTCTAGAGAACTACCTGCTTGTAGCTCAGCATCTCGTACCGACAAGCCCGGAGCTCAACTTTCCCGTCCTTCGCCATCCCGACATCCAGCCGAGTAATATATTCATATCCGAAGACTATAGAGTTACGAGCCTTATTGACTGGCAGCACGCTACTGTACTTCCAACATTCCTTGCTGCTGGTATACCAAACTCGTTCCAAAACTATGGCGATGCTGAGTCAAGATCTTTCACGCCACCACTTCCCCCGGCTCATCTTGACTCTCTAGACGAGTTCAAACGTACCCAGGCTCAAGAGGAGTTTCGTCGCAGACACGTACACTTCTTCTACCTAGGTTTTACTCAACGATTGAACCAGCGACATTGGCGTGCCCTTGAAGAAGAGACAGACCTACTCAGGCGCCGAATCTTCGATCATGCAGGCGAACCATGGGAGGGCCTCAATACAGCTCTCCAGTACGATCTTGTTCAGGTCTCACAAAGTTGGAACAAAATCGCTCTACTGAATCATGATGGCACTGCACCAACATGTCCTGTGTCTTTCACATCAGAAGAAGCGGCGCGGATCGATGCTTTAGATGACTCGCATCGCGACGCGGATGGCGACGTGGAACAGATCAACGAGTTTCTTGGTATAGCATCCGACGGGTGGACCCCAAACCAACGGTTTGAGAGCGCCAAGAGCAAAGCAGCTGAGATCCGGGAACAAGCACTTGCTTCGGCAGACGACGATCCCTGGCTAAGAGAAATGTCTGAGCGGCACTGGCCTTTCGATGACTATGATGAGGATGAGTGAGAAGTGATTGACGGTGTCATTCTGTGCTCTACAACTCGTAAACTAACTCATCACCATTGGGTGGTGAAATTGAGGTGTAAATCAATCTGCGAAAGAATACGTCACGTATTTTTCTGTCTGTAGCAAACTCCGGCGCATGCGTCGCAATGGTACTATATAAGGAACCACAGCGAGAATAGAAATTTGAATTGAATCTCAAATGCGGTCGAGCGACGACCGGTAAAACGAATGGAAAGAAATGTATTGACATGAGAAACACTGGGTGACATGGACCCGTCTGCTAAATGCTTTTCCAACCAACCATCAAGCCGAGTAACTGTCAAGAATATAAAGGTGCAACAAATCATTAAAGCTTTCGTGTGCTGGGGTTGGGAGGGGATATGCCGAGTGATAGCTTAATGGGTAGCATTAGGGCGCATGCGCTTTACTATAACTAACGCTAGGAACGCAGGCACAGTAAGAGAATTTCCAAAGCGTCTACGCCCTAGTTGAGCTATCGCTGGTTCTGTAAAAGTACTTTAAGTGCGGAGATGTTTGTAATTACATTAATTCTTCTAAGATAGGCTTCGAGACGGTCGCCAACCGTGGTTCCAAACCTCATTATCGTTCTCCCATGGTACCAAATATCGATTAAAACTAAAGCTAGGAACGCAGGTACGGTAAATGCACCACAAATGGTTTCTTGCATACCAAATTGCGGTCTTTCTGACCAAGTTATCCCCAATGAGTTATCCTGGACATCTTATCTTCATTACAATCAAGCTGGTGGAGCCTTTCTACTTACCGCGCGCTTCGTCATAATGTTTAGAGTTTCATCTAAGCGCCCTTATAAGCCCCACATAAGTGATGTTTGAGAATGCGCTGCAGTTACCCCGCGGAACTAGCATATGAATACATAAGACAGGACTATTTAGTACAGATTCTGTATTGCACCGCTTCTCAACTGTTTACGAATATTACATCAATCTTCTTATACTTACGATCTCATATTCTGAATCACCTATATCGACAATGTCTGGCCAAGGATACAATCTCTACAAAGTCCAATACACATTAGGAATGCAAGACCCTCTAATGGGTAGCGAGACGAGATATCATACTGTTCTCTTTGTCGAGACGAAAGCAGACGGAGGAGGGCACACCTTTCAAGTCAATGGTGACTTGGTATCGGGCATGAGTTACGAATCCATATCAGGTCCAAACCCAGAACTATCCCAGACCTATTTTGCAAAGACACACCTCGGACGTATCCGCATCGAAGACTACCCAGAACGTTTGGACGGATTGCTGCAGACAGTGCCGCCACCTCCTCGCCAGAGGGCATTCAATGTCAAGACGATGCGCACCGAGCAAATCAAACCAGATGGGACATTTTATCAAGCCGATGAGCAGAGACCACCGTTCATCAAGTGCACTGAATGGACCGAACAACAAGCTCTTCCAGCCTTGTATCAGCATCAGCTGCTGCACAACAATTTACAACAAGCTCCGCTGGGGAGGTAGTGGGTAGTGGAGCAGTAGTCAAACTGCCCAAGTTGCGAATGGCGCTCCTGTTATTTGAACGCAAGGAGTAGGTCTAGCAGGACTAGAAGCTAGTTTGTAGAGTACATCTGGAGGTTAAGACAACAAGTTATTAGCATCTAGTGGGGTTTTACCATGTATTACCCGTTTCTTCTAGTTTCGGCTCCCTTTTAATAGCTTTGTTGGTTGGCGCGGTGCCTAGCAAACTGAAAGACATCGACGAGCCAGCAGGTTCGAATTTAATGCTCAGAATATTAGGTCTTTATGCACCATTATCATGACTGCGGCTTCGCTAATCCAAGGGTCCAAGATATCTTCGATGCGCTGGGACCAGTCATCGTCCCATAGAACACCTTGAAGAGCAGTGAAGTATTCCCAATAGTCCGGGAACCAGCCAGCCTCCTCCCAATCGACTAGACTAACCCTTAAGCCCTGCGATGTGTCACGATGCACTACTACGTTCTTCCTTTGTAGATCCGAATGCGAAAACATAGGCTTATGACCAGCTAATGTCCTCCCAAGATTTCTTTCGTAGAAGTCTGCCCTAAAGCTGTGCCTCTTCATATGTTCCCATTCAAACCGAAGGCGCTTTACGAGTGCTGCGTTGAACTGATCTTCCGAGTCGAATGGGCCACATATTTCTCGATCACGGTCCGGGCTGTAGAACAGATAGTGGTGATATCGGCCGTTGTCCACACCCCCGTAGAGCGGAGGAGCTGGAATTTGTCGGATCGACGTAAATACTTCTTTCAATTTGGCGCAAATATCGGATTTCTCAGATTCTTCGAGCGTAGGCCATAATTGAGCGAGTGACTCGCCAGGCATGCGCTGCATGATCAGGCAGACATGACCCGTACTTGCTATACGGTACATTGCGTAGAGCTTTGGAATCCCGGGGTGATCTTTAAGGTGGTGCTCGAGAAAGAGAAGGATTTGGCCTTCGATCTCATCCACACCTCGTCCGTATTTGACGATGAAGTGAGGCTCGACCGCGACCACCCTGTGGTAGGACACATCTTCTCGAAATACGGCTGTTGATTCGAAGAAAAGCTTTTCGCTAGGTAGAGGGGCCGGCAGTAGGTCGGGATGTTTAAGGTAAGGTAGTCGAGCAGGTACCCAAGCCATAAGTGCTTTGAGCTGTAGGCTCCGTGTGTATGCAGACGTGGTGAAACTTGGGTGCGGACAATGTTATGCCCAGTCTTAGCTTCTACTACCAATCGAGATCTGCCGTATTCTATCGCTCCAGCTAAAATTTGAAAAAGAGTTAGCTTATAAACAAAGAGGGATGCAAAGGCGTAGTGTAGAGAGCTAGATTAATCGGGTGCGAGGGAAAGCGCCGCCAAGCCCCCGCACAGAGGAAAACCAGGAGGCGCAGCCTATCATCCCAACACAGTACCACAAACAAGAAAAGGTGTAGCATGAAAGTGAGGAAAAGATGGGATGGAAGGTTTTAATGTACGATGCTTGGGGAGCGTATATATGGGTTAAAATGATTAGTGTGCGGGTTGTAATGGCGTGCGTTGGTGAAATGATTCTCTATGTATTCTTACAATCTCCAGTCATCTTGATCTATGTGTTTGGCGGATTTTACTACCATATCCTAGCAGCATGTGCGTGTTTGAGTTCGTTGAGGTCTCAGTACACAGATATAGTCCAAACCTTCGGCAGGTCTAACCCAAGTTATTACACCCCTATGACAAAGTCTCCTAAGGCTCAAGATGACCACAGCGGTCCACTCAAATACCCCGAAAAAGACTCAAGATAGAGAAGATAGTCTACCACCCTCCTGTCCTATTCATACACCCTCTTTCACGCAGCAGGATCTAGGAACCCCTCGAGCGTTTCATAGTTAAGCGGCCTGAATAGCTCATTGCTCAGATCCGCACCAGAACTTCCCAACAAGCCCTCAAAATTCTCAAACGCATTGTCGAAGTTTAGCCAATCGGGCGATTGCTCTGCAAAACCAAACCCGGTAGGCGGCATGGGCGCTCGATCCGCGCGCTCGCTGCTCGTTGGGTGTTGACCGGGGGTAGGTGCGGGAGTGGGGTTAAGGAGGCTTGTAATGGGTGCAGGTGGTTGTTGTAATTGGAGACGAGGGTCGATCTGTGTGTCGAGATTTTGCGGCCATTGCTGCGTCGCGTTGGGTAATGATATTTGTCCGCTATGTGTGCTTTTTGGTGTTGGTGGTTCAGTCTTTGGTTCAGTCTGACGGGGCTCTATAGCAACGGGCGCGGGCGTGTTGGCGGCGTTCGTGGCTCGTCCTGCTGCATTGCTAAGAACTGCGCGTCCCAGGTCTGCCATCGTGCCTGCCGACCACCACGCGTTGCGCAAGCGATCGAGAAGGCGGACGCATTGCTTCAGCTCCTCGGTGGCGCGTTTCACGTGAACTTTAAGACGACGAGATCGGAAGTGGCGGTACACTACGCTCTGAGCTACTCCGAGGGCGTAGGGTACGAGAGGAAGCGGTGGAAGTAGTTCTGGAGATTCGGCGTTGAGGAGGTGAATTACTCGTGTGGCAGAGAGGCTCTGTCGGACGTATGAGGGGGTAGACTTTACAGGAGCGTTGATGGAGAGCGACTTGTGAGAGGCCATGCACATGGTGTGATGAAAGAGTGAGAGGAGACCTGTAATATATTAGAAAGCAGAGCGTCATCCAAAGTTTGCGAGACTTACTCATGATTGGACCATCTAGCTTGTCCTCTCCGTCACCCACCATCTCCTCGAATCCCAAGAAGTCATCCCCTTCCCAGCCTGTCTCTTCTGATGCCTTCCCTGGCCTGTAGTAATCGATGACCTTGTCCAGCATCTCCGAGATCTGCAGCCAGATGCCAAAAGGACTAGACCTCTTCTCTGGGTCGCTGGGTAGTTGCCTCAAGCTATTGTCGCGGTCGTGCATAAGTAAGGGCCTGCCGTTCATACAGGCGTTGATTTTGTCCAGGCTCCACAGACACCAAAAGACATCTTCCAAGTTCCCCTGGGACTCGGAGCTCTGGTTCTTCCATTGGTGGCCAAATTGCAGACCGAATGTGTGTGCATGGTGGATGGCTTGGGCCAAGTGCATGGAGGCTTGCTCGGCACCATCAGGACCTTCGCAGTGAAGGGATATCAGGGCTAGTACTTGAATCAGAACGACACGGTTCTTCTCAAGCTTCGCTTCAATGCCGACAATGACGGCATTATACAGCCTTTGAGAGAACTCGCGTGGGCTGAGCGGTTGAAGGTCGGGATTTAGACATAGAGCCTCTGCTGCATTCGCGTGTTTCGAGGCTACGATGCAAATGGCCTGCATTAGCATGCGCGGTTCTCTACCTTGCTCGTACTGCTCATAGAAGAGATCCTTGTCGACTAGCGGAAGCAATGGGTGAACGTAAGCGAAGTAGATGTCGAGAAGGACCTCTTGATGCCTGCGCGAGGGCAGGAGATCAACGCCTACTGCATCTACTGAAGAGTCGGCACGAGGTAAGTGTATGTCTCACATGAATGTCATACATGACCACTTACAGAAGTTTTTGAGGGCTATAGAGACTTTGACCCCCTGGGCAGTTTGCGGACCTGTCTCATTGATGCGCGACAAGGCCGACCCAGGCTGCGTCGAGGCCGGTCTCTGGTCCTGTTCTTCGATCCATTGGCCGATGGGAGGATTGCTTGGGGATTGAGCCGTCTTCCCACGTTCAGAATGGACCTGTTCCCGCAAGACGGCTTCAGGATTCAGGTAGCCAAGGAAGTTGGGTGGAGTTTGCGCTGTGTGTGGATCCTCTGTCGCCGGGCTGAGGGGCGGTAGCATAGTGGAGTGGTGGCCATAACTCTGCGAGTCCCCACGGGGCCCTCTGGGATCGTGAGAAGGGTAATGGGGGTTTGCCGTAGAAGCATGGGGCGCATTCCCGCTATGGGAAAGACTTCCGTCATTTTTTTCGGCGTCAATATGTTCGTCGTCGAAAGTATGGCTGCAGCGCTTCTGATTGGTCCGTTAGACAGTTGGTACACAGTTACAACGGTCTTGAAACCTACTCTCCGCTTTTTGCATGATTCGCAGGCGCGGTGAACTCCTGGCATGGCGTTAGCTGGGTGCGTTGGTTGCGGCGCGCACTGACGCGTTCTCTACTACGCACGTTTGCGCTTCCTGAAGAACTCGTTATTGGCGGCGAAGGTGATCATCGTGGACATTCTGGGCGTAGCTGCACGTTCTCGTCGGTTGACGTGCGATGGCTCGTGCTATGAGACTTTGCAGAGGCGTGGATGCCCTCGAGGTCGGGACAGAGTTGGTGGTGCCGTGACCAGACGCCCACGTGATTCTCGTATCCCCGTGGGTAGCTCGCCCCACGGCCTGGAAATGCGGAGTTTGACCAGGGTCGGCGGCCTCTCCATTTCCCACCCGTCACCATCAAACAAGCAGCATGCCCGACCTGCCGTTGATGGTTTGCGTGGTAGTTTGGCTTGAAGGCACGACGATTGTTTGCCATAGCTGTAGCCATCCGACCCAAGCATGGCGCTTCTCGCCGACATCTAGCTCCTGAAGCGACTGACCTCATGAGGAGATGAATTGTTGGCTTCGCAACCGCCAGTTATAAGTTTTGTCGTCGTAATAGTAGCTCGTGAAGGAGTGCATGTATTATACTATTCTATATTTGTTTCCTATAAATGTTGTGAAGTCTACCTCACGACGTTTCCTCCTAGGTATCGCGTGGCACTTGCCGGATTCGGATTTGCGCCCGTCGCATGAGCCTACAAGTGCCATGACATAGCTCCGACCTTGTCCTCCAACAACCCAACCCCGTCTTCGATACCACTTCCTTACGATCCGCGATGGTTTGCATGACACGGAGTTCATCGACTGTTCGTTGCGCCAAGTGTCTCTCGATGGGCGTCGCGCCCTCTCCGCTTCCTTCGTAGAATAGCACTGTGTTGCACGCGCAGCCAGAAACACCTCCAATACGAAATCCTGTACGATGTGGACCTCCATCTCGATCTCGCTGCTGCATACTCGGGCTGCCAGGGCCACACTCGCGAGACATTAGCGACGCTAGACGCGCATGACGGACACGACTGCAGTGGTGGATGGCCAGTAATAAACATCGCATAATGCATGAGCGCCGTCTCGTCATCGAGAATACAATCGAGGTCAGGTAAGGTGTCTACACCCGGATAAGTGGCGACAACTTGGACTTGAAGATTCGTAGAGTAATTTTCTGCCATAGAAGTGCACTGAGAATTATCCTGGTCTGATATTCTGGCCTTGGAGTTGTGTAGATCCTCTCTTCATTCAAGGCATCTTGACTACATATCTCAGCGCTATACGATACTCTTACTTCCTGACTTCTATTCGCGTTTTCTGCCAAGAGGCCCGAGCTTCTCGTAACTTCAATCAGCGCGCGTCGCCCTGTCATTACCGCTCAATCCTGTCCATCATGTCAACAAGATGCATCGCCCGACCAGCTTCATGCTTGTATGTTCTTTCCATCAGACCCTCCATTCGCCTTGCAGCACGAAGATCATTATCAACAACTATACCACGAAAAGCCCCTCAGCCTTTAGCATGCGTGCTGGGTGAATGATACCTTGCCATACTTACTAACAGCTATTTACTGATTTTGGGTATAGGTACGTTTGATGATGCATCCTTATTCTCGTACACCTCAGGTCGATATCTGTTCAACGAGGAACTACGGTTAAAGGAACGTCATGTTGAGTTCAACGTCGAAGCCCTACAACTTGCGGCCGAAGCTTCTGTCGGCAACAAGCACGGAAAGACTATCAGCATAAAAAAGCTAGCAGAGGGGGGTTTCAATCGAGTCCTCATCTTAAAGTTGCAGGACGGATTCGAACTGATCGCGAAGATCCCATACCACATAGCCCGGCCTGAATATTTTGCCACTGCTAGTGAGGCCGCTACCCTTACGTTCCTTCGGTCAATAGGCATACCTGTCCCAGAAGTATATGACTACTCTGCAACGGCAGATAACCCTGTCGGTACCGAATATGTTCTTATGGAGAAGGCTCCTGGGATCTGCCTCGCATCCCGATGGGAGCACCTTCAAGACCTTGAGATACGACGGCTTGCGCATAGTTTCGTTGAGCTCGAACAAAAACTTTTCAAGGTTCCTTTCAGTGCTACAGGTAGCTTGTACTTCAAGAAGGACATCGCATCTAGCCTACAAGCTCCATTGTACACAGAGGAACATGCCAGAGAAGCAAACCAGTTTTGCATCGGGCCTATTGCCGACTACATGTTTTGGTACGGTAGAAGAGCTGGACTACAGGTGAACCATGGACCATGGAAAAATCACGTTGAATATCTTCAATCAGTAGCGAAGAAAGAGATGGACTGGACAGAGCGTTATGGCAGATCACTAGAACCCGACTTTCCCCACAACGATTTGGGACTAGGACTTCAGGATCCACAGGACCATCTCAAGCTTCTGGAGTACTACCAGTTGTTGACGCCACACCTGCTGCCGAAGAACCCTGCACACCCCTTCAATCAGCCTATGCTTCGTCATCCTGACGTTACCCCTGGTAACATTTTCATAATACCCGAGACTGGTCGACTCTCTTGTCTTATCGATTGGCAACACGCCATCGTCCAGCCACGGCTCCTTGCCGCTGGCTACCCTCGTGCGTTCGAGAATCCAGACGACGTACTCTCCCCTGAGCTAGTAGGACCTAAGCTTCCAGAGAATTTCACATCCTTACAAGCAGATGAGCAAGCAGCGGCGCGCGATCTCTATCGCCGGCGTCTCCTCTTTTTCAGTTACCGTGTGCTCAACGGCCATCTCAACCAGCACCACATCGCAGCTTTACGTGACCCACTTCTTCTTGGTCGGCAGATGCTCGTAGACAGGGCTGGCCGTCAGTGGGAAGGCAATCTTGTAACACTCAAAGGGGCTATCATACGTGCAGTCCAGTTCTGGGAGCACTTGCCTGATGTTGCGGATACGGAGTGTCCCGTGCGGTTTGATCAAACTGAATTAGACAAGTTCATAGAGATTGAGGACGACTGGCTGAAGATGAGCGTAGCTGTGGAGCAGTGGCGGCAGAGAGTCTGCAATATGACCGAGGAGGGATGGGTGCGGAATGAGGATTATGAGGAAGCGAAGAAGAAGCTTGAAGAGCTGAGAGAGGAGATTCGACTGCAGTGTGAAGGGGATGAAGAGGATATCCAAGCCTTCCGGACTGGTTGGCCATTCCGCGATCGCGAGGAAGTTGATTAAGTTGGACATCTACAACATTGGATCAAAAAATCAAATCGGTGATAGTAAACCCTGATGTCATTCACGTCATTATCGCGGTAAAAGCTTCAACGAAGCTATGTTCATAGGAATGTGTGTTCCTTCTGTAATCAGGCAACACCAGTGTTTAAGTTCTGTAATGAATGCTATTGGTAGTCAGCAGAAGGTAATACAGAGTATGTTCATCATCATGGCCTAGTCTTTCGCCGATAGGGGCATGCTGACACGCACGGCACGGACCATTGAGCTCTGTATCTAGCTGGGCGATTGCCAAGCTAGACCCCGCAAACTACTAGATATATTCTGCTATCACGCTTGGTCGGAGTATGGCAAGCACTACACACAGATATATCTCCCTGCGTCGATCATATCTCAACATCATATCGGATCCAACAATCCAGGTCACGCATGGCGGCCTCGCGGTTCAAATCAGAGCAATACTATTCAGAGTCCTTCGTCGAGAGTGCTGGTGCCATCCTCTTCCGCCTATCAACTCGCGAAATATGCGTCATCCATCTTCCCTCGCAAAATGAGTACGTTCTAGCCAAGGGACGCCGTAACCTGGGAGAAACACGACAGTCTGCTGCGGTTCGCGAAGTCAAAGAGGAGACAGGGTACGCATGCCGTCTTCTTCCGTTGACGATGTCGACGCGAAACCCTCCTGCTATAGAGAAAGAGCCTGCTCTCGACGAACCGCGCATACATACTAGCGCTCAGGAGCCGTTTGGGTTACAGATCCGCCACCTTTCAAGAGGCGATGTTAAAGTTATATGGTGGTATATAGCTGCCGTGAATGAACAAGAGAAGTCTGATTCGTACACTCACGGGCAAGGTGAATTCAGTGTGGAGTTTTATAGTTATACCGATGTTCTCAAGAAGTTGACATTCCAAACGGATAGAGATTTGGTTGAGAAGGCCATCCATGTCATGCAAGGCACTTATGATTAGTTCTTGTCGAGACATCCTTGAAGAGATACGAGTTCAGTTCACACTATGTCATGTTTCGAAATCCTTGCTCGAACTGTCCATTGTTTAACACGATCACCTCACTAATTCACGCCAAGCATTATTTACATCGAGATTTCCTCCGAAGCGGTGAGCTCTTCCTCGTGTCACAGAGCTCGAGGTCAGAAAAGGCGTTCGATTTGTATCACGATGAATGAACATGAGGGCTAGTTTAGTGTCTCGTCAGTGCTAGCTAGTCAACGACGTTGAATATAGAACAACACATGGCGCCGAGAACGTAGCTTGAAAGCGATAACTGACTGAGCGATATCGCAATCGCCTTTCTCTGGTGGTCTACTGGTCGCGGAGTCGGCCGACATCGTTCACGCTGTCGACCCACTCACTCACACACTCACACCCAATGCAAGCCCGTTAGCTGAACGCAATGTCCGTCACCCAGACCCGCGTGGGCGAGAATGCGGAGAAACGCTCCATGCTGTGCTGTGTTTCTACTCTGAGCACGGTTACAGGGTGATCGAGGACGAGTATGACGATTGGGCAGTAAATCTCCGATGCGTATGCTCATGTTGTGCGACTAATACTCGAGAATAGATGTTCTAGCCGCGGCTACCCACGGCTGGGAGCTGAATAGAGTTTGTTTGGGTGAAGCTGCGTTGTCACTACGTGCGTGCGCCTGTGTGTTCTCCGACGTTTGGGAAGCGGTATGTTTACCTTCGTCCGGGTGTAGTTGCAATATCGAGGAGGTACTCACTATACTTAGAGGATGTTGTCGTGCGTGTGCGTCCAGCTTGGAGCACAGGAACGGTGTGCGGAAAGACGCAGATATTCCGGCAACAACGATAATCTCGCGGCCAACTCGGCTTGTGGGAAACTCTATTCCCTCTCGGGCCGTGACTTCTTGTCAATACGGTCCGACCAAACTTTGTTTTCCTCCGTTATAGAGTCCAGACATCAGGGGTTCGTGCATGTGGACGGCCGCAGCTAGGAACTCGTGTCGGAGAGAAGGCGACTCCTTGCATTCTCGTCCTGTGTAAGGTTTCTTTTCCATTTGGCATAGGATGAGTTGAGGTGCAAGATCGGGAACGTACCGTCGGTCGACCAGCACCATGGATACTCTAGTGTAGTGGCGATATGAACGAAAACGACGTCCCGAAAAAACTCGCGCGTGTCGCGGATCTCGATTGTTTGTTGACCAAGTCATCGTATGCAAGGAGAAGATCTAAAGAAGCATAGATGGGTGTGTGCCCGAGAAAGCAGCCATCGGTCGCTCCGCCACATATGCCCAAGGCTCTGTGCTGTTCGGCAGGATGCATCTTCGTGTAAGTAACCAGAGCAATTGCTTTGCTCCAAGACAGCATGGTTCGTCGCTGGCGTTCCACTAACTTTTTTTCCGGGTGTCTGCTTAATCCAGTTGGTAACTAAAACACCGTCTCACCTGTCAAGCCGTTGAGCACGGTATACACAGAGGACCAAGAGTCGGAACGGACTCCACCGGTTACAAGTACAGACATTCGGAGCGCCTACCCGCTGTCAGTCTCAAGCCTGTCCCCACCTGTGTAAAAGTCTACGTGTGAAATTTCTTCCTGCAATGGTCTGAATGAGACATTGTTGCCTTCCTGCCGACGTACCAGCACCAACCGGTGACTTTTCTCAAACCAGTAGCACATGTACGTGGAACCGCCTGCGTACGTCCAATTCGGAACATCGCACGGGAATACCTTGTCCCCCTTGTACGTGCGGGCGGATGTAGCAAAGCCAAAACGTGGTGATACGTATAGGGTGCATGAAAGCGTACCAGATTTAGAAGGGCTCTTCTGCACCGAGCCAGAACCGGAAAACCACCGTGTCACCTGGGCCATCGACCGTGCTCCTTTGCAAGTGGATCAGACAGTCCCGTGGCAAAGGATGGAGTGAAGCGCTAGGTTGACAGTTGGCGCATGTCGTGCCATGTGTGGGGGAATATCGTGCCAAGCGTTGAGCAACGATCTGGTGATGTTGTGCCAGGTACCTCGAGAGTGGCTGGCGAGGCAGTAAGAGACCGCATTTGCCGACTCGTGTAACCAGCAAAACGCCATTGCACGACTTGTGTGACACAGAGGACCTTGAATGACTCTCCGTAGGAGTCGCGTGCGGAAATCCTCGCGGAAAAGGACTTCTAGTCACGGGTGAGATTTGGTAGAATTCGTATAAGCAAGTAAGAGACCAAACTTGCTATTAAGCCGCGTGTCTCCGATTTGTGAACCGATGGTGGTATGACACAATGCGGTTGTAAGTCTCACATTCGGTGATTGAACTTAAATTTGCCAATGTTGGCTCTATTAGGCAAGTACGGATGACTGAGGGCATTCTAGGTAGGCTGTTAGTGGCGTGACGGGATGGTATCCGATATTTGGCGTCGCCATAGTCCTTCATAGTAGGCTTGTCTAGCAGCACTCGGATTAGGCGCATAGTCCTTTGGCGGAGGACGGATCATGATGCGGGATCTGACTCGGACATCTGAAAGAAAAGCAAACACCCACTGTTCAAGGCTGAAAGCACGGCCACGACACAGGATAGCCGTAAGGCTGAACTCTAGGCCTCTAACCCAATGTGACGGGTACAAGTCCGGGAGTTGTCTTACCGTGGAACTGTTACACCGGACAACAGCCACGAAGCTTACCGTGCAAGGTGCGCTCCTTGCTTTCAGCCATCATATGGGCGTAAGTAGCAATCCCTACCTCACGCAACGACATCCCGCCCGCAGCTTACTGCCCCCCACTGGCTTTGTTACGAGAAACAGGTGGTGCATCATTGCCCTGTTAAGGACACGCGAATGTTCTCCTGGGTTTCGCTTTGGACGGAACGGCAAAGAAGCGCTCTGTGGCTTGCGAGAAAGCAATTTCTGGGACGCGGAAAGATGTGATAGTCTGCACGTCGGTGTCCGGAGGAAACAAAGACTTGCATAATGCGTACATTGGCACATGGCGTGGGCGTGTTATTGACATCAGCCTCCGTTGCAGAGCCGAGCATTGATGTTTTGTCGCAGGAGCGTCAGGGCGTAAAAGCGTGACTCAACGCCCCTCATGAACTGACAATATTCGATATGGCTTTTCATATGAGCTGATAGCAGATCGATCTCGTTGAGTGCGTGGGTGACTTCATCCTATCGCAGCGGAATTTCTAGAACCTGCTTAACTAGCCGGTCAGCTCAGAGCAGCAGTGCATAATACATTTGATCCAGCAAATAGGCAGACAGCCGTCCTGCAGGACAATATGTTCGAGAATCCGGTCGCGATACGTTGGGCGGAGGACCAGACTCTCCACTTAAACAGCTGAGTTCAATATCATGAAAGATTGGCTTCCACACGTACGCAATGATTGCCGCCGCGGCGTGTATTGGAACACGGTGGTGATGTAGGACAAGATGTGAGGCATTTACTGCGATGATGGGTAGCGGCAGCAGTGACGCGGGTCGCAAACATGGCCACACCACCGACAGCGAGAGCTTGGCAAAATGGCGCTTACTAGATTCGGTCTAGCCCTCTGCACATATCGTCTCTCCTTGTACTTTTTGATAATCATGCCTCATCAGATGACCAGGGATTGGCGGCCGCGCGAAAAAAGAAATTTCTGTAACGGTGCCCTTCTTCCCTTCCCATGTGCGCGATCGAGATTCCGGTGACGCCTTTTGCTGCACACCACTACTAGGGCTAATATTGTATGCTTCGGAAGAAAGTACTGGCCTGGAGATAAGGGCTCGTTAATATATGCCACCAGGGCAACGCAGCCAGCTGAAGGACGTTGAACTGTTGGCAGGGAAGCTCAGCCCTCCCGGACTGCCAGCTGACTAGGATTTGAAGCGAGAGAGTGTTTCTCAATAACGGTGTCGTATGGCTGAGACATTGTTGACAGCTGCCTGCAAGCAATCCTGTGGCATGCCTCCCTCAACAGCACCATAGCCCTGGTGGACTGCGTGCTTTGCAGGATGGCTTCAAGCATGTAATAACACCGTACACCACCACCTCCAGCATAGTAGCCTAGCATAGCCTCACTGCCTCCACTCCAGTCCCGCAGTCACGTAGGCCGAGGAAGCCGTCTAGGCAGATCCCTCCTCTTCCCCCAACAAGATCACCGCTCATCCCTCATCAGAAAGTAAGAAAGCGCGGGATCATAGCCATGGGAGTCTCGATCGTGCATCTGCTTCATTAATTAATCCCCAACAACCTGCATCCCTTCTCCCCATCCCGTCCCCTACCGTTTTAATCTTACACATGCGCTAACGCGTCTCCAAACCTAGTGCCATCTGGCAGCCCTGAGGGCCGCGAAGTTGGCCCCGTCAAATCAAGCAGGCAGCAGGCTACTGCACGCTTACACGCTCAGCACACCTTCGCGACGCAGGTATCGGGCTTGGTGAAACCCGTGATTTGCCCGTCGGCGTGGGCTTGTTAATTGTTTGCTGGGTTCCTTTGGTGGCTTGGTGCCCAGGCCCCCGGGGTCTTTTTAGTAGAGTGGCCCTGGTTGTGGTTGGACAGTGGATAAACCTTCTTGAGCAAGCCGCGGCCTTGTTTGAGATGGGTGCGCAAGTGTTGCAGGGATGGCTGCAAATGAGGTGGTGCAGAGGCGAAGTGCCTGTCGTGTCACCATGTGTCGATGTGGGTCGGTTATTCTCTCGTCGTCGTGTTGAAGGACGTTGAAGGACGCCGAAGAACATGGAAGAACGGCAAGATGGTTGAGAGGCGTCACACGGTTCAACAATAGCGGGAAGGATGAGAATGTCTCTGAGGTGCCTACAACGGTTGTTGCAGCGCCTGATCGTATGTTTTATTTTGTTTGTGGTGTTTGGTGTTTGCTTCTAGGCAAAATATATGTCCTTCTGGGACTGACTACCGTACAGTGTTGAGCAATGCTCTGGTATCTCTTCGTATGAAAACCAACGACCGTGGGCGACCAGGGTGTTTCTGTGCCATGGTCTAAAACAAACAACTCCGTGTAGATGCCCAATGTCCCCCCTGATATACTGATTTGAGAACCAAATGAAGTATCCACACTAGAACGATAAAAAAAAACACGCAGCCATCTAGGCTTCCTCCTCCCAAGTTAAACTAAGTAAGCCAGCATCGTGGCCATAATTCTAGGTCCGAGGCCGCTTGGTCCGGTTGATCTATTTTGAAACGCCAAATAATCCAAGACAACACCAAAACCGAGCGAGAAACACCGCTATCATATCATCGTGACTTTTCGAAACTTTAAGAATAATATGAACACATCGTAGAAAGCGTATCTGAAGGAATAGAAGTAATCCGTGGAATGGTAGTAGGGAAGATTGGTCTAGTAAACATGGACCGGGGTTGCCATCATCGACGGCTGGAAGGACACATGCTTGACTAGGTTGGCCGCCTGGATAAAGGGCTGGAACCACGTATTTGCCGGGGGTGGGGGAGAAAAGTATGTTTGTTGTTGGGGTACCCGGGAAGAGAACTTGTGGACCGGGGCGTGGGAAACGTTTTGGTATGAAGATGTTGAAGAAGCGGATGATACCGATGAACAAGAAGAGAAGACAGAATCGTTGTCGGAGTTGGAACTTCCGGAGGAGATGGAGTGATGGAAGACCGGTGGAGAGTACGCTGGGCCTGGAAGGGGAGCGACGGAGGGAACAGCAGGAGCCTGGTAGCAGGCATTGTAGACCGCATCTCGGGTGTAGTCCACTGGGCTGAAGGGAGGGGAAGGTAGAGGTGTCGAGACCGCGGACTTGGTTGCCGTGAAGGCAGAGCATCGGAGAATCATGTCACGAATCTCGGGGATCGTGGCTCTCTTGGATGGGTTGAATTCAAAGATCCGCCTGAGAATAGCATCCAACTCGAGGGAGATGGGCAGAATAGTCCTGAGGAACTTGGGATCCTTCATGAAGGCGCGGAAGGTGCTATCCTCGAAGGAAGCCCGCTTCCATGGGTTGCGTCCACATGTGAGGTTGACCAGGATGACACCCAGGCTCCAGACATCGTTGGGTGCCGAGGCGTAGCAGGAGTAGGCCTTGGGCGCAGCAGTTTGACATTCTATTATAAATTAGTCACGTGACTCGTGCTGAGTCATGACAAGCGAACCTACCTGGTGACATGTAGAAAGTCGAGCCGCATCCAAAGTCAGAGGTGACGTGGTCAGTAGTGGCGAGTCCAAAGTCGGCAAGCTTGCAAGTCATGCCCTGGTCGGTGACCAAGACGTTCTCCGGCTTCAGGTCCCTGTGGTAGATTCCAATGGAATGGCAGTACTCGACGGCATCCAGGATCTGGAGGAAGGCCTGTTTGGCAAGAGCATCATTACCAACGTACTTGCCCTGCTCAGTGATGTTTGAGAAAAGATCACCTTCTGGGCAGTATTCGATGACGACGTAAGTGCAGTCTGGGGCATCCATGATCTTGACCAGCGAGGCAACGTTGGGGTGAGCGCTGGCCTGGTGGTGAAGCTGGATCTCCCGTTGCTGGAACTTGCGTTGGCGAGGCTCAAGGCCAAGCTTGTTGAGCGCTTTTACGGCATAGGGGATATTCGTCTGAATGTCTACGGCGGTGTATACTACTCCATAGGCGCCTACGCCGAGGATGCCAGTCAGCTGTAGTCTTCCAGCCAGAACTTGGCCTAGTCGGTCTTCCGGGGCGCAGAATCCATTTTGGAGAGGAGATGCTGGCGGCGTCGGGTACATGCTGTGAGAGATGGAGGTAAGATGGAGTCCTCGATGGTCCACTGAAGGCCTCAAGGACGATGTTAGAGGGATCCGGAGATTAAAAGCGGGCCTTGTCCAAATGGAAGTGATGCACAATAGTCCTTCCTTTGGAAAAACGGGCTCAGAAAAGGAAGATGAACGTATTAGATGGATGCAAGCCGGGGGGTGGTATTCCAGGTGGGAGATGGTCAGGTCAGGTGACGTAAAAGGTTGAGATGGATGAAGGCGAGGCTGGCAGAGGTCGATAGAGAGGTGGTAGTAGTAGTAGTAGCAGCAACGTTGACGAAGGAGTGTTTGGAAGAGGTTGAAGAAGAGGGTGGTGGTGGTAGGAGGGTAGTAGTAGTAGTGTGGCAGGGGGTGGATGGGTAGTGGTCGAGGTCGAGGTGGTGATGTTAAAGTGTGAGGCGGGATATGATGTATTGTTGTATGAGCACGGCTGGGCAGCGAGTGATAAAGACGGGCTTGGGTATGGCGGGCCCCCTGGAGACGATTGGCTGCGTGCAATAGCCCCAGTTCGTAAATATAGGGAAGGATGAGCCTTCGCAGGTAGCGCTAATGACGAAGCAGGATGGGGCGGCAGGCCGTGTGCAGGCCCTCAGCGTGCCATGGCCTCCGGCACGCAGACGCTAAACTCCTGGTTCCACTCGCGCAACCCACCCTGGCTGCATTGGTGTCGTGGTCCCAAGTCCAGTGGGCAGGGAGGCGAAAGTGAGGGAGGCCGGGGCGAGGAGGGCCACTGGGTGGTGTGAGCGCGGGTCGCCCAGTGGGTGGTGGAGGGGGGCTAGCCGTGGTGGTCGTCGTCGTCGTCCAACAAAGGGCCGTCATGCAGCTCCCGAGCGGCCGGGGCCTTGTCCTTGATTCACGTCAAGTTCGAGTTTAGTTACTGTACGTACTGCAAGTCGAGTGAATCAAATCATGCCGCCTGGCCTGCCAATCCGCACCTCACCGGGCGGCTGTGGCCCACCAGGCGAATCAGCACCCGGTCAGCACCGGAGAGGGTCACACACCCACCCACGCACCACCCGCTTGCTCAACACACTGCACGCCAGGGCTCGACGCTCGAAATGCAGCAGCCTGGAAGCACCACACACATAGCACAAACTCGCAGTGCCTCGAACCAGTCGACCCAGCCATGCGCAACGGGGAGCGCAGACGGGACCCGCGCGTCGTGTGGCGCGACGTCGTCCAATTCCCTGCCACCTCTCCTCCACACCAGAGCAAGCAAGCAAGCAAGCAAGCGCTCCTCGTCAGTCAGTCAGCCCGCAGAGGCAAACCACTCCCTCTCACGACGCAGCCCCCTGATCTCAGCGTCTTGTCACCGGCCGTCGAAAACGACCGCGCCTCGCCCCAAGCAAAAGGCTGAAAAACTCCACGTTAGGCCGCTCCTTGCCTAGCGCTGCCTAGCCTGCTCAAACACGCTGCAAAGCCTGCCCAAGCTTACGACGTCTCGTAAAGCCGCGACGCTCGGGCGGCGTTCGATAGTCTTTCGCTGGCTCCGACGCCCATGACGAAAGCAGCCTGTCTAGACGACCATCTCGCAACGCTGCGGCGCTGCTTGGCTTTCTCTGACTGTCATGCTGCCAACAGACGACTGCTGGCCTTTGGTCCCGCGCCTGCCTGAACACGGTTGCCGTCTCCTGCGCGACGGCATAGTCACCGTCAGCAGCCCGCAGTCACGTTTGCGTTTCGTCATGGTGGGCCTTCGTCTTCTCTTCCGGCACTTCCAAACACCCTTTGTCCTGCCAATCTTCGTCCCGTGTCTGCGACTTGCCTCGATGGGCACGGGCGAGCTGATCATTCCAACAGTTTGAGCGCCAAAAAAAAACGTTGGCGATGACACATGGCACTGGGAGCCTGATTGGATCCTACGCTGCCTTCTCGAATCCTGCTCCGCGGGGCTTTGCCCTGCTCGTACCTGACCTCATTGGCTCATGCAATATATTGCCAAAGAAGAGCATGACTAACCGAATCGTTCGCCATGCGCCCCTGCTGCTCGGCGCCCTAAGCAATCTTCCCTCGACGAGTGGAATCCTTTTAGTCGCGCACCAGTGGCCTACCAGAAATTTCGAGAATTCTGCTCCTGGCGAATGAACGTCGGAGATTAATTTTCACTTTTTTGCCAATCACCATCCTCGTTCCAGCCCAGTCATGGTCTTGTGACAGGTGGTCACCGCCTAGTCGTCAACTGCATGTCCCACCTACACCGGCCATTCGCTCAGCATTCAACGACGTGGCTCATGGCGCAATAGGTTGGGGCAAACCCTCGCAGATCGATAGTTTGCCCGTCTCAGCGAATAGCGAACAGTAACCAGGGACGCGGCACTCTTGATTGAGGTTGACAATGGCTTCCAGATCGAGCAAGGACGGCCTTTTCCCGGCTCGTATCTTCATCTCGTATCCATGCCCGTTGATGATTAAACGACCCTACTTGTCCGGACATGGATCGCCACGACTAGGGTGAGACACTCGCTCACGCAAGCGAGGCAAGGACTCGCTGCTTTTTTTGCTTTTTTTTCTGCTCCCGGCGTCATCCGTGCATGAGCACAGGTCTAGCCAAGCTCTGCTTCCCGCAGGCTAAAGTTGCGAGCGGGAGTCTGTGAGGGTGAAAGGGCCCGGCGATCATAATTCTCACAGCACCTCCTATCACGCCGGGGTAGGGATGATACTCTGCACGGTGGCAAGGACTTGTTTAGAATTCGAGATGAATGAACCGTTCCCAGGCGCATGGCTACGGGCGACTATTGACACGCTTGTTGCATTCGGCAACTTGTCGATGCGCCGACAAATCTTACCTGGACAGTTGTGCATGGTACAGACGAGAATATGCTCTTTGTCTGCTCGCCCGTGAGTCGCATGCATGCACTGTGAAGGGCAACTTCGCTCATCGTGGTGAAAGCTGCATTGTCTCTTTTCGGCCAACCTAGTGCGCGCTGGTGGTGGTGATAATTCCATCTATCTGATTCAGGGGCTTGCATCTTTACCACTCACTCCACAAAGCTCGAGCTTCGCAAGCGATTGTAGACCAGGTGGCACCTCCAAGGCTTCACCGCCAAACAACGTGAAGGCACCAGTCTAGCCCAGGACGGGTATGGCGTGCCTTCTAGCTCGATGCGCACGCAAGCTTATCGATAACGGGCCCCTCACCACCATGCAAAACTTCTGGGTCCCAATGCTAACAGCGCCCATATGAGCAAGGGATAGGGCCAATTGACTGTGTTGCACCCTTTGCTATGCCCTGATGACTTGCAAAATCTGCAACGTGGCGCCAGCAATCGGAGGGAACAACAGACGGAAGCCAGTGACATCGCTGTTGCTTCGAAGATGAGCGTCCGCAAGGCACTCAAAGGCGCACAAGGCTGCGATCAACAACGATTCCAGACTCCCTGGTGCAGCCCAGTGAGGCTACTGATTGGCGAATGACAGCATCACAGCCTCGTTTGTGTTGCATTGTTGGGCTCCTGTGGACACTCCCTTGCCTCTTCCACCAACAAAGTGCCGACCACATCGTAACCGCTCCGTAACCGCGCATCTCGTGCTTGACTGGCCAACGACGTCGTCGCTTTGCTGAATACAATAGACAGACAGCAAACACAGCCTACTACACCGCTCCAAGTCGGTCCGAGGAGCCTCTCACAGCGTCTCTCAATCGACTCTTTGCAACACTCTGTTGGTTTTGAAAGTGCCGACTTCCGGCAAACATTCTTTGAAACGTATCAAATGTGCTATACACAGGTCCCACAAGCGCATACCGATCTCCAGTCCCGTGTTTACTCTATAGCGAGAATCAAACAACCATGTCTTGAAATAAATCCCCCTACGAGGTTGTCAGGCAAACCCCATTCCATACCGCTGACAAGCTCCATGGAGGAAGCTCTCGTTTCAGCTTGCGCGTTCTGTGTTCGGCGGCTGCGGAGTAATGTGATCATGATCGACAAAGGGCCAAGTGATGCAAACAACCTGGGCCGCCATCATCTACCTGATACAAGGCACGCTGAGGTCAGATCTTTAATTCCGGCACAACATGACGCAAATAAACATCAACTAACATTTGTCTCGGTGTTCCACGGTCTGTCGCGCGGCGGACACTTCGGGGGACGGTCATTTTCCAGTAAAATGAGGCGCCAATCAATCGCAACTAGGGCAGCAATATTGAAGCTCCACAGATCTTCGTTTCCAACGACAGACATCTCACCGGATGGCCTGCAGAGCAAGCTATCGAGTCAATGTTGTATATGTGTCGACTGTGAGCAGTTCCATTGCTGCGCTGTAGACACATCATACAAACCCACTAAATCGGCAAATAGACGCGGTCTGGCCGGGTCTTGACAACGAAAAAAGTGGAAACGTTGTCGAGTCACAATCAACTAAGCTCATTCACGATCCGCTTCACAAAAGCCACCCGATACATACGTCTCCACCACAGATCAGTAATTAGCAAAAAAAATCTACTACTACCCATTCTTGGTTCACTACGATCAAAGACCAAGCAAACGCTAGCTTGGTAGCTCATCCGCGCTCGCCGGCGCCGCCGACTTTGAATAGAGTCGTCATTTACGAGACCCTTTTTCTAAGTTTAATCCTTTTACCAGCGGGAAGAGGCTTCGATTTGGAGCTTCTGGATGCTCCTGAACGAAGTCAAAGTTTGGGTGTTGATCCACTCTTCGGTAATACTATGGGGCCTTGTTGCTGAAGATCCAATGGTACGAAGCCGTACAAGTGCATATGCTTGTCGTGAGATGGGATTGCCACCCTGTGAATCACCGCTTGGGAGATGCTGGCACCGAGGTCTGTTGGGGGTATCGTGGATGGAGGTGAAGGTTTCGTGTTTGTGGCTGTATTTAGGTCGCCGAGCGATCTGGGAACGGAGTCAAGTCCGGTCTTAGCACGGGCTTCAAAGGAACAGATGTTCGTTCCCTTCAAGATTACGTCTTCGTATTCGGGCTTCCAGTACGAGCATCCGAAGACGACGGTGAAGGCTTGCATCAGAATGTAGGGTCTGCGCTTACTATTTCAAGCTGAGTGTAGTGCTGTAACAAGACTGAAGATTTGATATCATTGTGGCCAGTTGAACATGATAGTGATAACGCCTGATGCCTCAACATCTTCTTGCTATTAGGTAGTCGTTGATCCAATGATCCAATATACTCCTCGTTTGCAAATCCATGCTGTTCATCTAACAATGACCGCAAAGCACGTGAGACGTCGTCGTCAACCTTCTGCACTTCAATCATGGTATCCAACTCTAACAAGGATTTACATTGTCGAAGCGCCAACATGGGCAATGCCAACTACCACAGTTACCGCAAGGCATACATGAAATAAGTACTGATCTCCGATTCTCAGCACATTCAACTTGGTTGCATGGCATCGGATGTTTGGTGCATGGTCTGCTGGCGCCTAACAGACGATTCGTCAACCATCTTCACACATCGTTTCAGCAACACCACACATTAATGAGGTCAGCATAAGCCAACGTCATGAGGCTTGCCAGCCTTGACCGGACCTTCAACCCCTGTGCCAAACCATCTCGCGAGTTATTGCCTACATGGACCTCGCGCTTAGTAGATCCAGCGGCTGTACATACATAGCCACGGAACCATCGCTAACCGCCTCGTTCAGGTCGCCCACCAGGTCGCCTCGCGACTCCACCCACACGCCCATCAGCACCAAGAGTCATGAAAAACCGAACCTTGAAACAAAGTGACGGTGCGTGTGCGGCGCAGTACCATCTCTGGATTCCCGGGCCATTTTCAGCTGACGAGTCTGAACGACGAATGTCCGCATAGACCAACCACGATCCAAACGCTGGCCTGGAATAGCGCCGCCAACCATGCTTGCGCGTAACGCTGAGACGGTCATGGATGCCGTTTGGAACATTTTTTTCATTCCCGACATGTTGGAACGGCACGGGGAACGATATGCAGGTCATCGATGCGGACAGTTCTGTGCGCATGTTGGAAAAGGCCGCAGCCACGGCGTCAAGCGTTCCCGCCGCCGAGTGTGGCCTACTACAGGCCTACGACGACGAGTCGTTTGGAACAGAGCGCTTGGATGAAGTGAGCGTGGCATTGGGTGTGCAAGCCTGACATGTGGACGAGAGTGCGTAGACGCTGGTGGCAGCTGCGTGGATGCGGCGAGGGTCGCGAGGCCACCACCTCACCCAGGATGGGCGAGACATCAACCTTCACTAACAAAGCCTCATTCAACAACAACAGGGAGGATCTGGTCGCCTCGAGGGAGAAAACATGCACGCGTCCTCTTCCACGAGACGTGCTTAGACGCTGGTGGCAGTGGCGAGGTCACCGATGAACCACCGGCCTAGGATCCTCGCTGAACAGGAAGCAACATCCTGCATGTCGACATTTGGTTTCTGTAGACCCTGATCGCGCTCGCGAGCAATGCTGCTATTGTGGAGTAAGTCAATGTGGGTATGATGGTCGAGGCCACTGTGCCGTCAGCATGTGCGAAGTACGATGCTATTTTCAGGCCGGATCACAATGTTGCCGATGCATGAACTAGAGTGAGCATATTTCTCCACCTTCACGAAAAGTGTGTACTATGTTTGGAGATGCTTGGATTTGGGAAGATGGGGGGGGATCCTGCCGATAACGAGGATTGCTCACCAGGGTTGTTGCTAGATGCTGGTGCTTGAGAGATGTACATGCTGATACAGTATCGTGTCTCATCAAGTGCACGATTTAGCCTTCTGTTTGCGCTCCTGAGTCTCTCTAATATAGGCCTTCTGGTTTTGCATACCCTTGCTTTTTGGCTTCGACCGTGAATTTCTTACTGCTTCCGCAAAAGCTGGATGCACAACGTTCTTAGTAGAGCCAAAGTCTTCCCAATCCTTTCCCGGCCCAACGAGCTGCACTAATTCCATCTGATGTGGTACGATTATGGGTGAGTTTGCTTGTCCTTTCACCCTCCTAATAGTTTTCTCAACTATCTGCACATTCTGATTTTTGCCGTTCCACTTGGTAAACCAACGCTCGTAGCCCTTCGCGCCGTGGCACCAGCCCACTCGCAGTGTGGTCGTATTTGGAAAGACCTTGGAGATACTAGTGGCACTTTGAAGGAGTTCGCGCCACTCTTTATCGCTTTGGTTGTCGATTTGACGGAGGCTAATTGTCCGCACGACCAGGACTAAAGATTGAGGTACTAAATCAGGATCTACTAACATGCAATTCGTGCACCATATTTACTTACCTGAGCGGACGAGGCTGGCGTAAAGCGGTGGAAATTTGATCAAGTTGATGCCTGGTTCTACGTCGTTCAATTGAAGAGGGGTCGAGTAGACGACTTCTGCAAATTCCGCATGAACTTGTCGGCAAGTACGCATGATGGCGCAGTCAGCGTACGCAACAGACGACCCCACATCCTCTTCATCCTTTTCATCCTTTTCATCCTCTAAAGGAGCTCTGGTTTCCTCCTCTTGCGCTTTAGATTCGCGCGTCGCGAGCGGTGGAGCGGTCTGCCACCATCTAATCCCGTCGCGCCTCAAGCCTGCACAAACTTGCGCATACACCATATCGCGGATCTCTCGAGGTAGATCAAGAAACCCAACGCCTATGCTCTCTTTCGACGACTCTTGCCATTCCGTGCTGACTGTGATCTCCTGAGCGTCCGTGGTGAGTGCAAGACTAATCTCCGGCACCGATGATTTAGACTCTGTGGTATCCACTACTAAACGGATGCAGCGATCCGGACTTGATGACGGTTCCGGACTTGAGGGCAGATCCGGACTTGAGGGCCGCAGTGTCGCTCCAGGGTTTGGCAACCATATGACTGACGTTGTCATTGTCGCTGTTCAAACGCCCCGGGGCGTGTCCTTCTGGCGCTTCGAGTACTTCCGTTAAAATCGCGAAGAGCGATGATGGGCTCACTAGACGAGCGAGCGAGGTAGTCTAGGGAAGGAGGGAAAGAAGTGTTGGAGATACGTGGCCGGCTTCAACTGTTTATGTCTGAGACGGGAGTTTGTTGCAAGGATCTTAGACGCACAACTGCGGGTTGTCAGCTAGATCGTGTTACCACGTCAAGTCGCTTCCTGTAGCCTTTCACGCCTACTAGACTGCTTGGTTGGTCTCAGCTTGAAGTTCTGTTTGCTTTTTCAGAGATCGGGATGTGACTTGGCTCGGTATTACCCTATAGGAGGGGGACTGACAGGGATTTTGAATACATGACGAACGAATCACAATAGCTTAAGTGGAGCAACGTCTTATGTGATTCGTTCGTTGTCCTCTTACAGGTCCTCGTTAGTTTCGCTGTACGGCAACAGATGCTAACTAAACCTAGGACATATATCATGTTATAAACATACCGCTACTTCATGCTACAATGTGGCTTGATAGTTCCCATCTTTTTGGTCCTTTGATTGTTCAAATGTTTGCAAAGAACTGCGCTTCCTGTAAGAGAAAGAAGCGGTTTAGGACATATAACGGTATCCATGCGCTAGATTATCATTCTAGTCGCTGCGCATTATCAGATTGTCCTCTAACTGATACTACATTCGATTTCAGTGCCTCTCATTCTTACACTGAGGCCTCGGCTATCTTGCTATCTAAAAGCCGTAAGCTCATCGATTCGTATGATTTCCTCATACATTGCACTGCGAGGAGTTATTTCAGACCTGGCGATCAGAATCCGTATCCACCATCGTCCACTCTTCCTCCTTCTCTTTGTCGTCCATACTCCCGTCCTCCTCATTCTCCGTCTCGCCCATAATCGCATCTTCGTCCATCGGATACCCGGCCTGACGCATGCGCTCGCGGATACGCTCTTGGCTCTCCAAGCGCAGGCTCAGCTGTCTCTCACTCTGAGTCATCCTACTCATTCCCGGCCTTTTCCTCTCTGCTTGCCTCAACATCCTATCCCTCCTACGTAAGTCTCCTTTAGTATTGTCTAGTTCTCCACTGGCACCACCCACACTCTCTTCCTTCTTGATCTTGACCTCGGGGCTAGGATTGAGATAGTCTTCGACGGGACGTAGGAGCGCAGCACGCCAGCTGTTCGTCATCATGAGGCTGCTCGCAATGGTAACCCGAAAGTCAGTGTACACATTGTACATGTCGGACCAGGACGCGGTGTCGCCGTGCGTATCCATGCCCGTATCGCCTATGTTGAGGACGTTGGACTGTGTCCAATGGCTCGCCACAGCATCGAAGAAGAGTTGTCTGATGCCGCTATTGATCTTGTTTCGAGCGCCGCTCTCGTTGAGGACGGTGTTGGTGGTTGAGCCGTTTGGAGACGTGTTTATACAGATAAACTCCACATCCGAGGCGCGTATCGAGGACTTGCGCGCATTCGACGTCCGGAGGCGGGCGAGCGGCTCAAATATCATGTAGACTTGTCGTAGCGCTGCGTCATGGTATGCCTTCGCACCTAGCCGTATGCCTAATAAGCATGCCAATGTGTTGGCCCTGATCGCCCTGTACCCTGGAGTCTGTTGATTGAGCGAGTAGATGCTGCTGCGTATGTAGTCTACGAAGTTCTGGAAGTCTCTCGGCTCTACATCCTTCAATATCACTGGCTCTTTCGCATTCGGATCTTGAAACAGGTCGGCGAAGAAATTCGAATGTCGTGCTAGCAAGGCTCTCGATAGTAGCCATGTTCGTCGATCTCGAGAATCTGAACCTACGATAACTTGCATCATACCAGTTATCGGCGTGGGTATGCTAGGCGCGCTTGCGGAGCGATACACGCGCTGGCCCTGAGATGCTATTTTGCGGGCGGGGTCTTGGACGGCCATCTGGAAGAACCTATTTTGTTTAGGCTGTGATTCCATCGTAGTTGATGTCTCTGGGTTTGCGCTTCGCAATTTTGTTCGATCGTAAAACGCGCGGTCGGCGAAAAGGGACGCTGCCATTTTATGTGTCCGCGCACTCAGGGCCCAAGTCAAGGGCTCGTTGCTATGACCAATATCATTTTCGGCGCCCATGACGGCGCGCAAACGGATGTGCCGTCACGTGCGTCGGTGTGACCAGAAAGTGGTGGTGAAAGCAACTTAGATCATCATATAGCTTGAGCACTACCCAGTCACATTGTGGATGGATGAGAGCTAACCGCTTCTTACATCGGTGAATAGCGATATGGATGTATAAAGATAGTAGACACTTACTAGCATAACCAAATAGCAATGATCGTTTTCTTCGTTCTTGTTTAGATCATGATATCATGCACATCACTCGTCGAAAGGCGTCCGATATACCGGTCAGGTAGAAGACCTGGCGCCATCCCCATGCATCGTTGACATAGCTACCCATCGTCGGATTCGGGGAAATCCGAAGGTTATAGCCTATAGCGATTAGTGTCATACCTGCCTCTGTTTTCTTTCACAATTACATCCACGAGACTTGAGGGAGCGAGGGGACACACTGCTACCATCTACGCCTGCGAAAAGCCTCTAGATTGCCAGAGTTGGCAGATCATTGATCCGACCGCAGGATGTAGTGCATGTAGTGAAAATTACAACGTATGCATGATACAGTGTTACGCGGACGGAGAGTGTAGATAAAGGAGACATAAAGAGCGGCCCTACGGCGTAGTCGAGCATATAGACGCACATTACGATGAAAGGGAATACTTAAAGGTGAGATACAGAAGAGATATATCGAAGAAGAAACCCGATCAATTGTTGAGAGATAGGGTAACTTACCCTATGCTGCAGCTCGCTTGGTATCATCAACGCGCTCGGGCTCCTGCGATTGCCTTGTTCCCGATTTCTTCAGCTCCACGGGGAACTTATCCAAGCTCTCATACCACTGTATCACACTCCCGATCAAGAATGCCCAGCTTCCCCAGAATGTACTTAGACAGGCTTGATACTGAGCCCAGCTGTTCTGATCATACCCAAATGCAGGACACATTGTAAACCCAATACCACCTATTAAGTTCCACAATCCGATCCACCAGCCTAGTGTCCTAGGTGCTGGTCTCCACCACTTCGATTGCGTCTCGAGCATAAAGAGACTCCCGGAAATTATGAAGCCCGTACCACCAATAACTTGCGGAGTCCAATAGAAGATGATAGAGATGGGACGAGACATTCGATTATAGATACCGGGAAGAGCGGTCAGTCCAGAAATCCAGAAAACCGTTGCGCCTAAAAGCTGGAAAAGACATGCTAGGAAGCCAAGGGAGTGAATGTAATGGGTACGCAATTCCTCGTTTGACGGCCACCATACCCACGAGCGCGCGTCTGCCCCAGGCTCATGTTTCGATGCGGAGTTCTGGCCTGCGCCGACGAGATTCCGCTTATTGAAGTGGTGATGCGTGCATTGCGACTTTGACGGCCGTAATCTTGCGCCCTTGCCCTCTTCCTCCTCTTTATGCGACAAAGCGTGCTGCACGGCCCAGCCAAAACATCCTGAGCGATTCTCGTTCAACGCCTCAGCCATCAGCAGAAACGAGCCGAATTCGAAGATCGTGGCTCCAATGAATGCCGTTATGCCTCCGCCATAAAGCTCCTCCTTCTTGAACATGGTATCTGGTGCCACCAGCGGTAGGAAGACAAAGAATGCGTTCATGACCCAGACCACGCTGCCGATAGTAAAGACGTATGCGATATCGAAAGAGATATCCCAAATCGGGTAGTATGTGAGCATGCGCCAGATGCCGTGGACGATGCTGCCAGATGAAGAGGAAGCGCGTGGCGTGTCGTGTTTCGATTCGGCAGAGACCTGATGTGGGCTTATAGCTATGGCATGTCGTCCTTTGCGATTGTTGCGCGACGTCCACTTGAACCGAACGTCCGGACGCGCCTCGTGGCGGAAGTGCGCTCTCGTAGGGTTGAGGAAAGGTACAGGGCCGGTAACACGGGAGTGCTGGAGTTGAAGAGCAGCATCATCTCTAAGTGGTTCTCGAGTGGGACGGAAGGCAGTGTTGCGCTTCAGGTGACTGTCGTTCGGATGTTGGTCGCTGTTCGTTGTAGGTAATGAACCTCCTAATTGCGACGGCATCCCTTTGTGATCAATTGAAGAGTGCATAGGAGACACGTCAGGAATTGATTGCTGCATAATTAGTGTAATTATTAAAGAGAGACAAAGCCTTCACTGGGACTGCTACGGCGCATTCGCTACATTTTGCGGAATGCCCACGTTCATGTTTGCGTGAAGAACCGATTGCGTCACTAACCCGCGGCGAAAGTTGGGAGCTTAATCGCTGAGTCAGCGTCACCTTCAGCGGTAGCATGCACGGCATGGTAGCGACATCACTGTCAAGGCACTGGCTCTCGAGTTCCCTGATTAATCGATGAAAATCAGCGGAACTTGGAGTTTACACCATTACTATGTCGAACAATTTTGTCCAAAACGCCATGCTAGTGCCCTCTCAACGTCAAGAAAGAGCATATAGAGACGAATTCCACCTCGGTTGAACTAGGACACGCCGTTTTGCAAGGCTTTAAGGAGTTCATCGTTCCAATGAGCTGTGGTCGATTGAGACAATGCCATTAGACACTCATGGTGTGGCAAAGTCCTTAGAAGAAGAAAGATATTATTCATATACCATGACTGTCATATATACAATTTACTCATATGTACTTGGCTGCACTGCACTCGTACCGTCAATAAAACAAACGAGGGCTTATAAGATCTTCGTCACAGTCCCCAACGCCAAACAGTAAGGACCAAGATGCGGGTCGGAGCGAGGGCAAATGCAACAATCGCTAAACCCAAAACATGCTAAATGCCATCATCGTCCACCTTATCCTCGTTCAATCTTCGTTAATCGTTGCTCGTGGATAACGACTAACAGGCCTGGAGATAATTCGAAGGCACCAAACCAGGCCTTCCATTCTTCCCCACAGCCTCAGCCTCCCACCATCCATCATCTTGCAGGCGGAGAACGGCAAGAATGTCTCCCTTCTGAAAAGCGAGCTCTTCGGGGATCTGAGCTGCGTACGAGTACATAGCACGTGCTGCTAATTGTTAGCTCTCTACCATTCAACCCAAGGTAATATAGGGGGTACTTACAATAATTTAAAATCAACCTCCCCTGACTGTTATAGTTCTTCGGCTCCGCCAGACTCTTACTCCTGACTCTTGACTCCGCCCGAACGGAGCTTCCTCCTCCTCCATTGTATTCGCTTCCGGCACCACCACCGAAATAGGAGCTCTGCGGTCGAGCGTTGCCTCTTCCACGCTGGCTTCCGCCGTATACACTGCCCTCGCCACGCTCACTACCTGCTTCGGAAAGTTGTAACGCCATGTCACTTCCGCGGGAGCTAGATGGTCGATCGAATGCTTGGCGGAATTGAGGCTGGGGACTTACGGCTCGAGAGCTGGGAGCCGCGCGAGATTGTGGGCGAGATTGTGCGTATGTGGGCTGAGGTGGTTGCGGCGAAGCAGCTCGGGGCATGGTGCTGACACTTGGTGAGGCGCCACGAGTGGAGGAGTAGGAGTTGCGTCCTACGGGAGTACCATATACCTGTGCGGGAGCAGTGGTAGTCTGTGCTCGTGGTCTGGTTCCGGCGGCGGAAGCAGCGTACGGGTTAGGAGAAGCTGTTCGGTTATAGGCAGGGGCAGGGGCAGGGGCAGCCTGTTGCTGGCGCTGCGCAGGTTGGTTGGCTCCGGCATTGGAAGCAGCGTATGGGTTAGGAGACGCTGTTCGGTTATACGTAGCGGCAGGGGAAGCTTGTTGCTGTCGCTGCGCAGGTTGGTAGGTTGATGGCGATTGGGGCTGCTGCTGCTGTCGCTGCTTAGGCTGAAAGGTTGATGGCGACTGGGGCTGCTGCTTTCGCTGCGCAGGCTGGAAAGTTGATGGTGACTGAGGCTGCTGTGGTGCTGAGCGATATGAATTCTGTGATGAGCCTTGCTGTCCTGTGTATAGACTGGGTCGTGGGCTGGTTGCACGAGGAGGAGCAGGCGAAGCCGCTCGTGGGGGTTCTTGCTTCGTGGGGCTGCGAGCCGGAGGCCTTGAGTTGTCTCTGCCGCTGAACATATTCACCTTCTGGTTCACATACATCTCGGTTGTTTTCTGCATTTGACGGGATGTATGGGCTGGCTTTGGCGCTCCAAGACGAGACATTGGCGGTTGCTCATACGATGGTGGAGGTGTGCCTCGCTTCGCAGCATTTATAGCAACGTTGGCAAGAGGCGTGGGTACACCACCAGGCTGGTTCGCGCCCACCGCAGGCGTACCAGGTGATAGGGGTGTAGCAAGACCATGGTAGCGGTCCGCTGACACGCGGAGAGAAGACTCCTTGGTGACACCCCTTAGCTCTTCAAGAGCTTGTGCAATTGGATCCAGGTCATCTTGCGGCTCCTGCTGCTTTTGTTGCTTCTTCTTGTCAGGCGAAGCTACGTCAAATACATTGTTTCCAACATTCAACTGGAAATTGGCCCGGGGATCAACTGGCTCAGGACTGGCTGAGCGAGGTGCGTCATGAAGTATTGTGCCGCGAGTTCCTCTTCCAAGCTGTTTGGTTGGGCTCACGTTCTCGTCGGTCGTCTTTCGTGCAGCAGGGCCCCCCCACGTATTGCGGCTGCTCGGGGTAATGTTAGGGGGTTCTCGCTCGTGCTTGCTCTTCCTTCGTGCAAACGGACTATTGAAGAATCCCCTCTTTTTCTGTACCAAGCTCTCCTCAATAGGACTGGGTTCCGCAAATGGCGACTGGGGCATTGGCTTGCCAGGTGATGCAGAGCCGCTTGGGGGCTCAATGCTGGAGAAGGAGGTAGGGTTGGAGTACTCACTCTGCGAGTCTCGACTAGCAGGACGCGCTGGGCTCGGAATAGTGCTTCGGTCTGATGGTGCGCCAATGCGGCAGAACTGTGTCATTCCGTCCGTTGGGTAGTCGTTGTGCGGTACTTGACTCTGCTGATAATTCTGGCGTGCTTGCTCCTGGGCTTGGACCAAACGAGGATCTGGCTGCACTCCGCGAGCAGACTGAGATTGCTGAACAGGCTGTGGGGGCTCTGTGTGTTGCCTTTGAGGCTCAGGACGTTGCCGTAGAGGCTCTACATGTTGACGAGGAGGCTCTGCATGTTGTCGTGGTGGCTCTGTATGCTGGCGTGGAGGCTCTGGACGTTGTCGTAGAGGCTCCACATGTTGGCGAGGGGGCTCTACATGTTGTCGTGGCGGCTCTGCATGTTGTCGTAGAGGCTCTGTATGTTGTCGTAGAGGCTCCGCCTGTCGTCGAGGAGGCTCCGTAGCCTGTCGTGGCGGCACATTGATTTCGTCTTGCGAGATCGGCTTCGTATCGTTTTGAAGCCCCAGCTCTCGTGCTAGAGGGTTGTTTGGATCGTGATGAGATTCGAAAGCTGAAGGTGCAGGAGAAGAAGCACGATAAGCCGGATTCATAGTCCTCGCAAATTGTGCTACTGAGTAGTTTTCATCCTCGGAAGCTTGCGATGAGGTTTCGGCATCTCCTCGACAGAAGTTGATGAACTTGGGCGGATCGGGTATCTCCTGGCCAGTTCCAGACTCTTTGATAAAGCCTGTTATATCCTTCTCCACATCGCAGTCTTCGAGCGACAGGCGCATCTTTTCGCACGAAGCATCATCACTTACGCAAACAGTTGAAGCAATGTTGGCAAAATTCCAGAGGCTGCTCTTGGTGTAGTCGATACGCTCTTCTTCGAGGTCTTGGAATTTCTGTATTTTTGTCAGTCTCACTCATCGCATCCGACTTGATGTACGCACATCGCAGGCAAGTTTCCAGTCGCGATTCCACCGGCCTGTTGTCTCTTCCAAGACCTTGACTGCCGCTTCGTATTCGCTGCTCGTGGTCGAGAGATTAATTTGCGTCTTCTCCAACCTTGCCTTGTTCTTCCGCTCCTCGTGACCCATGACCATGTGTGCCTGTGCAAGGAAACCCTTGATCTTCAGGCAGTCCTGCTCGTATCGGTCGCGCGACTTGTTGACCGTCGCCGTCTGCTGCATCTTCATCTTGAGTAGCTTCTCAATACCGGTCTGTACAATCTTTCTACGCTCCTTCATGCCACCTGCGAAGGCAGCTAGAGGCTCCTCCAGTTCCGTCTTCATTTGCTGCGCAATGCTCTGGTGTGCCTTTCCCATCGATTCGACCTCGGCGCGGATGACATCGCACGATAGTCGCACCGTACCGGTTTCGTAGGAGCCCAGTGGCTTTTTGGAGAGGCTCAGCAGCTTTCGTGCATATTCTTCTTCTATGGCTCCACGTGCGGCGTAGAAGCTCTTGAGCTCGTCGTTTGTAACCTTGGCCGCGTGCATGCGGTCGAGCATGGGGCCGACGCCAGCGTCATCTTTGCCCCAGAAGTTGTTTGCGACTGGAAATTGTCAGTACTCTACTTTAATTACTGGCATTCAAGCGCAACATACATGAGAGGGAGACTGAAGGCGGTTCCGTCGCCGCTGCACCGCCCATGGCGCTGATGTTTACGGGGTCAACGAATTGGGTCCGTGGCAGTGAGTACTACGTGCGAAAACGAGTGCTCCGGAAGAATAGTCGATTAAGATGTAGAGTGTGGGTATCGCACTTGGAGATTAGAAGATACCAGGACTAGGTGTTGAGGGTGTAGGCCAGGGTGTGCAGGTGGCACCGTTGTATTGACGTCCCATCTCCATAGTAACGCGAGCGGAGGCGCTAAACTCAGCCCTATGACACCCCTCGAAGACTACCTACCCCATGAGAACAGCGTGCAACGCGACGGTGCTTCTACCAATGGACTTCTCTCATCCTTGAAACAAAACACGGGTTTCAACTGGCGTCTATTCTATTCTGAGCTGTTCACCTATGGCCTCCAAGATCCTATCATAGCTAACTCTGTGAGGTTGGAGATGCTACGAGTAACGACAGTAAACACTTGGTCTAGTCGCGCCAGCACATTGGCTCTTTTGTAAAGATTTACAAAGGGCCCTGAAGCTACCCAGCGTACATATAGGTCACCATGCTGAATGGTTGAGCTGTCTAGGGTCGCGCCTAGGTCCTGCAAGACGGATAGACGTCGCTGTTGTGGAACAGTGCGGGTCATGTCCCGTTGACTTTCATCTAGTCATATATAATATATTAAGAGTATTCCAGGTAGAGGTTTTTTTGATAGGCCCAGTGTTGTCATGTTGTTTCGGTTGATATTCAAAACTGATGCATCAATTGAAGCAATTGATCAAAGCACGAAGCACAAAGGACTCGAGGGCAAGCCTTCTCCCGCAATGGTCAAAAGTTTTTGGTGGTGACTAGTTGTCATGATAGACATGCTCTCATGATGAACTAACTGTTCAAGATCGTCATATTGGGCTTCGGTGGAGATGCAGAGTCACAGAGAGGGCTTCTCGCGAAGAGTGGGGCGGCCGCCCACAGGAGAGCCTCATCGCACCTGCATCATCAGCCAAATGCGGCACGAACTATGTGGACACGTGAATTTGGAAGCCTAGGAGACGTTGTGACTTAATCTGTGAGGTTAAACTGGCATGGAGGAATCAAGGCTGCTGTATGAAGGTCGCAGTGAATATTCGTAGCCTCGGACGTGGATATCAGTCAAAGCGCGACTGCTACTGCTGGCCTTGGTGGCAGGTGTCCCTCCATTTTTCGCCAAGGCCGCTGTCCGTGCAGGCGCGACCGACGTCTCGACATTCATCACAACCCCATAGCTTAAAACTCATCTCCAATAACCCCCCATCTCCACACCTCCCCCTCTCGGCCGCCCACGCGCTGCTCATGGAAACGCCATTTCGATGAGCCAGCAACACCCCTGGGGCGCCCCGAGACACAACCAGAGCACACGCCTGACCCCAATCTCGACTGCATTCGCGCAAGAACAGCGCAACACGCCCTCACCCAGCAACTCGCGTCCCACATACTCGCCCGCCACCTCCAGCTTCCCTTCACTCCCGCCAGCCACATCGCGCCTTGTTGGTAGCCGCAAGTCGTCGGCCGCCTCGTCTACTTCGTCGCCCTTCTCGCCCGCAGGACAGCAGCTCCCCGCCAGCCAGCTGCTGTCCTCTCGGTCCAGGACCATAGCGCCCCAAGCTGCCGCGCAACTGGCTTTCTCCGCCGCAGTAGCCGCTTCACAAGGGGCTGGTGCACAGTCGAGCAGCGGCGGAGGAGCCCCCAAGCTTGTCCGCGCCTCGCCCTCACTTTCGACCTCGAGCACCGTAGGCTCGCCCAGCACCGCTTCCAACCCTTCCGGCGCCTCAACCCAGAATCTCTCCCGTATTGTCATCGCCCAAATCTTCCTTCTGCTGAGCCAATTTCAGCCAGTCAAAGACGATAAAGACCGGTCAAAGTGGGACACGCAAACAGAACAGATCAGGAAGGTTCGTCCATTGCCTTGCTCCCACTCCCAGCTTTTATGCTTTACTAACGCGCTGCCAGCTGGTCGACTCAAACGGCATGGAGGTCTACTCCAAGTATTTTCGGCGCCTGGTGCAGAACAACGTAACCCACATCTTCGGCACAGGGGCGCGCAATGCAGACCCCAACGGTAGCTACCAGATCCTCGTGACTGAAGTACAGAAGCTGCGGAAGGAGCCCGCGCAAGCAGATAAGATTGCTGAGTCAATCAGCTCGAATGAAGGTGATTTGTTTCGCGACTTCGACCTGTCGACGTTCGTGTCGCACTTCAACATGGACCCGGTCGCAAAGACGATGCTCGCACTTACTTGCAGAAAGACCGATCTGCGGCCAAAGGGTACGTTTCCTCTTAGCCATACTGATAATGACTTGCGCTAACGCTAGTTAGCCGACGTCGTGTTGTCAACTGTCGGTGATGATTTGCTTATGGCGATCGCGCAACCCAGCCAGCCAGAAGATATGAGCCCTGATTACCTCGCCGCCTTGATCGAGCGCCTGCTACAAGATCCGCCCAAGGGTTGGGACGAGGACAAGAAGATAAGCCTTACATACGCGGTCCAGATGCGGTACCAAAATCTGCACGTACAGATACCCGGCATTGTAGAATCAAAGCTGCTGCTTGTGGAGCTCACAGACGGCTCGCGAAATCCTCTGGTGAAGCTGGTACAGCGGGCAGGACCACACGGAACGGACTCGGTGGAAGCGTGCAAAGAGATGCTCGCATCAGCCGAAACGCGCGACATCAGCTACCAACAAGTAGCTACAGTGCTTCTCTACTTGGCGCTTTCGACCGGTTATAACGCAAAGAATTTTGTAGCCGCACTTCGAGAGCACCGGGCAGGCCAGCGGCTGGACTGGCAGGATGTCGTACACGCCTTCGATCGAGATCACCTGCGCATCGAAAAACATCAATTTCTGGCCATCTACGACGCTCTACTGCCTATTGCTCAGGACACAGAAACTTTCGACATTCAAGCACTCTGGGGAGGGACATGGCAGCACGACTTAACCCATCTATACTTCCTCCTGTGCTATCTATCATGTACGCCACAAGAACTTGACGTGTCTCAGATTCCACGACTACGCACGTCATACTCCATGAAGACCTTCGAAGGTGCCTCGGACGATATCAAATCCTTCGCAGAGCAAGCGGTGAAGCACCCCTTTGTGTCCCTCGACGCCACTGCAGCGCTCTTCAGCATGATTTTCCGAACCTCCGAGACGTACCATACCGCACAATTGATGGGCATTCCCGATATGGTCATCAACCCCCATACGGCAGAATTTCTAGTCGCAGCGGCCGCTGTTCCCAAACCTTGGGGCGCTTTGCAGGAGCAGGCGCTTAAGCAGCTATTCGATCCGTACTTCCACAAGAAACTTCCTATTTACAACTTCGTCCTTTATGGTCTCTGGCAACAGGACCTCCAATGGCTTATTGACCGATTCGTCGACGCCTACAACGCCGATTCGATGACGCTCACTCTCGTGCTCGAGCATGCAGAGGCAAACGACTGGTTGGAGGTCTTGATCCGCAGTAATACCGACATCAGTCTCGACCTCGCTGCGCAGGCACACGCCCGTGGCAAGTTCGAGGTCGAGCCATGGTTGCAGCAAACATTCGAGCAGGCTGGCCCACTATTCCGCCGCATATTGACCAACTTCCTTAGCGCTCGGGCTGCAGAGGAAATGCAGCGAGTACGAGACGACCACCACCCTCTCAGTTTGCCTCTGGCCGTGAAGACAGTCTACCCACTGCTCTGGTTCCTTGCAGAATGCGGATTACCAGAACAAGAGCTTCTACCTTTACAACGAAACTGCATCCAAGCCTATCCTCGCTTGATCAACTACGGTGAAGGTGTGGACGATGTCATTGATGCCAACGGCCAACACGGAAACGGCCTACCAGAAGACGCCGACAAGAAAATGCAGGAACACTTCAAGAATATGTATAGTGGCGAAAGTGACGTACGCGACATCATCTCGGTATTGAAAAAGTACAAGGAATCGCGCGACCCTGCCGAGCAAGAGTTGTTTGCATGCATGATTCATGGCTTATTCGACGAATATAATTGTTTTGGTGAATACCCACTAGAGGCATTAGCAACAACTGCTGTGCTCTTTGGCGGGATCATCAACTTCAATCTGCTTTCGAGAATTGCGCTCCAGGTTGGATTGGCGATGGTCTTGGAGGCCGTTCAAGAGTATAGGCCCGAGGACTCGATGTACAAATTCGGACTTCAAGCACTCCTACACTTTTCGAATCGGTTGTCTGAGTGGCCCAATTATTGTGACCAGCTTTTGATCGTTCCAGGACTCCAAGGAACGGAAATCTTCGCCAAGGCTGAGGAGGTTGTCGGCCAACAAGAGGGCGAGGTTAATGGAGACGGTCAAAACGGCATTGGATTGACCAACGGCAATGGCATCGAAGACACTCTTCAACAAGAATCCGCTATACCGAAGTTTACCTGCCTCCATGTTGACTCACCGCTCCGGCCAGAACTCTACGAAGATCCAGACGAAGATGTACAAGACAGGGTGCTGTTTGTGTTGAACAACGTGTCCGAACGTAATTTACTTGACAAGATCACGGATCTCACCCAGGCCGTCGAGGATCGACATCATCAATGGTTCGCCAACTACCTTGTTGAAGAACGTGCGAAAATGCAGCCAAACTTCCAACAACTGTATCTCGATATATTGGAACTCTTCGATGACAGGATCCTATGGGCAGAGGTCCTTCGCGAGACGTATTCCAGCGTTATCCGCATTCTCAATACCGACTCTGCGCTCGGTTCGACAGAGCGTGGCCATTTGAAGAACTTGGGCTCTTGGCTTGGTTCCTTGACGATTGCGCGCGATCAGCCAATCAAGTTTCGGAACATATCTTTCAAGGACCTGTTGCACGAGGGTCACGATACCGACCGTCTATTGCTTGTAATACCATTCACCTGCAAGGTGCTGGTACAGGCTGCGAAGTCTACAATCTTTCAACCGCCTAATCCATGGTTAATGGAGATGCTAGGTGTACTAATGGAGCTGTATCATTACGCGGATCTGAAGCTAAACCAAAAATTCGAGATCGAGGTCCTCTGCAAGGGCTTGGATTTGGATCATAAGGAAATCGAACCCACCAAGACCATTCGAGGACGACCACAAGCCGACGAGGAGTTCCTTGGGTCGATGGTAACAGATGGAATGGAAGCATTTGGGGACTTGTCTATCATGAGCTTAAACCGTACCCGAGGCCCCAGCGAGCGCTTCTCATCCGCAGCAATTACCGCCGCTCTACCCGACTTCACAAATCAGCTGCAGTACCCACCCTCTGGAAACGTGGTCCCTCCCGCGGGTCTGAAGAAGATTTTCCTTACTGCTGTCAACCAGGCTATTCAGGAGATTATCGCTCCGGTAGTCGAACGATCCGTGACCATTGCCGCTATCTCGACATCGCAACTCATCAACAAGGATTTTGCGATGGAACCGGATGAGGAGAAGCTCCGCAATGCGGCTCACACTGTCGTCAAATCCCTATCTGGTGCTCTGGCTCTTGTAACCTGTAAAGAGCCTTTGCGCATGAGTATCCAGAACAACATTCGTGTGACGGCAAGAGATCTCCCTGAGCATGCCCTGCCTGAGGGACATATTTTGATGTTCGTGAATGATAACCTCGACCTTGTCTGCAACACTGTCGAACAAGCTGCTGAAATGTCATCTCTTGCTGAGATCGATATGCAAATCGAAGAAGCTGTCCGAATTCGCCGAATCTTCCGCAACACTCGTCCAAATGAGCCCTTCAAGGACGCCAACATCAGCCCATGGGCTTTCTACATCCCAGAGCCGTACAAACAGACCACAGGAGGGTTGAACCGAGAACAACTAGCTATCTACGAAGATTTTGGTAGACAATCACGAGGTGCCCCTCACGCGAACAATAACTCGCAAGACAGCGGGAGACAAGTCCCGGATGTCCTTCAAGATCAGTTCGCCGCAGTACCAAACCTACCAACCCCTGGTGCTGCACCAGCGGAGCCGCGTCAACCCGCGCAGCAACCTCGACTACAGAGTCTCCAGTCATCACACGCTCCTTCCGCCCAGCAACAGTTGAATGGCTACATCGAGAATGCCGGTCCGGAGCGAGGCCAGCGCGGCGTAGAGGACCTGCTCATTGAACTCACGCGTGTCATTAAAGAGGCTCCCGAGGAGCGCATCAACGACCTTCAAGCTGGCAGCAGCACCATTCACCAAGTCTTCGACCAGTTGATTTCGAGCATTGAGTTTGCCGGCCCAAATAAGGACACATGGGCTTTCCGCATCGCTGGACAAGTCACAAACCATCTCTTCTCGGATTCGCTAAGCCGCCTAGAGATTGAGGTCATGGCGCATCTCCTCAGTCATTTGTGCCAATTGTCCGTCCAGACCTCCCGACAAGTGTTGATGTGGCTAGCTACTCTACATGACGATGACCGTATCTTCAAGGCCACAGTCATGGTAGCGCTAATGGAAGTAAGCCTCATGGACATGCACCGCCTGAATACAACCATCGCGAAGGCTATCCAGGAGCGTCGTGTGGCCGCAGTAGAGATGCTTTCTAGCTTGATGGAAGAGTTACTACTCAACGAGCATCCAAGCGCATTCCGTGCTGACTTCGCCCAATCCATTGATGCTCTTACCAACTGGCTAGCAGAAGATGACGCATTTGAGCTCGGAAAGAGTGTGATCGCCAATCTACAAGCGCCGCCCACAGAGTCGTCTCTGACTCCACCTGCATCTGCGCTTGTAGATCAACTTGAATACGTCTTTGACGAATGGGTACATCTGCAACATTCCGAAGCGCCGAAGAAGACCGTCGGCGCCTTCATCTACCAGCTTCACAAGCAAAAGATAATGGAAACTCAGGAAGCATCCATTGAGTTCATCCGCACCTGCGTTGACACCTCTGTCATTGCGTATGAGCGCGAACACTCACTACCATATGGCACGGGGAATGAAGACATTGCGACCATCAAGGTCGATGCCCTTGGCAAACTGATCGTCGACCTTGTCGTCTACCAAGGGGAACAAGATGGTGCCGTCAAGGAGAGCAAGGCGAGGTATTTGGACCAGATTCTTGTTGTCGTGGTGCTTGTCCTTTGCCATCATCATAACGCGCGTGGGGATGCCTTCAACCAGAAGGTCTTCTTCAGACTTTTCTCTACGATACTGTTCCGACTCAACGAAGCCGTCAAGGATGAGGCCTTGGCTGACCAGAAGGCCGATATCTTCATGTCTGTTGCTAGGGCACTCTTGATTCTGCAGCCAAGCCACTTTCAGCGCTTCACCTTCTCTTGGTTGGCACTCATTGCACATCGCATCTTTATCCCAGCCATGTTGGAGGCGGGACAGAAAGACGAACGCTGGGATGTATATGCTCGGCTCATGGAGACGCTCTTGATCTTTACTGGTCAGTTGATCAAGCCAACCGGAGAGACGCTCATGGCTCAGCAGTTCTACCGTGGCGTTTTGCGTGTGTTACTCGTGATTCACCACGACTTTCCAGAGTTTCTCGTTGAAAACCATTTCCGCTTCTGCAACAGCATCCCAATGCACTGCACGCAACTGCGGAACCTGATAGTCAGCGCATACCCATCTACTATCCTGGAGATGCCCGACCCATTTACCGCAGGACTCAAGGTGGATCGGCTGGAGAACGATCTACAGGCACCAATCATCCGCGCAGAGATTGGACAGATCCTTGTGGACGCGGGTATCAAGAGCACCATTGATAGCCTTCTTAAAGGCTCCGATATCAAGAACCAAGACGTGGAGAAGGTTTGCCAAGCGGTGTACTATTCGCAGGCGAAGGCTGCGGCTTTCGAACTAGTCCCAACCACCGCCGACCCAGCTTTGATCCATGCAATTACTCTCTATATTGGGATTACAACCTTGGGTGCTGGGACAGCCAGTGCGCCGCTGTTTGACGAAAACAGTGCAGCTGCCAAAGTCATCGAGAGACTGGTGAAGGACTTCCACCCTGAAGCAAGGTTTCACTTCATCAGCGCAATTGCCAATCAGCTCCGCTTTCCAAATACCCACACCCATTTCTACAGCTATACGCTTTTACACCTCTTTGGCCCTCCCAACAACGATTCGCAATCACTGGAGATCCAAGAGACCATTACCCGTGTGCTCCTGGAACGCCTGCTAGTTCATCGTCCTCACCCATGGGGACTTATAATCACGCTGCTGGAAATATTGAAGAATCGCGTCTATGCATTCTGGGAGCTGCCGTTCGTCAAAGCAGCGCCCGAAGTACGTTCCCTTCTCGAGAGTCGCTTTTCGGGCAACGCTAACCTATCGCCAACTCAAGGTTGAGCGGCTTCTCAACGCTCTTTTCACCCATGCGCAACAGAGTCCTCGACCACTGGCTTAGTCGGTCAGTGGATCGACAGGGCGAACTGACTCTAGATGTTCCTCATCGACCATCTTATCGTTGGGATGCTTAGATAGCAGCATCAACACCTTACGATTATTGCATTTACGTGCGTAGCGGGTTTTCTGGTTTCGCCTTATTGCATGGTCATGGAGCTCGTCCCCTTCTCCTAATTACCCTATTGCCTTCTCTTCGTTGACTACGGTTCAAGGAATCATCTCTGGGCTGGCCGGTAAAATGGGATGATGACAACGACCGTATGCGGGCAAAATATAAGAGTGGGCCCGCAAAAATACCTACAGCTCTGGACGGATGGGGATCCTTGGCCTCTCTCATTGGCGATACAAAAAAGCACGGCGTTTTCCAGGTTGGGTATTCTTATTTACGGCGACGAGTTACTATTCCCTTGCGCATTCTTGTAGAGTAGCATTTGCTTGGCGAACTACTAGGGATGACTGGGAGGAGAGCTAGTGGCGAGGCGTTTCTCACCGCGCTCGTGCATATACTGTAGGATATTATGACGAATGGTGTTTCTGCTTACCGCTGTGGAGCTCTATCTATGCTGTATGTGACGTGTGTGCTGAAGATATCCTGTGCTCTGTTGAATTGCATATTTTATTTTCAGTAATTGAGTGTGAAGTGGCCTTTATGCTATCTCAGTCATCTAACTAGTGATTGTTCCTGACATGTGACATTTGAACAGCTCATGCACCCTCTACATGGCCTCTTGTTACGTGTCTGTTTCGCCACATCATACTCATTGGTGCTGATCAGAAAGCGCTTTCGGGGGAGTGGATGTACCGATTCAAAGTCGACGGGTCGCGCTATCGGTTCCAAACTCGTCGAGCCTCCTCTCCTCGGCGCCTGTTCACCTTGATGTGGGTATGACTCCAAATTTGGAAATTACATCGAATCTGGAAGGAAGGCTTTGTACAGGATTTGAGCGACGATGAGGAAGGCGTATATGCAAATCGAGTGCTAATATCAAACCCCTCATGTCCACTTTCCCAGCACATGAAGCCTCAATTCTTATTCTGACATAATGGCTTTTCTTTGATGAGCAAGTGCGTTCTATCAGCTGTTGTGACGAACATGTGGACAGAATGACGCCTTCTGATCATAAAGATAGGGCCTTCCACCTTCCAGACTCAGGGAAGTCGAAGTCACCGAGAGACTTGGAAGCTTTTAGAATTGTATTCTGCTTCATTGGTCGTATACTTTAGCATGGTGCGTGGCCTCCGTCCAATCGTGCTGGAAGGCTTGGCTACGCAAGTAGCAGAGTGACGTCGCACGAGTGGCCCTCTCTATCTCCTGTACACACCCTTTTTTTTGAAGCAGAGAATCATGTTTTAGAGATCTTTACCTTTTGTGGGTGTCTTTCTGTGCTTTAGCACCTCGTTGCGCAGTCAGCTTCCCACCTCCTCACTGTCTTTGCGAACTACGGCTATATTCACTTCATTTATAGTTGGTAAAAAACGAGCATCGTGCTCCTTGGGTCGATATTGGATATTGCTCACTGGTTGAGTTGAATTCGCACCAATCGACTGATCAGTTGCGTACCTTTCACGAGGGTTCACGGTCTAGGAATCCTATCGGGCCCTTCTTCCGGTACTACATCATTCCAGGCGGGTCAAACGGGCGGCAGAATAGCAGCCGCTAGCTACAATGAGCTTCACAAATACCATGTGGGAGCTCTATTATGCTTCCAGTGATCACGAGGACCACACTGTCGCCGAGCTCGATGACGGATTGTCACTAGACCAGAAGCTGGCACTCGTCGACCGAACCCCTTTTCTGCCGTACTTCAAGGAGATCCGGGACGGCCAGTTGATAAGTCCCAAATTCAAGCAGGCCAGCCAGCTCTTGATCAGCAATTGCTTCTCTCTTCGAAACCGCTGCTTTGCGGTAAGCCTCGTTGCTAGTGTTCTTTGGCCTTGTCACTTTCAATATCGACAAACTGTTCGTACACCCCGCGAATTCTTTTTCATGGTAAGCTTCTATTCCTTCAATCTACTCAATTTGTGTGTGTTGCTAGCCTATGCTGACAAGTTTCAGGATGCGCCTTGCCGCGAGCTTGTTGCACTGGTCATCTTGGGCGAGGAAGATGAGAAAACCGGCACGGCTCCAACGATAAGCCTAACCCAAGGGCATAAGAAACATATATTCCCATTGTGTTCAATATTTGGGTTGTTTCAGCTGTTTGATGCGATGTTGGACAGCGAGCTGGCCTTCATGCAGCGACAGCCAGGGCCCTCTACTACCAACAGGATTTTCCAAGTGAAACCGGATCCAAGACCGGTGTATATCCTGAACAGAATCAATGCCCATAAAGACAGGCAAGCGGCAATCAAGAGACGTCAAGATTGTTCTCGTGACAACACCACTGGACGTCGCAGAAAGGCAGTTTCGCAAAGCTCGCTAAGGATAGAGCTTTCCCCTCCCAGCAGCCGAGAGGTAGCCTCGAGGAAGGCAATTGCTCCACCTAGCCTAATTCCACGGAAGAGAAAAGCTGTGGAAATGCAGAATGGGGAACCTGCATCTCGCAAGCCTGTAAAACGGTGAAGAATAAGCTTGCAGGAGTATTCACTGTCGTTGGATCCACGCATCGAATAACGAAAGAAGCTACATTCTGAAAAGGATGAAGTGATATTGATCAAGCTCCCACCAACCCAGGGAAGATGCTGGAGGTACTCAGCCCCAGGTGTCCTTGGATGACCCGAAATTCCCACCCCCTTAAACGCCATGGTATCGTCGACGACGCAAGATCATATTTTGTCCAATCGTAATTACGGATTTCCGTACCCTGCACATCCGACGGCCTCAATCGATTTCCCGCTTCGGTGACCTGTCCCCCGTATAGTACCGCTGCCTCGACCCCGATCGTCCTCTCTGCTTCTCATCCGTCGAGTCGCGTGTTATCCGCAGCATTTCTCGGACTTTTCCCTCGAACGTTACGATGATGTGGTCTGGAATGGGCGGAAGCCCAGGAGAGTTCATGATTTGTGAGACGGGCGATGGAGATGCGGGGTCCATTATGAATTTGTTGTTGTTGTTGTTGTTGTTGTTGTCTGGTTTCAGTGCAGAGTTGAAGATGGTGTTGTTGCTGTTGTTCGACACTTGTTGTTTTGACGTCGACGTGAGTTCCTGTTCTGGCGTCAGGGATGATGCATGTTGAATTTTGTACAATGGGTTGCATACCTTCTTCGCGTTGGACCACCAAAAGTTACATGCTTTGCGGAATCCTGAACTGCGTTGTATTGATTTTGTCCCTTGGAGTCAAAACTATTATATATGTTGAGGCATTTGTTGAGGTGTTACGCTTCCGTTTACGTATTTCCACTATCCATGTGGCTGAGCTTATGTCCGCGTCAGCGCACTCGTCCGCAACAGTCAGGCACCCGAGGGTTCCGCTGCGCCACGCCTAATTTCCGTGGAGGCTTATCAGGTGCGGAAGCTATTGCTTCTATGTTTAGATGCAAATGAAGTTTCAAGCCATCGGATCCGGCATGTTTTATCTGCATGTTAGTTACTGTGATTCCTGTTTCATGTTGCGCGATCTCGCACTTCCAAGGTTGGTCGACACAAGTATAATCTTGAAAAGGGATTTATACCTGCACCCAACGAATGCGACGATCATTCCTAATGTTAGGTTCCCCGCATTCCTTCATCCTTTAGCGTCATTAGAAAGTGGCTTGTACGGCGTATGTGCAGAGGCCACAAGTCTCTCCATCGCCCGACATCTCAACATCACGCTGTCTGTTACGGCGCTGATATCACAGCTAGTAATTTCAAGAGACGAATTTCTACCGTTTTCAACCACAGTTCACTCGTCTAACCGAATATCCTCCTTTCATCGCATTGTTCTGCTCTCCGCAGCCATACCGTCAGATACGCTTCGCTAATATGACCCTGCATTGTCTCGTCCTACCTACGTCGGCTCTCGAACAAACTCCGCGGTGTCAGCCTTAGGGAGGACATGGAACCTTCCCTTGCGAGGCAACTTTAACTGAACATCAACTTCTACATGCCAGCCTGACGAGGCTTAGATTGGCCGCTTACCCATGGTTGCCGTTCGATGTGGCCTCACCGAGAACCCGATTGGGAAGGGAGAGGCGATGACGGTATGGGGTACCTGATACCACGTGGGTAAGGAGAGTGAAACATAAGACTGAGTGGGTAGATAAGTGCTGTAGTTCGTACTTGCGTTTCACACAAACTCTGAATTGGAGCGTCGCGTGTGCAAATACCAGAAACAAGTTCTTGATTTGTCGAGAGGAATGAATGGCGCTCTTGTTCCGCTAGGAGGTACGACGAGGAAGCATGAGCAATGGGACGAATGGCAGCGACAGCAACGTAGTGCGTATATTCTTATCTTTCGACCAAGTCTCTTCTGATGTCAATAGGAGCACAAAGAAGTTCAGTGGGTGACATTCCTGCAGGTCGGCGAAACCATTCCGTCTCATCAAATACGACTGTACGAGGACCCGTAGATTATCTTCAGCCTGCAGCGTCCCCACCACCAGCACGCTCGCGCAGATCCACTGACGTCGAGGCACCTGTTCATCCAGCTGCAATATCAGCTTATTACCTTAGATCGTCCGATGACTACCACGAGCGTCAGAGACGGGTTCCATCTGCAGAACAGTACCACTCGCTATCGCCAGTGCAATCAAACCGGCATCGAGAAGTCGGAAGCTTAAGCGGTAGTTTCAACGCACCAACGCACGTTGAGCTGGAGCGACATAAGGGCCACAGGAAGAGGGCGAAGGGCATGCACAAGCTCAGGAGTGTGGTCAAGGCGTGGATCAAGGCGTGAAGTTCGTGGGACCCCTGTCTGCTTGCTTTTGCAGAATCGCATCCTTTTTCGTCACGTCTTTTTGAGCAATGTCCATCCAAGGGACACAGATACCCATCGTTATATTTGCCATATCGCAGTACAGTATCAAACCGGTTCGTATGATCAACATTTCACGTCTGTCTGGGGTGTGTGACGCGGCACGGCCAGATGGTGATCGTGATGCATGACATCATACGACCCAATGTTCCAGCGCCACGCTTCCTTCCTTCGCGTTCGCCCCCCACAAACGTTCATCACCAAACGTCACCCTTATTACAAACGCCCCTGGTGCCCGCGATGCTATCACTGAAACGCTTCATTGCTGAATGCAGCACCGCGGAGTAGGTAGATGCCAGCCATGAACGACAGTACTCGTCACACCTCGTGCCTTTGCGGAAAGATCATCTGATTGGCCACTTATCATTTCCTATTGTGGATTGCGATTGTCAAGCATGGCTGGGTACAGCGGCGCTAAAATGACGTCGCGCAATGCCTTTGCAGGATTGCTGTTCGCTTAAGCAAGTCTGAGAGTAGGGCACCGCTTCATATGCCACGAATCCGCTCTGGTCCTACGTAGGCCGGTCTCTTACACCAGCCAATACGCATACCGCCAGCACTCACTAGTCGTTCTTCGTACATACTGTGGAAAGGATTATACAAGATTCCCATCCTACACGAGCAACTTCTACCAGGAAGAAAGGAAGAAACAAGGCAGCAATGGACCGCTACCCCGAAGTCAAAGTCTCAGAGCGCGAATGCCCCCGTGAAGACTGGACCTCATCACGACACGATTCAGGAAACTCAGTCAACAAAGCCGAAATGCAGCACTCCTCCGCCCACGATACCGACGCTCACAAGCAAGAAGCTTCTACACTACAACAGCAGTACACTTCCTTCGCACCTCCATCCAACAACTCTCAGCAGCAAAGCGACGACTCCATGGCATCTACCAGCTCCTCGTCGAACGAGATCAACTCAACAGCCATCGATGCAGAGTATGCACGATACACAGATGCCCCACCGCCTTACTCGGAAAAGCAGTACGAGGGCAAGAGTGAGCAGGAGACGTCAGACATGCGCATGTCGGACTACGCAAAGGAGATTTCAAGAATGATGGGACGGCAACTCGTCAAAGACCTGAAGACAGGAACAAGCGACAAGCCTGAAGAATCACAGTGAGGCACAGCATGTGAGGGTGCTTATTGGAATGATAGAAAGAGACGCATGGACGGCTTTGGACATGAGAGACAGGCTGGTCCTGTATTTGTATGATTACGCACAGCGAAGGCGTTCAAGCGATAGCGGTGCGACTCATGAGGTCGTAGGCACCTGCTCTTTATGATGGAGAATGGAGAACTACCCAGACGAGTATTACCATTATTACCATCATTTTTTCCTCTAGCTCATACCTGTAATTCGAGTTGAATCTGTGTGAAGTTGCTTCACCCGCGTGGTTGCCGTGCTGTCGGGGCATAGCACATGGCTAACGCCAGCCACAATGTATACGTGCTAACCTTTCCTACCGGCCCGAATACTGCATATGAGTCTAACAAATAAACAACGCGCTAGGTTACAGCCCACGACGGATACACACCGGAACTAATGAGGCAGTCTCGACTTTAGATGATCATCGCACTACAGACTAGCCTTGCTGATAGCTACTGTATGCTAATTTACACATTCGAATACTGTGCAGACATCAAGCTGTCCTACAAAAGAAATGAAGACCAGGCTGACACAATACTGCTCGGTGTGTTGCAATATGATGAAGGGCGCGACTGCGCTAAAGCGCTTAACCCGGATAGGGCTACACGTGGCCTCGTCAGCCTCCGCTAAATACCGTCTGTGGCCGTGCAAGGAGGCATACTACTTACTAGGCAATGGTTATACTTGTTTATTGAGCGGCAATACAGGATGCATAGCTAGCCCATTTGGTCGTTCGCCCGGGCATAGCACCGAGTAGTGAACAGTATGCGCATAATGTCGCCAGCTATCTACGTTACAAAAAGTGCGAGACATGTGCAGATAGCAAGGCTAATGTCTTGGGAACTAGGTCTGACCTACTCCGCGCACGAGTGCACGATGGTCTCTGCAGTTTGTTACATGAGCTGCTCGCTGTAGAAAATCGTCCGAGTCTGAGCTCCAAAGCTCAAAGCTCCAAAGTCCCGATCCTGCTCCCAACGCCGCCACTCACGCCCCAAGGACCCTCACTTACCCTCCTCCTTACCATAGCTAACACATCCTGTCGTCCACCCTCTTCTTCTAACCTCTTCCCCAGCGTATTCAGTAAAGCAAATTTGGCCATGGCAACCTGGTACGCGGCGTTCTCAGCATCGCCTCGTCCGCCCACTAGATTCGAGTATGTGGTGGCGGGCTTGAGCAACGAAGGGAGCACTCCCCCGCTGATACTCGGATCTAGTATTAGCGCGAGTCCCGAGCTGGGGAAGCTGTTGAGCCGAGCATAGGTCGGATCATTTTCAGGGATGATGTCTGGGAGCGATTCGGTAGACCAGGATGCGGTGATGAAAGCACGCACGAGGGCCAGTGCTGCGAGAGCGTTTTCCTGCATCGCAATTGTTTCAATATGTGTGACAATGTCAGAGAACATGGAAGGTTTCTTGGCGTAGAAAAGGGCGGTTAGGACACGTGCGAAGACACTTTCTGTGAGTGTGCGCTTGGGCTCGGTGCCAACTGTCTCGACCTGGGGATAAGTGATTTCTTCTTTTGGTGGCCCGTGGAAGATAGTTGCAAGCGTCTTCAGCGCATCTGGATTCGTCCTCGTGATGGGCAGGTCCAGAATCACGCAATCATCCCAGACCAACCCTGACGACCGGCGAGGAACGAGGGTCGATCGAGGCATCGAAGCGATGATGTTGAGATCGCGAGCTTCACACTTGCGGATATTCCGATGAACGTAGTTCCGAACGACGGATAAGTCGGGGCTGTTTTCAAAGTTCTCGGGGTAATTGGAGGCATAGTCGCTGATATACTGCGCCGTGCGAGTACTCAGGAAAGAGTGCTCGATGCCTGGGCTGTCTGACGTGTGGAAGTCGATGATGCCCTTGTGGATGCCTTCTTCCTTGACAAAATCTAAGGAAAGACTTGAATCATAGTGTCTAGTGTGTTATCAGTAAAAGTAGGTGCATACAACCTAGTGGGCAAGACATACGTGAGATGTGGTTTTGTCTTGACGGAGGTGATCAACGCGCTGAAGAAGTGGATGAGCGTCATATGCATGAGCATGTCGTCCTCGGTATCCACCATCTTCATCGCAGCATAGTGGAGTAGGCCTTGACCCTCGCGAAGCCCAGCTTCCCGCTCGACATCGAGACCATGTGAGGAGACGACAGCGTTCCAGTCCATGACGCCCACACGAGGAAGCCAAGACAACAGTCTGGCTTGCGCTATGGTCTTGTCACGCTGGTTGAGAAGAGGCAGTGGCGGTGAAGTGAGCTGCTTGGGCGAAGTGTACTGGTAATAAAGAGAAATGATGTCTCGATCGCCAAACAGCCGCCGCCACATGGGACCAGTGCCATATGTGTGAAGTGGAGCTTCGGGCTCGGCTGATAGTGGCTCGTTTTTCGAAATCTTTAGCAGTGCTGTGAGCAGATTCTCCGCCTGAGTTGCTACGCCAGCATCTTGAGCGCATAGCCATAAACGGACGATGGACGACATGACTCCAGGCCTGTTTGCTAGTGCCTGAGCATCGACGCTACTCGCGGTGGCCTTCTCGAGCAATGTAAGTATAAGACTGTGAAATGGGGTGGCCTGCACATCGAGTCCAACTTCAAAGTCAACATCTTTGATGTCGTCGAACCGATATGGCTCAGCTAGCTTGGTAATGAAATGGGTCAGTGCCGACGGATCCTGCTGTAATTTTGGTAGCAAGGCTGCTATTTGCAGGAACAGCGGTCTTGTCTCTTTCCATACTTGGCCTCGATACTCCGGCGTGCTCGTGAAGAGCTCGCATTTCTCGAGCAAGTCTGTGTCCAGCGGAATTGTGGCGTCTCCGTCTACCTCGAGCAGGTGAGCTGAAAGGTCAGTCAGAACAGCGGACGGCGGTGCCATGTCGACCTCTGCGTGAACAGCTTCTGAGGTGGATGGCGTCGTACCAAGTTGCGAGACTGCAGGTAGTGGCGAGAACAGGCTGACTGGAGAAGGTTCTAGTTCAGCTCATGTGACTGCGCGTGAACAACCTAAAGCACGACTATCGCGTCGCAGTATTGTGGGACGGAGTGGGTGCAGCGGTTCGGTTTGCTCGACGTCAATGTCTGAGAGCGGCTTTCGATCTTGGCCTCGCGATACACACGACACGACACGGGGTATTTCTTAGATGTCTAACAAGTCTGGCCATATATTGTACCCTTGCGATGGATGGCGTAGTCGTAGAGGAGGGCAAGGTTTGGCGGGGCGGTGAGGGCAAGGCTCGCTTTTGGTGCCCCACCCGGCCTGGTCAAAGCCAACAAAGCGCGGCTCCAGCTGCTCCAGATAATTTCTGACTCGGTCCGCAGCTTTCCTATAACCACGTCGTCGTCCATGTCCAATTGGCTCTATTCTTCCTCTTGAAGTAACCTCGAGACGACGTCGATCCACGAATCACGCGTAGTCGTTCGCTATGCCGCCGGCAAGAGGAGGAAGAGGCGGGGGTGCTGGAGGGCGTGGAGGGGCCTTCAATCCCGCCCGAGGCACTGTGACGATTGCTGGCACTGAGCTGAACTGGGACTTGACTGGCCTCGACATTCAGAAGGGGCCTGCCGAGCGCTTTCCTGTAAGCTTTTGCATACCTCGCCTTCCATTTGCATAGCTGCACTCGCATATTCGATTTTGGTCATATCATGGTTTCCTGCCGCCATGCCTCGCCAGCCATCAGAGTCGCAGCACACAGCCAGCAGCCTTCACAGCGCGTCCCTGGACCAGCAGCTAAAGCATCAACAGGAAGCCCCCCCTCCCCAAGCCCCTCCACCGACCGCCGACGAGGCTTCCATGGTCCAGCACTACCTCGCAGTACGCGACCGCATACACGAAGGACCCTTCTACACCATTCTGAACGATGGCATGAAAAACGGCCTCAAGAGAAAGGCCAACGAGCATGCGCCTACCGAAACCTCGCTATTCAATCCCTTCACCGATAACCAGACATTCTCCGCAAAATACTTGAAGGTACGGAGACGACTGCCGACGCTGGACGCCCGCCCATATGGTGAGTTGTCATGAACGATGGAGGGAAAGAGCTACAACTCATGCCTCTTTAGTCACCGACCTTTTTCCCACAGAGCTGCGCTCAATCTTAGATGGCGCCAGAGGCGACGGAAACCCCTCAAGGAAACGCAGAACCCTCGGCGTCACCAAAGTCAATGCCGTGTCCCAGATCGAGCGCTTAATCAAGTCGGAACAGAACCGCACCATCGAGGCAGAAGCGCGTGCCGACGAGGACCCAGACGAAGACGCTGATGAGGAAGAATTAGAGGCCGACGACGATAAGCCAGACGCTGTAGACGAGGAGGACAACTGGTCTGCCGCATCTACCGATTCCGAGGAGTCAGATGACGACTACAACGCCGAGCAATACTTCGATAACGGCGAGGACGACGACATCGATGATGTGGACCCCTATGAGAACACATACGAGTAGATTTGGGCATTGGGCAGGCGTTTATGTGGACATTGCATTGCATCAACAACGGCTGGCGTTCGGCTGAGTAGATACCCAATTTTTATTCTTACCAAGTCAAAAGATACGTAGTAACAAATCTTCCACGCACTCTATGTGGATGATTCGAAAAATAGGCCTGGATGGCTTCAGTGACCTATCAGCTACCAAACAATAAGCGTAAATACGCTCAAGTCCCTGGCTTCACTATGCCACAGACATGGATGCTTACTGAGTGCACCGGATGATGTCTGGTACGCCTAGCACCGCAACCATGGGTAAGCTGTCAAATTCTCGCCACACGACTCAACGCTGTAGGAGAGTAATATTCAAGTCTACACACTACTGCGAATTTCTTCCTTCCTACAACTCCAAATCGACTGCCTGCCAAATTCACCAAGTTCACCGCCATTTACCGCCATCGTACCTATCAAGCAACCAACCATGTCCTGTTCACACCCTTTCTATCAAGCCATATTCGAAGATCTCTACCGCCAACCCCCCAAGAAAGGCTTCCTCGTCAAAGCCTTGGAGACGCTAGAGCAGCAGCAACCACAACCCCTCCTGGCCCTCACGTACTTCTTCAACGTGCTGGAACTCGATTACAATCTTGTCGGCGAAACCAACAGCATCCTAAAATTTAGATACGAGCCGCTATCCTGGGGCCTCTACATCACCGGCCCTACCCCCTTGAACAAGCATAGCCTATATCTGCACACGCAAACCGCACCGAACTTGAAGTCGAAGAGAGGAGTAGAAACCGTAGAATTTAAAATGCAAGGCCGGGAAGATTTAGCGGCCGTTGCAAGAAGTGTGATAGAATACTACGATGTTCTCACCGACCAGAGATGTGCTGTGCTGCGGCCTGCTCCTTGGAAAGATGGCGCGCTCTTGCACGCCCTGCGCGATGGCAAAGAAAAGACACTTTACCATCCGCGTTTCGAAGAAGCTGAGCGCGCTGTTATGCGGAGTTGTCTTCTCGATGCGTGCGTGGACTTGTTCATGCCGTTCGGTCTGCAGCCAAGGATAGTCGATGAAAAAAACAAGACAAAAAGAGTAGAGTTCAAGAGTAAACACCTACGAGATGGTATCGAGCCGATTATCTGGATCGACCGACTAGACCACCATTTCGACTTATCGCACCTCGATGATGCCGCTGAGGAGGAGGTGGTGGCACCATCCGAACCGCCGCTTCAAGTTCAACCCAAGGCATTCAAAACTAGCGTTGTAGTCCAAGGCCTGCGCGGAACCCAAGAAGCTGATGCCCTCCGCGCCCTGTATGCCGTTCTCCACGCTGCAAATCTAGACAGCCTCCTGGAGCAATACCCCGGCGACGACTACTTCGATCTACAAGAGGGCCTCGTGTACGATCTCGCCAGCCAAGCTGATCGCATAGCGTTGGTAGAAAGGGTACTGCGCATGCGCGATGAAATGCGGATTGAAGACGACGAGGCGCAAAGTCGGCATGTGTGGCATGGCAAAATGAAAGATTGGGGTGGGAAGGATTGGCGCGCTGGGTTGAGGTTGGATGAGAGGAGGAAGAAGTGCCGGGATAGGGAGAGTCAGTTGCGGTATGAGATTACTCCGGAGGAAATGACAGCGCGGGATGAGGAGAGGGAGAAGAAGAAGGTGTGGGAAGCTGGGTTGCCGGTGGCTGATTTAGAAGATATCGGGGGAGTAATTCTTAACAGTGGGATGAGTGAGCATAGGAGCATTGAGGAGTATGTTGATTCGTTGTTCAAGGAGGCGGGGGTGGATGCGGAGGTTGGAGCTTTTCCGTAGACACTGAGTCTGGAGAAGCTTTATGAAATCTTGATAATGCAGGATGTTCACTTTTCATTCACATTCTATGACTGAGAAAGACTGTTCCAACACGAAGCGAGACATCGCATAATTCCAGTTCAAGCGTCCGTTTCAACTATGCATCTTTTCGAAATGCTTGAGCATATTGTCTTTCCGTGGATAAGCCTTGTCACAGCCGGGATCGAGGCATGAGAACATCGGACGAGATCCCATGGCTAGATGTGTTTGAACATGACGCTTCCAATCGATTTTAAATTTGAAAGAGTTGAAGCATCCGGGGTGGGTGCACTTGTATTGACCTTCATGCTTGCGATGCATGTGACCGCTGGGAGCGAAAATGGTTAGTAAATTGGTAGAACGTGAGATTTGAGACTCACTCCAAATCGCAGGGGTTATCGAAGGTTAAGTTGCAAAAAGTGCACTGAGGGATACCCTGTTTAGCTTCGATGTCCGGATATGTGGTCGGCAGGTGCGCGTTTGATGGCGTGGGAGGATGTAGATCAACAGTGTCAACAACGGAGTTATCAACGGATGCTGTTTCAATAGAATCGGCTGCGCGGTCGCTCGATTTTGTAGGAACAAAATGGTATCCAACAACATCCAGGGTCTGTTCAGATTCAGAACCTGTGGTAGCCTGTCTCTCAGGCTGTGAACTGGGAGCATGCATGACAGAATTGGCGTTGTTCTCGACCGGCCAATAAGATTGCTGCGACATCTTTCAGTCCTGTTACCAGTCTCGGTGTATGTCGTTGTGTGCTTTCAAGGCAATACATGGACTGTATAGAGGTAGTTGATGGAATCGGTGAGTGATGTTGGTTCCCGAGGTCACTACACCAAAAATAGACTTAGACTGGTGCCTATCATCGGCGGCCCGACTGCACCTTTACCGCCAACCATATGTTACTTGTGATATACTATCTCCACCACATAGAATCTGATCTGTCCAGTTGTAATTTTCCTAATCAATTGTCTATTTCCCCTTGGTTTGATTAGTAGTGCCACTTCTCACTGCATCTATCATTGTCACAGACTGGAGAGACCAAAGCGTATTTTGTAAGACTCGAAGAACAAGACTCCTAGCTGTACCACATTGACACCTGGGTAATTTAGACCAATCTGGGATCCTCCTCGTTAGCCTGTCATATTCTCCCTCCGAACATGTCGCATCATGTTATCCTTCCTTGAAAACTCCTTTGGACAGCCTTGAAAGTAGCAGTTAATTGCAAGCGGGTATTCCTTTGAAGAATGGACCGTTCGTATATGACGCTTTAGATCAGCCTTTAGACTAAAGGCTGATTGACCGCAGCCCGAGATGGAGCACTGAAAGCGTCGCTCATGTTTGCGGAATTTGTGCTTGCTACAACATGTGGTTAGCAATATGAGACTATCTCAACGTAAGGTGGGGCTTACTTCAGTTCGTACTGGTGAGAAAATGCGTCTTCACACACTACGCACTTGAAAAAGCCCGTGGCTGCGACTATTGACTGCTGGGTAGATGTTCTTGAGTCATCGCCCGCCGTGGTGAGCGGAAGGTCAGTTGAACTTTCGGATGCTGGCGTGTCTAGGCTATCTGATAAGATGCTTGCGTTGCTAACCGAAACTGGGGTAGAAGGCGTTGATTCAGGTGTTGCTGCGGCTGCAATTGTCGAAGTGTGCAACACACTAACCCTAGCCCTTGATGCACCGTCCGGCGGCGAGGGAGAGAGGTAGGGTTGATGAATGACCGGATTGAGCTCGTGTTCGAAGACAAACGGGGAGAAGAAGGACGAGATAGGAACTTCGTCATTCGTGGTATGTGATGAATGCCGTAGAGGAATGGGATGTCGTGGGTTGCTGTTCTTTCTTGTTCTTCGAGTTCTACATATAAACGTATGCCATGAGTTTAACTGCAAAGACGTGTTGTTGAGAAAGAGGGCGGAAACTCGTCAAGGTTTCCGCGAACAAGAAAAGATAAGAAGAAACGACAGTCCTCACGCCAACCGCCCGGGGGCGGGGCAGCGGGAAAACCTCGATCCTAGGATTATCTCAAGAAGCGAGACTTGTTGGATGTTAGACTGCCATGAAGACCTTTTCATTGGTTATGGGTCTTGTTGAGAAAAGGTTCCGTGAGATGAGGCACCGCCTTATATACTAAGGCATTTGGGAGGCATACCATGAGCCGGTTTGGAGGACTACGAAGGGTCGGCTAGCTGTTCGCTCCGTCGGCCAATCATAGAGTGCAACGCAACAGCCATGCCTCAACATGCAGGCCAGGCTTTCGAGGCTGGCCAGACGCACGAGGCTGAAGTGGTACATGGTCTGCCTCTCGTCTCGGGACTAATGAGTTAGTACAAGTCTAGAGTAATTAGGGTATATATTTGAATAATACAGATTTCTCCTACTGCGTTGTATAATCCGCTCTTGCCAGCGTTGACTTCACTTTCAAAAGGAATTGGGATAATACCTCATTGCTTTACTGGTCGTATCATGTGTGCCTGACAGAGCTCTTAATCAAAGCCTACAAGCTGCCGAATCCGGGGTGGAACCTTTGGCGCTTTCGGCTCTTCGCAAAGACCACTGAGCCACGATGTCGCGAGGAGGGAAGTCTCCTCGTCTGAGACGCTCGAGATGTGCTCAGCTAGACGATCCAAGGTCTCGCTACGGGCGCTAGCACCGCAGGCGTCTTGTAAGTCGGCCAAAACTTGTTGCGCTGACGAGTAGCACAGTTTCCAGCAATTTCCCGTGATCTTGGAAAATGCATGTTGATCAGCAGGGAAGTCTCCCGCACGAAATCGACGCTCGATTTCTTGCTCGTCGTTGGAACTATCTAGGTCTGGAAATACTTCATGGCCCATCATGATGAAGTAGATAACACCACCGAGAGCAAAGAGGTCTGTTTTTATTCTTGCGTGATCTGCAGGTGTCCGGGGTAGGTATGCTTTGGTGGATTCAAGGGACAGACCGTCAAGGAGAATTTCCCCGTCTGCAGAGAAGTGTTGGCCCTGGAAATCGGCCAGCTTGAGGTCAAGTTTGGCGTCCAGCAGAAAGTTATCGTGGCGGAGATCGCAGTGAAGTATTCGTTTAGAGTGGATAAAACGGACAGCTTCTGTGGCTTGCATACACCATGTTACGCGTTGCTCAAGAGATGTGTCTGGATTAGCAGTGAGGTAGTCGTGCAGATTGCCATTTGGAGCAAACTCTAAGAGTAGACCATCTTTTGTCAGACCCTTCGACTGCACAATCCGAGGATGGCGCCCAAGAACACTGAGCATTTTGGCTTCAATCTGAAGTTCTGGATATGGCTTCCCCTGGACTTGCGGGTATTTGAGGACGGTGGTTTCGTCGATTTCTCCGATCCAGCAGTCACCGCCGCGCGCAATAATGCGCTTGACAGTTGGAGGGAGGTATCGATGAATCGTGGTGTAAGAGATATGAGACATTGCGATGATGTGAGTTTGGTATGGTAGTGAAGGATTACAGGTATTACAGAGTGCCCAGAAGAAGTCAAAGCGATAGCCGCGGTGTCACGTGTTTTACAACTGAAGCGGCCGCCCTATTATATTGCATTCCGACTTTAAACAGATATTTTCGATATGTGCCACTGTCCTTCCATTCTCCCTCAGCTTTAAACTTTTATAAAAACAACCTGATCGGGGTCATAAGCGAAAGTTCACGCCCGCGTTAGAGAACAGTAGTTGACTTGCCTTTTCGCTCAGCACTTAGGACAGACGCCACCCTTTTTGGTAGACTTGCCGAAATTCACGTCCTTATACCCCCCACAATCGGGTTTACCGCAGGGAGGCTGAGGGTCATACGTTATAATCACGTGTTTCGGGGTCGCCGTACAGTTGACGTATGATTCTGTGTAGACGAATCGAGAGCACATTTCGGGTTGCCTTGTTTTGGAATGGCCTGTTGTGTGAGATGATGACTGAATGACGAAGAAGAATGGATTATGGAATGACGACTGATATTGCTTTGGGTTGCTGATGCTCTTTATCTTATCGCATCATGATATAACTCGAGGAGTTCCAGCGCATCTTAATACTGTGCCGCAGCTGAGGATGGAACCAGAAGAAGCTGTAGAGGGTAAATACTCAAGTGGTTTTAGGATAGTAGCCTTCTTTTCCGCCCATAAATTTCTCGATCGGGACCCTGCGCTAACACGTTGCGAAGCTGAGAGTCATTTACGTCTTTGTCCACATGATGCGCACGCACGTGTCTGAAAGTATTAGAACATCCAATGGTGTGGAGGTAGGATCCATGATCACTTACCGATAAAGAGAGTCTGGCCGTGGATATCTGTGTTCACTGTCTGGGCAGAAGGGGCATACATAACCAGGGGCACGATGGATCGGTTCGTAGCGTAGCATCTCACTTTTCCTCTTGGACCCTTCTCTTGCCTTTGCTTCTGGGATATCTTGGCCTTGACTGGTATGGACATTTGCATGCGAGCTAAGAAGCGTTAGATTCATAGTTGTGCTAGGTGGTGGTAAAGTTACTTCAGAATATATTGAGTCTGAAAAGGCGCTGCATTACAGCCAGGATAATCGCATCTGAAGTCGCCAGAGCCCCCAGGCGGAAGATGGGGAGGCAATCGACGCGGCGCTGTGGTATTGTGTGTTAGCTTGCGAAGAAAGTCTCTCATAGGTAGAGAGTTACCACTGAGTTGCTCTGCAATGTCGTATTCATTTTGTTCGCGCACTTCGGCTTCAATAGCGGCGCCTTGTTCATTGATTGGTAGAGCTGCAATCCGAGCTGCTTCTCGCTCCCTCTGATCATTCTCTCGTTGATCCCGAATATTACTTCCGAAAGAAGAATGAAGATCTGGTGGATAATTATTGCTTAGCTTTCCTGATGGTAAGGTGGTGGTGCACACGTGACTCATACCTTGAGATCCGAGATTAGGTTTCTTTCCTCTGATGCGATCTTTGATCCAGGATATGATCCGGTCTACCGCGCCGAGATGTCGAATGCGGTTTAATTCCAATGGTCCATGGTCGCTAGGAGCGGGGACAAGAGCATTTTGGTTGGCCGTAAAAACCTTCAGCTCTTCTAGTGAATCCTCGCCAACAATAAGGTCGTGAGCCAAACCTTCAAGTACGAAGAAGTCAACTTTTACAGTGCTTTTAAGGTCTAATATTGATTCCGATGTGGCGCCAGACCCGACTGACAGTCCAGCAGATATGTACCCGGTAGTGATGGCAACGCTGCCATCCGCCAGTTCGATCGCTTCTTTTACGGGATAAATTGCAAGGCCACGTTCGAATGCAAATATTGGCGAAATCAGATCAATCTCGGACCCGGAGTCAGGGGTTGCTAATGTATCCATGTGGTCCAGCTCACAGCTCATCAACTTCCGTGGTCTACCGACGGAGCATACGGAAAGAGCCTGAAAAGCAGGCCTTGGGACCCGTACAAGTCTCTCTCGATGCTCAGTCATCGTCTTTGTTTCTTCTAAGAAGCCCATGCCCATGATGATGGGCGTTGCAACTCTGAGCAGAACATAGAAGATACAGGTCATTGAGACCGAAAGTTCGGATTCGACGCCGAATGAACAGGAAGACTCGATCTGACCTATAGCTTCGACGATTTTTCCATTGGCTAGCTCGAATTCCTTCGTCTCTGGACATGTTTCATAACTCGTGTGGCCTAATGCTTTCGCAAGTTCGTCGGATATGATGTTCACATCGGCACCTGTATCCGCGCATGCTAACACTGTAGCAAGAACACCTTGTGTGTTCAATGTGATAGGCAAACCTAACCGAGTTCTTCTAGGCTTGTGTGCTCTACGAGGAGTAGAAGGGGAAGGTGGTCGTGGTGGGGACAGTGGCAGGGTTAAAGCTGGTCGATGATTGTTGATGAATGGATCATCATCCATTGAGTCGAAGCTATTCGTGCTACTTCTGTTAAGTCGGGGATCCATAAGATCAGACATGCCGAAGGAGAGGGGGAAGTGGTGGGTCCGCAGACTTATCCGCGAATTGTTGTTTTGTTACCTTACGTGCCGGGAAGTCCTTGTATAGATGTTGTCGCGCGAGCAGACCATCCCCTTCGTACTCAATCTGGGTGAGAGCCTAATCGAGTATGAGCAACATTTTTTTTTAAACATGATTGAGTTCATACCAAAGGAGCCTCATGATAATCTTCAGGAAGCCATAAAGGGTCAGACAGGGGTGGTGTTAAGCTCGGTCTAAAGGGAACAAGTCCCGGAGATGCTGGATAGTAATCTTCGTCGCTGAAGTAGCTCATTTTTCCAGCGTACTTGAAGCGCAGATCGCTTTCTGTTGAAATCTCAAAGTGCAGGCGATGTTGATGGAGTTAACATGTGCTGCTCAGTGAGCGATGGTGGGGCTATCACCCAGCTCAAGCTACTCGCTCCCTCACCAATCGAGGTGTGTCAGCGCATGCTCAGCCTACTGCGCCTTGCTAAAAGGCTGTGAGCTCTCACCGGTCGTTATTCGTGGGACGATGCCTCGAACAAAACTCGACGTTGAATCTAGGAGCTATCATTTGCCTGGATATCCATCTCTTGCAAACTTCATTGCCAGCGACCGAGATCGCACAACCCTCATATACAAGCGCTTCGATGAGTTATCTGCACGGAACCTCCTTTACCTACAAAGCGAGCTTGCTGAGCTCCAAGCGCGGCAACAGAACTTTGATCAAGAAGATCGAAAAGCTGACTTGCCAACAAAACAATGCGCCCGGAATTTCGCATGTTTCGAAGAAGCAGCGTCTGCGGCACAAAATAATGCAAAGCAAAAAGCGAGATGGGAACTGATGATCCAAATTAGACAGACGATTAAAGAATACCGTGAAGCCTTGTTCTGCGAAAGCACATTAGCATCTCTTCCGCCGCCTTCAAAGGGCGTCTTACGTGCCTTCAAGAAAGACTTTTATGACGTAAGTGACGGGAGAGGTGAGGCCTTTCCTACACTCGGCGGAAACAGCGCTGGACTATATGATGATATCGACGACCTCGTTGCGTTGCGGGTACAGGAGAATCCAGATCGGTTAACAAACTTCGCACAAGAGCACATGGGCTTCCTATTCCCGGTAAGTAAGGCAACTTGAGCTGAAGAGAGGTTTGCTTTGACGTTTGAAAAATGGTAGAATCAGTAAGATGGTCGTCGACACTGACAGAAGCCCCACAGGACCGCAAACGATCCAGAACCAGTATAGCATACGCCTCGGACCGCGCGATCAGCTCCTTCATAGCGTGGTTCAGCACCTTCCTAGCAGCCCTCCTACTCATCGGCGCCATCGTGGTGCTGTACAAGGTGCGCTCGCCAGACTGGAGACTGGGATTAATCGCGACGTTTACGAGTCTTTTTGCTAGCAGCGTTGGGTTATTGACCAACGCTCGGCGAGCGGAGCTATTTGCAGCGACAGCGGCGTAAGTACAATGGCAAGTCTCGTTAGAAGAAGTACACTAGTTGACTCGTGATTATACGTGTAGATATGCAGCTGTTCTCGTGGTGTTTGTGAGTGGTGACCTGGGCAATGATCAGTCAAGTAGGAAGATGTAAGGGCCTGGGCTGTAAAGGGGTATCCATAATATTCTCCATCCGTATACCAATAGCTCACTCTATGTGTTCGCATATTATATCGTACACCTCTCTTCAAACGCTGTCCCTCGAGCCCACAAAACTCTCTCTCCTCCCCCAGTTCCGTGGCTGCCTCTTCAAGAACGCGCCTACACTGCCCAAGTAGCCCTCGTGGCGGAGGAAGTAAGCCTGCTTATTTCCCTTGGACCAGAAACGGATGGCGTAGGATAAGGTGTTCATCGTTTGTGCATGCCCGCCGATAAATGAGCCCCCGAAGTATATTCGTGGTAGACCATGTTTTTCGGCGTGTAGATATGCGATCTGGCCAATGTTGTTGGACACGGCATAGAGAAGGGATCTTGAAATGTCTTCTGGTCGGAATGAACCGGGTCCATGCGGTATTTCCGATGCTCCCTCGACGTGCTCTGCCTCTTCGCGCAACTTCAGGTCGCCGTTGCAGCCATCCTCTGCATCGCGCTCTGCTGCGCGCTTCTGCTTGTACACTTTACCAAACGAAGATGCGATATGTGTGCTCTTCAGGCCAATCTTGTTGTACGCTTGTCCGTAGATGTCGCCAACGAGCAAGTCGACGGTAGAATTATCGCCATTCTCTGCAAGCCGTAGCATGTCTTCAAAGCTTCGTGCGCCCGTAAGCAGTGACAGAAGACCCCAGAGTGTTCCACCTCCTAACGATGTACCGCCAATACGCTCAAACTGTCGGGGACCAGAGACTTTGATCATAGAGACACCGGATCCGATGTTGACGAGGAGATAGGGGTAGATGTTTGGTGGACTTGGTGGATGCGGCATAAAAGTTACGGGGTTGTCTTCGCTGTATGTGAATACTTCGTTCGGTATTTCGTTGATGAAGAAGTCGAGCCCTGTAGATAGTCCATGTTAGCAAGTCTTTTCGCTGCTCTTTAAATAGCTGTTCTGCCGTACCTATAATGAGGCACTCCATCTCGTCTTCCCGAATGACCTCTACACCCAGCGCTTCCGTTATCCTATCGTAGTACTTGAATGCACCACCACCCGTCGCCATGACGCAAAGCTCCTCTGATATGGTACCATTGTTTTGTTTGTGATCGGCCTGCAGCTTGCGCATGAACTCGATGCAGGCGCCTATATTGTCCGTCTCGAACTTGAGGAAGTTGAGTCGGCCACCAATCGAGTCGTCACCGGGTTCGCGCGAAAAGTAGACGAGCTTTGCGAGAGAGCCTCCAATCTACACAGCAACAAACGCGTTAGCATATTTCCCGTTGGTTGAAAGAGGGGTGGAGGGGTGCTTCATTGGTCGTCGCGTGCGCAACCAATTAAGCACACGACCACCAATTGGAGACGTACATCGACAGCTACATGGCTCACGATGGTTGTGTGGTTCGGCAGCCTGATGTCCTTTGGATCGTGCTCGTAGTCTTCGCTCTGTGGTGTTCCCGGCTGCTCCTCGTCGACGATGAAGGCGCCCTGGACATTGATCCTCACATTCCCCGGGTGCAGAATGTCCTGAATGTCATTGCTCTGCACGGTAGTCCGCCTGGGCCGGCCGTATTCCGGGGTTGACGATGTATCTGCGGGTTGGGGGCGCGATGCGTTGTTGCCGGTTTCTCCCGTCGCGGGGTCCAGGTTCGCAACTGCAGGCGGCTGCGACATGGACGCGGAGGAGGAGGTGCGAGGTCTTGGCTGCAGCCTTGCCCTCTTGCTACGACGGCGCACGCTCTGCGGTCGTTTGGCGATGTACTGGTGGTGTCGGTAGGACTGAGCGAAAGGCGAAATCGGCAATGAAGATTCTGCTGATAACCCTGACGACCCTTCCATTTGCCCGCTTTGTGCTGGTGCTAATGCCGGGGGGAAGACGTGATATGAAGTTCTGCGCAGAATAGAGCCCAACGAGGTCAACAGAAAACTTGCTGCTCCATGTGAGCGCGAAGAAAAGGCATAAGATGGGGACTTAAGTGCTCCATTCTCGGCGAAACGGAGTATGGATTGGAGCTCGTGATGCTTGTGGATACCCGATATCGTTGGAGGTGTTAAGCTCGGCAACTTGCCAGAGGATGTAGGGGAACCCGAGGGAATGACCTGGAGAATTTGTGGGGTTTGGACAGTGGGTAATGGCCGGTAATTGCACACCAATTCAAGCAATCAAGGTCTCTAGGAGTCAGTTTCTTCTTCAGCAGTTCAAAGGAACGATCGCATGCTTGGTTTCAGCTGTAGCAACCTGTAAAGTGCCACTACTTCTACTCTCGGTATGAGCCCACGTGCGCAAATGCCAAAATCTCGTCAAGTGCGTCATGAGCTTTTGTATCTTTAAATTACGCGAAGCAGAAATGTACAAGTCGTCGAAGTCCTCACTCTGTTCCACCCGACCAATGTTCGCAAGAATACGCCTTGCATGTGCACGCAGGTACCTGCGTTAATGACGTCGTGTGCTCGTAACCCTCAATTCGCGAGCTTCAATTTCACGAACCCCTTCCGTTCTGCACGATCAATACCAAGTTCCCATCGACTGCCGCATCCCAGTAACTCATACATTCCACGTACATCAACTTCACACTTTAGCACAATGTCGTGGATGGACTCCTGGAGCCGTCCGAGCAAGCATGCCGTAACCCCACCACCTCTCTACCTCACAGTTGGCGACACCGTACCCTATTGCCATAGCTGTGGGCGCGTAATCGGCGAACGAAGAAAGCAAGGCGCCACAGAAGTCAAGTACTGCTCAGCGCGATGCAGAAACAGTAAACCGGGACCCATTGATCGCAAAGTCGAAGCTGCTTTCGCCGCGCTGTTGGACGGGAAGTCTCCTGAGGAGCTCAGAGATGGTGAGGCTGTTAAGGAGCAAGAGAAAGGAAGTGTAGATGAAGCCAAGGCAAAGAAGCACGGCAAAAAGGGCTCAAAGTCAGTGAAGAAAGGGGACCATAGAATTATTGTAGACTGTGGCACTGTTGAAGAGATTGTGTTCGCGAGAGAGAAGGATCCAGAGAAAGTTTACGGACGGCGCAAGAATCGGAAGGCCCGTTTTGTTGTCGAGAAGGAGGAGGATTGGCGAAGTGTAGATATGGTTGACGAGCCGGCCACATCAGCCAACCCATCCGCCTCGACAACACTATCAGGAAAGCCAGCGTCACAGCCACCACACGAGTTCACCAGCGACTCCGAATCACTCTCAGAGTCAGATGGCGAGCAAGAAGGAGGCGTCGTCTTAGAATCCACGTCAACACCCACTCACGACCAGCATCCCGACGAAGTAGCCTATGGCTACGGCTCTGGCAAAATTCGCCCACCACAATCGCAAAACGACGTCAACGGCAGCGTCGGCGGCGAAAAAGGGTGGGCGGAACGAATCGAGGAAACCGATGAGATGAAAGCCAAGCGGCGCGAGGGACAGAGAAGAGCAGTCGAGCGGGAGATGGTCCGGAAAGCAGCGAGGAGAGGATGTGCGTTTGGGTTTATCGTTGAAGGCGAGGAGGCAAAGAAGAAGTGCGAGGCGGTCATGAAGGGTGTTGTTGTTGAGGCGAGTTTCGCCAAAGGCGAATGGGGAATACGGTGGCGAGAGAAGATTTAACAAAGTTGGCTTCGAGAGAGCGATCATATCATAGGACCGGAAATGACTAGTAGGATTAAACGCCAAACTAGCCTGGGTATCAAAGAATAAAAAAAGCCAAGAAGAAACCTCCCACTATAACGCCCGTGCTGGCTCTTCACGAGGCTCCAAGCACGCAAATCACCACGTAAAGTTATTGGCAACCAGCAGTTTCCCATACTTGGTCGTAGGCTTGATGATATTCTGAAAGCCAGGCCTCAATCCCGTTCCAGATCTACACAGTGTTAACAACCGTACCATCTCACTTAGTACAAAAACTTACCTTATCATATTGTAAGCCATCGTCCTCGCCTTGTCTTTTAGATCAACCTGCGTCCGACCCTCTAGGAGTCGTGCATGCTTATCAACCTCCAATATCGTTGCATATCTCGAAGGATACATGGCCATATACTTAATAAGAGCTTCTTCCTCTCCCTCTGTCCATCTTGTGCGAGCTCGCTGTGCCTTCTGCGCTAGTGCAACGCGGCTTTCTTCCATTGCTCGAAGGCGGGTGTTTTCCAGCGCTAGACGGCGCTGTGCTGAGTACTTGGGAGGTGCGTCTATGGCCATGCTGGGGGCTTCGGCTTCAGACTCGGATTCATCTTGTTCTAGTCGTTTCGGGGCGTAGTCGTCGTTTACATCGTGTCGTGGAGGAGGTTGGTGGCTAGTCGGTGCACCGCCCGAAGAGCTCAGATCGATGCGGACCTTCTTTGCCAAGGGCGCTTTCTGACGCCGCTCCTGGACGCGAGCACCGCGCTCCTCCGTCTCAAAAGCGTCATCTTCCGAGTCCACATCGTCGTCGTCTTGACGCGGCCGCTTCTTCGGCGAAACTTGGGCGGGTTGTTTGCCCTTTGCCTTGTTAGAGGGGCCTGGAGTAGGCTGAGACTCGTCAAATCCATTGCCAAACTCGACGCGCCGAGCAGTCGCTTGTCGTTCGAATAACGCCCCAGGTCGGTTTTCCTTCTGCGGTTTGGAAGTAGCCTTCATGGCCCTAAGCATTGCCGCGGAGCTTGTCGGTGGACCTGATGCCTCGGGTTCCTCGACCTGCTCTTCCACCTCTTCGATCTGATCCTCTTCCCCAAAGACGGGCTGGTAATCGTCTTCCTGATTCTCAACCGTTGCCGATTCTTTCAGGGGTTCCTCGACTTCTTCTTGAATGCTCTGCTCCTGCTGGCCTTCTTGCGTGGAGCCAAGCTCAAAATGCACCCCAGAGTCGCGTTCACGCGCTTTCAACGCGTCAATTGTGCGGAGATCCACTGGAGCGTTCGGGTCGAATTTGCGGCTACTACGTCTTCTTTCTCGGCCGAGCGATGCCCGCTTCTTTCGAGGCGTATCTCGCGCACCTGAAGGTGCTCTGACCTGTCTGGTAACAGGTTGAGGCTCTTCGATTGCTTGTTTCACATTCTGCACAATTGCTGTAGGCCCACCAAGTTCGTCAATCGCAGCATAGAGCTCTCTGTGGCGCAGACGCACCCAGCCCAGTAACCGCAGAATAGTCAGTTCCCAAGGGAAATCCTTGCTCAGGCCCTCGAGATTGACCACCTGTCCACGCTTTCGTGACTCGCCATCGACTACAAAGAACTTTCTTATCTCGTTCAGACGTTGCACAACGCTGTTTTCGAATTCCTGTGGTAAAGCCGAATCATCTCCTCCGAGCGCTGGAACGTTCCATCCACGTATCACCGAGCCGTCTGTTGCTTGTGAAGAGTCTGAGCGGTAGAAGACTTCACTAATCACCGCATCGGGATTGAAAGTGCGGGCATCGATCGATCGTTCTAGTACTAGAATGAAGAGTTGTGTTCGCAGGTCTAGTGCCAGATCAAAGGTCTCCTCGCGCAACGCACTTTCGCCCGCGGCTGTTGGACTTATTCCGAGGACGAGCGAGTGCACGAATTGGCTTGGAAATGAATTATCCAGTTGTCGAAGCGCATCCCACATTTCCTTCGCATTTCGGTCGGAATGTATCATATTCTTTGCAAATACGAGCAGATTGGTGAGATGCAATATCAAGTCCAAGCCGGTTTGTTCCGCAGCTACGTCTTGACTCACTCCAAACAGCGCACGATGAACGGCCCGAAAATGGATGTAGTTGCGCTCCTCATCCTTGAAGTGCTTCAGGTGTACGTCTAGCTCTAGGTCAAAATCTCGGTATTCTTCAGTGAAGTCTGAATCTGGCTTCTGAATCTCGTGGATGTTGTGCATATCATAATGCATAGTACCGTTGTCGGGCGCAAGATGCTCCAGAAACTCGTCCGCTGATTCGCACAATTTGCGTAAGTGCTTCAAGATGTATTTCGGCTCTAGGAATTCGGCTTCGACCATACTGAAGGAGGATATCGCGGTCGTGCCAGACATTTCGGATGCTGCGCCAGGCGAGGGATACGGCATAGGATTCTCGGATTGGGAGCCAGTAGGTGTTCCTGGGGCTTCGTCGAGGGCGACTAGAGTGTCTATCTCCTCAACCGTGGTGAGGTCTGCTGCCACAGTTAGCGATGGAACCCACGTTACGAGAGGGCCACCGTTCGCTTGCGTACGAATAGCGTGCGAATTGATGACGCGCGACTACTGACCTGCCACTGGCTCTTTCACGGGTCTTCGCTTTGTTCGGCGCGCCGCGTGGTCTCCATGATCGCTTTCTTCGGTTATAGTGGTAGTAACGCTGGCCTGTCGCGCACTTTGACGGGTCGGCTTCTGCACATGAGTGATGTCCTCAGCGTCGCGACTGGCGCTACGCAGTCTTTTCGCCCGAGATATTGGTCCCACCTGCGAGACGGTTGTCTTGGATGGCGGTTGCGGGGTGGGTGTTTTGCGCCGGGTCGCAGACCGCACGCCTCTGCGGTCAGCCATTGTAGTCCCAGCGAGCGCGTTTCTTCTAGTTGGTATTGCATGTGACGTAGGGCGGAGCGGACACAGCGAGCATAGCGAAGAGTGGTGATGGAATCTGTGGACGATGTTTGTTATGGTTTCGGTGATGGATGACTAAGCGCCCATCGTCAACGGGCGTTCACGTGAGGAGGGAGCTGCTCGAGCGCCCTTGCCGTCTTCCGGCTTAGCGCCCCGGCTGTGGGTCTGGCCAGCCCAGGCGCAAGGAGAAGGGGCAACATGGGAGCATCCGAAGAGCGAAGCCTTTGAAATACGAGAGTGTTTTGGGTGCAAAGACGGAACCTCGAGGCCCCCGTCAACTTGTCCACACCATTCTCACACACTCTTTTACAGCAACCCCTTTATTAGCGCCTGTGTGCCTGCGTGGCCCTCAATATATTACGAATCGCTTGCCTGCACGTACCCCTTGCGCGAATCTCAGTAATCCGCATCCAACTTTGACACCGCAAACACCAGAGTTGCCCATCACACACACCCGAGAGCATAACCTTCGACGCATGTGCCTACACACCTAACACCCCGACTGTGCTTGGGTTATCATCACGCCTTTGCATCTATCCGTTCCTTTGATACCCTTAGAGTTGGCCATTGTCGACTGTGAAGTTATACCACACCCCGGCTCACATTCCCATCACCGTCACCATGAGGTTACGGCAATCACGGGTGCATACCCTTCTACTTGTCCTCCCCGCGTTACGGGCCCTCGCTGCCTCGATCCCAGTAGACACAACCGATAAGCCTCTCGCACGAGCAGCTGTGCCCGCATACGCCGACGTCAGCTCCCTTCCTGACCCTTCGCTCGCGCCCGCGGCTCCAGGCTCAAAAGGCACAAAGGATGCGCCAGTGGATGGACTCGATGGGAAACCTCACGCGGGGCCATACGTGGACGATACCCCCACATCACACGACAAGAAACCCAACGTCGTCGAGGAGCTGCGCCCGGGCAAAACGCCTGTTAGCTCACACAAAGATTCAACAACGCTGGTAGGAGAGGACAGCGTGCTGGATGGAGATAAGAGTGTGATGCAAGATCCAAATAGAAAACTGGCCACAGGCAGCACGGGAACGGAGGGCGGAGTTTCTGCAAAAGACAAGGAGCGTCTGGCACACGAGGAGAAAACAGGCGAGAAGATGGAGAAAGTGCCAGAGTCGCCCAAGGAAGCCCCACCACTACCTCACGCCGACCAGAAGCAGCTGGGGGATGTGCCGACCACAACCACTACCTCGCGTGTACTGGGTGCGGTTGGGCTGGAGGTGAGTTGCGATGCCACTGTGCACACGAGACCTGTGACTGACCAGACTACAGAAACCCACCGGCCTCCCTGACACCCCTCATGACGTCCCACATCCTGTTCCAGGCTTGCACGATGACACAGACCCGCTAGACACCATACCCAAGACGAAGACACCCGCGTCGTCAAAACCCGATGAGGACGTTGGCGGTGGTGTCATTCAACCCTTCCACTCTTTCGTGCTCTCATTTACTATGATTATCTTCTCAGAGATCGGAGATAAGACCTTTCTTGTTGCTGCCCTCATGGCTATGCGACACCCCCGACTACTGGTCTTTTCGGCCGCTTTCTCCGCTTTGGTTGTCATGACCGTCCTTTCTGCCGTCCTGGGCCACGCCGTTCCCGCGCTTCTCTCCGAACGCTTCACTCACTTCGCCGCCGCTGCCTTGTTCCTTGTTTTCGGTGTCAAGCTCATTAGGGAGGGTCTTGCCATGAGTCCTAATGACGGTGTGGGTGAAGAGATGCGGGAGGTCGAGCAGGAGCTTGAAGAAAAAGAGCAGCTTGCCCGCCACCAGAAAGGTCGTAGAACCTCGTCCATTTCACCGTATGCGCTCGAGTCCGGCCGCGTGCGACGCTCAAGATCGAACTCACGGCTACCCGCACCAGCCCGTAGCCCTTCAACATCGCCGGATCGTTCCCCGTCACCGAACCGGTCCTCCGTAACTGGCGCCATGGGTGGCCTAAACAACCTCTTTTCCTTGCTTCTCAGCCCTGCGTGGGTACAGACCTTCGTTATGACTTTCCTTGGTGAATGGGGTGACCGCAGCCAGATCGCTACAGTTGCCATGGCTGCTGGCTCTGACTACTGGTGGGTCACTGGAGGTGCTGTTGTCGGACACGGTCTTTGTACTGCAGGTGCTGTTATTGGTGGCCGTGCCATTGCTGGACGGATCAGCATGCGCAATGGTAAGCAGAAGCTCCCCCTTTCACGTTTCGCTATCAAAGCTAACTTATATTAGTCACGCTTGGTGGTGCGATTGCCTTCCTCGTCTTCGGCGTCATCTATTTACTCGAGGCCTTTTACCATGAGTGAATATAGCAAATCACAGCATTGTACGGCGCTCTTGGTTGGTAGTTGGCTTGTTGATGTATATGTTGTAATTCAGTATACACGCGAGCTCTGCATGGGTTGACTCTTTCAATGTAATACTAACTGTACTCGTGGCTCGTTGTAGCACGCCCAAAAAAGTTCGCACAGGAGTTCATGGATTGCATAGCAAGGGGTCTATGAAATAAGGAAGCGGTACATCATAGTAGATCATAGGCGTGGTTTCGCCACGAATTGGTTTTAGCCATCGTCTTCAATTTAGACTTGATGAACAATTGATGTGGTTCGAAACAACCCCGATGCCCAATTTGTGCATGCTCAGTGTACTATATCATTTCCGCCTTGCAGTCTATTATGATTCCCATTCTGCGTATGATCTTCCACACTCTTTTTTAAATCTAAAACTGTTGCGCAATGCGTTTCCGCTGGTGTTTGGGCGAATGTAAGCCGATTGGTCAGACTACAGCCTCGCCTGTGCGCTTATGCCTGTCTGTGATCGCCACGGAAGGCACTAGCCCTTGCAGTTCCTCAAGCATCAATAGCTGTACTCTCACGAACAATAGTAACTCTTCATATACCACCACTTCTCGCCCAGCCCCACGAAGTACTCACCGTCGCACCCATTTAGGACTGTACTATTGTACTCCAACCGCCTTCCGAATTTCAGTCGTTAACGAACACTCGAAGACGCTATAGTCACCTCCACCCACAGCGTTCGCTTCCTACATCGAATAACAGGATACGCAGACATAGCGCTCTAAGCATCGGGGATGGTGTCGACCGCTGTCAGCCCTCTACCGCCGCATCGCGAGCCTCCGAGACCACCTCCACCCGCGGTTGCAGAAGCCGAGCAACAATGGATATTCACAGAAGAAGAGCTGTTGCAAGCGCCGTCAATAGCTGACGGTATGCCGGCTGAAGAAGAGCGGACATTGCGGCGGAAGGGCGTGAGCTTTATTCTACAAGTGGGCATGATGCTGAAACTACCACAAACGACACTCAGTACTGCCGCCGTGTTCTTCAACAGGTACCTGATGAGGATGAGTTTGAAACCACGGCAGGGGTATAAGCCATTACACCACTATGTAGGTTCTCGCCTCAGAGCGCAGATAAAAGGCTATGTCTGACCATAATAGCAAATCGCTGCGACTGCGCTATTCCTTGCAACAAAAGTCGAAGAGAACTGCCGCAAGATGAAGGAGCTCGTCGTATCATGCGTCCGCGTCGCACTCAAGGACCCCAACAAGCTCGTCGACGAGCAAACAAAGGACTTTTGGAAATGGCGGGATACGATCCTGTACAGCGAAGACGTCCTTCTGGAAAGCCTGTGCTTCGATCTCAACGTGGAGTCGCCATTCAAAACAATGTACGACATGATGAAGTATTACGCCGTGGAGCACAATAAGAAGCTGCGAAACTCCGCCTGGGCTTTCTTGTCCGACTCTACGTCTACACAAATGTGCCTGCTGTTCACATCAAGGACGATTGCGGCGGCGTCTCTGTACGCCGGCGCACGGATGGCGGAAGTTAGCCTAGGAGAGGATGATGGGCAACCGTGGTGGGAGGTTCAGCACGTCACGCTACGCGATATTAGGAGAGCGTGTAATCTCATGGCGGATCTGTACGAGAAGTCGCCAGACAAGGACGGAGAGCCCTCCATGTATGCCGGCCTACGGACGCCCGAGGACGGTATCGATTTCGGACATACTCCGAGCATGGAAGGCATGCCAAGTACGGTCCCAGAGCAGACGCAAAGTCAAAGCCAAAGCCAACCCCTGGCTAACGGCACTGGAACTGGCGGTGCGACAGAAAGGGGAAGCGAAGAGGGCGAATTAGATGGCTAGGACCCATTGGACGGCTAGGATCCTTCTCTACTAATTTCTTCCGAGCCACATTCGTCTGAACCGATCTCGCCTATACCGGTGTATTTTGAACTGAACCGTTCTGAACCGAACTCCCTCCCTTCTGAAGCGATCCCTTCTGAGGCGTTCTATTCTGAACCAAACACCTCCCTGTTTTCCTCACCTACTCCTACTCCGCGGCAGAAGAATAGCCAAAACCTCGACATCTCTAGCCACCGTGCTTCTTCCGAGAAGCGTGAATCGTCATTACCGTACCTTACAGACGACAGCGGCTACTCGTTCGGATCAGACAACGGAGTAACAGATACACCGCCAACGCCAGGAGCCGAGTTTTTTTGATTGGTTATTCACTTTATTGATCACGCACCGTTCACAGTGCAAATGGGAGGATTGGCGTTTGGTGAAATGGTCCACGGAAGATACCATTGGGTCCATAGGATTCAAGACACTATTATTTGGTCGTAGCATTACGTATGTAGTTAATGAAATTATCGCGATTGGTTTTTTACACCATCGCTTCTTGTTGTTTCGGGGTGCTCATTGATCTGAACTGATGTGACAGGTATGAGAGCTTAACCACATTATGAGCACCCTTGGAATATTCTATGATAGTGCGGGTTACTTCGAATGCCCTCTTCATACATTTGATAGACGCATTTGGTCCGTAAACAATCGTCCTCCAAGACATGTAGTGCTTTCCAGCCAATAATCTGCACGGACGCACGAAGCCGAGGCACAATTTCCCTCTCCCATGTGCTACTATTCTCAACGTCTCCACTACGATTTGCCACTTACCAGTCCTTCGACTCTTGTTTTCTGCTTTAGTTCATGTAAATACTGTCTTTAGCATAAGTTGTTTTTCCTGTCTTCACACTATATCACGGTGTTTCTATTGCGGCGTCCCATCGACAGTCTGGGCATTCCCGCGGAGTCGAAAACCACCAATATGGAATCCTCACCTTCAGCAATATTAAAACTCCTCCTACCAAAGACGCCCTTTATTTTGAAGACTGCGTTATGGCATACTCTTGGTCTAGCGCCTACGTCCTCAAAATGGGATCTCAGGACCGAAATCACCATCAATGTTTTGCGAGAGATGGTGGGGCCCAATTCGCCCGGGTCGACTATTACGAAACTGCAGCGTTTGACGACCAAGGATCCGGGAGTCAAGGGGAAAGTCTGGGTAGCCAAGGTGAAGCTAGATGTACCAGCGGAAGATGACATTCGGCAATTGATGTTCAAAGCAATTGAGGAGATGGGCACGGGTGAAGAGCAATGGACGAAGCCTGATGCGAAGCCGTTGGAAGGGGAGTGGAACGGTTATAGAGCTGGTGCACGAGATGATGAGCCTGAACCGACTGGCCTGAGCGAAAAGGAGAAGTACGAGCACCTATTGAAAGAAGCGAGCAGTAAAGTCACCATCCTGTACTTCCACGGCGGAGCAATGTATCTTCTGGACCCGGCTACTTACCGCGCAACGACCTCTCGACTGGCAAAAGAAACGGGCGGACGCGTCTTCAGCGTGCGATACAGACTGGCGCCGCAGAACCCATTCCCCGCCGCCCTCCTCGACGCCTTCACCGCATATCTAAGCCTTCTCTACCCCCCACCCGACGCGCCCCACGCACCCGTTCCAGCAGCCCAAATCGTCTTCGGAGGCGACTCGGCGGGTGGCACATGCTGTACCGCGCTCCTGCAGCTCCTCCTTCAAATCCACCGCTCCACGCCGGCCGGACAAACACCATCCGTTCTCTTCCACGGAGAAAAAGTTGCGATCCCCTTACCAGCCGGCGTCGCGTTGACGAGTCCTTGGATCGACATTTCACGCAGTCAGCCATCCATCGAAGAAGCTGTTACATATGATTATCTCCCGCCCCCGAGCCAGACGGACAAGCGAGACTTTCCGAGATGTGAAGCGTGGCCGACGGATCCGCCGCGCGCAGATTTGTACTGTGAGGGAAGTGCGCTGCTGCACCCGTTGGTGTCGCCCTTGGCAGCAGGGGATTGGCACGCGAGTCCGCCGCTGTTCTTCTCTGTAGGCCAAGAGATGCTCAGGGATGAAGACGCCGTGCTGGCGAGACGTGCTGCGGCGCAGGGCGTACCTGTCGTGTGGCGAGAGTTCGAAGCGATGCCGCATTGTTTTGCTATGTTGCTTGAAGGGCTGAAAGCTGGGCATGTACATTATGAAGAGTTTGGCAAGTTCTGCAGAGAGGTTGTAGAGGGAAAAACGGTAGAGACTAATGGCGAGTTTATCGTCGCGAAGACTATGGTTAGGAGAGATGCTGATGTCAAGACTGGACTGACTGAGTTGACGGATGAGCAAGTTGTTGAGTATATGCAGAAGGGGAAAGAGAGGATTGAGAGGAAGACGAGGAAGGGGGAGGATGCTAGTGCGGAGTCGAGACCAATGCTTTGATCAAGTAGCATATACTAAGTCTTCGTAACCAATGAACTACAGCGACGACATCACAACACAGCGAACTTCAATGCTCTCCCTCAACATGGATTCATTCTCTGACACGGAATGATTGAAAGATGAATGAGCACAGCGTGCGCTATGCAGCTTGCTTTCTTCGTCCATCTCGCCATCGCTATCATACTACTTGGAAAGAGTTGAGAAGGAGTAACTCAGTCTACTCTCATTGGGTCATTATTTCGTAGTCTGTGAGAAATCCTAAATATCATTCCCACCTTCCTGCCCATCATAATCCACTCAAGTCGTTCCAGGAAGTTTGAGAAGAGCCTTGTACTCAGTGAGTCGGTCCATGACCTGAACGCCATTCCAGAGTTCCTTGCCGCCACGCATTTGACAAGAAGGGAGGCCGATCTGTTCAAGAGCGAAACTCGCAGCAACGTTGCCAAATGCTGATGCTTCGGCAATATCTTGTGATCTTTTCCAGCCTTCAATGAATCCACCAAGAAATGTGTTCCCTGCGCCAGTAGGATCGACAACTTTTGTGGCGCCATCTTGATAGTAGGGTGGAAGCCACACCTTCTTGGCTGCATTCTGGGTGGCCAGCGAGCCGTGTTCACCGGCTCTTATTATTACAATGCCGTTGCCACTCATTCCTGTCGCCCTGGAAAACTCCAGTGCATACGCCTCCAGTTGGTCTGGCTGAAGCATCTTTAGAGGCGGGTCCTCAAACAAGGCAGACATTTCGAGATGATTTGGTGAAAATACATCCACTAATTTACATGCTTGAAGGAAAGCGTCCCGATTACGTGTGATACAGGCGGCAGGTAAAGGCTCCCACACGAGAAAGGGCCGCTTCTTGACCCCGCGTTGAGCACGGAGCTTGATTAATTCGGGGATTTGCTTTTGCACTTCCTCGGGCGTCGCGAGGAGATGAAACGCTCTAGAATTCAGCAAATAAGAGTCGATTAGATCAATGGGTGACGCTTTCAATGGTGGCGTAGTGTATCGGAATTTCTTCGCTAAGCGCATGTGAGTCCTGTGCACACTCTTGCAGGTGAAGGAAGAGAACGACGTACGACCAAACGTGTCATCTTCATACTCGAGGAGGCCCCTGGTGCTTAATTTGTCTTCCGATAAGTTCAATACCAGAGACATTTGCCAGCCTAAGAGCTGTTCCCGTATAGCATCCGGGAAATCACGCCCCGCAAGGACCAGGCAGCCTACCCGATGTGACTGCCCACAGGTAGAGAACAGGCGGCTTCCGAGAGTAGCTATAAGATGAGAGTTTGTCAGTGAGCTGGTTTGGTCTCACTGACTGAAGAAACCCATACCATAAGTTCCAGACCCCCCCGCTACGTCGATCAAAGGCGGTCGAGAAGGTAGACGTATCTCATCGATCACCACCATTCCAAGCGAAACAGTATCGACGCTCAACTCGGCCTTTGGTTTGGAGACCCAGCTGCCCATATTGTAGAAAGGATGAAGGCACCTGAGGAAGTAGGCTGTCAACCCCTTCGCTTTTAAGGTACGAACACAATGCTGACCCATGCAACTTAGCGTGCGTGGTACATGTAGGCCTAGCGTCGAAAGCAAACAAGTCAACTTGAACATATAGACAACTCACAATCATGAAGTTGCAGATTGTATCTATACTTGGTGTCCCGGGCCGGGCAAAGGCACCCAATGCGCTCTGTTACAAGATAAATTCTTATGCGCTTACTTCAGTGTGGGGGCTGTGCTGCGAGCTGAAGCCGCTAAGCCGATAGTCTTTCCACGAGCATCATTGAGGAGAACATACGTCTTAGTAGTGTTAGCCCTCTTACTACGCTGTAGAGCGGACGACGATGTGGATAATATTCAACGACGGATAGAGACCTTCAACGCGACGACCGCACAAGTCCTCGAGAAGTATGGCGCATCGAATAAGGTCGTCAGGATCCGAGCAGATTTGGCGATTGAAGATGTCTTTATGAGGCTTCGAGAGCTTCTGAAGGAATGTGGTGTGATACTGAAGCTGAGGTAGCAAATTCCGTCCAGTACCATAACTTTTGCTCTATAGGGGACCAAAACCCCTACCAGAGAATCTGAATGAGATGCATTCATAGATGGTTTCTTTGGTCGACCTAGCGCTCTCATAAATAGTAGGTAGAAGTTCAGCAATACCATGATTGTATTGTATAAAAGCACATTTCACGAGGGTAACGCTCGCGTCGCCCTGTCACGAGCAGCGCATCTGCGACCAGAAAGGCGACTAACCTCCCAGCTCATCCTTCAATCTACCACTCCGCCTCCTCGCCAGCCCTCTCTCAACACTACTCTCCAAACTTGTCCCAATGCCCGAGTCTGTGAATATGCCTTCTCTCTCCACAGTCCTCGGCACCGGCTCTTCGAGAAGGAAATCATCCTCTTCATCATCTGCCTCTGCTTCTTCTCTCGTGGGTATATCGTCCAGGTTGACCATTTCTTGTTCTTCTTTCGGCGAGCTGTATGAAAGTGGTCGTTGTGAAGACAGGGTAGGAAACGTGCGACTCGTATCGCTAAAGGGGCTTCCGGGCTCGGTTTCTCCTGGCTCAACTTTGATGCGTGCTTCGCCCTCGGATTTGATCTTCTTCCGGTCCTCATAGTCTTCCTGAGGGGTTGATCTGCCGAAGAGAAGCGTGAACACGGCCCATGTGCAGAGTAAGACACCCATTTCTACGCTCCAGAATAACCCTGTGCCTACTATTGCACTCGTAATCCAGTATCGGTACATCAGCCACCGTAAGCCCTCCAATCTGGCGCTGACTCGTACGCTGACGCGATAGACTTCCAACGGGTGTTTTGAGCGCAATTCGAGACGGAGCGAGGAAGGCACGTTGTGAGAGCCCTGCTCGAATATGATAGACTCCATCATACTAACCTCGATGCGTTCAGACTCGGTGTGCCAGCCGATGAGGTACAGGGGGAGACGAAGAAGGCGGTATGCATGTTCGACCACGTGGCTTCGATAGGTAAGGAGGGCTGGCCTTCTGCTTCTTGCCAGGATTGTTGGTTTCCCAACGACCGTATCGCGTGTCGACCCTTTCCCGGTCGTTGCGCTAGGGACGCTTCCTTGACTGTGATCTTCACTGTTCCACTCCTCATCCCAGCCCAACAAGCTCCGCACTCCACCGCCAACAGTCGACGAGCCGCGCATTTCAAGAATGGCCATCCAGTTGCCCGCTTTGAGATTCGTCTCGCTCCGTGGGACTTCCATTTCGACGACAACATCGTACTTCTGCCTGTCTACTAGACCTTGCACCTTTGCTATCCCGTACGGCCATTGTGCGGTTCTTCCGCCGAGTATGCTATCCGAGTGTGAGGTAAGATACGATGCTGCCGCGCCATGGTCGAACTGCAGGTGCACTGGTACGGTTACGCCGCGCACGGGTATATACGAGTAGTAGAAGGACGAGTATGCGATGACAGCGAGGCCGAAGAGAATTGTGGACGTGAGGAAGAGAAGCGCGGTGCGAAGGTATGTCCGTAGTAATAGTGGTGATGTTGCTACGCGTAGTGGCCAGAGTAGCGTATCCTCGGTTTTCTTAGCATAATTCTGTAGGGATGATGTTTGGAGCTAGAAGGGTCACTGAGTAATAGACGTACTATTGCAGACTGGACAAGAGATAGTTCTTGGCCATGATCATCCTTTGTGTCGCCCATCGCTGCCCGCTGCAGGCAGTGAGCGTTGTGGTGTGGTGTTGATGTTTAACAAGAGTCAATCTTCACGTGAATGAATGAACAGCGACGAGGTGTGACGTCGATGTCTCAGCAGCTAGCATGGGCACAGACCCTGGGACATGACATTAACAAGCTCCACCACGCCAAGTATCCCACCATGGTGCGCCATCCTGCAGGGACACAACGCCATCACCTGCGGGTGCACAGCCGATCGTGCACTGATGCACATGTCGGCTATCGAGCCAGCACGCGTGTGCGTTGCCGTGGTCGTGCTTCACAGTGGCAATCTACGAGTCATTGGCGAAACGCGTTTGATTGTTCTAATGAACACTATCCTGACTGCTAATCATACATGTTGCAATCGCCCCAGCTCCCCACCAACTCCTAGAAACAAAGGAAACCGTAGCGCATAACGCTGCCAGAAGTGAATCGTTGTCCTCTACACCGTTCTAGATCAACAGCCTCCACGGCTGCCGACTTGAACGCCAAAGGAAGCAGACCCGTCATATCGTGCTAGTGAAAACATGGTATCATCCCTATATCCTATCCTCCTTCCCAGGAAACAGAGAGGGCGGGTAGTGAAGAGTGACAAAACGAATCGAAGTATGGTGAGCAAAGCTCTACGCCGACGAAAAGAGAAGTCGCAAATGCAAGAGACGGCTGCAGCCAGCAAATCTCCCAACTTTTAGTGAGACCCTCTAGAAAAAAGTCCGAGAACTTTGGATATGTATGCAAACGCATAGTCAAAGTTCGTAGTAACAAAATAGCCGCCGGTATAGCGGTAAGACAAAAAAAGGCCGTGGGTATCGTAACGTCGTCGGTACATCTCCCTTGGAGATTCCATGTACTCCTTCCCCAGATCCTCATCATCACATCCTCTGAATTGCTTTGATCCATGTTTGGTGTGATTAAATTACTGATGGTGGTTTCGATGTGTAGTAGACGCTACAATGGGCTCATGAGAATGTACCCATCCGAGGAGGTGGGCCACGGGAAGGACTCGTGACAGAGTTTTGCAGTCGAGAATTAGCTTTGGTGACACCAGAGAGTGGCGAGCTTTGATTTCCAACGATTGAGCCGGTAGGGCGAGGAGTTCTAGCCAACCGAGTGGATCTGGACCGCTTGCGGAGCGGCGTAATCAGCGTCTCCGCAGACTTGCCAGAACGAACCGGACGAGAGACTGAAGCTCGAACTGCCGGATCTTGTGGGAGAGAAGCCACATCACGATATCGGTTCTGATTGTTGCGGAAGGCAGTGACAACTCCACGGTCGAAGTGTTCGAGCATGACATCCGAAGTTGACCTGTTACGATTACCAGGTGTCTCGGCCACTGGGGTTGGTCGAGCAGGGGTGGAACTTGGAGGTGCCATCGATGTAGTTGCCGGAGTTGCGGGCACGTCCATCTCGTCCTCCTGTTCAGATTCGGTGTCCTCGCCCGACGAGCCAAAATCCATGAAGTCGGTAATGTTGAGATCATCCTCGTAATCATCGGAGTCGTCATACTCATCCTCATCCATGATGTTCATGTTGCCATTGGATCCGATGCTTACGAAGGGAAAGAAGGCCTCAGGAGGCCCAACGCTGTCATTGCCAAAGTAGTAGTCGTTTCCTGGAGTAGACCCAAAGATACCAGTGAGCATGATATCTGTACCAAGAGTATTGTTGAACACCTCGTTGCTGACCTCACTGTCTGAGGCGTTCACTTGTGCAATCGAGTTCCGAGGGCTGTTGTTCGCTGTACTGCTTGTGCTGCTGTGGTAACCGTTTAGTGGAATCCATGGAATCATTGTCGTGCGTGGACGATAGAAGGTCAAGGTCTTGGTGGCCCGATTGGTGACTGCGATAGCCTTGGTGCAATCATCGTGAATGAAGACGCCGCGGGTGGGCGGGATTTGGCGGCCTGTTGGCCGAGAGCTCCGTTGGAATGGATTGGGCGTCGCAGCCCTAGAGCCTGGTGCAGAACATGGTCGGCGTAAGACAGATTGCTTCTGGATAGGGGTCCGTGGAGGAACTTCAGACCCGAAGTCTTCTTCGTCAGTGGTGTCACCCATGTCAGCTGAGAGTCGATGTTAGTTATCGAAACAATTCTAGTGTAGGGCACAACCGTACAATCATAGCCACTTGAGCCAGGAGACGAGTCGTCATCGGACTCGTCTGAATGATCAGCCTGCGTGATGCGAGACTCATCTTGGCCATAGTCCCAGAAGGACGCGTCGGACATGGGAGATTGGATGTCCCCATTGTCGTCGTCATTATCCATCTCAAGTAATTGATGCAAGACTGGAGGTAGTTTGTCTTGCTCTAAGAAGAGATCGGGAAAGACGCTACTATCGAGCTCGGAAGATTCAGAACTGGAGCTATCTGATACTTGAACCTCATCATCGAAGCGAACACGCTTGGTAGAGCTGTCTGAGTACTTTCTCTTGACGGCTGGATCGGGGGATGCAGGAAGAGCTTCAGGCTCGAAAAACTGGGCAAAGCCAAAATCAGGGAGACTCGAGATGAATGCGTCGTTCAGTGGAGCAGTGACACCAAAGATGTTATCGCTTGCGCAACTATCAAGACTGAGTCGGCGAGCGTCACGAAACTCATTGAGGAGGGAAGTCGCCTGCTGCTCTTCCTGAAGAATGTAACTTTCCTCTTGGAAGTCCATGTCATCGTCGTCGTCATCAGGAATGAGATTAACGCCGCTGTAGTCCTCGTCGTCGCTCTCGATGGCATTCTCGTAGCCCTCCACATGGTCGTCACTTTCTTTATATGTTAATAGTGGCTCACTAGCCACGGTGCTTAGTTTTCGCGCAATCTTGCGTCTAGGGAATGACTCCTGGTCGGTCGAGTCGTCCCCAAATAGAACCGAAGTGCTTGAGAGATTGCTGTAGGTACGCTTCTTATTGTTCATTAGCAACTGGTTCACTGGGTGCTTGTTGGGTACAAGCCCCGCCCCAAGGGATGCAATATCGTCGTCTTCACCGAGAGACTCATCATCGTCGACAGGCTCAATGCGGATGCCAGGGCGCTTTCCCTTTCCTTTGCCTCCCTTGCCGAAACCAAAGGATGGGACGGGAACGTCTAGTTCGTCGTCTTTGGCAGTACTACTGTCTTCTTCTTCTTCGTCGTCGTCGTCTTCGTTCGCAGCGCCATCGGTGGCTGACTGTTCGCTACCACGTCCCGCGGTGTGGTGAGTGCTGCCCGATGCAGTGTCTTGGGGGGTAGAGCGTTGGTCGCTATGGCGGAAGCCAGCGGTGGTATCGTGCATGATCTTGCGGTCCTGGTGATGGTTGCCACCAAACTCGGCCATGGGTGATCTAGCGTATGTAAGGTGCGCCATGATACGTTGTTATGTCTTTGGTAATAGTATTGGGGAGGATGGAAACAGGTATGAGGGGGTCAAGGACTGATGGATGACGGCTCGAGAAGGTCGTTTGGCGGACGTGAAGTCGAGCTAGGAAATTGCGAGGGGGGTACAGCGTTTGGTCTACTGAATGTTTGGTGTACTGAGGGGGAGGCCGTTGAACTATGATGGGCCTCCGGGTGTGTCGCCGATGTTGGTGCGTTGAGCCGGTACAAGTGACAATGCTGGTGATTTTGCAGTGCAGGCCGGACGATAGTCAATTGATTGAGACGAGTGCGAGCAGAGTATGCTTCACGCAGTCGTGGTGTTGTTGTATCGTCGTAGAGGTTGAATTCCGTGAGCTATCGGGCTGATGCAGCCCATGGCGGGCTGCACCAGGAGTTTAGAGCTCAGCGAGTGCCTGCGGCATTGTCTCGACGAGGATGGGTATGAATGCTGGTAAGAGTGCTTCTGTGTATGTTTCTTGTGCGACTTTGACGTCTTTGGGCGAGGTGTGGAGAGGAAAATGCGGGCGGAGGCCAGAGGATATTGGGAAAATTAGTTCGACGGTTCGGCGCTATGCCGGTTTGGGTCACCCTCACCGCTGCGCTAGTCGGGGCCTCTGGTTCGAACAATGGATGACTCTGAAATGCGCACCAATTGGCACCATGGCCTTATACTCTCCTGCTGCAAGTCAGCCAGAAACACCTCACCCGCCCAATTCTGTCTTGAGCAAGCCCGCCTTCGACTGGAGAGTCACACCATTGTCATCATCTTCATTTCAACATGTCGTCGCGTGCTCCCCGCCGCAGGCCATTCAGAATTTCTCGCCGAGTCGCCCCACTAAAACTAACCCGTGGACTGAAAACAGCGAGCATACGCAGGATGAGGCAACACGGGGCTAAAGAGGCCATCGTAGCAGTAACCGCGGAACCCTATTGGGCCCTGGTAAAACAGGAACCCCCGGCGGGCCTTCTGCAGCGAACAGCAGCCTGCATAGAGTGCTTCGCTGACCTTGAACCACTGCCTCCGTCATTTCGATATCTATGCACCAGCGCTACGTTAATGGCACCTTGCGTATCAGTACCCGTCTTTCACGATGACGATGGTGGCATCTGCCCCTCAGCAAGGGACTTGACGTCGTCGGGCACTTCTACCCCTCTAGATGCACTCATATCGATACGCACTCGGGCTAACAAAGTTGGCGCCCCGCGGCCAAAAAGTCGGTGAGCGCGGTGCAAACGCAACCGCTGCAAAAGAGGTACAGCAGGAGCGGGCCGCTGCTTGTGATAATGCAGCCTTCTGGGGCCCTGAGACACTCGCGTGTCGTGTGTCAGGTATTAAAAGACATGCGAGGACACTGGCGAGTTTCCTCGTTGAAACATGCCTCTACCCTCAATGATGAGACTCACAATCCAAACATTCGGTGTTTGCTTGGTATTTTTTTTTTTTGAGTAGCAACTTCGATGAGGCTGAGCTTTGCCTGCTCTGGCTGGGGGGTGCAAGCAGTTGGTGGATCGACCCACAGTGCGCTGATTCGATTGACCTCCCGAGGCGGTTGCTAGATCTTCGACGTGGCATATCCCTACATGCTCTTCATTGGACGTTGGACGCTTACAGAAGAGGAGGCCGGGTTTCCTATTCGTCAATCTCACCTCTCAAGTCCTGCTGCCGCAGCTTTGACCCAGAAAAGTCACTCGTCAAAGTAGTACATGGGCCCTCGTTTGAGGCCACATTCTCAAGCTATCGCATGCTGCCGCTGAGATAGAAATTATGACACGCAAGCGTCTGCCGTCGTGGCGGTCCAGGGCGACTAAACTTGACTGCTGTCCCGGTACAAAGTGGAGTAGAAGTGGATACCAGAGCAATCGATCACCTTCATAGCCTAGTCCAGAATTATTCTACACTAGGAGGTAGTCTCACGTGCTCCTCGTTCCGAGATCTCTCCAGAAAGGAAAGAGGCCAGATGTTCATGTTCATGTTCATGTGATGAGAGGATATGTATTACGCAATAGCTATGTACAAAATGCACGATAAACTACATGCAAGACGCCGACACACGGAGTTTACGACTCGAACCCCTGCGTTGCACTTTCAGCATCGCGTCCGAAGCTTTGAGGTGCTGCAGGAGCCTCGAGCTCGGCAAGCTCTGCAAGGCTGCTGCCTAGGTCCCTGATAATATCCTCGTAGTCGAAGCCTAAGTAGTAGAGTAATCGTGATGCCCACTTCAGTGTATCGCGAACTTCGGCTCGGCCAGCGGCTGGAAGCTCTTCGCCGAGCTGTCTCCGCTGCTCTACCTCCTCCTGGGCTTTTCGGAGGATGGCCCAGATGGTCTGCCGATTAGGGTGCACCCGACCTTGTAGGATCAGCCTTGCGCCCGAGTCTTGGACAAGCTCGACATCTTCAGGGCGATCTTCGTACTCTTCACCCTTGCCAACTCGAAATCGGGGCATGGTTGGCAGTCCGCCGGGAGCACGATAAGGCTCAAAGGTCTTTGGCGGCTTGTAGCACCACCCTTCAACCACGTCCTTCCCCTTCGAGCTGCCATATCCGTCTAGAACTCCACCTAATATTTGATTGAAGTCGTCCGTTGATAGCTTGATGGCTTGGCGTGAAGAAAATGCTAGAAATTGAGAGCAGTAATCTTTCCACTCGCTGTCGACAGTGGACATGATTGATAGAATGCAGTACAGCTCGTTGCGTATATTGCTGAGAATAAGATTCTCCCAAGCAAAGAGGAGTTCAGCGAAAGCTTCCTGGGCTTGTTGTCTTGCATCTTCGGGACCCTCCGAGGTTCTAAGGAGTTCCGCAGCAAATGTCGAGAGTATGACAGGTCGCGGCCTAAAAGTCATCGTCTCTTCCACATACTGTTGCATGCCTCGAACAGATTCCCACCGACGAAGCTTGAACTGACAGCAAAGCAGCGCTGTCAGAATTTCCGCAGGCATCCGTTGTTGTTGATACTTGGCATTCCAGGTCCCGACCTTTTTGACAATGTCCAAGACGAGTTCATTTTCTCCAGCTAAGGTACCAAAGCGTACAATGGAAGCGGCAATATTTCGATGGCTATAGAGCTCGGGGCCGATGAGTGGACCATCCAGATCTTCGGCGAAGAGCAACCAGCGTCCTAGGTCGTATAGCTTCGACTCTGTTGCGAGGTCCAGTACTCTGGCCAATACAGTTACGGGCAATTTAGCATCGAAGGCTGGAAACTCAACAGGTGGAAGTCGACTTGTGAATGGCTCATCTTTCCGTAAATGTGGCACTTTTCTCAGAATATCGAAGAACTGCTGCACTGACTTTTGCTTGTTATCGTCCGTATGTTGTTGGAGCAGCATCAGTGTCGTCATGGCGCCCTTGATATCTCCAATCCCGATGAATGCTCGCATCGCTCGGTGTAGTAAGCTGAGTGGTATGGTGGTGGGCTCGAAGAAGTATGGAACTTCCGTATCAATTGTAGCAGAGGCATTTGCGGCGCTGACCTCGGTACCGAATCCAGCAGCAAGCTCAAATATGCGCAGTAATAGATCTGGCCGCTTCTCAGGTACGAACCCGCCAGACTCCAAAAGTCTTGCCATGATGGAATCCCAAGCTGCTGATCCAAGACTCAAGTTGTTCCCATCAAGGAATGCCTTCAACGTTTTGATGGAGTCAACCAGAGTCTCCGGGTCAATGCCTCTAGATCCCACACCTAGTCGCATTTCGTTGACTAGCCCGTCTATGAAACCGGTAACGATTTCTCCGCTTATTGTTCGCCGTGTCCGCGCTCGGTCTTCAGGGCTTGCAGCGTCGTCCTCGGCCACGGAGAACAATCTCCAGGCTCTCGACGGCGTGGACGTAGGCGTTTTCTCCTGTTGTGCTTGCATGATCTCCCTCCAGCTAATGAGTGCCCAGTTGTTTTCTCCTTGCTTTGATGCCAGCTGCTCTAGGATAGCAGTCCCATCCAGTGTCCATCCACCGTGCAAACATGACCATAAGACAAGCTCCAGCCATAATTCTGGGGCGACCTCTGTCACCTGGACTTTATATCGAGAACCAGGTATCTCGTGTCCAAGAAAGTATGAAGCATTGGCACGTTCTTTTGCAGTCACCACCGAAGCCTCGTGGGCTTTCCATGTCGCATCGGACAAGGCTGTGAGAATCTTGGAGGACAACATGTGAAGCGTGGGAGGTTGTTGGAACGCGTACTTGTTCTCATGGGGCCGGTATGTGTAGACTGAGTCGGGCATGAAACCGATGTGGTGTAGATAGGCGATAATCTCCAGAACGTGCGGCATAATTGTGTCCTCGTCCGTACTGCTTCGCTCTGTAGCGACCAGGATCATGTTTCCCAGGCTTCTCCAAAGCTGCCCTAGCGCTCGCTTCACTAGGTTGTGTCGCAGAGCGATTGTGTCTGGTTCCAACGTCAGATCGTCCAAGGAAAGGTTCAGTTTATGCGAAGGGCGGACTCGTTCGGTACGAATGGGGCTCTCCGTCAGGTCCTTCAGAGATCGAGTTTCGCTCCCTGGCCATACCGCGTTCGCAGATGGTTCCAGTAGTGTCGGAGGCCTGATCGAGTGTCGTCCATCCTCGACGAGCTTCTTCACTATCCAGACCGCCGTCTGCCACCGTCCTTCTTCCAGACCCAGGTAACTGAGTATGTCGTGTGACGCTTCCTGGGCCTTGTTCAGAAAAAAAGATATATCAAGTGCCGTCACCGTGGACGATATATCAGCCTTGGGCGAAGAGTCTCGTCGCAAGTGAATTGGGAGGAAGGGATCGATGGCTGCAAGCCATTGCTGGATGTCGCCACGGACATCAGCGCGCGGCGCATAGATGCGAGTTGGTATTGGCTCGTCGTTGGCCTTTGGGGGCAACGTAGACGACAATAAGCCACCTGAAACATCTACAGACGCTTGAGATGGCGGTGCTTGTTTCTTCGGGCTGTCTTTCGCTGACGAGAAGGGACGTTTCGACGGTCGAGCGAGCGCGGGAACGAGAAATGCAGAGACGGAACAGGAGGCAGCGATCCCACGACTAGAAGGACGGAATGCCTGTATCAGGGCGCTGCGAAAGCATGTATGCGCAGAGCTCATTGAGGGGTGGCGGGACGGCGGCGAGGGTGGATGCGCGTTCCAGCATGGTCTCCAGAACTTTTCTGACCATCATCATCGTGCACTACCGCGGCGCGCTTAGCAAAGGGAACAGGGGTGGCAGGGTCCACACTAGCTGCCTGTTACATGGAGCTCCTCTGACCTCACACTTCCACACACGCGAACAAACAAACAACTCCACACAACCGCGCCTAGTAGATATCGCAAGCGGGCAATTTGTCCTGCTCTGAGCTTTTCCTCTTCGGCCTACTAAACGCGTTAAACCTGTACGCGTTCAACGGCAACATCCCAACACAGCTGTCACCTGCTCAACACGCTAGCGACATAGCTACCACCAAAATGGGTGTATATCGCGTCGGTCAGTACTTTGTATACATTCAGGCGTCATCGTCATCCAATCTCACTGTTCAATAGAGGCGTCGCCAAACAACCGTGCTGGCTGCCACACCAAGGCTTGCAAGGATGCTGGAGTGAAGATCACCAAGGGCGAGCTTCGCTATGCCATTCAAGTCACTATCCAAGAGCACCAGAGCTGGCAGTACCGACACTGGTAAGAGATTCGCCTATATTCGGATCCAAGAGATCACGCTAATAGCATCAGGGGTTGCGTAACGCCCAAGCAGATTGAGAATCTGCTTGAGACTTGCGGTGGTGACACCGACCTAGTCGACGGCTACGATGATCTTCCTGCAGAATATCAAGAGAAGATCAAGTTTGCGCTGGAGAACGGACACGTGGCTGACGAAGACTGGAAGGGTGTAAGTGCTGTCCTCCATCTCCTTGCGATGCATACAGCAGCCAGGCTACGTCACACATGGTTACATTTTCCGATTGGCGCCATGAACACGCCTTGCAGACATCCCAATCCCCTTCAACTCTAGCCTACCATGGTCCCTTCCTCAAATCAGAGCACTGACCCTCACAGGATCTGGAGTTGAATCGACCAGGCAAGTCGGGTATCAAGAAGCGCACCCCCAAGAAGAAGGCGGCCAAGAAAGATGCCGAGGACGATGAGGTTGCCGAAGAGAAGCCCAACAATAAGCGCGCCCGCAAGACGAAGGCCGAGGACGAGGATGAGCAGGAGAAGTCCCCAGCCCCCAAGAAGCGAGGTCGACCTGTTAAGAAGGTGGCAGAGGAGAAGCTGAGCGACGAAGAAGCAGCTCCTCCGCCAAAGAAAGCTAGAGGCCGTGCCAAGAAGGTCGAGTACAAGGAGGAGAGCGACGACGAGGAAGCTCCCCCGCCAAAGAAGGCGAAGGCGAAGCCTAGAGGCAAGAAGGCTGCGATCAAGGACGAGGACGTGGCAGAGAATAGCGATGCAGCAGTGGAAGAGGAAGAAGAGCCCCCAAAGCCGAAGCGCGGCAAGAAGAAGGCTACTGCTTCCACTGTTGCTGCGGGCAATGTCCCGCAGAAGAGGTACGCCGAGAAGCCTTATTCACCTTCGTGTTCAATGCTGACAACATGCAGGGGCAGGAAGAAGAAGGCTGCCGCCGCCGACGAGTAATGTGAGGACACCAGCTGCTTTGGCTGTCATCGAAGCCTTGGCCTGTCTTCTCACAACTCCCTTACGACGACGTTTCATTCTCTATCTAGATAGTCTACGATGGGGCGCTAAATGCTGTGTTCGCGATTGAACATTGCAATACATAGCGTCGCTAGCTGTCGACCTTTCATTTTCAAGTATGTATTATAGATACCCAGCGGCGCTGGTGACTTCTTAGTAGTCGAAATATGTGACACTCAAATACCAGCTACTTCGGGCTGAAGGCCCTCACTACATTATTCGAAACTGTGAAATCTATGCTCATCAATATCTAATAATATTCAGGTGACTAACAGGCACCGTGAAGATCACACAAAAAGTAAAAAGCAAAAAAGAAGTTTATACAAAACCGCAACCCACTTGCTTTATTTCTATTGGAAGGAGGGAGACGCGCATCGTCGTATCACCGTTGTGAGCTGTGATGGCTGGTGTTCCCCGCCTCGCACCATGTCCAAGGGAAGCGACAAGCGAGGTTTTGGAATGGACGACGAACGAATAACAGGAACTAAGAAGGCACTTCCGTTTAACTTAACTCGTCCGCCATCTCTCCAAACCCTCTATCACTTTCTCTCGTAGACAGCAACGTGTAGACACTGTGGAGGTGTTTTGGGTGGCTGGGCCTCCCGCTTCCCCGCGCTGCCCCTTATCTCGGGCTTCGGAACCTCAACTCACACAATTTTCGGCTTCATCTTCTCCTCTCCATCCAGGCCAACACCCCTACATATGCGATACATACTTCACTACACTATCGAGATAGGAGCCTAGGAAAATCGAAAATTATACCTTCTCGTCCACAGCAACACTGTCTAAATCACCTTGGCCCACCTGAAGGTATAGGATCCATCCATCATCATGGTGGACTGTGAAATCTGTAATCGGACGTTCATCAATTGGCATGCTGCGGTACAGCACATGAACGCCGTTGGGCATTGGGAATGTGAGATGTGCGATGCGGAGTTCTATTCACGAGAAGCAGCGTTTGATCACATGGATGATTACAACCATTATCGCCCGGCGTTCGCCTGCGAAGGCTGCAATGCTGCGTTTGACACGCCCGGGGAAGCGAAGCGACACATGCATCTGAAGGGCCATTGGAGGACACATTGGTGCGGAGAGTGCCAAAGGGGCTTTGAGAGTGAGCCGAATTTGAAAGCTGTAAGTGCATTCACTGTGAGGAGGCCTTGTAGGGTTACTACTAATAGACTGAAGCATCTGAACAGCAATGTGCACAGGGGAAATGGCATTGCCTGTCCCTTTTGCAAACGCGGATTTACGACCGCTACGGGCGTGACGCACCACCTCGAAACCGGATCATGCTCAAAGGCTCGCTCTTTAAATCGCGACACGATCCTCACCGAAGTACGCCGCCGCGATCCAAACCACCTAATCACCAAGAAACTCTTAACTTACCCTGGCTCATCGTCCACCATCACCGCGACATCCGCGTCATGGAATTCCGATATTGGTCTCTACGAGTGTTATCTGTGCCACAAGGGCTTCAGGGAGCTTAAGAGCCTGAATAATCATGTTAACTCGCCTGCCCATAAGGAAAGGGTCTACCACTGTCCGGGGAGAGCGTGTGGCAGGGAGTTTCGCGCGTTGGCTCCGTTGTTCAATCACCTTGAGAGCGAGACGTGTGGAGCTGTCCGGTTCGACGCTGTGCAGAGGAATGTCGGAGGATTCTTGAGTGGGCAGAGATTGATTGGATTTTTCTGATACTGAGGCAATGGGTGTCATCGGCTTAGCGCGTAAACCCAAGCCGAAAGCAACGAGTCCGGTGGAGTTACGCGGGCCACATAGTACGGAATATTGATAATATTCTATAATTGGAGACTTGTCATAGCAGCGAGAGGATTTCAGAGCTGGACAAAGAAAACTTCTTATATGAAAGAGAATACAAATGGTATCATAGCAGCGACAGCAGTTGAGAACGCAAGTCTTGAAGCATCAAACGCAACCATCCACATGACAGTGTCGAATCACCCACGCTCCTCAGTTGGATATCGTCCAAGATATTGTCTCTCCAAATCCGAAATTACAGTGCCTTCCTTGCTACCAAGTTCCAGATCATCGTCTGCCATGCCAATCACATGCTTTAGATCATGTTCATCATTCGACACCTCGGTCATTGACAATCTACTGTCATTCCCGACTTCCCAGTTTGGTCCATTCGAATACTTGATCCTCATCGCACTACCTCTTTGTGTATTCGCACTTCCGGGACTTATGTCGAGTGGCTTGACCTCCGCACGCGCGACCGAGCTCTTAGTGATGAACGTGTTAGCGACTTTCATGCGCTCTACCTCAGTCACTGTGATATTCGGCAGCGAGTCGCGCTGACTATTCCCCTTCTCCAGCGATGAATCATCCGAATCATTAAATAACCCGATTCTCAGCCTCGGCTGCGCAAGCCCGTTCTTGATAAGCGCTAGCAGTTGGTTCAAGACAATGAATTCCAACTTCAGCTTCAGCGCGTATACAAATGGATGGATCGTGCACTTGAGCGTAAACATGTTGTGGTAGTCGATGGCTGTCAGGCTGCCATCAAAGGTAATGACGCACGCCTGGACGAGGACCAAGAGTCGCACAACTTTGCGGGTGTGCATGGCGTATCCAGAGTTGAGAAATCGCCACGTGTAGAAGATGTAAAGACAAGATATGACTACTTCCTGGAGCGCGAAGACAGTTTGTTGGACGCGTTCCATGATCACCATCGGCCGTATGTAGTCTTGTTTATGTCGGGAAAGTAGACCGAATTCGCAGACGATGACGGGTGTGTGCATCAAGACACCGTTTACCAGAATCATTATCAAGACAGCGCGTAGGATACGTGGATCGTTGACGACGAGATGGAGACGTGACCACAGCACGATGGAGAACCCAGTGACGTTGCTTACCCAGCCGATCTTACAAATGATCGTGGTGAAGATGGGAGGGTTGGAGTAAACAAATTCCTTGATCAAGAATCCTGTTGCCTGGAGGATGAGGCCGAGCGTGGTGATGACAATGGACCAGAAATAGAGCCCAGTATGGCGTTTGAAGGTAACGTAGACTAGGACGAGGAGTTCGATGCACATCCAGTAGGCCACAGCGCAAAATGACGCTATGAGGCAAAACGCTGTAGGACTAAGGGATTGGTTAGGACATGGGATTGTTGAAATAGAGAGGGAGAAAGACGTACTTCCATTTCAGATGACCTTTTCGCTCGAAAGTCCAATCGTAAGAAGAGAAAGGAATGAAGGAGTCGCAATCGGCGTACTCCATCGTAAAATCCTATTAGCCAAGGCGGTTTCTTCGAGTGATGAGGGTGGGATTGTCTGGGGTCTGATTGAATAATAAAGAGTTCTGGAAAATAAAGATACTAGCATAGATGGGATTCTTCTGGCTCAACCAGGACATGTCCAATAAATATAAGAACTTACAACAGTAACATATCTCACCTACCTATTTAGTCAGCCAAATGTTGATTACTTCGTATATACCAAGAAGACCGGTGCCTCTATGCCATTCTTATGCGTATTTTTACCTGTTATGGCGCGATGCCCGGGCAGTCGTGCATGTGGCATGGGTAGGCTGGATGTGGGAGAACTTCGGAGTCTGTCTAACAACGAGCTTTCTTTCCTTCTTTGCTATTTTGATACATCCACCATGCACTCCAAGGTGCTAGTCACGGAAAGTACCGAGCTGAGATGCACAAGGTATGTGGTGATGCGGAGAACGGTTGGGGTCGTGATAAGATGTTATTTTAGGCTCGCTTAGCGAGACGCCTTGACATGCACGGCAGTTAGTCATGATGACTTCACTTCCTCACCACTTCACTTGCATGACAATCTGATTTTTTTTAATGTGCCGAGAATGCATTCAACGTCCGATATACTGTCGATCGGTTGGCTAATAAGCCACTCTCGAAGCTTTCGAACTACCTAGGCACTTGGCATTTACCGCCATTTCCGTATTCAACCTTTGGAGCTGTCCAGGCCCTACACGCACCATAACCATACCACTGTATAGTAGTAAACCATGCCACTTTATAGTAAAGTGAGAACCTCCGCGATACCTCGATAACGCCTCACATACCCAGCTTGGCCTTCTCCTCCGCCTTGATCCTCTCCCAGTCAATCATGACCTTTCCATCTCCACACTTGATCGTAGGATACTGGTCCTTGAAGCCCCTAGTCTCCCTGATCTGCTGCGTCAAGTGCTTGTGCGTGGTTGTTTTACCATCACAGTCTCCTCCATGAAGCAGGCATTTTGGGGTTCGAGTCTTGGTGTTTTTCGGAGGAACGCCGCTGTAGGCAGATGCTGGAAGATGCGTCATGGGGGCAGTCTCGAAGGCGTTGACTGACTGGCTGCCGCTCTTGACGTTGGACATGTACATCCTAGGATGAGTGGGAGGGTTGGCAGCGTTGTAGGCCTCGTTCAGAGCCATAGAAGCCTTGCGAGGGCGACCGGTACCGATCGTGTTATCGCGCGACCAATGTGCTGAGCCAGGATCAACATCATTGAACTGAGTCTCCTTGGTGGCGGGGAATGACGACACGCCAGTGAAGCCGCGGTGCTCTCCAGGGCCGTGGACATGTCCGAGACCGGGAAGATGAAGAGATGTGTTCCTGCCCTCACGTGTGTTCGCAAGGTCGGGGGGCTGCATGGATGCAGGGCGGTTCGTAGTCACGTAGCCAGAACCTTGAAGAAAGAAAGGAGTGTTCATGGCGTCGTCTGGGGTTGGCTGATTCGGCGTGTGCGAGCGAGAAATACGAGATGATGTGTTATCGTCGGGATCGATGTGTTCTACTGACAGATTAGCCTCCATATCTTCATCCAGAACAGCAACCACTGTTCGGGACGCCCTGCCTTCGGCCACCTCTTGCAAGGGACTGAAAGCTCGCCGCATGCCCCCATCGGCGAGCAACTGGTTCAAACGCGAAGTGCTTGAAACAGGTCGAAGCAAACCGCGAGCCCCGAGGCCATGAGCAGGTGACACCGGGCGCGAGGTGTGCGGCGTGTTAGCGACAGAGACATGCCGGGAGCCAGGAGCAGAGTATGCAAGAAACTGCGCGCGGTCGTGAGGCGTATAGCTTGGTCCACTTGAGAGCGTTTGTGGGACATATGCGGTGACTGATGGCATGCCGGAAACTTGAACGGTGCCAATTTGAGGAACGCTTCTCGAGGAGGATGTCGGCCCGTTACTGGGTGTTGCCAAAGAGGCGAGAGAGATATGCGAGCCAACACGAGAAGCGGACTGCGAGAGTGGTGGGAGCGCCGTAGATGATCCGATCCGCGAGAGAGGGTGACTGAACGAATTCTCATGTGCGCCAGGCGCGAGGATCTCTGGAGAATCGATGTTCTTCTTGTCGTCTGCTAGTTGCTTGGTCTGCTGTACGTCTTTCTCTATGGCTTCCGCTATCTCCTTCCTCTGGGCTTCTTCTAGCTGTTTCTGGGCATCCCATTGATGAATGCAGCTCCGGTGAAGCGCAGAGATGCCACCCTCCGACATCAAATTTGTTGCTTGTGGGTCGTACGTCGGCGCAAGCTCTTGAGTGGTACCAACAATCATGATGCCTTTGCTAGTTGAATACGGAATTGGCTCGATCGGAGTTCCCGCAGGGAAAGCATATATGAAGTGGCCCCGATAGTGATAGGCGACGCCAACTTCGAGCGAGTGATGGCCCTCGAGCCCGGAGATGTAGACCCTTTGCATCTGGCTGCGCGCTGCTTGCTCTAGAGGCGACGTGTTAGCAGACTGCTGGTTTAACAGTGAGAACATTGAGTTGGGTTAGGCCTGGAACACTTCGTGGAGCTATCCAATTCAATTGTGAAGTGGATAGGGCTATGAAGTGATCCAGGCTTACTTGTAGTACGTACCCTTGCTTGGTTTCCTCGACGGCATCGTTGAGGCCGAAGGTGGTGGTGGAGGTGGTGGAGGTGGGCGGTAGGCAGTGGATTGGCAATGGAGCCCGTTCGGAATTCACAGAAATTTGGCAAAAGCAAAGGGGACCGTGTGGCAGCACGGGGGGAATGGAGCCAAAGTTGGCGACTTACCTATCTTTCTTGGACGTAGCTACGCTGTGGTAGCTATGACAGTTTGTTGTCAATCGTGAAAGGAAAGGCCCCGAGTAATTAGGCAACTAAGCCAAGACAACTTTCCGTTTGGTAACGTGCTCTGACGCGCTGGCGAAGTAGAGGTGAAGGTGAGTTGTTCAATCACGCAATTTGATGTTATCCCCATTCACCTTCAAAACGAACATGCCACACTGCATAGCCGGATAGGAACCCATGTATAGGAATTGACGGGCAATCAAGTAAAGACCAGTATTACAGGAGATTTGAGGTGGGGAATTTAACCTAATTGATTATAAAGAATAAAGACTTCGCGAACTGACCGTACATTGGAGTCCTATACCCTCCTTATAGGGACGTGTTATTCAACCTTTAATACTCTTGAAACCATTCAGGGTGAACTATTGGTATCTATCACGAGTATGAACAGTATCGTGAATATACCCAGGCTCCCGCCATCCCAGCTCATAATTTCACTGACGACCATAAGTACTATCCTGCCCATCAGTCGTAACCTCGCTAAGGCCCTCCTCGTCACGGGGCTCAGCATAGAATCCTTGCTACACCACAAGTAGCTTTGGTAATCATCATCTAACAGCGCCTTTGTCGGATCAGGAGGTCTATTTAAGAGGTTGCTTCCAGGATTTCGTCCTATGATTCACTATACAGGAGCGAAATTGATGCTAAAGAGTCTCACAATCTGTTCTCATGGGATAGATTAAAACACTTTATATACCAAAAGGCGACAGGTAACATACTAAATGCGGGTGCTATCTAGTTGCGTGAGTAATTCGTCTTATCATGGAGATGAGACGTCAGCATTTTCGTAGTGTGAAAATATCGAAGTCAGTAGAGAGAAAACTTCGAGTCTCGATGTACGTTCTGTTGGAAACAAGGTACCAATTGACCATTGAACAGACCCGGCGGTGTACTTGTGGAACAGGAATAGACTTGTTGTTCAAAGGCAGATCCGAAGCTAGCAGATGTCGATAGCGATCTAGAGAAAATGCTCACAAGCCATGCTTTCGTGTACATAGCGTCGGTAATTCTTCTGCGATTACAGGCATGTTTGCCCAGATTAGCATGCGAGCTGGTCTTGACAAGTTCCTCCATCAAGGAGGAAATGTATGATAGTCGACGTCAACATTTAGCTAGGGTGCTCTTTGTCCAGGCTTTAAGATAAGCAAAATTGATCGGTCGCTGAGACAAGGAGTCACATCTCTAAGACTTCAGTCTTATTCTCATTGTGGATCTAGTGACGAGCGATGAAATTTGATCTGCAGGGTAATACATATATAGAAAGTTTACGCCAAAATGCAATGACATTACGATTACACGAGGTAGCCACGGACTTCCTATGAGCTGGGGCTGGCATCGACCGCGGTTCCGCTCGCACTCGTATCTTTCTTAGCCTCCTCGGACTTCTTCTGTGCAGCCATCTGCCATGCTGGGATTGCTGCTCGTCCGCTAGGCAAACCCCTGATTGAGGAAGGCGCCGGTTTTTCTACAGAAGGTGTGGGTGCAGATGTGGATGTAGCACCGCCACTTCCTTGAGCTTCGCTAGCGCTGCTGCTATTCTTTCGCTCGCTAGGCACAGGAGTGGAAGTAGGCTGTGATGCGGGTGTCGGAGCGGCAGGTGTGCCATTGACATTGGGGGTTGGGGTAGGGCTCTGAGACTGGCCTGTACCATAATAGCTTGGGGTGGTAGTAGGCGGTCGCGCGGTTCCAGAACCCATCCTATTACCCACAAGAGTCTTCAAACTCTTGAGCTCCGTTGATAATTCCTTCAATCTGTTGTCGGTCGACTCCTTCTGCGCATCCAGTGCTTTCGGGATCAAATCCCTCAAGCCACGCACATCATCTTCAATGCGCCTGTTATCATCCCCCTGTCTCTTGGACGACTCCTTCAAGCTCACCAACACGCTCTCGATCTCACCAAGGGCATTGTCTAATCTTGATGTCCTTGCCTCTTCTGATGCCTTGAGTGCTGAGGTGTCGGTATTGAGCTGCTCTAGAAGGTCGAACGCGCGCTTGAACGACTCGTCGACGGAGGCTTTGTCCTGCTCTAGCTGGGGCTGTGTGGGCGGCTGAATCAGAGGTAGAATGTAACGCTTCGCTGTAAAGTACAGCCCATAGCTTACACCGCCCATGACCGTCGCCATGATGAAGTAGTCCCGCCAATCACGTTTCGGAGGTCTGGAATAGTATCAGCATTCCCAGTCTTCGAGCTAGAGGCTTCAGCGCTTACTCTGGTGGTGGAGGTTGTTGCCAATAACCTTGAGGGGGATATCCCCCATATGCTGGGGCTGATGGCGGTTGCCTGTAGGCATGACTGGGTGGTGCAGAGGATTGCGGTGGAAGAGACGTGGGTTGGCTGGGGTCTTCGGCTGCGCGAGCGAGCGAGATGTCGACCTCTTCCTGCGTAAGGTTCTTTGATTGGAGGAAGGCGATGCGCTTCTCAAGAGGTGCAGTGGCGACAGAAGGATCTTGAAGGACTGTGAAGGGGTCAGATCAACGCCTGTGAGCGTGATGGGTGCGACATACAAGAGATCTGCTATGAGTCAGTATGGCATGTCGTGTAGGCAATGGTGCAACTTACAGCAGACGTTATGAGGTCCTCGCGGACCATGTTGAACACCTGGGACGCAATGCGAATTGCATGCGCAACGGTCGACTATGGATGATGGGGAGCTGAACGCTGGCGGAGTCGCGAAATGATGGACCGAAAGCTGGAGGCGGGTATGCCTCGGCTCCCGCATTCGGCGGCTCCGCGCCTTCCTCACGTGGCACGTCACACGCCACGGCTCTTCTCCAACCTCAAGAACACTGAACCTCGACGCTGGATAGAGAAGAAAAAGTTTTAAAGCTCGGAGAGCTCTTTGCAAATCGTACGACGCTTGATATCAGCAGCCGCAATATGTTTTCAAGGGCCTGTCATGGCAACCCCTTACTCAACGCCTGTGCTGATACGGTGTCTCTAGTACGAAGTGGCAGCAATGACTAGGTGATGTTCAGAAGCACCCTGTCCTGTTGTACGAGATACAAACCTTGGTTGAGATTAAGGTGCCACTCTCTTGACCGAGCACCAAGGTTCCAATACATTGTGAGCAGTTTACTCCCCATCGACCCACCAGAAGAAAAGTAACTCTGGTAATCATCAACTCCATGATTAGCCGCTCCCCTTCCATGCTTATAACCACTGAGTGGTGTATGGTCATTGACAGGGTCGCAGCGCAATCGTTGTATTATGGTAATCATTTAGGCTCTTGGTCGATGGAATGAACTCTGTCCCAAGGGTCATCAATATTTGATACTTTCTCAATATCCACACACTCCTGACCACCAAGTCTTTGTCATCCATTATTTCTCATCTGTCGTCGCGCCAAATTACATGGACCTACCAGTCACGGCTTCACAGTAAATCAGGCATGGCGAAAGCAGTATCGTTATTGGCAATGATCGACTGTGTCTCAGGTGAAAGAGCATACAGCGGTGATTATAGCGTTGCAGGACCATTTCGGGCTGTGATTACGAATTTTTGTGCCTTTCACCACATTGTGAGAGGTCTTAGACAAACAATCTTTTCGCTCGCTCGACCCTTATAGCTTTGTCGGCTCTCATTGTACTATTGTCTCACGTTCTTCTCTGTTCACCACCTTTCCCACACTACACGTACAGCACTACACGTACACTACACGTACACTACATATCACTTCCAGCAAGCATGTTTCCGAGCGCGAAGGACCCACGCAAGACGAGTATCCTAGACGACTCAGTCGGTCTAGAGTTGAACCTAGCTCAACAGGGCAACGGCAAAGGGAAGGGCAAGAACAGACAAAACACAGCAGGAGGCTTCAGTTTCTCTTCATCGCGGAACGCTGGTGTCGTGAAGTCGAAGCCCGCACCAACGGCGAGGGCGACACAAAACTTGGGCGCGCGGTTCTACGAAAGGGATGGGTTGAAGATACCACTCTACGAGAAGAAGGGGAAGAAGAGGGCGCACGCTCGCGCATCAGTCGGACTTCGTAACAAGTCTGAGGAGGAGTTGCTGAGCATCGTGGGGGAATATGCAGGCACAGAAGTTATGCGAGAGTTCAAACAGAGAGCGCGTAACAAGAAGGAAATCGCGGAATGGATCGAGGCGAAGGAAACGCTCGCCCTCGGACCTAATCCAAAGAGTCAGCTAAATCGTAAGTCACAGGCAGAGATTACCAAAGGAGAATACCTTGAAGATAAGCTTACAGGTGTAGCTACACAACTGGAAGCGAATGGAGCTACACGCCCCGACAAAGTCGCCCGAGGCAGGAACTCAAGTACGCCAACTCCTACCGCGAAACTTAAGGAAAGCAAGGTGCACAAATCGACGGAAGCACATGATGCATTCATTGTACAGTCAAACAGGACCTCGCCTGCGAAGGTCGCCCCGTCTGTTGACAAGAAGAGAGGCGCACCTGACGGAGCGCTGGATGGCCAACCACACCTGAAGCACCAAAAGCTTGATTCCCAAGCAAACATGCCATCTACCGATGTTATTTCAACAAATGGGCTTCCAGCTAAAAAGAAGGCTACAAGTCGCAAGCTTGACAGCGCATATTTACCAACGGAGCCTCCTCAAACGATCAGGGAACCGAGGACGCCTAATGTCCCGGATGTCACTGAATATACTACAAACATCACTCGTAGCACTTGTAGCAACGCTAAAGTGCATTCCGAAGAGCCCATGGCAGAGCTGTCTGCTCATACGGAATCTGCCCATAGTCCTACCACCCAGAGCGCCGAGCGCATTAGCGCGACCGACCTTCTCCAAGCACTCATGAACGACGTAGGTCTTAGCCCTTCTCAAGTCGAAACCTCTACGAGGATCGTAGCTTTGCCGAAGCATGGCGAAAACAGAGTCCTAACTGTAACATCAAACACTAAAACCGGTCAGGTCACACTTCACGACACGGGCATTCCAAGTTGTTACAACGACTACAACGGAAGTCAAGCAGTTCAAGCCATAACACCATATCTCAAGAAGGGAAAACATGGTCCTAATGGAGACTTCTTCAGCGACCCAGCTCGAGCTACCGGAAAAGGACATGACTACGACCCAGACGACACGAAGAGATACGATGAGTTTCTGCACTTTCGTTGTTTCTTCTATAAGAGATATCCGTCATACCCAAAACTTCACGAAGGCGAGAAGATCGAACCAGAAGTCAAGGCGGCTTGGGACGTTCAGCAGGCATGGTATGGAAAATTCTCCGAGAAGTACCCTGGTAGGCGCCTCGATCAGTGGCCTTGTGGTTGTCGGAAGCTATGTGAGGAGAGTGAGAGTGAGAGTGAGAGCGAGGAGGAATAGAGATGAAGGACGCTTTTGATGGATCTGAGGTGATGAAGCTAGCTGAGGGAGAAGTGGAGGCAACATTGCATGTATGAGACTCGGATTTAAGGTCGCATGTCCGACTTGGATCAAGCTTACAATTTTCAGATGTAAATCTTTTTGAGCGTACTATCCTAACTTCCAAACCATACGCGTTAAATTCAACGTCACGAATTATCCCCCACTCTCGTATGCAGACAGCAAGGAGTAATGTGACCCGCAGCCGTGCTCAGCAAATCAACCACAGCGCTAAACCGTGGTTCTCACAGCATAGCACCGTAGTTGGGCTTAAGGCTAACAACACATTACTAGACCTCTTGCTTACAACAAATATATAAGCAGCAGCAGCTCCACAATGTTGTTAATTGACTCAGTTACTACAGACACAGGTTACGACACGGCTTGTGTTTGCTGCTGTGTAGTCTTTTGGATGCCCCTTCCTCAAGCCTCAAAGCGCCTAGCACGATCTTGCCCGATATGCAGGACCTCGAGAACAACTGCCACCAGCTCTTCGTACTCGTAGTAGCGCCACGCCCAGCCTTTCTTGCGACCTTCAGTTAACAGCTGTAACGAATCGACATCGTTTGAACAACTCAATCACTCACTCACTCACTACACAGTAAGCGGAATATACTCAGAATATATAAACAGCAACCTAACAATACAGAGAACACTATAGCGTATCAACGCCTCCACAACTTCACCATCACCACGCCTTCCATTGAAATCACAACGACTATCATCCATAAGTTAAGACACTGAGTATCTCGGCTTCAACACTACTTTATCAGTTGTGGCAACTACAACTCCGCTCTCGTATCTATCTCCGGCGCCATGGAAGACATGACGCTGCCTTGTTCAAAGCAGAATTTGGATACCTCCAGCACATCTATGCCAGTAGGCTCCACCACTTTCTATACCGCACACCCCGCTTTGACACCGATCTCTACGCGCAAACGCCCTTCGCCGGCAGCTACAGACCATGAGGGTTACCTCCGATCAAAACGAGACTTAGAGACCCTCAGCAATGTCTTAGACTATACCACAACCGAAACGGCCAATGTATCTAAGAGACAACGACGATTGTCTGCAGCAAACTCGGCCTCCTTCACAACACTCAACAGAGATCGCAAACGGGATTTGCACACACCTCCAACGACCCCACCGGAGCCAACAGCCGCTACCATGCGCCTCAATCTCAAGATTCCACAGAAAGAGCTCACCAAGGATGACCAAAGGACGCTTAAGATCCGCAGAGCTTCGGCAGAACGCTGGAAGCCGAAATTGCAAAGACCATTCCCGGCGAGGAGGGAGATAAAGGAGGCTTACAACCTAAAGCTCATGCGGCATTATCCGAATCAACTTGATTCCACAGAGCCAAACTTCGTCAAGCCACATATCGACAGGTCGCCTCGGGTCGATGAATTACTAAGGCAGTTCCCGATCCCAGTAGCAACTTCAATTTCAGCATCGGCACAAACTGACAACACAAATGTCTACGCTACACCAGTTCTACCTACGCAGGCTGAAATAGACGAGCTCGAGAAGCAAAGAATGCTGCTGAAGGCGAACCGGATAATCACGAGAAGCGAGTATGCACAAAGGCTGGCGTGGAAAAACTTTTCGTCACGAGAGCGGAACAGGATCGATCGTGGACGGGAAGCAATGTTGCATTCGGGATTGTGTGAGAACGACTTGGAAAAAGAGTCTGCGGGTCAACATAATCAGCTACCAGAGTGGAGAAAGCGACATACTGGAAGATTTGCTAGGGAACAGAGACACTAGGCGTGTGCCTGCTCATTGGTTGGTGAGAACTGTAAATGAGCTAGTTTCGATAGGACGGGTGATAGGTGGTCTAAGTGATGATTCTGATTCGACTAAGAGCATTGATAGTTCTTATTGAATTAAATACCTCAGTACAGGTAGAATTATCGTGCTAAGTATGCTATGGGATGATTCGACCAAAGGTATCAATAATGCAATTTATTGATTTATTGATTTTGGTACCGTAGTACGCTTAAAAATCAAAATAGCCTACCCAAGGTGTTAACGTTGTAAAATCATATCAATACAATTTTAGCGCTAGTTTCCAGGGCTCAGGGGCTCAAATCTGCGCAAATAAACTTTTCTATCTACTTTAACACTCTGCTACATCCATCCCATTAATACGTTGGTTACAAGTACGCCCACACATCTGCCTTCACTATCATATCCACCTACACACGCTTATCAACTACACCACAACATGAAGACTGAATCTACCTCCCGTCAGTGCACCCCGAGCCCGGACATCAAGATCGAGCCTGTTCATACACCGAAGATATCCAGGACACACTACGTCGTGATCAAGCAAGAACCTGAGAGCACCCCGAAAATTTCTACGACAGATCATGTCGTGATCAAGCAAGAACCCTTGAGGACTCCGAAAGCCTATCGGCCTCAATTTCCCCACAATATCCTCAACAGCGTGGACAAAACACCAAAGACCTCCAGCCAGCTTCAAAGTCGTAAACCCACTCAGATACCAGCCCAGAGAACGTATTCTTCACAAGCCCCCACCAAGGACTGGGTCCGCTGCGAAGACTTCGACGAGCATGTGCGATTGGGCGTGACGCCACTTTTCTCCAGGACAGGTGAGGCGGGCGTACCGAATGGTGTTGACGTTGAGTTGAGTGAGGGGGAACAGCAGGACGTGGGAAGGTGTTTAAGGAGTTCGAGACTCCAGGCTCAGGAGAGGGGGAAGATGAGCAAGGGAATGAAGTGGTTGAGGGAAAGGCAGCTAAGGCAGCGCTGATGAGGGTCTGAAAGCAAGGACGTTGACGGGTCTCCATTGTTTATTCAGTTGTCCTGATTCCGGGCGCACAGCAACATAAGCGACCGCGTCGGCAATACGAGGAAATTGAGTAGGCAAAGGCTGGCGTTGGACTACTTTATGATGTGCTTTTCCTGCACGGCCTGAGTGGCGTAATGGGTATTGAAGGATGTTAGGATATGCTTTCCATTGCTGATTTGTGCTTTATTAGATACCTCTATGCGTCTGGACATTTGACGCTTTTACCAAACGCAGGCGTTATGGGCTGTTCTTCTTGTTAGTATGATTATCATATCTATAGAAAACCGTGTAGCACATTGCATCTCGTTTGTGATTTCTAGTAATCGTAGAAACCCTTCCCGCTCTTCTTGCCCAACCATCCAGCATCAACCATTTTCTTCAGTAGAACTGCAGGCCTGTATTTCGAATCCCCAGTATCGTGGTAGAGTACCTTCATGATCGCTAAACATGTGTCGAGACCAATGAAGTCTGCCAGCTGCAGTGGTCCCATGGGTACATTCGTGCCGTTCTTCATGATGCTATCAATGTCCTCTTTCGCGCCAACGCCAGTTTCCAAACATATGACCGCCTCATTAATATACGGCATCAAGATGCGGTTCGCAAGGAATCCGGGTGAGTCGGCAGATTTGGACGGGATCTTGCCCATCTTCTCACAGAAGGCGATCGCAGTGTCGACAGTGTCCTGCGAGGTCTGAAGGCCGGTGATGATCTCAACGCCCTTCTGTATCGGGACCGGGTTCATAAAGTGCGTGCTGATTACGCGTGACGAGGCAGAGAGGTCCGTAGGATCTTTAGTTGTGCTTGCGGCAATCTTGGTAATTGAGATTGAGGAAGTGTTGGTTGCGAGGATGGCGTGCTGGGGGCATATTTGTGCGAGCTGTGAGAAGATTCTGTGCTTTAAATCTGGGAGTTCCTACACACGATTAAACATTATCCTGAGACGTCGCATGTTAGGAAACCATACTGGAACTGCTTCAATGACAAAATCGACGGTCGAGAGGTCTTCAAGCTTGGTGCTAGACGTCAATCGCTCTCGTGCCGCAACCGCATCCTCTTTCGAGATCCTTCCCTTCCCTACATCCTTTTCAAGGAGCTTGTCGGCGAACTTCAAACCTTTGTCAATTGAGGCTTGCGAGTTGTCGATTAATTGGACGGACACTCCAGCTTTCTGTGCTGCCACGAGAGCTATTCCGAGGCCCTGGGAAAAGTCAATTAATTGATTATGTAGTGTTGCATTTGACAACACACCATCTGGCCAGCTCCAATAACACCCAGCTTCTTCACCTCAGCGGCAGCTCCGACGGAGGGCGTGCAGCTGAAGGTCCGGCATTGCTGCCTCGTTGCGCATCGAGCGACTTGTCTTGCTGCTGAAGAAATCATTTTTGAATTCACCACGCGGAAAAGGTGTAAAAACTGTGAAAGTCAAACAACATGTGACGATGCGAAGCCGTCCAGGCTCACTTGCCCCGGCCGATGAAAGCCGCCGCGGGCGTAGCCGAGGCATGACGTTGAAAGGGCTAGCCCCCATGTATCTTGGCAAGTTTGCGCCGTTTGTTACACTTTACGCGTGCGCGCGACGCGTCTGCGATTGTGTCCCAACATGTGCGGGCAGCTTTGAACGTCAACCACCTCCACAATGGCGCAGACCACGCTGGACGAATGGGCGAAAGACCCCGTAGATCCTGAGATTCGCGCTCACGTCTACAGCCTCATTACTGCCGTACGTGCATTCGTGGCCTTGCCATAACATTGCTAACATGCACATAGCTCGGTGGTATTGGTGAGGATGGAACATATGCACTCGGAGACAATGTCCTCGTATGCCTAAAGGATCTTCGGAAATGGCTCAAATTTGCCGACGGGCAACTGAATCGACGCGATGTCGCACGATGTATGGCTGAAGCCAACCTGGTCAAAGGTGACCTGCTGGAACTGCTTGCAAAGATATCACCTCGGGCAGTGGAAGACAAATGGAGGCACAAGATTGCGGTTGCGACACGTATGTCACGGATAAAAGTATCTCAGACTCTACTAACCGTTCAAAGTGGAACTCCTTGTGCCCTTGACATGGCCGTTCGAGATCGATCCCCTCGAAGCAACCGTAAACCATCACCGACACGGCCCATACATCCAACTCGCCCAGATCGGCTACAAGCGCGCAATCCTGCAGTTTGATCGAGACAGAACCCTCCAGACTGCCGTCAAGATCGCGTTGCCTTCCATGGCGGTACCCCTTAGAGAGCGGACACCACGAGACGAGGGCATCATTCGTATCGCACTGTACTTTATCCGGAACGTTGCCATGCTTGCACCTCCAAACAGTGCGCCCATGGATATCGACGAAGCCGAGGTTTCTCGTTCTACAACAATCGATACCTTTCAAGAGCAGGACATCTTCCAGGTCCTCTTGAGTGTGGCATCAAGCATAGGAGAAGACTTCGTTACCCAAGATGTCATCATACTTGAGATTCTCTTCTTCTTACTCAAGGGTATAGATGCCGAGAAGCTATTCATGGAAGATAAAAAGCTCAGCAGCAAGAACGCTGACGAGTTGAAGAACTTGATCCAGAAAGAGAAGTCGATGCTTGCCGGGCATGCCCGCCATGCACCCACACGGCACAACCGATTTGGAACCATGATCTGGGTGAAGCGAGACGACGAGAAAGTAACAACCATTTCTGGACAGGACGTGCTTGGTAAAGCGCAGGCTAGCATGCAGAAAATGGACGAAACGAAAAAATGGAACAAGCCCAGACGGCCAGGGCGCAAGACAGATGGCGAGCAAGAGCGGGAAGAGTTCGACTTGCCAGTACCGCTAACGTCGTCTGCGCGAAAGCACGTCAAAGCTTTTGTTGAAGAGTTCCTCGATTCATCCTTCAACCCTCTGTTCTTGCATCTAAGGAAAGCAATTGAGCGCGAAACTGAGCGCGTGGAGACGCGGCATTCACGACAATTTTTCTATCTAGTATCCTGGTTCTTACGGGCAGAATGCGCACGACGACGTACAATGAAAGAGAGGGCGGCGGATCCAAAGAGTTCTGAGGTCCTTACCGCCGAGGATGAGAGTTACGGTCTGGTCGCAGAAGTCATGAATCAGGAGACATTCATCCTTCTAAATCGCTTCATGCAGAAGAGTCAAGACGAAAAGGCATGGCGAGACTTGAATGCTGGACTAAAGTGCTTCACGCAGATTTTACTCACCGTACACGAGATGTCCGAATCTGGGCTCGAGGACGATCAAGAGATTGCCGAGAACATTCAGAATCGTATCTTCTACGAAGAGTCAACACACGAACGTATCGTCATGATCTTACGATGCTACAAAGACCAAGGCTTTGGATATCTAGATGCCGTTACGGAGCTTTCCCACGTCTTCTTACGAATGCTGGAACGTTACGCGAAACAAAATGTTGACATGCAAATCCGATCCAAGCGACGAGCCCGAAAAGTCAAGAAGAAGCAAGCACAAGCGCAAGGAGCGGATGGCGAAGAGGATGGCCACGTATCAGAAACAGAAGACATTCAGCAAGCACAGAAGACTGTTTCGGAACGTAAGTTCGACTTTATGCGATTCGCCGCGAAATTTGTAAATCAAAGTAGCGTCAACACGTTTGTGGCATTTGCCAGATACTTCAACGAGCTCGACACTGAGCAGCTGAAGCGTGCACATCGGTTTTTCCACCGCGTCGCCTTCAAGATGGAGCTTGGCGTTCTGCTATGCCGAGTCGATATCCTGCAGCTCTTTAACAAGATGATGAAGGGGCCAAGAGGATTGGACCCTGAGTCCGCTGCTTATAAAGAGTGGGACGACCTCGTCAAGCATTTCTTCAAACAAGTAGTCAAGAGGGTTCAGGAACGGCCTGAGCTAGTGGTCGAGATGCTATTTAGCAAGATACCAGCAACTATTTTCTTCCTTGAGCATGGCTACGAGCGGGATCTACCTACCCGAGCACCACGAGCTCCAGCAGAGCTAGAAGTTAGGCCAGGCATGGAGCATTCCGACCAGATTGGTGTCGCTGTTAGCGTGCTTGTCAATCAATCGAAATCGGACGCCCTTCGATGGGTGCGAGATGTACTCACATCGGCAGCAGAAGAACGCAAAGCATGGGAAGATGCAGATGAGGCACGCAGGGCAGTTGCATCTGCGGAGAATCCTGATACAGAAGCACCAACAGAGGCACAAGATGCGGAAACTCCCAAGCCTCCCTCCATTCGTAAGTACATGCGCTCAAATATTCTGATAGTCAACTAACAATTCATAGTAATCAAGCACGACAACGAAGAGCGCCGAATAGCAATGTTCAAGGACAACAAACTACGGCTACTCATGACTCTCGTGGGTTTCACAAGGCTTGGAGAACATCATGACCCAGACGCTACGTGGGTGGTTCCTTCATCCCTCACATCGGCACAGCTCCAAGAAGCCACTGATTTGATCGGCAAGTTTGAGTTCGACCCGCCGATCTATGAAGATGGCAAGGCACCGGAAGACCTCCTCCGAAGTAAAGCAGCTGCAGCGCGGCGCTCAACTCGTCGCGTGGATTTCGACGATGATTCGGACGGCACAGACAAGGATTCCGAACAGGACCGCGGAGAATATGCCCCAGATGCTCCTACTGCGAGGAATCCGGACGGTGCGAAGAAGAAGCTCACGCGCCGCAAGCGTGCAAGAACACCTGTTGAGCTAGACGAAGAAGAGCAGAATCGTAGGGCCGAGGCTCGTCGTAAGAAGGAGCTAGAGAAGCAGGCTAAGGTCATGCTTAGCACAATGTATATTCACGACTCAGATGACGAAGACTGGGACGCAGAGAAGGATACCGCTTTCTTCGCACGAGAACAAGCACTTCGCGACGAGACGGTGACTGCTTTCAAGAAGGTTCTAGCACTTGGAAGCTCAGAACCTGCTACGTCGAAGAAGAGGAAGGCTGAGGAACCGGCGAAGAAGAGCAAACGGCGGAAATCTCCCCCAAAGCGAAATGCGCCGTTTAACGATAGCGATGATAGCGACGGCGGCGCTAACGAAGAGGTGGATGATGCGCTAAGTCTGGATAGTAGGGCATCCTCTGAAGAAGTGCGAGATGCTCTGGATGATGCGAGTGAGAATGAGGATGAAGCTACAGACACCCCGCTGTCTTCTCATCATGCGGGTGCCGCACATGGGAGCGAGGAAGATACTCCACGAAGACCGGCTAAGACCGCGACGAAAGTCCAAGACACCACAATGGCCGATGTAGATGATAATGATGACGATGACGATGACGATGAAGAGGAGGAGGTACACGTCGTTCGAAGACCAGCCGCAAGGATGAGAGCAGGGTTCGTCATTGATAGCGATTCGGAGTAAACTGTAATTCAGTTATGGCATAGCGATTGGGTATGGCTGCATTGGACGGCGTCTTTGGTTTGCGTTCTTACACATTGAATACCCCGTCTAATGGTTTGTTCTCTTCTCTTTTAATAACGCTCCACTTGTGAGTGATGCGCACAAGCAACCACTTGAATTACTAGCATCACTGTTACTTATTCCATGCGACGAACGTTCTCTTTGAATCCTTTTTTAGTACTCGTTGTACTTTTGGTCCAGTGAAAGCGTCTTTCTGTCGGGTGACGTCGTGGTTGCTGTTTAGAGGAGCACCTTCGCTCCTTCGTGTTTGTCTTCCCCAACTCGCCGACCTCATCCTGTCAAGACCTCCACCAAGGTAAGTGCTGCTTCTCCACACACGCCTCGCACTACGATACAGCCATGCTAAGTTATCCAGATCGACACACATTCGAGCAGATACGTGCTCGCTGGGAGACTGCTCAGCCGGCCGAAGACAACGCGTCAGATATGGTGGGCAGGAGGGATAGGCAGGTGTTTCAGCAACCGGCGAATGTCGAGTCTCAGTCCAGCGGCGGCGGCGGCAGTAAATTTCGGAGAAAACTCAGTCATGGTCTTGCTATCATCTCAAACCCACTGTCGCAACGGAAGACCACCCCGGGACGGCATCAGGTGCAAGCGCCGTCACTGGCAGTGTCAGAGCCTACTACAACGGACAGGCCAACGACATTATGCGATTGCGATGCTCCGCTTTCACCGGGACGCAACTCGAATAATTTTGAGCACTCTACCTGCTCACTACCGAAGCCTGCAACACCGGTGAACAATCAAAGTCCAGCCAAGAGTGTTGAACCAGACTCTACGCCTAGACCATTACCTCGTTCACGTACGGTCAGCTTCATACCTCGTCCAGTCAAAAGCGAGTCTGCGATATACATGAAAGATGTCGAGAGTCTTATCAAGCCCCAACCACCCGCACTCATGTCGGATCCCAAACCCCGCGTCACGTCCTCCAGAATCCCTACCCCGAGCCCTCCATTGTCCGAACGTCGTAATTTCAGTCCACGTCAACATAACCCTCGCCATACTTCACAGCAAGAAAGGCGCATCGCGGCTGCAAGCACGTTTGTGGGAGAACATAATGGTTCACCTGCAAAGTTCGCGAGTAGGTCACGTACGACACCGAATCTGGTGAATTCAACCACTTCACCAGGACCAGCGCAGCCAACAAGTTCCTTGGCGCCTCAGAAGACAGGACTTAAGAGGCCTGCAACATCTCCAACAGTTCAGAAGCTGGTGTTGCAAGAGAACATTCCAACAAACCAGCACGTCTCCCACAGGCGATCTCAGATACAGGAGAGGCCATTGAAACGAGAATCTCTGGCAGTGCCGGGCGCAAACTCTAACAGGAGATCCTTTGGGCCAGGAGGCCCACTGGGAGAGTGCAAACAGCCGAATTTTGCCACGCCGCCGCCTGCGAGTAAACGATTAAGCTCTCAGTTCACCCAGCAAACACCTGTCACAGCCAAGCGAGTTCTACCGAAGGTACAAGTAGATCCTCACGTGGAAGATCAATCTCAAGTCGGAATCGATTCAATCGCGCAATCTCGCCTCATGGGGCCAAGAAACCCTCCAACACCAACGGTCTGCCTTCCAAAAATAGCTTTGCCTCGATCGAGCACGGAGAAGGACCTAGGACGGAAGACGCTAGGAACTCCAAACGGTTTGGGTGGTGTTTGGCGGTCATCACGCGCGTTAGCAGTGACAAACCATGAGGTGAGAAGACTCCCGCGCTCCTTAACTTTCCACAATTTTGGAACACAGTGGGAGTCTACTCCCCCAGTGCCTCCCATCCCGGAGCGGTACAGAACACCGTCTTGGTCGGACCTAACTCGGTGCTTACACATGGACCCGGACACATCTGTCAAGCCGCGCCCTGCAAAGATGATTTCGGAAGCGACTTCATGTCAATCTATCCCAGAGGAAAGAGATGAAGATGGACGTCATAGTAGCGCAAATCCTACCCCGAGCCGAACACGACTCAGACGACATTCCACATTGGAGCCCTCATACTCAACGGATAGCCTCACGGCACAACCGCCAGTAGCACCAGCGCTGTCCTCTTCGACAAATCAGCAATCTCTGCTCGGAGACAGCTATGGAACCCAGCGTCCAGTCAGTCAGAATGGACGCCCATGGTCTATCTCTGAGTGTCACAGTTCAGAGAGTGCTAACGTGGATCCATTCTTGCAGGTGAAAGATTATATGCCACCTCTTTACTGGGCAGGTAGATTCCAGTCTCGATTCGATCAATGGCGCACCGAAGCTATGATGGCACATCTGAACCCGTCCCATGAGCCAGTTGGACCGTTGGGCGAGTGCAAACTGGACCAAGAGAAGCTAGCCGCATGCTACATCTTCGCACAGTTGCGGGACTTGTGCACTTCAAATCAAGCAGCAGACAGTCTCTGGGTGCGTCCATTGTCGTTTACACCCCTCTATTGCAGTGATACTGACCTAAAGTCTAGGAGTTCGAGTTCAAATATCGTAAAGACAACAAGCTGCTTGGCAACCCGCTCGATGTCCCAAATCTGCCATCTCGTAAGCATGACGACCATTCGACTCATAAAGGGGCTTTTGGACGAGCCGTAAGGAAGCTGACACCACGAAAGACGAGCTTGGTCAATTTGCTCAAAGGCAAGGGCTGGAACAAGGGAGAAGAAAAGGCTAATGATGAGCCCGAGCATTCGTTGGAGACGTCTTCAAGCAGCTCGTAGACCTGTGGTCTAGGAAGTGATGGTTGTAAAGCTGGATGGGCGGCGGTCACGACTGAAGCGACCATAATATGCACCAGATGACGAAAGAAATGGATTACGATACGCGCCAATATGACTGAATGCTCTACACAATATCGGGATCGTCCTAGAAACGAATGCTGGTATCAAGGTTCAGGTTGAGGGGAGCGACGTTATCGCTTTGACACGTTTAACAAATCTAGTTTGCTGGTGAGGAGTTCTTTCAGACTTCGATGCTAAGATTATTGGCTGGAGGATGAGCAGCAGTGAGCGTCGCGTGTGTATCAATAACGTATGATCAGAAAGCATGAGTAATGCATGAAATATGGACAAACCAATTATCATCTACTCCTTCTTACTACTCTGCTTAGGCGATAGTTCCTCAACGATATTGTTGGGGTCCTTCCATGCCAACGCAACGTACTTTGTATGACTCCCTCGTGCAAACACTTCGCCCTTGGTGTTGGTAAAGTTGATTGAGGTATAGGCCAATGTCTTGCCAACTACATTGCACAACTGTTAGTGTTACAGGACATTGGCAGTCGGTCAAGTGCATGAACTCTAGTGGGGAACAAAAGAGAAAACGTACACTTGTCGCATGTTACCTCAGCTTTGATGAGATCGCCAATCTTACCCCCGGATGAGAGGTATGTCACATTGAGATCGGTAGAAACTCCCGTCGCGAACAGGCCTCGTGAGGCAACGGCGAGAGAGCCGCCGAGATCGACTTTGAAGGGTCAGCCACCGTTCCGCATGCCATATCAAGGACGCTCACCCATGCTGGCTATGGTGCCGCCATGAAGGATGTTCAATCGATTCTGCGTGTCGTAGTTAGTAGTGTCGTAGGGAGGATAAGGTGGAAATAGGACAACGGACCGTGTGCTCTTTTTGGATATCGAGCTCAAACTTGACGCGGCCTGGTACTGCCGAGGTCACTCGAAGCTGTTAACGGAGCTTGTCAGCTTGCTCGCTGAATTGCAGTAATTTTCAAGATAGATACATACTCCGTCTAGCAGCCTGCGATGCACATGACATTAGCGGGTATAGGCTGCTGGTTTTTGGTATCAAAGGTACCTTGGCTCCAGGCCCGAATTCGCTCGGAACGATTCCCAAACCTTAGGCAACGGGTCAGACTTGAGCGTGATGTAGATTTGTTTATAATTAGGCGCTTACAGATCGTACAAACTTGAGCGCAGGCATGATTTTGATATTACCTTCTAGTCACTGGAGGAGTGAAGTCGTTTATCTCCACTCGGCAATTGATCGTGCATCTCGGAAGCTAGCCTGGGGTGGAGCGGAATCTGTGGGGGTTCCTTCCGCGGCTTGGCGTTGGTTGATCTTGAAGGCAACCACACTTTCTTTCACGACTTTACTTTCTGCACAGTACGCGGTGCAACGCACGCAATTAGTCCACCGCACTCATCCAAGATCACCCGATCATGATACTACGGTCGTAGAATTGATAATCGACCCACATCCACCAAGATGTCGGCGTCATCTTCAACCCAGGCGCTCGAATACCTCGAGGGTCTGCATCTGCAGACGCATAGAAAGCTGTATGAGCAGCCTTCGACAGTGCTAGCCGTGTTTCGCTGCATGCTGCCGCACCTAGGTAGGCTCTTTTGGTTGTCTCAAGGCATGGCCAAAGCTAACAACGGTGGCAGCCAAGTCGATAGTAATGGCAATGCTCTACATGCCCTCAGCCTTCCCCACCACCGACCTCGACGCTTGGTTCAAGCCCTCCGCCCGCAAAGAGAAAGAACAGGCCCTCTTCGTCCTCGACCGCCTGCACATCCTCACCTCCAAGCGAAGCGATGACGGGAGACAATTGTACTCGCTCTCCTCTGGCTTTCAGCATAGTTTGCGACAGGCTATCGAAGGTTCAGGCACCCACCGCTCGTTTGGCGTCCCTGCGACAAGGGAAGAGAGTGGAGGCAGAAAGGTCACAATCAACTTTCTAGACGAGTATTCGAGAGCGCAGTGGGAAGGTATACTATACTATTTGGTGAGTGGTGCTGCAGGGCTGCATGCAGATGGTATCGCGCGATCCGAGGTGGGAAATGGAACGAAGGGGCTGCTGAATGCTGGTGATCTCGTGAAAATAGTGCATGGGAGCCCTCGGATTACCAAGGATGGCTTCTCTTTCGTATTGCAAGAGACGAACGCACAGGTCTGGAGCCTGTTGATTGTCTACCTGAAAATGGTAAATAATGTAAGTACAATTCTTCCATCGCGCATCAATGAAGGGCTCTTTAGAACAGTGCGACTCGCAAATCATTGTGAGAGCCACTCTAACCACACACAGCTCGGCATGTCCGAAACCGAAGTCCTGTCCTTTCTCTTCATGCTCGGATCCCTCGAACTAGGCCAGGACTACTCAATTTCTACCCTCTCGCCCACACAACTCCAAATGCTCGAGGACCTCTCCGATATGGGCCTCATCTACCGCTCCTCCAAGACCGCCAAAACATTCTACCCAACCCGCCTAGCCACGACACTGACCTCCGATTCCGGTAGCGCAATGTCCGCCTCCTCCAACGACATCGCGCAGGCGAGCCAAGGTACCGCTGGCCCCGCAGCAACCGCGAACAAAGGCTTCATCATCATCGAGACAAATTATCGGCTCTACGCCTACACGAATTCGCTGATCCAGATCGCTATCCTATCCTTATTCACGAAACTCCAACACCGCTTCCCCAACCTTGTCTCCGGAAAACTCACAAAAGAATCCGTTCACAGAGCCGTGCAATCCGGCATCACAAGTGCCCAAATCATCAGCTACCTAACTACCTACGCACATCCGCAAATGCAGAAAAACGTCCCTTATATCCCGCCTACTGTCATGGACCAGATCCGTCTCTGGGAGTATGAGGGTGAGAGGGTGGAAGTCACGCCGGGCTACCTTATGAGGGAGTTTGGGAGCGAGACTGAGTATAGGGATGTACTTGGGTATGCGGATGCGTTGGGTGTGCTGGTATGGCAGAGGGATGAGAGTAGGTGCTTTTTCGTAAGCCAAGTGGAGCAGATTAGTGCGTACTTGAAGAAGAAGAAGGAACATAGAGAGGGTGGTAGGGTACGGTAGATTTTTCCAAGGCATAGGAGGGCGGGCGACTCAGCAGTTTTGATTCGTCATCAAGCTCAGTGCTGACGTGCATATTTGGCGTTGAAAATTTCTGACTGCATTTGAGGTTAGATTGTTAGAGTATAGGGAAATACCACAAATTGGCGTTAAGAGAAGAAACATTGGAGGCACTGTTTTGGGTGGCTGAGAATCAAGTTTTTTGTTCTCCACCTGGTACTCGTTCTGGTATCTCTACACGAAAAAATAAAACTTTCTAAATATACACCACAGAGCAATAGCACGCCCACAAGAAGCCCTTACTAACTTCTAATCTCAAGAACTCAAGGACATGGCCCCTAATCGATCTTAAGTCTCAAGGCCCTCATCGTCCTCGCCATCAAAGTTACCCACCGATTCCTCCGGAATGAGAACATTCTCCGGCCGATCCTCGTCCTCATCCGCATCCTTGGCCACGACTTCGCTCGCGTCAATCATCTTGACCTCCCTCGTAGGCAGCCCCGCACCACCACCCTTCGATTTCAAATCCTCAATCTTAGCCAGCGTCATCTCGTACACATACTGGCCCAAATGCTCTACGCCTTCCATGACCGTCTCACCCTCAACGTTTACTTCCACCATCTTGACGTTCGATCCGGTGACAGTGGTGGAAGGCACGGGTCGCTGTGTTTCGCCGTGCATTTCGCCAGTCACAAGCGTGAGTTTATCAGGGCGCTGGAATAAAATGTCGAAAGCGGGTTTGAGTTCGAAGACGGACTCGAAGACGGAGCGGCGGCCGAGGATATAGAGACCGAGACGTGCGCGAGAGAGCGCGACAGTCAGACGGCGGATGTCGCGGAGGTAGCCAATGGCGCGGGTGCGGACTAGGGAGAGGATGATATCTATTGTGCGTTAGTATTTCGTTCTAGCAGAACTTGCAAAGGAAGGAGGGGAGGACTTACAATCATTCTGTTCACCCTGGTACTTGTCCACCGTCGCCACCATCCTTGGTCTACCGAATAGCGGATTGTTCTTACACTTCAGCCCCAAGACATCGTTGATCAACGACCGCTGGCCAGCGTACGTAGTCAGTATGGAGATCTTGTTCGCTGGGTATCCCAGCAGACGCATGTACATGAAGATCGAGACGGCGTACTCCGCCTCGCCCAGGTTGACCATGAAGTGCGGTTTAGGTTGGTCTTCGCCTTTGCCCTTGAAGTCCTGCACATCGATGAACTGGTACTCGTGCTTGAAGCCTGGGTTTGCAATTTGGAACTCTGGTTTTGATAAGACAGAAGGTAGATTATCCAGCTTGGGGTAACGCCATTTGTAGAGCTCTGCGATCGATGGCCGAGCACGAGCTTGCTGGTCGAGCATTATTGTGGGAACACCGAGGCGTACAAGTCGCTGAAAGAGTGATTGCTCGAGATTGGCATATTGGCGGAAAGCAAGGTTCTGGATGACAGGTGAGTTTTGGAGATGGTCACCGCATAACACGATACGCTGAAGGGGCAGCTCGCCATTCCGAGGATCCTGTAAGGCGAGTGGGATGAAGTTTTCAATCTCCGTGATCTGAGCAGCTTCTTCCATGATCACATTATCATAGTGGAATCCTAGCGAGGCAATCTCTTGCCTTCGCATCGCAGCATGTGTAGATGTCATGGCGATGATGCGGGCTTCCTTCACCAAGAGGTAGTTCGCTTTATCGCGCGGGTTCCGAAGTATCTCAAAGGGACGAATGTCCTCGATTTCCGTGAAGATCTTCTCAACATGGCGATAGCAACCTTGAGCGATCTCAAGAATCCGATCGCGGTCTGCTGCTGGCGAGAATAGAGGCTGAGGAGCATTTGAGAAATAGCCTTTCAGCGGGAACTCAGCGATTATCTGGTCAACGCTGGTGCCTTCAGATGAAACACTGTCCCAGTATTGCGTCCAAGCCGGCTTTACATAGACAAGATTGAAGTAATCTGCAGTCTCGCACGAGCTTCCATGAGCACCAGGCGCACCAAAGTTCTTCGCAAGACGATCGACTTCAGACAGATAGTACGTTCCTCTCTCGAGAAACGACTCCACTCTTCCATGCTTGCTATAGCTCGCATCTGTCTCGAGGTCCTCTTCGCCGTGACCTAGGCGTAGCAGATGACGCTCATCAATGTCAAGTGCTACAATCTTCTGGAAAAGTTGGTTAAGCGCCTGATTGCTGTGTGCGACCAGCAAGGTCCGCTGGTCCGGGAAGTTGTGGTATATATTGGATATAATTTGGGTCGCAACATCCGTCTTTCCGGTACCCGGCGGTCCGAGCACGACAGTTAGGCCAGGCTGCGTTCCTGAAGTGATGGCTTCAACCTGTGCAGGGGTGAATCTGACCGCATTCTGCTTGGGTGCGTCTGCAGGATAGGGCCCCATGTTCGGAGGCTTGTACGTGGAGACGTGCAGCGATTCATGCAAAGGTTGTGCAACCTCGACCTGGTCGCGACGCCGCTTCTTCGATGGTCGTGCAGGAGCATTTTCTGGTTCGGCTGCTGCAGAATACTGCACGACGTAGGGCGGCCCAAAGGATGTCTGGGCCTCCTCGTGGGGTTCGATAGATTTGCCGGGCTGGGACTCGATCAGGTGCTGCCAGTCTACAAAGGTATCACGAAAGTCTATCGAATGCAGTCGGTTAGGTAGTCGCTTGTAGGTTGCAGATGCAGGATCCCCGTATCCTAGGAAGACCTCCTGAAGCCATGATGGTGCTGGGATGTCTGAAAGCGTCAAGCGCTTGATGGACTCGAGGATGGGAAGAAAGTTATTCTCCCGCCCTTTCCGTCGGACAATGAGATTAATGTGCTCATAGACGTTAGTTCTACCTTCAGCAGTGTGGTCCATGTCGGTCTTGTACTGCTTTGCGTCGATGTTGACGATAAGTCGCCGTTGTCGTGCCCGGGGTGCGAAGCCATCGTTGTGAGCCTGTTCGCGAAGGGGCCTCCCGTTCTGATCCAGTATCTGAACCACCTGAGCACATCTCAGCCTGTGAAGGCCAATTTGTTCACCAGTGTTGAGCTCCTCATGGTTGCCGTTCCGCATGGGGAGGTCGTCCGGTCCTTCGACAGCCAGTAGGAAAACTACATCGTCGGGTCTAAGCTGTTCCCAGTCTCTTCGTACGCGATCCTGGAGACGGCTGACATCTAGAATGATCTCTGCCCGAACATAAGCCGGATGCTCCTCGCCAACTTTTGAAGGAGCTACATCGACAACAGCTGGCTTCATAATCTGTAGTGACATCATCGACACACCACCAAGTTTTGTGTTGACGCCTTTGCCCTGTGGTTTTATGAGTTTCACTACGTCCTCTATGTCTTTCCTGATACCGTACAATGCCTCGGCACGATATAAGATGAACGATCTCCATAGGAAGTCGCCCATTGTCAAGTACTGAAGATTCAGTTTCGGTATGGCTAGCGGCCTTGACCCATCGTAGGATTCATTCCTAAGGAATGTGGTCTCGTACAAAATCTTCTCTGTCGGTAAGACGGGCATGTCGCGGACATGATCTTTGAACGTAGACCTTTGTTCGACTAGCGAGAGAAGAGTCTCCATGTAGAACGCTCGATCTCGGACAAGGTAAGAAGAGCTTGGGTATTCGGTTCGCAGGCCCATCAAAGAGCAAAGTTCCACCAGCTCATCGTCGCCCAAGGAGCGCAAATGGCCATCCAACTCTTCTCTATTGCCAACACTGCCATAATTTGCCAAGGCCATCAACTGGAGCTTTTCCTGAAAGGCAGCATAGCCAGTCCGCTGCAATTTGGCCAGGACATCGTAGTGCTGTTGATCGTATTCCAATTTCGACAACTGTCTGCCAGTTTGATCCTCGATTGGAAAGTACGTGAAGTGGCTCAGGAGGGTAAAGAGATCCCGGAACAAGCCATTGTCCTCGTCCGTATACGTGGGCGAGAGTCTGATGGCCGGAAGCAGATTCAAGTCTTGCAACAGTGCGTTGACGTATCTCCTCGTCGGCAACTGGCTCTGCAAGTCGGTGACCAGCTCCATAAACCGCTCACAGTATGCTAGGTTATCCTTGATCTCTTCCCTAGTGTTGCTGTTGTACAGGCGATCCAAGAAATCCAGTAGCAGCGTATATAGCCATGACCGCTCGAATCGTAACCGCGCCTGAAGCGCCTCGTCTCCAGCATCGAACCGTTTTGACGCTGCTCTCCATGCCTTGCGCAACATCTGATGTTGCTCAAAGTGTCGCTCTCGCGCGGCGTCTGAGTGTAGGTTTTGCCATATCGATACACCGACCAAGGGGGCGCATTCTTTCCGCACCAGACCGCTGTCTAGCGATTGAAAAGCACCGATGACAAAGGAGATGAGCTGCGTTCGGATCTTGCTCGGTTGGGAAGGATCGACGGTCATGGACAAGATGCGACGAAAGAAGGAGGAGAACTCGGCAGGTTTGCTTGCGAAGTGTTCTACACGTTGTCAGTAGTGCTCCCTATAGGCGAAGTACTGGAGCTTCTTACCCCAAGACGGCAGATTCTCCCTCCTCTTGACATTGACCATGAGCGCCAGCAGCAGGTGATGGTAATTCGATGCATCTTCAGTGAATCCAGGCCATAGATAGCGCTCCAGTAGCTGTAGGTTCTCCAGGATCAACAGCGACGAGTAGGCAAAGTCGCCCGTCTCCAGCTCATCCCATAGCTCTTTCTTGACCACCTCTGGGCGCACTTTTGGCGTCTTTTTCGTAGTCAACCAGAACTTTCTGGCTACCTGTGCGAAATGGCCCTCTCCGTGCAAGTCAGCCACGGTAGGACGGGCGTGTACATTGGAGGAATCGGTCGCATGCGTAGCCGGCGCGCCACGTCGGGCGCTGCTCGACCCTTGTTGCTTGATGTCCTCCATCTCTTCTACTCTCCTCCTATGCAGTCGTTCGTGGGAGTCGTGTGGCGCTAGGAGTGACGCGCGCACTCATTGTTGTCGCAGGTTGAATAGTAAAAACGCGCCAAGAGTTTTCAAAAGTTCTTGGTCGCAGTTGGTGGATCAGATGGCGCGCGGAGCAGCTGCAAGCTTTGGGCCCGCAACGGCACTTGCCGACGACTTGCAACCTCACTTCGCGAACCCACTCCAGCACCTCCGCACCAGAGACAGCACCGCCGCAATGTCTTCGCAGGACGCCGCTGTAAGGCATCAGGCCGTTGTGCCGGACAAGATTCCTTCTGGAGAGTATCCTGTAAGTGAATTGAGCCCCAAGAGGACGCGCAATGGGCGGACAAGGCTAATTCGTCGCAGCTCATCGACAATGACCCGTACGCTTCCCCTACGTCTACCACCGGATGCGGATACTGATATTAGGTCCAGACATATCAAGCGAGTACTGCGGTACACCCGCCCCTCCGACTGGGCCTATGGCGCAGCAGTGGGCGCTATCAGCCCTGGCTTGATGCTGTACTGGGAGAAGGTCTCTCCCTCCTTCGTTGGAAAGGGTGGATTTGCGCCAATCATGCGGCTGAGTGGTGCCGTTGGTGTTACTGGTTGCTTCCTATTCGCATACTCACGGTCTTGCAGTACGTTCAGCCCTTTCCTCCAGGTCGACTGACCATGTGGCGCCTTGAGATATCGATTGCTAACAACTTTTTGCAGTGCGCTTCTACGGTGCGCGCGAGAACCGTCGAGAGATCGAGATGGATATGCGCGAGATGGTCGACAAGGTCAAGCAGGGACAGCCGCTGTACGGCACATCCGAGATGACCGAGTACATGCAGGGAGTCGCGCACAGAAACTCGCGATACGCAGCTACATTCGCTCACGTCCTGCCGTGGCCGAACTTTGTCAACCACCCATACCATGGAGTGGATACCGCGAAGTATTACCGACAAGCAGAGTTGGAGTTGGAACAGGAAAAGCGTGGCCGGTGAGCAATTGGTGCAAAACACGAAAAATATTCCAGGATTGGAGGAGCGCTTTCTTAACGTCACGGCAGCTGTAGATAAAGTGCCTTCTCAGGATGTATCAACATGCATTTCCTTCTGTTCACAAACCAGAAAACTCGTCCGTGTTTCTAACCCGATGCCAAACTCCCCAGTACCTTCTCCCGCCCAAGCTGCAGCATTTTATACTTACTAATCCAATCATCCCTATTGATGTATCCGCCACAAATCCTCCTCTTGCCCGTAAACTTACTCCGTCCGTGCAATACCCTCCAGTTATCAAATATCAACACTCTGCCCGGTATCAACTGCTCCCAATACTCATTCTCTTTCTTCTTAAGCAAAGCATCGAACTTGCGCGCTGCATCATACCAAGTTTCGACTTTGTCAATGGGAAGCTCGATGCTAGCGCGGTCGGACGAGTTCCATCGGACGCGCAGAAGATCGCCGGTAAGAGAGTCGTGTTCAAGGACGGGGAAGGCGCGGTAGGGTTGGATCGAGATACCTTCGTTGCCAGAGGCGTGGGCGTAAACGTTGACTGTAGATAGGATCTCATACGCCTCTCGGTCTGTTTTGCAGAGTTCGTCGGCGACTTTGAAGCCGTCCACTAGAAGAGAGGCGCCGCCTTCGCCGTCGGTGTGCGAAAGGAGGTGGAAAGCTTGCAGACCAGCGGGGTCGGAGAAATAGGTATTGTCGGTGTGCGCTTCGAGCGCGATGTTGGTGTATGCCGTGTCTTTTGAGGCGAGGTCTGCAGTGAAGTCATAGAAGCCGCCGTAATGGGTGTTGCGGATGAAGGCGATGCGTTCCAGCAAACCTTTGGTAGCCTTTGGTGTAATGGGTGTATCGTCAACGTAGCAAAAGCCGTACTGGCGGATTTTCAACAGGACTCGGGCTATCTTTGCGCGGCCCGTAAGACGATAATATTCTTTCGGGGGATCAGAGGCAATAGTCGAGTCCCAGAGCTTGACTGTGGTCAAACCTTGCCGTAGAATAGCATTCTGCCTTTCAGGATTCGTGGTTCGACTAAAGAACTCTCGTGAAAACTCGCTTTGATGCCCATCACTCCACTCGATCTTCAGTACGCTCCCATCAAACGAGTGGGTTTTGATTGCTATATCCTTTGGTATGGAGAAAGTATCAAGGAGTCTCTGTTTGGTCGCCTCATGCATGCAACTACCACACTGGCAGTTGTCTCGTAGCCATATGTTCGGAATAGTGCTTTTCTGGACAAAAACCTTATTGTCCCGCACGTCTATTTTAACGCTCTTCTCCTGGTCACGTGCTACCGTTCGAACTCTGTACGGGCCTTTCACCGTTTCTGTGATCGCCCGTTGGCGGCTGTAGATGCGCATGAGCTCGAGGTCTAATTTTCGCAGGTCCCAGGATATACTGTGATTCTTCTTTGCGTGCTCTTCACCAAACATCATGGCAAGCTGGGAGCTCGGGTTCTTTGGCTTGTTGAGATCCCTCTCCCTTGACACGATCTCATCAGCTTCGCCATTCTCGTCTTGCTCTTCCACGGTGGCGGTAGCTGATGAGGAGCTGAGACGGATTGGTGCCTTTCAAATCTTAGTTTTATTTACAATCAAAGGGTTAAAACTACAGACCAGGAGTGCTGAAATTGCGGGTGCTGAACTTCTCGTGACATGGGGAGCATTACACGCGCACCTAAGTGCTCGTACCGATAACATAGTGTGGAACCTTCGAAACGAGTTAAGAACGCATGCAACTACAAGAATTGGACCCAAAAGGTCCGAGGCCGACAAAAAGGACAGGGTTTCTCTTGATAAGTGCTGTTGATAGGACTGAGGTGCGTGACTTGAGGACGCTGGGATGTCGGAGTCTTGGCAACAACCGCCGTACCACTCCGCCTCGAAAACCTCGGATGACAACTTGGCGGCACAGTAATTGTGGAAAACCCCAGATGGGCAAAAAACGGCTCCAGTGGGACTCGAACTCCGCCCAGGACAGCTCTGGGGAAATCTCGAAGATGATGGAAGCGAGTATGTGGCAGATATAACGGACTTCGAGGGTTTTAGCGAGTCTAGCGACGATGTTGCAGCCAACTCTATGGTGGAGACGGACCTTGAGGGCTTTTCTTCACCCCCGCCTGCATTCAAAGGCAAGGGCAAAGCAAGGGCCGGCTAGGTCACAGAGCCAGCAAGGAGAAGCACAAACAGTTACTAGGAGCTATGTTACTAAACCAGCGTGGTGCGTTATGCGCGGAGGCAGACAGATGCGAAAAGACCTTTCTGTAAGCGCTACATGATGCACTCGCACCTCATTTTCAGGATCATATCATATGATTTAGTGAGGCGATTGCGTAAGTTTTGTATTGTCTGTTGCTCAGAAGCAGAGATGCTTGTGAAATGTTGAGGAGCTTCAGACTGCAGTTCGCATAACGCGTGACATTGTTGAGCTAATGTGGCTTTTTTATGGTGACGACTTTTGAGAGCAATGCTTGCTAAAATTCAGAGCAACTCAAGCGCAAAAGTAAACGCGCATGAAAGGACGCTATAGCCAAAAACAAAAACAAAAAAAAATAAGATAAGCGACACCAGTGGGACTCTGAGATGATGTTAGTAAAGTCACACTAATTAATTGTTGGAGGGTGTACGAACCGAACCCACAATCTTTGCCACCGGAAAGCAACGCCTTACCATTAGGCCATGGTGCCAGACTCGTTTGTTTCTTGGACTTGGAATAGAAAGTTTCTAGATTTGTATCTTACATGTAGTGAATATTATACGTTGTCAGTCAGACTGAGGTAAATTCACGCAGTTTGTGCTTCAGTCTTCTATACCTCCTGCCCCACATTGCGGCCTATCACTGGTTCACCGCTCTGACCTTTTGCGTGGCCGTTGCCTCCTCGAACTTAATAGACCTCCCCAATGCATAGCATAGCTAGACTCACAGGATCGAAAGTGATCAGACCATAAATACACGAAACAGTCCTCGTTACCTTTGCGACTGACTAACTAAAGTCCCGTGAATTAGTTGGAAATAATGGTGATTTGCAACCCATCGGCGTGACGCGCAGGGACGCGCCAAGGCCGGAGCTAAGTAATCGCGGGAGCTTCACCTGTCGTAATCCACAGCTGCCTACACCAACAGCTTATATCAACACCGCGTTCCTCCACCGCCCCACTCGCTACAATTTCCTCGATTGTTCCAGTGCACATCCTCTCGTCTATCTCTCAACTAGATCTTAGGTTTCGGGTCGCTGACCTCGCCCGCCACCATGTCAACACTCGAAGATCTCGATGACCTTGAGCGCCACGAGAAGGAGGAAAAGAAGGATGATGACAAGAAGAAGGATGGCGAGCAGGGCAAGAGGGGGGCCGATGGCGATGCCGAGATGGAAGACGCAGTGCCGGAGGAGGAGGAGCTAGACGAGGAGATCTTGAACTCAAGCACACGGGACATCGTCGCGCGGAGACGGTTACTAGAAAACGACATGCGCATCATGAAGAGCGAGTTCCAGAGGCTGACTCACGAGAAGTCGTCGATGAATGAGAAGATCAAGGACAACCTCGACAAAATCGAGAACAACAGGTACACCCCACTACTCTCCGCTGTCAGGACCGCTGCCGGAACACGGCGTCGGAATGCCAGTACACATACTAACACGTTGCAGGCAACTTCCGTACCTAGTTGGTAACGTCGTCGAAATATTAGATCTGGACGTGACCGCAGAAGCGGCGGAAGAGGGCGCCAACATCGACCTGGACGCCACCCGGGTGGGCAAGTCTGCAGTCATCAAGACATCTACGAGACAGACTATCTTCTTGCCCCTCATCGGTCTGGTAGATCACGAGAAGCTCAAGCCTGGCGATCTCATTGGCGTGAATAAGGATTCATACCTTGTCCTCGATACCCTGCCCGCTGAGTACGACAGCCGAGTGAAGGCTATGGAAGTCGACGAGAAGCCGACGGAGAAGTACACTGATGTCGGAGGCTTGGATAAGCAGATCGAGGAGCTCGTCGAGGCTGTGGTGTGGCCCATGAAAGAGGCCGAACGGTTCAAGAAGATTGGCATCAAGGCACCCAAGGGTATGCTAATTGGTCCTTATTCATTGATGTAAAACTGCCGCTAACCATCATGTAGGTGCACTGATGTACGGCCCTCCCGGTACCGGAAAAACCCTCCTCGCACGAGCCTGCGCAGCCCAAACCGATGCCACTTTCCTCAAACTCGCCGGACCACAACTCGTGCAGATGTTCATCGGTGACGGTGCGAAACTGGTAAGGGATTGTTTCGCTCTTGCGAAGGAGAAGGCACCCTCGATCATCTTCATCGACGAACTCGATGCCGTTGGTACTAAGCGTTTCGACTCCGAAAAGTCTGGCGACAGGGAAGTGCAGCGAACCATGTTGGAGCTTCTCAATCAGTTGGACGGTTTTGCGTCTGACGACCGCGTCAAAGTCCTTGCTGCAACGAATCGAGTCGATGTCCTAGACCCAGCTCTACTTCGTTCAGGTCGTTTGGACAGGAAGATCGAGTTCCCTCTACCGAACGAAGAGGCTCGCGCACAAATTATGCGCATTCACTCACGGAAAATGACGGTAGACGAGGGAGTTAACTGGCAAGAGTTGGCACGTAGCACTGACGAGTTTGGTGGAGCACAGCTGAAGGCTGTGTGTGTTGAGGCGGGCATGATCGCTCTTCGAACAGGTCACCAGAAGATCAGCCACGAGCACTACGTCGATGCTATCGCTGAAGTGCAGGCAAAGAAGAAGGATACGGTCAACTTCTACGCATAAGGTGTGGACAGGTTGAGCTCGATGAGGTGCTTGCATAAGTGCGGTAGTAGACCGCACCTGTAATAACAGATATAGCTGCAGCACAACACAATTGACAATCATGATATTCAGATATTCCACAATTCATTGTCAAACATGCGCCGTAAGGTGTGTTAGCGAGCTAGAACTACTTACAAGGGATACCCAAGCTTCGAATGCAACAGTCTAAACCTAACAGTCTTTCGTTTTTCGGCAGAGCGGAGTATCGCGCCGTGAATCTAATAAGCAGTAAAATCATTCGTTAATTACACGGTTCTTTCCTATCTTTAGATGCTCCGCCTGATATTAGGGAGGCGCTTTCTCTTAACTGGATGAGCACCACGTTGTCTAGACTATGACCTGTTCAGCGCACAAGGAATTATCAGGTATGTATAATCCAATCGTATCCTCACAACGGTAAACCCTCTAGGGTATTGTCTCAGAAAAACTTGCGTGACACCTAGGAGATCTCATGTACACAAAAGCGAAGGCACTCAGCCTCATTGATACCTGTCATGAGATCCAGAGACTCGGGAGTAAAGACAGTAAGGATATCAATATACACAGGCAACACGGATGGTTCACCTGCAACAGCCATCCTTGCCCCGACAATAGTCCTCGACGCTGTTTGGATGTAAACACTTGGCTGTGATATCGCTCGAACCGAGGTCATTCCCGACGCTGCCCGATGCTTCGAACGGATGAGCATAGCGCAGTGGCTCTCGGCCGCCTTGCCCTCATGCAAATCATTTCGACGTATCTAATGATCGTTGATCGGTGTCCCTGCATCATCGTCAGTTGTTTTAGCACGCCTGCGAGGAGCCGCTTCCTATTGGTCGAGGGGCCCAACAATGAACCTCAACCCAGGACCTCAACACCAAGCAACCTTCTACGCACGCGCAACGGCACTCCAACTTGATAGGCTCACTGATTTCTTAGTCCCCCATGGTTACCGTGAAATCTGGAGAAAATCTCGGTTCTATTAGGCCCTGCATAGCCGCTTGTAGCGATTTGCGAGGCGACACTTCGACGCTGCGGCATCCCACTTCGCGTCTACACATTGGTGCCTCACGCCGTTTTCAGATCTTCGAGCATGTGGCAAGTTTTATTGGCTGGTAAGCTCCATGAGAAATGAGTATGAAGCCTTGCGCACCTGCTCGTCATCTAGCATCATGTGGGCTGGCATTATGACGAACCGAAGTCGGAATGATGCTTCGGAACGCTTCTCATATAACGGTGCCCCTCATGGAGCCTTTTCAGTTTGGTTGTTTGTTTGCCCCTCTCTCTGATATCTTCGTCGCATTTTCAAAGCCGCAGCTATGCTAGGCCTTTCACTTGTTCTCCCCCGTGACCCTTTCCACCAGCTCACGATAGTGCTATGTATCGTTGGTCTCTTCCTTGCCACAATCTTTATCTTTGCTCTCAAGCCGAAGAGCAAAGGACAGCCACCGAGTACTATCGAAGCGTACTTGAAGTTCATCTATGGATGCTTCCTGAAGCCTCATACAGGTGATGGGTCAGGAAGCCAGCAGGATGCCTTGGTACGTTTTAGTCAACATGGTGTCATGAGATTATGCTGATGATTTACAGGAAAGCTTTTACAAAGCCCAAGCAGATGTTTACGATGCTACTCGCCTCAGACTCCTCCAGGGCCGCGAAGATATGTTGGGACTTGTGGCAGCACAATTGAGGCACCGCACTGAGGCTGGCTTAATTTCTCAGCGTCCAGTCTGGGTTGATGTGAGCTCAGCCAACATGAGGAGCGACCAATAATTACTAACACGGGTAGATTGGGGGTGGAACTGGTCACAAGTAATTCAACAAGTGCTTGCTTCAGCATTCGCAGTCTGACATTGCATCAGCGTCGAACAGATGAACGCCTTCCTTTCCGTTCCAGACACCTTTCGTGCAGTTTGTATGCAGATACCGACACTGGCATCGAAACAATACTGAACTTTATAGATGTCGTCGATCTATCTCCTAGTCTCTGCGACATGGCTCGCAAGCGCTTCGCGCGCCTCGGATGGACAAACGTTAAAGTGGTCTGTCAGGATGCTCGCGCTTTTCGCCTCCATGAGCACGAACCGCAAGCCCATCAACGCAAAGAGCTCATACTGCAAGGCCAAACCGTTCGCGATCTCGACGAGAATGCCGATGCCGGTGGTGCAGAGCTTGTTACGATGAGCTATGCTCTATCAATGATCCCGGAGTTCTATCCCATCATCGACTCAATCGACAGTCTGATGAGCCCGAATGGTGTCATCGGTGTCGTTGACTTCTACGTACAAAACCAGGTCGATTTCATGGGAAGGAACTATATGGGTGGTGCTATTGACCGCCATTGCATGTGGATCTCACGTGTCTTCTGGCGGACGTGGTTCGAGATCGACCGTGTCAATCTTGAACCCGCACGACGTGTAAGACTCAGATCGCAATAGTGAATTCTCCGCTAACTTTTAATAGGACTACCTTGAGTATCGCTTCGGCACAGTTCTCAGTATCAACGCCAGGAACAACTTCTTCAGCACTGGTATCAAGTTGCCATATTATATTTGGGTGGGTTGCTCGAAAGATCACGGTGCTTCAACGCAAAAGCTCGCCGAAATCGACGCCGCCGCTACAGAATCGCCATATCTGTCTGCGCTCGATCTCCAGACTGGGGCTACTCCAACTGATGTCGAGGTCCGCTCGAAAGCATATGAGTCCGCAATCGTCAACCTACAATCTAGCCTCCCTCTGCCAGCTACGTGGTACCAGAACCATCACTGGCGTATCCATTACGATTCAGCCCTTCCTAAGCACACTCGCTTTAACGACTCTTACATCTATGCGTTCACATGGGAAGACGACGTAGCCGACATGCGCCTCCTGAAGCCTACTGCTAATGACGTGGTTCTTGCTATTGGCTCTGCTGGCGACAACATCCTGGCTTTCTGTCTTGAGAACTGCCGTCGAGTACACGCCGTCGACCTTAACCCTTCGCAAAATCATCTTCTCGAACTCAAAGTTGCAGCGTTCACTGCTCTCGGTTACCAAGACGTCTGGAAGCTGTTCGGTGAAGGCAAGCACACCGACTTCCACGACATCCTCATTCAGAAACTCAGCCCACATTTATCATCTGAGGCTTTCCAGTTCTGGCTACACAAGGGTCCTTCAGTATTCTCTTCCTCGTCCTCCAAAGGTCTCTACTACTCCGGCGGCTCAGGCAATGCGCTTGCAATCGCAGGCTGGCTTTTCCGCATCCTCGGCATGGCTGAAGACGTCAAGAAACTCTGCGCAGCACAAACTCTCAATGAGCAACGTGAGATCTTCCAGCGTTCGATCAAAACGGTCATTCACTCCAAGATCCTTACCTGGGCTATCCTCGGTAACGAGAAGTGGCTTTGGAAAGCGCTCGGCGTACCGCCTGCGCAACGCAACGTCATCGAAGTGGATTTCAAAAAGCAAGAAGACTTCGACGAAGTTAAGGCTACGACCCCGAAAAAGGATGCTGCGGCTGATTATATGGCCTTCCACGAAGAGCCCAGTGACGAAGCACTGAGGAGCAACTCAGGAAATGCAATCTACGAATACGTTCTCAACACCTTTGAGCCCGTAATCAACACCACGCTCCTCTCCACATCAAATCACTATTACCTCCTCACGCTATTGGGCCACTATACACCACAATGCCACCCAACCTACCTCTCACCCAAATCACACATCAAACTATCGAAGCCTAATGCCTTCAACGGCCTGCGCATTCACACAGACGAAATCAGCGAGGTCATTGCGCGTATGCGCCCTGGCACACTCACTATTGTCGTTGTGATGGACAGCATGGATTGGTTCCCACCCAGTGGGAACCAAGCGCTCAAGCAGATTAGGGCGCTTAACAGAGCACTGAAGGTCAAAGGGAGAGTTATGCTGAGGAGTGCAGGGTTGGAGCCGTGGTACATCAAGGTCTTTGGGGAGTCTGGGTTTGCCTGTAAGAGGGTTGCTATCAGAGTGCCAGGAAGTTGCATTGACCGGTAAGTTTATTTTTCGATATTGAACGTATTGAGCTGGGGTGCTGACTACTAGTAGGGTGAACATGTACGCTTCGACTTGGATTTGCACCAAGGAGGTTGGTCTTGAACATGAAGATGGCAAGGCGAACTTTAGGAAGGCGTCGCTGGCTGAGTTGAAGCTTGAGGCTCCTGCGCTGCACATGCAGTAAGCGCATTTCATTTTGTATATGCCATAGAATATGGGTGGCTATTATCCTTGGCTCAAGGAAATCCCGTGTTCTCCTTTTGTACAGGTCTATTGCGTGTTGAGATGTTTGCGCTGGTCGTATTTGCATGAGGAACGTCTTTGATACCTAGAACCAACTAAGACAATTGGACGTATTTCGAGTTCAACATAGATTATTGTACTAGGCGCGCATAAGGATGGCATAAAACTGCTTTCGTACCCAACGTCCCCAGAATTAAACGTGTAAATATGCAGGCTTTTCTTACACATGCCTGTCGTGTAGCATCCGAGATGAACCAGCCGCCTGTTTCCCGGAGCGACTCCGCGCCACCCCATCTATTGCGATTGCAGCGCCCTATACCCAAAATGCAGCCGCTAACAGTAACGTCATGAATCGGCGCCTATAGCACCCCGCGCCCTAATGCGGTAGTCGATAAGAAAGCGATGGCGACGCGTATACGTGTTCAGTTTGCAGCAGCCCGGTAGCGCGTCTTGCCGACCGTGAAGGGAACGTAGCGGTACTTGATCATATGCTGAATTTGTCGTCGCACTAGCACACATTAGCTCTCATCTCCCCACCAACAGCCAACCCCACACAAGAGAGTTGCCACTTACTCGTCAGGCCGAACAGAATCAGCCAGTACACAACCAGGACCGGCCAGAAAACCGGCAGATTGAAGATCTCGAACCAGCTGCAGAAGAAGCCAATGGCAATCGCCTTTGTGGTCGAGTACCAGAACTTGAACTCGGGGAGCCGGCGCACAAAGGGGCGGAACTCTTGGTCTTCTTTTGTCGGCAGCCCGCTGGCGTTGCCGTCTTCCATGCCCTCGTCTTGTTCGAGCGCGGGGTCGAATTTGGGCGAGAGGAAGGCGAGGAAGAGGTTTAGGAGGTAGATGCCTAGGGAGTATACGACTGCAGTTGTTGTTAGTAGATGTATGTGTGTGTGTGTACTGGAGCCTGGTGATATGGGAGGGATATGATAGCGTGGGGTTTGCAGGGGTTGTATAGAGGGTATGGGAGGCATTAGAGGGTCGTACCGATATACCATCCTTGGGCGAAGAATATGCGCAGACCGAAGAGGATGAAGAGTACTGCTGTTCCTCCCCATCGGTAGGGCGTGTATGGTGTTGACTTGTCGAGGTAGGACTGGAACATCTGCGGCGCATTAGCATGTGCTGTATTTTGGGTGCAGCGCAATTCAAATGTCGCAAATAGATGCCAATTCGAATGTGCCAGTCTGATCTGAGGCAACGTACACGTCCAAACTTTGATGTTTGCGCCGTCACAGACGCGAAAGGGGTATCCGGCTCGGGGGCGTCCATGTTTGCGATGGGTTCTGTTGATACGATGCGGTAGTCCTTTCGTCCTGGCTCGATTCTCTGGGCACTCCTGGGGTGGGTGGGTATAGAAGCGGGCGTTGGCAAGGGATGGGTTGTTGAGGCGTCGTGTCAAAAAGTTGACTTGGGTCTCTCGCAAGGCTGAGGTCGGTCGCTGCTTCCAGAACCCCCGACGAACGCAGAGCAACTCCGCAACCAAACCAGGCCGGGGTGGCTTTCGCGGGTACCGAGGTTGCCCAAGCCACCCCCAACATTGTCGCTCTGGCCAACTTTCTTCTGCACTTTTTTTGTAAATCGATTTCCAGAGGGTTAGACTGACGTCGAGCGTTGCAATTGATCATACACAGGATGCAGGCATTCCGATCAACAGCGAGGGTAGCTTCCCAGTTCCGCCCCGCGGGCCTTCCCCGACTTGTGAGAGGATATGCTACGGAGAAGACATATGAGCATTTACGCGTCTCGACGCCCAAAGCTGGTGTTGGCTTTAGTAAGTTTCACTTTTAGCTCTGTAACATACTCGCTACAACTTTATCGCCACCAAGAGTACCCATCAGACTTCAGAACATTGACTAACAGCCTCCAGTCGAGCTCAACCGCCCCAAAGCCCTCAATGCCCTCTGTACGCCCCTTATCCTCGAGCTCAACCAAGCCCTGCGCGATTTCCAGGCTGCCAAATCCATCGGCGCTATCGTCCTGACCGGCTCTGAGAAAGCCTTCGCTGCAGGCGCAGACATCAAGGAGATGCAGAACCTCACATTCAGCGACGCATATGGCAAAGACTTCATAGAGTCATGGTCCGACCTCGTCACATTCCTGAAGAAGCCGCTCATTACCGCTGTGAATGGATATGCGCTGGGTGGAGGTTGTGAGCTTGCTATGATGGGAGACATCATATATGCTGGACCGAAGGCAACCTTTGGACAACCTGAGATCAAGTTGGGTGTCATACCTGGTGCTGGTGGCTCACAACGTCTTACAAAGGCGATTGGAAAGGCAAGGGCAATGGAGACAATTCTCACTGGCGACGTCATCTCGGCTAAGCAGGCGGGCGATTGGGGGCTTGTTGCAAAGGTGTTCGAAACGCCAGAAGAATGTGTGGATGGAGCGCTTGCGACAGCGGCAAAGATTGCGTCATACAGCCAGATCGCTGTCAAGGCAGCCAAGGAGGTCGTAAACAAGAGCCAGGACCTGGGTATTCGGGAAGGTGTCGAGTATGAGAGGAGAGTGTTCCACGGATTGTTTGGAAGTCAGGATCAAAAGATTGGCATGACAGCGTTTGCGGCGAAGGACAAGCCCAAGTGGACGAACCAGTAGATCATACAGAATTGTGAATACTATTCGTCAAGCTGCTGAATACCTTTTACACCACGCTGTCCACCTTATGTCTGTACGTTCCTCGCCAAAATAGAGTACATCAAGTCGTACGATGGACGTGATATGAAAAAAGCTTACCCCATTTCCTTGTAAATAACTTGTGTATTTCATGAAGTTACCGACATTACCCTTCGTATACTTATACCCAGTGGAGCTCTAGGTATCGTTCTATTTATACTCGGTACCATTGATTGCAACACCACCTCGACGATCAACCAAGAGTCTAGCGAGCTTTATCCCATCTTCTTCTTCCTCGCTCACTAACTTTGATAAATGCAAATCTACAGCTGGCCGCTAGATCTAGTCAGGCGTGCCTCGGTACTCCCAGTCGATTCGCTTATCCCAGCACAGCAGACGCATGATAGCGGCGTGCATGACGCGAGCACGTGGGGAACCCGGAAGTCGACTTATCTGATCTAACATCCATGTCGGTACTCATCCATCCTGTCCCTCTTTAGCAACCTTGTCCTACCACCGCCATGGACGATGTACCATGGCTCCGAGACGCCTTCCGCGTTTCCCGTACAGCGACCGCATCGTCAACCAATCCTTGGCTCGATAACGAGAGCATGCGCGTCTCGGCCGGCGGCGGCCTCGTAGACCCCAAAGATCCCGGCAAAGATCCGAGGTTCAGGAAGTTGGTTGAGGCAATACTGTTCAGTAGGCGGTTTTTGAAAACATACAACCTGGTGTTGTTAGGCGTGTTGGTCGTGTTCACAGCATGGCATTGGGGAGAGAAGTTTCTTTTGTGGAGGAAGAGACGGAGAAACACTATGCGAGGAAAAGATGATATTGTTACGAGCGCAGAAGAGGCGGAAGTGTGGAGTAGCTCAAGCAGTACGATCGAAGGGAGTGCGACGCCACCGGAGATCCATGATCAAAACAAAGTAGATGTTGCAGACGAGACAAGCCCATTGCTCTCTACACAACGACCGAGAAGTACTCCAGGAATATGGAGGCCATACTATATCCTCAAATCCGCGCTCCAATATCAACCACCTTCCATACCCGTAATCAACAAAACTCCCCCCCAAAACGCCGTCTCGCTACTCGTCATCGCTTGGATAGGCTTGATTATCTTCTACAACATATACCACATGCCGCTAGAACTCCTGTACCTCTTTGTGTTTGCCGACCGGTGCGGCATACTATTCATCTCCAACCTACCACTGCTATATCTCCTCGCAGCCAAGAACCAGCCCATCAAGCTGTTGACAGGATACTCGTACGAGAGTCTGAACATATTCCATAGAAGAGTAGGAGAGGTGCTTTGTTTCGAGGCATTCATCCACTTTCTAGGCATGTGGGCAGTCTGGTACGGCCTACTCCGGCACCTAGGCTTCACCTTGGCGAGGTTCGTGTTCAACCGCGTGGTACTCATGGGATTAGGGGCTTTTATTGCATATGAGGTGATCTACTTTACTTCCCTGGGCAGTTTCCGACAGCGCTGGTACGAGGTCTTCCTGGCCCTGCATATCGTTTTGCAGGTTGCTGGATTGGTATTCCTGTGGTTTCACAATCCAACGTCTCGCCCTTATGTAGGCATCTCGCTCGCTATCTTCCTAGTCGACCGCCTTGTGTATCGGATATGGTTGAAATCGACCTCGCATCCCGCAACACTTACAGTCCTAGAAGACGAGGAAACGATTCTGCTATCTGCAAATTGGGCTATTGATGAGAGGAGAAGTGTCTTGGCGCCAAAGAGCATGAAGCATGGCTGGAAGCCAAATGAGCACATCTTCATCTCCATCCCTGCCCTGTCAAGGAAACATGCGATACAGTCGCATCCCTTCACCATCTTCTCTGCCGCACCGACAACAGTGACCCAAGATGGCCAGGACCAACAACAGCACGCATGGTTCAACCTCCTCATCCGCGCACAAGCCGAGTCGGGCTTCACCCACACACTCCTCCAACACGCGCGCCACTCCCCACAGACTCGAATCCGCCTCGACGGCCCCTACGGCTCGTCCCACGCCCTCGACGTCCTCGAGTCGTCGTCAACCGCAGTCATAATCGCCGGTGGCTCAGGCATCGCCGTTGCATATCCTCTCCTCTACGCCCTTTTGCACCCACCAGCACCATCGTCCAGCGACGACCTAGAATCCACACCCGTCAAGCCGAGCAACAGAAAAGTAAAACTCCTATGGGTAACGCATTCCCCGCACCACCGGCTGTGGATCCCAGAGGACAAGTTGAAGGAACTGGTAGACTGGGGCCTCGACGTGTTGATTCCGCCGCCTACGGCTCTTGCTGGACGGCCTGATGTCAGGGATGTCTTGCAGGGCTGGGTGGATAGCGAACGAGTGGGCAGTACGGGGGTTGTTGTCTCTGGGCCTGATGGGCTTGTTAGAGATGTGAGGAATACGTGTGCTGGCCTGATATGGCGAGGGGGAGATGTGAATATTCAAGTTGAGAAGTTTGGGTGGTGATGGGGTCTTTCGGGTTTTATAGGGTTTACAATAGACAGGAGAGGCTTTTTGGGTATATATAGATTTGCTGTTGGCGTTTAAGCTTTGCATAGCAGGCGATCATTTGTGCATTTGCGATGCGGCTTGTTTACACAATCATCAATCATTTACCCTCACAAGAAATATAGTGTGCAGAAAGTATATGGGCATTTATATCACTCCATCATATGATGACCTGAAGCAACTTTTCCTCTCGCTTTAATCTATGCGAACGAGACCCTTCACTCCTTCCTCATTCCTCCTCTCAGCAAAGGAAACCCCTCTATTGCTTCGTCCCGGTCGTCTCATTCTTGTTGTAGCCCGCACTCTGCGTGCCCGCCTTGGTCGAGTCACCGACAAAGTTACCAGCAGCTACCATTTCTCATCAGCACAGATTCAAAAACATACATTTCTGTTCCTTATTGACGTACCTTTAGTGGTGTCTCCTAGACCCTGCGTGACGCCCGAAACCGTATTACCGATCCCCTTGCCCGCGCCCGCGACTACATTTCCCGTCGTTTCAGTCACGCCCGCGACGCCTTTGCCGAGGGTGTTTGTGGCTGCGCCGAGGGTGTTTCCTACATGGGTCAGTACGCTTGTTTTTCTATGGCATGTGTAGATTTGGGTAATAGAAGTGTTGGAGGAAGGAGGGAGAGGGCTAAAGAACGAGAAGAATAAAACGTACCGAGACCGCCTGCTGCGGTGCCGAAGAAGCCTGTGATTGTCAGCATAGTTGTATAAAGTTTTAATTCGACTCATGGCATTTAAATGTCAAAGTTAAACATACCCTTCTGCTGTTGCTGGTTGTTCTGGTCGGACATGTTGTCGTTCGATTTCGTAGTAGAGTATTTAGATAGGGAGGTTTCAATGTAAGGCTGAAGATTTGTTTTACGGTGTGGAGTTGTAGTTGTTCCAGTAGAGCTTGAAGCTACATACTCGTAATTATGTGGCAAAGGTCTAAACTACTATGACGTAACTGCACATACCCCTGTAGCGCGCCCCTCACCTGTGAAAACGCGTCAACGGTCCTGCAGCCCGTGAGATCCACAAGAGATCGACGTTTGCATTGCATCATATCATCGACAGGGCAGAAGGCAGAATCTAGATCGCGAGAACGTTGGTGCTTGCTCGGCCAAGAAAGGAAAACATGGAAGTCAGTAGCACAAGGCAACCAACAACAGAAAAGCGTCTGAAGTTACCAGTGTATTCTAAATTAGGTCCAACTATGCACACAAAGAGTCTGCACCTCGTAGATTCTCTCATCATGTTGCACATCCTAACAGCACATGCCAAAGCAAGTCTGTTTCCTGCATGACCACCATTGCTTTGCTTCACCGCTCTTCGCGCTGAAATGGAAAAAGGGAGATGAACATGAAAGCGAGGATTCAAAGGAACTCCCGCCAACCCTAGGGACGCGGAAACCCATCCACCTCTGTCCTACCCTAGAAACACACGATGCAGAAATGACGAATGAGGAAAAAGGTAGAAGCTAGTGCCCAAAGATACCACCTAATACGCTTTTGAGAAAAGCGGTTGGTGTGGGCCAGGCCTCCTCTGCAAATCCGGAACGCCCGTCGTGGTATCCCAGAAAAGCGCGCATGTAAACAGTCCAGTTCGAGCAGGCAGGCCAACAGATGGTCCGAACATCAACGCCATCTCGTCAAGGCCTGCCACCCGACAACAAATAACTTTTGAAACCGCCAATCTTGAAGCCGCATTATGAACCCCGCGAAATGCAGAACATGCGCGCAGAAAATGCCCCTGTCTATGCAACGAAACAAACGATTAGATTACCACGTACGGTGTCGTCTAGAGGGTATGACCGTCACGCGCTCGAACGAAGTGAAGAAGGTAATCACTCGGATGGCTTGGCCTCCGTGGCGGCGGCAGACTCCCCTGTAGTTGTAGGTGGAGAGCCAACTTCACCAGCGTTGTCGTTTTCGTTGTCTAGAGCAGCTAGCGCACTGTTGACACAATGTTAGTGATGTTCTTCTGAGTAGCTTGACATTGCTGCTTACCTGAAAGCATTCGCATGCGTGGTTGACTCCTTCTCCTTCTGAACTGGTGGAGTGCCGGTCCGCGAGGAGGCGCCAGACTCATCACCTCGACCACCCATCATACCGGGACCAAGGCCACGACGACCACTGCCGCTACGGTTACCAAGCATGGACGGGCCAAGGGCTCCCGCGTTGTTGAGGTTGCGACCAGAAGCACCCTTGGACAGCTTCCGAAGGTCGTCCATTTGTACACGACCGCCAGTATCTTGGGGAGGGGGCATCATACCACCACCAGAGAACGAGCGAGCATCGCCGCGACCCATTGGTAGACGACCTCCACCACCGCGCTGGTTGGAACGCGTTCGCTCCATCTCGGCAGCCTGTTGAGCTGCGATAGCTTCCTGATGGATTTCTGCGATCGTCTTTGGGCCCTTGAGGATATCTTTAGACTTCCAGCCCGACCTGCGCATGTCGATGGTGTCTAGCAACATGAATCGCAGACGAGATGGAAGACCCTCCATGTTCATAACCTTCTCTATCCGCTCAAAGTACATGCTGATCATCTTAGGGCCAGCTTCGGCAGACTCCATGGTTGATCCGACTGTACGGAGCAACTTGACCAAGCTCTCAATAGCAGCTTCGTCAGGTAGGCCTTCGAAATCGAGAAGTTTGAGGACGCACTCGTGCATGATACGGAGAGTCAACATGCCGAGCTTGTACAGCTCGCCAATGAACTGGATCAGTCCAAGACCCTTGCGCTTAGCGGCAGCTGCAATGTAATAGTCATCTGACAGCAGCTGTGCCTCTTTGCCTTCTGGGGCTTCAGGGAGATTGACCTCCCATCCACGCTCGAACTCTTCCTGGCATCGGTTGAGAAGATATTTACGGAACAACGCACCGCCGACCACAGGATTATCATGTTTGTCCCTTACGTTTTCATCCTTGATGTCGGTGCTCATGGTTTGCAACATGCGGCTGCAAAATTTGGCATACATGGATGACCAATGGCTCTCGTCGCAAGCCTTCTCGAAAGTGAGCTGAATGACTTGACGGAGGGTGCGGCCATCGCTCTCGTCCTTGGATTGCGCGGCAATCTCAAGAACCTGGTCGGAGATCTTATCGAATTTGTCTGGCGTCATCTTGTTCAGAGCGGCCTTCACTTTCCGTTGGACAAGCTCAGGTCCCAAATGACCGACGATTTGTGCTTGTGCTTGTGCCGGTTGAGTGACCGAAGGAGGCTTCCATCCAGTCTGAGACCGATCGAGTGCCTTGACCTCTTGACCAGCAGTAAGAGGCATTTGTTTCGCCTCCTGAACGTCGTTCTTTCCACCCCGGCGACTACCGCCGCCCTTACCGCGTGAGCTGCCCACACGAGGTGAGTTGGGGCCACCATGTGGCATGCTTGTATAAGAAGATGTCCTCGCCATTGGGGGACCACCTCCCATGGGGAACGCACCACGCCCACCACCTAGGACAACATGAGCAAGAGGATTCGTCATAGAGCCACCACGTCCCTGAGCTTGTTGGAAACGTTGTTCTGAAGTCGTACCTGGAGGAAGTGTGCGAGCCTGGTTGAATCCCTGGAACTGACCCATGGCGCCCGAGCGAGAAGGCTGTCGGCCAGTCATCATGGAAGCAGGACGACCTGACGGGGGGCCGCGAGCGGAAGAAGGCTCATCGCCAACTGTCTCTTTCAACTTAAGATCCCAGTCGACTGAAGGCTTCTCCTTGAAGACTTCTTGGAACTGGAGCAAGAAGTCCTTGTCGTACTGACGACCTTTGTTCTTGTTGCCCAAATTTAGAGCGGGATTTGGAGACAGGATACCCTCGGGATACTTGACCAGCTCAGCGCGAACCTGGAGGAAACGTGCCGACTTGAGCGCCTGCATACCCGCAGTGGGTTGGGCAGGCTCCACAGATTTGTTGGTCTCGAGCTTGAGAGCCGCAGGCTTCGGCTTTGTAGCACTGAGAGGTTTCGATTGCGTGGGAGTGGCGATGGGAGCGGACTCTGCCGGGGTTGAATCGCCGCTGGTGTCCTCGGCTTGCGTCGCGGCTGGACCGAATTGTGTGTTCTTCTTCAAGCCAGCGAAGAGGTCCTTGTTCTTAGCCTCGCGCTCAGCCTTTTGCTCAGGAGTCTCTGCCTCGCGCGCTGCCTCGGCCTCCTCGGCCTCACGCTCTAGCTTACGTAGACGCTCCTCCTCCTGCTTGACCTTCTCGGCGGTGTTAGCTTTCTCTGCTTCGGCCTTGCGCTTCTTCTCTTCTGCGTAGCGCTTTTCGTCCTCTTCACGCTTGCGCTCCTCCTCCTCCATCTCCGCAATCATACGCTCCATCTCTTCATCATCGAGACGCTTCTTCTCTGCTTCGTCAGTCTTGGCCTTCTCAGCGGCTTCGGCTTCCTCCTTCTCCTTAGCCTCCTGAGCGGCCTTCGCTTCAGCCTCCTCCTTGGCCTTTTGGTCGGCTTCAGTCTCGGCCTTGGTGTCAGCCTCGGAGGTGTCCTTGGCCTTCTTCTCAGATTCTTCCTTGAGGCGGAGAGTCTCCTGAAACTGCTTGACAAACTCTGCCTGCTTCTCCTTGGCGGTCTTAGCTTCTTCAGCGCGTGTAGAGTCGGTGGCACTCGGAGCTCGTGGTGGAGGCGTCGGTGTAGCGGCAATGGCGGGCGAACGGGGGGCTGGAGGCGGTGCGGACACGACAGCTGGTGACTTGGGCTTGTTGAAGTCAACAACCTCTCCATCAGGTTTCTTGATTAAGATGGCTTTGCTTTGCTTCTTCGGGCGCTCAAACGTCATGCTTGGCGCTGGGCTCGCAGCAGTTACACTAGGAGTGTGCGTGTGTGAGATGTGGTTGACATTGGTCATTGCAGGTGTAGAAGGTTGAGGGACAGCAGACGACGGCCGCTCTGATATGTTAGAGGGAGTGCGAGACATGCCCTGGGCCTGAGGGGGTGGGCCGTAGGGATTGGGCACGCCGTAGGGCGCCTGCATCTGCTGTGGGAAGCCATGGCCGCGACCCGGGCTAGCAGGAACACCAGGGTAGTGGATCGATTGCTGCAACCCATAGCCTTGGCCATAGTAGCCTTGGTATGGATCGAGAGCCTGCGGAGGCATGCCGTACATATTCTGATGGGGTAATTTTGTCAGGAGCTGTTCGTAATCACAAGTTGCAGAAAAATGAGGATCGAGTGACTGAAGGAAAACCTCCGACTGCTTGGAATGGCCTTTCGACTCGGGCCCCTTCAATACAGCCGAAGGCATAGAGTAATACTGGAAATGTTGTTGGGAGATTCGAGCACTGTTAGGTCGAGCTGACTTGCTGGACTTGCGAACTGAAGAAAAAGTGGAGATAGTAGAGGGTATACACACCGGTTGTTGGTACTGTTGTCCTGGGTAGTAGCCCATTGCCTGTGGGTTTGCGAGATGTGCTTGGTGATTCATAGTTGCTGGGGTGATGGCAGGACTACGATTCTGCTGGTAAGGCGAGTTTCGCGGCATCGGGCCCTGGGGCTGGAATGGAGGCGCCATACCGCGGCCCATTTGCTGGGGCAGCGAGCGGTAAGGTTGTGGGGAGTTGGGGTTGTAATGGGGCTGGAAGTTTCCACGACCCCGGCCGCCCTGGGGTGGGTAGCCGCGGTTCATGTTTGCACCGCTCATATCGCTGTGGCTGGACTGGGAGGACTCGCGGCGCAGGTGTTGAGCCTGGGGGAGCGAATTGGGTTGAGGAGGCATCGAAATGGGGCGAGCCTGTGGCGGGGATTAGCATTTGTAGCTAGTCGCGCATGCTGATTCACGAGAGGGCGCAAACTCACGTTGGGCTCAGTGCCTTCACCACCCTGACCGCCAAAGACCAAGTTTGGTCGCGTAGGGAGCCCGTCAGGCTTGGGTCCTCCAGAGATGGGCGTGGGAATAGGCGAGGGTGAATGGGCTGGCGAGGCAACGCGCGGGTTCTGGACCTGGGGGTTCAGATTTCCATGGACCACAGGCGAGGCGTGCGCAGGCGCTGGTGAGGCGGCGAGCGAGCCAAACTTGATACCGCTGGGCGGACCAGTGCTACTGGGCGGGTTTTTTATCTGGACAGAAGACTTGCGAGTGTGATCAGGGCCATTGCCGTTGGGCCCGCCACTGACGATGGTGGGCATGGTGGGAAGAGCAGGCTTGATGGAGCTGCCGTTCACCGGGGATACAGATGAGCTCTTTCCATGCTGGGCGCTCTGCGGGCCTCCCACTGCCACGGGCGGCGCTGCCGAGGACGCGATGGTCGGAGAAGAAGTCTTCTTGGTCGCGTTGGCGTAGCTGCGGGCAGTGGGCTGAGCCGATCCAGGAGCCACGGTGGCGGACGATCCTGCAGAGGAGCTGTTCGCGGGCGTAGCGGACTGGGAAGCGGCGATGGTTGGGGTTTGCGCGTTCGAGGTAGAATTACTCATGGACTCGGTGGTGGGTGTGAGTGTGAGGTCGGAGGCTTTGCGCAGTCGCGAGGGTGCAATGTAGGCGAAGGCGGATGACGTCGTCGTTGTCGCTGCGGAGGGCCGGATGCGAGCGTCAGAGTGCAATCTGCGGTATTAGAGAGTCTGCGGGAAAAGCGACTCGAGATGCAGAAAGGAGTGTCGTCCACAGAGGGGAAAGGGAGAGAGGTCAACTCCTTTTGGGAAAAGGGCGACGAAAGCTGTCCGAGCGCTTCACTCAAGAAGTGAATCGGGGTCGGGACAGGTGGATTTCGACAGGAAACCTGTGAAATGTGCAAGCGACTCACGAGATGGAGTCCGCTGCAGGTGTATGTGGTGATGTCTACACGATGTAGAGGAGTGAGGGAGGGTGTGATGTTGGGGAATTTTTCGATGGAAGTGCCAGGCTAGGCCGCAACAAGGGCCAAAGCGTAGCCGAGCCACGGCTCAGGTCACTCTGGACCTTGATATTCATTCACGCACGGCATGGTTTGCTGCTGGTAGTATTATATTGGTATTTTATCGTTTCTGCTACTTGTGCTGCTTGCAAAGGACTGCGAATCCAGGCGATTCGTTGTTTGCTTGATAGAAGCCTCTCCTCTGGTTAAATAAAAAAGCAGGCAGAGAGCGAGGGACGCCCTCCCTCACCATCATCACCAAATCAGCCATGACATAAGCAGAACTCTGCAGTGCTGCACTTCGCCCCAATGCCTTGCCTTTGACGTGGCTCTGACGATCAGGAATTAGGCCTGTTGGAGGGACGACGGTGGCGTTCTTCTTCTCCTGGCACACAAGACGCCGCTGTCCAGCACAGCTGCCATGCCGTGTGCCCAAGCAAACACAATAACATGTAGCCAAAGCCCAGCACCATTGCCCATCAAACGCTGCGTATGCACTTTTAGAAGAACTTTTAGATGCTGAACCAGGCCAGCGGAGCCATACTTCACCCACTTATTAGCATACTTCAGCCCTGCCGTCTTCTCACGCTCGCCAGCATGTAGGCCGTGGTGGCGTTGACGGCAGCAGCAGCAGACAAAGCATTGTTTGGCTCCATGGAGCAGAGTGACGCCACTTCAAGACCCTACAATCGTACAGAAGCATGAGAAATCCCCCCCACCGTCGAAAAAAAATTCAGAACAGTTGACGTCCTCATGCGCGGCTATGCACAATGACGGTGGGTTCCAGTGCTGACGACCATTCACGTCAAGGACAAGTCCGCTTAAGCCCGTCCATCACATGAAGACTGAAGCCCTACACCCGCCCAATCGATAAGAGAGAGGAGCCCTACCGTCTACCTAAACTTTTCTAGAAGACGCACAGGCAGGACGTGACTCGAGAACTACCACTAGGAACTGTTGGGTCTGTTCTCACTCAAGCGACGCATCACTGTTGTTGTTGCTGCTGCTGCTGCTGCTGCCTGGTGGGCTGAGTGTGGATTTGTACACCTTCACATTCGCTGGTACGGGCTGAAACGAGATGAGATATCATGGTACACTCTCTCCGCCGGACGACGGGCACAACGGATACCGCAGCCATTCAAAGCGACGCGTGTCAGGCGAGTCCTTCTGTAATGCCATGTCCTTCACTCGTCGCTTCGAAACGCTTCAAAACGCTTCCAAACAAACACCGTCTGAATCACACCATGAGTCATTCATAACAGTGACACAGCAGCATCGATCCATTGCACAACAGCTGGTTCAGAAGCCGCTTCGCCAGCAGCCGCAGCCCGTCACGCACCGTCTCATGTTGTGTCATTGGTTGCACCTGGCCGTCGGAACTCATCCTGGAGACACTGCGTCTTCTGGCTGCCGTGTCGAAACTTCAACCCTGCTGCGTTGCCAGTGTGCTGCAGCAAAAAAACCACAGTGTCAGGTACAAAAGAGCATGCAAGATGCCTTGCGCCTTGCAAAAATCTAGTGTGACAGAGCATTTGGTGTCAGGAGGGACAGATTCGACTTACTTTTGCGGACTTGGTGAATGCATTGGTCAGGCGGGTTGGCCGCCAATCTTGACAAGGCTCCGCTGTGTAGTGATGTGTCGTGAGGCTTGCACTGGCATGGCCCCAGATTCGCATCATGCGTACCTTTTGGCCTTGTGTTTCCATCAATTGCAGCCTGCGCAACGACTTTTGTCCGTCGACGCACATCTTGCGAGATTGAAGGAGAGAAAGGAAAGCCTCGCAAAGTCTCTCCGTACGGACAAGCCAGGTTCTTCAAGGAAATCCGCCATGGACGCTGGTAGCATTCTTCCACCTCTCGCCGTCGTCTCCCGCCATCCCGGGGCATCCTCGTCCCAGACGCCAGCCGTCCGTCGACAACCCCAGTATCAAAAGCATGCCCCAGCGGCCAGCGTCCGTATCTCGTATCCTCGTCCGCAGCCGAATGTAGTCGGAAAAAGCTCAATGGCGTCAGCCTGCCGTTGTCCGATGACTGCCGGTGGCCGCGCTCATCTGCTTCGTAACCTTCGGTGATCCACCTGCGCCGCGCCTGCATCGCTAGCATCAAGGCTGAGAGGACCTCGGGCACTAAAAGCGCCTCTGCATCCTTTGGCGTAAAATGGAAAAGGCAGGTCAGCGTCAAAACCAACGTCGCATGGAGCTGGCTTACGTAGCCTTTCTTTTGCGGAGGGTAGTCCTTGGTGGGCTGCAAGAGGGGTGGGGTGGAGATAAGTACTGCAGGCTGGTGGGGTGCTATGGCATCGGGAAGGTGGTTCCTCCCGTCCTGTTAGTGTTGCCATGTCCGTCCTGTTTGCTTCGCCATGGCTTGTTGAATGTCTTTTGTTGCCATACTAGCTGACCTTTGCACGGTTCCGAGGACACCTCTTGCGATACTAGCTTTCAGACACCTCTTGCAATACTAGTACTAGCACACCTCTTGCATACTAGCTTTCAGAAGACACGTCTTGCGAGACTAGCACGTTAGCGACGCACATCAGCCTTCCAATACATGCCATGTCGCCTCTCGGCCGACGGTCCAAAAAGGTACCTCTGCATCCATGCTGTCGACGCTACCATACTCATCGCTCCCCTGCTGACATGTGAAGCCAGTCAGTCCTTTCAATAGCTCCATGTCTTGGCTTCAATGCACGCTTGCACGTGACCCACCTACTCTTTCGTTCCACCAATCGTGCCCGTTGCGAGCATTCACTCCGTTCCCAAACGGGAAAGCACGGGTGGGTAGTTCACACCCAATCGCACATGCGGAAGCTCAACACCGAGGAGCCTGCAACACCACCACACAAGGCTGACCTGACGGACCCCCGAGATCCCAGTGTCTCTCATCTCATCTTACTCCACAATCCTTTCGGCTCTTGCCCATCCAATGGCACGTCCATGTTGGTGTAAGCCTTTAGCATACTCGGCATGTTTCACTAGTAAAAAGTTCCTATCGAACCACTGCAAATAGCCGGCATGACGAACAACCGCATGTCACCTGTGCTCTTACTCACCCACCCCAGGCACCATGTTCCGGACTTCTTCCTGACCTTGTAACTCGACACGGGGAGTGGGAGGGATTCCTAGGCGACTAAGAATAAAAGCGTACACAGACACCATGACGGCGCTGTTTGTACCTGCACCTCACGGACATTAAGTTCACTGCGCCTTTCCCTATCTTCCGGACAGCTCAGCGGTTAGCTCAATGCGAACACGTCTTGGGGAAAAACGGAACGAGTGGCTGCAGCAAAAGCAGCGACTTGACTAGCTGCATTATCTGGCTGCACCTGATGTGGTGCGCAAGAGGTGGGCGGCAGGAACGCTCGGAAGACCGTACCGCGTACAGACAGACACGTTGGATCAAGGCCTACTTGGATGACTTCAGCGTTGTGGTTGTTGCGCGCCCTGAACCTAGCCCTTGATGCTCGCTCGTGGCTGATGTGGCGACCTGAGCCGCCGGTTCGACTTGACTTTTCCAACGCCATCTTCCTGTGGACTTATAGTCAACTGCCCCAGGCTATACGTGACCGAAGACTGTTCACGATAATGCGTGCTAGAACCCACGAGCGCGTATCACACCGCCAGGAGCTGCATCCTCAAGCCTCATCGCACACCTCAAGCAACGGCTCATCAGATCACACGCACACACACACATGTCCCACCTATGCTGCATGCTAAACCCACGTAGCCATCCAAACACTCGCTTGACCATGACTTGTGTCGACTTCTCGAACTTCTCGAACCCGCTTGGAAGAAAGCGAAGCCGTAACACCCAATTCGCCGGCGCCTGATATGCCCAGCCATCATTGAGCCTAAGATCTACTTCTCGAACGCCCGCGGCTCGCGGGTAGCTGCCTCACCCAATCTAATCTGCAATCAACCCTTCCGCCGCCCACACAACCGTTAATAACTCTAATAAAGTTGAGATCCACATCTAGCATTGTGTTCCTTGCCAAAGAGCGCAAGAGATTCATATCGGTGTCACGCAGCCGCCACCTTCCCTCCCCCTCCCCCCTGATATCTCCCGTGCCCCATCCATGTCACGCTATATACACCGTCTGGCTTCAACGCAGATGGAATCCGAACCTATGAGCGCATCGTGCCACCATCCAAGTTCCCCGCAAAATGCACCCTCGCATCACTCTCTGGACGGGTGCATCGTGAAAGACCACATGCTCATGACTCGGGCGCAAGGACCCCTCCCCTTCCTTTCACTCTATACTCTAATCCCGCATCCCAGACCTGCGCTATAATTTAACCACCTGTACCAAACTTCTGACCCTGAACCCACTACCACCCACCGCCGCCGCCATCGTTCGGTTCCTGAGCCCCAGAAGCCGAAATTCGCAAGGACTGGCGTGCCCGTCTGGGGTAAAGTGTGGAGAACCCTTTCCTTCCTGCAGAACCCTTGATTAAGACGCGTGATCATGTGGACGGGAAAAAGACAGAGTGAGTACATTGCAGGAGAAGGAGAGGGGGGAGGGAGGGGGGGGGAAACGTACGATCGACGTCTCGAAGCCATAGAAGCTTCTGTACGGAAGATTCTTTTTCGACATGGAATTGCAGTCGAACATGGTATGTAGTCGTATTTTGCCTAGGCTACGTTTCTTTGATCATGGGTAACCCCCCAGAAAGGTCAGGCACGCTATACAGCTCACTGGGCGCATGTTTCATTTTCTTTTCTCCCACGCGCTCCACGCGGCGGAAACTGCTGCTAGTAACCCGTTGCCTTGTCACACAGCGGTTTTTTGCCAAGGCGTGCATGCTGCATCATTTTTCGGATCACGGCCGCTGCGAAGCCGTGATGGGTGGTGGTAATGTAGCACTGTCCATTCGTTTTATCGGTGAAGCTTGTTTGCGTGCTTGAGCGCGCTTGCCCTTGGGTCATCGTGAGCTATGCCTCCATGTCGCCTCAAGTGTCGGGCGGTTCCTTTCGCACTGGTCGCTGTCGCTTGGGTATAGAGGGTACGTAGCGATAGTCCCCTAGCCGTGCCTGTTATACCCGCTGCCACTACTGCTGGCCAGGCTACATGCAAGTACAACCGGGTCGGGGAGAAAATCGCTGTGCGGGAAGTATTGAACGTATTGAAAAAATGTGGGGTATCATTAACTCGTGCTGCATTGATCGGCCGTTCTTTGCCAAATGTTTCTACAGTGAAGATTTTTCGTATTTGTGACGCGATGTTGTGACGTCGTTTGAGAATTTGGTCATTTGTCGTGAAGAGAAAAAGAGAGAACCGAAAAGTGTGTACAGCTCCGAAAAAGAGTAAATCCAACATGTCCACCACGAAGAGAATAAAGGCGTTGCAAAAAATGGCACTGGCCACGAACAATACATACATAGAAGGGTATACCAGCAGCGCTAATGGCTTTCTGGCCAGGAACAAAGCGCGAAAGACCGAGCTTGTTACAGAAATGAAAGATAGCAAGGGGTAAATCGCCTGCGGCTCAACGCTCGACGCTTGACGCCATCGTGATAAGAGGACATATGAAATAGCCTCCAAGGGTCGTATAAGCGAAACTGGTATCCAAGAACGAGATTCCAGAACAGCCGTCATGTCATCACTCCAGTTTCCACTGGCCCACCGATCTTTCCAGACCCAGAATTTTGCCGCCCAATCGCCGCCACTTTAAACGCCTGCTAAAACTTTGAAAATTCGCAAAACAGCCGCTCAATAGGACTGGTCGTTGCGGTCGCCGTGCTCCTGATTGGAGTTGTCGATAACCTCGCCAAGAACGGAGCCGACGCCGGAGTACTGCTCATTCTGCTGTGAGTCGTTACGAAGGTACGAGCTGGAAAACGACGAAAGGTGGTGCGGTGCGCTCATTTGGGGCATCGCATAGCTTTGTGGCGTGACAAGCGGAGAGGTCGAGTATGAGGGGAAGTGGGCCGTCTGTGGTGTCGATGTGCCGCGATTGGGCGTGTAGTGGGTGCTTAGCTCGATGCGTCTAGGGACGCCGTTGGAGAAAGAGCGCATCCTGTTTGAGCTGGACTGCTGGAAGCCGGGCACTGGGGCGTCTGAAAGTATTAGATGATGATGAAAAGAATGAAATGTTCACGTGAAGACTTACAAGAGTAGCCAATCCCATAGGGCAGCATTGAACCCGAGTATGATCGGTGCCCGTCCGTATGGCCATTCGAATCAGTGCAGCCGTTCATGCTGTCGTTACCACCAGTGTAGCTCATACTAGATCTAAGAGGTGATTGTAAGGACTCGGCTCGGCTCCGTGCAATGCGGTCGGCGTGAAGTGTGAGGCGCGGGATGCTATGCTGGGCAGCATAGGCTGGTGGAGTACTGACGGGCATAGAAAATGGATTCGATGTCCTCGGACTCGTGTCGAGCGGTGCCGAGTGGAAGCCGAACGGCGACTCCCCATGAGGTGATACAGGGGAAAGCGTATCTGCTGTTGATTGCGGCGGTGTGAAGGTAAACCCACCAAAGGCAGGGCTAATTCCCGTTGGCGACATATGAGAGTCGAGCGGCCCCCTTCTCAAGGTGTCGATGCTCAAAGGTCGCATCATGTTGCTTTCCGCGAAGCTAGGGGCGTAGGATCCAGGAGAGGCAAGCGGTGTTCCCAGTCCATGGGAGTTTCCGAACGGAGAGTGAAGGGCTTGAGCCATGTCGAAGTCATCTGGTAAGGCTCTGGACCTCATCATGCGTTCGCGGTCGTCGCTTGTTAATCGCTTGAGCTTTGCTCGCCTATAGATGTGTAAGCGACCTTTCACGCCTGACTATCCACTGGGATCGTTTACCTGTTCTGGAACCATACTTGCACCTGGCGGGGACTGAGGCCGGGGATCTCGCGAGCGAGTCGTTCTCGATGAGCGGCATCGGGATGAGCTTGACGAGCAAACTCGCTCATGAGAAATCGAGTTTGGTTGTGTGTGAGCCTGAATCTCTTCATCTTCCGCTTCGCTGCTCGGATTTCCGCAGCAGTGAGCAGTGGCCGGTCTTCATCTTTACCATCGCTGTCGCAAGCCTCATCTTTCTCGTCCAGCAGGATCTCGTCACCCTGATCCTCTATCTTTTCCACGTTGACGCCATCATGAGTTGCGGGAGGAGTGAGCCTAGAGATAGGGCTGGTCGGAGCGGAGCCTCCGAATGTTACACTGGGTAGATCGTGCGCCTCGATCTCGTCCAGTCTTGATGGTGAGTCACCGCCATGGAAGTGGCTCTTGCCATCAAGCAAATAGGGAAAGCTCTTGTGTGATCGGACCGATGGCCGCTTGAGATCAAAATTGTGACCAGCCACTTCGGCCTGGAGCATTGCCATGTCGCTGTCCGAATGTGGTGGTGTATGTTCCAGTGTCCTGGCGTCGGATGATTGCCACTCGTGGTCTGCGGCAGTCGTGCTGTACGCAGACATACGCGGCGAGCTAGGCGGAGACAAGGGAATGATGAAGTTTCCGTCAACCATTGGCACTTCGTGAACGGATACTATAAAGTGAAGAGGTTTCGCTACGTGACTGGCTCGCCTTCTACAGAGGATCAAAGTCAGCAAGCAACTACCCCTATGTCGGATTGACGCTTACCTTGTTGTTTTGGCCCCAAGATCAGTTTCGCCACAGTTGATTGAAGCTTACTGACAGTGCGGATAGCCCGCGAATTGACTGGAAAGGGTAAGGATCGGATGAGGCTGGGTATAAGCAGTCTCGATCGATTTCCAGTTCCAGTGCGGGGTTGGACGCGGGTGATCAGCGAGGGAAATGAAGGTGGTCGTGATGCTTAAATACCGACCCCAGAGTATAGGCCGATCTATGCGTTAAGGTCGCAAGTCTGTCACAAACAAACGACGTGGGTTGCTGTGCCTCTGTGGTTTGGAATAGCTGATATGCAGAATCCTGGCTGAATAGAGCTGTCGCACCCCGATAGGATTGGGGCGCGGAGTTTTGGTGGAACGTCGAGCTCGAAATAGAAGCTACTGGGGAGGTGATGCTGTGAGCCAAATAAAGACTAAAGCGTGCCGAGGGCGCTTGAAGCTTGACAGAGGTGAGATGTTGAGCAGCCGGCTTTGGTCTCGATGAGTGAAAGCGTCAGCCCGTGGTCGATGGGGATCCCTTTGTAAGAAGGGCCAGGAACGGTCGGGGGCTATATCAGCGATAGCGGCAGGGGAGGGGAATAGATCATTCAGAGAGAAAGGCTTGACGGCACTTTACTGTCGACGATCCGGATAAAATCGAGGTTAAGAGAAGAGTGAAGACGGGGGTCAGAGTACGCATGGACTGTGGTCCCTCTTAGGAAACATCATATCCTTCGAGGATCTGGAAGCAGCTTGTTACACGACGAGAAGCGTGACTGAATTGGAGGGCTAACAGGCCGCCAAAGGCTCAGGGCACAGGGATACGGTAGCTCGGGACGTGGGCCTTCTGTGAAGAGGAGACGGAGCGGGAGCGGGCGAATCGAAGGGCTCTGGATCAGGTGTGCTGCGAGCCAGGGTGCCCTCCTCTCGAAGGAGAAGAGAACAGTGCGTGAACATGGAGGGCTGCAGGCTGCTTGCATAGACCAGGGCCCGTGGAGTAAAAACCGCCGACGAACAGGGCCTGATCCGTGGCGTGGAGCAATCGGCCATCGAGGCAAGATGGGGGCGCCATTATTGGCTTGATGCATGGCCATACCCGCAGCAGGAGATGACAGGGATCATACAGGGCTCGGCAACGCTTGCACGGCTTGTTGCGGGGTGTCGCTGTCAATGCTGCTTTAGCACGAGCCGTGTGGTAGTGGTGTGGTGTTGAGCGACCGGACTTGGTGCTGCCAGGCGCGTGTGCTCCATGCTACTACTGTCGTGAACCACTGCATTCACACGCCTTCACACGACGATATGCTCTCGAATCCGTGCAAGCGTGCCTATCAGCTCACGGCCGGTGACTCTGGCGGTGCGTGTTCTGGCAGCTGTCTCATAACGGCCGTAGTTCGCAAATTACATCAGGAACCCGCTGCACCAGCCTTGCCAGCCCTTTGAGCCGCTCATCGCGCCCGCTAAGATGCATGAACATGGAAACTTGGAAAGCCTTCAGCCGTCATCATTGTCCAGCATCGGACAGCGAACTGCATCTAGCTGGATTTGTGCTCCTGCTTGAAGTGGTGGTAGTCGAGCGCCTAGCGGTGGCGCCAATTAAGCAGCTCGAGCCGTGAGCCAGCGACAGATCTGGCTGGTCGACAGCGATCTAACGGCCAAAAGCCCGGCCCGCGCCGGGAAAATGCTGAAAAAGCGCTGTTTCTCGAAGCCCTGGCTGGTGTGTAGTGTAACCTCTCAAACGCTGGTCGTCTGTCGGTCGCTGGATGACAGCGGTGACGGCGTAACGAGCCCAACGCTAGAAATGTGGAAGCACTAATCTCTGCTCAAGCGCATAGTCGCCCTGGCGAGGCCGCCATGAAAGCTCTCTCGCTCTCTGCAAGGCAAGACACGATGCGCAAGCCACCCATGCTTGCGCTGTAAGGCCGTTTCGCGGCGATCGTCAGCCCGAGCCTAAACGTAGTTGTGCTGTTGCCCGTGCCTGATCAAGACGGCGGCTACAGATGCACACAACTCGGCTCGGGCGGACGCATTGCTTGAGCAAAAAGTACTGGCGATTTCGTGCCTCTGTGACGCACATGGGTAACCACCAGCGTTTGGGCGGTTTCGCAACGACAAAAACTACACCCATTTCCTAGCATACGCAATTTCCAACAAGCTATGCCGAGGGCGGCCTCGCGGTCGAAATTCCAAAACACCGCCAAGACCGTCTGGTTGGACGGACGCACGCGGAGAGCGAAATGACAGGAGCAAGCGATAGCGAAACCGCGGCGGATTATTTCTACGCACCATTCGTGGCTGGGTTTGATGGGCGCATGGATACCGTGTCGACGTCGGCAGAAGATGCTGCCTCTGAAATCATAGTCGGCCCACTTTGCTGCTGCTGCATTAAACATGATGCCATCTGATAACAGTTCGAACCAAACTGGTCGTGCCGCCTTGCTGTGATTAACAGTTTGGTAGGGAACCGCAGTCCTACCACACCCTAGAACACAGAACACACAAGCAGAGAAGTTCTCGGGCTGCCGTCGTGACAGGTGGTACAGGGTCCCTTCATTTCAATTTGTTGGAAGCCTGCAGCATCGCCCGCCCACATACGTGGATCGATGGCTGACAACACACACTGAATGAGCCTGAACTTCGGTCAATAACAGCACACGGCCCCGTAGCCCGTCTGCTTCAACCCTGGCACACAACGGCATTTGTGCGCACCTCATTTCTGGAGTGCCAGGAAACACCGTTATGCTAGCCGGGGACGAGACCAGATCTCTCCGTCATTGCTGTTACATCAGAATTCGATCCGGGAAAGGCCATCGTTCGGTTCCCACACAGTGGCATATAGTTCAAGTGGTTATTCATCAATTCGAGGCTCCTCATCTCCACAGCCTGCTTGCGCCGCACTCAGCTACTAGCCGCGAATCGTGGCGTTGCAGGTTGAGAGGCACCGTGAGCACGCGGTTGTATACTTCGCTCGAATGGACGGCGATCTATCGATACGCTCCGAGGAGAATAAACCTCATGCCTTCTTCGCATGCACAGAGAAATCTAGCGGCAACGCGCCACTCCCCATACTGCACAACATCGTAAGAGGAATAGCCCCATGGCTACTCCTAGTCCTCGACAATTCATACCTATCTTGAACAGGCGCCAGTTGCCCCTGGTACCACTACGCCGCCGTGTCCATGGTCACTTGACTTTGTTGGCCGGCCCGCTGCTCCTCGACGCTCTGATGTTCGTCTTGCGGAGCTGAACCCCTGTCATCCGAAGCAGAGGGTGCTGTGCCATCGTCCATCGCCTCAGTGGAAGAGGTAACCGGCTGAAGAGCCTCCAGACCTCTCCCATGCTCGATCCTATCAAAAGCGCTTAGCTGCTTCTTGGATGCCAGGCGAAGGCCCCTCCAGACGTAACTTGATTTCTTCTCCCCCACTTGCCGCTTTTCCCCCTCTGTATCAGCCATGTCCATGTCCAAATCAGTCATTCGGACTTGATTTGCATATGACTCTGCGTTTGGTACATTGAATCTGACTGGTGTGAGATGCTGGGAATCTTGCGTTGTCGGACGAACGGAACACGTACCTATCGCGTTGCCTGAGTTGTGAGAGCCCCTTTCCTGCCTCAGTGTTGTATAGGAATGTTAAGGTACTGGGGACACCTAAAGGCTTAGAGGCCTTCTTGCTAACGACTGCTTTTTGTGCCCCAGACTTGGCCTGAAGGAAATTTCCCGTGGGGACTCTGTCTCGAGTAAATGGTTGACAATTCTCCATTTTCCACCTCACCCAGTTCTTGTCGCGGGAGAGGACCGTGTCCACCATCCGGTAATAAAATTTGCCATCTGGGCCCTCCTGCAGGTAATTTGCGATGGCGTTCTTGATGCCCAATGCCCACTCGGTCTGTGCTTGGTGGTCAGCCGAGATAATGATGATCATGGCTACTGCGGTAGGCATGGAAACATAACCGGGCGGGGGTGACGACAGAGTGACGGGTACTTACATCCTCCTCGCGAAGCGTGAAATTGTACTGCATCGCTTTCTGTGCGTTTTGATAGAAAGGCTTGTTCTTCGACTTCTCTGTTAGCGTCAAGAGGAAGTCGATGAGTATCAGTGCTTGAACAAGGATATGACGTTGGAAGGCGAGATCGCTCAACTAGAAAGTATCAGTCATAGTGTCCCAAAGATATTGGCAATCTTGCATACCTCAAGCTTGAATAGATCGCGGCTTGTAAGGTACTTTGGATTGTAGGTGTTCGCGAAAGCATCGTAATCATCGTCCAACCCGGACTTAGGTCCCTTCTTGCGCTCCGAGTCTCCGGCTTGTATGACCTTGGGCACCTCTTTGAACTTGGCGAGTGTCGCCTCCAAGCTCTTCTGAAATTGCTTGAAGTTGTCTTCCTCAAAAAGCCGGGGTGGATTGGAGAACGAGTGCTGTAGAGACCAAAAAACAGGGTACAACGCTTCGATGTCGAGAGTGGTTGGTGTTCCATCCTTGCTCTTGTCGAGTTCTACTAGTTTGGTCGTGCTTTCGTCTGACTTTGCATCTTCCTTAGCAGCAGGTACAGAGCCGTCACCATCGATTTGCATCAAGTCTTCGCCTGCGTCCGAATCCTTCAAGAATTCCTCGAACGTCGTCACATTCTCTACATGGAAGTTGCCGCGAAGATTCACTGAGCTCTTGTCTCCCAGTGGGAAGCTCTGGAACATGAAAATGTAGACACGCCCGCAGAACACTGGATCCTCTGCGCGGGATAGCCGGCGAAGTAGTTCGTTGCATAGCCGTAGGATGACTAGGTCCTTGTTCCTAGAATTGATCTGAACAATTGTTAGAAGAGACGAGCACATGTCGAAGCCAACTTACTGCAATGATGGCCTCCCTCCGCGATTCAAGAAAGTTGAATACTGTCCGACACCCTGCGATCGACTGGCTGTCAAGTAGTTCTTCGATGAGCAGCAGTACTAACTGCGGTGAACACAAGTCTGATCAGTTAGATCGGTTTGAAAGTGAGATTCCAACAATGCCTACCTCGGTCGCCGCAGAACTGCAAGATGTCGAGTAGATTCCAGACTGTCACGAAGGCAGCCTCGTCGATTCGAGTTGAGCCCTACGCATGTAAGCAGACGGATGAGACTAGGGTATGGCAGACTCACAAGATTAGCATAGAATACAGCCTTTGCTGCGCTCTCAACTGCAAGAGCGCGCACTTCCTTCTCGCCTTCTATGTCACCCAAGAGGGACTCGCTCTCTGGCACGAGCTCTGGAACCGGTAGGGCAGGGTCGATAGATGTGCTCTGCTTAACAACACGCGCCCGTCGCAATAGGTAGTCCAGTCTCGGTGCCACCGCATTCGGGGAAGGTTCACCAGGGATGGCCATTGGTGGTTCTGAAGGTGCTGGCTCGATCACGGGTCGGGAAGCTGGGGCGACGCTACTCTGCCAGCCTTCGTGAAATGCGAGTTGGAGAGGGATATGGTTCCTTCTGTCAATTTGCAGTACTCTCAGTGTATTTGTTCCCACCGGAAATGTCTTTATCGTCACGGCAATGATGGATGAGCGAATTCGACGATTTTGATATTGGCATTTGGACCCTGGTTGCTCGAATAAAGTAGCGCCACGCCAAGGTAGCGATTTAGCGTGGTGTCCGTGCATGTGGCGCTCAACGCGTCGAACGCGTTGCGCGACTTCAGGACATAGATTCGCAGAGCTACGTAAGTAGTTTCTCGCTATTAAACCAGCCCGGCATTTCTCTCTTTCTGCATATCTTGCGTCATCATATCACGTCTACACAATGGCTTCAATGAGTCCCCAATCGCGTGATATCCCTCCGGACGACGAGCTGGACGATATCCTCAATGGCATTGCGGAAGGCAGAGATATCCCCACTACAAACGACAATCAGACTAAAACAGATCGCCCAAGCAACAGGAAATCCGACATCACTGGCGCACTGGGTATCGACGAGGAAATCGTCATCACCAAAAAGCGCATACCAATACCGAAGCTCGATGACCAGAGACTGCTCTCCGATCCAGGCATCCCACGACTGCGCAAGATCTCGAAAGAACGTTTACGGTTCAAGGGAAAGGGGCATGAGGTATGTGGCGCTCCGCTCCGCTGCAACTCCAGTTACTGACACCAACACAGTACGGCGACATTACCCGCATGTTAAACATGTACCAACTATGGCTCGACGATCTCTACCCTCGTGCCAAATTCGCAGATGCGCTTGCAATCATCGAAAAGGTCGGCCACACGAAGCGAATGCAGATGATGCGGAAAGACTGGATAGACGAGGGCAAACCGAGGCGGACCACAGAGCAGGATGACGAAGAGCTGGATAGGGTTGTTCACGACGACGCACAAGCGGAACAGCATACAGAAGCAATGGAGGGTGTAGAGAAGAATGCGGGTACTGGGCAGCCGGAGCTCGAGCCTGCAAGAAAAGAACAGACTCCGCGTCCATCAAGCGATGCGGCAGAAGGGGCTATAGGGGACGATCCGGATGAAGATGAACTGGATGCGCTCTTGGCAGAGAGCGCACCAACATCAAAGACGTTGCCTTCGCGGCCAGCGGACGACCCTTTTGCGGATGAGATGGAGGCTATGGCGGACCTGGACATGTGGTGAAGCCATGGTCTCTAGAGGGCGCGGTGAATTATACTATTTCATGTGCCTCAGTAGTGTTACGAAGGTGCGCACCGCTCAGCAAGAAGGATGAGGCAGTATTATGACATTGTTTTAGCATAGCGTGGCGTTCAGGGAGCACCAGGGACCAGATGTCGCATCTTAGGTTTAACACAATTATGAAGATACAGTTGTACATGTCATTAGGTCGCCTTTGCGCCGTGTATTGTACCTATCTATGCGGGCACTTGCCCCGCGGATAGCTGCAGGTGGGTCCTTCTTTTTTTGGCGAGACATGGCTTGGCGTGACGGACAACGTCATCCATTTCCCCATTTGTGACACAAACAACAACTATTCTGCCGATTTGACTCTGACCTCACGAAAATGGAGTCTCTTTCTGGAGAGCTCGAGAGGCTACGACTTAGTAGCAGTGCTCTCGATGACGATGCGGGCTGGATAGATTCAATTGCTGGCGAGCAGCGGCCACCTAAGCGTCAGCGAAAAACCAAAGAAGGTATCAAGAAGGAATTGGAACATGAATTTCTCACGCCATCGCGGTCTTTCAACACGCAGTGGTTGAACAAGCTACAGCAGCGATGGGATGCGCCAACGAACTATCGCAGTCTCTTCCAGATCGCCCCAACCCAGACACGCACGATCATCCGATTCACGCGTGAAGGCCTTGAAGGCCGTGTGACAGGATACAAGGAGGTCACTGTACCAGCAAACTCAGCAACAGCCAAGAACTCTACCTCACTTCTCAGAAAGCCAGCTAACAGGGCCGAGTTTGTTCGTGGCGCAGCTGGCTTCTTTCCTTTCGCTCCAGGTGGCCTTGACGGCGTAGAAGCAATTGCAGCTATCGAGGATGAGGCAATCATGCAGCAAGACCACGGGAATGCTAAGAAAGCCGGGGGACTAGACCGGGTTATTAATTTTAGTGCTGAGGGTGGTCTACTGGAAGTTGCGCCTGGATTCACGCGTGGTCTAGACTTCGGAAAGAAACAGGTTACGGATACCAAGACAGCCAAAGAGGTGGAAGAAGCTCTAGGAGAAGCATCTGTGAACGTCAAAAGTGCCGACGCTGATGAAGATGAGGAAGAGGAGCCTGAAGCCAACAGGAATGAATTGCCTGACGAGGAAGGTCAAATTCCCGGAGAAGAGGAGATTGACGCTCTACTACCTGTTGAATTTCCTGCCCTAGCTCCCCATGGTACGCTTGCGATGGGCGCCGGCAGAAAGGGAGGACGAGAGTGGGCTCATATGGTCGACGTCAATCGCGACATCACCAACTTCCACGAGCTTGTTCCTGAAATGGCACGCGAGTACCCATTTGAACTTGATACCTTCCAGAAAGAGGCTGTATATCACCTTGAGAACGGCGACTCAGTCTTTGTAGCTGCTCATACCTCTGCTGGAAAGACCGTCGTAGCAGAGTACGCTATTGCACTTGCTGCAAAACACATGACCAAGGCAATCTACACTTCTCCTATCAAGGCTCTCAGTAATCAGAAGTTTCGAGACTTTCGCCTTACTTTCGATGATGTCGGAATTCTTACTGGAGATGTGCAGATACGGCCCGAAGCCAGCTGTCTCATCATGACGACCGAAATTCTTCGAAGTATGCTGTATCGAGGAGCAGATCTCATCCGAGACGTGGAATTTGTCATTTTTGATGAAGTCCATTACGTCAATGACCTGGAGCGAGGTGTGGTATGGGAGGAGGTCATCATTATGCTGCCAGAACATGTCACTCTCATTCTGCTTTCGGCCACCGTTCCCAACACACACGAGTTTGCATCTTGGGTGGGCCGTACAAAGAAGAAGGATATCTACGTCATATCGACCGCGAAGCGTCCTATTCCACTTGAACATTATCTCTGGGCTGGCAAGGGTATGCACAAAATTGTCACAGCTGATAAGAAGTTCATTGACAACGGCTGGAAAGACGCAAATGATGCTCTTTCTGGTAAAGACAAAGTAAAGGCACCACCGCCGGCCAAGGAAGCTCCAGCTGGCAGAGGCGGTGGTGGTCGCGGAGGGCCACCTGCCAGAGGAGGCCAAAATCAGCGAGGGAGAGGTCAGCAGAATGGAGGCCGGGGTGGACCGACTCGCGGCGGAGGTCCACCGGCGAATCGAGGACGTGGCAACATTGCCAGGACTGGCCGTGGCGGAGGCCGAACCACAGCCGCCCAAGATCGTAACATATGGGTCCATCTCATTCAACACCTTCGAAGCAAAGAGCTTTTGCCGGCTTGTATATTTGTATTCTCCAAGAAACGTTGCGAAGAAAACGCCGAGGCGTTATCGAACATCGACTATTGCACGGCTGCAGAGAAAAGCGCGATTCATATGACTATCGAGAAGTCTTTAGCTAGGTTGAGTCGCGAAGACCGAGACCTTCCGCAAATCAAGCGCCTAAGAGAGTTGCTCAGTCGAGGCATTGCAGTCCATCATGGCGGCATGCTACCTATTGTCAAAGAAGTGGTTGAGATCCTCTTTGCTAAAACTCTGGTAAAGGTGCTCTTTGCGACAGAGACGTTTGCTATGGGTCTCAACCTTCCGACAAGAACGGTAGTCTTCTCCGGATTCCGTAAGCATGATGGTCGTGAGTTTCGTGATCTCCTTCCTGGCGAATACACCCAAATGGCTGGTCGTGCTGGCCGAAGAGGTCTGGATACAGTGGGCACTGTCATCATCTGCGCACCAGGAGCGGATGAGGCACCACCCGCTGCGAGGCTAAGGCAGATGATGCTGGGTGAACCGACCAAGCTAAGATCGCAATTTCGTCTCACGTATAACATGATGTTGAATCTTCTGCGCGTTGAAGCTCTGAAGATCGAGGAGATGATCAAACGTAGCTTCAGTGAGAATGCCACTCAAGCTTTGCTGCCAGAGCATCAGAAACAAGTCAAGGTTTCCGAAGCTGATCTTGAAAAGATCAAGCGTGAACCTTGTAAAATATGCGATATCGACCTTGAGGCGTGCCATCAGGCATGCGAAGATTACAAGCGCTTGACTAATGAGATGCACTTAAGTCTTCTTATCAACCCAGTGGGACGAAGAGTTCTAGGGAGGAACAGGCTGATAGTATACAAGAAGGTATGATATAGACTCCTGAGGCATATGCAGAGTGAGCACTAATTCCCCCAGGATAACAAACGCACAGCGGGTATGCTCCTTCAGGACGGTACAAGTAAAGGAAACGAACCTAGTGTCAAAGTCTTAGAGGTTGCTCAGCATCAGGAACGTAAAGCTGACGACCTCTTGCCCTATCTGAGCCCATTTGCGAAGTACTTCCGAACGTTGCCAAATAACCCGAAGGATCTAATATTGAAGACCGAGCTCGTCCCGCTCAACGATATCGAGTGCTTCACCAAATCCATCATAGAGATCCCTGAATCTGTTCAGAATCTCAGCCGAAAGAAGGGTAGGTACATCCTCGTGAATTGAGTTCGCATGTTGACACTTCACGTCTAGATATCCTGAAGCTGGCTCAAGACCAGTTTCTACCCTTGTGTCAATCGTGGAACTACGAAGATTGGGATGAGTACGACTACGGTCGTATCAAAAGTCTCAAATTCCGCGACTTGGAAGACGCTCGAAAGAGAGAAGGACAAAATGCCGCCAACAAAGAGTGCTTGAAGTGTCCCAACTTCTTAAAACATGTGAGTGGAAGATCTACTCTAGCAGCAAAGGTTTACTGATTCCCTGTGCGCAGTTCTCAATGGAACATGACCAGTGGCTCATTAAAGAAAATATCCTTTCTCTCCGACAACTCATGTCGGACCAGAACCTTCAACTGTTACCCGACTATGAACAGAGAATTCACGTGTTGAAGGATCTCGGCTTTATTGACGAGGGTTCCCGTGTGGAGCTCAAGGGCAAAGTAGCCTGCGAGGTATGCTCGTGATGTTTGCTCAGTTCTATAACCTTCACTGACTGTTCCTTAGATCCACTCCGCCGATGAGCTAGTCCTCACCGAACTCGTGTTGGAAAATGTCCTCGCCGAATACGAGCCCGAGGAAATCGTCGCCCTCCTCTCCGCATTCGTGTTTCAAGAGAAAACCGATACCGAGCCCACCCTAACAGCAAGCTTAGAACGCGGCGTTGCCAAAATCGTTGAGATCTCCGAGAAAGTCAACGAGATCCAGACCTTACATCAGGTCATCCTGTCTGCAGATGACTCTAACGACTTTGTGAGCAAGCCCCGCTTCGGTATGGTCGAAGTTGTGTATGAGTGGGCGCGTGGCATGTCGTTTAACCGCATCACGGATTTGACGGATGTGATGGAGGGTACAATTGTCCGCGTGATTACGAGACTGGACGAGACGTGTCGCGAAGTTAAAAATGCGGCGAGGATTATTGGAGACCCGACGCTGTTCCAAAAGATGGGGACGTGTCAGGAACTGATCAAACGGTATGTGCTAATTCCGTCCCGTTTTTGACTGGAATAATATAAACTTGGTATTTTGTCGATGGAACTCTGACTGACTTTTGAAACAGAGACATCTGCAACTGCGCGAGCTTGTACCTGTAAAGGTGGAGTGTTTCAGACCACATGGTTGACCCTAGAGTTCAAGAGGTGGGGCAGCATTTTGAGACATGCCGTCTTGGGCATGGAGCGCGACCTCAGCATGAGAATGCGGGATGCCTTGGGCTTGTGTATTTTCCACGCATAAGGTATACTGACCGACTCCTCTTTAAAATGAGCGCATTGCGTTGCACAGCAAACATAGTACATTATAACATATCAACGAACAGTTGCACATCCAGCACTTTCAAGACCATAGTGACTAGCTACCGTGTCGATCGCATGTCTCCACGATGAAGCGCGTTAAAGGCCGCAAAGTTCTAGCTTGTGTTAAGAGGAAAGAAGTGAGAAGTAGACGGTGATGAATTTTGCCAAGATGCGTGTCGTATCATGGAAAGCATTAACTCATGCTACATCAACACGTTGCCATGTTATGTGGCGTTTCGCGGATGGACACGTACCACAAATATTGGAGAGACATCCGTTTGGCCCAGAGGTCCCTGTCGCGATTTATCTTAGCCCGACGGAACTTCGCGGTTATATGACAGCTTGAACAGAACAAGGCTACCATCTTCAAGCCGCATGCGAGTATGAGATGCCAAATTCACGATTGGTCGCCTCTAATATGGCGGCCGTATTCGATTCTGTGTGGAAGGTGCGTGACAGTGGCGGAAGTCGATGGTTTTGGTAGGTCACTGAGGTGGTACAACGCACCGATTCGATGCCGGCACCTACCATGTACCGAATGATTCGACTGCTTGGTTAAAGAGTACGGAGCAGGGGTCAGTTGCTGGGGGACAATGGTCATCTTGTCCGAGAGCAGTCAACCGGAGTACCTCGAGTGAAGACTGTCCATGTCGTAAACAGCTGAAGATGTCTGGGGTACCAGGCCGATCGTTGTACTTCCACCCTGATCGATTTTGGTGTTGAATACCGCGTTCTTCTCGTGCAGGCGTTGGATTGGCAATAGTTGCATCGTAAGCGGTAGGCTGCAGGTACAACTTCGCACACGGAGACTGGAGCCTATGCCGGCAACGGGGCGGGTCCTACCATCTCACCCCGACAGTGGCATTCCACATCCAGTAGTTGCGTGGAGGTCTAGAGATACGAAGTTGACAACGGGGCAACATTGTTGAGACAAGTCACTGTCGTTTGCGGAAGATGGTGGGAAAGACTGGTAGAAGGGTTCGCATAGACCACGTGCTAAGCGTGTTAGGGAAAGCGTTCTCGATCCACTACAAAATTACTGCCCCTCATCCTAACAGGCCGCACACGCTGGACGCAAGTCGCAAGGGGCGCAAAATAAGAAAACAAAAAGCACGCGTGCTCTGGGTCTCTCTCAATCCCTCGCGCCAATTCTCCTCTACATCGCTGGTCGTGGGCGCAACAGCTGCAGAGATCTCGACCTCACCCTCCACCCCCACCGCCCTCACCGCACCGACCCTGACGGCTTCCTGGCCCCATACGCCGAGACTCGATACACGACGCTTCGATAAAGAATCGCGACCATGGATGTTGCCGGCTTGCGGGACCGCATTCAGGCGACACTCGACCCGAATGCCGCCATTAGACAGCAGGCCGAGCTCGACTTGAAGCATGTGCGTGCCAAGTGGAAATATTGCGCACCACGCTGCATACTGATAAAGGTGTAGGCTGAAGAGAAGCCTGGCTTCACAGATGGCCTGCTGAACATCCTTGAGGTGGAACAGGACCACGCTGTGCGATTGTCAAGTAAGAAGGCGCCTGCCGCGGCCATCGCCTCTAGGCCACCAAGTACTGACGCGTCCCTACAGCTGTCGTCTATCTCAAGAACCGCGTCTCCAAGGGCTGGTCACCCGCTGAGGAATACAGCCAGGCCAAGCCCATACCAGAGGAGGAGAAGGCGTCTTTCCGCAACCGCCTCGTGCCCGTCCTCGTCGCCTCCCCGCCGCAGGTGCGCCTCCAGCTTATTCCTACCCTCCAGAAAATCCTCGCATACGACTTCCCCGCAAAATGGCCAAACTTCCTCGACATTACTATACAGTTGCTTAATGCTGGAGACATCGCATCGGTCTTTGCGGGCGTGCAGTGCTTGCTGGCAATATGCAAGATCTACAGGTTCAAGTCGGGCGAAAACCGGGCAGACTTCGACAAAATCGTCGCCATGACCTTTCCGCAGCTGCTCAACATTGGCAACTCGACAGCGAGTGAGACAAGTCTGGAAGCCGGAGAAATTCTACGCACAGTCTTGAAGGTGTACAAGCACGCTATCTACGTAAGAAGATCCGAAGTTGTGGCATTGAGCACTGAGGCTGACAGCATACAGTTCGATCTCCCCGCATCACTCCGCGAGCAGCAGACTATGGTCGGATGGTGTACGCTCTTCCTGACCGTCGTTGGCAAGGAACCGCCAGAGAGCTCCCTCCCCGAAGATCTCGACGAGCGGGAAATAAACCATTGGTGGAAGGCCAAGAAGTGGTCCTATGCAAATTTGAACCGCCTATACGTCCGGTGAGTATCTTAATCATTCTTTAGCCTACGACAGCAACTAATGAATCCTTAGGTACGGCAACCCATCCGCCTTGGGCAAGAACAACGAGGTCGACTACACTGAGGTGGCCAAGAACTTCATCGCGAACTTCGCTCCTGAAATCTTGAAGGTCTACTTACAACAGGTCGAGAAGTGGGTCGGCAAGCAGATCTGGCTATCAAAAGCCAGTCTTTACTATACCCTGAACTTCCTGGACGAGTGCATCAAGCCAAAGTCCATGTGGACTTTGCTGAAGCCACACGTGGACAACCTCATCTCACATCTCATCTTCCCCGTTTTATGCCAATCGGACGAGGATATCGAGCTTTTCGAAGAGGAGCCGCAGGAGTATCTCCACCGAAAGTTGAACTTCTACGAGGACGTTACCGCACCAGACGTTGCAGCTACGAACTTCCTGGTCACACTCACAAAGAGCCGCCGGAAGCAAACCTTCAGTGTGCTCAACTTTGTGAACGAGATTGTGAACCGATACGAGGCCGCGCCAGACAACGACAAGAATCCGCGGGAGAAGGAAGGCGCACTACGCATGATTGGCACACTCTCTGGTGTCATATTGGGAAAGAAGAGTCCTATTGCAGATCAAGTCGAATACTTCTTCGTTCGCCACGTTTTCCCCGAGTTCCGCAGTCCCCACGGGTTTCTGCGTGCGCGCGCATGCGATACGCTGGAGAAGTTCGAACAGCTCGATTTCAAAGACCCCAACAACCTTATCATCATCTACCGCAACATTCTAGAGTCGATGGCCGACCCCACGCTTCCCGTCCGGGTTGCTGCTGCCCTATCACTACAACCCCTCATCCGTCACGACATCATCCGCACTAACATGAAGCAAAACATCCCTCAAGTCATGCAGCAGCTTCTAAAGCTAGCCAACGAGGTTGATGTGGACGCCCTAGCTAATGTCATGGAAGACTTTGTCGAAGTTTTCGCCCCAGAACTTACACCATTTGCAGTAGCACTAAGCGAACAGCTACGAGACACGTACTTGCGCATTGTTCGTGAACTAGTGTCCAGAAACCAAGATAAGGGCGATGACAGCGAGTACGGAGACTTCCTGGACGAGAAGAGTATCACTGCGCTTGGTGTTCTGCAGACGATCGGTACTCTCATCCTTACTCTCGAGAGCACCCCCGACGTTCTACTGCATCTAGAGACGATTCTCATGCCGGTAATCACCATTACGCTTGAAAACAAGCTCTACGGTACGCGATTCCATAAGGCCACCCGCTTCCGCTCTTATACTAATCTATTCATAGACCTATACAACGAGGTCTTCGAAATTATCGACAGCTGCACATTTGCCGCAAAGAGCATATCAGCTACCATGTGGCAAGCTTTCGAACTGATCCACAGAACGTTCAAGGCTGGTGCAGAGTTGTACCTTGAAGGTAAGGGTCCTTCCTTTCCCTACCCAGTAATAACTTGCTGACCTGGCAGACATGCTACCCGCTTTGGAGAACTTTGTCAACTACGGAACCCAAACGTTGATACAGAACCGCCCATATCTCGATGCGATTGTCGACATGGTACGGACAATCTTCAAGGACGACAAGGTCGGAGGCGTTGATCGTATCTGCGGCTGCAAGCTGGCCGAGATCATCATGCTCAACATGCGGGATCACGTCGATGACTTCGTCCCGGAGTTCATCTCCCTAACCATGCAGGTTTTAACGAATGACGAGCCCAAGGTCAAATCCCTGCGGATACATCTGATGGAAGTAGTCATCAACTCCATCTACTACAACCCGGCTCTGGCACTCCATGTGCTAGAAACCAATGGCTGGACGAACAAGTTCTTCAGCTTATGGTTCTCAAGTATCGACAACTTCTCGAGGGTTCATGACAAGAAGCTATGCATCTCGGCAATCTGCGCACTTCTTACGTTGAGGGCTCAGGATGTTCCAGTTAGTGTACAGCAAGGCTGGCCCCGCCTGCTGCAGGGTATTGTGCGATTGTTCCAGACGCTCCCTGCTGCGTTGAAGAGTGAGTCATCGCGAACATGCTATTCCAACAACGATTGCTAACGAAAGCATAGATCGCGAAGAGGCAAAGAAGGAAGATAGCTTTGATTTCGCTGCCGATTACGATGACGAGGAAGAAGACGAGGAATGGGAGCAGGAAGCTGATTGGAACAACGAGGCGGACGAGACAGAGGACGTCAAGGATGAAAGCGCTGCATATCTCGAGTTCCTGAATGAAGAGGTATGTCGAATTACATGATCGTGGTATTGCGGTTTACTAACTCGAAATAGGCCCAGAAATTCAGTTCGGTTGATGATGAAGACGATGATGAGCTTGAAGAGGAGAGTCTTCTCGAGACGCCCCTCGACAAAGTCGAGCCATACGGGATGTTCAAGCACGCATTACTTCGTATGTCTAGTATTCTCCGAGTGGCTGAATTTATGCTAACACAGCCAAGGTCTACAACAAGAACAACCCGCCCTTTACGAGAATCTTACCAAAAACCTCAACCCAGAAGAACAACAGGTCGTCGAAGGAGCAGTTCACCAAGCCGAGGTCATTGCTCAAACACAAGCGCAAGCTCAAGCCGCTGCTGCGAATGGGAACCCGGTACCGGCAGCTTAGCAGTAGCAATGTATCGACAGCATTGATGCATCAACCTTATCCTTGTCACGCGACACTAAAAAATATAGATAGCTTCCTTTCTTTCCGACACATTGGATCCAATTAGCGAGCATCCTGGCGTTTTGATTTCCGGACAAAGAAGACGTAGTCGTGAAGGCTTGTTACGACGGTTGACGGTTGGGATGGATGGTATGGCATGGCGTTGTTCGGATTAGTGATGCTTGTGGGGAAGAAGAGGACGATATCCACGAAGGTACAGATGTGTGGGCAACCACGTTTGTGTGTGCAAGGAAGCGTTTAGTCGGGTGAAAGCTACATTAGATAGTACATTGTGTCGTAAAGATTTAGAGTGCACGAACAATTGAAGTACAGCAAATCGCCCTTTGATTTCTTTGTAAACGAATGCTACGCAATGAGTATGTGTCACTATAAGGTATTCTGAATGTCTCCACGATCTGTTAACATGGTTCATAAAATCAACAGCAAATGTACCTGTCAGTATCGAGCACTGCTTCCATGACTATCAAGTTGTTGCCTGTGGTGGTGGTGTGGCATAGTTGAAGTACAGCCAGCCAACTCAAGGAATTTGTCATGTCTATTCCAGAATACTTTGAACACCCCCACGACCTGTTAACATAGTTCAGGCAGCAACAGGTCCCAAACTCAAATTACCTCCGCAGAACCAGCGATAGCTCTTCAATGGTCCTGAGACTATCAAGTCTTTGCATGGCAGTGCAGATGCTTATCGATAAGCATGCGGCCGAAAAATGGCCAGAACAATGACGCTTGCGCCCGCGGTGGCTTGTTACTATCCCACGCGCAACGTGGACAAAAGCAACTTCCCCAAAACCTGTTCTGTCCACTGCATGAACTCAATCTCACTCTACAACCTGCTGGACTCTTTATTTCTACGCGAACCTCTTCCTACAATACCCTGGGACTATCCTTTTCTACGCGACACGCTTCCTACAACCGCACGCTGCCGGACTTATTGCGCTGCTAGACCCTGTACATCAATTCCAGTGTACCAGACCTCCCACAATACCTCGCTGCGGCGCGCACACTCCGCATACTACACAGCTTCCCGATGTCGCGTCCTACGGTTTCCAAGGCGCAGAGTATGTCTTCCTACCTTCTGAATCATCCTCTACAGCCGTAGCTAACAATTGCAGCTTCGTACCCTATCTTTGCCGCTAGCTTCGCGTCCCAACGTCCAAGCCTGCTCGTCGTCGCAGGTGGTGGTGGTGCGGGAAAGCATGGTGTCAAAAACAATATTACGGCGTTTGACTTCAGCTCACGAGCTCCGACTGTCCAACCTCTTGCAGAGGTCGAAGCTTCGGTAGATGATAGCATAACGAGCTTGGCGAATTTAGCAACGAAGGATGGGCTGATACTGTATGCTGGGATAAACAGTAGTCAGGAAGACAGGGCAAGAGGGAAAAACGAACACTTCCGATCCTTCGAGTTACAATTCCCGAAGAGCAAAGCGGGTGCAGAGAAATCGGACGCATCGATTTCGTTTCTCAGCAAGACCTCACTTCTTACACCACCGCAGTCAGCGAGCGCAAAGCATGACGCGTACCAACGACTAGTAAAGCTAAGCCCACCACAACGGCCGGCTTCGAGTACGCCAAACCATCGGATAGGTGCTGTCGCAAGTTCGCTCGCAGGTGATGATAACAACGAGATTGTCATATTCAGTGCGACTTCGACCAAGCCCCAAAATGAGGAAATAATAGAAAGGATTAAGTTACCTCATGGGCAGGAGGCGGTCGATCTTGACATCTTCGATTTGGGAGAAGGCTTGTTCAAAGTCGCATACGCGCTGGATCAGGAAATCTTTCTCCAGGATGTGAAATACGACTTCAGCGAAAAGAAATCTAAGGGGGGGCATAGGAAGGTCTACACAATTCCGCAGCTGAACTCGGGCGGCCGATCAAGAATACGGTGCATACGCTGGTTGACACCGACACACCTTCTGCTACTCGTAAATGAGCCCAATCGGACCGGCGTGGAGATGAAAGTGTTGCATTTGTATGAAGAGGGTCCGGCGCATGTAATTTCACGAAAAAAGCTTCCACGACATATCAAAGCCGCGACGGATCTTGACGTTGCGTTGCTCGACAAAGATTCTTCGGGCCAATATCAGATTGCCATTGCTATTGGCGCGATAGGTGAGTAAAAATGTACGACCTACATGTGAGACATATTACTGACTTCGTACCTCAACGTTTAGACATGTCTCTCAGCGTATACACGATGGATTATCATGGCCCTTCAAGGGACTCATTGAGCTCGCTCCATTCTTTCAACAGCTACGACAACGTAAGTAGATCATGCCCCGTGCGCAAATGCCTTGATGCTGATAGTGCAGGTTCACGGAACAGCGATGACAAAGGTGGTCTTCTCGCCGTTCTACAAGCCTGAAGTCCCAGGGCGGCCAGTGGGAAAACAATATCTCCGCCTAGCGTCCACCTCATTGAGTGGCACGATCAGTGTCGAAACCTTCCAATTGCAACCCACCGGCTCGCGCTTCGTTCTTCATACGGCGAGGTCAAGAAACCTTTTTACAGCAGCGACTTACCTCGTTATCGCCATGGTTGTTGCTGTGGTGGCCCTTCTAGTACAAAGTTTGCTGGATCCAGAGGGCAATCTGACTAAGAATATACTTCCTTCGAGTCTGCAAAACGCAGCAAGCCAGCAAAAGACCTTTGGCGAATCACACCGCGAAAAACGACACAACGCCATACTCAACAACGCCGACTCCCCCATAGTAAAGACATCCCACCGTGTCGCTGACCTCCTCCACCTCCATCTACCTCATGCCCTCTCCTCATCGCCAGACGCCCCTGCATCTGCCGACCAACAACAAAAAGCTTTGGTAATCCACGACACCGAAACCGATGGCACTCTCAGCACAGAAATCCACGACGACCACGAAGCAGTGCTTAAGCAGCATGCACAGGCAAAGAAGTGGGACGACCTTAGTACGGAGGAGAGGAAGCTATGGAAGAGGAAACTGCAGGATGCGGGGATGTGGGCGGTCGATGAGGGTGAGACGATTCTCAAAAGCATTTTCTTTGGACAAATTGGCGGATTGATAGGGCAGGTTGCACAGGGGGTAATTGGGTAGGCAGGCGCAAATGAGAGCCGACGTTTGAAATACTGAACCGAGAATGGCGAGGATGTTGCTGTGATGAGAATGATACATGAGGCTGGGGCCTAGGTCCATGGAGTTACATTGCTTCCCGTGTTGCTCGGTGAGTGGACGTGTATTAGAATGGGCGGGAAGTGTCTCTAACTTGGGCATCATCTGACAAGCGCGAATGTAATACCCCCTTCAAATATATCTCAAAGAAAGCTGTAGCTTTGTACCAAATTACCTAGCTCAACTCATAAGGCTCCATTGCTACTGTCATTGGATATTTCACCGCTATAGGAACCTGTTTCGTCTCAAGCCGGACATCCTTTTTGGGATGCCCGGTGAGATTTAAGGTTGGGTCAAAGCTCAACGTACTTGGCGCTCGTGACATAGGTCCGAGCCAACAACTTCAAAACCACCAAATTCCACCTCAGGCGCCACCTTAATTACATTCTTCTATCCTTTCTATGGATGGAATGAACATATTTCCTCTTGCTGCCGGGAGCTTCAGGTGAAGCAGTCAAGATGGCGCAGCAGACTCCCGCGTCGGCTCAACTGGACCGTATAGTCCACGAGCTACGCTCCAAGTGAGCTCCATGTCGGCGTTGTATTGAGTATGAGAAGCTGACACGTAGAAGAAATGACGAAACGAGACAAAGAGCAGCAAGTACGCTGCGACAGACTGTCGAGGCGGCGCATCGAGGTGAGCTTCAACGCGTAGCATGCCCCCACCGAAGCACTGGGAAGACTGACATTGCGCAGAGCTCGCACCTAACCTCTTCACCAATTACAACAATGAGGTTTATGCCAAGATATCGGGCCTCATCGTCACAGGCAGCGACTCGAACGAACGCATCGGCGGTATCCACGCGCTCAACGCCCTGATCGACTTCCGCGGCGACGATGCCGGCCAGAAAACGACGCGCTTTGCCTCTTACCTTAGGGCGGTAATGCGAGGGCAGGACATCACGGCCATGGTAGTAGCAGCTAAGGCGCTCGGTAGACTCGCGAAACCTGGCGGAACACTCACTGCAGAATTGGTCGAGGCAGAAGTCAAGGGCGCGCTGGAATGGCTACAGCTGGAGCGCCAGGAGAACCGCCGTTTCGCTGCCGTGCTCATTTTACGCGAGCTGGCGAAGAACTCACCCACGCTCATGTACCAGTGGATTGCGCAGATCTTCGAGGTTATCTGGGTCGCTCTGCGTGATCCCAAGGTGCTCATACGGGAATCGGCTGCTGAAGCAATCAGCGCCTGCTTCGAGATCATCTCCCCGCGCGACTCGCAGATGCGCCAGCTCTGGTTCGGCAAAGTCTACGACGAGATTCTGCGAGGCTTTACCATCAATACGAACGAAGCAATTCATGGCTCGCTTCTGACTATGAAGGAGCTTTTGGACAAGAGTACCATGTTCCTGAACGATACCAAGTACAAAGAGACAGTTGAAACGGTGCTCAAATACAGAGAGCACAGAGACGCTCTAGTGCGGAGAGAAGTCGTACTCATCATTCCGATATTAGCCAGTTATTCACCTACCGAATTCGCCACGAAGTACTTGCATCAGTGTATGTTGCATCTGCAAGGTCTGATAAGGAAGGATCGAGACAGAGACAAGGCGTTTGTGGCGATTGGTCAGATTGCGAACGCAGTCGGGGTAGCTATTTCGCCATACCTAGAGGGCATTCTTGGATTTATTCAAGAAGGTCTAATCGCCAAATCGCGGAACAAGAGCCTCATCAACGAAGCCCCCATATTCCAATGTCTCAGCATGATTGCGGCGGCAGTAGGTCAGGCGCTCACCAAGTCCGTCGAACGATTATTAGATCCTATCTTCTCCTGCGGGCTCAGCGATTCCTTGTTTCAGGCTCTCGTGGATATGGCGCATTATGTACCACCATCCCGCCCGATGATTCAGGAAAAGCTTCTGGATCTCCTTAGCCAGATCCTCGCTGGTCGACATTTCTTACCCTTGGGCAGCCCTTATCAAGTATCACAACCACCACAAATATGGACCCGAGATCACAAGGACCCACAGACGATTGCTCCACGAGAAGCAGAGATTGCGCTTGCCCTGCATACGCTGGGCAGCTTCGACTTCACAGGCCATGTCTTGAACGAATTCGTTCGCGATGTCGCCATTCGTTATGTTGAGGCGGACAACCCTGAAATACGGAAGCGCGCTGCTTTGACGTGCTGCCAACTGTTTGTCAAGGACCCTATTGTACATCAGACCAGCACACACGCTACGAAGGTTGTTGGTGATATCATCGAGAAACTCTTGACTGTTGGTGTAGGCGATGTCGATCCGGATATTCGATGGGATGTCCTCATAGCACTAGACGCCCGGTTCGATCGACATCTCGGAAAGGCTGACAACGTCCGCACCCTGTTCCTCGCTTTGAATGATGAAATATTCGGGATCCGAGAGGCTGCCATGTCCATTATTGGTCGACTGACAGCCGTCAATCCAGCCTACGTCTTCCCCTCGCTACGAAAAGTCCTCTTGCAGCTACTCACGGAGGTCAACTATGCCAATAGCCCACGTAGCAAGGAGGAAAGTGCAAAGCTCATCAGTAGTCTTGTTGGAGCTGCGGATAGTCTCATCAAGCCGCTCGTCGACCCTATCGTCACTGTGCTTCTTCCCAAGGCAAAAGACCCCAATCCCGAAGTCGCGTCAACGACGCTGAAGGCTATTGGCGATCTTGCTACCGTCGGTGGCGAAGGGATGATCAAGTATATCCCGGAGCTAATGCCAGTCATTCTTGATTTCATGCAAGATCTGACTTCAGACGCGAAGCGCTTCTCTGCGCTGAAAGCTCTCGGTCAACTTGCGACAAATGCTGGATATGTCATCGAGCCATACAGGGATTATCCAGAGCTTATGAACATATTGATGAGTATTGTCAAGACGGAGCCTGAAGGTGAACTTAGGCGGGAAACTGTCAGGCTCATGGGCACACTCGGTGCCTTGGATCCGGATGAGTACCAGAAGATCATGGAGCAGTCACCGGACAAGCATCTTATCATGGAAGCTCAGGCGGTCACTGATGTCTCGTTGATCATGCAAGGCATCACGCCTTCGAACGAGGAGTACTACCCGACCATTGTCATCAGCACGCTCATGGGGTTGCTGAAGGACCCTTCTCTGATTCAATTTCACACCGCGATTGTGGAAGCTGTTATGAACATCTACGCGACAATGGGCCTCAAGTGCGTGCCATTTCTCAATCAAGTAGTGCCTGGGTTACTGCATGTCATTCGTGCTACACCAGCTGGACGCTCAGAGGGTTACTTCAACCAGCTAAGTCAACTTGTCAAGATTGTTCGCCAGCATATCCGACCATATCTGCCTAGTATTCTTGCAACCATCAAAGAATATTGGAGCAGCAGCCCGCAACTGCAAGCTACTATTCTGTCGCTTATTGAGGCTATTGCCCGATCGCTTGAAGGGGAGTTCAAGGTATACTTGGCAGATGTACTACCACTTATGCTAAGTGTTTTGGATTCTGATCAGACCGGCAAGCGACTGCCTTCTGAGCGGGTGCTTCATGCATTCCTTATCTTTGGCTCGAGCGCGGAAGAATACATGCATCTAATTATACCAGTCATGGTGAATATGTTCGACAAGCCGGGACAACCCATGAACATTCGGAAACTGGCAATCGAGACGCTAGGAAGGCTATCAAAGCAGGTCAATGTTTCCGAGTTCGCTGCTCGCATCATTCACCCTCTTTGTCGTGTACTCACCGGAACCGAGCCGGCGTTGAAGCAAACCGCGCTTGAGACGCTTTGCGCACTCATCTTCCAACTTGGGCCTGACTACATCCACTTCGTGCCCACGGTCAACAAAATACTCATCGCTCATAAAGTACCTCATGAGAACTACGGACGTATCGTGTCGAAGCTACAGAAGGGGGAGCCCCTACCGCAGGATCTTAGTCCTGATGAGCGTTATGGTGAGGAAGATGAGGACCTCAACCCTGCGGAAATACTTACAAAGAAATTGGCTGTGAACCAACAGCACCTGAAGCAGGCGTGGGAGGCGTCATCCAAGACGACGAAGGAAGACTGGATCGAATGGATGCGAAGATTTAGCGTCGAGTTACTGCGAGAATCGCCACAACAAGCGTTGCGCGCTTGCACACCCCTAGGGAGCGTTTACAGTCCGATCGCCAGAAGTCTCTTCAATTCCGCTTTTGTCTCCTGCTGGACCGAGTTGTACGATCAGTACCAGGAGGAGCTTGTTCGGTCTATCGAGACTGCACTTACATCGCCAAACATACCGCCGGAGATTCTGCAGGTCCTTCTCAACCTGGCTGAGTTCATGGAACACGATGATAAAGCGTTGCCTATCGATGTCCGGATACTCGGCATGTACGCCGGTAAATGCCACGCGTTCGCCAAAGCCCTGCATTATAAGGAGCTCGAATTCAACGCAGAGCAGAATACTAGCGCTGTGGAAGCCCTTATCAGCATTAATAACCAGCTACAGCAGACAGACGCAGCTTTCGGCATACTGCGAAAAGCTCAAAACTATTCCGACGTGGACTTGAAAGAGTCCTGGTTCGAAAAGTTGCAGAAGTGGGACGAAGCACTGGCTGCTTACCAGAAGAAAGAGTTGGAGGAGCCAGACTCGTTTGACGTGACTATGGGCAAAATGCGCTGCTTGCACGCTCTTGGTGAATGGGAACTTCTTTCCACTCTATCCAAGGAAAAGTGGGCCAATGTCGGGCAGGAGTATCGCAAGGCGATCGCTCCACTTGCTGCAACGGCCGCCTGGGGTCTCGGCAAGTTTGCGGATATGGACATCTACCTTGGTGTTATGAAAGAGCAATCGCCTGACAGGGCTTTCTTTGCTTCCATCCTCAACATTCACAACAACCGCTTCGAAATCGCCGTCGATGAGATTGCTAAGGCTCGAAAGGGTCTGGATACAGAGCTCAGTTCCCTTCTGGGAGAGTCTTATCAACGCGCTTACCTACCGATGATCCGTGTTCAAATGTTGGCTGAACTCGAGGAGATTATGCAGTACAAGCAAAACGAAAACAACAAGGACAAACAAGCCAGCATGCGCAAGACCTGGATGAAGCGGCTTAAGGGGCTACAGCCGAATCCCGAGGTCTGGCAGCGCATGATCAAGGTCCGCCAGCTTGTGATCTCGCCGCATGAGGGCACCGACATGTGGATCAAGTACACGAACCTTTGTCGAAAGAACAATAGGATGAACCTCGCGAATAAAGCACTACAGAAGTTGCTCGATATTGAGGGCTCAGGCGAAGGTAGAGTGGTTGAGTTTATGCGCGAAAACGCTCAGAAGATTCCCCATCCGGTGGCATACGCGACATACAAGTATATGTGGGCGGATCAGAACTTCAAGCAAGAGGCCCTTGATAGCATGAAGGACTTCACTGCACGGCTTTCAGACGACCTTGCGATGAGAACAAGGGCAGCCACCAACCCAATGTTGGCGCAGAGTGGCCTAAATGGCATGTCTAACGGACAGCACATGTTCACCAACGTGAATCCCTTCGCTGCGACCAACGGTCAAAACGGCGTTAATGGTATGAACAGTTCGAGCATGATGAACGGATCCGGGGTTGGCGTCTCACCCGCAGAACTGGTCGAGTGCCACCGTCTCCTTGCCAAATGCTATCTCAAACAGGGTGACTGGCAGCAAGAACTACAAGACGGAGAATGGGAGCACGAGTTCGTACACGAAATACTATCCGCGTACGCCGCTGCTACACGCTACAACCAGAACTGGTACAAGGCATGGCACGCCTGGGCACTCGCCAATTTCGAAGTCATCAATTCGATCACCTCTAAGGCCGACCGGGAAACTACAGATGTGCCCTCTAACATGGTGCACGATCACGTCGTCCCAGCTATACATGGCTTCTTCAAATCTATTGCCTTGTCCTCTACTAGCTCGCTTCAGGATACTCTTAGATTGCTCACGCTGTGGTTCAGTCATGGCGGGTTATCGGAGGTCAATCGCACGATCACTGAAGGGACGAAGTCTGTCGCGATTGATACTTGGTTGGAAGTCATCCCGCAGCTGCTCGCCAGAATCAACCAGCCAAATCCTACAGTCAGGCAGTCTATTCACCAGCTCCTCATCGAAGTCGGCAAAGCGCATCCACAAGCCTTGGTTTTCCCATTGACTGTGTCAATGAAGTCCGATGTGTCTCGGCGTCAGCGATCTGCCAAGGAGCTCATGGAGGCCATGCGCGAGCACTCGCCCAAACTAGTAGAGCAAGCCGATCTTGTCAGCCACGAGCTTATCCGTATTGCGGTGCTTTGGCACGAACAATGGCATGAGGGTCTCGAGGAAGCAAGCCGACTTTACTTCGGTGATCACAATATTGACGGTATGTTCGCCACACTCGCACCACTCCATGCCATGCTCGACAAGGGACCGGAGACGCTACGCGAAATCTCCTTCATCCAGTCTTTCGGCCGTGAACTGCAGGAGGCCCGAGACTGGTGCAACACCTTTAGGACATCTGGAGAGATTGGAGATCTCAACCAGGCCTGGGATTTGTATTACCAGGTGTTCCGTAAGATTGCTCGTCAACTGCCGTCTTTAATGTCGCTGGAGCTTCAGTATGTCTCGCCGAAGTTAAAGGACGCCCATGATCTTGAGCTTGCTGTTCCTGGAACGTACCAGGTCGGCAAGCAGGTTATTCGTATCATTTCTTTCGAACCTATGGCGACTGTCATCCAGTCCAAGCAACGACCCAGAAAGCTAGAGATGCGTGGCAGTGACGGCAAGGCGCATACTCATATCCTCAAGGGCCACGAAGATATTCGTCAGGATGAGCGTGTCATGCAACTGTTCGGTCTTTGCAACACCCTGCTCTCCAACGATGTCGAGTCCCGCAAGCGTCATCTCAACATTCAACGCTACGCTGCCGTTCCGCTTAGCACGCAGTCCGGTCTTCTAGGCTTCGTCCCTAACAGCGATACCCTGCATGTCCTCATCCGCGAGTACCGTGATAGTAGAAAGATCCTACTCAATATTGAGCACCGCATCATGTTGCAGATGGCCCCCGACTACGATTGCCTCACTCTAATGCAGAAAGTCGAAGTCTTCGGTTACGCACTCGACAACACTACCGGTCAGGACCTCTACCGCGTGCTCTGGCTCAAGAGCAAGAGCTCAGAAGCCTGGCTCGATCGTCGTACAAACTATACGCGATCGCTTGCTGTTATGTCCATGGTTGGCTACATTTTGGGTCTTGGAGATCGCCATCCGAGCAATTTGATGCTGGATAGGGTAACGGGCAAGATTATCCATATCGATTTTGGCGACTGCTTCGAAGTGGCGATGCATCGCGAGAAGTATCCTGAACGAGTGCCATTCCGCTTGACACGCATGTTGACGTATGCCATGGAAGTTAGCAACATCGAGGGCAGTTATCGGACAACGTGCGAGCATGTTATGCGAGTGCTAAGGAGTAATAAGGAGAGCGTCATGGCAGTGCTTGAAGCTGTAAGTTCAACCACTCACCATGCAACCGCTTTTTTCAAACTTGCTAACAACGAGAATAGTTCATACATGATCCCCTCCTGACCTGGCGCCTCGGCCACCGCGGTGAATCACCACCGGAGCCAAACTACCCCTCCGAACGCCGGCAGTCCATCATGGGTGACGCTGCCGAACTATCTTCCATGGCAGGGCGCCCCCGGCACCGCTCCAGCGTTGCGCCGCCCAACGAAGCCGAAGCGAAAGAAGTGCAGAATGCACGGGCGCTGCAGGTGTTGTCGAGGGTGAAGGAGAAGCTTACGGGCAAGGACTTCAGGCCGGGAGAGGAACTGAATACGGATATGCAGGTTGATCGCTTGATCAAGGAGGCGACAAATCTGGAGAACCTGTGTCAGCATTACATTGGATGGTGCAGCTTTTGGTAGTCGGAGGAAGGAATCGGTGGGATATGAGGGGATCTCAGTGGGTATGATCAGGAGTACAAGGGCATGGGCGACATTACTCCATATGCGTTTCTTTTCGAGCGCACGGTTATTGATGGGCTATGGCATGGCATGGAGTTTGATTCATAGGCCTTTCGGAAAATGGCACAGGGAAGTGGCTTCGTGTACGATCACAGGGTATGGCTTATCGAGCGGCATTGTACTGGAGCTTGAGTTTTGGTTGAGCACCCTTCTTTGGGTCCGCTCTGGCAATGATTATTCTTGCTATTATGAACTGTCCTGTCCCTATATATTGAGTGGTGTATGATTGAACATAGATACATTTCTAAGCCTGAGTCGCTGTCCTTTAGTGCAGTCTGGCCGAAAATTAGCCGAGATGGTGGGCGCTATCGCTTGGTGCGCTGGGCTGATTTGTTGAATGTATGCACGATGATTCACACAGTGGGGCGACAACATGTACTTCTGAATCACGCATGTATCTCTCAGTCCCTTTCGCTATGTTACACTTTTGTTCATTTTCTAAACTCGATGTCTATTTCGGAGAATTGAGTGACATCACCGCATTACGCCATGCCCCGCACGTACCCAGCAATCCCTGGAGAGGAATACCGCAATCATCCGTTCAGCGACCTTCCCCGCCAGATTATCGGACATGCACCCACCAGATCATCTGAGGATTCGGGCTCCAGCGCTGCAGATAGGCTGCAATGGCGAAATCATCCAGCTCTTATCTCCCCGGGTTTGGAATCGCTGGATAGAAATCCCTTCGACGCACTTTCCTCGGGCCGGAGTGGGTATGGCAATGGCAATGGCAATGGCATAGTAGCAGATAATGCCTCAGAAGAAAAATATGGGGGGCTAGAGGATGAAAGTCCACGAGGTGGTACGAGTTCCGCGGATCAGGAGGAGAGAGCTAGGAAGATGACGAAGTTAAGTTGGAGGGAGCGGATACGGCATTTTACTTGGACGTGGTTCTGCATGACTATGGCCACTGGTGGAATTGCCAATGTGCTTTATACAGGTAAAGACTCTCATTGTGGTTATGAAGATCTAATCGGCTGACACATTCTCTTTTCCAAGTGCCGTTCCGATTCAGCGGCCTTTACGCCCTCGGGTGCATCTTTTTCATTCTCAACATGGCTCTTTTTATTTTCAACGTCGTTATGATATCCTGGCGATTCTACATTTACCCGAGGACATTCAAAGCTTCGTTTCTACATCCTACGGAGAGCCTGTTCATACCGGCTGCTATCGTGAGTTTTGGTATCATCTTGATTAATATCAGTCAGTATGGGGTCGGCATGGCTGGCGTAGGGCAATGGTTAGAGCGCTGTATGATAGTGCTCTTTTGGCTGGACTGTGGGCTTGCGGTCACGTTCTCTATTGGCATATATCTCGTCATGTTGGTTTCATGGTCCTCCCTTGTCTTCAATCACCACTAACGACGATGCAGGTGGTCGACAACAACCTTCACAATCTCCCAGATGACCCCTATCTGGATTTTTCCAGCTTATCCTCTATTAATCATTGGACCTCATGCTGGAAACCTGGCACCAAAGGTCTCTGACCCCGAAACTGCGCTCACTATCATCATGACTGGCTATGTCATCCAAGGCATCGGCTTCCTTGTCTCGCTCATGATCTACGCCGCCTTCATATACCGCCTCATGACGCAGAAGCTTCCCAAGGAATCAGTTCGACCAGGCATGTTTGTCTCTGTCGGTCCGTCAGGTTTTACCATCTCCGGCATCGTCACCATGGGCCAGCAACTACCTAAAGTGGTACCAAGCAACTTCATGGGCGATGGAATGGGCGAGCTCGCCGGTAAAGTCGGCATGATTTGTGCAAATTTCGTTGGCCTTTGGCTGTGGGGCCTCGCACTCTGGTTCTTCTTCGTCAGCGTTGGTGCCCACTGGTCGTGTGCCGGACGAGGGAAAATGGATTTCGCAATGACATGGTACTCGTTTATTTTCCCAAATACCGCTTTGACGACTGCTACATTTGCTATCGCTCGTGCTCTGAATGGGAATAGGCCGATTCAGTACATTGGCTGCGCGATGACAATTGCGCTTGTCATGATGTGGCTATATGTCGTTGCCATGAATATCAGGGCAGTTGTTATTCGGCAGATACTCTGGCCTGAGAAGCAAGAGGATAGGACGGAAGGTGGGTGGAAACAGCAGAGTGCTGACGAGCAGAAGCGGAGACAAAGGGAAAGAGAGATGGGTGATGGTGGAGAGACTGCGAGGGCGAGGACTTGGAGTATTGCCAGGACTTTTAGTCGGAGAGAACGAGTTGGTGGGGAAGGATCAGAGCGAAGGACTAGCATGAACATGGTGAGAAGATCGGAGCCTGAGAGAAAAATCTCTACTTAACGGCTGTTCGGGGTCTGATACTATACGCCAAAGTCGCCACCAACTATAGACCTATGATTGTTGAATGTTATGAAGCATAGCAATACATTGATAATCACATCTTGTGTCTGTTCGCCAGACTAGACTGCAGAATGTACTACACATGTCATCTGATGTTGTTAACCGTTAGAGTGAGATTCTTCCCATTAGTAGATTTTAGAATATCTTCAACACGTGCGCTGTCAATCTGGGTCTGCATCTCGACGATAACACAGCAGGCGAGGTCGACCTTGGATAATGTGAACTGAGAAATACAAGTTCGAGAAGTGGAGTAAGGCTACATAATTACATAAACTTTTGAGGGTAGGGTCTCGAAATGAGCTAAGAGCGATATGTCCACCACTTCCGGAGATATTGCTCTGTGCTCATAGGCTTAATTTCCGGACACAGCTCGTTTACGGTTGGCGTAGACCATCCGAGTCCTTCTTCATCTCGGCAGTAACTTTCCTTGAACTCCAGAGGTAATCTCTCTATTGACTCATCTGGCAGTGCGTCCAACTGCCCCCGCAAGTCCCCCCTCTTCAGCTTATTGACATTGAACTTTTCGCCCGTGACGCGTTCACCTAGCTCAATGAGTTCCCCAGCTGTAAGTGTGTCTCCTATAATGTTCATATCTCGTTCCCATCTAGGAAGGTCCAGACTCGCCGCAACAAATCTCCCAACATCCCGCACACTTGTCAAGCTAATCCTCGGCCATGATCCATCCTCTTTGACTGGCATCTCCGCAATTGCACTTTTCAGCGACATAAAGAATGCTCCTTCTCCATCTGGCATGTCTCCTTCAGGTGTAATTCCCTCTAATGCAGAGTCACCGCCTTCGGCGTAACCGCCACCTGCTTGGAGCTTCTTTAATGTTGGTTGCGCCGCTTTGTCCTTCATCTGCCGCGATAGAATTCCATATCCCAAGTAGTTGAGGAACAGCCCATTATTGAACCTAGCACACTCCACCTCGCTGCATCGCTTAAGACATTCCTCCCAAACGCCACCCTCCAGGATTCCGAAAGCACCACTTTCGTACGCTTTGCGTCCCATTCCCCAGTGGCTCGGCACGAAACGGCGACACCCTGCGCTGATAGCTGCATTCAGTAAATTCAACTGAATTTGAGGCTGCGTGCCATCTATTGCTGATGTGACAGAAATGACGGTGTCAACGTCCTCCAAAGCCGATGCGATAGAACCTAGATTGAAATAATCCACGCCGCGGACATCAGTCATTCGGCTGTGCGGGTCTACGGCCTGGAGCCAGAGTGGTTCCTTGGGGTTCCGGGTCAAGATAACTGTTTTCCACTTTGATTTCGTGTAACGACCAGAGAGTACTGCTGTGGTTATCGCTCGTCCTAGTGTTGCGGATGTTCCGCCTGCTAGAGCGACAGTAAGCATCGTTCTTGTGTTTCGACCAAACGAGAGGGCTTGTGCATTAGATTCAAGAGCTAGACGGTATGCATGCTACATTCGCAGCCTTAAGAAGGAGTGTTCTTACTACTCAATAATCCGTGGGCTCCGTCGTCCGCAACCCGCGACCCACGGTTTCCGAGATTCCGGCTCTAGGTAATTCGACGAATTTGAGGTAACGTCTTGAGCTAAAAGGGGGCGAGAGGATACCATCCCGATAAGGCAGCGGTTATTGGGTCAAAGGAGCTTGTGTCTACATGGATGTCTTCCCATGTTATTCCAGTCGTGTGGTCAAAAATAGGACCCGCAATCGTTTTGCTTAGCGTTTGTCGTAAGCCACAAGTCTATGGGAGAAAAAGAGCGCATATGCCCCAGGGATACCTGTCGAATGGTGCTATCAAACGGGCGAGACAAGATGGAGAAAGGAAGCCGGAAAGAGAGAACGCGAAAGAAATGAAGTCGGACGCAACGCGCCGCGGGAGGGCGCGAGTGCACTTGCCTGGGCCACCTCCAACATCATTATCGCAGAGCTCGTCATCTATTTTGATGACTCTGCCCTCAATATGCCAATGTCGCGACAGGCACAGAACATGCTTGTGGGAGTTAAGGCGCAGCGGCAGCTTCGCTTACCGCCCAATCGACTTGGTATCGTAGCGCTCTTGAGGTTACGCGTTGTGGACGTGACCGCAGCCTTGGGAAGTCCAGCCCTCCTCGATACTTCAACCTTCCGCAACAAGATTCAAGCAAGCAGCTTTAAGAAAGAGACCAGAGACTCTAAACAGGATGTCAGGATTGGAATTCCAGGATCGGACTAACGGAAGACCTGTCGTGAATCATGAGGAGATACGTATTTCGCAACCCCTCCATATCAAGGCCGGCGATCATTTGGAGCTTGACTATCTTCCCGGTCAAGGCAGTGGCATAGTACCCTACCAACATGTGAAGATGCTAGGGCATGGGGGAAGCGCCAGCGTTGAGGAGGTCCGCGATAGCAATACTGGTTTGGTTTATGCTCGAAAGATCATCAGGAATGTCTACACGCGGAACCTGGATAAGGCGAAGCAGCAGCTTCTCAACGAAGTCCAAATAATGCAACGACTGGCCTCACATCATCATATCATCAGAGTACATGCTACTTACATTATGAAAAGGGAGCTAGCCATCATTCTCGAACCAGCTGCCGATGGCGGGGATCTAGCGAGTTTCTTGCAGGATTACCGAGACAGTGGGTACTCTCTCTCATCAGATGAGTGGGGTGAACCTCTAGAGCAGAACAGGATCCTTCGAAAAGCCTATGGATGTCTGACTTCTGGGCTCGCATTCATGCACCGACAAACCATAAGGCACAAGGACATCAAGCCTCAAAATATACTGATACATCAAGAAAAGTTCATTTATACAGACTTCGGCTTATCCTACGACTATGGTGACATCGGCCAAAGTACGACTACCGGCTTTCCACAAGGTCTCACGAAGAGGTACTGCGCACCTGAGGTCGCTGATTGGGGGAGTCGAAATTCAAAGTCCGATATCTTCTCGTTGGGTTGTGTGCTTATCGAGATCAACGCAGCGCTTGAGCCCGAATACGGAAACGACCGTCTGCTCGACGGAAATTTCCACGAGACATTGCGAGCCCGGTCTGAAGAAGATCTGTTCACGTACGAGTGGGGTTGGGATGTACGGCTCGACATGATTAGGTCAATGGTGCAGATTGATCCTATACGGAGGCCATCCGCTATGAGAGCCTTGGAACTTTTGTTTGTAGATGGGCATGAACGAGACGATAACTTCTGCGTCCAATGCATTGAAGCCCAACAAAGTATTGGTAAATAGCTGGTCCGCATACCTCATCTCTGCACACCTGTTGACCTATATAAAGGCAGTCTTCGCTCCTCGGACTCGGATGAAAAGTATACTCTCGCTCCCGGTATGGTGGTCGCAAACGCAGAAGCTTGCGAAACACAATCAAAGGATCTTGGGGGTGTGGCGGTGAAGGATACTGATGAGACAATTGATGAGCTGCCAGATTACGAGGCCCACAGGAGGCGGCGAAGAGCTGAACGAGCTCAAGCACGGCAACGCAGGTTAGCGACGTTAGAGAAAACTAACGATGTGACACCGAGAGAACAGTCAGATCAACCCACAGAGTCGAGCGGTGAAATTCGAAAACAGCAAGGAGCGGAAAGACCTCGAGCTAAGCAATTCGGCGATATGGCGGTAGAGCTTGCTGCAGATACCACATCGGAAGAAGAGTCAGGCACTGTCGTTGAAAACATCGACTACAACAGGAGGCGACGAAGAGCCGAGAGGGCCCAAGCAAAGCAGAACAGATTAGGGGGAAATCGTGTTGAGTTTTCATGAAGTTAACTATGACACAAAAGGGGCATTATGGCCTGTAGCCGTGGCCAACGATCTAGTACAACTATCTACTCAAAAGGATATCAATCTTATTTCTCTGGTCTTCGGAAATGGTCTACATGGGCATACCGTCCATACCAGGAAGCTGCTTCATCCAGCCATCATGGTCCTCGTTGACGCGAGCCTTTACATTACAGCTGTTACCATCAGCGGGTTGCTGAGTCTTCAGGCTTCCGCAGCTAGCTCCCATGCAGCCCTTAGCGTCATCCATAGCCTTCTGGAGCGAGTCATCCTTCCAGCCGAAGACGTAGTCACCGTGCTGGCCGAAACCAGTGTTGTCGCCAGTCGACAGAACGAAAGGTTGGGAGCCATCGGCAGGCCAGTCAGCCTTGTTGTTGAATTGCCTTGTATCCCAGACGATCTGTAGTGGTTTTAATATGTATTCAACACATGACAACTATATCTTGGAAGTCCAAGATACGGTATATTGGGGGCTGCTTACCTCGAGCATCAATTGTGGGATCTTCACTGGATGAGTCGAGGGGCAGTCACCGCCAGTGCTGGTGCCAGAGAAGGAAGCGGGGCCGGCCTTGGGATATGCGACATGTGCCTTGTGATCAGGGCTGTCGAGATTCTTGCCGTCCCAGCAGCTACGCAAGCATTAGCGATAGTTCTCAATTTCTTTAGGGTAGAAACATACGTCGGATACAAGATGTTCGAACGGATACCTCCTGGGCAAGCAGTCTTGGGGAAACCCTCGGTGTCCAATCTGCAGTCATTAGATCCGAAAATTCTCAAGGGTAAGGTGCACGAACTTCGCATCTGCACATGGAGCAGCATTGTCGCCGCCGAAATTTGGCGCGTTGTAGCAGCGGAAACATGTCTGCATCTTCAGGTTCTTGCTTACACGATTGGTAGCGTCGCCGACGAGCATACGGAAACCCTAATTGTTCGCCTTAGCAAGATTATGTCTGGTCGCCACTGAGATTGCACCTACCGGCTTGAAGGCCGTCACTTTACCCTTGCCGGGCGAAACATAGTAGACGACGAAGCCACCGTTTGTCTTTCCAGTGTACTTATCTTGGAAGAGATCCCTACGTTATGCGTGAGTTCGAAACTACTATATGCTTAGGCTTAGGAGGATCACTAACCTGTTAGGAATTTGAGGCACGCGCTTGTACGTTCCGTTGCGCGCCTTGAAGTAGACGTTGGCGGTCCAGTAGTTGGAGAGCTATTAGGTTTGAGGTCAGCCAGAGCTTCTCAAACGAGATGTATTTTCAATGCTTCAATATCTTCATACTATCCTATCTTACAATTCCGCGGTCCAAATCAAATGACGGCGGCCCTAGAATGTAGTTGTTGAAGGCCTAGGTTAACTCACATCTTCAGAATAACCACATGTTGTGCAGCTCGCAAGTTTGGAGATATCGGTAGACTCCATCGTAACGTTGAAGGCATTTCCTCCCACGACTTGATGCATATGGGGGGACGGTGCTTGCCCAGGATTGACGAGTGGATCGATACGGTCGACGACTACCTGTGCGCAACCGAAACGCAGCATAGTGAATCCATTGCCACCACCGCCTTGAGGAATCGCGTCGGCTAGAGCCGCGAAGAGGAGGGTAGAGAGAAGCATAATGGATGTCGAAAGCCGTTTTTCCTAGAATAAACAACGACAAGACAAATGGGTACACATAAATTCGCGCTGAAGTATGTACTTCAGGGGTCAGGGAGGCTTTAAGTGGGAGACGCTCTGTGTCTCTTTCAAACTTCTCAGTCCTCGTGGCCATCAGTCTAGACGTCCATGGTGCCTAATCCATACGCTTTCCCCACGGCTGCCGGGATAGTGGCAACCAGCAAAGCGATATTAAAGTACGCCCGATGGAGCAGGCCTCGTGCTTCCGAGTGTTGTCGGCAGATGCGGAATTAATATGGCGGACCACGATTCGGTTAAAGGCTTGATATTGCTTCACCAACGTCGAAGACTTTCTCGAACATTGAATGGCTCCGGAGCACGGGGATCTGCGTTCTGCAACCGAGATCAATCGTGGGGTAGTATTGATTCGGAGACTGGGGAACTATGTAACAGTTATAGTCGGCCGAGTTGAAAGATTGGATCGCGAAATACATGTAAAGGTGTCGCATACGGAAAGAAATTCTAGTCCGAAATCCGAACGACTGAGGGCTTGAATGTACAATCTTACAAATCACAATTCTCATCGACCAGGGACGGTAGGTCATGGGCCAGTCATTGCAATCTTTGCATACTACTTCGCCAGTTCAGCCTTCCTTTATTCAACCCATTTTCCTCATCAAAGCCAGATGACAGCACGGAAACCAAGGGGTTTGAGGCTCTAATGTGCGAAAGAGTACCAGGGTGAAGCAAAAAAGTATTTATGATTAAAAAGAAAGCAAGTTGGCCAAATGCAGGGCGTGGCAGTCAAAGTGACATGGTAGAAGCGACTCCCGCAAGCTAATATTTTGCGCCAGGTCAGCAACAGGGCGTTCGTCTAGAGAGATCAATATACCCCTTGATCACGCCCACGTTCCTATTTCTGCCCTTCCAAGGTCTGACACGTCTTTTCCTCGTACACTTGATAATCTCAAATCTTGACCGGTTGCACAATCCGGTACGGTATCTCGCACTCCAGATATACAGTGAAGGTATGACACATGTCAGACTTTGAATTAGAAACTCATTAGTGTTGTAGCTGGCTTGTAAAGATTACCACAACCAATGTCATGACCGTGAAAAGCATCGATAGCTGTCTCCCTTCAGATCACTCCAAGGAGTGAAATATCCTATTTGAAGGCGTGATGAGAACAGTGGAAAATATTGTGGCCCAACAAGATTTAATGGCAACCTCATGGCAACCCAATAAAGTGGGAGGGCGAAGGCTACACCTAGCGTACCGAACATACGCATGATCCCAGTGATTCAGAACGAACGGCATATGAGTCCGACCCTAGAGCGATGAAATCATGTTCCATAACGGGGCATCTATCGCGGTAGTGACTTCGTTCATAGCAAGACTTCCACTACATACCCCATATTCTCTTATGTTCAATCGCAGTCTGTCATCACACTAGGGTAATCGCAACGGAACGGCAATCCCGGGCTGTGTGACTTTCGAAAGGGTCCCATGAAAGATGCAAAGGAGACGCTCTAGCGCTGAGACCCTGATAAACGTTAGCTGTCATGGCCGCAAAGGGTGGCGCAGACTGTTACGATCAAGACGGAGGGACGGACGATGGTTGCACTAAACAAGTTCAAACAGGGAAACGCTCTCATGCATCTAAATACATCCTCGCACGTTTGCGCAAAAGGCACAACGCACAAACATGAGTACTAAACTATACAAATGGTTCAATAGATCCAGTAACACACTATCGACCGTGCCCATGTATGAAAAACTTCTTGATCGCTCACTCGGTTACGGGTGCATCAAGCATCAAGTACGAAGTCTCAGCTGGAAAGGTGTTTAAATACCGAGAGTGAATTCGACACCAACGTCGATGTCACGAGCCATCTTCACGACCTTGGAGAACTGGACGGACTTCTCAGCAGCGGCTTGGAGGTCGTCGATGGAGAAGATCTTGAGGCCTGAGTCGTTGAGCTGCGTGTGTTTGTTAGCGTCTATATCTAAAAGTTCAGGGGTGGAGGGACTTGCCAGCTTATGCGCCTGCTCCATGTTGGTACCCTGTAACCTAGCAATAACAGGTGTCTTCAGGTTCATCTCGTGAACGACCTGGATCAGACCCTTGGCAATAGCATCACATCGCACGATACCACCGAAGATGTTGACGAAGATAGCAGTAACCTTAGGATCGCTGGTGATCAGGTCAAAAGCCTGTCGGATAGCCTCGGGTGTAGCACCACCGCCAACGTCCAAGAAGTTAGCGGGCGCGCCACCGTTCAGCTTGATGATGTCCATGGTCGCCATGGCCAGACCGGCACCGTTGACAAGGCAGCCGATGTCACCGTCCAGCTTGATGAAGTTCAGGCCAACCTTGGCGGCCTTGACCTCATCAGCATCCTCCTGGGTAATGTCCCTCCATTCGAAGATTTCCTTCTGACGGAAATCGGCGTTGTCGTCGAAGTTTAGCTTGGCGTCCATGGCGAGGACCTGGTGATCGGTCGTCTCAGACAGAGGGTTGATCTCGATCTGGGTAGCGTCCTTCTCCATGAAGACCTGGTACAGCTTCTGGATGGTGTCCTTGGCATCCTCAATGCACTGTTCCGAGAAACCAAGCTCTGTGGCGATGTTGCGCGCAATATCGTCGGTGACGCCCTTGTGGATGTCGATTGGGGTTGTGATGATAGCCTCGGGGTGCTCCTTCGCGACAGTCTCGATATCCATACCACCTTGCGACGAAGCGACAATGACGGGGCCTTGCGAGCCGCGGTCCATGAGGATGGCAAGGTAGAACTCTCGGCGCGCGAACTTGCGATCGACGATGTAGACGGCATTGCAGAGCCGGCCGGCAGCTCCAGTTTGCTTGGTGATCAGCTTGTGACCGATCATCTGGTCGGCGAGGATAGATGCTTCGCGGGGACTATTTTTTGTTAGGACTCGGTCGCGAAGCCTTGAGATGGTGAGGTAGCATACGAGTAGACAACTCTGACACCGCCCTTGAAGCCGTTGTCGAAGGTGCCCTTTCCTCGGCCACCGGCAAGAACCTGGGCCTTGATAACAGCATCCTCTCCGCCTGCGCGTATTAGCCCAAAGCCCAAAGCTGCCCACTATTTGCTCGAGTGCATACCGATTTCCTTTGCGATCTTCTCCGCCTCTGCTCCGCTGGTCGCGACACCACCCTTGGGTACGCCGATACCGTACTGGAACCATAATTAGCCATGTGTGTCCTCGAGCATATCAGATTTGCGGCGGAGCTTTCGTACCGATTCGAGCAGCGATGCGGACCTATATTCGTGAATCGCTAGGCATCTCCTCTGTTGTACCGCGGAGCGCTTTAATGGAGTGTCCTGTGACTTGTTAGCGTTCACTGCCAATTGTGGTGCACACTGTCGTCAGAGGCTTTTTGAAGCTTGCGGAGGTGTATCAAGGGACGTACAACAGCTGCTCTGAGAGCGCGGGACAGCGGCCGGGCGCGGGCAATGTTATACATGGTGTCTGAATAACACACACCAATGGGCGATCTTGTGGAAGGCGAAGGGTTGATGGGGCTGGAAAGTAGGGCTCGCTGCTGCTTCACAAGGTTGATGCGGAGGTCTCTAGCGCGCCGAGAATTTACCGGGTTCGACAAAATGTTGCGGCCGCGAACGTTGAAAATCAAACGCCCAAGCTTGATTGAACTTGAACAATTTACGCAAGATGTCGAAGAGGAGCATCGATGGAGATGTTATTGCGAATCGGATGAGTCTCGTGGAGGCAAAGGGGCAGAAGTTCCTGGCATCACTTTTAGGGCCACAATCAGAGCCAAAGCAACCAAGCGACGGCGCGAACCAACAAGATGAACAAAATGAACACGAAGACCTGAAAGAAAACTTCGGCCATGACAGGTACATTTATTACGAGTCTACATATCCCATGTTGAGACTGACAACCTTAGGCTTGGCGTAGGAGGCATACTCCCCAAAGACATCGCAGATGGTAGCTTCACTAAGCGTATCCCAACATCAAGTGACAAACTACTGGAGCAACTCATCGGCAAGAAGAGAGCTAAAGCACATATCGCTGCGAAGCAAGAAGCTGCAAGACCAAATGCCAAGGCCCAACGAAACGGAAAGCCAGCAGCTATGACGAAAGAGGAGAGCGAGGATGAAGAGGAGGGCCGAGCAGCTTCATTCAAGTCGAAAAGAAGAAAGGGGGCCGGAAAGAAGTCGGTGGTTGTAGTGAAGAACGAGGAAAGTGACGATGAGAACGAAGACGAAGAGACGAGGGCGAAGAGGCTAGAGGCGAGTAAGAGTAACGAGGAGTTGAAGGAGGCAACTGCAGACAAGCAGGTCAAAGATGAACAGGTTAATGATGAGCAATTAGAGCCCGATGAGGAAATTGGCACTACAAGTGTAAAGAAGAAACTGCCGAGCAGGGGAAGGACTAGACCAACGAGCTACCTGGACGAGATTCTTGCAGAGCGATCAAAGAAGAAGAACAAAAAGAACAAGAGTCTGGCGGAAGAATGAGTCTCGAAGTGGTAGCATGAAATCAGGCGTTATGTGCTGGGAAGATACCCCGATTAGTCCACACGACTTGACATCGTTGTTGATCTGATACTTCAACATATTCTTACTTTTTTACAAATCTGCCTACTCCCTAACAATCAAGCTAGCCATTCCCATTCCCGTTCCAATACACTTACTCAACACACCAACCTGCTCACCACTCCTCCCCATCTCGCTCAGCAACGTCGCCAGCATGCGACCGGACGTAGCACCTAACGGATGACCCAGCGCAATAGCTCCTCCGTTGGGATTGACCTTGTCCATCTTGCCCTCCAAGCCTAGCTTTCTTATGCAGTACAGCGACTGACTCGCAAACGCCTCGTTGATTTCCCACACGTTGACGTCAGATGTTTCAATGCCAGCGTAGGAGAGCAGTTTAGGGATGGCGATGGCAGGCCCAATACCCATTTCATCGGGCTGACATCCGGCAACCTGGGTTCCCGCCCACTTTCCGATTATATGTTTTTCGAGGCCGAGGGCAGTGGCGGTCGAACGGCGCATCATTAGGGCTGCGGAGGCGCCGTCGGAGACTTGGCTGCTGTTTCCTGCCGTGCTGGTTCCGTCTGTCTTGAACGCGGGCTTCATAGAAGCCAGCTTCTCGACTGTGGTGTTTGCGCGAATCCCGTCATCCTTTGTGACTGTGACTTCCTTGACGCTCTCGGGTGTTTCGGGCTCGATCCAGCGTGTGGTTACAGGTACGATTTCCTCGTCGAATCGGCCGGCGGCTTGCGCCTCCGCTGCCCTACGCTGTGATTGCGCGGCAAAAGCATCTTGGTCCGCTCTGCTCACACCATAGCGTTCCGCGACGTTTTCAGATGTGATGCCCATATTCATTATGCAGTCCCTCGCCTCCTTGACTGGGCTGTCCTTCAATTCTGGCCACAGCTCTGTGGGTATAGCTCGACTTCCGTAGTTCCGTGTCATACTCTCCATGCCGCCCGCGATTCCAATATCTATTTGTCCGACAGCGATCGAGTTCGCGATCGAAGTTATGGCCGAGAGACCGGATGCGCATGCTCGGTTCACGGTGCTGAAGGAGGTTGTAGTGGGAACGCCAACGTGGTTCGCCGCCATACGGCCTGCCTTTGATCCCCCGAGCTCGGCGAGGACGGTACCGATGCATACATCGTCTATTTTCGTGGGGTCGAGGTTAGGGAATTTGGATATTGTTGCTTTCAGGACCTGGCTAACCGTTAGCTGTTGCTTTGAAGGTACATACGGGAACTAAGATGTCTTACAGCACCCAGCAACTCATGATCGTACGCATCTCGCAGACCTCCCTTCTTCGCTCTTGTGACTGGTGTTCGAAGCGCGGAGAGGAAGACTACATCGTGTGGATTCTTTTGGAGGACGTTCTTGATACCTTTCTGTATAAAACCTGCCATTGCGGGAAACTTCTAGGCGCAACGCCGAGCTGGCAATGGTAGATATCAGGAGAATGGTAGAGGGAAGGAGGCGAGCCAAAGATGTGCGAGAAAAAAGGAAGAGATTCGATTGTTGCCGCACATTGAAGCCATGGCTGTTGTAGACTAAGCTCCAGGTTCCTACTGCGTGGAGTTCGGCAAATGGACGCGGGGTGGAGTAGCCGGCAAAGGTCTTTTCCACGGTATGTTGTACAGGTCACATGGGCGGAAAAGGCACGGAAAAGATTCGGATACATCGATGGATGATCTCGGATTCGAATAAGCCTCGATAGAAAAGGCGGGGAGCGCATGGGTAGGTTGAAATTGGGGTTGATTTTTGGTGTGTTTGTGCTAATCTATCCTTGTAAATAACTCGTTCACAGTCTCGCTCCCTAGATGCTACCGCAACAGAGATGCGCTGATGGTGCGCGCAGGCACGCAAACAAATGGGCCAATTTTGCGTTCCATCACATTCTCTGCTACCTGTATTGCCATCCGCCGCCAAAATGCTCCAGAAAACGAAGGAAAATCTCGTCCATCAGAAGACCTGTACTTACCCCAGAGAACCTCGCAAAGTCTTCTGCTCAAATAACATTACTAAAGCTCTACGAAGTGCTCTAGGGAAGCTCAAGGCGGTCTCATGGAGATTATGCGGCGGGGTATACGAGTCGGAAGACGTCATTCAGGACGTAAAAGCTCTCGCCGTCTTTCTTTAGCTGGAAAGCCTGGGTGAAGCTCATGGGCTTGTCTTCGCCTCCAAGCTGCCTAAGAGTCAGCAGGGATATAATCTTGTGTACCGGGTCAACTTGCCAGAAGCGCACCGGTCACCAAGACCAAGATGCCATCCTCAGCGGAGGGCTGGGCGTCGACAGTGTCGGTTCGGTGTTGTATCTGTTGGAAGGGCAGATTCTTGCACAATCAGCATCTTCCTAAACGTCTATGCGCGGAGGTCCTACTTGTAGCTTCTCTACAATGGCGGCTGATCCTTGAGTTCCTTGCGCTTCAAAGGTGAGCATCGAGGTCTCTTTCTATATACTCGTGTCAGCTGGCGCTGTCGTAGGCGCGCATTGTAAGGCCGCATACGTAGAGTTGGGCGAGGCCAGCGCGGTTCTCATCGAATGTCTTGTAGTAGAATTGGACAAACTGCTCTAGGAGCGAGGGTCAGCGGCGGCTTGAGTCAGGCGACGCCCGAGGGATAAAATATGGGCGTGATTTCGTTTCGCGCATCGGACAGCACATACGAGCAATAGTGTTGAAGTCTGCAGAGGAAGTCAGTCAGTTGTCAAGAGCCATGTCTGAGGTGGGGTAAACAGGAGCTCGACATACCCATTTTTGCGTATCTTCGGGATGTCTGGCTAAAAGAGATGTTCCGGTGCGACTATTCGGCTTGCGCGCAAGGTTGAGACTGCTTGTACAGGATTGTCGAGGGCGTGTTTGGGTTCAGGCTGGCTTGCTGCTTGCCTTCGATGGGCTTCGTTGGTGGTGGGGCAGCGTCAAACGCCGCCGCCGGCCCGATGTTTTGCCGCATACCAAATGATTTTCTTCTTGCGTCCTGGTCTTTCCTGCTTCTGTTCTCACTCACCACTCCATCGTTTATCGACACGTAACAACATGCACGTTACAGAAGGACGTGGCTATTGCTGCAGGGCTTTCGCCTTCAGCAAGTGATGCACAGTCTGGTAAGCTCTCTTTCGCCTGTTTCTTTTCTTCGCATTATGATGATACAACTTCAAATTCAAACTAAATCTTCCGAGTCAACGACGGTGAAGTTCAAAATATCAAGCTCAACAGGCTGATTTGCTTCGTCACATCATGTGTTTTCTATTGCCCGGTAGCTTCGCTTGCTGACACTGTCGCAGACACAAAGACGTGTATTCGATACGTATGCTTCTCGTTCCGAGGCCGCGATATCTAGATACAGTACATAGGCAATCGAATGCTCATCTTCCCTCGATATACTTCGTTCTAGCATCTAGCATCTATTGCAGTGACCATGATCTTTGACCTCTACAAACCCTTCGCCTGGAACGATTTTATCGCATCAACGATGGACTCCTCGAAGGTCTTATACTTCAGGCCCAAAATATCAATGGAGCGCTTGTTGTTATATCTATACACTCCCGTTTCAGGTGTACCCTCTGGATAGTCGCCACCTGGTGTGGAGTCGCTCGGCAAGTCCTTGTACTGGGGGAAGTTCTTCTTGATGATTTGGCAGAGCTCCTTGTTGGAGAAATAGCCGGCAGTCGTGAGGAAGCGCTTGTTAGCAGCTTCCGGCTTCTCGAAGGCAGCTACGTGTGCCTCGGCTACGTCACGCACGTCAACCCAGAGATGCACCCCACTGGGTGGGATCTCGTCTTTGAACTTGCCTTGGGCGGCATATAGGATTCGCTGATTCGATGTGTTCAGGTTTTCGAGGCTGAGAAGCCCATGCACCTAGTGCCTACGTTAGCGAGCGCACAACATTCAGACATGTCTTCGATACGTACAACTGGACCATATACCATGGGAGGATTGATGGTGGACAAGCTGAAGTTGGGCTTCTCGTTCTTGACGAAGTCCCACGCGGCCTTCTCGGCGAATGTCTTGCTCGCTCGGTACCCATTTATCGGGTTCTCTTGTCCCTCCTTCGTCGTCATGGGGTTCCAATCGTCTTCTGAGTACGTGTGTCCGGGCCAAAATCCCTTGTCTCCGTCGACAATCGCGGCGAAGGAAGATGTGATTACGACACGCTTGACGGTGGGAGCGCTCTTTTTTATCGATTTGAGAATGCCGGTAGTACCGATGACGGCAGGGTCGATAAGGTCCTATTAGATCAGCGGGGGTTGCAGATGTAGAAAGGCTATACTCACTTTCTGAACGTCTGTAACGTTGAAATGGAATGGGCTAGCTGTGTGAACAACGGCTTCGAAGGGCGGGTCGGAAACGACCGCTTGGTCAAACGCGCCTTCCTGGGCGATATCTGGCACCAGTGCAAAGTCCAATTGGCCTTTATCTACATAGCTTTTGTATTCCGCTTTAATCTTGTCGGCTTTCTCCTGTGTGCGCACTGTCGTGACGACCGAGTGCCCTCGCTTCAAGAGCACATCGATGGTATGGGCCGCGATGAACCCACTCCCTCCGGTCAATAGCACTCGGGTCATTTTGTGTAGTTGGTACTTCGGTGTTTAAATGTGTGTGAATATCTGTGGTGTTGGGGATTGTTGGAGTTCAGGATGGAGATGTAGGTGGAACCGTTGCGAGATGGTGACACAATATGTACCATAGGGCTCGACATCCAGTTCCACTTAGCGTGGGGTATTTTTTTTTTCGTGCATCGGATCTTGCGTCCTTCGGGCACCCGCTTTCGCTTACAAACGATTAAATGAATTCTCCTGCACGTTTGTTGTTCGTCCGCGGTTCCGGCTGCATTATCTCTGGAGATGTCGTCATGCAGCGATAAACACCTCGTGGGGGCGTGTCTCTACGGCTTCCCTGTGTTCATCCTCTTTATATGCCCCGGTTCTTGGAACAATTGCTGGTCGGTAGCTTCAGGCCTTTTCTGCTTTCCAAAAGGCCAGTGAACCTCCCAATACACTCCACAGCACAGCCATATCTTCATTTTCGTCCGAGTTGCGCGCACGGTCTGCGTTGCCCAGGTGCCTAGGTGGAGTACGCAAGAGAAAAGGTCCGAGTATATATGATGTTGCGAGCATTGTAGGTCAAGTCGATGGCAGGGACCCCTGGACGGATGTAAGACGTTTGAAGCCACTACCGCGTGAGATCCCACCTCGTCTTATCGAACAAAGGCCCCACCATAGCTCGAGCTGCATCCCACATTGTCCACACGCCGGTCCTTTCCAATCCGAGGACGGCCTGCACTCCAGTCCTCGCTTACTTGCGTTCCGGCACGCGGGACGGGGGTATTTCCCACGGCTGGCATAGGGTCCATTGCGGGGCAAGTAGACAAGATGAGGGGCAAAGTTTTTTCCGACCGACCTTCTGTATTCTCATTGTCCTTCCTAATCTAAACTACAGCGTTATCAAAGATGTCGTCACTCAAGAGAAGCCCACCTTTCCGCGCCGAGCACGTCGGATCTTTGCTTCGACCCAAGGAGCTTGTGCAGAAGCGTTATGACGTTGCCTCGGGCAAAGCCAAGCAAGACGAGCTCGAGCCTCTCGAAGACAAGTCAGTTGCGGACGTTGTGAAGCTGCAGCAGGACTGCGGCCTTAAGGTCGTTTCCAGCGGCGAGTATACCAGGTCCGTTCCCCATAATGCTGTGACCCTCAGCTTTGGCAAGCGTATGGAAATAAAAATAGAATAAAAACTAATCTGCATTTAGACACATGTTCTGGGGTACCTTCTTCGAGACCCTCAATGGTATGAAGGAGCTACAGCTTGGCGTACTGAAAGGCTACGACAAGGATATTTTCCGCGCTTATGCACCCGATGTAAAGTCATTCATGGAAGCGAAGGAAGTCCCCAACCATGTGACCGTCTGCGTCGATAAAATCAGCCATCCCGGCCAATCGAGCAATCAACGCGAAGTTGATCTCATGAAGAAGCTGCTTCCCGAGAGCGAGTGGAAGAACATCAAGATCACTTTGATTTCGCCCTCATGGTACCATTTCCGCTACATGAACGGACGAAGCTTCCCGAAGGAAGTATACGCGAATGATGATGAATACTTTGAAGATGTCGCAAAAGCGTATCAGGAGGAGTTGAAGATTCTGCACTCGCACGGTATCAGGAACATCCAGATCGACGACCCCAACCTGGCATACTTTTGCTCACAAGACATGTTGGAAGGCTGGGCTGCTGATAAGACCAACGACAAGACTGCTGATGAGATGTTCGATTCATATGTCAAGTTCTACAACAAATGCTTCGAGCGACCTGCGGACATGCATCTCGGCATTCATCTCTGCCGTGGCAACTACGTCGGTAGCCGCCATTTCTCCGAGGGCGCATACGACAACATCGCAAAGAAGTTGTTCCAGGTACGTCTACCACCATTCCCGTAAAAACCCTATATTGACTTGATCAGGACCTCAACGTCGACACATACTATCTTGAGTACGACACGCCTCGTGCCGGTGGTTTCGAGCCGCTTGCGCACCTTCCTAAGAACAAGAACGTTGTTCTAGGTGTCATCACATCCAAGTTCCCCGAGCTCGAGAACAAGGAGGAGATGATCGCTCGTGTCAACCAGGCTGCTGATTGGATTGCCAAGGGCACTGGCCAATCACGCGAAGATGCTATTCAGCAGTGCTGCGTCAGCCCCCAGTGTGGTTTCGCGTCGCATGCAGAGGGTAACTCGCTGGGTTACGAGGATATGAGGAAGAAGCTGCAGCTGGTGAGGAGTATCGCTGATGCGGTATGGCCAGGTCAGCCGTAGAAGAATGGGTGAAGAGTTGTGATGGTTTGTGGGCAAACAGGAAAGCTTCAACTTGTTGGATAGAGTCAATGCGACTTCTGGGAGGTTCTTGGAAAAATGTATCGAATGCCAAATTCAACATGGCATTGTTGCGATCATGCATACCATATCAGTATGTGGCACCAAGTACTAGGTCCACGAAGAACACGCTTGTATATCCATAGAAATCAAAGATATTTTGCCGTCCAACTATTTGAGGAATCTTCTAAAATATGTAAAACTTGAGTAGGGATTACATCTACATGGGTGATTCGATCTAGAAACAAGGATATGCTACTGTACAAAACAACCATTGATCAGTCTCATGTCACTTCTCGGCGTCAGCACCAGGACTTTTACCTGAAACATAGCGAGACATGTCTAGGAGCTTGTACAGGAAGCGGTAATTATTGTATCCAACTAAGGAGACTGGTGCAGGAATTCAGGAGTGTGGCGGTGCAGGAGTGCAAAAGAGGCGCACCAACTCACGTGACTGGAATGTGTAATGTTCAGGGATCCCGGCACCCAAGGTCAAATTACTGCTGTGCAGCGCCTTAAAGCTCATTCAAGGGCTAAAATGGAACTTTCAGGCTTTAACAAACTCTACAACTGCCCATCCACCTTTGGAATACCTTTTGTTACGTTTGTCGAGGTGTTTTGATCGATTCTGTACCTGGTTTGACCGAAAAAGGCTTGGCAAGGGAGCTATGAGCACATCACCTTTGATGAGTCGGGCACAGGTACGTCCGACTTTGCTGCCTTCCAAGGTGAACTTCCTGGCAAAAGCGACAAGGCTTACACTCATTTAGGCTTCACCCGCCACTTCAGTCCGCGCATCCTCATACAGGTGATTGCTATTTTCTTTAACCATTTTCTAATATATATCGACCTTATCTCGACGCTCTCGCCTATTGCCAGCCCATACTTCTCACCTCTTGCTATGCACATGTATCATCTTTGAATGCGCTCGATCTCATATCACCTACGACCAACACTAGATTGTTCCACGCCTCAGGGGTTGTGCTTGCCAACACTAACAGTCATTTAGTCTTCTCAGAGATGATTCGTTCATTGAAATTGACACCTTCGCGTCTGAGGAGAACTACATCCTCGATTTTCCAAATACTTGGAACGACGGCTTCAATCATCTGAATACTGATATCGGATCTAATCCGAATCCCCAATTCGATTATGGTACCGAAAACGCACAGAGTGGGCTCGAACAGTACATTTGTCCTGCCGACCTAGAGTTGTTGCAGCACGCATCTTGCAACATTACTCCTAGTGCAGACTTCGTGATCTCTTGCGACAACTTGCAAAGCAACCCAAGAACAACGCACTACGCAGAGTCTGGTCAGGATGAAACAGAGTGGGTAGATGAAAACGAAGAGCCGATTTCTCCTAGCCGCGAACTAGTTACTGCCGCACCTCCACTCGGAAAAGCTCAGTCTCGCCATCCAGAATCCCGAAAAAGACGCAGTGCGCCTATAAAGCAGTGGTTCCTACAGAATGTCTCGTGGCCGTACCCCAGTGAAGCTCAATATTCGGCACTAGTTGCAGCATCCGAACTTTCCTTGCAGCAAGTGAGGGATTGTCTAAGTAACCTCAGAGCTCGCACAAAACATGGTGAGACTACCATTAGCTTCAAATTTTCTTGCTAACTTTGCAATCAGAGCCTATCAATTCTGGAAATGAACTTACCGGCTTTTCACCGAAATCGTCACAAAATTTGCTACTTCCCGCAAACAATGACCCCTTGGTATCCGGCACTGCCCGACAAAGCACCACGCCGTACAGTATCGACTCAAGCCCATCACTAGTGTTCAACCCCGGCGTGTCCTTGTGCAGGCCAGACCCGCCAAAACCTGAAGTACTACAGAATGGTCCTTCCATGATCTCAGACTATTTAATTGCGCACAGCGCTGTTAAAAATTATGCGAAAGAGACTTCGCCTGCAGTGGCAGTAACGCCCGCGCGCAAAGGAAAACGGCGTTATATGTCAAGATATGATCCCAACGTCGGACGCACCACAGACTCCTTCTCGCCAGGCACTTCCAGTGACAGCGCTTACGACGTTATCAAAGCGTACCACTGTACAGTGTGCCCTGGGACCTTCAAAGATGCTTATGGCTGGAAGAGACATGAATCTAGTGTGCATGGTTTCAACGACACCGAGTGGACTTGCATGCTTCACGAAACCATTTTGATCAACTTAAAGTGCATCTTCTGCTCTGAACATGTCGACGACATCGACATTGACCACTTTGATCAGCATGACATACAACTTTGCATGAACAAAAGCTGCAGCGACCGAACGTTCGCCCGAAAAGACCTTCTCAAGCAACATGTCCGACATGTCCATCTTGCAAGCGCACCTGCATCGATTATGCAGACTTTCAAAGTGCCAAAGATATGGTCAAAAGCTACAGATGGGGCGCTTGCGAACCCTGACGCTTTGTGGTGTGGCTTTTGTCTGCTTATGCACGAATCAATTACGACAAGGATGGAGCATGTTGCGCAGCATTTCCGGGACGGCCAGGACATGGCAACTTGGGTGCCCAGGCTGACTACCTAGTCGATTAGTACTTCTCTGGTCGCCTCTTGTATGCTTTTTTAGACTCGGGCTTTCCTTTTAGCACCATCGCGACGAAAATATCTTTCGACACAAAATGATGTTCATGTACCTTTTTTTTCAGAATACAGGCATGTTACATACATAATGCATTGTCATTGGTTTGTGTTGGACGTATCATGTTATTCTGTATCGACGTTGCTACTATAATTACGAAGCGCTGGAGTCAATACAGGAATTCATTCATTTGTACTAATGATCTACACTACATGCATAAAATGGAAAAGTTTTAGTACCCGAGAATCCAGGGCATGCAAACGCAAGGCCTATCACCTAGAAACACAAAAAACCCTTTCTTTTCTTCAAGTCTTGAAGTGTCTAACCACTCGTTGCGTCGTGAGTGACTATCTCGTACCTCTGTCATTGCGCAACTGATACTAGACTGCAATCGGGCGTTTATAGGTTCTCAAGGAATCTGAGGAATAGATGGGCCTATAGCGGGGCAAAAGTTCACAAAGGCTGAGGTTTTTATGATAAAAGAGGCGTGAATGCATGGACCATGCTGCGAATTGACCAAGTAGCTGGTTGATGAAGGCCCATGTGCAATGACTTGGGACTAGCCACTGCAAGCAGGCTTCTACTGGCACATCGGTGTACAAGATATAATCAAGTTTGTTTACGCCCCAACCTCCTGATCAATGTCGACAAGGCTGAAATCTCGGTGATATCGGCAGACAGGCACCTGCACCCTGACCCATCGATCGTTATCACGGACGTATCTCGATGGCTCGCGTGGTGTTATATTAAACGATCGGTCGTTGTCGGTGTCGTCATCTGCTTCATAATTGTTGTCAATTGGCGATACCCCATGCCCGCGCGCCAGCAATGGAAAGGGGCCTCGATCCTGTTCTTAATAATGTAGCGTAGCTACCTTCAAACGCTTTCAAATTTTGACACATGTCAAGAGAGGATCCATCTCGGCATCCCTATAGACTTTTAGCTAGTAAGTCGTAATTTCACGGCATATAGTTTGTTGCGGGCGCTAGTGTCCCTAACCCGCAAGTGGCGCCGTTGATCCGTTCTCTCCACGCTTGCGGCAGCGGCAAACCTTGGAAACTGCCCGCCCCGTTTCGGACTTGATAGACCAACAAATGCCCCTTGCTTGTTACGGGGCGGCGATCAAAATCAGGAAGGTGATGCCTGCGGCGCGGCGGTGTGCCGTTTCAACAAGAACATATTTAGAAAAATCTCCGAGCCTCGTGGGCATCGAGGCTCTGTTTGAGGATTTGAGAACGAGGCCCTAATTGTACTAAGGTGATCAGATTTAATCTAAATATTGTAGGATGCATAATGCTTTTGTGTCGGTTTGGCATGTCTCGGAGATTGCACTCTTGGGAACCTCCAGGGTATGCTGTCGATCTCATGCCGGGCCGAATTCCACGATGGTCAATATATACGAAAGCGTCGCATTTGGCCAGGAGAGGAGCGAACACCGCGATGTTCGTGGCGGGGTTAGGTATGCGGTATGCATCTAACGTTTAGCACCGAGGCTGTACGCGTCGAACAGAGCCACACACTCCGTCTATCATGGTGAAAGAAAGGGGCACTACCACGCAATGCAGGCCTTCATAAGGGCCACCGAAGCCCTGATGAGATCCTCAAGCAGGCACTCGCAAGGCCTCTATCCATTCGTTTAAATCTTATCAGATAATCACCATGTTGTTTCGACAGTTTCTTGGATCGCTTGCAGCGTTCACTTCGCTTGCAACGGCTGCCAATCTTACCGACTATGAATACGTTGTAGTAGGGTCTGGAGCCGGAGGAGGGTGAGTAAACTCTATGTACAGACTGTATGTGAGCAATGAACTGACTTTGTAACAGGCCCTTAGCTGCCAGGCTTGCGCTTGCTGGCCACAAAACGCTTCTCATCGAAGCCGGCGATGACCAGGGTGCAAGCATCAACTACACCGTCCCAGCATACAATGCAAGGATCTCAGAAGATCCGAACCTGGCATGGAACTTCTTCGTCCGTCACTACGCCGATGAGAAGCGACAAGCCCGCGACTACAAGACAACATATCAGACACCAGATGGTGGTGAATACACTGGCCTCAGCCCTCCTGCTGGATCCACAATGAAGGGAACTCTATACCCACGCACAGGAAGCTTAGGAGGTTGCACGGCGCACAACGCTCTCATCGCCCTCTATCCCCACAACTCCGACTTCGAGTACATTGCAAGCCTAACAGGCGACGCGTCTTGGTCGTCTGATAGCATGCGCAAGTACTTCACCAAGCTAGAGAACAACCATTATCTACTCCCTGGCGCTCCAGGCCACGGCAACGATGGCTGGCTCGGAACATCATATTCCCCCCTGGAAATCGTTACGAATGATCCGCAGCTCCTCAGCGTTGTCGGTGGAGCAGCATTTGCCCTTGCAAACGAGACAAACACCGTCATCAACCTAGGAACTTTGCTGGCTGGGGATGCAAACGCGGATACCCCAACGCGTGATACTACGCCGGCACTTTATCAGATCCCACTCTCGACCACCGATGGTAAACGCACGGGATCCCGCGAGTTCGTCCTGGCTGTTCGCGATGCCAAAACGGCCAATGGCACCAAGAGGTATCCCCTCGAAGTCAGACTGAATAGCCATGTCACAAAGATCACGTTTGATCAGTCTGTCTCTCCTCCCCGCGCAACGGGTGTGGAGTTCTTGGATGGTCAGTATCTATACAAGGCCAGCCCTAAGTCGACTGGCGCTGCTGGAACACCCGGCGCTGTGACTGCTTCGCGAGAGGTCATTGTCGCAGGAGGAACCTACGTACGTAATATTCAAGTAAGAGTTGATGGAATAAATATACTAACATCATATTTTTAGAACTCACCTCAACTCCTCAAGCTCAGCGGTGTCGGGCCCGCAGCTGAATTGAAGAAGTTCAACATCCCCGTCGTCGTGGATCTGCCAGGTGTTGGTACCAACCTTCAAGACCACTACGAGATCAACGTCCAGGGTAAAGCGCCATCCAACTTCTCCGCCTTGAATGGGTGCACCTTCGATGAAAGCGCGCAAGATGCCTGTCTTGAACGCTGGCAGACATCCGTTGCTGGAAGCCGTGGTATCTATGCCTCGCCCGGCCTAGGCGCCGCCATGTTCTACAAGAGCAGTGCGACCGAGCGCAACGAATACGACGTCTTCGTCTTCGGTGGGCCAGTCAACTTCCGTGGTTATTTCCCCAACTACAGCGTGAATGCCACAAAAGAGCACGACTGGTTCACCTGGGCGATTCTGAAGGCTCACCCCCGCAACAATGCTGGCTCTGTGACGCTACGCTCCGCCGACCCTCTCGATGTCCCGGATATCACGTACAACTACTTCGACACTGGCAGCGGCGACTCCTCGGCTGATATTACAGCACTGTCTGAAGCCGTCGCGCTCGCTCGTGACTCCTTCAAGCGCCAAGTCGTCCCCATCAAGGAGGTGCTTCCCGGAGCGGACGTTACGTCCCCAGAGGCTGTTGCCGACTACGTCAAGGACACCGCATGGGGACATCACGCATCGTCGACGTGCCCTATTGGCGCTGACAACGACCCGTTAGCCGTCCTTGATTCCAAGTTCCAGGTTAGAGGAACGACTGGATTGCGCGTTGTGGATGCGTCTGTTTTCCCCAGGATTCCAGGAACATTCACGGCCGTGTCCACGTACATGATTGCGGAGAAAGCCGCGGATGTCATTTTGAGCCAACTCGCTGCTCAGTAAAGAAAGTAGTTGAGTGTGGTCAACATAAAGTAAACTTATATATATATTCGCTGTATAATCTATCCATTGTTCTCTAGCATACCAAGCAGTTGTTGTCCCATTTCTCGCCTCAACCTGAGTTTATATATCACGCAGCATTCCACCCCTTCTTGAGCAATCTCGTCTCCTCCACCAACCCGAAACCCGCTCGTCCTGTCCCTGCCCCCTCAGCATCCACTAACTCTCCATACCGAATCTGCATTTCGAGTAATTCTTTCGATGCGCCTTCTCCATCCCCATGCTGCGCCTCGACCAGCTTCTCCATCTCCGTCCGGCCCGTCGTCGTTGTCAAGATTTGCAAGAAGCCTCCATCTACAGCCGGAACGCCATTGTGCACTAGAGACCATGTCCCAATGCCCACGAAAACGAGTGCAAGTGCGAGCGAGAGCGCATACGGAAGTATGAGGTTGATCGGCTTAGAGAACTGGTATGTACTGTGGTATTCAGTTGTTTTTACGGGTGTGAGAGACTTCCAGATATTGAGACTTAGCGCAGAAATGGTTATGTTTGTGATGTAATCATTGAGCGCGGTTTCATCAAAGTATAGGTCTAACCGTGGGTCTTTTTCATGAGTTGTGATTGTGTTGTTGTATCGTCGGGGATTGAAGACTGAAGTTTCGAGGATGGTTGGATCTAGGGGTGGGTTTTGTGAGTGAACGGATAAGAGATGGGTGTATGCTGGCTTACAGTTTTGATATCCTGTTTGTGCGTCCGATCGACGAGATTCTACTTGCGTTCCATTCGGAAGGGTGATGTTTTTTGGACGGAGTGTAAACTCAGTTCGATACCACTGGTACTCCACGGTCTGCAGCGAAGCGTCCAACAGAGCTAAAACGTTCCAGTTCTGGATTGCCTCGCCGACTTTACTTGGCCAGTTTTTGAACTCTGAACTGTTTATATTCAAACCCGGAAACTCTGATAGTCCAGCCTCTGACCAGGGGAACGTGATATTACTGTCGTGATGAAACGGTTTGGAGTCGTTCTTGCTATACTCAAGCTGTCGAACTCCCTTCTCGTACGAAATGCTCAGGTTATATTGCATCGTAATGGGTTGGCATTCTAGCAGTTCCGTTTGGATGAGGATGGTATAGGTGGAATTATGCGAGGGGTAGCGATCGGGGGAATAAAACAAGATGACATCACTGGCGATCGGGTACCTAAGAGTAGTATTATAGTTAGTGAATAAGTATAGAAGTGAATCATACCAAACATGCTACATCTGCAACAGAAGTACATAAAATAGCCTGTTGCGTACTCTATGAGCATACGTACCACTCGAGCATCTTTGTTTGACTTATAGTCAGTGAAGTCTTGCGATCCCATGTGATATTGAACAAAGCCAATTTAGTGTGTTCACTGTCTAATATGGTGGATTTCTTAATGGTCTCCTGACATGAGAGCTGAGGAGCCCTAAACTGTAAGCTATAAGAGGAGTTTTGGCCCTCTGGTGAGGGCATATTTATTATCTCTCCAGAAAGTAAGACCAATTTGGTCAGAGTAAGCAGGTCCCGCTTTGGAGAACTAAGCGAATTGGTCAACAGAACCTTGAGAATACCGGGTCGGAGCAACGTACTAATAATCGTATACTATCATATATTCTTTCTCGGTTTCACTAGCACTCTGTCGATAACTTACAGGTAGTATACCAAGGCCAGGAGTTCTTTCGGCGAATAGCATATTGTTAGTCGGCGGTGGTGGTGGGTTTAAGATCGATATGCTGAGGTTTTTAGTGAACTGGTAAGGCCGAGAAGTAACAGTCAGAGCCGATGGTGGGTAGATAGCAGCTATAGGTATAAGCCACACCGACAAAGCCATCAAAAACAACACCGGAGCGTCACCAATGGCTTTCAGTCCCATGAGTTCGAGTGGATTGGAGCGAATTTTGAACAGCTGCTCTATGCGAGATACTCGTAGAGGCTTTTGACGAAGTATTCGCCACAGATGCTGGGCAAAAGACATGCCAATTGTAGAGATCAGGCAAGCTTTGAAAGCTGTCGTGATGAGAAGCGAGATGGCGGTGACTTGCGACTGTTCCATCCGGCGGTGCTCTGCTAAGGCTCCATGGAGATGTTTGAAGAAAATATAGTGGCCAACTGCAAGCGCAAAAGCTGTTGAGATTAAAACTTGTTGTCAGGGTTGGAGTGATTTGTTGTACCAACAAAGAAGAATACAAAAGCAAGTGGAAACATCCTCCAATGCTCTATTTCTTTTGTAAAACTCTGAATGATATTGCCCTTCGGTTCATCAATCGATGCCGGGGTCTCGAACACATAGGTGGACGTGCTTTTGGTGGAAAGCCTCTCTGACGCTTCATGGCCATCAGATCGATCCTCAGAGAACCGAACTTCATCTCGAATGCTCGTTCTGCTCTCCATTGCGGCTATGGGTTGCTCGCTAGAGCTTATACGCAGTGGTGGGTATTAATGAAGCGAGGAGGTAGTCAGTTGTTCGTCGCTGGAGATAGTAGTAGGCTCCGCACCCCATGAGCTTATCTATATTTGCAGGTATTTTCGTGGCACAGCCTCCTTCAGAGTCTGCATGCCTGCCAATTAAAAGGCATTTCGTCGTGGCCCCCGAAAAGATAGGGCAAAACCCACAAGGCTGAAGGTCCAAGCGAATGCTTCCAGCACGCCAACTAACTGCACCTCTACCCACTACCAGCATACTTAGGCTCTCGCTTTATACATATATGTATCGAGCTCTTGTTGTTTCTAAATATATACTAATACAGAGTGTCTCTTTATTTCTTGGTATGAAGCTACACACAGGTTGTAGTTAGATAGGAAATGATATGGCTCTTGAAAAGGTGCAACCAAGTGAACCACGTTCGATACAAATTCCCCACATATCTAAGAAAATTCGTTCGTCACCTTTCCAGCCCTATTGTTACTATTGGTGTTATAACGTCGACTCGCATCTCCTTGATTTTCATTCCAACCAGAGGGCATAATTAGTGCTTCGACTGCAGCTCTGATTTGCCCGTCTAAGATCCAGGGATGTGACCTGGTGTGGGTTGCACCCTGTGGTACCACATGTTTTGTTATCAACGTGGACTGACCGATGAACGAGAGTCAAGGTGGCAATTCACCCCATACAGCCCAAAACTCGTCAGTTGTGTTGCCAGCGATCCCGAACGCAACCTAAAACGAAAGAGGGGTTACTACGTCGTTAGATTACAGCTAGTCAAGTACATCAATATTCTCTACACGGTCTCAACGCTAAGTCGTATCCCTAATCTTTGCAGGGTAAATTAGAGCTTTGATAACAGACTCCTCACGCCTCTGATGAAGTGAGAATGATAGATATGCGATTAAAGTTTGGAGACTCTGTGTGTTAGCGATTGTCACCACCGTTCTAGGGCGAAAAGTATGACGACGAAGGCGCTGTGGTGGTGCGCATATACTTCGTATTCGGCTCAGCTCAGCTCAACTCAGCCCGCCACACCGACGTGATTGCAAACATCATCGTCTACGACACGACGACATTCTCCAGCGAACAACATTGAATTTCAGCAATGGAATCATTCATAACTACCATGAGCGGTTACTACGTGTCTAAATCTCATCCCACCAAATCAAACAGATTACGCCAGATATGCGGTCTTTCCCGAAATGACCCCATGTAAATACCGGCAAAAGTTGTTGAAAGATACTATTGCGCCGGAACACCTACGCTGCGGGGGGTGCTTTGTTGAAGAAAGCCCACACCTTTTATAGATGCAAAAGTCTAGAAAGAAAAAAGGTCCACCGTGGTCATAAGAGGTATGGCTCTGGCTAAGTGGGATTCGGCGCCGCGGCACCCGTGATATCAGAATCCTCAGACTCGACGGGCGCACAGGTACAGAAGAGGTTCATATCGCCGTATGCTGTGAAGAATTAGTAAAGTGCTTTGAAACTATTACAAGACGAGGGTTGACTTACCGTCATCCAGCCGCGTAACCACCGGCCAGAACTTCTTCTCCTTGAGATATTCCAACGGGTACGCCGCCTTCTCCCTCGAATAGGCCCTATCCCACTCCCCAACGATAAGATCCTGCTGGCTATGCGGGCTCAGGTTCAACACGTTCTTTCCCTTGGGCTGTGTGCCATCCTCTATTTCTTTGATCTCTTGCCTAATGCTGATCAAGGCGTCACAGAAGCGATCAAGCTCGACTTTAGATTCAGACTCGGTGGGTTCGATCATGAGGGTGTTGGCAACTGGCCAGGACATTGTAGGCGCGTGGAAACCATAGTCTTGAAGACGCTTGGCGACGTCGATGGCTTCGACACCAGCGGACTGCTTGAATCCGCGAAGATCTAGGATGAACTCGTGCGCGCAACGACCCTTGTCGTTTGTATACAAGATCGGGTAGTGGGGCTTGAGGCGCGAGAGAATGTAGTTTGCGTTCAACAGTGTGATCTTGGTAGCTTGCGTTAGACCAACGGAGCCCATCATCTTGATGTACGCCCAACTGATAGGCAGAATGCTCGCGCTGCCCCAAGGTGCTCCACTGACGGGGTGGATGGCTTGCGCGCCGCCTGTCTCGCCGCGAAGATGCCCGGGGAGGAAAGGTGCAAGATGCTCCTTCACACCGATGGGACCTACACCGGGTCCACCGCCACCGTGGGGAATACAGAAGGTCTTGTGGAGGTTGAGATGGCATACGTCGGCGCCGATCTCGCCAGGCGAGCAGAGACCGATCTGAGCGTTCATGTTCGCGCCATCCATGTAGACCTGGCCGCCGTGTTTGTGGATGAGGTCGCAAGCTGCCTTGACATTCGGCTCGAAGACGCCAAAGGTGCTGGGATAGGTGACCATGAAAGCGCCAAGCTCCTCGCTATGCTTCTTGCACTTGGCCTCCAGATCTGCCATGTCCAAGTTACCAGTAGCCGTGTCGCACTTGATAGGAACAACGCGCATCCCGCACATGGCTGCACTGGCGGGATTGGTTCCATGAGCGGAAACGGGGATCAAACAGATATCGCGCTTCTTGCCGGGCTGCTGCTCGAGGTACTTTCTGATGACGCGAAGACCCGCGAACTCGCCCTGAGCGCCAGAGTTGGGCTGCAAAGAGACTGAGTGGAATCCAGTGATGTTCGACAGGTCGTCCTCCAGTTGCTTGATCATCTCGATATAGCCCTTGGCGCGCTCTAATGGTAGGAACGGATGCAGGTCGCCAACAGTGTGGAAAGAGACTGGTGCCATCTCTGAGGTAGCATTAAGCTTCATCGTACAAGAACCGAGAGGAATCATCGAGTGAACGAGCGAAAGGTCCTTGGACTGTAGATGGTGGATATATCGCAAGATTTCCGTCTCAGAGTGATGCGAGTTGAAGACTGGATGTGTCAGGAACTCGCTTGTCCTCTTGAATGGCGCAGGAGGTTCAATCTCAATCGATTTAGGAAAGTCTGTTCTGTCGCCATTGCTGACCTCTCTGAATGGCTGGAGTAGGTTACTGATGGTCCGCGAGGTCGTAGTCTCATCGACGGAGATTCCAATATGTTGATCATCCAATCTTCGGACGAACAGTGAGCGACTTTCCAACTTGGCAATGATTCCATCAGTCTTATCACCAGTCTCTACAACAAAAGTATCAAACAGAACTGGCGCATTGTCCAGTTTTCCGCGTTGGCCAGTCTTGAATCCATTTTCGATGAGCACTTGCTGGATGAGACGCGACTTTGCAACGACCTGTTTCGCGATTGCAGTGAGGCCATTCGGTCCGTGGTATACAGCGTACATAGCGCTCATGTTGGCCAATAAAGCTTGTGCCGTGCAGACATTGCTCGTAGCCTTCTCGCGCCGAATATGCTGCTCTCGGGTCTGCAGTGCCAGTCTAGCTGCCGGATTGCCAAGTCTATCCTTCGAGACACCGATCAAACGACCGGGAATCTTGCGCTTGTACTTCTCATCGCAGGCAAAGAAAGCTGCGTGAGGTCCACCGAAACCCAGAGGCACACCAAAGCGCTGCGCGTTTCCAAAAGCAATGTCCGCACCAAATTCTCCAGGGGGAGTAAGGAGCGTCAGGGCGAGCAAGTCAGTGGCTACACTGAACAGAGCCCCAGTCTTGTGCACCTTTTCAGCCAATCCTCGGAAGTCGCTGACTGCTCCCTCAGTGTCCGGGTACTGAGCCAGTACACCGACCAAATCCTGACCAAGCTCCTCAACCCTCTTGCTGTTGTCCTTGAGCACATCGGCAACCTCGATGTTGATTCCAAAGCCCTCAGCGCGCGAGTAGAGAACCTGGATGGTTTGCGGGTGACATCTCTCAGAGACTAAGAAAGTCTTGTTCTTGCTCTTCTGCTTTGACAGCGGCATCATACCCATGGACAGGGTCATGGCCTCTGCCGCGGCAGTCGGCTCATCCAGCAACGACGCATTCGCAATGCTCAGGCCTGTCAGATCCGACACCATGGTCTGGAAGTTCAGCAGCGATTGCAGACGTCCCTGGCTGATTTCCGGCTGGTATGGGGTGTAGCTGGTATACCAAGCCGGGTTCTCGAGCACATTCCTCTTGATCACTTCCGGCACCTTTGTATTATAGTATCCTTGTCCGATCAAGCTCGTGCCCGGCTTGTTTTGGCCCATGATTCTCCTCGCGTTTCTGAGGAAGACGGACTCGGGTACGCCCTCGCTCTGCCAAATTCCCTTGAGGTTCTGCGATAGCTTTCCAATCTTGAGTTTGCGTGAGGAGAGGATGTCGGCGGGAATGACCTGCTTGACGAACTCGTCCAGACTATTTACAGGCGGATCTAATGCCTTGAGCATAGCCTCGACTGAGTCTGCGGAAGGCCCAATGTGCCGGCGGGGGAAGGTATCGAGCGCTTCCAAGGGCTTCGCGGACGCGGTCTGTTGAGGTGGCGTGTCAAACACACCGTCTGCAGCTTCGACAGCTGCAGCGGCTTGTTGTGCAGTCGAGGCATTCTGCTGGAAGGCTCGCTTTTGGAGGAATTGCTGGCTCTGGTACGTGATTGCTCTCGGGGCGCTTCCAGCGAGTTGTGGTCGCGAAAGCTGTGCTACACACGTCGAGCGGGTGAGCCTAGCAGAGCTAGCTGCCCTAAGGCATGATGTGCGCATGCTGGCTGTGTGAGGATGGCAATGCCAATGGGAGGACCCCAAAGAATAATTCTCTAAAGTTGACAGTCGGAGTATTAATCTTACGGGGAGCAACTGGCTGCTAATTGCTCACAGGTTGTTGGAGCTTGCCACCAGGGAATGTGACGTCGGTGATAGACGCTCACAACAGAATCCTCTTGAAAGTTGGTAGAGGAATTGGGAATGTAGAAGAAGACGAGGCTCACGACATGCTAAAAGACTCCAAATCCAAGCAGCGGTGACAGCTGGGGTCGCTGATAATAACCCGTCGTTATCCGTAGCCCAATTGTTTGAACCCTCGGGATGATTCCCGATAAGAGCTTTGGCGAACCAACTACGAACCAACGGTCGCGCGCCACTAACCCACAACGCGCTCTTCCTTGCAGCCGCCTGCATTTCCATGACTCTTTGGGCAAAACTACGCGTCCAACGTGTGCATTTCATTACTTGATATCTACTATGGACTATGGACAGAACTTGGTGAGCGTCCACTCGCATATGGCCTCTATTTTAACACGCTCAAATCCTAGCTTGATCGATCCTCTTTGATACGCTTTGCGACTTCAAAAGCAGCCATTCGAGATGTATTTGTCGGTCCCCAGCCCTGCTCCAATATCTACAACTTTCAAGCTATGGGAACCATGTTCTCTGCCGTACCTAGTGCCGCTAAAGTTTACTCCACACTTGTTAAGCGCATCGCGAATCGCTCAAATGCTTGCCCGTCTCGGAGCCATTGTCCGTCGGAGATTCTTCTCCTTCTCCGTCTCCTCTGTCACGGGCAGCACACCCTGCTCCTTCAACTCATTCAAGTACTCCTTCCCATACTTGTACCCCACCTCGTAAATCTCCTCAAACTTTGAGAAATCCAGAGTTCCATATGGGTCAATTGGAGGCCGCATGTACCTGCACCCGGGCGTGTTCTTCGCTCGCTCAAGCGCGTCGATGCTTGAAACGTAGGCGAGCCGCGACTGAATCTCACCCAATGTCGGTGGATTGGGATACCCAGAAAAGGGATTCCAGCGATTCCACGTTGCCCAAAAGCCAGACAGACTGTCGCCAAAAGCCTGCGGTGTGTCTTGATCAAGGCTACCCACGTCAACTGCGAAGATGACGTCTGCCCCGAGGCTCTTCATATGCGCCACAGTGAGATTGTCCATGTATCCTCCATCGAGAAGCATACTGCCATTATCGCACAGCGGCGGCAAGAGGCCAGCAAGCGACATGGAAGCGCGAACATATCGCCATACGTAGCCAGACGTGTGAATTTCAGAGCGCGATTTACTAATATTAGTAGTGTTGCAGTAGAATTCTAGCCAGAAGTCTTCGATTTGGGAGTTCCCAAACGTCTTGAAGATGCCACGATTGAATTCGTGGCCGGTGGTGTAGGATGCACTGGTACCGTTAGCTTAAACCCAAGATATAAATATTGTGAAAGGACTAGGACTTACGAGGGGTACGTGAGGTCAAGGGCGAAACGCCACATGCTCCCCATGCGTCCTGCGAATTTCTTGGCTCTGCCGTACATGGGGACGACGTCTGCATCCCACGCATATAGAGCGCCGATGAAGCTACCAATCGATGTCCCACCAACAATGTCAATTGGAATACCAGCCTCTTCAAGCGCGCGGATGATGCCGATTTGAGAAATACCTCGAGCACCACCTCCACCGAGTACAAGACCGACGGATTTACCGCACAGCCGCCTCGCAAGTCGATGAAAGTCGCCTTTGAAGGGCGTGTCTGCCGAGTATAGTGGTGTCTGTCTAACCTTCCTTGATGTGTACTTCTGGATCTCTGCTTGAATGACTTGCACTCGCTGCTTAAGGGCATTGCCGAAACGACGTCCTGCGTGGTGGACCGGCTCTGATGTGGCGCGAAAGGACATCTGAATGTGATGATGGCTCCCGTTGATCCATGGGCGGTTCCTCAACCACTTTCGTGTCAAGCCTGAGGGGCAATATCTCTCTGCATGCAGAACGACTAGTTCCTTTCGCGCAGTCGTCTTGGTGGTCAAAAGGAATCGCTCGTACTCGCCAATGTTTGGAGAAGACTCAGCAAGTCCAACCAGGAGGATGCAATCTGCTTGATTGATGCACGTCTGGGTCCAGGGTGATTTGACTGGTGTGTCTGCCACGTAGATGACCATGCCATACCTTTCTTCTAGATCAGCCAGATATTGCGATAGCTTAAGTTTTCCCATTCGACTGAATGCATGTCGTCCAAGATGGTTGAGGATGGCAGCTTGATTTAGTGAAACCACGCCTTGTGGCATGCCAATCTGCGTGAGTGCATTCACCAATCGGCCGGCGAAATCAACAACTGGTATGCCAGCAGTCACGGGCAAGATTGTGACTGTGCGAAGATTGACCGTAGACGACACGTTAGTGCGCGTAACTTTCGTGCTATGCTCTTTGCTTTGCTCATGTAGCGGGTCATCAACCAGAGCTCGCATGCGGGAGGCAATAATCTTGGAAATCTTGATAGTGATACCAGGGTGCTCAAGGGCAAGGCTGTTGAAGAGAGTTTTGGGGAACTTTGCAAGTTCTGTATCACGAATGGCATGCAATGACCCCGGGCGGGCTGTTTCAGTAAGCACCTCGAGTTCTCCAACGCTGTCACCCTGCCCATATTCGCCAATCACTTTCATAGCGCTATTCTCGGCATCTCGGATAGCTCGCAGTCGTCCGTTCAGTACAATGTAGATTGCGTCACTTTCGTCGCCCTGATTGTAGATGACTTGTCCGGCGTTGACTTGGACCCATTCCAAGGCGAAATCGATGTGCTGAATCAAGCGTGGCAGGAGGGTCGTGAGGCGTTTCGCCATCGTGAGCAGAACAACCGGGTAGCGTTCAACAATCCTCTCGATTGAGGCTCGAGGCAAAAACCCCACATAAACGTCAGTCTTAGCGATGACATCAACGAATGACCGATTCGAGGACACGGTTCCAAGATAGCCTGCGAGGCCACCAGGTTTTGTCATGAAGAGACTTCTCCGTGATCGCTTCTTCTTGCCGCCATCGGTTGTATGGCGCAACGAAGTGGTCGTAGCTGATCGTCTAAGTGGTGGGCCAAAAAGGTCTTCATCGGTATACGCAGAGCCATTAGCCTGTTGACCAAGCACATCCATATCAGCGTTTTCCTCGATGAGCACGCTAACGTCAAGGAATCCGTCGATCACGTAGTATAGGCCAGGGTTTCTCTCGCCTTGCTCGACAAGAATGGCGTCCTTGGGGAAGAACACAATCTCTACATCATTGACTATTTCTTCTGCAATGTTTTGAGATCCAACGGCGCTAATGGTAGACATGCCTGATGCAGACGCCATAGATTCAGTGTCTCCATCTCGTGACGCCTCATAGGGGTCGATAAAGCCGAATGCGTTGGTGAAGATAGCTTTTTGTCGTTTGGTATCGAATGAAACCAGCCTGGGAGATTGCTCGACCGATGCTGCTAGTTTGGGTACCGGGTTCTCCGGGTTGGTTAGTCCAATAGCCTTAAACATACAACCGAGTATGGATTCCCTAAACACCGTAGCCTCGTCTATAGATTCCTGTCGGTGCAAGGTATTCGGCCGCAATGATGGCGAGGCGAAGGGGTTGAAAGTGCCAGCGTCAAGCGGAGTACGCGCATCTCGACGATGGTCCTGTTGGTATAGCTGGGAAAAGCTACTGCGACTTGACCGACCGCTTCCCCGCACTACTTGACTGTTGGTCAATAGGTCTCCAGCACTAATTCGATCGTTACGAGGTACAGCTTCCAGCGATGTCATTTTGTTTATTGTTTCGCTGCTTGCATCAGTGGATGCGCCACGCGCAGCAGCAAGTCGAGCTTGCGCAGCTGTGCCCCTCCGTAACGATGCACTATGTCTTCGCCGACGGCCAGCTCCAGGATTGTGCAGCGCAATTCCCTTCATTCCCTCATCTGATCCAATGCGTTCTGTTTCAGTCGTAAATTTCTCTTTCAGCCGCTGCAAGGGCGCGTCACGAAGGAATCCAGGAAGATCATAGGTAGTGTACTTGTTCATGAGTTTTTCTGTACGGAGAACTTCGTTTGTGAGGCTAAGATAAGCATGGCTGGTTGCAAGCGTGACCCTGTTTAAGCGTGTGAGAATAACTTGGACAATATGCGCTGTGGCTTTGGGATAGATGCGTGTCAAGCGGCGGAATGCGGTGGCAGGAATAATTGCAATGGTAGTATCCACAGTTGCGCGTGCGACGATGTCTGGATGCGCAGATTTAGGCTTCGAAGACCGGGAGGGTGATCTTCGTGGTCTCGTATGCTTCAGGGGTTCACCAAATCCATCCACGTCTAACGAGAGGGGCGGCACGCTTGAAAGCCGTCCTCCCGCCGTAGGACTGTTGAGAGTTGATGTCCTTCGATGCCGTGATTTGATCTCAGGGACGTCACTGGGAGTATGTGGCTGAGAATCATCTAATCCAAAGCTGCTGTTCCGAGTCACCGAGTGCCTATGTTGCTCTCCGTGAGGTGTTCCAGGCACGCTGGACTCTGGATCCTCATCTTCGTCATAACGAAGTTTGACGTCCTCGGTGAACAGGGAAAGAATCGAAAACAAGGAAGACATAGGTGCCCCGTTCTTGACTTCAGTGAGAAGCTGGTAGCCTTGACGATGGCCTTGTTGCGCAGAGTCGCCAGCTGATGTACCAGCCCCACCTTCATCCTCGTCAGAATCAGACCCCTCCCGGTTCGACTTGACGAAGATCTGGATCAAGCCGTCTACGACCAAGCAAAATCCCTTCTCTTCCTCGAGGAGGATGGTTTCGCCAGCCGCGAGCCGTCGAGTTTGCATAGTGCGCGTGAGCTCGTGGAAGACTGGACGTTCCAGATAGCCAAACACCTTGATAGCGCTTAGGAACTCATCCAGATAATTAGAAAGGCCTCTCTTAGAGTCGCCCTCTGCACTGTCCGGAAAGACTTCGACTTGTGGTTCCTCACGTTGCGGTTCGGGCGGTAAACGCGCATACATGGTCATGTAGCGGTACCTCACGAAGTAACTGATCGTAGAGAGAATGAGTAAAGCGACTAGCATACTATTAAAGTTAGATACAATAAGATCAGAAGGACAACACCAGGGTCTTACAGTGTGGTGAAGTTCATCGTAAACGTGAGGCTCATGGAAAAGAGCGTGAAAAGCCATGCCGGCAAGGAGTAGGTCAACCAGTACAAAATGGTGGGCAATACTCCAAGAATAGAGAGAACCACACGTCCTATTAAGCCAAATGAGGACGAAGGCGTAGTTTCGACAGCCTTCATGGCTGTGACGGAGGGCGGTAGAGCTTTCGCTGTGCCGGAGATAACTGCAACAGAGGCGTCGACGAGAGACGACACAGCGTCTGAGGTCGCCATAGTGGCCATGCTTTTGGGCCTTAATGAACTACCAGTCCTCTAGTTGCGGGCTATCAGGTGGAGCCTTCAGAGCTGCTAATATACCACTGCAGGAGCCAGACTCCCATGGTGTTGCGTTCTTCGAGCACGTTGGTGTTTCCTGCAACATACTTGGAGGCATGTGAAGTGGGTCTGTGCTGACTAAGCTGCCTTTGAAGCTACGACGCGAAAGTCGCGGCTAACAGCTCTACACTCGAGAACGCGCCCGAGGTCAGCTCTTTCACTAATTGGCCCGCCATGCCTCCTTTCAAGGATGACCAGATAATCGTAGGGCATCGCGATGTTTGTTTATCCTTTTCACTCGCTGATTTTGTGTCTAGATCATTGCGCCAGGCTCGGAAACGACCGTTGCGCAATTAGGTCTGCCGGAGTCTTTCACGCCTGCCCGCGTGCGCGTGCGATCGCGCATGTTCCCAGCCGAAAAAGAAGGCGAATACGAACCCTATAAGATACGAAGAAAGCAGGATAAGCACGGGGCGACGACCAGCGAGCCGAAGGATGGGGCGCAAGAGGAGAAGAAGTCAAATGAGGACGAGGATGAGGAAATCGTATGGGAAGAGGATCGCGTGTCAGAAGAAGGCGCGATATGGCCCATTCAAGAAGGCAGAATCGTCGACTGGCCATGCTTCTTTGCGCTGATCACTCATGTCTATAACACGCTGAACCCGGTATTTCACACGGCGATCCTACTTGTAACGCAACCAGCTTGGACTCCTCGAGAGCATGAGAAGTTGACGCAGTTCTTCTTCGAAAAGTTCAAAACTCCAGCTTTCGGGCTCATGGATGCAGCGCTAGCAACTTCATGGGCGTATGGCGTGCACACCGCGACGATCGTGGATGTGGGGAAAGATAAGGCCGATGTCACAGCTGTTAGTGCCTTCATTCCGCATACACAAGGCAGGGTCATCTCGTTATCCGGTTGTGGAGGCGAAGCGTTCACACAAGGGCTACTCTCGAAATTGAAGTCAAAAGGTCTAAACAGAGACATGTGCGAACAACTCAAGAGGTCGCCCATCTGTGAGATCCTACCGGTAGGAGTACCTGTACCAGGCTCAGGAGAATCACCGGAACATACCACCATCTCCAACCCAGCGGCCGCTGCTTCCACTGGAGCACTGGCTTCTGGACCCGCAGCAGCCGCAGCGATCGGAAACGCACCACGAGGTCCTGGCGTGGACACCGAAGTTGGTGAAGATGCAGGTATTGATGAAAGTGAAGGTGTTTTGGATGTCGCGAGCATCGTGGCTGGTGGCAAGATGACTGAGTATCTCGCCAAAAAGGAGAGAGAGAAGCAGGACAAAGCCAACGCAAAGAAGAAGGGTGCTCCAGCTCCCGAAGCGAACAAACCTGTCAGATTACCCAACTCAAGAAGAGAAAAGGCGACGTTCTTGTACGAGGATCACGCATTACTTGACAACTTGAAGAACATGAACCTCAACACCCAGGATATGGCAGATGCGAAAAGTGCCTTGGATGAAGGTCCAAGTCGAAGGCAGCATGAAAACGGAGAAAACGGCGAGCTGAACCCTGCGAACGAGGCGAAAGGAATCGGGTCCATCAGACGAGACATTGAGGTCGGCAACGAGCGATTCATGGCTGGAAGCAACGGCACGTTGGAGAAGATTGCAGACGCCGTGCACCGGACGATATCCGCGGTCGATGAAGTTGCCCAACGTAGCGAGCTCTGGGATTCCTTGATTATTTGTGGTAATGGTTCAAAGCTGCGAGGTCAGTCATTTCAACATCTTTGCCTCCTCAATTGTCCGACTAACACGTTCAAGGCTTCAAGGAGGCCCTCCTCCAATCAATACAGTCCAAGTACCTCATATCGCCCTCCTCCGCGACGATGTTCACCTCTGAGATTCCATCTAACATCTCTACGCCTGCCGGTACTGGCGCAAACACGCCACAGCCCCAACTTGGACCTCATGGCGGCTCACAGGTAAACCCCCTCCTCCTCGCAGCCACGACAGCGCAAACACCACACTTGATGCCCCACGGGGGCAATCATTTGATGCCTGGAATGTCGCACAACACGCACTCGTCCCATGGCCAGACCCCCACATCGATCAAATTCGTCAAGCCACCAGAGTATTTTCCTGAGTGGAAAGACGTGGGCTTTGACGAATCGGCTTTCTTGGGTGCGCAGGTTGCGGCAAAAGTCATATTCGTTGTGGATCAGGGTCAGAGCAAGGGATACATGACACGCCCAGACTACAACGACCAAGGACCGCAAGGCATTCACGACTACAGTTTGTGATTTTCCTATTGGCAGTTAGGTCACCAAGACTTTGGCCGTTTGGCATGTGTTTTTCGTCACGCAAACACAACTGAGTCTGGTACACCTAGTAGGCATGGAGTTTGGAGGACGGTCAAATGGATATCCCGGCGTTGCTCAAAAGAAAGCTTGACGATCTTTGGATGCTAGAACCTCTTGCCAGGTCGCAGTAGGCAACCGGCAAGCTGTGCAATATACTTTCTTTGCAAAATATGCTTAACCTCTGCCTCTAATGACTCCGCCCACTATCTTCCTTGACTAATCATAAGTAGAATTAGGGTAGTAAGAGGAAGAGTCTAGTTATATTTCAAAATACTTGCTATGTTGTCAAAGTATTAAGTTTCCACTAATAAGTTTTAGACTATCTATCCTATGTATTTAGGTATTACTTCAAAATTACAGGTAAAAGAATACAAAACTGACATTCGTATGGATATATATTAAGAAAGGTAGAATTTGTGCAGGATATGTAAACGCGCAATCTTAAGGAAGGCAAAATAATCTTTAGAATAAACTATGATCAAATCTTACTGTAATAGGAATATCGTAGAGCGTATTACTTCCGACATATACTACCAATCGATCTGAAATTATGTACGGTAACGATATCAGGTCACACGATACCCGGCGAATACATGCTCGTAGAGTGCCATATATTGGTCATTGTTCTCTTGTTTCGGCTAAACGCATGCCGTGATGGCCAATTAACGGTATGCACGCGGGCATGTCTGATTTACTGATCCCCTCTGACTACTGAGGAGACATCTGGCGAAGAGACTTTTTATTTTGCGGGGTAATACGTTGTATCACTAGTGACGTGGCAACCTCACACCATTTTGATAGCAGAAGAGCGAGTAATTGGATCGCAAATTTAGCATACCAATCTTGTACTACCACGGTTACGAGTAAAAATGATGCTTGTTTATCAGGCTAGTGATGAGTAACCAAGTAGCCAGCACGTATAGATTAGTCCCTGCCTCCAGTCGTTTGAATCTTACATTCAAAAGCTCATTTCCTGGGTTACAATTTGGATAATAAAGCGAGAGGTAAAACACGCGTTGACATGCAAAGTATGAACAACAGCTCAATGTACGCCTTTGAAGATGTGCCAGGCAAAGGCCTAGGCCTCGTCGCAATCGAAAATATCCCTAAAGGCACGCGAATTCTTTCGGAGGAGCCAGTTGTCACGATACCCGAACGCCAAAAGAACGATGAGTGGCTAAAGTCACACTTATCTCAGCAAGTCGATTCCCTCAGTGAAGCCCAACGACAATCGTTCCTCTCCTTGCATAATCTTTATCCATACCAAAATATCGTCGAACAATCTCTTGGTATCATTCGAACGAACGGCCTCCCCATTGAGACCAACGGAATTGGAGGGGGGATCTTTCTTGAAGCCTGCTGCATCAACCACTCCTGCGATAACAACGCACAGAAAAACTGGAACCAGCGCATTAAACGACATACAGTCCATGCTTTGAGAGATATTCCCAAGGGCGAGGAGATCACAGTATGTTATCTGGGTCGCGACAGTAGCCGCGAAGTCCGCCAAAAGAAACTCCAGGACAAGTTTGGATTCCTATGCTCTTGCCGTCTGTGCTCCTTACCAGCAGAGTTGAGCCAGGAAACTGATGAAAGGTTCGAAAGAATTGACTATCTGGACGACCTTATTGGTAGCTATGGCATGCGGATGCAATTTCTCCTACGAACCCTTCGCTATGTTGACGAACGGGTCCGTCTCTACAACGAGCAAGGACCAGGCAACTCTGGTCTGCCGCGCGCGTTCCTCGATGCCGCTCAAATCACTATCGCCAATGGCGACTTGGCGAGAGGACGCATCTTTGCAGAGAGAGCAGTGGGAGCATGGCGGACGGCCTATGGCGGCGACAGTAAGGAGGTAATTGAGTACGAATCATTAGCACGCAACCCCTCAAAACTCCCGCTTTATGGACTTTCTATGAAGTGGAAGACGTCATTGGATGAGGTCCCACAGCAACTTGACGCAAACGACTTCGAAGACTGGCTTTGGAGAAGAGACAAGCCAAAGAAGCTAGACCAACCAGGACTGTTGACAGACCTTCGTAACCGCGAAGTCTTTCCTGGCTTCACTTCTCTCCCAAACAGTAACCCTGTTGATTTGGACTTTTATGAGGTGGTTAATAGTACCTACCAACCTCTGCGCCATTGGTGCTTCCTGGGAGAAATTACGGGCCACACCATACTTCATCATCTAGAGTTGGAGCTCACGGATGTCGACGATAAGAAAATCCCACTTCACTTCTACACTGATGGCCGAGGAAGTGAATTGACACCCGCGCAAATTAGAAAGGGGTACACAGTCGCGGTCCTGTACGCACAACGTCGCGTATTTACGTATGGCGATCCTGGTATTCGTCATGACAATCCGCAAAAGCTCAAGGTACGTACTGCCGATCCTTACACAGAAGGTTCGTACAGAGTTACTGACGTAATTTGACATGACGAAGATCTTCCCAGTGTCACTAAAGAAGCTGTTCGGGTTGAACGAGCAGGTTCAACGGTTCTCGCCGGGAATTGATGGAATCAAAACGTGCCATGGGTGTGGGAAGAAAGCAGCCTCCTTGAACGGATGCGGGAAATGCTCGGTATTCTGGTACTGTGATAGTGTGAGACCACAACACCCCCCGTACATTTGAGCAAATACTGACATATTCGTATTAAGAGCTGTCAGAAATCTGGTTGGGACAAGGGAGGTCATAAGGCTGATTGTAGATTGCTGAAAGATGCCGATTTGCGAGGGCTATTTGTCCTTAAATGGGACCAGTTCGTTACTCCTATGGTGTTTCCTCTCGGAAGCTCATACGCTTGAACATCATTGTGTGCTGGCGCCAGCTGTCGCTAAAATTGTATCTTCGTTCTTCCCAGGTCGTAGTAGGCGACCGGCGAGCTGCGCAATATGATTCTTCAAAACACATGTTTGACCTCTATTTCTGACGACTCCGTTCGCCGTCTTCCTTCGCCGATCGTAAGAACTCTTTGGTGTTTGTTTTTGTTGTTGCTGATAGCATCGGAGGCCGCCGATGGCACCGGACGGCTCCACGTGCTAAGTTGTTAGCGAGCGACTAGCCTAGTAAGTCGGCCCTCGTCTTTCGTAGCACTGATAAAGGTAGCTTGTACCTCTCTACTTTTAATCTTACAGTTCTGGGTCTTGTCGCGCTGTGTTGTGATACTCTATAGACAGTTCAAATCGTTTCAGCGCAAATAAACCAGCGTTGTGATTGTATCTAGTCAGAACGTTCTGTTGCGTCCTTAACCTGGTCCTTGGGTTAGGTCTACCGGCATATCTGCAGGGCACTTGCATTTGTCACAATGGCGGCGTCGGCATCAATTTCGAAAACAATCTACGTTGGCCCCTTCGTTCACAGCACATCCCTCACAGATCTCGAGATCGAAGAAAAGGGTGCTATCGGAGTCGATGAAAATGGAGTTATAGCCTTTGTTGAAAGAAACGTATCCCAAGCGGGTATTGAGGATGTCAAGAGCAGGAATCCAGGATGGCAAGATGCGCAAGTTATCAAGTTAGAAGGAAACGGGTTCTTCTTCCCAGGATTCATCGATACGCACACTCACGCGTCGCAACACCCTAACACTGGACTCTTTGGCAAGACGACCCTCCTAGATTGGCTGCAGACTTATACATTCCCTATGGAATCATCCTTGTCTTCCGTCCCCACGGCTCAACGCATCTACCAGAGCTTTGTATCCCGAACCCTCTCCCACGGCACAACAACATGCGCCTACTACGCTACCATCCATGTCCCCGCTACCAACCTGTTAGCCGATATCTGCCTGAAGCGAGGCCAGCGAGCACTCGTAGGCCGCGTGTGCATGAACAGCGACCTAAGCCCAGAATACTACCGCGACGAAAGTGTAGAAACCAGCGTCCGCAACTCCCAAGCAAGCATAGACTACATCCGCTCCATCGACCCCAAAGGCGAAATTGTGAAACCCATCGTAACCCCCCGCTTCGCCCCGTCCTGTACATCAGACTGCCTCTCCGCCATCAGCAAACTCGCCCAAGAAACAAACTCGCACATACAAACGCACATCTCCGAGAACAAAGGCGAAATCGCTCTCGTGCAAGAACTATTCCCGAAATCAAAGAGTTATACAGATGTATACGATACACACGACCTCCTGACGCCCAAGACCATCCTCGCGCACGCCGTGCACCTTTCGCCTGAAGAGCGGCAGACGATTCTAGCGCGGAAGAGCAAGATTAGCCATTGTCCTGCGTCCAACACGGCGATTACATCGGGCTGTGCGCCGATCCGCACAATGCTCAATGAAGGACTGACTATCGGTCTCGGCACGGATATCAGTGGTGGTTTCCACCCTTCTATTCTCGAGAACGTGCGGCAGGCTGTGTGGGTGAGTCGGCATCTTGCGCTGCAGACTGGCGACGATGCTACGAAGCTTTCTACCGAAGAAGCGCTGTACCTAGCGACCCGCGGCGGTGCGGCAGTTGTAGGTCTAGAGGAGCAGGTCGGTGGTTTTGATGTTGAGAAGGAGTGGGATGCACAGATGATTCATCTTGGGTCTGTGGATGAGGAGGGGAGTTCTGATGCGGTGGTTCACGAGGGGCCTGTAGATGTCTTTGGCTGGGAAAGTTGGCCTGATAAGGTGGAGAAGTGGGTGTATAGCGGTGATGATCGGAATACTATCGCTGTGTGGGTTAGGGGCCGGTTAGTGCATAAGACGGCATTGTACTCGGGACCTAAGGACGCGACAACACTATAAGTGTTTCTCTATCTCTTGGAAACGGTAGTCTAGATATAGTCTGAGAACCAAATCCAGTGATCACACACTTTTGGTGTCTACGAAGACCTCTTCCGCATTGCAGAGGACTCTAATTCGTGATTGAATCACTTCCCATCAGGAGAAGGACAGCTGCATCGAGGAATTTGGAGGAAGCCCATGCAACAAAAACAACTATGCAGACCCGGAATGGAAATATTGATCGATGTGCAATCATACGGATTTCAGTCTTGAGGACTTGATCACACGAAAAAAAAGTATCTGGAAATGAAGGTCGATTGAATTCTTCTACTCTGTAGGATGATGAGCCTGTGGCCTAGCACCGTCCGTCGTATTCATCAATCCATCCTATGGTGTCCTTCAGGCTAAGACTGATCGCTCTGGGACTTCTTTGCCGCATTCCAATCGACCTCTGGGCCTGGCATTTTCCATAATTCCACTCTTGTGCAGGGTTTCTTTTGAATTCGGCTCGCCCCGAGATAATGTGGGTTTGACTCTCGGGTCCAGGCTATTTGCTACGCGGATGGAGTCTGGCAATCATAGATGTTAGTAGTAAGTCTATGGTGGAGCTAGAACTCAAAACGCTTACGAAGAGCTTGTGGTGCAACGTTTTGCCGTCGAACATAGTGCCGCAGCTCATCGACGGAGTCTAGTGAGTACTTCTCGAACTGCAGGTGAACCCTTCTTTAGCCTTCATAGTGTCGTCATCTTGCGGCAATGGTTCAGTGTCGGCTCGATTGAGTATCTTTGAGGGATCAGAGACAATATCGGAATCTAGCTTGTTGGAGAAATTGCTTTGATGCGTGGGTTTCGGTTGCAGGTCTGAAGGACTAGGTTGGCTGTGGCCAGGACCTCGAGCTGCTGCGTCATCGGGAGGGTCAAACTTTCCGGCAGCCTCTAATCCTGAGGCACCGCTTATCGAGCCGCGATATACGTGTGTGCGGTGAGGGCCCCCGTCTTTCATTGATGCCCCTCCTACTTCATATAACGGATCGAGTTTTTGGGCAGGCTCCAGTTCCGCTGTGTCGCTGATCAGACCGCGATGTTCGTGGGTACTGTGGGGTCCATGGTCATTTTCATGCTCGCCTGTGACAGTATGTTAGTGCGTAATTGAGGTAAATTGCCTTCAATGGGTCTGAGAGTCGCATCTGTGATAGCGTTAAGGTATCAAGCACTTACCGGCACCGTCAATCTGCTTAGAGGGAGCCGAACAAGTGAAAGGAGCTAAGAAGTTAGTAAGAGAAAAAGAGAGAGGATGGTGTTGTGCTGTGCATGAAACGTGGGTATAATAATATTATGTGAGAGGGCTGCAGCATCTATCTATCGCGTACTGTACCCGGTTCCTCCAACATTGGATGCTGGATTCGCACGGTGATCTGCGTCCGAATCAAAACGAGGATCGAGCTTGTTTCCAACGTTTGTCGAGTGAGGCCCAACATTAGTCGAGCCAGCGACGGTGCCGCGGTGGTCCAGATCAGAATCGAATCTAGGATCAAGCTTGTTGCCAGTATTCGTGGTATGCGGGCCGTAGTTCGTCGATGTAGCTTGTGTTGCGTTCAGGCGCGCGGCATCAGCGTCGACGGGAGTGACACCTGCGCTCATCGGCTGGCCACGGTAACCGCGGTCCCACTCGTCGACGCCCTTGTTGGCAATCTCTTGGTTCTTCACTGCGCTCGCGCGGTCTCCGCTTGCTTGGTCAACTGTGGATAGAACTGTTCCGCGGATAGCTTCGCCAGTGCCCTGCATGGTGGTTAGTAAATGACTCGATGCTCGCCGCGTTCAGGGCGGTACTTACGTGAACCATGCCAACGCCCTTGCGGATAGACTCACCGAGTCCGCCACTGCCAGATGTGCCAGTCATGTTGGATGTGTAGTGTCTCGGTTGTAGAGCTGTGAATGATAATCCAGGAGTTAGATATGGGTGTAAGTGTAGGTGCAGGTAGGCAAAGGTATGGTGTGGTGTAAGGTGGTGAGTTTCTGCAAAAGATGATATGACGACTTATAGTAATAAATGCATGGTGCTGACGGCAGTAGCCGGGCAAGGCCGTTCATACGCCTGCCATGATCTGCATAATCGTGTGAAGTTCGGAAAGGGCATTGCGACACAGCTATGAGGCAGTGACGTCATTCTCACGTTCTCGATCCGAATGCGCACGAGGTAAAGCGGATCTAAGCCACATCTGGCTGCAGGTGGCCACTTCCTACCTTGCTCACCCCAATCTAATACGGACTATGACGGATAGCTTGGCTACATCAGCAAAAGTTTTGCGTCTTAGACTTTGACGCTTGCTAGTAGGGCGCATTGGAGTAAATTCTACACTATCATTTGACGGCTCTGAGAGTAGAAGAAACAAGTCATTGGAATCAAAGACACAAACTCGAGCAAACTTCACATTCTCATCATAGAGCTAGCGTGTCAAGGACGAAGAATCTTATTCATATTGCTTGCCCCACATTCATTTGAGAAGTATGCAGTCATATATGCTGCTTTTGTTCATCTCATTCTCGATTCGCCGATTCATCCTACTGATGATTCTAAGCCTTACCCTCGGAGTGGAAGTCCTTGAACGCGACCGCAATGCGCTTGCTCATCGTCTTCTCTCCCTCACGGACCCAGTTACGTGGGTCATACCTGAAAGTTGAGATATCAAGTCAGCGTATGCTTCAAATGCAATTCGGAAACAAGGGAACACGAACCATTTCTTATTTGGCTTATCAGGTCCGTCCTTCGAGCCGACCTGGCTCTGGAGGTAGCTGTGGTTGCCCTGGATGAAGTCCCGTACGCCGGAGAGGTATGCGTACTGCATATCGGTATCGAGGTTGACCTTCACGACACCGTATCTATGGTAGAAATGCAACGTCAGCAAGATCACGTCTGAGGTTTTGATGAACACGCAATCAATCCCGAGGGTAAAACGTACGAGATGGCTTCGCGGAAATCCTCGACGCTGCTTCCACTTCCACCGTGGAACACTAGGAAGACGGGCTTGTCCTCCTTGGCGTTGGTCTTCTCCTTAACAAAGGCCTGGTGCTTCTTGAGAAGTGCGGGCTGGAGCTTGACGTTGCCAGGCTTGTACCTGTGATGAAAATGCGGTATTAGTGAATGTATTGGCGTGTTCTGAGAATGCAGTTGTACTTACACTCCGTGAACGTTGCCAAAGCCGGCCCTGTGATACATTGTTAGAACGATTCTGATGTAATGGCAAAATGGTATGATTTCGAATAACTTACGCGATGGAAAAGTACGGTGAGACGCTGGAGAGCGCGGCGTAGATGTCGTAGATATCCTCTGGCTGGGTGTACAGGGAGTTGTTGTCAACATCCTCGTTGTTGACACCATCTTCCTCGCCGCCCGTGATGCCAATCTCCATCTCAAGCCACTGCTTCATAGGAGCTGCGCGTTCGAGGTCTTTTTTTGACATTAGCGGTATCTCGTAAGTTTGCAGACGGAGCTTGCGTACACTTCTTGGTCGTGGCGATGTTGTACTCTGTAAACTGTCAGTTGTTAGACCTCGACAGAGAGGTGGCTTGTCTTACCCTTGTCTTCCTCGGAGAGATCGATCATGTGGGAGCTGAACAGAGGCTCGCCGGTAGCCTTGAACTGGGCCTCGTCTGCGTCCAACATTCCGTCCAACCATGGAAGGAGCTTCTTGGCGCAGTGATCTGTGTGGAGGACAACTGGGATGCCGTAGATAGGCGCGATCGAGCGGATGTAGTGCTAAGCGTGGGGTAGGATGTCAGTGTATGTGTCATGCAATTCGTACAACGGGTGGTCCTTACAGCTGCTGCTACTGCACCTGCGATGGATGCCTCCTGGTTCTTGTTGCCGACTATGGTTTATTAGTTGTTGGGCTTCGTAAATCGGGATCTACGATAAACGTACCGCCCTTGCCAGCGAAGAAGGCAGCCTGAATGGGAGAGGTCCGTCAGCGTGATTCTTAAAAGTGATATAAGGTTTACGTACGCCGCCCTGGGAGGTCTGGAGGATGATGGGAGACTTCGCATCGCGGGCAGCCTCGAGAGCTGTATTGGGTCAGATGGATTCGGTTACGGACGTAGAGTCGAGTCTCTTACAAGCTACGACGGTGGAAGAGGAGGTGACCTGAGGCTGGTCAGTACAAGACCCAATTGAGAGATTGCGGTCAACCCTACGTTGATGGAGGGAATGGCATAACCATTATCCTTGGCGTGCTGGAAGAGCTTGAGCACGTCGTCGCCGTAGATGACGCCGGTCTTGCGGGAGAGTACGTCGCTTGCTTGTGCCATGATTGCGTTGTTGGATTGTAATTCGAGTTCTGGGGGTGTATGTGATCAGTAGTTGACGAAGGATTTGAGCTTATAAGAGGAGCGAATTGTTGAATGAGGTGAGGCCCGTTAGGAAAGAAAGAAAGTCTCATAGTGGGGTCGATTTGGGAACAACCCCGCTAATCCGACCGCGTGTGACGCAGCTTGCACAGCTCTCTCTCTCCAACCCAGCCAAGGGCAACGGTAAAACACTCCGAAAATTCGTCCCTGCAGACACGCCATCTCGTGACCAGGCCTGAAAAAATAAACACACGTACCTGAAGATATCAATTGACTCAGTTGCTTTCTCGGGTACGTGTAGGGGCACGCAGATTTAATATTATGAGGCGACAAGGTGATGCTCGTTCACGGCCGCGCTCTGAAGTCATCGCGGGGCCGCTCGCTCGGCAGTGGCTGGGTCAAGTGGACTGTTTGCGTAGCATGATCCAACCTCTTGTCCGAGTCTCGCCGTAGAACGTGCCATGTTGCGCCTTCATTTACCGAGCTGCTTCACATTTCACTGCTGGGCGGTCAGAGTCCCACCAATCACGTTCCATTCACGTTGGATTTCAGACGGGACGAGTACGAGACTTGTGGCTGTCGTGCTCCGGACAGCGGCTCTTGGAGATCCCTCTGCCATTTCCCCGCGACTAGGGCCATGCTATAACCGTCTTTACATGTTTATACAGGTATATCTTTACAGCGAACGGAGAAATATCAAAGGCTCTGGGCCTGGGGGTGCGTGACTAGTGACTGCTTCGCTAATCTCGTGCCCAAGTGGTACATCTACACTTCCGACTCCTTTGCTCTAATCCGGATGTTCCTAATGATAGGCTCCTCGGCGCTAGGTAAGCGTATCTCCACCTTGAATGTGCCTAGTTGCTTTACACGCGACGCATCTCCCTCTTCATGGCCTGATACGAACCTGACATCAGCTTCGTTTAACATTACACGGGCCGCCTCGTCGTTATGCGCCAGTGCTCCCTTGATGGTCGCAACAAGGTCCGCTGTCGAGACTGAGCCATAGATGGCGTCTGTGTGGGCTTTCGCTTTGCTTCCCATGGCTGCTGCAGTCAATATATCTGCTGCACCGGACGCGCCATATCGTTCTTTCGGCTCCTTGTCTTGCTCGATGCGTTGTCGGTAGAAGTCGATTGTGGGAGGGACGAAGGTGTTCAGGAGCTCCATGGATCGCTCAGGCTGTTCTTATTAGCACATGTTGCTGTAGACTGTTGCCAGGAACGAGAAACGTACGCTGAGCAGGTCGATCTCAATCGGCCGTATGTAGTGCTTTGGCCGTCGGAGGAGGTCTTCCTCGTCTTCCTCTGCCTCTTCCAGATTCAGGCGTACTCCATAGCTAAAATCTCTCGCCATGTCGACTTCCTGTGCCTTCATTTGCTTGAGTTGGGTTGCGGGTACATAGTCGGCGACGCGAGCTGGGAACCATCGATTGCGCATGAGAGATGGATTCAGGGGGACGTAGGAGCCTATCCCAGTGTTAGCAAGCTGCCGCAGGCATAGATATCTTGAGTCCTTCAGCCGTCTCTACAGCTATTTTACGCGCTGCAAAGAGAGTTGGAGCCCTCGGACCCAGACAATGCATCGTACCTGCGCGCCCAAATCTCGGGACATCCTTCAGCAGCTTGACGACAATGTTGCGCTCTGCCTCCTTGGCTTTCTTCGAGATGGTGCGTGTCTGCTGTGAGCCCCAGGCATCCAGATTCTGCCGCGTAAACCTCCGTACACATGATGTGCACTGCGGCAGCAGGGTCGAGCTCCTGAACAAGGCCATTGGGTGTGCTGTGGTGAGATTTGATGGGAATCTAAGAAAAGTGATGCTGTTTGCCTGAGCAAATCTGGCGATCCTTGCGACGGAGCGGAAAGAGCAACTGGCCGGTGCGCTTGCCGCAGGCTCGGCATACTTTGCGCCCGCTGCGCTCACCTAGTAGACGATAGATGACTGCCAACGTGGGTCGCAAGCTGGGCAGCTGTCAGATCATGGAGCCTGGAGCCCTTCAACTATCCCTCTCCCCCAGACCATCCGTGGCCTTCCGTGTGCAAGACCCGTTACAGCATCCGCAACACATTGCACGACCCCGGGCTTTCCGTCCAATCCCGCGGTAGCGGAAGTGACAGGCGCCGCAAAATGCCTGAGAAGCCCCTAACAATCGCAACCTACGCCGCAGGTGCATCTCTCGCTGCAATCACCTTGGTCTACGTCTTTGGGCCGACCTTCTTCCTCGACGACGATGCCGCAAGCAGCAAGAAGAAGGGCGTAGTGGGGCTCAGCAATGCAGCTAACGACTGCTTCATCAACTCGGTACTCCAAGCCCTAGCAGGCTTACCAGACCTGCGCATATATCTGATAAGAGAAACGCATCGGCGGAGGCTTGACGGGCCGGAAGTGTATCATGTGGACCCCGAGAGACACAGTGCTGGAGGTGCAACCATCAAACCCATAAAACTCGAAGGTCTTCAGAAAGGACTACTCACTTATGGCCTGAAAGACATATTGGACAGTTTGAACGAGCGGCCTATATACAGGAAGACGATCTCTCCGCAGCCCTTTATCCGAGCTCTCGAGCGTGCTTTTGGCACTCGCATCAGCCGGCAGCAGCAGGATGCGCAGGAGTTCCTCCAAATCGTAACAGAGCGTCTGTGCGATGAATACCATGCGGGCACAAAGGCAAGGCGGCAAGCCAAACGGACCGGAATCACAATTACAAACGAAGATACTGCGACAGGGCGGGGGGATATCGTTGAGCAGTTTGGCGGGTCTGTTGAGGCTTCAGGCAGCGAGAGTCCGGTTGAAGACCAGGAAGACGAAGCGACACCTACAGACGAAGAAGGTTTCCCATTCGAGGGCAAGATCGAGTCTCAAATCGAGTGTCAGACCTGCCACTTCAAGCCGAAGCCCTCGGTTTCGACCTTTGTTACTCTTACCTTGAACGTTCCGCAAGTTTCGTCAACTTCACTCAACGCGTGCTTCGACGGCATGCTCAAGGTTGAATACATCGACGACTTCAAATGCGAATGGTGTCGCTTGGAGCATGCTCTAGAAACTAAAGACCACGAACTTTCCCGAGTCACAGATCCTGAGCTCAAAGAACGCTTGCAGTCTGATATCTCTAAAATACAACAAGCGCTAAAGGAGGACCCTGAGAACCCGCCAGAAAACGTTGAGCTTCCAGCATCGAGTCAGTCCCCAAAACGTAGAATAGCACGCCACATGTACATCTCGCAGTTTCCGAAGGTCCTTGCAATTCACTTATCGCGTTCCGTGTTTGCAGTTGGGAGCGCTTCCACAAAGAATCTTGCCAAAGTAGCTTTCCCAGAATCCCTTCCTTTAGGCGGTCTATTACATCGCAAGAACTATCGTCTCCTGGGCCTGGTCTCGCACAAAGGCAGTCACAACAGTGGTCATTACGAGTCGTTCCGCCGCCAGGTACAACAGCTGCCCTTCTCTACACCTGTATCATTCGGCACGGAAGGCGCTTATAGCCGTCAGGCGAGTCCGCATCCCTCTGCAGTGCCATCTGCGGTCCAGAGCCCACGGATATCTACAACCAACCTTACCGGCATCAACGACCGTGGATCCCCGAATCATTCGACTCCAGCATTAGATTCCCCATCAACCCGGTCGTTCTCGTCACAAGATTCTTTATCTTCACCATTGCGAGGTCCAGCTCCAACATCCGCACCTCGACAGCCGGAATTTGACTCACAGCACCCTGCCTCATCGTCACCCGATAAGGAGTTATCACGGAGCAAGAGTATACGATCTTTACGAGGCAAGGCGACAGAAACGGCTGCCTCGATCGCAGAAGCGAACCCACTAAGGCGCAGGTCAAAGAAGGCCAGTAGCAGATGGTGGCGGATTAGTGATGATAAGATCAAGGAGAGCAAAACAAATGATGTGCTCGGAATGGGCAAAGAGGTGTATTTGCTATTCTACGAGCTGGATAGATCGTAGACTTGATTGTTTGGGCGTTGCTTATCACCGGCGTTACTGCATATCATAGTATATATATACTGTAAGGAGGCACGCTGAAGTAAGGCTCGGGTGGCTTTTCAAAAGGAAAAAAGTAGAGTAGATTTCCGTTCTCATATAAGAACCCTCTCAGAGACATATAGGACACGACGCCGTATGCAGCAACAACTTGTACACTATCATATTCTTCGATTCAATGGAAAGGGTTCCAATAGTTCTACAATCGTACACTTGCCTACGAGCTATCTAGGCTTCCCTCAAGGCATAATTCACGATTGATTTATCAGCGGTGATCTCATTGGTCCATAGCTCCTGCCTCAGGCTCAAACCCCACGTTTCGGCATCTTGACCACCAATTACTGACTGTCTTGCACTGCAACGTAACTTTTAGCTGCATCTTTGAATGCTACACTCGTAGTCTAGCATTGCATTTCCCCTCATCGATTGACTTGACCGGTGAGCTGAAGGAACGCCTAATAGGCAGCCGCAGTAGACAAAGAGGAGGGAGCAGTATCCGCCTTCTGAAATTACAGAACTGCATATTTCGGAATATATTAATCACTTCCAATAAGCACTGAACAATATTAGAAAGGCAGCATCACCGGATCAACAATGACAAAGACCGACCAAGCACTACAAACTTCCGGTCCAACACAGCCATCAACATCCAGCATTCGCAAACTACTCAACCGCATATCCTCACCTCCTCCTCCCAAACCATCCCCATCTACCACACAAAACCCAGACGCCATGACCAGTAGCAAATCCTCAGAAGAAGCCGCCTTCCTCAAAGCCCCAGGGAAACAAACTTTTACCAACCCACCGCGGGTCCTCGTCATAGGCGCAGGAAGTCGCGGTACAGCATACGCCAAAGCCGCTCTATCATCCACAAACGCTATCATCGCTGCAGTATGTGAACCCATAGCATACAAGAGAAATGAATTCGGGCGGAAGTTCATCTGGGGGTCCGACGAGGGTGCGGTAGCGTCACATGGGAGCGCATTTGTAGATTGGAGGGAGTGGGTTGAGTATGAGACGAGTCGACGGGAGCAAGAAGTGAAGGGTGGTGGGGAAGTGGGTAACCGCATCGATGCAGTGTTTGTTTGTGTGCTGGACGAGATGCATGAGGAGGTTGTGTGTGGGATTGCGGGGCTGAAGGTGCATGTTTGTGTGGAGAAGCCGTTGAGTACGCGGCTGGAAAGTTGTATGAATATTTATCGGGCGTTGGAGGGGGATAAGGCGGCTACGGATGGATATACGAATGGGACGGCGAATGGGGAAACGAATGGGGTGGTTAAGCAAAAGGAGACGATTTTCGGCATATGTCATGTGCTGAGGTACTCGCCGCACAATATGCTGTTGAGGCATTTGCTGCTGGAGAAGGATGTCATTGGAGACGTGCTGAGTATTGAGCATGTTGAGCCGGTTGGCTGGTGGCATTTTTCTCACAGCTACGTTAGGTTGGTCGCCCATCGTAGCCTGTATTGATTCTTACTGACATGCAACAGAGGTAACTGGAGAAAAGAGTCGACGACTGCACCTTCGCTGCTTACAAAGTCATGCCATGATATCGACTTTCTCATGTGGCTGCTCTGCTCGCCCGCTCCCAACGCAGAGAACGCACAACCGCATTTACCTTCGTTCATTACTTCCACCGGATCTAGGAAGTTCTTCCGCAAAGAGCGGAAACCAAAAGCGGCCGGCAGTGCTACGAACTGTCTATCATGTCCACACGAAAGCAGCTGCGATTATAGCGCGAGGAAGATCTACCTCGCGAAACATCTAGAGTTTGGCAACACGGGTTGGCCTGTGAAGATTGTTAATCCAGAGATCGAGGACATCTACAAGACCTCTGGAAAAGAGGCAGCGGCAAAGCAGCTACTCGAAAACCTTGGTGAAGACTACACGAGCGATACCCCTCCTAGCGAGGTCGAGGCACGCCCTTGGTTTGGACGATGTGTATGGGAGGCCGACAATGATGTCTGCGACGATCAGTGCGTGACAATTACGTGGGATGATGATCCCATCGAGAAGGACGACGACGGACGGCCGATTCTAAAAGGTCGTGGCGCAAAGACGGCGCAATTCCACATGGTTGCCTTTACAGAGAAAATCTGCGAACGACGCGGAAGAATCTACGGCACAAAAGGCGAAATCGAATACGACAGCACCACGATCAAAGTACACAGCTTTTCCACGGGCTACACCAAGACTCACAAACCGCACATGGTAGGTGGTGGCCATGGAGGCGGCGACGAAGGACTCGCCCGCCAGTTCCTCATGGCGGTCAACGCAGTAGACTCTGGGACACTCTCAGCCGCCGACGCGCAAGTCAAGTTCCTCGGGTGCGACCTAGAAGAAGCATTTAGAAGCCACGCAATGGTTTTCGCGGCCGAGGAAGCTAGGACGCAGCGGCAGGTGGTCGACTGGAAGAAGTGGTGGAGTGAGCGGGTAGAGTCGCAACTAGGCCAGCGGTAACTGCGTAAGGGATGAAGTGACGTTCCGAAGCCGAAGGCGAGCTGATGAAGCTGGGCGCCTACGGCAGAGCATGATGATGGAGGCTGTTGAAACGAGATGAACGAAGCCAAACGTCGAGCCAATCCGAAAGCCAGCGCTCGATGAAGCAATCGGGTCTCGGATCATGCGTCGATGGTGTTTGACCGCTAATTCCACTTTCAGGCAATTAGCGGTCCTTTTGCCTTCCGGTTTGAAGGCCGGGCCGCTGGTTTGAGTCGTTTTGGGCTATATTTGGGTGCTTATGACCCGCTGCTAATTAAACCTAATTGCTCCCATTGGGAAGCGGTGGGCGCTTAATGAACCACGTTTGGGAATGACACTTGGCCGGCGTGAGGCTCTACCTAGCCCATTGCCAGCCTTACCTGGGTTTTCTCCACAGGAGCGTCTCTGCGTGCAACGTTTGGACGGCGTCGGGAGATGTGGGCGCTTGGATTGGCAGAGGGCTTCTGGCGAATGGCATGGCCAGACTGGTGGTACATCGGACGAGCACGATACTGGCGCTGCGCAAACTGAGGTTCGGACAGTTCCGCAGGTTGAGCTCAGGCATAGCCAGCTGGCTGCCAGCGCATGAGGTCGCGAGAGACGAGGGCAAAGAGTGGGCGAGGCCTGAGACCCGGACGAGCAGCATCAACAAACGCGCTCTCTACGCGTCGTGCTGTGAGCGGTTTCCTGAGCGTGTTATAGTCGTGAAAGGGTGTCTCGTCGCCCATTGTGAGTCACTGAAGCTGCATGCTCGGCATGCCGGTAGCAGGGCCGAACTGCACTGTCGCTCTGCAGAAACAAAACGTTGGAGAGTCGTGGCCCAATCGATGTCTTGCGTCCGTCGATGACTCTTTGCGGGCTGCAGGGACAGGCATATGCCCCACGCATCGCGGGACCCAGCACGGACGAGCTCCCACAGGCGCTAAACATCCTACACCACCACCATTCATTCGCTGCCATGCCCAAACTACCGCCCCAGGCCTTGGACTATGATCGCTTCAACGGGCCCAGTGTACTACAACAGCATTGCAATGCTGCGCCCGAGTCTCCACGTTTCATCTTTGCCAACCGCCCCATCTGCAAGCGCCTCGCTCTTCCCTTACCCTTTCGGTACACTTCGCTCTGCAACCTCACGTCTCTAGCCACTGAGAGGCGACGCTGATGTACCGCCATGCCAGAAGCAGCATGCACCCCATCAGAAATAGCAAAAGACGCTCGCTGCCCATGTACTCGCCCAAGCAGCAGCGCTATGTTTCAGACGCCTTGTGAGGCTCCATGTTGTAGAACGACTTTGCTGTGATACTGCCGCCAGACCGCCAATTCTCTCCGGGCCAGGAAATCGGGTCTCGATGGATCGTGTTTCATGTGTTTTAGCGCGTCATGAGCGTTGGCTGTCGTGTCTTCGTGGAGAAGAGGATAAGAAGACTGCCTGTGCCGCAACAACCAGTCCATCATCCTCAGCCTTCATCAGCGCATCAGTCCAGCGGGTTACGATTAGAACCTTTTCTTTGTCTCTCTTCTTTTTACATCTTGTCTTAGACACGCGGAGCCGGATCTCCCCTAATAACCTGTAGTCGATAATCCTCCGTCTCTATTCCTCTTTCTCCACAGCGTAAGTCATTGGACACCATCACTCTAGAAGCAATGGTTCCTCACACGATGCAGTCTGGTAGCTCTCTTCTACTCAACATGTTCCACCGTCACGCAACCCCGCCTTCTTCCTCATTCAACTACATCCCGGGCAGTGTTGGCTCAGATGCAACCTACTACTCGCAAGGCTCATCACCAGAGGCGAACAGAGCGGACACGACTCCACCCCGATCACCTGTGAGGCAGTATGGTCCTGTGCTTTTGCCCAAGGTCCGGACGCAAGATCAAGTAGCGGAGCCCACCCAGGGTCCGATTAGACATCGCAGGACGACGTCTACCTCCAGCGCCAACTATGCCTACAGCCCTTACTCACGGCCAGCCTCGATGGTCCGCCGTGGCTCCAGTCCCCTCAACCACAACATCCACAACATTCAAAATGCCCAGAGCACGCTGAATTCGCCTGTATCTACTTCCTCGTATGACTTCAGTATCTCTACCCTCAATTCTCCCATCACCTTCACACGCCCAGACGCTCGTCGTGCTTCTTCGTACATGGGATCGCAGTCGCGCTCCAACTCAGCAAACCGAGACCGTCATGCTCGGTCTGGCTCGGCCGGAAACGTTGATGAGAACATCATTAGCCGATATGGCTTCCCTACCTACCGCAACCTCCCCAACTACGTGACTGCTTCGAGTGCGCCCCAGTCGCACCTTAGCCTCGTCACATCTCTTCCCTCGGCATACTCCTCGGTCCAGGAGATTCCCGGCTACACTACCATGTGCACTCAAGACTTTGCTGTCCCAGAGTTCGAGCCTGCCCCGGCCGTACAGTACCCCTCCTTCACAGATGTCAGCTTCGACACCTTCCAGCCCATCGCTCCTACCTCGTCTCTTGTCGAGTACCTCTCCTCTCCCAACCCTTCCCCATCTCTAGTCCACCGCGTCACAAACGCACCTCGAGGCATCAACAACCACTTTTGGTGGGATGTGCGCAACCTCCGCAGCTGGGAGGACTTCAACATCAGCACTATCAAGTCCATCCCCTCGGTCCTTCCCCTTCTTGAAGTCCCCGTCCCAGCCTCTTACCTCCCGCAACCCTGCCGCCAGAACCTCCAACCAGAGAATGAGGCTGCCCTCCATGACGTCTGCACCAACTACTACGCCAACAAGGTCAACGCCGCCCTCAAGGTCGCACAGGGAACCACCCACATGGTCATGCGCTCTGTCAAGCCCGTCGCTGGCGCCCGTCAGCAGCCAGAGTTTATCTCCAACTACCCCACCGACTACGAGAAGACTATCTTTGGTGACAGCCGCGGTCGCGTCGTTGGCCTCGTCAAGTGCTACGACCAGTGGAACACGGGTATGCGAGGCGAGTCTCCACCCAAGCAGGTCTTGTACCTTCAAGGCCTCGCGCATCTGCACCGTGTGATGCGCGAGCATGGCTGCCGCTACGGCTTCATCATGACTGAGATCGAGCTCCTCTGCGTGCGCTGTGGCGGTCCTTCCGACGCCGCGACCGTCGACCCCACGACTGTCAACGCACAGACTGGCGTCCCCATCTACGGCTACCTGGAGACCTCTGCGCCCATCCGCCTCTCCACCCAGGGCGCGCACCCAGAGACGGGTGACATCCAGCTCACCGCCCCACTTGCGCTCTGGTACCTACATATGCTTGCCAAGGAGAACCCCTTTGCCGGTATGGGCACTTGGCGCATGGACGTCGGCGGTCCTGCTGCCTTGACACGCCAGAACTTCCTCGAGAAGGACTCCTGGATCCCCAAGCCGCAGCTGGGCGAGAAGCGCGAGTCGAAGCGCGTCCGGGGCTGGGTATTCCCCGACGAGCCGTTGAGTAAGCGCGAGTGCGGCAAGGGGAAGAGGATGAAGTCGATTGGCTGAACGATTGATTCGTTGTACCTTGACTGAAGTAATGTATGATTGATGATATTATTGTTTGCGCTGGCGAGAGAAAAAAGCTGCTGCTGCTGGTCCAGCATCACGAGGCATTTACTGGTGTTTTAATTGAGCATTGCATAGCATTTACACGGGCGTTCTTTCTGAGGGACATAGCATTTACATGGGCGCACATAGCATTGTTGGCGTTTTTTTTGATCATCAAAGGCAAGACCTTTGTTTACTACATAAATACTTTAGTAGAATGGTATACTTTTGCCATCCAAACCGTCGATCTGAATTCTGCTTTGCCTTGTGCTTGTTCTTTCCGGGTATGAGATTGGTAAGTGGGTATCGAATACCTACTTATATCGAACAACGTAGCATCAAAGGCGTCCTCCCGTCCTGTAGTCACTGGGGTACTGGATCGTGATCAATTGACGTCGTCGCCGCACAAGTCACACTATGACGTCATGCGGAACGAGCACCTCCTTCACCGGTTCCCGCCCATACCGACTCCACCTTAGGCTTCCCAGCATGTTGATCAGGCAGAATCTGCTGCGGGGGAGCCTTTTGTTGAGCTCGCTTTTCTCGTTTTCTCTTTTTTTCTTCCAGTCCGAAACACAAGAGGATGTAAACGGGTCGTTGCGCTAGCCAAGCCGAACTAAGCGACTGATAAGCTTATGACGAGTGCTTCGGATCGGGAGCCCAGCTTCTCAGCGGTGTGCACTGCAAAATGCGAGCAGGCAAGCAATAGCGTGACTGTGGGGCAGGTACGAGTGGGTGAGCGGTGCGCGATGCGACGACGGCTTTGTACCTTGCTTGCTTTTAAAGACGGCGTGCCTGGTACGCGTGCGACCCAACTTCCCGTTCCCTGTTCCTCAGTCTGCATCCTTTGTTTGACGACTGGAGATGCCGTGGCCGAATATGCGTCGAACTACAATTGCCCTTTTGGCGACGACTGCACGCCTGGCCTGGGGCTCGACTAGTAGCGAGCATGATCAGTTCAAGGATGTCCACTGGGACGACGATAACTGGGTGCTGTCGACACCGAATCTAGACCAAGGACACTACCAATCGCGCTTGTCGCTGGCAAACGGCTATTTTGGCATCAATGTTGCGGCGGTAGGCCCGTTCTTCGAAGTCGATGAACCGGTCGATGGAGATAATATCATTGGGTGGCCGCTCTTCAGCAGACGGCAGGCCTTCTCTACTATCGCAGGATTCTACAATAGCCAGCCACGGACGAATGGCTCCAATTACCCCTGGCTGTATCAGTATGGCTGGGAGAGCTTTGTCGCTGGTATTCCACACTGGAGTGGGCTCCTTGTTGAGGCAAACGGCGAGTTGCTGAATGCTTCAGTCAACCCAGAGCATATTTCAGACTTCATCACAAGTCTAGATGTCAAAGCTGGCATTGCTAGCTGGAGGTACAACTGGAAACCTGGAGGTTCTGGAGACGGTACCATCGATGTGGACTACCAGCTGTACATTCACAAGCTCTACGTTAACAAAGCTGCGGTGCGGCTACGACTCACAGCGAGCCGCGATCTCAATGTTACGGTCTACGATGTCTTGGATGGCGACTGCGCTGTACGTTCTGACTTTGTGGAGAAGAAGTATGAGGAGGATACCCCAACTATCTTCACTGCCGTCAATCCGGGAAACATCACCAACGTCACAGCATATATCTACTCGACGCTAAGTGCCGATGACTGGGTAGATCTGGGTACGCGCAGCCAAGTCCGAGAAGGCTTCTTCAGTGGCGGCAACGGTTCGACTATTGCGCAATCTGTTCAAGTCGAACTAACAGCATTCCGCCCGACTGAAATCAACAAGTTTGTTGGAATTGCATCCACCGATGCGTTTCCAGACCCGCAAGATGTCGCAAAGACTGCCTCGGTCTCGGGAGCTAAAGAGGGTTACTACAAGCTCCTTCATTTACACATCGAAGAGTGGGAGTCTATTTTGACACCGGATTCGGTAGATGACTACCACCTGCCAAACGGTTCCCTGCCAAACGATCCGGATGTCCTAGAGCTTCACATTCTAGCACGCACGAACCCTTTCTACCTGCTGTCGAATATGGTCGGGCCCAACGCTGTGGCTGCAGCGGGAAATAACACGCGGCTAGATACTAACAGTGTGCCTGTCTGTGGACTTGGTTCGGACTGCTATGCTGGCATGATATTCTGGGATGCCGACGTCTGGATGGCGCCGGGTGTACAAGTGTCGCACCCGGAACATGCCCAGAACATCATCAAATACCGGGTAGCGCACTTCGATCAAGCGCAGAAGAACGTCGAGACAGCTTACCAATCGAGCAAGAACCAGACTGGCAGGTTCACTCCTGGTGGAGCAGTATACCCATGGACTAGCGCACGCTTCGGCAATTGTACTGGAACTGGAGCGTGCTTCGATTACGAGTATCATCTAAATGGGGATATAAGCCTCGCTTTTAATAACCATCTCATCATCACTGGAGATGGCGACTACTTCAAGGAGACGCTACTTCCCATTTCGAACGCCATCGCCCACTTTTTCGGACAACTACTAGACTTCAACGAGACATCCAAGGCCTACGAGCTCTTCAACGCGACCGATCCCGATGAGTATGCTAACCAAGTCAACAATGTGGGGTTTACTACTGCACTTATTCAGAAACACTTTCTCGAGACGAATGAGTTCAACGCTTGGTTCGGTCTCGCGCAGAACGCTAGCTGGGGCGAAAAGTCTTCGCAGATGCGACTACCTATCAACGAAAACGCCGGCATCATCGTCGAGTACACAGGCATGAATGGCTCAGTCGAAGTCAAGCAGGCGGATGTTGTGCTCGTCGATGATCTCCTGCATTATCCGAACCCTTACAGTCTGGCTAATCTCGACTATTATGCTGCGAAGCAATCGCTCGATGGACCTGCGATGACGTACTCGTCATTTGCTGTTGTAGCCAACGAGGTGTCCCCCTCGGGTTGCTCTAGTTTCACATACGACATCTACTCCTCGTCGCCGTACGTGAGGGCGCCATGGTACCAGTACTCTGAACAGCTCATCGACGACGTCAAAGAGAACGGAGGAACGCATCCTGCATTCCCGTTCTTGACGGGTATGGGCGGAACAAATCGTGTCGCCATCTTCGGGTACCTGGGCTTGGGATTGTACTACGATAAACTCGATATCGATCCATCGCTGCCCCCGCAAATCGAGTATCTGAACTACCGCACCTTCTACTGGCAAGGACATGGCATCAACGCGACTTCGAATGCTACACACACAACTCTAATTCGACTACCTCGCGAAAACTACACTCTCCCCTCGGCAAATGTAACCTACTTCGACAAGCCAATCCCCGTGACAGTCGGCACCCGCAGCAACCGCAACAACGGGACCTTCTCGCTCGGAGACGCACCACTAGTCATCCCCAACCGCCCAATGGGCCAGACCCTCACCGTCGCCGGCAACATCCTCCAATGCGGCACTCTCCTGCCCCCACCGCAGGGCAACAAACCAGGCCAATTCCCCCTCGCCGCCATCGACGGCGCAGCCAGCACAAAATGGCAGCCCGAACTCTCAAACGTGACAAGCTACCTCACCGTCGACCTGGGAAACACCTCCTTCTACCCCATTACAAAGCTCAGCATGGACTGGGGCGCACAGCCTCCTTCGCACTTTGATATCCTCTTCTCTAATTCCTCCCTGCCGCCGTTCTCTAGTTCTTCATCGGATAATGTGCGTAATGTTATTTCCGGCGACGTACAGATTAGTTCGCCGTGGGACCCTGTTACTGCGTTTGAGATCAAGACGTATGTGGGTAACCAGACGAATATTACGCTGGAAGAGGGTGTGTGGAGTGGGCGGTTTGCGCATTTGGGGATTCGTGGGAATCTGGTTGGGAAGGATGTGACTGAGGGGGGCACGGTGGCGGAGTGGAATTTGATTAGGGAGGGGTTTTGAGAAATCTGGGTTGTGTGAGGATGTAGGGGTGTTGGATGTGTAGGTATGATTAGCTGTGTAATGAGTAATGATTTCAAAGGTTCTTTGAAGATGGTAGCGGGTGGGATTGTGATGTTTGGGCTTTCTTACCGAGTCAGTAAGGCAGTCTTGACTTCAATCTATCAAGCATGGAGCAATTCATTGCATCTACCATCCGTCTGTTTGTAGGCTTTTAGCAACAACCTCTCTCTTAACAAAGCCATTCCTTCGCTTGTCTTCTTCCACTTGCGCCTACTTACGTTAAATATTTCATACTAGATATCTTCTACGAGTCTGATATCGGGATGTTTACTCCTTATAGCTTTCTCGAGGTATATTATATGCTGCAAGGAGAAAGGACTCACTGACGTAGTGGCTCATGTAACGCGCTATTATAGTTGGGAATACCACGTGATTCACCTTCACGGTTGTCGATGAGGACCTTTTTCTCCGGGGCAACCGCCGAATGATGAGGTATGGCTGGGTGTTGTATAGCAACGTTCACTCGCGAGCACAAACGCCCCTGGCACACATATACTACTTTGAGCACACTACGACATCTTTTGACACTCAAGTGCTGCCACACTTTTCTACTGTGAGGATACTTTCTCAACTTCAATCTCAAATTTAGTTTTATTGCATCTACCTCCCTGTCTCTTAACATGCAGGCCAAAGACACTCCTTCCAGGTTGACAACCACCACACCGTCTCCGAAGTCTTCCAAAGCAGCACTGCCCTGTACACCTACGATGGCTACTCCTACCCGGCCGCAAGCCTCGCCCCGCATCAGCACCCTGCGACGGAAGGGTAATGAGCTCTTCGCCGTAGCCTCACACGCGTCGGCGAATCCATTTGATCCGGACGAGTCCGAGTTCGAGTTCGTGGCGTCACTGTCGCCAACACGGATACAGCACGGTGATCCATCCAAGTCCACTCGTGGTTCACCAGTTCGAGAATTGCGTACTTCTCCGTTGAAGTCGCAGGCGACTGGCGGGGCCGTCAAGACTGAAGCGGAGTGTACCACAGAAGCCTCCATATCTGGTCTGAGAACGCCGAATGGTAAGAGTTACAAGCTCCACATGCCAAGTACACCGACATCCTCTCCGCGACCTAGCACATTAAAGCGGGTCGGCAACGAGCTCCTAGGGGAGATACCGTACTCGTCGTCGAACCCTTTCGAGCCGGATGACTTCGAGTTTGGCGAGCTGTCTCCGACACGAACGATGCGTCGCGGGAACCTTAGTTCCCTTCGAAGTCCCCCAGTGGCATCCGCTAGGACCTCTCCTTTGCGGTCGACGCTTCGAACAAGGATGCCACGATCAGCGTCGCTTCAGAAAGATGACACGGTCGAGCCCTTTACACCCGTTGGTTCACCTCTCGAGGCCACCCAGCCTAGTACACCAACTCCATCGCCGCGGATTAGCACGTTGCGACGAGCTGGCGCGGATTTTTTCGCCGAGGAAGGATATGCATCTAATCCTTGGGACCCGGATTGTGATGAGTTTAGCGACGGTATTGATGGATTGTCATCGAGCCCAACGAAGGCGATTCGAGGCAATCCATTGAGGTCTCGTCGCGGGTCACCCATTAAGTCTTCGCGCAAATCTCCTTTGCGCCCTGTGTTCGACTCGCCGCCCAAGTCTGAACCGAACACGGCTTCGATTTTATCGCCAGGTAAAGGGGTAAACTGTCACGCCAAGAGCATGTGGGATGCAGATGATGATGAGTTCGATCGATGGCCTGGCAAGGAGACGTAAGTAGTGACATTTTGTTATTGAGAATACACCTGGCTAACGTACTGTAGAATGAATCGGGTCACGAAGCACTTCATGGTTCAGCGCGACCAACTCAAGAACACGACGCACGTGACCCTCCCCCGGTCGACCACCTACAAGACCTCTGAGGAGATTGACGAAATACCCCCGATCTGCGGTGCTAATCTCACTCTGCAAGAACACGATGACATGATGCACGAGCTTGCAGATATGAACTGCGGCAACCCATACGGCTCCGATGTCCACGATGAGGTAATGCGCCAATTCTGGTCTCGCAGCCATGCTTCGCTACCTACTTCGTTCCCTGCTCGGTACCCGCACTTACTGAACGTGAACGCATACAAGGAGAGCAACGACTTAATCATCAAGAGTGCCTATCCTCGGCTATGCGATGCGGTTGTAACGATTTTGCAGCTCACGACTCCCAAGTGCCTCGTAGACTTCTTGGATCCGAATGTCAAGGTGTTCGAGTGGCGTCGTAATGGCAATTGTCTCATGATTCGCCGAGAAGGCAACGAGGTAATCGTCGGGACATACCACAATTTCGGCACGCGATACGTGTGGACGTACTTTGTCCGCTCGTCCATATCATACACGGGCGAATGGACAGAGGTCTACGCTGCTGCGACGCAGGGTAGCACGCCCGTCTCTGACACGGGCGTGCAATTTGACAAGTTTGAGGCTGAACAGAACAGCCTTGGCATCGACTCGACGGACGCAAAGTTCGCCCTGTACGTCGGGCGTGGACTGGCGTGGTTCCTGCTGAAGTGGGAGGTTTGGAACTACCGGTATTGGCGCCAGTACAAGGTGGAGTGGGAGGTCGATGGCGTTGTCACCAATGCGCGGGAGTACGACCGCTACCAGTTGATTGGCAGAGAGGAGGATGATTAGTCGATGTGCATGAAAGCGTTGCTTCTGCGTAGTCGACTTATGTTAGCAGTATTTTTTGAGTTCTGCGATTCATACATACAGCTTGAAGCCGGCCTCGTATATCTAGCATAATGTAACCTAACTCATTTCGTGACGACGAAACTCGTACAGAAGCCAGCCCCAATAGCATCAATCTCTCCCGGAATACTGATCTCGTTCCAGAATCCGCTGACCATATGATTCTTGACCTCATGTTTAATCTTTGACAAGTCCCCGCAGTTGCCATGTTTGCCCCAGCCCCACGATATCAGCTTGCCCTCTTTCGTAACCGCCAGGACATGATCGGAACCCACTGCGATCTTCTCGAGAAGCGGTAGTCCTGTCGGTAGGAGCTCCCACATGTTCTCCTTACCCCAAGCAGCAAGTTTTCCGTCGTCGAAAAGGACGAAGATGGCGTGCCAGGTGGCTCCCATGTCTTTCCAGCCTTTGACGTTTTGCGGTTTGCCAGAATCAACGTTGAATTTATCTTTCCCAAGCAAGATATGCTCACCAATTGATGAGTCGCCGACAAAATACGAGAAATCCTTGCCGCATATAACCTTTACAGGCTTGAACGGTATGCCCTCGATCTTGGTGGGGACTGTGACTTTGTTGGAAGATTGCTCACCCAACTGGCCTAAGCGAGCTTTGCCCCAGCTATAGACGGTTCCGTCTTCGAGGATAGCTACATAATGCCACGCACCAGCTGCAAAGTCGACCGCAGCGCCGGGCAACGGGTCGACGAGAGGTGCTCGTTCGCCGCTGACCGCAATTGTATTCATGATTTCGTCCCCACGTCCTAGCTCTCCCCACTGCCCAGAGCCTTCGGTATGAATCCAGCTCCGTGAAGATGCCTTGTCAGCAAGAATGTATGCTGAAGATTCGCAAGTGGCAGCGCTGAGAGATGCACGATGGTTTAGATCCTTAAATGTTTCAAGACGTGGTGCGTTCCCTAGCTGAGAAGATAGCTGTCCTTTGCGATTGTCTCCGACGCCATACACGATCCCTTCCTCGGTTAGGAACAGAGTGTGGTTGTCTCCGCCCCGAATTGCGCGCAGACCTGCAAGTGGAGGCGGGTCGGAGATCAGAATCGGGGTGCTGACAATCTCTGCAGCTGGTGTGCCGAGTTGGCCTTCGCCGTTACTGCCAAAGACATATAACTGGTGAGACATATTGAGGAACGAAAAGTCAAGGTATGAGGAGAAGGAAGTTCTTGCTATGGTCTTTCATCACTATCGATCGATAGCATGGGCTCGTGCAGCTGGCGGCAGGGCATGGAGGGTGTGGTGAAGAAGACACTTCTCCAGATCAAAATTTGATTATGGACCTGAAGACATCCATGGTATACAGCAGCGAAAGTTACAAGACATTGATGATGCCTGTTAGCAAAAAAACACCAAAGAGTGAGGTGTCGTTCCGCTTAACCCCGATTAGTGCCAAGACCGCAAAACGCTACCTAGGTAGTTTCTTGAAGAGCCGATGCACGGACCAGCTTAGTCAGTACCCACACACCCTGCTCCACCATTTTAACATCACAGAAACTACTGCCTACGATTGTGACCACAGCAGATCCGACGCCCTCGACCACTAACCGCACGCACATCCCACAGTCGTCCAACATGGCTTCTCAAAGCGTGCAATGCTTCGGCAAGAAGAAGACCGCCACTGCTGTCGCTCACTGCAAGGTACACACCGCTGTCACAATCGAGCGCGCAATGGAACGTATACTCACGATGGATTTTAGGCCGGCAAGGGCCTCGTTAAGGTCAACGGAAAGCCTCTTTCTCTCGTCGAGCCTCAGATCCTCCGATTCAAGGTGTACGAGCCCATCCTAATTCTCGGCATTGACAAGTTCGGTACGCACGACAAGCTCCAGAAGTAAAGATACAGACGGAAATGGAATACTGACAGTTTGGGCAGCCGACGTTGACATCCGTGTCCGCGTTTCCGGTGGTGGACACACTTCCCAGATCTACGCCATCCGTCAAGCCATCGCTAAATCCATCATCGCCTACTACCAGAAGTACGTCGACGAGCACTCGAAGAACCAGCTCAAGCAGGCGCTCGTCCAGTACGACCGCACACTGCTTGTTGCCGACAACAGGCGGTGCGAGCCCAAGAAGTTCGGCGGTCCCGGTGCGCGTGCGAGGTACCAGAAGTCGTACCGTTAAACGGATCGAGATGGCTGGGAGGGTGGATGGGGAGCATGGAGCGGTGTTCATCCTGGGCTTTTTCATGGGTCTCCTCTTACTTTCGGGCGAAGTTACGTGATATGGTGCGCTACGGCTGCCTAAATGGATCCCGGAGCTTGTGACGATAAAAATGAATACATTGGTTACAAGGCACATATCGAAAGGTCTCAACGAGCATGAATTTTTCTCGGGTTTTCCGCGACCACGGAAGTGAATGCAACGACCAGTGGAGGTGACAACGCTGTGCAGCTCACGCTCCTGCTCCCATAAAATATCACGCCCCTACAAAATCAATCGCCCTCATTTCAACCCCTTCTTTCTTCTCAGTCTGGCGACATGCCTTCAGGCAATGTGCGCGTCGCACTTGGTAATCGCAGTCAATTGATAACAGTGAACTAGACACTTGCATGCGTCACAAATTATGGATTATAGACTGCTCATTGATATAGCTGCAATGCGCAAAGCCAACTTGATAGTCCACTCCGGCACCAACGCTTTCGTGCATTCACAAACATAGCTGCGGAACGACCCACGAAAAGTCTGCGGATATTATCTATCTATCGAGTTTCAAAACACCCTCTAGCCACAGCGATGTGGGGCATGGTTTCTAACCATCGCTCCCACTACTTCTGAATGCAGCACAGAGCGCAGCGTACTGATGTGTCAGATCGAGGACATGCTGTGGTAAGCTCGTACCCTGGATGATGCTGCGAATCTTGACAGCGCCTTCTTCCTCGATGAGTTTCCGAATCGTGTACAGCAAGCTTGGCGAGAACTGTCGCACGCATTAGCAACCTCACTCGCACATGATAAAACGGGAGGGGGGAGTCAGGACTTACCTCAGAGTACCACCGATACTGCCAAGTTACCAACCTAATCAACGCGGCTGTAACATCCCTCGTCTGCCTCCTGTCCTCACCCAACTTTAGTACTCCCCTCATCGCCTTGGGACTAAACTTGATCTGCAGACAATTCTCATATGCCTCGACCGCTTCCTCCTTGTGGTGCAAGCGTTCCGCCAATTCACCCAGAATCTCCCACTCTTCCGCTGACTTCTTGTATAAGAGTTGCTGTTGGCGGTACTGCGCCATTTCGGTACGCCAGATGGTGTAGACGCGCAGGTCCTCGTATAGCACCATGAAGAGGTTGTCGAGCCAGCGTTCGCAGAGGCGCTTGTTCTGGAAGTGTGTGTAGTGAGGTCCAGAGGGGTCTGAGTTAGAAGCATCGTGTGCGTGGGGGTCCTCGCTGCCGGCCTTGACTTCTTCCGAAGCTACAGTATGACCTGGCTTCTCTAAGGATTCCTGGGCTGCTGCTATGGCCGCGGCAGCAGAGGACTCGCCGTTGGGCGTCTCGGTTGTGTCGGAGCGCTCTTCGACTTCACCGTGACCGTTGACTTGTGCTTGGGCGTTAGGAGAGGGGGAGCGGAGCGCCGTGGTGCTAGCGCTGCGGGAGTGCGGTACTTGTGTTGTCTTCTCGTGGCGGTACTCTTCTTCCATGACAAAGACCTGTGATCTTATTTTGAGAAGTTGATCCCAGCCGATCTTCTTTGTGATTTCCGTGAGGAGTATGTAGGCTTTCAGGAAGGTGCCCTTGAAGCCGGCAGCGTGCAACTTCCTCAACGTTGGATGCACAAGCTCCTGATCATCATTACTGTCCTCGATCTCGTCGCACATGGCTTCCGGCAAGATTGGCAGGAATACTTTCTGGGGTTCTGGCATCCGCGGTGCATCCTTGTCCTGGTAGGTGAACATGGGGCACGAATTCAGTGTCAGCAGCGCCAGATCCCACTGCTCCAGGCTGACGTAGATTTCCGCCAAGCGCGCCCAAGTGCCAAACTCACTGGGCGCGGACACCACACTTCTCTTCGCGATCTCGAGTGCGAGGTCTCCACGGCCTTTCTTGTTGCAGAATTCGGCTTGGCAGTCTAAAAGGGAGTAGTCCATGGGCAGCTCCTGGATCGCTTCGTGGAGTAGTTGTACGGCCTGGACTTCCTCATCGGCTTCGATGTAAACACGCGCAAGTAGAGAAGAGATTTCGGGGTCGCGCGTTCGCAGCTTCTCGAAAAGGTTGATGCCTGAGGTATATCTGCCGGTCGTGTGGATGTAGCTGAGAAGCCCTGTGGTCAAGTGATTGGAGACGAGATTGGGCACTTGAATTTCAGGGTCGGATCCCAATTGCCAGCCTACGACGACATTAGCTTACAGTAGTATCCGCCTCTCAGATTGGCTTACCGTTGAAAAATAGGCGCTCCGCAGCATCCAGGAACTTGTGCTCGCTCTCTGTGCTGGTAATGGGATTGAACCTTCGTACACCCACAATCTTCTTGATGGTGTCGCCTGAACCGTCATCGGCGTAGGAATATGCGCGGAGCACACTGCATAGATATGTTTCCAGCCATAGCTCGTCGGTCGCTACTCGCTTGTCGCCCCGCTCGTCGATACAGTAGCTCTCGACGGTACCGGGGATGTAGACTTGTACGCGCATGTCCAGTCTTGAGAAGGCATTGTAGCAACTGCTCGGTCAGCTCATGCCGTGCCTCTCGTTTACGTTCTCGTACCAGTAGAGCCCAGACACCACCTTGTGTTGCTTATCATGCGCCGAATATGTGAGTGTGTTGATGTAGGCTGCTAAACTGGCGGATGAAGATGCGTCTTGACCGGAGACATGGTGATATACGCCAATCTAGAAACCAGGTCAGAATAGGACCACCAAGCATGTGCGGGGATGAGGCTGAGCGAACCTGTTTCGTCGTGGACTTGATCGGCTGTTTGATGAGGTGGACGAGGTCTGGTGGGCCTAGTTCTCGTAGTGATTGAAGGGATTCCGAACGCGCCTCAATGGCGGATTGTACCTCGTCCTCGTAGATTCTGTTTTGGGTAGTTAGTACATATATAATGTAAAGTTCCTGTACGTGTATGCCCAGTGCAGTCCTCGGACACGTATCAAACAGACACAGTGGTGCGAAGATACTCGGGCATGCATGCTCTTGAAGACCAGCACAGATTCAAGAGCTATAAAAAGTGCAGGCATACTCAGGAACAGCTGGCGCTGTGACCATGGCTCGATTGGTGCCGCGCACGGCGGGGGGAACGGTCGCAGCGGATAGATACTGGCGGGGTGTGAATGTGGGCGGAGGGGCCGTACTGCGCGCGGTGATGCTCCGGTTGGTGATGGTCAGGGTTCAGTGTCCTCTCAACATGGAGAGCTGGAGCCCGTAGCTTCGACGCGCGGAGGAGCACCGTTGCCAAGAGGGCTATGTAATCCCTGTACGCCGCCATCGTTCACTTCGCGTCGCGTCACCGCATGCCATGCGCTTTATGCTCTATACGGCGCCGCTGCTCATGGCTGCCTGCTGCTCACGGCGTGTACATTACATGTGGTTCAAAGCGTCCTGTCCGTTTGTAGCCTGTCCCTAGCCCTGTATAACCACCGACGGCCCTCCACCATGGTATGTTTCAACCTCTGAATGCGCCATAGCCTGGCATTGGAGCTTCCCTAACATGTCGCAGTCTAAAGCATCCGTCTGGCATCCGTACAATGTCGAGCCAGCCGAAGAGGACGAAGATGAGGTCGACGACACGCAAGAAATCCAGATCGAGGAAGCGTTGAAGCTCTACCAGACCGCCCTGAAGTACCACTCTGAAGGCCCCCCATCGTTCGACAAAACTGCTACGGCCTACAAAGCTCTCTTCGAATCCGAAATATTCAAGTACACCGAATCCCTCTCCGAATACCACCGCCATGAGGTCTTCGGCGAGACACTGGTGTTCGACTCTATTCTTGAGGATGACTTCGAAGCGGGCCCAGCGCAAGCCGCAGGCGCCGCAGACAGCGCTCCGAACACACTTCCGCAGATACTCCACCTGTCATACAAGAACCATGGCCAGTTTTTGCTCGAGTCGATGCATTACTGGGTCAGCCAACATGGCACATTACCCCAGAGCGAAGGGTGGAATAACCTTCGTGGTGCCCTAAACTACTTCGCCGAAGCTCTGGACAAGGAGGACACAGATCTCGACCTATGGCTACGGGCTGCATCAGTTGCAGCTATGTTGGGCAGTAAGCGGCTGACTCGTTATTGCCTGGAGGCTGTATTGGACGGTAACGACGAACAGTGGGAGAGTCTGTTACAGCTCCCCGGTCTCGAGGAGGGCTTTGCTGGACAACAACTGCGAGACCTAGTAGAACGTCTTGAGGACAACGTCTCGCTGATGCAGTCGCCGCTGTCGTCTATGAAGCGGAAGAAGCTCTCCGAAGCACTAAAGACACGCCTCAACCCTGTTCCGTTCGCCCCTCTTCCAGCCGATGTTGCTCATGTCGATAATCGACAGGCGCTCCAAGCCCCTCCGGAGAATGTCATCTTAACGCCAGCAAGATGGGATTGGGCCGGTGTTGGAGAGATAATTCTACAGCAATTCATGGCAGAACAGCGTGGTATGACCAACAATGTGGCGCCTGGATCGAGCATAAAATTCGCGATACCACTCGACACCGACACCCCCGAGCGTATTGTACCCAAGCTTGCGCCCCATGCAGAAAAGCCTACAGCTGAATCGACCGACCAATCTGACCCAACCCAGAGTGAGGCACAAGTTCCTTCCGTGACTGAGCCCGACACAGTAGAAAAAGATGGTGAAGTCACTGTCATGGAAGAGCACGAGAGCATCTCAATAGTCAAAGATGAGGAAGTTGGACCTGCTACAAGTCTAGAGACTACACAAACTGTATCGCGGAAACGTTCTACCGATTCTGCTGGTCTTCCCGAAACTGCTGAAGGGGGCCGATCTCGTAGTAAACGTATCCGAGGGCGCGACACAGTGACCGAATCAAGCGCTAGTGGCGGCAACGCCGCACAAGTCGCAAACAAGCAACTGGAGGAGCAGCTTGAACCTTACACTCACGCCGACCAATGCCTATACGAAATTGTTAAGGACATCTATGCACGATTAGGCGTTGAGGGGATCAAGGAGCCGGCGATGCTGCGTAGCCTAGTCACAGCGCTGCCCGAAACTTCATCCACACATACTATTGACAAAACCGCGTGCGATATGTACACGGCTCTTCAGAGTGGGAACGGCAAGGCTGCTCAGATAGTACTAAGCAGCGAATCGTTTGACCTAGGAGGCGTGACCCGAGATGCTGGTTTGAATGCATTTCTAGGCTTCGCGAAGTCAAACTCCGGGCAAGCCTGTGCTAAACCGGTGCTGGAAAGTCAGAATCTAAATGCATTCGCGCGCAGCATCAACGAGGAGTGGCTGGCTACTAAGGAAGTCGCATTTGCGTGGATAGAGGTTTTGCTTTCCTACAGCTCGCTTGCAACACAACAAGAGGGCCAATCAGCTAAGCAGTCAAGCTACATGGAGTTCAGATGGGCCGAGGACCTAAAGCGGAATTTGGTTCAAGTCATCGTTAATATCGATGACTACATATATGAACGCATGCTCGCCCGGGTCAGCAACCTCAACAGCCGGGTACTCAAGGCTTGCCAAAACTCTCAAAGCCACGAATTGACTGAATTCGACGCTTCCCAAATTGAGATTGTCGAGACTCTGTTTGAACTCCACTTGGACATCTACTCTTTGATCAAGCATCCCCATAGCCAAGTGGACGTCAATACCCAGGTCCTTCAGAGTGACCGTCTCGAACGGTGGTCTGCTCTTGCACGAGAAGTCATGCAGCTGCGGTCATATTCCGAAACGAGTCAGGGCATGGACAATCTCGCTCTTCGACATGTTTGGGCTTCAGTCTTTCAGATGAGCGTAAATGACGACATACTCCCAGATCATGTCATTTCTGCCATGGCAGAACTGAAAAGCATGTTCCAGCCGTTGGAAGACCATATCATCCAGGTTCAGAACAACGCGGTCATGCCCGAACTATCAGCTGCCGCCATCGACCGCGAATTGGTTCGCATTAGCATGAAAGATTTCTTTGTGAAGGTCTTCGACCAAGACGAGAAGGATCCAGTCACTGTCATTGAGAGCCTGGAACCAATCTTAGAGCAAGATAACACGGCACATCCAGATACAGCCTGCGAGTCAGCCGTTCTTGATCAAGACAATGTCGACGCGCGTAATTCACCAACTATGGACGTCGGCGCAGACTCATCGATAGAAATGCACCTCGACCGTCCATCACCAATTATGGAGATGCGCAAGTTTCTCGACGGAGCCAACGTCAATGTGCGCCTCTCTCTTTGGTCCAGGCTGCGGATGGCATACGAAACAATCGAATATCCTCCCAAGGTTGTTTCTTGCCTCTTACGGAGTATCGAGACCCTTGTTGGGGATTTCAGGTCATCGCTCTTTCAAGAATTGTCGGTGCAGGAACGTCAAGTCAAGATTTTGACGCGGTACCGAGTCATTGATGACATGGTTATCAAGATCCTCCGCATCATCAAAGACGAGAAGTCTGCGTTTGAATGCCTTCCATACGAGCATGTGCAGTCATCAATGTCAGCTATCGCAGAGTTGCTGTACATGTTGTCCGCTGCAGACATGTTTCGAGACCTTATACGCATCAGTCATATCCCGATGCCTAGGATTGAGACACTGCCAAGCCAAGCTTTTATGAATGTATCCACTAGGCTCGACGATATACATCTGCGACTCTGGATGCTACAATATCATCTCCTGAAAGAAGGACTGTCGCAGGACCCTGAAACCTTCCCGACTCCTTCCGAGGATCTGTTCGAGTTTATCCGTCATGTCCATTACGCCACTGGCATACGCAGCTTCTGTCACCTCTCCGGCCGCCAATTTCTGAGGCTCGCAAAGGATGAAGTCCTCCGACTAAATGACATCATAGATGTTCATAGTCACGATACTGTGCTCTGCCAAATTTTGCACGATCTTTACGGACTGAAATTGTTCACTGAGCCGTTGGAATGCCAGGACTTCATGACTACTCCGGATGTGCTCGACAAGAAAACCGCCTTTGGTCTTTTACCATTCGTTATGTCACAAGCCGACAAGGTAGATCTGAAGGACTTGCCAAAGACTGAGCTTAAGGGCGCAATTGAAAAGGTCCACGCTGCCTTGGGTAGACCCAAACAGCACGAAGACATCAGCTTCAACCGCAAGGTCATATCTACCTACTTCAAATCACCGGTTAATCCTGTCTCACTTTTCAGTTGTCTGAAAGGTGTCGGTTCACTCTCGACGAAGGAAATACCTGCGAATGAAGCTGTAGCTGCGTCAAAAGGTTGGTATTATTTGATGGGTAACATCGCTCTCAGCAAGTTCCGCTCCCAGAAGCGCATGACACAAGGGCCAACCGAAGATCTCAACTACGCTCAAGCCTTCTTTGTGCAGGATCTTGAGTATTCTATCGAACGTTGGGAGACTTGGTACCGCCTCGCGCAAGCAAACGATACACAGCTCGAAGAAGCCGTTTCCTGGAACGCAGACAAGATGAACAGCAACAGCACCGAGCTAGTCAACTTCCAGCGTGCCGCAATCAACTGCTACACTATGGCTATAGCCTGCGCTGTCCGTGACGCTGATGCGGCGCCACAAACGCAGAGTAAGGTCGCTCAAATGTACACAGAGTTTGGCAATCGCATATATGCCTCGTCCAGGGAGCCCTTTAGCATGGAAGCGTTTCAGATTCGGGAGAACGAGAAAAGGTTTTGCAACATGCAAAATCAGGCAGGCACATATAGAGATGTCACGTTTGTCCCTCTACAAGCCTACACTGCTTGGAAGTTCGCTAGCACACTGTTCAAGCGAGCTATCAAGGAGCATCCGAATAAGTGGTGGAATCATTACATGCTTGGCAAGTGTGCATGGAAAATGTGGTCTGCTAATGACAATGCAATGTACCATGCTATGTCACAGGGGGTTCCGCTACCACCTCACCGTGGGCCTACGTGGGAACAGGTCATCGATGCCTTCATGAGCGCTATCGAGACACTGCCCGGAAAGAAGGGACGTAGCGGCGAACCAGTCCTCGAACCTCATTATAAGCTCATCTCCATTACTCACAAACTCTTTCAGCGCAAAGCTATTGACCACGAGAAAGGAATGGAGATCTTAGGACACACTTCTTATGCGCAAAATGTCACCAGACCGGTCAACCTAGACGACTGGCAGCGGTATGTCCTTGCCGTTTTGAAATCACTGCGTGCCGCAGACAAGTCAAGTTGGCACCACCGAATCATAGCCCGCTCGGCTCACGTTCTTTACAACGATAGCAAAGACCCAATGCTAGCCCACGGTGCCAAGCACGAATTGACGCAGCAGATATTCACCAAGACAATGGCTGTCCAAGTCTGGAAACCCGAAAACGAGCGCCCTGGTAGACATTTCGTGTATACAACGCGGTACACTAAGTTCTTCGTCGAGATTCTCGATCTCGTTGGAGACAAGGCGAACTTCGAAGCCTTGGCAAAGCGCGTACGGCGGAAGCAGACCGATTTCTTTGAGCACCAGAAACTCTGGCAAGAGCTGTGTTCACGGTACCTGAAGCTACTGCGAAGGATTGGCAAGGTCCCTGACGGCCAGGAAGATTCTGCGTTCAAGTCTGTCAATCATGACGAGTTTAATACCCTGGCCCTCCGAATGGAAGCTTGGTGTCAGAACCCAGCTACACAACATCCTGTGCTGGACGTCCTTCGCGATGCCATTGAACTTAAGCGCCTCAACAACGGACTGATGAAATCTCTTCCCATTGATGATCTGATTGGAGACACATACGCCATGCTGTATGTCATCATCGGACCGACTCTACCGCCGTTGCCATCAGAACTACAACAACAGCACACTCAACCAGCACAGCTAGGGCCGTTTGTGTCTGCACCGCCGCTCACAAGCTCCGTACCTATCTCTTCCTTGATGCAAGTGCAGGTCGATGGTGGAGCTGAAGCAAGCACTGCTACGCCGTTCAACGTCTACCATCCGAGCCAGCCCCAGTTTCAAAACCAGCCCCCACAGCCCCAGCTTCCACCACAACCAGAGCCTGTCAAGCCCAGAACTAAGACCGTTGGGCGTAGGGAGATCGGACGCCGAGCCGAAGCCTGTGTTCAAAAGCCTGTTGGAACTGCCGCGCCTCACACCACCGCAATGCCCATTCGTTCTCCTCCCGTGTTGAACGCTACCCTCCCCTCCCTCACCAGTCGAACATCATCTCCAGAGAAGTCTAGCAATTTAGCGCCCGGCCCAAATGGCTTGACTGAACAACTCCAGACCGCAGTTGATAAAAGTGAGACGGTTACTGCGGCTGCAAGTGTGAGTAACAGTAATGATGAACGCGAGCGCAGTGCGCCTGGCTCCGTGCATGACGATGCAGATGACGAGAGTGAGCTCAGCGAGCTCGATGAAGAGGAGGTGCAAGAGATTGAACAAGAGGTCGAAGGAGCCCGCCGTTCAGCTTCCATCGCTGCGATCAAGCCACTGTTTCCCAACTTGATCATGGCTAACAGAAGTAGTCCAGAGAAGAAGAGCGAGGTTGGGGCTAGAGATGGAGCGAGCAGATCAAAAGGCGAATTTGGTAGGGAAGGAGACGGAGATGCGGATGCGGATACTATACATGCCCTTGTGTCTGGATCTGCGCAGAGGGTAGAGCCAGAGGGGAGTGTTAACGTTGATGATGAGGAGCAATGAGCTTTTTGTTGTGAATTTACTCCTGGCCACTATCACGAGGCCATCTCACTGTTCAAAAGGAAGCACACGTAGTGCTTGGTTGTAGGCCTTGGAGTTTGTTCTAATTGCCATGTGTTCTTGTACCACCATAGATCTAGTAGACATTCTAACCGGCGGCGGATATCGTTACAACGGCGCACCACGGCGATAGTGTATATCGGAAATTAGGTAATGTTTCTTCTAGATACCCTCCCTTTCTTTGGGGCTGTATAACAGTACAATGCATGTTTTATTGTACCATGCCTCTCTTGATTTCCGAATTCTCAAGGGTAATGCGCAGCAAGGGCAATAGCGATTCTTGGTATATGTCTGAGTACCTGTATCATTGTTTTCGTTCCTGTGTATTCATTCTCTTCGGCTCTTCCTGTTTCTTACAGATGCCTGATTGTGGGGTTATTGGCTCCTTCCGTAGTCGCGCCTTCCTTATTTTCAGTCGCTTTCTTCATGTGCCTCCCTTCTTTTCACCCATCCCCTATCTTCTGCTTCTGCTCTTCGAGCGCCTGTTTTCTGTTTGCTTGTGTTAGGTACGTCATCGCCTCTCTTATCGTTTTCACTCGTCCTAAGGTATCGTCGGACGCCATTTCGTGGGCATCGTCGATTTTCGTGCCTGCGAGTCAAACCGCATCCGCAGTCTTACTGGTCACTCGTATATGTCCAAAAAGTGCCAAGTGCATGTGCTCATTTACTATCACTGTGTCTAAGATTACGTGTGTCAGGCGGTTTAAGGGTAGCAAGCGAAGCTCGCCTCGTACAATATAACCAGCTCATCGCTCTGTATTTCTAGACATTAACGCCGTGTTAGCTAGACCTTTGGCTTTACATCCGGTGAAACGAACTCGGCATCGCTTTCTGAACTTTCCAAATCATCCTGATTGACGTACCCGGATTGCTTCTCTAGCCACTAGCATATTGAGTTTGCGTATACCTTTTGCCGTCTTCCCGACTTTCCGCAGCTATCGAGTTGCAACTCAAGCTCCACCATGATCGCCCTCGACACATGCTCTTGCAGACTGGAGGAATCCTATCTACCCCTGACGTATTTTCGCGCACTTCCCTCCTTCACCTTCGATGAGCGTCCCTCATCTTGGCCGCACGGGGCTCCCACAAACGGCTTTGGAGATTTGCAGTGAAGGAAAAAGGGACGGCGGAGAGGATCGCGCTTACCTTCATAAATACTGGACTTCTCGGGCACTTGAAGACTACTTTTCTTCCACTACAACACAATCGAACCTCTACTCGGACTTCAACAACGTCGAACTCTCTTATATCCAACACATTGGTACAATTATTGTATAATGAATCGTTTTACACCACTTATACCATGCCTAGATTACTCTCATTTTCCTCATCGATCGCGAGATGTCCACCGCTGGCGCATCAGCTCCGCCACCACCTCCACCTGGAGGTCAAGACCCCAAGAAGTACGCCGGCCACGGCGTGTCGATTCCGATCATGACACCACCATCGGGTGATGGCAGGACTCCGGCCACTGCCGCGTGGGCGCCCGCTATGTTTAGCACCCCGGGCACTACAAAAACCTACGTAGTTGACGGCCTTGGTACTTTTCCGCGGTACAAGCGCACTACAGTGGCCGACGCGCGTAGTTGGGCCCAAGTTTACACCATCCTGGACGGAGATACCTACCAGGTAGTTACCCAGCTCCCTCCTGGTCCGATGGCGAACCCATCGATGCCTGAAGCTGCTGCTATTGCAGAGCAGACGGCTGCCATTGTCGCCCACGAGCACACCGTGGCCACTGGTGGAGGTACTGTCGCGGCTGCTTACAACGCTCAGCAAGCTCACCGTAAGTGGTCAATTGCTTCCCCACAACAATTTTGCCTAACATTATCAGACGGCGACGCCTATGCGAGCAGCGATCCCGAGAACGACGGGAACTCATCGGATGAGGGCGCCGGTAAGCTGAAGTCTTAACCGTAACTAGATATCGATCACTAACAGCTTTTTAGACAGCCGTTCATCTCCAACGTCTGGATCAGGCAGCAATGGAGGAGCTTCGAGCACCTCCTAACCGTGACCCGGCTCGATATTGGAAAAGGTCCACTTGTTAACTTTCAGGGGGGATTTAGAGCATTGGATGGATCTCTTCCCGGCGTACTATACCCAACAGAGTTCCATGATCTGTTATTGAGTGGATATCTTGATTTTCGGCCTTTTTCTTGGATTTGTAGATAACTGAATGCTTCAGCAATAAGATGGGGACTTGATGAATGCCTTTCTATGCCCCAATACAACTTCCTACACAACTTTTCAGGGTCCCTAGATATGTACTCAATGTGCCGCAATGACTTGGCTTAGATGCTAGCGTATACAGGTGAGTCATTCTAACGGTGTTGGTAAGAGGTTTCATATCCAAATGTGGAATGCTGCTTGCAAAGATTATTGATCTTTATAATAAGGCGTAAGCGCATTACTTCTCCCTTGCACTTCGATATTATCATTGACAGTCCTTACTAGATTTGATGCTAGAATAGATAAATATTGCATTCTACAGATTTTCAACATTAATTGGTTCTAGAGTCTCGCTCATAGGGCAACTAATCGTGATAGCTAAATCCCTTCGCCATAGGAAGTCGTATCTCTGACCTTGTTTAGCTACTGCCCAAGCGTTGGACTGCCCAAGCGTTGGACTGCCCGACACTTCGCTCTTTCTCCGAAGAGAATAGACGGCTTCTGGCCCTTATGCATCTTCTCGAGTTAAATTTGAAGGCATATACTAATGACAATGCAGCTTACCCTAATATTTTATTGGACGAAGAGAAGCAGATGGGAATCCATCTAACGGACATGCACATTGATTGAAATGCGCGAGTCATATCCTCAGCCAATAACACCTTCTACAGGGTTGCGATATCGCAGAAATGAATGAATTTAAAATTAGAGCATTACTATACATTCTATTATATCTTCATACCCTCAAAGCAACCCGAACGTGGCAACTGTAAACCCCCCTCTACTAGCACGACACTGGTCACATCAAATACTACTGTCACGGAAGAGTTTGGCACATGAATAAGAATACAAACTTGTGGGCGTCTTAGACTAATGGTATTCCACGGCGATAACCATGAATGGGTATTGGAGAAACATCGATCGCCCGTATGCGCTGGACAGACCGCTCTCGTTGGGTAAATGTAGACATCTATGTTTAATATTCCCACAAGAAAAGCCTATTATGAACTTGGCAGATGCAGAACGTAGTTCGGAAGTACGCATTAAAGGCGCCGTAGTCTCGAACTGAGGTGTTCTTAGCGAATGTGGTAATGTCTAATAGCCTAAATCCGCTAAGTTGATGACTAACATCCAGCATGAAATGTCTGAGGTCACAACACCGGCTCTTTAAGCATTCCCTAGCGAATAAACTTTAACGCAAGCGCTGACTTAGATCGTGCGTTACATTATAGCGCTCGATTAGAACAACGCTCTCCGGTGTCCTAAGAGGAATATCAAAGCGCCTATGCCCTAGCTGAGCTATCGCTGGCTCTGTGAAGGTACTTTAAGTGCGGAGATGTCTGTAATCACGTTAATCCTTCTATAACAGGCTGCTTAAGATGGTCGTTAGCTATAGTTTACATAGCCATTTCATTCTTAGGATGCACTTTGCCCTTCTCCATTCATGTTTGCACATCCGAGAATACTCTCTACATTGTCACTACGTGCCAAGGCGCCATAGATGATATCTCACTTCACCGTTACTGACCCTTGACACTTCTTTAAGTGTCATCTCACCTTCCTCCTCCTCGAATGCCCTTCCCACTATCCTACATCTTCAAAAGCGCCACCACCCACTCACCACACCATTCAATTATACGAACGCGGAGAAAGGTACGTTACACTATTGCGGTACAAAGCTATGCTATCAAACTTACGCACTTATTAGCATGACTGAGACCGTGAAAGAGTTGGAGGAACGACAGGCTAAGCACCAGGCGAGCCTGTTGCCATTGTAAGCTCAGTGGGCATTTATACCTGACCCTCAATAACACTAATAGGCTCCAAGGACCTTCTATGGAAGTCACCGTGGGCACAAAAAATCGAATTTCGACATGGAACATTCCGAAAGCACTTCTCAGCCATCACTCCGAATTCCTCCGCGCGGCCTGCAACGGACCTTGGGGCTTGAGAACAAGATATGCCTGCCAGAATGCGATCCTCAATACTTCCAGATCTTTGTGCAGTGGATCTACTTCGGCAACCTTCCTACTTTTCTCGAATTTACAGAACATGTGAGATTCTCTAGAGGCTTTCCCCTCTGGGTCATGGGCGATATGCTTATGGCTCAGTCGTTCAAGGGCCACGCCATGGAAAAGATATATCGCCGTGTGAGGTGTGCCTGGCTCTGTAAGATCATGGCGAATGAGGTAGAATACTGTTGGAACCACACTACCCCGGGCAGCCTCCTTCGCAAATTCACTGTGGACCTAGTGGCCCAGGATGTCATGCATAATACCTTTATTGGAAAGTCCAAGGAGTGGCAGCAACTCCTCCAAACACACTCAGATCTTCAATGCGAGGTACTGTCCACTATAGCCAAGTCGACCCCGAACAGGTCCGGAGAGCCTGAGTACAAGCCAGTGTCGGAGTATCTGGAGGATCCAAAAGCAGAAGAGTAATCGCAAGATCACGAGCTCGGAAAGCCCGGGGGAACATGATCGTTACAAGAGCGAACGCCAAGAGCTTTTGTGAGTATGGCAATGAACCCGGTTTCCTTCAAGACATCTACAAAGCCTGCGGAGTCTTTCCTGTCACCGTCTAGGGTCATGAAATAGGGCAAGTTTGTACCCACGAGACAATCTAGACACACTATGCATGGACCCTTAATATTGTAGCTCTCAATTCAATTTGCTCTTACCTCAAACATCAATCACCACAGCGTGGCCAAGTAAAAGTATATATGATCAGACTCACCGCCGTTCTAGTCTCATGTTATTTCTCTCACCCTACTCTTCAGATCTACAGATATATCTCTACTTTTTTATCCTTCCTCACTTCTTGAACTTTTCCATGCCTAAACTTCCCCAACTTCTACCAAAACCGGCAGCTCCAAATATGCCAACAATGAAGACTCTGCAACCGAAGATGGCTGCAGCAACGCAGCAGCCAACTCCCTCATCATCGTCGTCGAACAACATGCCGCCGCCGCCATCGAAAGTTCCCGCATCTCCGCCGAATGCAAACAAGCCGACTCATTCGGACATGTTTCTCGAGATGTAAGTACTTAAGACTCAATATTCCGCACGCGTCCATGGAAGAAGTCTTTCTGACGCAGCCATATAGGATCCAAGGACCCGCCATAACCGTCATCGTCGGTCCCGACCCCACAGCACGGCAATACACGCTCCCTAAGGCCATAATCGGCGTCCACTCGCTCTACTTCCGCAACGAGATCGCTCGTTTAAACTCACTTCACGCGAGTACAAACGCCAACAAGAAGCGCAAACGCTCTTCAAACATAGAGGAAACGACACTCAAAGAAGAAGAAGGAGAAGGAGAGACGAGCAAGGCCATGGACGAGACAAGCGAGAAGAGAGACCTAGTCATCCGACTTCCAGATGTAGACGCCGTCATCTTCGGATTGTTCCTCAAGTACATATACCAAGGCTCGTATCCAGCCAGCGTGGACTCAGTGTCCTCCACGATGCATCGTGTTTCTCCACTTACTCCCACAACAACGATAACGCCATCGCGTCACCCGCCCTACTCTTCTGTCCCGCAAACTCAGACTCATACTCCTCCAGCACGCACTCCAAACCAATCGCATATACCAGTGTCACAGAGCCTCAGCCCTCACCGCACAGCGCAATCAAACCCTATCCCGCCTTCAATTCGCGCCTGGCTCCTCGCCCAACGCCTCGGCGCAATGGGTTTCATGAACCACGCGATGAGCCGGATCTTCGGGGGGATAGGATGCCATTTCGCTCTTACGCCGTCGTTGCTCCATTATGTCTGGGCCGAGACTAGTCCTCCTTCTCTCGCCAACGCCCCAACGTCCACCACCGCGGCGCCCAGCACATCCATATCATCAGCACCAGACATGCTGCGTGCCCCCAACGCAGTACTCACGCCTTCCCCCCTCCGCAAACTCCTCCTCGACGTCCTAGTCCTCCAATGGCCGTCGCAGGCTACACACATCATTGCGAAATCACCTGGTCTGAATGCAACGTGGAATGCGCTCTTTGACGCGCATTTGGATCTGCGGCGGGAGTTTATTTTTGGGTTGCAGGGTGGGGGCAACTTGATGCCTGTTCAGGGGTACTTTGCTTCTGCTTCTGCTGCGCCGGTGGCGGTGGGTCAGGGGTCTTTAGGTCAAGGGGAAGGTCAGAGTGCGGTTGCAAAAAAAGGTGGTGAGGGAGATGGAGAGGCAGGGTGTGGGCGGGTAGTGGTGAAGAAAGAGGGTGATGCCGGTGCTGAAGGAGAGGTGAAGAGTGCGTGAAGGGCTCTTGTGCTGTCCGTCTGATTTGGGGGTTCAATAGGCGTTACGGAGGGCAAAGGAAAGTGCTATGCAAAATTGTTCCAGAGTACTCTGCATTATCAAGCTACAAGGCTTCGAGTATATGCAAGTCATGCAGACTGCGGCATGGCCGAATATCATCTTTCATAATTACACTCCTCCACCACCTCCAATCTGTGTATATGCTGGACGACTACGTTCCCAAATTCGTGCTCTCTTCCAACCATCATAGCCCAATGTAGGCTCTAGGAGTGTTCATCATCGAAGCGCTGGACAGATCTTAGGATGCCCAGGAGTCCGCCGCCCTTCACTGCCACTCCTGCTTCATATCCTCTGCACAGGCCTTGCAGACTCCAAGGCGGCAGGCGGCGATCTCACACTCCCAGAGCTCCTCCTGGACGTCTTCACCGCATTTCTCGCAGCAGATTGGAACCTGAACATGCTGCTTGATACCTACATGGGTCTGTAGGTACGGGCGAACTCCCAGGCTATTGATGGCGACTTCATCAGGCACCTGCTTCAAGTTGATGGGGTGGAAAATGTGGCCATTTTTAAGGCAGATGTGATTCGAAGGCTGCTTGGGCGGAGGGGTAGGGCGAATCTCCTTCGGAAAGGGAGCGGGTGGGATTTGCTGGTCGGCGAGAACGTCAAGATCGATGCGCTCAGAAACAGGGCGCTGTTCGGCGGGGCGAGGTGAGTTGGTGATCCAGTCTTGGACAAGCATACGGGATTCGTCGCGGGGCATCTTTGCCTTCTTAGCTTTCGTGAGGCGACTATAGTTGCTGGCTTGTAGGGGTCCAAGATCAATCTTGGGCTGCTCACTGTTAGTATGGCTCTTGATACGCATGAATGCGATACTTGCCTCAGATCTCTCGCTTCGCTCGTTGAAAGGGCTGTTCTCATTGTGTTTGTAGAAGGTTGGCTTGGACTCAGTTGGCAGAACCTTAGCAGTGGGAGTGACTGGAGTATCGAGGTTCTTCTTCTTCCTAGGTGGAATGTCCACAAGCTTGACCATGCCCGGAGTGATCCTAGTGAATGTCATCGCCGTCGCAGTGTGCACTGTGGGCTCCTCATCAAGATCGATGCTGCTGCGAAGCGACACTAGATCTTCATCGTCCTCATCGTCTTCGATGTCATGGTGGTTGCACTGATGTGAATGACCCGGCTCATCGTGGACGACGTTGCGTTTCCTCATCTCCTCGAAGTCCTTTTTCATCTTTTCATGCGACACCTTCAACGCAGCTGTCTCCTTATCTAGCTTGAGCCTGTCCGCGTCAAACTTATCCAGTGTAGTCTTGCGTGCCTCGAGGTCCTTCTCGACTGCATCAAGAAGATGATCTTCGACTTTCTGCAGAGGGCCTCGGGCGCGTACGACTGCGGGAGGTTGCCGATTCACGACACGGTTCATATCGACCTGCGTGCCAGGGTGCATGTTGTGCTCTTCCTTGTCCACCGCTCTTTCCTCGATGGTCTCTTCTGAGGGGGATAGATCATCATCCTCCAATTCGTACCTGACCTTGGTGGTGAGCGTGGATTCAGGGTGCGACCGAGGCAGTATAGGCGCGCTATAGGGGGGATAATCATGCTCGTACTCAGAGATAACATCTAGCTCAGTGGCATGTTCGCTGTTGCGGTACGCGGTACCATGCTCGTCGTGCGAGGCCTCGGTAATGGGTGACATTCTGTCTAGCGACTTCGGACCTTTCTTGCGCATACGACGTTGGGATATTGGGCTCGGAACTGGCTGGGCCAGGAGACGGCGGTCGTGGAGTTCGGTATCACTGCTATAGCCATCCTTAGTATCTTCCTCTGAATGACGCGGAGGTGAAGCCGCTGCGTGCTTTTGGGTCATTGCACGCTTTGAGCTGGACCCCAGCGACGGAAGGAGGTCTAACATCTTCATAGCTTTCTTGTTGCCGCTTCCCCAGGAGAACTTGTTAGACTTTGGCGGGTCAGGCTCGACACCCTCCTCCCTAAACTTGGTTTGCCTGCTCATGGCAGAATCCTTGATTCTGGTCAGCAAGGGCATAGAAGACTTCTTCAGCAACACCGGTCGTACCGGTGGACCATCATAGATGCCATCATATCGGCTGTGGCTTGCGGGAGCACTGCCAACACTAGGCGTATCAGGGCCAATACCCAGGACTTGCGCGGCTTTGCAAGGCGTGACGGGAGGCAGCGGGGAGGTGGGCATGGGAGCCGTATGCGAGCTCGAGGGGCGATCATGGTCTTTCGATTTCAAGCTATCGAACAAACCATGTTTTTTCTTGCTCTCGCTTCCCGTCGTCGGCGTCGGCGAGTCGGCAGCCGAGCTGTTGGTGTAGGAGGTGTTGGATGGTCGAGATTTGGGAGACGGACGAAAATCAGTCGGAATACCCGCCGTCGGGGGATAGAAGTTCATCGTCGAAGAAGGTTCTTGAGAAGTTGCACCAGTTGGGTCTTCATCTCGATCCGCATCTGCAACCAAGGCCGTAGCCACACCACTTGCACTACTCACCAAGCTCGCAGTCGCTGACTCTGGGCTAAGCGTAGGCGTAGTATTCGAACGAGGCAACTGATTCGAGCGACGAATCAAGCGGCGTCTCTGACCGCCAACGACGACCGCAGGACCGCGCTTAGGCGGGGGATTGGGATTGAAGTCCGCCATGATGAAAACAAACGAATCCTAGGAAATCGCTGGCAAAATGCGGGCTGCTTTGGCGAATAGCGATTCGAAGACGCAGCGCGAACGAAGTGCGAATATAGCGGTGGGTTGCGTCGTGCAAAGCGAGTGGTCAAGCGTGTCGAATGCTACCGACGAGTTTGTTGTTGTCGAGTCACCAGCAAACGGAGCGCGTGAGCCAGTAGCGCCCGGACTGGCGACGGTGAATGAGGAAGGCGCGGCATGAGGATGACGTTGCGGAACAATAGCAATCCAGCAATAAACCGAGGTGAATGGGAACTGAACTACAAGTAGGCTTGAATGTCCCTGGCCCATCACGGCTGTGTAGTTTGAAGCGCATTGACTGACAGAGATATCCTCGCGAACTGATCATGGGAGTAACTTGTGACAGTGTGTAGTTTCGTAGGCAAAGAGGCGACCGTGAGAGATGACAGATAGTAAAAGTGGAGGTGGAATCAAGGTGATGGACACTGGAGGGGCACATGTAGAATGAATGAATGATAAGAATACTCGCACAAACCGAGAACAAATTCTGGGGTATCGAATGCAACCGCAACCGTGCCACCGCCCGTGTACTATCCGCCGCTCTGTGCCCTGATCTCAAACTTGACGTCACGTAACGCCCATGCGCCGTGATAAAGTAGAGCTGCATGGTTGAAAGGACTCTAACAGTTGAGCATGTGGACATAGTTTCGGCCCCTGGAGCATCCCGAAATTATACAGATATTTCTAGACAAAGAGAACCAAGTAACCCTATTGTCCTAGGCCTGAGCCCCGTCTTCCGGCAATTTCGGCGAGCTTAGCATGGCAACATGTGCACTCACTCCACCGCTTCCACTCCTTGCCCTGATAGTCTTTGGTGACGTCGACGCACTCCTGTCAAACGATTTCCTAAGTCCCACTTCGCTGAGGTTGGCGGATCGTGTTTCGGGAGAACTCGTCATCATGCTCTCGCCAAGCATGGTATTGGTCCCGCCCAGAGACTGCAGTGAATCCGGCTCGTTGCTTGACTTTGTCGTCTTGCTGCTTGGGCTTGCACCAAGACCTCTATGAACCTCCATAGGTGTAGCATGTGGTGGGAAGTTGAGGAACTCAGAAATCTCGGCATCAGTCGTCCCTTTCCCGCCAGGGGTCATTGGGACTGTCGGCGAAGTGGGACTCAGGGGGCTCCTTGGATTATTGAGTTGCAAAAACTTCTGAAAAGCGTTGCGATCATCCACTTCATCCTCTTCATCACTCGTGCCATCAAAGTATCTATCCCAATCTGCGGGACCTATGCTGCGGGAAGAGTCACTTGTATTAGCTCGTTGGGGGATCTTGAGACTTGGTTTCTTGAGCGGTGCTAGTTCGTCAGCTACCTCCCTCATTTCGCTTTGCGTGCGCTCAATCGGCGGGCTTGAGTCTTCCTGCCCTTTGACATGCTCGCCATCTTCTCTGACGGGCACTTGTACGCCGGCAGCGCGGTCTATGGCGGGCTCGTCCTCGTCGCGTGTTTGTGCAGAGTACGTGTCGGCGAAGTGCGTGTCACAGAGATGCTTGATGACAGGCCAACCATAAGCGTTAGCAAACATCCGGCGGACGATCATGTTATTGTGCGCATCAGGCTCAAGCCGGACCAAGACCTTGCGCCATGAGAGGTCCTTGTGGTAAGCGCGTGCAATCTTCTCCTCGACACGCATCACACCCTCGTCAACGCTACCAGCATCAGATTGAGAAGTGGTGCTTTCAACAGAGAAGGAGCGTCCTGACGCCTTCTTCCTAGGTGGGGGTGGAATATCCTCAGGATGATATATACGATCGTGAAAGATTGTACGTGCCCGGGTCGAAGGATCGTTTATCCAAGATTGGGGAGGCACGGGAGGGTTGATCAGGTCGCCTGCGGACTCAAAGATCGTCGTTTTTGGTGGCGCCAGCATGCTCTTTTTATTGTTCACTACAGAGTCGCCACGGGTCGCTTGCGGCCTCTTCCTTTGTTGAGTACTTTGGGAGGCAGATGCTTCTGCTTCCGCTTCTGCTTCTGCTGCAGCGTCCTGTTCTTCATCGTCCTTGAAAATTGTTTGGCTGCGCTTGAACATCTTCTTATCCCTCGCTGTATGCTTTCCCGTAGGACGAATATAGCTCCACCACTGCATCAATGTATTCTGTGGCTGGAAGTACTGATCGCTCATTGCACTCCCGTCGGGGTCCTTCTTCTGCCCGTCCAGGAATTGGTGAGCGGTGGGCTCTGCTGCAGCTTGCGCTTCATCATCTTGGTTGGTGACATCAGCACCTGGTAGTGGCACGGTCATATCGTCTCCATTGTAGGACGGGGATTCGGTGCCTTCGCCCTCGTCGTCGGAGAATCCGACTCTCGATGGGTTTGGTGACGAGCTCTGCCCCGTCAATTGTCCAAAGCCCCAAACAGCCACCGACCCGATCAGACCATTTTCTCTTCGCGCTTTCTCAACTCTGCCGATACCTCGCCAGTCCAAGAACAAGAGACAGCTTGTGCGCAGTGGCACAATTCCATCGTTGACAACATTTGAGTATAGAGTCCGGTTTCGGAACATGCGCAGCACTACATGGGCTGGTCCAGTGGGGAGAATGCGAAGAAGAGGCTTCGCCCCAGGGTCCTGGTGGTTCTGTTGATTCTGAGATTGAGCGCCGAATCCGCTCACCATAGCAGTCCAGCCGCTCTTTACCAACGTCGGAGCTCTCCAGGTTAGACCAAGATCTTGTCCGGTCCTACCCACAAGACCAAAATCTAGGGCGAACTTGATGTACATGGGATTTTCATTACTCAGACCCAACATGGGAGATGCCATAGCAATAAAGTTGATGGGCTTGATATTCTCGAAGAACTGCGGCGAGTGCTTGTAGATATAGGCGATGGCGTATGTCTGAACAAGGCCTCCAAGAGAGTGACCAATGAAGCTTATGCTTGTGAATTTGTAGGCTCGTTTCGGCTGAGGTGTAGATGGCGCTGGTCGATGTACTGCGCTCCCTTCATGTGCCGGGATACCTTCATCAGGCTTGTCCTTGGCCGGGGAGAAAGTTGCGGAAAGCTTCTGTCCTACTGACTTCTTGAAGGGTAGAAATGGTTGATCGGGGTACGTTAACCGAAGCACATGCTTCGCTAAGCGCTTTCCCAGATACTGAATGCCGCGCTCTGTACGTATCACATTGCCGTCGAACCCTCGAACTATAACCTCCTCTTCGTCGTCGTCCTCGCTTTCATCAGCTATGTCCTCTTGACCGCCCGACAAAGGTGCTGTGGAAATATCCTTTCCCTTTTCCTTGCTGATATTTTGTCCTCGCGCTTCCCGCCGCCGTCTTCGTCGGCCTTCGCGCGCTTGCCGAGCTGTAGCATCAATACTCTCCTTGAGATAAAGCATGTCTGCCCCGAGATTGCTGTGCAGACCATGAGTCACGAGTACAAGGTGGACATTCTTCTGCTTTCGATCGTGGCCAACCTGTTCGTGATGGATGTCTTTCGACTTTCGCTTATCGGTGTGATCTTCCTCGTGTTTGTACTCCGGCAGTTCAGGCTTGTTCCACAGACTCGTGGTGTCATCTACGACCAATTTGACAGCCTTGGAATAGATTCCTTTAGGTTGGGCGGGATGGTGAGAGGTGTGTTTTCTAGTCCCTTGCTGATGGTCTTGGACCTTGCCTGGCACTCCATGACTGTTTCCAGTAACAGCTGTGAAGCCCAGATCTAGTGATCTTTCGTCACGAGCCAGCAGCAGCTCGTAGTTGACAGAGGCCGAGTTAGAGAAGATGATCTGGGAGGCAATCTCAATGATCCAGGTCGCACTCTTTGGTGAGCCATCCTCATTCCTGCCCACTTCGCCTCTAATGTGCTCTGGCACAGTCAGTCTGGTGTTCCAGTATCCACCAGCCTTGACATTTGGTTCAAACTCAGGGAAGCCGTAGACTTTGGACGCATCGTCTTTCTTATTTGGGTTGAAGGTAGAGGGATATGCGGAGACATGGATCGTATAGGGTCCATGGAGGTATGCGGCGCGCAGAGGTATCGCGGAGGTGTTTCGTATGCGGATATGGAGAAATGAGGGAGACGGTAGTATTCGATCTTCGGACGGCGTGTATGTGACTGTGTATCTGCACGACGTTTAGCACTCGTCGGAGGCGTTGAATACCCCAAGAACTTTTTCCACTTGCTGCTCAAAGGCTGCGAAAGTCCTCGAGACTATTCATCCGACGCGACCTCAGAGCTTACCTCACGACCTCGCCCACTTTCACACTCCCCGTCTGGTGGAGCAACAACATGCTCCGCGCACGCTGTTCCTCGGCTTGCAGTTCCTTCCGCGACTGTGTATAGAGGAAAAAGGAGGGTTCAGGACGTTTGCGGCCCTCGTCGGGAATTTGGGCGAGGGAGTAGGCGCGAGGCGTGAGCAGCATCTAGCGGATCTGGCGGACTTCGGTAGAGCCAATGGCGGGAGCCGCGAGCGCGTCATAAGTCATCGGTAGTCAGTTTCTGATCAGATAGTTTCTGTGGAGCCGGAAAGGATTCGTGGGGCCATCGAGGATAAAATAGGATGTTAAGAAGATGGTCACGCAGAGTGCGTTCGCTGGACGCTGCGTCATTGCTCGCGTGGTCGGGCATGGCGCGCCGCACGAGGCCCACACCACGTACAGGTGGAGTGGAGTGGAGTATCCCACGCCTTCAACCAGCAGCCTCGCTGATTCGACTTTCGCCTGCTCGCGAGAACGATTTGCAACCTCCATATGCAGCCTATGGCGCGACATGTGTACTCGGGAACATGTGCGCCTCGTCGGAACGTATCCTAGCCGGGTTCCGACCTCACCTTTGCCGGGCTTGATACCGCCCTCACCACACTCCCTCTCTCTTGCCAACCCATCGTTTATAGCCGAGTGCGACAGGATGAGGATTGCGACGCCATTTTTGTATCATGCATTCCGACGTTTCCATCAGTGTAAGCCTCTAGACTATGCCCCGCAGAACCATGGAGGTCTTCAATACCACATGTAGCTACCTATGAAGAAGGTATTGGGCTTCAAGATAGTTAGGTTACTTTGACAATCAACGAGACTACTTCATACCTTCGAAAGCCCTGGAGAGACTCTGGACACGGTTCTCGTAAATACTGGATCCAGTAGGACGGCGCCCCACAATTTCTTTTTCAGTTTTGGCAACGATCGCACAGTAGCCCAGACGCCTTCACGACACCACAGGGAGAAACGCATCAGACCTGAAAATAGCTAGCTTGCTGCGAGACACCGCTGATATGTCTGTATCCTGCGCAACTCATATAGGCGGATCTAGAGTAGATATCAGACTCTGCTTCCCTCCTCAAATTATATTTAACGCAGTTACTATCTTTCTTATTAGTGGTCTCTTCGTATTTTACGGGTCACATTGTGTTTTCGCTCTTTTTTACATTACAATGCTTCTTGGTTTAATATTCTTCCAGCTTTTGCTTTCTTTCAGGCACTTTACCGGACGTTAGATAATGCACTAGAGAAGAAAAACAGTGTAGCCCTATAACTCCTGAGTGTCCTCGAGTCGACTATAGAAGTTGACATGGTGAGTCTTTCATGGAGGTCACAAAAAACAGGTATTGTGGATATATCGAGCCAATTTGGAGAGTCTGTTAGTCTTATCCTCACTCATCTCACCACCTTTTTTACATCCAGGTTAATTACGGTTTGTTTCTTCATCTCTCACATCCAAGCTTTTTGTATTTACCTCAGAATTCATCTATTATTTTATTTACACTGGCCAGCAGCTACTTTTGAATAAGTAGCATCGTCTCAAGACGATCCATCGCCGCCTGAATTGCGGTCACCAGGAGAGTCTTAACCCTTCTGCTGGGTAGGGGATCCAGCAGAGCCGCCAGATCCAGGGTTCCTTGGTGTTGGAGATCCAGCAGATCCAGGACTTCTAAGAGTTGGGGACCGAGCAGTCCCGGGGCTTCGAGGAGTTGGGGATGCAGGAGGGCTGGGATCTCGAGGACTAACAGAACTAGGAGAGGTCGGAGCTGGACAATGTTAGTAACTACCAAGGGAAGGGGAGGATTGGTGTCACTTGCTCTTGCCCTTGTTGGACGGTGTTGAAGATTGGTAAGGAGGTTCGAAACCACTGTCGCCCTGGCCTTCGTATTCCTCTTGGACACCTAACCTCAGTTAGTCATAGACCTCAACGACGTCACAGCGGCGAGTGAAACACTTACCCTCCAGTACGTTCTCCTCGTTCATGGGCTCATGCCTACGCACACAGGCCTGCTCCTCCTCAATGATCTCGTCAATGTGCCTGTCTGTCGCTCGATCCCAGTCGCGCTGCGGCTGACCAGCCAGCAAGTTCACGCGTCGACCATGTGTTGCACCGAGCTCATAGACAGGGTAGCCGGTTTCCGCTTCGTAACGAGCTTCACCATGCGTACAGCGCATCCACTTACCGGGGGCGGGCTGGTTGAGACGGTGAACTAGGTACTGACTCTGGCTGGGGTTGTTCCAGAGGGTAGTGCTCCAGTACGCGGTTTGTGCTGTCTTACCATCACCGCGGTTGCGAGCGCGGGTGACCTTAGGGGGTGGTGATAGCTTGGAGATGGCGTGCGTTGGACCGCCTTTGCCTGGGTCGTTACCGCCTGGTGGAGGAGGTGGGGCTGAAGTGGCCATCGTGTAGTTGAGGTGCTAATGAGGGAAGGTGTAGATCTTGCTGAGAGTTGGTATACCGGTGATTTATGCGGTATATAGGAGTAGTCGACTGGTGGAGGTTGCTGTCGGTGTGGAATAGTACTCAGAAAGAGCGAAACGGCGGTTTATATGGTACCAGGGAGTGAGGACTGTCCGTTTGCTCAGCTCTCACCGAGGATTTTCTGTCATTCCTTTCGACTTCCACCGAGAGATGCTGCGGAGAAGCGTTGCGAAGCGATAGTGAGGGAGAGTTGCTGAAGTTGTTCGCAAACGAAGAACGGGTGAATACAACAGGCGAGCAACCGTGAGAGACTTCCGAATGTCAGGATTGTAGAGAACACCGACAAGAGAAGACTGATCGAGGGAGTACCAGATCCCAGAGAGTGGAGATAGATCCCCTGAGTACACTTGAGCAATACCATGTTAACTAGTCCTCATTGTCCTACTGAGCTCTCGGAGGCTCTGATTGACATTATATCCCTCTCCGAGCTTGCTATAAGGGTGCGAGTGACCCAAGCAAGCGGCAATCGTTCACGCTAATCCATTTGTCTCTTACACGGTTATCAAGCCCTCTGATCAAAGAGATTATGCCAATGCAAGCTTTTCAATATATGAAGCGGGTTGTGCAAGGGACTAGACAAGTGCAGAATGGGTAGGGGCCGGGTTTGCTCTTCATACACGATTCACGCTCAGCGGGAGGAGCGAGTACATACAACACTACCATTCCATTTGACAAGTTTGCAATTCCCAGGGAACTAAGCGGGAAATTATATACGTAAGTTGGAGCTACCACGAGGCTTCGGTGCTTATATGTAGCCAACGTCTTCATTGAGGAAAGTATCGAAGCAGCCGTCGGCTCGCGATGTCTATCACACGCGGGGTCAACAAGAGCATCATCACTGGTGTAATCGAGCTAGTCATCGCTATCGGGCATGTTCCTATCCGCAAAAGCTTGCTCACTGTTTAGCCTCACTAGAGCGATTGATGTTGAGAGCTATGCTAATAACAATTGCTGTACCGCACGACGCCCTACATAGTCTAGAGCTTCAAGAGTACCCTAGTACAAGCGCTCAGACAACTCGATAGCTCTCTTTCTCTCAAGCTCATCAACCCTCGCGTTAGTTACCTACACTGTTTCCAAAAATAGAGGAAACGATAGGCCAGTGGCAGTTTCTTTATTGTATAGATGTTCTGTCTCTGTTTGAAAGTAAAGCTAACAAGAGAAGAACGGATTATACAATGTAGTAGTATAGATATTATGTAGTTGCTAACACACAAAAGAAGCAGAGATGGCAACTTTAGATCGTAGTAAGACTCGAACGTAGGCGGCATGTTAATGGTGAAAAAAATTGCAAAAAAAGGATAATCGCTTTGGCGGTACTGGGAACTGTAGACATGTTAGAGATGTCTCAGGACCGCCATTGTGTGATATAACGTACTCGAACCCAGGCTGGCGCGGATCTGGATCGGGTTCATAATTGAACCGCCAGCCACAACGCGACGTCATACCACTAGACCATACCACCGTGGTATTTCTGATTTATGGACTTTTTGGAAATTATCTGGTCTATTATGGCACTCAAAAAGGTCATTTCCAATTTTTATCAGGTCCATAGTTGATTTTGAGCCAGAAACTTTTTTTCAAAAGCGGAAGGGCGGGGCTGTGGTGGTCTGTGCGCCACCAGAGGTGGGGCTGGTTTCCATTCGAGACCAGCACTTACACTTTCATTGCCCAATCACTTGATGCCTCATGCAAAGCGTGCAGCATAGCATGTCAGAAGGTATGTGATCAAGCTCGCAAGCACTTTGCTTCTGAGGTGATATTTCAGATTTGGTTGATAGCACTCAGCTCATTTTAGCACATGTGGTGGGCAATCACTAATCCTTTGTGTACCTAATATCGCTGACTGCATCTTACCGGATTGCTTGCACATTGGACAACCCTTGCTAAGTTAAGCACACAGAACAACCCCGGCGCCGGTCGCGCGGCACACAGCCCCAGTCATATCGTTTCGAGGACGAATACTCATTCCTGGACGAAGACGGCTCTGGACCCTCAGGTACACAAACACCCAATTTCCAGGAAGATCCACAGGACGACGGTGATGATTTCATGCCCGACGTTCAAGAAGAAGAGCAGGAGGAAGAGGTAGACGATGACGTTGACGAAGGAGAAGATGATGACGACGAAGAGGACGAGGAGGACTCCGATGAAGAGTTTAACCCGCCAAGAAAGCACTCCGCTCGCGACATTAGCGTTATGGAAGTCGATTCCATCCAGGAGCCATCTACTCCCAATAGCAAGGGCAGGAAGAAATTTACAGATGACGTGAGATCACCGATTGCCTTCTCCAAGGGTGGCGGTGTCAAAGTGCCTACTGTGGACAACGATAGACTGCGCACTCGAGGCATTGCGGACTTTAGCAAGATCGGTGGACAGGAAATACGGCTGAAACATCTATTCGGGCCAGGGAGCGAAGCTCTCAAACCAGTTCTAGCAACGCGTGACTACTGGTATAAACAAGAAACCCTGCCTCTTCGACAGTCTGGCGGCTTAAAGAGAAGCTTCTTCGAGAGCCAGGACGCAAGAGAAAGGGAAAACAGGGTGACAAGGAAGTGGTTCGCTGATACTGGAAAGGCTGCATTTGCGATAGGGCAGAAGAGCAGAAAATTGAACGCAGAGGAGGGACAGTCGTATCTGGCAAGTGCCAGACCCAACTCTTTGAATATACTCTCTGGTATCGTCGATGAGCCTCACTTGACTTCCCTAAAGAAGGGCTCATTTGTCAGCGTTGCAGAACCATTCAAAGAGAGCAAGGACAGACCAGGGTGGTTGTTCAATCTTGGGGCACGGATACAAGAAGCACAATGGGCAGCGAACGAGGAAAGTAGCACGCAATATCTTGCCGTCGCTGTCGAGCAAGAGCCGACTGGTCGTCAGTCGAAGCCAATGGAAAATCCGAAAGCGCCAGCCTTCACAGCAACACATTCCTACCCCGCATCAATTCAGATCTGGAGTTTCGAGGCCACCAAGGATGGAGAGCTCGATATTGCAAAGGAGCCACGACTAGAATCGGTAATTTGCACAGACTGGGGCGCACCGAAACACTTCAGATGGTGTCCCATACAAGCAACAGATGGATCTGGGCTCTCGTTTAACGATACAACTGTGCACGTCGGCCTACTTGCGGCAATCTGGTCAGACGCTCGAGTTCGTATCCTAAATGTCTGCATCCCGAAGTCCGATGTCAACACCACGAAACCTCTCTATCTCCACTACTCACGCGCAGCATTCGATATATCTTTGCCAATGACGATACCAACATGTCTCCATTGGTTGTCAGGAACTTCACTGGCTGTTGGCACCGCTGCAGGCACAGTAGCAATCTGGACATTGACTCAGCCCGGCACCTTTGCGTCCGTGGAGACTAATAGATCCAGCCCGAAACCTTGGTTTTACCAGCACCTTGCTGATACCTACATTCTCACCATTTCCTCTGGTTGGCCCTCTCAACCACAATTTCTCTCGATAAGCATCGCCGACGGCTTTGCACGACTCTTCGATCTTCGCAGCCCAAACGCAGATTACACTGCTTCAATACGCGGGCGGACGCTTTGCGTGACCCAAGCATGGCACGAGCAAACACAGTCTTTTGCTATGCCGGATGAGCACTATATTCTCAAGCACAACCCAGTTCGTCGGTATTACCACAACCTGTACAGTATGCGATCTGAGAGCAGTATCACCCGAATTGCAACTAGTCCGGTGCATCCAGGTGTGCTTGTAGGCGGGGTAGATGGGGCGGTAGAGGTCAGTAATCCAGTTGGGAGAATCACGAACTACAAAGTTATTCCGTGGCAGCAAAAATGGTTTGTTCATGAGTGGAGAAGACCGGTGGAGCAGCTGGTGCTTCCGACTGCTACGCCTGAAGAAGACGATGCAATGGTGCAAGATGCGCCTGTTGAGGAGCTCTCTAGCTCTGCAACACATGATGAGAATGGCATGGTTCCTTCTGGATTTACGTCGCCAAACGTCTCACAATCGGTACTTTCCCAGCCCTTAGTCCGTATCACAGAAGGATACAAAGCGACTCAACCAGGTATCCAGCACTCCATCATGTCGAAGAAACCAACAAACCCGGAGATCGGCAAAGGTATCACTGTGTTCGAGGAGCCGTCTGCCATTACAGCGCTGGCATGGAATCCAAACTTGAAATTCGGAACATGGGCAGTCGCGGGTATGGGGTCTGGCCTGCTACGTGTGGAGGATGTTGGTGTCTGAGTAAACCATACTGAACATACACTGTCGCTAGGGTGAGAAGTGTACGAATGATGGTGTGAACTGGACAGAAAAGAAATGAATCACTTCGTGCTATCGTCTCGGCGCTACTGGCTCGTGCTTAGTGAAGGTTTTCAGGCGTTCGTGGTGGGGTCTATTTCTGGCAAAGCTTTTTTTTAATGTTCAGCAAAAGAAATGTGGATAACATTGGCGCACTCCACGTAGAGATTAGACGTGCTTCACGAATCACGCGTGCAAAGCCAATGTGGCGTTTGAGCTCAGGTACGTTGATCTAGAGATATTATAGTTTCGTCCGCCTGCAGCAAAGGCGGTTAAGCGTGATTATCTGTTTAGACAATCTTCGACGATCATGAAGATCAATAAGGGACTATGAACATTCTGGAGATAGTGCGCTTGCGCGTTCGGACTCGGGTCTTATAAGGCCCAGAGCCACTAGCTGCAATATGGATATCCAAGAAAAGTCCGACCACAAACAACAAGTGCGAGGCCACCCATCAGCACACCGCATGTTTCGAGTGTGCGCTCACCAGAAGTAGAAACCTGCCGAAGGATCTCAAACCGATGTGCAAAGGTCACAGATCGTCGCAAAATAAACATACCCAATGAGCACGTTTCAATCACTATCCCGACGATGTGGAAGAGCAACCCAAGCCTAAAATAGCCGGCAATTACAGCAGTTCTTGCTGTCTTCTTCCAGTCATAAGCTGCGAGTGAGAAGAGCTAGGAACTCCGACTTGGTAAAGCAGTGCATAATCAGCTGAATCAAGGCTTCTGTCACCCCCCAAAGGCCCAACTGAGGCTATATGATTGCCAGGCAGGTTAATTTCATTGTCGGCGCTGGGGTGTTCAAGATGTACCGACTTTACCGTGCCAGACCAGGCCCGCATATGAACTTGACGTACAAACTACGTTTTTTGAGTATTGAATTGCGGAACAAGAATGATAACATAATAGCGCGAACAATTCTCCGAAGATTAAAGTCCCGAAGCTAACGGCAATGCCTAGTAAGGCAATTACGGCTCCATAGACGAGTGCGCTAGGCCCCTAATAAGCCAACGCAGTGTTTGTGTGGCCGTAAGTTTGTTTTTCTGCTAGGCACGCTAGCTGCATTGGGCAATCTGGCGAGCTTTCTCCATGTTCTGCTGCGGCTTACTCGGTGTGCAGATCTTTCGGTTACCCAAGAGTCAAAAGGGCCGACAAATGGGGCCAAATCCACCCTGGGTCGTAGGATGGTGCATACATAGAGTCAGAGCGAATGATTAGTTGTGACTAGATATGTAAGGCCCCAAAGAACACGTGATTTAGAACCCCTTTACGTAGTGAATAGACATGGATGAATGCTGTAGGAGCTCAAGCATCATCAGCTTGCACCGCCACTTTCTCGCCGGCCTTAAGACACGAATACGAGATATCCTTTTGGGATGTAAGCGGACACTGATAAATGGTACATTTGCTCATGTATATAAACCCCTTCTCCTGTTACTCTACATCCGCACAACTCCTCAGCTCAAGAAACTCAGTCACCTTACACTCTATCATCCCAACTTCAAGAATCTCTCCCCTCTTCAGGATGCATTTCTCCATCACTTCCGCCGTCGCCATCATGGCTGGTCTCTCTGCTAGTGGATCCGCCTTCGTCCTTGACACCTTCTCAGGCCCCAACTGCGACCGTGTCGTCCAAACAGATGTCAACGTCTGGGACCACACCTGTGCGACTTGGCCTGAGGGTTTCCAGTCTTTCAAGATCAAAACTCGGGGGGGTGCTACTCAGAAAGCGTACTTCTTCGGGCCGGATAACTGCGGAAGCATTCCTGGCGCTGTCGGTAGTGGCTTTGTGGGTGCCGACTCGAAGGACTATACACTTGGACGCTGCTATGCTTTCAACGGTGCGTCAGTGAATGCGATTGCTTCGTACGCTGCTTAAGAGTATGGAAGTTCAACAAGGTATGTATTAATGTTCTGATGGCCGAAGAGAAGCTGACTGTTTCCTTAGATTGTAGTAGCATTGTGGATTGTCTTGGGGAGGAGGCGTGGAAAGAGAAGATTTCGTTCGTTTTGGAGGGTTTTCACGGACTCTCATGTACCTCTTCTTTTATTAGTCCAGTATGTTGGACACTTCCCATCATAGGATAGCAATATAAGCAACTAGAATTTAGCTATTTCCCAGACATACACTTTGGCGATTGCAACGTTCATTGTCGTTGGGCTATTAGTGACATCAGCTTCCGATGGTGTATGATACATGTTGCCTTTATGCAGACCGAGCTCGGAGAGATTTACGGGTCTTTCTGTTTATGATAAGGCCCAAAGCTCGATTACAGTGCCTCTGTTCTGCATCGGTGAAATCGGTGTCCTTGGCTATCATCCACACAAACAGCGCGAGAAAACAATGAAAACTCCCCAACTGGGCCACCTCGGGGGGCGGTACGACCGGAATACCGACGATACCAGCTATTTCACCTCTACCGAGGCGCTCATGTTGGCGTTTATAGCTTTCAACGTCGTCCGTTTCTATAACTTGACAAACTACCTGTACCTGCTCTTCTCCGACCTGCATCACATGGAACCGCTTTTACGATTTGCAGAGAGCTCTCCGAGCTTTACAACTTTTCTTCTCTCTCTCACATGGAATCGCAAGTGCACTCTAGCACTACGGATGAAAAATGTGCATCCTCAGATCGAGCATGTCGCTGACTTCTCCTGATCTCCAGTCTTGATCGACTCCCATTTCTCCTTGAATTCGATTCGGAACGAGGTCTTGGACATAGAGCTTAGAGCTTGGTTTCTATAAGAAGATCCTTGGAATTGTAAGCTTAGAGATAGCTTTTAAATATATACTATCTCTTTCTTATTACTTATTTCTTGTTTGAACGTACGTCAACACTAGCAAGAGCAGATCATACAACGCAGTAGGAGAAATCAGTATAAAACCACAGTTCAGGTGCTATACCCAGCACCTTAACACAGTTCTTATTACTTATAGTATAAAGTAAATACTATTGCCTAAAGCTACCCCTAACAAATATACTAATTCTATATATAGTATTTTACTATTCGGACCTCAGAGAATTAATCGCAAGAGGAAACTACCTGAGAAGGGGCAGGAGAACGCACATGAATACGAGCACGAGGATGCGCACGATGGGAACAAAGTTGGGTACGCAGTCGGACGCGGACGTGAGGATGGTGAATTTGCGCTAGGCCGAGAAGGCGCAGAAGCTAGTGCAGGTGCAGGGACCGCGAAGCAAGAGACGGTAAGCGGGAAACTAGAAACGGTGAACGGGAGCCTGATAACACGCTTCAGCATCGATAATTCTTATCTATATAAAAGAGCTTGTACATAAGTCTGAATAATAATACTATATTTATCTAAAGCCCTTTACTGTACGCTATTCATTTATAGATACGTATGTAAGATTATCGTCGCGTCGTCGCGCTAAGCTCGTGAAGAGACGGACAAAGCACGCAACTCCATCCCTACTTCTACTTCCTTGATTTGCTTTTCGATGACGAATCCACATTTGGATGACAAATATCCGCATCACTGTTGAACGGTGCTCTTTCTCTACCGCTCAGTGTCCTCTCTTTGACGCTCAACTTTGGTACCGCGTGCGATTAGTGGCGGTCACGCCGGAAATCTGTTGCGCGGTACGCTAGCTATCAAAGTAGGCAGAGTGGCAGGGCAGGACCTCACTATCTAGCCTACATTCCTCCACCAGTTTATCTTCAAGCCCCTAAAATTATCCTCAATCAACATTCGTCTATACGTTCCCTGACGTTGTCGCCACCGACGCAGATATTGCTCCGTGCCATGGCTCAGTGGCTCTGTCGACGCTTCGAGAGGCTCTTTCGGCAGCCATCCCCTCCGTCGGATCTGGGAAGGTTCGCTCTTCCTGCAGAGATAATCTTGATGATCACGTCGCATCTTGATGGTCTTTCCACAACATTCCTCGCCTTCACTTGCCGAGATCTATATAGCCTCTGTACTCCTGGACAGCTGGTGTTGACTCCGGCGGAGAGGACCCAGCTATTGCAGTACCTTGAGGACAACATCGCTGATGCTTATTTCTGTCGGTATTGTGGGACACTGCATCGCTGGCACGGGTACTGGAGTCATCCTATCTTGCGCTGGATCTCAGAGCACACACCGCGCCAGCATGGCGGAGATGACATCTATTTCTCACCATTCATCCAAATCCCGTTTTCGCATGCGCACTTGGTCATGAAACGACACTTTCGCGGCTGCGAACACGGTCCACTTCCAACCTTCCTCGACAAGCAAACACATACGGAATATCACAGAAACGGTGTCAAGCAGTCCTCAGCTCGTCACGCACGCATCGTCCATGATCAATTGCTGGTAATAACAAAGATCATCATTTCTCAACGAGAACGCGATTCGAAGAGCTTGCGAGAGAATATCAAACATACATGTCGACCCATTTGTTGGCATCTGTATGCATCTCGTGACCCTCTGTTAACGCAGTCCCCCAAGCTTGCCATCCAGGCAGATACTCCCGAAGCATCCCCCCTTTCGGACGATTCAACTCGGTCGTGTCCAATCTGCCACACAGACTACAGTATCAATGTATTTTGGCAAGGCCAAAGCGAAGGCTACGTTGTCGAGATATGCATCTATAGCCAGCTGGGCAGCTGTCGATCGCCACTCGATTGGAGCTGGCTGACCATGGCCTGCCCACGAACAGACGAGAGGTTTCGAGTAGAGCTCGATGAAAGATTTGGACCCGGTTCCGTGAGGAGACTCTGGCATGAAGCTGACGGTCATCCAGTTCTGCCAGATGCTAAATGGATAGACATGTTCGAGGAACTGCTTGTCATGTTTCGCAGGCGCGGAATGGGCTTGCATCAGTCATTTTCATCAGACCATCCAGCTATTCGGCTGAGAGACCGTTCCTATGGTTACAACTATGCTTACGAGCTTTGGAACCGACCACTTAGCTGGCATATTCCTCGGAAATAGGGCATGCTCGGCGTTATGCTGACGTCTTGAGCTTATTCCCCGAAATATCCCGATGCAAGGTAGTGCTCCCCCGCCAGGCATGAAATGCTCTGGGTTGAGTGTCCGGGCTGATCATCTTACAAAACCGAAGGAAATTCAGCTGAACTGAACGCGCCTGGAGGTCGCTGGGCGGATGGAGGTAGACGCTAGTGTCCCATTTGGGCATAGCTCGTCTAGCGCTGTGCAATGACGATGCCGGAAACCTTTGAAATTGGGACAAACCACCATGCATACACTCATCAGCAAAGGATATTTCGCGAAACCAAGTTCAGCAATACTTGCCATGTACTTCAAGCAACTTCTTCAACGATCTTTCATCTTGCAATCCCTTTCATAGAAGGACCACATTGACCGCCAGAATCGTGCAACACAGCACGACATGAAGAGCAAGACTGAGAGCAAACTGCATGCGACATGCACTGCCACCTTTTCCCTTTCCAGCTAGCTACAGGCCAGAAGCCCCCATGCCGAGGCCACATGGCAGGCGTTTCGGTCAAGCACGAATCAGCCCTGTCCTAGCCTGTACCTAACATTCCCAAACCGGAATCCTTTGGGACGAGTAAGACCTGATTTACGCAGCTTATCCATCTATGAGTCCATGATGCGCGGTATTGTATGCTCGGGACATGTCGACCTGAAACGCGATCGCGTGTGCTCTCACAATTCTGTAGGTTGCGCGAGCTGTACAACAGTCATCTTTCTGATCCTTCCCAACTCAGTCTTGCATTCACATCCTTTCATCTGCCCGGATCAGTAGACAACATGGGCGCGAACAATTCCGTCCCGGCGGACTATAGTGTGCCAGCGTATACCATTCTGGCCATCGACGTCGTGTTGACTACAGCTGCGGTGGGAGGGCGAACAGCACCACGTAGACGTCGCCAGCAACTGATGATTACCTCTGCTACTTTGCATTTGTGAGCCTCCCCACTCTTTCATCATTTCCACATGTTAATGATATAGATCGCAAGCCTCGGCCTGTTTCCATCTGGGCTACTATTGACAGCCTTCGGGGCGCTCGACCTCCAAGATGTCTCGCAGCAAAGTACAAAGGAACAGAAATTCGTAACAAACACCACGCTATCGTTTGCCGTTTCGTACATTATCGCGATTACGCTCGTCAAGCTCTCGATCCTCTTCCTCTATCACCGCACGTTCACTCTACGTCAGAAGTGGTTCCGGTACTGCTGGTGGATGCTGATGACTCTGACGATACTATGGACTTTGGCGGGTCTGATACTGCTGGTACTACAAGAGATTGGCACGTTACCTAGATACGACTTTGGCAGGATAGCGGTGCCGACAACGGGGATCTTCAATGCCTTGTCGGACATGCTCCTCATGCTTCTGCCGGCTGTCATGGTCTCTCGGCTGAAGATGCGCAGAAAACAGAAGATTGCGCTGGTCTCGATATTCTGCATTAGCGGGGTGCAAGTCAACAGCTCGCAAATACATACAGCGCTTACATACGACCACAGTACCTCAACCGTCTCCCTTGTCCGGGGGACAATCTACTTCTACAATCGTTCCCACCGCCTCAACCCAGCATACATGAACTACCTCGACATCGTCCTGACCGCCACCGAATCCTCCGCCGGATTGATGTGCGCCTGTCTCCCCCTCACCAAACCCCTCGTCATCCGCTTCACGCGCTGGCTGCAGCGTATGCACAGCCTCGATACCAAACATCAAGGCTGGACGACGTACTCACAGTCTGGAACGGGAGAGGGAAGAAATAAAGGAATAATAAGAGTGGATGATTACTCTGTCCAGCTGCTCAGGGCATCGGACCCGGCGTTGTCGCAGATAGGAGCATTGAATGGACTTCACGAACGTGGATATGCCGTGGCAGAGTGTGGGACCGTATCAGACAAATGCATTTTGCGAGGCGAATGCGCGGAGGGGAACGCAGGAGGGATGTTACCATTTTCTGGAGGTGGTCGCCTTTCAGGGGAGGCAGGACTTCTGTCGGGACCGACGACTCTGGTACAAGTTTACGGAATTCGAGAAATATTGGACTGTTTTGGTCCTCAATTGAATCGAGGTCGAGGTTCATGAACTCGTTGTTCCATGTCATGACACTACACAAGAATGTTAACTGTGAATAAAGAAGATGTATATGTTCAGCAATAACAGCCCCGGGCCCTTCTAGCAGGTCTAGGCCATCTTCCATAACAGTGAGAAATATCCGGCTGTAAAATAGCCAGCGACTGGCGCCCAACCTCCCGATCCTTCATTAGTTAGTCACAATCCTTGCGGCAGTCGTCTGATGGGTCCTATCTGCCGGATTAATCATCAATGTTGTAACTTTACTGCAACATTACGACATGGCTTCATCGCGCCAATACGTGTCCACTTTGTCGAAACGCCCTCTTTCTAAGCTATTAAGAAACAGACTAGGACTAATTTGCTAAAATCCTAAGCAGCTACAGCGTAATATCTTTTTCTAACTTTTCTAATATTACACTCCGCGGCTATGTTTATAAGGCAGAAGAACTACTTTAGTTGTTTTTTATTTACAATTTTATATTTAGCTTTAATGCTAACCTAGCACGTATAGAAAAAAACAAAAAAGGAGACAACAAGGAAAGCAATACTATAAAAAATAGCTAGAGTAGAAAAGCAGAAAGCTAGCAGGGGTTTAGTAAAATAGAAAAAAATAAAAAAAACCTGCTAGGCAACTGTGTTATTTAAAGTTTTGTAAGTATAAGTAATAATTTACTTATATATTATAAGTATAATACAGCACTAACCTTTTAAGCAGGCTTAGCGTTAAATGCGCTTTTAAAAACATAGAATCCGCAAATTAAACTTTTCTCTTAGTAATTAGGTTGCTTTAAGTGCTAGATGTAGTGGGTTAAGCATAGCAAACTAGTAATATTCTATAATAGAATTAACTAGTTAATTATCCTTGTAGACAAATTTACTATATAATGCGTAAATGCAACAGCTAGCAAAAGCTTCTAAAGGTACAGAGGAGAGCGGCAATTCCTAGACCTAAAGGGTAGATAAGATGAGATAGTAAGAAAAGGCAATATAATTATGTCTACACAAGAGGGCACTAGCTTTGATGGCATGCTAAGTCACAGAAGGAGGTATAGTATGCAGGTATTACAAGGCCGTCCGCTGTAGTGGAGTATCTTATTACAAACTCTCTACGATGCTAGTCAAAACCCTGGATGCTATTTCTGCTCTAGACATTCCGTACACTAATTAGGCTTCCACCCACTCAGCAAGTTTCCTGGACCGAGACTGTGGGCCTTTACAAGAATCCCGCATCACATCAGTACGTGGAAAGGCGTACGCAACCAATCCGTGAGAGAACTGCATAACAAATATGGCCATGTTGTGAGGATCAATCCAGATGAATTGAGCTTCACCGACCCGAATGCATGGAAAGATGTACGTGATCACTAGGACTAGTCCTTTGAACTCGCTTTACTGCACCGGATAGAATCACAACTGATATACTATTCATACTCCCCATATGAGCGAGGGCTAGACCCTACAAGGGCTAACAGCCTATAGGTCTATGGACATGGCACCAAGGGAACGACGGGATCTGTTCCACATAAAAACTGGGCCACGTATGGCCAATCGCCCAACGGAGTCAAAAATCTCCTTCAGGCTCGCGACAACGACCACAGTCGAATGCGCAAGATCTTCACGCCTGCATTCTCTGATCGAGCTCTCAAGCAGCAAGAACCGCTTTTCGTACGATATGCCGACCAACTAGTCTCGAGACTGCTAGAGGGCACAGAGGCAAACCCCGATCAGAAGTGGGACATGGTCAAAATGTATAACTTTACCACCTTCGATGTCATGGGCGACCTCACCTTTGGTGAACCACTTCACATGCTCGACAACGCGGAATACGTAAGTTTGCTAGCTACGATATTTGTAAGACAATTACTAACCTTTTGTCTTCAGGATCCCTGGGTGAAGGTCATCTTCTCGAGTATCAAATACTCGGCCAAGCTTGGCATACTCAAGAGTTATCCAAGGCTATGGCGTGCGTTCAAGACTCTCGTGCCAGAGACTGGAAACAAAAAGAGGATCAATCACTTCCTGCATTCGGTCACACGAGTCACCAAGCGACTCGAAAAGGGCCGTGAGCACGAAGGCGTGGATCTGTGGGATCTTGTGTTGAGCCAGAAAGAAGGAAAGGGGTTGAGTCGAGGCGAAATGGACGCCAACGCCTCTCTCTTCATGCTTGCAGGTACTGAGACCACCGCGACATTAGTGTCAGGCTTGACATACTTTCTCCTGACAAAGCCCGAGTGTATGAAGAGGATTTTCAAAGCGCCTGCGCCCTAGTTGAGCTATCGCTGGTTTCTGTAAAAGTACTTTGAGTGCGGAGGTATTTGTGATCACATTAATTCTTCTAGGATAGGTCGAGACAGTCGCTAACCATGGTTCTAAACCTTATTATCGTTCTTCTATAGTACTATATATCGATTTTCTGCTCTCTATGACTACTAATGAGTCTGATGCGAGTTTTGGTTGTATCTGCCTAACAGTTCAAGTATGAGAGGAGTCACTCGCTCCGAGTGTATGAAGAAGCTGGCCGGTGAGATCCGTGGTACGTTCACCAGCGCAGACGGCATGACGATGGAACGACTTGCTGCTCTGCCCTACCTTGCAGCTTGCATCAAGGAAGCGTTCCGCTTGTACCCCCCAGTTCCATTAGAGATGCCAAGGATCACGCCGAAAGAGGGCAGTACGATTCTCGGCCAATTTGTTCCGCCTAACACTGCTGTCGCCATCCCGCAGCATGCAACGTATACCCACAAGAAAAACTTCAAGATGCCAATGGAGTATATTCCGGAGCGATGGCTCGGTGACAGCAGGTTTGACAGCGATGAGAAGCTCGCACTGCAACCATTCTCAGTGGGTTCGAGGGATTGTGTGGGCAAGAAGTAAGTCTTGTAGTCTTAGATGGAGTGAGATGAGATATTTAAGAAAGATATACTAACATTGAGTAGCTTGGCCAACCACGAGATACGTCTTATCATTGCAAAAGTTATATACAGCTTCGACCTTGAGCTAGCGCCCGAGAGCAATGAATGGACGGACCAACTGACTTTCATTTTGTGGGAGAAGAAGCCGCTGATGTGCAAGCTGCATGCGGTGAAGTGATCAATTCATATCGCTTTGTCACATATTATAGATTTCCTAGCAGTTTCGAGACGTATAGATGCGAGATCACAACATGGAATATATAGACTAACGCGGATCATGCAGTCATGAGGTCACTTATGCTTATTGTCGATGTCAAATAGTACTTTGCTGGGCTATTCGTCGAGCAACGTAGGGTTATTGTAGGTATTAGCTACGAGGGTCTATACAGTCTTAAAGTTCTTAAAGTATCCTTAACGTACGCGTTTAATTTCTTCTGCCTAGAGTAGTCTACAGCTCTTAACTATAGTTTTTTAACCTGCCTATTTTAACAAGAATAATGCTAGCTTTAGTTATTTAATTTTTACTTTTATATTTAACTAAATACTGCAAGCTAAATTTTAAACTCTCTCTACTCCCCTAAAGCTACTTAATTTTATTTTTAAACTTTTATTATTATTCTAACGCTTATAGCCTGTACAGCCTACTTAGCTATTTGTTTATTATTTTTTAAAATTATTTAAAAAAAGTTAAGTAGTCTAGATTAGTAGCAGTAAAAATAAAAATAAATATTTTTTATATAAAAAGTTAAAATTACTAAATTTTAGTATTTTTAATATTTCTAACTATTAGAGTAATATATTATACAGGCGAGTTAGTTGCCTAGTTAAGTTAGTTACAATGCTAAAATTTTACTAAAATTAGTAGTTTTTTACTATTAAACGCAATGCTTTAATATAATAATATATAATTTTTTTAAAAAAAAAATTAAATATAACTTGCAGTTTAGGCTTTAAAACGCAATATAAATTTTTTTTAATAAAAAACTGCATAAATTTATAGCATTTTTTAAATAATACTTAATAATTAATTAAAAAAAAAAGCTTTTATAATACAATACTAGGCCTAATAAAATAAAGTTTTTTTTAATAAAAAAAAGTAATTGCTTAGTATATATTTTATTTTAAAAACTAAGAATTTCTGCTTTAACTAGCTACTATAAATAATATAACTAATACTTTGCTAGCTAAATATAAGCAATTACTTATTAGTAAAAACTAAACTAGTATATTTATTAAATAATATTTATAACTTAGTACTAAAACTTTTTAAAAGTATAATTATTAAAAAAATTTATATAAAAATCCTAAGCTTTGTCAGGAAAATTCAACTTAGGTATAGTAGGCTGGGCAGGCCCTAGTAGCTAGCAATCTGCGCAACTAAAATATTTGCTATATTTACTTTATACTTACTTTTTAGTTTTAGCCTGCTATTGCGTACTCTAGCTAGCGCTATTTAACTATTTTATATAGTTTGCTTGTGCTACTTGTATTGCCTATATTACTAATATTACTTATATTGCTAGTGTTGCCTGCTTTAATAGTATTACCTGCTTTAATAAAATTGCAGAAATAGGCAAGCTTATTTATAGCACCTAATTATATTATATATTAAGTAAAAGTTGTATATGCAAGTTCTGCTTAATAGTTTTTATAGTAGTATATATTCTACTAAGTTTAAGCGCCTATTATAAATTTTTAAGTAAAATTTAGAATTTTGCTTTATTTTATTATTTTTTATAATTTTGTACTATATATACTAGCTGCAATTATAATATAATTAATAAAATATATTAATAATTATATTACTAAACTATTACTAAAGCAAACTATTATATATTTATATAAAGCTGTTTTTAGTTGCATATTCGTCTACTTACGCTTTATATATATTAGCCTATTTTTAATACTTAGTTAGCTTTTGCTTTTATTTATTTTTTATAAGTATAATAATTATTATATATAGTTTAGCATAGTACTTTTTTTAAGCTAGTTTAGTAAAAGTATACTAGTTTATATTTATAATAATACTTTATCTACTATTACTATTTTAAAACTAGGCCTAAGTATTATTATTTAGTTTATATATTTGCATAAAGCTTGCAGCACTTATATTATAATTAAAATTAATTTTAATTATATTATTAAATAAAAAGCATACTTAGATATGTATTTATATAAGTAAATTTAGTTAATATTATTAATAGTAGTTGCGTATATAGTACTGTACTTTTATATTTTTTATATAATGTATTTTAATTTAGTTAGAATAAAGTTGCTGCTTTTTTTTATATTATTAAGCTAATTATATATAATACTCCTTTTCTTTTAAATTACATGTAGCAATAATATTATTAATATTATTATTATATTAATTATTTTTAATAGCTATAGCAAGTTTATTATTATTATTATTATTTATATATATAGTAATCTTTTTACGCAGTGCCTTTTATATAATAAGCTACTTTAATAAATTTAGCTAGTTCTATTTCTAGCAAATAGTATTATAGTTTGCTATATTTTATTAATTATATACTATATACTATTTTATGTATACTTACTTTCTATTATATAATTATAAAATAGTATAGTTTTTTTAGCACTAGCTTTAGCGTACTTATTAATAGCGTAATATATTATTATATTTACTAGTGCTATAGTATTTGCGCTTAGTATTTAAAAGTAGTTTTTTAATTAACTTATAATAGTAAATCTTTATTTTTTATTTATATAAAAAGCTTTAGCAAGTATAGTAGTAATACTAAAATATATAAACTATAGCAAATTAAGCTGCAGGTTTATTATTTTTATTTTATATACTTAAAAAATATATTTACATCTTTTAAATTTTTTAGCAGGTAAGTAAAATTATTTAAAAATTAACTAATTATTATACTGCGTTGTTTTAAGTATAGCATTGTATATATACTTTTAATTTTATTTTTAGCTTATTGCATTACATGCGTTTTTAAGTTGCTAATTATATTTAGTATTTATAATAAAATACAGTTAACTATTATTTTGCTATAGTAAACTATAGTGCTTACTTATTAAGCAGTACTAAAGTATAGCTATAAAAAAACTATTTTTTAAACCTGCAGTAGTATTATTTTTTTTATTATTATTTATATATTAAGTATAATTTGTACAAACTAGTTGCAGTAAAAATTTATTTATAAAGTAATATATACTTTATCTATACTTATACTATTATTTATTATAATTTAAATTACTAAAATAATTTTAGTTTTAGCAAAAGTATTTTTATATTCTACTAGTATTTTAACTTTAGCCTAGCGCTTTATATCTTTTTATAGTATATTTTAAAAAAAATTAAATAAGTGTAGTTGTATTTGCAGCAAAGGCTAGGCTACTATTTTTACTATGCAATAAAATTAGCTATATTTTTTTTTATAATTATATTATAAATATTTAATATATATTAATATTGCTGCAAAAGAGCTAGTATAAATATATTTTTCTATACAGTAGTATTAAATATTTTATATTTACTAACTAGCCTTACTTTATTGTAGTTATAGCTAGTTGCAAGTATAAATATATAGTTATTTAAAATTAATAACTATAAACTAATTAATATTTAGCTACTTAAAGCAGCCTTTTAAATGCGCTGTAAAGCTAATAGTATTATAATAATATTTAATAGTTTTTTAATATTTTTATTTAAACTATTACTGTATATTTAAAATAGCGCTAAAGTATATTTTATTTTTTATAACTACTTAGTATTCTAGCTATTAAATACTATAACTAGAACTAATTTTACTACTTTTAAATTTACTAATAGCTTGTTTTTTTTTTATTATAATATTTTTATTGCGTAATAATAAATAAGTTCTAGTTTCTATACTTATAGTAATTAAATATAATAATATAAAAAGCACAGACTGCAAAACTATAATAATAAAGTAAACTTTTTAGCATTAATAAAATTCTAGAAAAAAAAGGGGGCAATAATTCCTAAAAAAATAACTAGTAGGAGCAAAAGCTGGGGTATACGCATTTTTTATTAAATATAGCAGGTAAAACTAATAAACGCCGCAGATTTATTAGTAGAAAAATAGTAGTCTACAGTTTATTATTAGTATTAATAGTTATTTACTATTAGTATTAATATTATAGTAATATAAGCTATTTTTACAAACTTAATTATTCTAGGGCACTAGTACTTATTTATAATAGTTTATTAAGTTTATAAAATGCGCATAAAAATAAATAAATTATATATAATATTATATAAAATATAATATAAAAATATTATAAACTAAGTTAGCATACATAGTAGGGAAGGCAATTATAAGATAAATAGGCAGTTAAATATACAGTATTTAAATTTACACTAAAAGTTTAATTGCAAAGCTTAGTCTATTTTTTTTTAAATTAACTACATTTTTTAGTACACTATACTACTAAGACTTAGTTAATATTTGCATCTATTTTTAATTATTTCTATTTTTTATATAGTAATATATACTGTTATTATTCTTTTAAAAGCTAATTTTTTTTTTTAGTATTTTTAAAAATAAAACAAAGCTTAGCTTATTAATATCTAGTATATTTTTTTTAAGGCTAGGTTGCAGTAGCTGTCTTATTTATATAAATATTTAATTAAAATTATTTATTGTATAAAATATTATAATTAATAGTTTATATATATTATTAGCGCTGCTTAATAATTTTCTACGCTTTAGTACTGTAGGTCTACTATAATTTGTATATAATATAGTAGAGTATTTAATATTAGGCAGTATATATAAATTCTATATTTTTTAAATGCAAATATATTGCATAGTATTATAATTATAGTAAATAATAATTTAAGTAACTGCGCAAAGCTGCTTATAAACAAGCATTTAATTAAAAATTAAGTTATAATTTAATATTATAATACTTATTATTTATTGTATTTGTTTTTTTGCAGATTTTATTTAAAATAACTAGTATAATATTTTTTATAATTTTATATTTTATTTAACTTAGGCGTATAATATATTATATTCTTATTTTATAATGCGCAGTTTTTTGCAAAATTAATTTATTACTAAGCATATTATATTTTTGCATTTTTATATTATAGTGCAGGCTTAAGTATTATCTAGCAAAATAAAAAAGCTAAAATATTGCTATTTATAAATAGTCTTTAGTATTAAAGTATTG